CCCCCCCCCCCCCTAACAGGAGAATGAGAGAGAGTCAAATTTCAAACAAATAACAGAATACCACAGCCCCGTTCTTTTTTTTATTAAGTACTCTTCTTCCGCAGGACTGACAGCCAAGCAGCATTCTTCATTGCATAGACTAGTGGGGGACTCCACCCTTGCGCAGTTATCACCTAATTTACATCCATCCTTCTCGACCCCCCTCGCCTACTGTACACGAGTACGGATGACTACATCCATTCATCAGCTGTCTCTACCTTACTAGGTATCCTTACTATCGATTGCGTCGGTCGTCTCGCCACGAATCACCCATCCCTCCCCCTCCCCGTCCTCGGCCGCCGCGGCCGCCGCCTCGCCGACCACGTCCACCTCCTAGATATTCGGGTCCCTTGTCCACAAACAAGTCGCCGTCTTCGAATGTAATGCGACGCGTCTCATCCCCTCCTCGTCGGGGAAATGCGCCTTTTCGTAGCAGATCGTCGAACCGATCGAGGCGTCGATCGGCCACCTCCCGGGTGACGGGCAGATAGTATAGCTTGGGCTTGGTCGTGGTGGACATAAACAGTTCGTCCAACGGTTTGAACCCTTGGCCCGGATGGGATTCCGACCGTGCGACGCCAGGGCTACTGGGACGTCGACTTGGACCCCGCGCATCTGCACGGGGACCGGTAGGCGGCGGACGAGAAAAGCCAGTGAGCTCAGGTGCGCGCGCAGGTTGAGTCGCCGGGTTCCGAGCATCAATTTCTTCCAGCACAGCTTCGACACCGTCATCGATCCGGTCGTATCTCACCTCCCAACGCGGTGGGGGGCCACCGCGCTCTCGAGTGCCCTCCTCTCGTTCAACCCATGATCGTAGCTTGTCTTCCGGGATGAAGTCGACGAATAACGCTTTCCGATTACGTTCGTTGGGCCATATAGTCCCGTGAAGGGCTGTCCGGACCCGCGACGCGGCCGAAACACTCGTAAAGCTCACAAAGCAGTGTGTTTTGATGGGATCCAGGTAGTAGTCGAGGATCACACTAGCATCGGGGGAAGCATCGGGTGCAGAGGCAAGACTGATGAGATGATTTCGGAGGGTCGCCGGCTGCATCGGCCGCATCAGTCCTCCCACGTAGAGCGCAGCGGTGGCAGCATGTAGGGCAGGCTCGACCTCGACATCGTCCGCAGCGATATCAGGGGGAGGGGATGGCGGACGGGCCTGGTCGGCTTCCGGGGCCACGAAGAGACCTTTGAAACGGACATCATGTTTCGGCGGGGCCTCTTTCTTGGCTGTGAGGGTTGCATCATCTGCGGCCGGGACAGATTCCATTTCCCGACCAGGCTCCGCTGTCTCAGGCTCAGCACGTGCCTCAGGGGGTTCTCGCGGAATTGCTGCCCCTTCTTCTCCCTGCTGATCCACCTCCATAACAGATGATCCTTGATCTTCAGGCAGAAGCACGCGGGGTTCCTCTTCTTGCGCCTTCGCTTTTTTGATGGCGAGGGCTTCCGGCGTGGGCACAGGACTCTGGCTACGACGCTTGCGCTTGCGTCGATCCTCTAACAGCTCCTCGGCGGGGAGAGGTGTTGAAAATGCTGTGTTCATCTCCGAGGAAAGACTCGTAGACAAAGCGGTCTCCTTGAGCTCTGTGTCTTGTTGCTTGGCCGCCGTGGGCTCCTCCCGCACCGTTGCATCTCTGGGAGCCTGCTCAACCGGGGCGGCAGGTGGTTCAATCTTTGTGTCGTTCGCTGCAGAGACGGCTGTGGCATCGCGAGCTTCTTCCACCTGCACTTTTGTCTCCGATCGCTCCTCCTTCTGTTGTTCTGACGGTTCCTCCACGACCTGATCGCCGGCGGGTATCGCCTCCTCTACAGTCTCCGGTTGAACTTCCGCAGCGCCATTCTGCTCCGGCTTCTTTTCCGGTGCCTGTGTCGAATCCTCCGGTTCTGTCCGCTTGAATGTCTCTTCGGGCGCGATGTGCGTTAGGTCCGTTTGCTTCGACGTGTCTTCAGGAATCGAGTCCGCGTTTGTGGCCGGCTCTACCTCCGGCTCCTCCTGTGGCGCAGGTTGTGCTTCCTCCGATCGCGGCGCAGGCTCATCATTGACTCCCTCGTCCTGCGCATGATCGCGATCCGAGCCGGGTTCCGCGGTCGCATTCTGTCCTGCAGCTTCGCGAGCATCTTCTTCCTCCAATCGTTCGATAATTTGCTGTTTCACGCGCAGGCCGGTCTGCGCGATGCCGCGCCGCTTCAACTCCGCCTTGAGGTCGGTGACCTTCAATTTCGAATAGTCAGTCATACTACCGGGTTTGTATATGTCCGCGAAAGATGGGATCGGGGTGCATGTAAATGTCGCCTATAAGGTGGGAGATTTGTGAACGTGGGTGATTGTTAATTCAGACGGGGTCTCTCATGACTGTGAGAGATGTTTTTTCTCTTTGTTGGAAGTCTGGTGGATGCGACGGATGCGCTGCTTGCCCCTGCGGTAAAGTAGTGGTGGTCGGTCGGTCGGGCTGAGCTTGACTGGCGGCGGGAAGATGATGTCGCGTGCTAAACCGGTTCGGGGGCATGGTGCGACTGGATCGAGCTTAGTGCGTTTCCCACTGAGACCTCAGGCTCCAGGCTTAGTCAAGAAACCGGGGCTGGTTCGTGTTTCCCCGATTGGGATAATTTAGTATGAGCTCGCCCTTCGTTAGAATTCTCCAAAGGAATTAATGCCAGCGTCGTTAAGGTGCCTGCTGCCACTGTATTGTTACACTCTAGGTGCTAAGAGTTGCTAGAGTAAAGGTCTTGTAAGATCTGAAGAAATTATCATATAGTATCACAAAAGAATCCCCTAACTACGCGGAATATAGCCCTCTCCTCAAACCCGACGAGAAGCATCGCGAAATTCAAATCTCGTATCATTTGTACCTCTGACAAACAATGCATATTTATGGGCTGGTCAGATGATGGCTGGTGCTTCGTAATAACTACTGCTACAATGTCTCACATACCAAGAGATGGTGACTGTTGCGGCACTCGTTATCTGATAATCTATGAAACCCCCGCATCAGCCAAGAGTCGGACCAATACAGAGATAAGGTCTCGCTGAGAGGGAAGTACCTTTCAGAGTCATATTTGGCCAATTTGGTGATAGGCTTATAAATAGGTATCTATATCTCATGGTCCCGAGTACCATCTTTCTGATTTCAGCAAGGGTGGTTGGCTTGAAGTAATTACCCCTTTGTTCCAACATACTATATCCGGAGGGGTGATCTATAAGCGCTGTCGCGCCTTTCTGATAAAGCAGCACACAGCCTTTCAACTAAACATCCTCGATATAGAGACAGAAAGAGCTTACTTATACTAGACAGAGCAAAGTATCATACAGTCATCCAATATTTCCGGTTCCCACATACCCACACCAATACAACGCCGATAGATAACATAGGCGCCTTTCTGAACTCCGCAGATAAAGCTTAGATGGGCCGAGGGCCGTTATCAATCGGCGGACCTCCTCCTCCCCCTCGTCGGTGTTGGTGCGGAGTAAGACTAAAATTGTAAGTCAGGCATATAAATAATCAGGGCCCATCCGAGTCTATACTCGAGTCACCACTGTAATTTCTTTCCTCATTAGCAATGTCTCCAATCCTCCCCGTCGACAACCCCATCCTGCCCTTCTGGCGCACGGAACTCGACCAACTCGATGACCTCCGCACCACCCCAGACTTACCCCAAGAAACCGACATCCTCATCATCGGTGCCGGCTACGCGGGCGTGACCCTCGCCTACTACCTGCTAAAGCAACTGGGAGATGCCACCCACCCTCATCCGACGATCACTATCCTCGAAGCGCGCCAGATATGCTCGGGCGCGACCGGTCGCAACGGTAAGCCAGTCCAGCCCTGATAGCTACTTGCTGCCATGCCCCGAACGCTACGCCTTATCGACAACTGATAACGATGAGACGAACAGGCGGCCACCTCCGCCCCGATATCTACGGCCACATCCCCAAGTACATCGAGCGGTACGGCCTGGAAGCGGGCGTTGAGATCGCCAACTTCGAGTACGAGCACATGCAAGCGGTGAAGGACCTCCTCACGGAGGAGCAGATCGACTGCGACTTCAACATCACGCGCAACATGAACGTGTATCTCAGTGAGGACGGTGGGGAGCGAGCGCGACAGGTCTACGAGAAGCTTCTAGCACAGGGGGTGGCCGTGGCGAATGATTTGCATTATACTTCGGCGAAGAACGCGGAGGGGGTATTGCTTCCTCTCTCTCTCCCCCTTTATATCGTCGTATCTCCTCATATGCCGAAAGAATGAAGATGGCTGAAATGAGATCACAACGCAGAGCTAACAGCACCAACACCCCACAGATCTCAGGCGTCAAAGGCGCGAAAGCCTGCCTCTCCTACACCTCCGGGACCCTCTGGCCCTACAAATTCATCCTCGGCCTGCTTTCCAAGATCGCCTCCTCCCCGGCGCTGAACGTACAGGCCCGAACCCCGGTGACATCCGTGACATCCAACGAAGACGGGACGCACACCGTCCACACAACACGAGGCGCCGCCATCCGCGCTCGGAAGGTCGTCTACGCGACCAACGGCTACACCGCGGGCCTGCTGCCAGAGTACGCCAAGAACATCGTTCCCTGCCGGGGGATCTGCTCGCACATCGCCGTGCCAGAGGGTAAGGAGGTTCCGTTTCTGCCCTACTCGTACGTGGTGTACACGAAGGAGGGCGGAGGGGGCAGCTATCTCATCTCGAGACCGGATGGGAGCATCATAGTCGGCGGGGCGCATTATACGTTCAAGGATAAGAGGGAGCAGTGGTATAATGTTGTGGATGATGGTACGTTGATTGAACCGACGAAGAATTACTATGATGATTATATGCAGAGGACGTTTAAGGGGTGGGAGGGCAGTGGTGCGTATGTCAAGGAGATTTGGACTGGGAGTGAGTGTTCCATTCCACCTTGTATGGTTGCGTTGGGGGTGGGGGGGATGGGGGATGAAGAGCGTGAGGGACGATAATGAAGGCTGACATGGAAATGACAACAGTCATGGGATACTCGTACGACTCCCATCCGCACATCGGACAGGTGCCCGGTAAACCTGGCCAGTATATCTGCGCGGGATTCAACGGCCACGGCATGCCGGTGGTGTTGCTCAGCGCGAAGGGTCTCGCGGAGATGATCGCAACGGGGAAGAAATTCGAGGAGACGGAGACGCGTATGCCCCGGTTATTCGAGACGACTGTTGAGAGGATTCGAAAGGCTCAGACGGGGCCGGAGGGAGGGGATATTCTGGCGAAGTAGCTGGGGTCTGTGGTAGGGAAGCAACGGCATCCACCGCCAGGAGTCAGTCACTTCAAAGTCCATGAGAATTAGACCGTGGACTCGGAGGGTAGATTACCGTAACTATCCGCAACTAATCTATTGCACCATCGAACTCAGAAACTCCATCAACCAGTCATCATACCCGACCCCTAAGCCTAACGTACCCAGCGCACCGCCAGACTCCTGATCCAGAGTCCCAGATACATGCTGCTGTTGCTGCATTCTCTCCGACTCCAACCCTCCCCTTCCCCGCAGATTATTATCCCCTCTCCCCCCCAATTTCCGTTCCCAAACCAACCGCATAGACTCATACTTCCCGATCGAATAAAAGAACACCTCCCCCTCATCGACCTCCGCCTCCTCCCCATCCCCGTCCTTCTCGCCCTCAACCCCCTCACCTCCCGCCACAGCCAACAACCCCCTCTCCAACCCTTCCAACCTCGCCAACGCAGCCGCCTGCCCCAGATTCCCAATCACACTGTCCAGCACATCCAGAATATCCACCGTCCGCCGCACGGCCGCCCGGTCCCAGAGCGGATCATCCAGCGTGGAGAGCCGGTACAGCGCGGCGAGGTTGCGGGCGAGCTGGGCGAAGACCGTGAACGCGAAGCCGGTGTACTCTGCTGGCGGAATAGCCAGGAAGGTGTCGAACCAGGCCTTTGTGGCTGCTAGGGCGGCGTGCAGGGTTTCCAGGTGGCGGATGTTGAGGGTGGTGGATTGTTGTTGCTGGGGTTTTGGGGTGAGGAGGAGGGCCGGCTCCGTGAGGGTCAGGATTACATGGGTGTTGTGGAGGTGGATGATTTCTGTTTATTGAGGGTGGGGTTAGATTTGGGCTTGGGTTTGGTGGGTTTGCTGGTTCGTGAGGGGATTTGGGTTGGGATATCAGGGGCCAGAGAGGAAGACGTACTGTATTGTTGGGTTTGTGGGGGGATTTTGGCTTGGGCTGAGTGGAGATGAGTGTTTAGGGCGTGGAGGTAGGTTGATATTGGGGGGTTGAGGGATGTGTTGTCATATAGGTTGGTTGCGGGTGGAAGTGGAAATGGGTGGAGTTCGGTGTTGCTGGAAGCGTGGCTGGGGGATTTTTGCTCGTTGACGAGTTGGTAGCGGACTTGGTGGACGAGGACTTCGTCGTTCAGACACTCTGGGTGCTGGCTTAGGGCTTTCAGGCATTCTTCGAGGTAGGGTGTCCAGCGGAGGGATTCGGCCTTTCCAAAGAAGAGAGAGATACTGGTGCGTCGTGTTCTTAGTGGCGAGGGATGTATTCTGTGGGAGGATCGCATAGTCCATACCTTGATGTGAGTAGGAAACATCCTAGCACTGCTCGCCGCTCCTCCATGAACCGCGTAGGTGGCGAAGCAGGACCGCCCTCGGGTTGAGGATTTAGGCAGAGGAGAAGGGACATCTCAGTTGAGGTTGGCTTGTTCAGTGAGAGGTCATACACCACCGCTATCGCCAGTTGGCTGAACATGATCAAGCTCAGCTTGCGGAAGACCTGCTGGCCGGACCTTGCCCAGGGTTAGTCAGGGCTGGGTGAAAGTAAATGCGAATGAACCACAACGTACCAAGCCATGAAGATCAGTATGCCCTGTAGAAGATCAAGGTCGCGAGCCCCGGAGCAGTGCACCACTTTCTGCGCGACGATCTCCCTGACCTTATCGCATATCGCATTGCGCTGCTTCACGCTCTTCGCTGCAACCGCCATCACGCATAGCCACATGAAGGGTCGCTCGCGCTGGAGACGTTTGGCCGTGGTACTGGATGGGATATGGATGAACGGTAGATAAGGCAGCTTCTGCGTGACAAAAGCCGCCAAACACTCCTCTGCCTGCCACGGCGAGAGCTCCAAAGAAACGTCCGGCGAGTCATTCGTCAAGCCAGGACCATTCGCCCCCTGCTCACTTGTCTGAGTTAACTGCGAATGAGTATTGCCACCACGTCTCCTCTTCTGTGAGTCACCTCGCGGATTCCGTGGCTGGGGCTCTGGTGTCGTCGTGCTCGTCGAGTTTAACTGCTCCTCGATCAAATCGGCGTATTCGTCTGCGGTCGCACTGCTCCCAGACGAATGCGCCGCCCGGGCACGAAGCAGCGCGACCACATCATCCAGCTTCTTCTCCAGCCGACCGCTCTTTGTGGCGTTGGGCTTGCGCAGGTTTTGTCGGCGCTGGAACGCCGAGGGACGACACTCCTTGTTAAGACGCTGACATCTGTAGCGTATGGATCAGTCGGGCGGAAAGAGCACACTAAGTATGGGGGGAAACCCACCGTTGACATTGTCCTCCGGCCTTGGACAGAACGCACTTGCATTTGGCGTGAGAGCAGTTCATACATGCGCGGCCGTATGGGGTCGGGGAAAGGTCATATTGCGTCGGAGCTTGATCCATGGCTGAGCGATACAGTAAGCGAGTAGCGGTCGGGAAATGGTACATGGTGACAAGAAGGTGGGGATTCGATCAGATTAAGAGGAACGCCGTAGGAGGTACGAGTAAGACGCCCGAACGCCGTCGGCGTTAGTATCGACGGCGTTAATGTCGAGAACGTGAAGCCGACGGACATTACGGATTTAGCCTGAGAGCGCTGCCTTGAGCCCTAATTGGGTGTTTGATGAGCCGTGTATAAAAGTCTGGCGACCACTTGACGAAACAAACATGAAGGAAGCATCTTGAATACAAGAATTTCAGGGTCTGAATCACAGCGATCAATTAGCCTCAAACTACAGTTCATACCTCGTTCATCATGTCACCCAACAATCGCGCCGCCTGGCTCAAGTCCGAAAAAGCCTACCCCCTCGAAGTGGATGATGCGCCTTACACTGCCCCTATGGAGAACCAAATTGTGATCAGAAACCAAGCCGTTGGCCTTAACCTGGTCGACTACGCCATGCAAGACATGGGAAACGCCCTGTTCCCCTGGACCACGTACCCGACCGTCTTGGGATGCGACGTGGCCGGCGAAGTTGTGGAGATCGGCCCCGGCCCTCTTGCATCACGTTTCAAACCTGGTGACCGCGTGCTTGGCTTGACAGAAGGAGTCAAGACCAGCCGTCCAGCCGATGGTGCCTTTCAATCCTACGTGGTCCTCACGGCTCAAACCACCGCGCACATCCCGTCTCAGCTATCCTTCCCAGACGCCGCCGCCATTCCCCTGGGTATCTCCACCGCGGCATGCGGTCTCTTCCAGAAGGACCATCTTGCCTTACAACACCCGACTGCGCCTCGCGCCCCGTCAACGGGACAGACGGTGCTCATCTGGAGTGGGTCGTCGAGTGTCGGCAGCAATGCCATCCAGATGGCTGTCGCAGCCGGGTACGAGGTCCTCACAACGGCGTCGCCCAAGAACTTCGAGTTTGTGAAATCACTGGGGGCGAGCGAGGCCTTTGACTATCGCAGCGAGAGTGTGGTGGAGGACATTGTGGTGGCTTTCCAGGGCAGGAAGAGTGCGGGGGCGTTGGCGATTGGCGACGGCAGTGTGGAATTGTGTGCCAAGATCGTGGCCCAAATTGAGGGCAGAAAGTTTGTTTCCATGGCTGTTCCTCACGCTGGATCTTTGAGTGACGGGGTGGAGTCCAAGTTCATCTTTGGGGGCGACTTGCGGAATAATGAGGTTGGGCCGGCCATCTTTGAACACTTCCTGCCGAAAGCTCTGAAGGAAGGCTTTTTCAGGTCTGCGTTGAGGGTGGAGGTGGTGGGAAAAGGCCTGGAGTCGGTGCAGCGTGGATTGGATACCTTGAAGAAGGGGGTGTCGGCGAAGAAGTTGATTGTTGAGTTGTGATCTATGTCTGTGTTTGGGTATATTTGGAGATACCATCCTGTTCTTGTATCTTCTTGAGACTATGCCTCTATAATTCGATAACCAACGCGGTCTTGGAGTACACAATCACTTCATGCATTCTCTTCTCACGTTGAAGATACGGAATTGTATGGAAGACATGTCCTAGGAATCATGACGTGTCAGGCTTGGTGCATCTTGCGGGAATCTATCACGGTGAAATTGTCCTTTACAGTATTGTAGAAAGCCAGGTAGTCCCATGTATCAAATGTGGCGTTCGATATTTCGGAGAATATTGGCTGCTGTCTCCACGGCCAAGCAAGGAAGGCAACTGATCGCCAACCTTCAGACTGCCTGTTCATTCTGTTCTTTTAAGTCCAAAGCATCATCAGCACAATTGTATATCCGAGAAAAAAGTTATCTCCACGAGTCTGAACGGCAACGTCTGCCAACAGCTACAACTAGCTTCAATGGATACTAGAGCCGACCAGAGAACAGTTCCAGTATCAGAGAAGGACTCGGAGGAACTCACCACCAGTCTTCCTGACATCAGTCAGGTCGATCTACAGAGAGAAGAATGGATCAGCGGCTGGAAGTTGGCGGCAGTCTTTTCAGGCATCACTATTGTGAGCTTCCTGATGCTGCTAGACATGTCTATCATTTCAACAGTCAGTCCATTCGCATATCGGGTGTTCGTCCCGCTGATCTTGGTATAGGCCATCCCCAGAATCACCAGTGATTTTCACTCTCTTGATGATGTAGGATGGTACGGTAGCTCGTACCAATTGGCCAGGTGAGCCTACTTTGGCTTTGCAGGTATTTGACACTGGTTTTAACCTGAACAAGTGCTGCTTTGCAGCCTTTGGCCGGCAAGCTCTATGCCAACTTCAACTCCAAAGTAAGTATATGACCCTGTTATTGACAGTATAGATGTTAAGGAGAAAAACAGTGGACTTTCTTTACATTCTTTGCGGTCTTCGAATTGGGGTCTCTTCTCTGCGGTCTCGCCAGCTCATCCAAGATGTTGGTTGTTGCACGTGCTGTGGCAGGGATAGGTGGTGCTGGCATTCAAACAGGCACTTTCACCATCATTGCCAGCTCGGTTCCCATGCGCAAAAGACCCTGTAAGCTTGACACATGATATCAAATGGCAAAGACTGACGTATCCGCAGCACTGATGGGTCTGTCTATGGGGAGTCTGTATTATCTCGCCAGGCGATTGGGGATACAAGGCTGACAAGCTTATAGTAGCGCAAGTGGGCATGGTAATAGGCCCGTTGCTTGGGGGTGCCTTGACGGAGTATTCAACCTGGCGCTGGTGTAGGCACGTCTTTCCCTTTTCGCCGAGTATCACTAAGGTTCCCCAGGCTTCTATATCAATCTGCCCGTTGGAGGGGTGGTTGCAGCCTTGATTGCTTTTATTCACATTCCAGAACAGCTCCAAAAGCCTCCTTTCTTGACAGTCGTTCGTTCGATTCACCGACAGCTGGACCTTATTGGCTTCGTCTTGTTTGCTCCAGCTGCTATTCAGCTACTTCTAGCCCTGCAATACGGGGGCAATGATTACCCCTGGAGTAGCCCTACCATCATTGGCCTATTTTGTGGCGCAGGCTGCACCTTCGTTGTCTTCCTCGTCTGGGAGTATTTCAAAGGCGCAGAAGCAATGATCCCTTTCGACATCTTGTCCAACAGTGTGGTGTACTGCAGCTGTCTGAACTTTGGGTTCCTGATGAGTCTGATTATCTGCAAAGACTACTACGTTCCGATATACTTCCAGGCAGTCAAGGGGGCCTCTCCTTTGTTCAGCGGCTTATTCCGTCTGCCGACTATGGTACCACAGCTGCTCGGGGCGCTCTTTGTGGGCATGCTTGGTATGTTACCGCTTTTGGTTCGATTTGGCCTTAGGTCTTGGCTAAGAGTACCGTAGTTGAATGGCAGGGCTATTACCTGCCCTATGTACTCACCAGTTCGATGTTCAACGGTATCTCAAGTGGTCTGATGGCCACGTTCATGCCAGACACAACCACTGGCAAATGGGTTGGCTACCAGATCTTGGCAGGAGTCGGCGAAGGGATGGGAATCCAGCTGGTAAGTTCGTCCTGACGGCAGAACTTCCACACTCGGGACTGAAGTCAGCCCGGATCAGCCAGTTGTTGCGGTACAAAGCACGCTTTCACCGCCAGAGGTTCCTATCGCAATGGGTCTGCTCATGTTCAGCTCAACGCTAGGGGCGTCTCTTTTCCTCAGTCTTTCACAAACGATCCAGAATACAGGATTGAGGGAATTGCTTCCGAAGTATGCGCCGAATGTAAGTGCACAAGATGTGTTGATCGCGGGAGCAACTGGGTTCCGGAGAGTCGTATCGGCCGCGGATCTCGGTGGGGTCCTGGTGGCATATTCAAAGACCATCGACCGGGTGTTCTACCTCTGTGCGGGCTGTTCATGCGCATGCCTTGTGGTTGCATGGGGAATGGGATGGGGAAATATTCGGTCGGAGAAGAAAGAAGCATCGCGATCATCGGTGGAGACAGCCTAGTTTGACCTAGTGTGGTCAACTCTTCGTATAGAAATACGCATCACGTGATAGATAGAGGCATTTGTATGGTGGCGGAGCACCTGACTCAGACCCTCCGATTGGGTGGTCATGACGCATGACTCACCCTTGGAAAACTTGAAAATGAAGCTTCCTCCCCTCACTTTTTCCATCGTCCTTCGATTTTCCCAAAATTTGTGTTGTGCTGCAATTGCTGTTTTGCTTGTGTGTTATTGCTCTTCTTTGCAAGTCAATCTTGATTGTTCCTAGAAGACTTACTCCCGCCAGAATGGCTACACCATCCTCTGGCGCCTCTGGGCAACTCCGTCAGTATTTCCCCCAGAATTTCCCCCACCCCCGCCCCTCCCCGTCTCCGTCCCCGCGAATGTTCAATGAGATGAACGGCTACTAAATCCCGTAGAGAGAGTCGCGTCGCAACCTGAAAACCCCTTTTCCGCCTTAATCACCGACCAATCCTTTGCGATCATCCCTTCCTTCACTCTCGAATCTGGCGTCACTCTCTCCAATGTTCCGGTAGCGTACACCACGCGAGGCAAACTCTCCCCGAACGGTGACAATGTCTTGGTGATTTGCCATGCCCTCAGTGGTAGCGCTGATGTGGCAGACTGGTGGGGTCCTTTGCTTGGTGGTCCTGGACAGGCCTTCGATACGTCGCGATTCTTTGTTGTCTGCCTGAACAGTCTGGGCAGTCCCTATGGCAGTGCCAGTGCCGTGACCTACAAGGACGGAGACCCGGAGAAGGGCCTCTATGGGCCCGAATTTCCTTTGACCACTGTGCGTGATGATGTGAGGTATGTGTGGTTCGAATCATCGTTACTCAGACTCATGCTGACCTCTGACCAGAATTCACAAACTCGTGCTTGATGACCTCGGCGTGCGGCAGATCGCAGCTGTCGTTGGTGGTTCCATGGGCGGTATGCTTACCCTCGAGTATGCCTACTTCGGCAAGGAATACGTTCGCGCTATTTGTCCGATTGCCACATCTCCCCGTCATTCTGCTTGGTGTATCAGTTGGGGTGAGGCACAACGACAGAGCATCTACAGCGATCCTAAGTACGAGGATGGCTACTACTCGTTCGATGATCCTCCCGCGACGGGTTTGGGTGCGGCTCGCATGTCTGCTCTTCTTACCTACCGCAGCCGCAATTCCTTTGAGTCTCGCTTCGGCAGAAACGTCCCTGACCCCTCCAAGCGTCAGAACATCAACGGTACGGAGAGGTTGCCAACCCCGCCCAACGAGCACTGGGCCGTTCACAACGATGGACATAAGAGCAGTGGACGCAGCTCGCCCGTGCTTCAATCTCCTGCACTTGCGCAGCCCGCCGAGGTTTTTTTCCAGGATCCCCAGTTCTCTGGAACCAAGACTTTCAGCAAAACTCTCGAGTCCAAGGGCAGCCAAAAGAAGCTCCCGACTTATTTCTCGGCTCAGTCATACCTCCGCTATCAGGGCGAGAAGTTCGTCAAGCGGTTTGACGCCAACTGCTACATCGCCATCACCCGCAAGCTCGACACGCACGACGTATCGAGACATCGGGCCAGTCCGGATTCGGAGAATCCTGTGCGCGAAGCACTCGGTCAGATTGAGCAGCCTGCGCTGGTTCTGGGTATTGAGACCGATGGACTGTTCACTTTCGAAGAGCAGCAGGAAATCGCGGCTGGCATTCCCGACTCGAGATTGAAGCGGATTGAGAGTGCTGAGGGTCACGACGCCTTCCTCCTGCAATTCGAGCAGGTCAACAGATACATCCTCGAGTTCTTCCGCGAAGTCCTGCCCGACATCATGTCCAAGGCTCCGGAGGGAGGTGCCGAGGCCGTGGATGGCGTGAACAAGCTAACCAAGAGCAGCACATTCGGCGAAGCGGAGGTGGAAGACATCACCGCCTGGTAAACTGACCTCTGTGGTATCCAGATCAACCTTGGCGCTTTCATTGCAGCCTTCACACATATTTTGCCTGACACCAGGAGGGGAATGAGGAGTCTGGCCATTCTCTCGGCGACGAGAGGACGCGCCGGCGGCTTCGGATCCCGCCAGGACCAGGTGCCTTGGGGAAGTAGCGGTGCAAACTTGTTTATTGTCATTCTTAAGCCAGTCAGAGAGATGAGCACTTAACTGCCCCTCTCGTTTCCTAGTCACAGGTAAGGCTGTAAAAGAAGCATCCAACTGCTCTCCATCGATAAGCCCTCACTCGGCGTGGTCTGCCTTGCAACCACAATGCCAGAGGGTGGTGGGCGACCTTTTCTACAAGAGTTCGATCGTACATAGTATGATGAATGAAATAGACAGATCTTGTTTTTTCTTCCATTGTTATCTTGGTCACAGACCTGCTTGTAGCCCCATATCTCCCCCAATCGAGCCTTGATGATAAGTGTTAGGCTACCATACTCAATCACCCCAACCAAGCCATGACCCCCAAGTCATTGTGCAAAAGCACAAGGCAACCTTCCATCTTCCCCACCTCAAGTCATGGGCCCCAGAATCTACCCCATATTTAGCGCACAGGAAGTGAGAACAGACCTCCAACCTACTGTACACCAACGCACCCGAGCTCGCAATATCTGTCTGCACTCTGCACCCCAACCCTGCTTTCTTGCCTCGAATGTGAGATGTCAATCCATCAAACCATTGACTAAATGACGTGATAGGCGTTCTGGGAAGTCCAACGAGGGCCGGTGAATGGGCGGTTATTACACGAGCCGGAGGAAATTTTGCATGGCTTCACAGGGCTGTTTACGGGAGAAGGAGGAGGAGCTCAAGGCATTGAACAGCAGCCTGCAGGGAGATGTGTCCGAAGTACTAAATTGGTTGCGTGGGGGAGAGCAATAGGGATGTGATGGGTCAGTCCTCACTGTTAGATGCGGATGGTGTCTGAGTGCACATGGGAATAAGGACTTGGTTTGAGCTGTCTTTGATGGTCCGTCTATGCCTAGGGTTGGTTTCATAGAAGACTCAACTTCAAACGGCGAATGGAATTGTCTTTGAACCGTGCAGAACAGTATGCTTATTGTGCTTGGAGTGCAACCATGAATGAAACTATAAAGGAAGACGCAGTTCAGTACGTGGCATGTCACATGATATCATACTATGAGACAAATCATATTCAGGGTCTTTTGCTTCCTTCCCCTCTCTCTTTCCCTCCCCACAAGGCGAAACCTTCACCCTAAAGAAGCAAACCCTGCTGTTGATCAGGAATCACGGAGGCTCTCATCTCACTATGATGAACTTGATTCCATTCTCCTGATCGGGAGCCTGGAAGTTCCACCCCCTCCCTCCCTTGATTCATCCCTGCCCTTGCTGGGGAATTGAGAGGTTTCATCCGCTGCCCCTTGCTAGGGTTCCACAGTATCCTCAAAAAAGCAATGGAAACTGTATTGTGACTCAATCAAGCTGGGAATCTCGACTTCTCGATGTCAAATTACAATGGCCTGGACATCGGATGTCTAATTATGAAGTATGTCGAAACTCGTGAAGAACGGATCAGTATTACGACTAACAGCTTAAGCAGTATAGGGTCGGCATTATAGAGAAAATACTCTCCCAATAACCAGCATGGGGATTCCGCCCAATTGCCCCATCCCGAGACAGGAGGACCTGGATTCGGCTGGACCTCCTCCATACTCGCCCAAGAGCCAATGATCGTGGCTCTATGCCCTGCGTTGGGGAGTGATAGTTACTGCAGAACCAGGCCGGGGATGAGCAGGGATAAAGAGACATGCCGGGGGTAACACACACTCTCTCAGACCCACACAACACACCGGCGCCCGATACCACTCTGAGCGACGCGAAAGTTCAGCTTGGACTTGGTGATAGTAAGCGTTCGACATGCTTTTCTGCCAACCACGCTTTCTTACTCGCTGTTTCATCCATACAAAAGCCTAATAGCTTGTTTCCCCGCTCGTTCTTCCTGACTGGCCGTTGCCCGCGCGGCGCGCAGCTCCCGCGGGCGTTCTCCTTGCGAATGGGGATCGATCGTCGGGGAGATGCAATGCAGGCTGGAAGGCTATGGGACTCGTCCAGTTTCGTGCAATGTGTAATGCAAGCAAATAGGCAAGCAAGCACTTCATATCTCCTTGACTCTGAATCTTGTCTGTCATCATGATGATGGGTGGGTGGGTGGCTTGCCTGCTTTGCCGCGCTGGGTGGGCTCCATTCTTCTACTTCTTGTTTGCTGTGCTCCCAAGACCTGGGATATTGCCTGTTTCCTTTTCATCTCCACTCCCCGCATTCCGATCCTCATTGTGAGACTCACTTCTAGCTGCCCGGACAACTTTTTGGCTCACTCTTGGCCCCATTGGGTTGGGCTGAATCTCAAGAGAAAGAGAGTTTGTTTTGGGCGGCTCTTTTGGGCACTCGTTGCCCAGCGGACCACGACGTTCAGAATCGGACTTAGTCGCATTCGTCATTCCCATGTGAGAAATTCTTCATCTCAATTGTGAGATCATCTGCCTTCTTTTCAATTCCCGAGATCGATGATAGACAAGGTCATCATATACATTGCCGGTCCGCGCCAATAGATCCACCTTTGTTCTCTTTTCCGACTTCGCCCTTCTTCCCGAAGCTCAAACCTGAGAACATGGATTTTCTAACGAAGGATCTCCTTCTGAAGAAACGCACCTCTTTTTCTTTCCTTTTCGGCTCTAACGTACGTGAGATGATTCCGTCTAATTCCCCGAGGGACCACAACCCTCAGAAGGGTTGGAAATTCGACCCCTTCTCTCCTGATACCATCAATGCAATCAAAGCTAAGCGATAAGTACAGAGACCGACCTTTGCCCTGCACAATGAGAGCCCAGAAGACCAACCCCCGGGATACTATGACGTCCCTCCCAAGAAAGAAAACAAGCCTGCCGCTCCTCAGATGGCATCTGAAGAAGATGAGGATACCCTTCATAGCACCCGCCAAGAACTTTCCTCGGAATTGGAAGCCCAGGTCCGCTACGCCTGTTCCTTGCTAGTATACCGCATTGAACAAGGCATATCTTCGAATTACTCCCCCAACCGCGCCAAAGCAGTTGCAGCAGCCAGAAGGAAGCGCGTCTCGGCGGTAACAGCTACATCCACGATTTCAGGATGCGATACTGCTGCGGCCGCGCAGATTGAAACGAAGTATCTCCTCTCCAGCACGACTAAAAAGCTCCGGGATGGGGTGATGGGGCGGCTTGGAGGCGGAATCTTCGCTCGGGATGGTGGTATCAGTATTGATGGCGAGAAGCATGATTCGGGTGTCGGATTGACGCAGCAGCCGAGTATAGCAACGATGCGGGAGGGACAACGTTCGAAGTTGGGCTCCTCGCACTCGAACTATACCGCAGCCCAACCATTGGAGTCTGTTACAGCGGGGAATCTAGACAAGGAAGCAACTGAGGCTATAGTGGGAGGGGAGCACAGTATGATCGTTAGCCCAATATCACCAACCGCACCCGAAGGAGAAGAGGACGTGATCATTAGTCCAATAACTGTATCAACCACTACCACCACAATCGCCAACACCACCGGATCAGGAAGCACAGTCTATCGGACCGTGCCAACGAGTCTATCGCCGACGGACAGCAGCAACCACGCGACGAGCAGCGAAGATACAAACCCGACTTCTTCTCGCGAACCCAACCAACATCAACACCGTTCAGAATTCCTGACCCGAGGAGCAGCAGCTACAGGAGAAGAGACAACGCAGTGCCGACGAGACCAAGACACCGCCGTATTTCTCTCTCCCACGGACCCAGCGCCTGACAGGCAAGCCCATTCCGCAACCGCAGACGAGAACCCCGACCTCACGAATGACTCCGACGTAGAGGTATTCCTTGACCCCGAGACCGCAGCCGAATACATCACCTCCTCCGCAGGAGGAGTAGGGGGCGTAGGAATCTCGCTCCTGACAACCAGCACCCCAAGTCTCGGTCTGACCATAGACCCAGCCTCAGCCCGACAATCCCGAGTCTACATCCCACCTGCGCCTGCCACCATCAACATCGACGCAGGAGCCAACCCCACCGCCACCGAGGAAGACGCTTCCAAAATCAAGCGCAAATTAACATACACACCGACCTACCCCTCGCAGCTCCCCCAGCTCCAAAACCTTACCACAATGACCACAGACCAAACGGAGGGAGAAGACGAACCCCCGATCATAATCGACACAAACGGCAACGCCCACGTCATGAACCGGGACGAGGAGCTCGAACGAGACCGAGGGCTCCAGCAAGCCGTGATGACAAAGATGCAGACAGGAAGCATATTCCTTGTGTCCCCTACCGAGGACACCCCCGAAGAAGCGGTGGGCAGTTCCAGCTCAGATGAGGCGCATGAATCAAACCACGGAGCTATCACGAATCCGGCTCGTGGCGATGCAGATGCGGAAGCCGAAACCCCAGGCCCGCTCCCCCGTCTCCCTGAACCAACCTACACCCCCTTGCCACCCCGGCGCCCAGGCACCAGCGCTTCAAGGTTGAAGACCTCCTGGTCGGCGATCAGCCGTTCCACGGCTTCTGTGTCTGGGAAACTAAGACGGAAGTTCCGGAGGGGCGGAGATGCAGGAATTGACGACGATGATGATGATGATGATGATGACTCCTTCGTGGAGCTGGAGAGGTCGAGGCCGAGGTCGAGGAGTCAAGCGAAGACACCGACGTTGCTCTTCAAGCGATTAGCGGGGTGGTTGACCGGTCGAGGGAGTTCCAAGACAGCAGCAGCAGCAGCAGAGAATGAAGATGTTCCGACGACATCGGGACTGGAAGGTGTCGTCCCTTATCAGGGGACTTGAACCATGAATGATGAACAATATCTGAGATGTTGAAACGCGAAACAGGACCCTCTGAAATGAACTTCGTGTATGTATGTATGTATGCCTGCCCTGTTTTGCTAGGATTGGGAGTTTTGGGCCTTGTATTTGTAATTTGAAATTAGACCCCAGAGAGTAGATCGTTACTATACTACTAGAATTGCGGAAATGATTGATGTGGTGGGATATCTTGTCATTTAATACTCCCACATTTAAATCTAAAGGGAGCTGAGTCTAAGAAAGCAAGCATCGTTATGACTATCCATATCAATTCGTAACACGTATCCAAAACCACCAGTCAAGGACAAAATACCAATCTACTTGAACTATAGCCAGTATAGAATCTCAATCTCACTCATGCATCAAGCCGTACAGTATAGCCTTGCTTGTTTTCAAGACACACACAACAAGCACCAGGACAGCCATGAACACCAGGAATGAGGGATCTACAGCCCGAGCCAGAAGCGGGTCTTCTCGACGGTGAACTCGGCCTTCAGGACGCCGTCGCCCGTGCCGGTGACCTGCACCTCGTAGACGCCCTTCTCCGACGCCCACTTGGCGCGCTGCTCGTCCCACCAGCTCGTGGCCAGTTTCTTCTCGACGACGATCTCAACCTCCTTCGTCTCGCCGGGCTGCAAGTGCACCTTGGCGAAGCCCTTGAGCTCGCGCTTGGGCCGGTTGACCCCAGTCGCGGGCGGGCTGACCCACAGCTGCAAGATCTCGGCGCCGGGCCGCGCGCCGGTGTTGGTGACGGAGACGGTGGCAGTGATGGGCTCACCGTCAAGGCCGAGGCGGGGCTGCTCGGGGGCGGAAGTGAGACGGAGGTTGGAGCGGGAAAAGGTCGTGTACGACAGGCCGTGGCCGAAGGGGAACAAGGGGGCGAGATCGACCTTCTCATAGTAGCGGTAGCCGACGTAGACGTCCTCGCCGTACAGGACGCGGCCGCGCTCGGAGCGGAAGTTGAGGTAGCTGGGGTTGTCCTGCAGGCGGACGGGGAAGCTGACGGGCAGCTTGGCGGCCGGGTTGACGTCGCCGTATAGCACGTCGGCGATGCCGTTGCCGCACTCGTTGCCGCCGAACCAGGCGTGCAGGAGGCCCTTAGTCTTGTGCACCCACGGCATGGTGACGGGGGTGCCGCTCTGGATGACGACCACGGCGTTGGGGTTGGCGTCCAGCACGCGCGAGATCATCTCGTCGCTGCCGGGCGGTAGGTCCATGTGGTCGCGGTCGTGGCCCTCGGTCTCCCACTCGCTAGTCAGGCCGGCGAAGATGACGACCTGCTCCGCGCTGGAGGCGAGGCTCACCGCGTCCGACATCAGGTCCTCCTGCGTGACCTGGCGGCATGCGCCAAAGCGGAAGCCGCCTGGGCCGAAGATCACGACACCGCGCATGTCCAGGTCGGAGGTCGGGGCGCTGCCGAACTCGAGGAGGATGCGGTAGGTCTGTCCGGCTTTGAGAGCCTTGGAGCCGCGTTCTTCGACGGTGGCGTTGCCGAAGAAGGCGGTGCCCTGGCGCTGGTTCTTGGTGTTGTCGACAACGACCTCGTCGTCGATGTAGAGCTTGCCGGTGCCGACGACAGTCACGCCGAAGTCGTAGATGCCGTCCTCTTCCGGGGTGAAGTAGCCTTCCATGTCGACGTAGAAAGTGAAGGACTTGATCTTCGGGTTGACGTAGTCCATCAAGAAGCCGCTGGACCGGACCAGATGCAGCTCATCAACCAGGGTCCGGTTAGGCTCGGATGCGGGCTCGTTGTACACCCGGAACTTGAAGCCGGTCTGGCCGTCCTCCGTCTTGAGTAGGGGACCGAGCAGAGGGAGTTCCTTATGCGAGTAGACACCCTGGGAGAACTGAACTGAGCCCTGGCTCTTGGCCGAGACACCCTCGAACGGGGACACGGTGTAGTACGGATCCAACGACGCGGAGCCACCTCCGCAGTAGGCAGCAAACTTGGCATTCGGTCCGATGACCAGAATCGACTTGTCCTTCTTCAAGGGCAAAATATCGTCCTCATTCTTCATGAGCACCACCGACTCCGACGCAGCTCGACGGAGCAGCGCCTGGTCCTCAGGACGGTTCAAAGCCTTCTCCTCCGCCTGCTCGGGGATCCCAAGCGGCTCAACCCAGTTGACCAGGTTGAGGACATTGCGGACTCGTTCATCCATGACAAACTCGGCGACCTTGTTCGAGGACACGGCATGTGCCAGGGCAGTGCCACGCCAGCGTGTCTTGCCCGGCATCTCCAGATCCAAGCCCGCATTGATAGCGTCGGAGGTACTGTATGTACCGAACCTGCGAAGCGAGAGCGACCAGATTAGCAGCTCATTGGAGGGCAACACCTTGGGGGGTGAAGGAGGGGGCACTGCGACTCACCAATCACTCATCACCAAGCCATCCCACCCCCATTCCTTGCGGAGAATCTCCGTAATGATCTCCTTGTTTTCACTCACATGCGTCCCATTGACCTTGTTGTACGCCGTCATGACACACGCCGTCGGACAGATGCGCATCGCCAGCTGGAACGGCAGGAGATAGATCTCCCTCAACGCCCGGTCCGTAATGATCGTGTCGACAGCCAACCGCTCGTGCTCCTGGTCATTGCAGACAAAGTGCTTCAGGGTCGCCGCGACGCCCTTCTCCTGTACACCGCGACAGTAGTGACCCGCCAGCGTGCCCGACAAAACTCCGTCCTCGGCGTAGGACTCGAAGCCCCGACCGCCCAGCGGCGACCGCTGGATGTTGATGGTCGGCCCGAGGATGATGTGCGATCCCTTGGCGATGGACTCCTCACCCATAAGTCGTCCAACCTGGTGCAGAAGCTCCGTATCCCAGGTCGCACCGAGGGCTGTTGCGCACGGGAAGCATGCGGCAGGAACGCCGTTGAAGAAGCGCGTCCCTCGCACACCATTGGGGCCATCGGACATGCGGAGGGAGGGGATGTTCAAACGTGGCACAGCGGCAGTATGCCAGAAGTCAATACCTGCAAAATTGAGGCAAGTGGGATTAGAGCTGTCGACCGGGACATCGTATACCTCGTCGATGTACTATTTTGCAAGAGCTCAGGGTTACCCACCTGCTGTGAGGGCTACCTTCTCACCGAGCGTGAGCTCCTCCAAGGTCTTTTCCACGTCTAAACGAGGCATGTTGCACAAAGAAAGAAATCGACAAATTCTCTATATAATTTTATTTTCAGGAGGGTTCAGGGTTTAGAACACTCCAGAGACAAGGCAAGGGTGAATGGGGAGTCGGGTTGAGGATAGGGCGATAAGACGATAAGAGAAGCAGGCGGGGAGGAGGAATGCCGTCATGATTCAACCGACAGGAGGGGATTGAGGGTCTTGATATAGTCGTGTTTCTGGTTGGCAGTGGGCACTGACTCAGTCACGATTAGAAAGCCGGATGTCGTACACAAGCTCCGCGCCTGGATGAGCAGGGGAGCAGGGGAAGAGGGGGGGGGGACCCAGTAGTGCAGGATCCACCACGATCGCAAGGATGATCGTGACGGATCATCGGTTGATAGGGCCGGGGGGGTGGAGATTGGAATGAGGAATCAATGGATTGAGAGGATGAAGTTGTCAGTTGTCAGTTGAAACAAGAAGGAAAGACGAGGCCGAAGATTAGCCGGCGAGGGGGGCGGACGGAGTGTCGGGCCGAAAGTCCCTCCCGCGACCGAAAGGGAAATTCCCCTTGGTGTCACTCACTCATACTATTAGAGAAGTATGTATTGTACTTAGTACTACCGTCACCGTGCCAGGTGGAATCCATTTCCTGATCTAGCAATCATCACCTGCACGATGGATGGATGCATTGCATTGAACAGTTGCAACTGGCCAGCCTGGCCTCATCTCATTATCAATGGCTCATTGCTATGTTACAGATGCACAGATGCAATTCAATCCCAGGATTATGACAAGCTCAGCCAATGGGTCGGTGGCAATCAAAATACCTAACACCGTCCAACAATGCATGCAATCCAGGGCACAAGATACAGAGTAAATTTAATAGGAGAGAGAAGGAAAAAAAAGAAGAAAAAAAAGAAGGAAATGAGGGAGTGAGGGTGTGTAGCCAGAGAGGGAGGTGTGAAGGAATTGAGTATATGGGGTGGGTGTGTGAGGAGAATCAAAGACGAAAAAAAGAAGAAGAAACAACTATCATGCAGTACGTGTCATTCCGCTGGTATCAAATCAACCCCCGCGTCGAGGGCGTTTGCTCTCACCACCCATACGCATTCCTCCTCGTCCGGCTCCGTCGCCATGATTGCCGTCGTCTCCCGGTCGATTCCGCTTGCGATGAGGCCCTCCACCAGCACCATCACGGTGATAGTCCCGGTCTCGCTGGCGATCACGGTTGCGATCACGATCCCGGTCTCGCCCTTCGCGTCCACCGCTCCATCGTCGTGGTTCCTCTTCCGAGCCAGCAGGCGGTGGTGGCGGAGGGGGCGGGGGTTGTCCACCAAGCGAGGACGGTGGCCTCAGACGCCCTTCATGGTCCTGGCTGCTGGGAGCCAGATCCGATCCTTCATCACGATCTCGTCGTCGCCGGTTGTCTTCACGTGCCCCGGCACCTCGTCGAGACACTTCTCGGGACTCGAAGCGTTCGTCGCGCGGAGCGCCCGCTCCAGCATCGCTACGACGACTACGCTCGCGTTCATAATCGCGTGTGCGATCCCGATGTTCCTCTCGTCGACTGCTACTCCGCGGTCCCTCTTCCTCGCCGCCGCCCCGACGCTCACGTTCACGCTCGCGGTCGTTGCGGTCCTGATTGAAGCTACCACCTGAAGAATAGCGCCCCGATCTTCGGCTTTCAGAACCGCTTTCCTCCAACAACTCGCCCCGTCCGCTGCCAAATCGGTTTCGGGGGTTCTCATCTTCCGGATATGATGCTCCTCCTGGGCGACCTGCGAGTAGGTCGGGTCTCCCTTGAGACGGAGGACCAAGACGGCCTGTCTCTTCGGGTCCCACGGGAGCCTGAGGACCAGTTGACTGTGGGGATGGCGCATTCGTAGCTTGCCGATTGGCGCCCCGACCACGAATCATGGGTCCAGGATTACGCTCAGGCGGCCCTCCGGACTGCTGCAGCATGTTGTTGATCCCAGCAAACCGCTTGTCACCACGGCCTCGTTCACCACCGAAGCCAGGCCCAGAAGGCGGGCCACGAGGGGCAGACGATGGCCCACTAGGAGGGGCAACCCCTCCCCTGGGACCGGACGGAGGGACGACGGAAGCTGGGGACGGCGGAGGGTGTGAGCGAGGATTGCCGCCATAGGGGGTGTCTTGGGGTTGTTGTTGTAGAACCTTGAGCCGGTCAGGATGCATGCCACTGGTGTCGAGCTTCTCTGTGGTTGGAGAGGAGGGAGGGACAGAAGAAGCTTGATCAGGAGTAGCTCGAGCATTTTGGCGACCAGGTCCTGTAGGAGGCTGGCGGTCGGGTGCAGTTCCAGCGCCAGGAGCGGCCGATGAAAGGCCAGAGTGGAGTGTGCCGGACACATTGCGTCCACCTCGACCCTGCATATTTCTGCCTCGTGGGCCTAGGGGCACATCGGCAGGGGGTTCTGGCTGTCGTAGGCGACCCGACGTCAGGTCGACACCGGAATCAGAATCAATTGGCTGCCGGGGAAACCGGTCGCTACGGGGTCCGGTAGGCATATCTTCGTTGCGCGGGTGCTGCTGGGAATAGTTGGCACCCCGGCGGTCATCAGACGGGAACCTTTCGGGACGATTCGGCGGATCCATACGCGGAGGCGACAGCGCTCGTGATGGCAAAGCCCTCCGCTCGTCTCTCTCCTGCCGTCCCGTATCGCGACTGCGGAAATTGTCCACAGGCCGCTCCGGATGATCATGGATCATATCAAGCCGGTCAGGATGTGTTGGTGGGCCAGTTCGGACGTTTGGAAGACTGTCACGGCCATCGGGACGCAACCGACCAGTCCGATCTGGCCAGTCATTATCCCGTAGCGGGCGTCCATCTCGATGGGGAGGGCCGCGGAATGATTCGTCCATGGGAGGCCGGCCAGGAAAGTCTCTGTCAAGGCGACCATAGGTTCGTCCGTCGCCCGCGGGCTGGTCAAAGGGTCGATTATAGTCGTGCTCACCTCCGAATCGGCCGCCGCGAGGATAATCTTGATGTCTGTCGCGTCGGTCATCCATGAGATCGGTAGGTCGGGGAGGTAGTCGTCTATTTGGAAGGTGCGTTTGTGCACGAGTGTTCGGGAGCCCAGACGGACCTCTATCAAAGTCGGGGCGCTTTGGGATATTGGGCGGCGGTTTACTAGGTTCAGAAACTTTCGAAGCGGCTGAAGACTCCGCAGGCGATGCAGGAACGTGGGGACGGGAAGCAGGTTCACCTTCAGAGGGCGCTCCGACCAGAGAAGGCGTGTCTTTATCGTCTATGGTCTGGGCGCGGCCACTCGGTTCTGGGGTCTCGGTAGGTTGGGCCTCCGCTGCATTGGGCTGAGAAGCTGCTGTACCAGTCTCTTCGGCCTGCTGGGCCGATTGGTTCTTTGCATCCGCAGTCCTCGTCGGTGCGTCGGCCATTCTCGCATCCTCAATCTCACCATCTTCGACCTCTGCTCGAGTCAAAATCTCTGAATTTGGAATCTCTGGGTTGCTAGATTCGGGAAAGTCGGGCGTCAGAACACAATTCATCATTCAGAGCTTGGCTTGTGGTGGAGACTTACTCATTGGCCGTCGTAGGCCTAAATTCGGGCGCAGAAGCATTCAAAGATGCTAGAGTACCGGATTGAGGGCGCGGAGTGCCGGGTTTTCCTGTTGCGCTGGGTGCGTTCGCTTTGCCCGGCGCCGGCTGACTGGCAATCATAAACGCTTGAGGAAGCAGCCATTTCTTTTCCCGTCGGTTGAGATCACCAATAAGCGAGGCAGCGGGGATCTTGACATCGTCACGCTCATCAGTTTGGCTGAGGGTGTTCATGCTAGTGAGCATGTTCTGACCAATCCAGTTGACCGCAGGGAAATGCTGCACGACAGCCTTCAGCACACTAATGGCGTTGCGAATGTGCATGTATTCTCCTCCGTTCAAGCAGGTCTTCAATGCTGACGCCAGGAGGCGGTGCCATTTGTACAGCAGCCGTCGGAAATCTTCATATTCGAGGAAGGTTGTCGGCTTCCCTTCGGGGTCAGTATTGATGGCAAACCCGGGAAGATCCTTCTTGTTCCCAAAAGCTTCTTTCTCATAGACCGTCTTGTCTGCATGCCAGCGGCCAAGGTCGCGGATGACCTCATTCAAGAATCGACCAAGATTGTCCGCCTCTCGAGATGTACACATGAAGATCAGGGCGGTCAGCCTCTGCTCCTTGAATAGCTGGTCAAGGAGGCCAACTGTCCGGAAGTTGGGGGCGCCGGTCGTGTGGAGAAACTTGAGCATCTTGAAACAGTAGAATGCATCAATCGGAGACAAAAGCAGGCGTGGCAAGAAACATTGCTCCAATAAAGCGACATTCAAAGCATCGTGCTTGCCGCGCATGCCAACAAACCATCGATCTTTCTCTTTCTGCAACTTCGTCCGCGTCTGACCATATGCCTTGAGATGGGCCTTGTTCTCCTCCAATATCCGATCCTGAAGTTGTGTCAACTGTTTCTTCTCGCGCTCCTTTCTTTGCGTGCCGGCCATGCTGACATCTGATCGATCGTTGTTAATCGCAATGACCTTCCGTTTCTGGCGATCGATTTCATCCTCGTAAGCCTTTTGCGGAATATGCACATCGTAAAGTGACAGCTGCCAGAAGGTGACGTAGAACTGGAGACCAACGGTACCCCATGTGTCAGTCGGCAACACAGCCTTGATTTGGTCTTGGAGGTCTTGGATAACTGGATTGAGAGCGGGCGCTTCGGTGATTGTGGTACCGCCAGTGGTCGTGTCCGTAGCGCCCTGGGTATTGGGCGTGGACTCGGGCTTCTCCGAATCCACCTCCATAGAGTTTTCCGCGGATTGTTCCACTTCGGGAGCGGCTGCCTCGCCGTCTTCCCCTGTATCCATCTTATCGCCCTCAACCTTCACCTGCGGCTTGTCCTCCGTATCCCGGTCTGCTGCCCATGAGTCCTCATCCTGTCCTCCCTTCTCAACTTTCGCGATCTTCAGCGCAATGCTTGGCCTCCGAATCCAGAAGGCTATTTCTGGCTGAATGCCGTATTCGCCGATGAGCGAGGCCATATCGGGAACGAAAGAATCAAATTCCTCGACAGTGAGGTTGGTGCGAAGCAAATCAAGGTACTGTGCGAGGACACGGTGAATTTCGTCAAAGATGTTGCCCAGAAGCTTCAATTCGGAAGCACCATCGGTTTCGTTGAAGATGCAAGTCAAACGTTCTTGGGCAATCGCAATCAGCAACTGTCCAGCGAGTTTGGACACGGTCAACGATTTCATGAGTCGTCTCGAGGTCGTTTTCGATTCGTGTCGCTTGTCCAGAAGCTGCAGAATGGTTTGAGCCTGGAGTACTTCTCCACCTGCCATGGCCTGAATTTGTGCCTCATTGAAATTGGTGTCCGTGATGATACCGCCCATGGAACTGATAATTTGCTCTAAGACAATAAGGTCGGTTGAATTGTTCTGCCGCAGCTGTTCGACAACGTACTGCAGTAGAGGGCCGGGGTCCATCACTGAATATCTCTTGAACGTTCTTCCTGCAAAAGTGGAGAGGGCGTTCAACCATCGACTGGTCAGCAAACCGCTTTCTTGGACACGGCTTCGACCCTTCTGACCCAAGGAACTGATCAGAGCCCAGGTCAGGATATCATATCCAAGATAAGTGAAGTAGCGTGCACACTCCACGACAACTTCGATCAGGTTCTCGTAGGATTCGATCTGATTGATAGCGACATTGATGACGATTCCAGGGTTGGCATAGGCAATCTTGGCCAAGGCACGAGCCATTGGACGGATGTTGGTCTTACTCAATCGCTTCAGAACGTCTTTTGTCTCGGCCCTTGCTTGGTCGAAGGCGGATCTGAGATCCGGTAGGCGGGACGTCTGTCCCAAATTCCACTCCGCGTACATGTTGTATCTGGTCTCTCTGGAGAAGAAACTGAGGAGCTCAAAGATTTCGTTCACAACTCCAGGGTTTGCCTTCGTAAGACTGATGGACGGAACCAGAAGTCTTTTGCAGAGATCCTGCCACCGCGCCCTGTTCTCGGGAGAATCATCTTTGCTAAGACTATCCTTTCCGATTCGCGCAAGCTTCGACAGTAGACTGGAATCCTGTCCAATTTTATGGCCGGACAGATTGAGGAACGAAGAACAGAGCGCGAAAACATCATCGACTGACTGACAGATAGGCACGTTATCGGCCCAATCATCCCAGTAGAATCGGTAGTCGGTTCCATCATTGGTGTCCTCCTTGTCAAGCTGGGCCCATCGCAGAACGCGCCGTGGCGGTGCCTGAGCCAGTCGAATCTGACCCTTTGCCAAACCTGTCTGATCTTGGCTCGGGATTTGTTTCTGTTCGCTGATACCTTCGGCTGAAGGCATAGGGCGGAACGGAGCATATACCTTACTGAGACAGTGATGGAGGATGCGATGGATAAATTCGGGGAGTTCAGGATAGACGTCCATCAGCCAGGGGAATTTGCTGAGGATAAACAACGACTCGGGAAGGGCTCCGATCGCGAGTAGGCTTTTCAAGAGCATTACCTTCTGATCTGAAGGCTCCGGTAGCTCCTCTTCTTCTGCCTTGGCAGCAGCAGCGGCCTTATCCGCTTCCTGATCTTTTCCAGGAGTGGCAGATCGAGTCTCGGATTCACGAATGCGCGGCATGGGAACAGTGTCATCAGAGAGCGCACCGGCCATCATCAAAGCATTAACACCGCCTCCCGGACGTGCGGCACGCTCTCTCTCAGCTTTTTCTTTAAGCTTTTCCTCCTTCAATGCATCCATGGAGTCATCTGGTCTCCAGAGGTGAGGATATAGGTCGCGCAGGGAGATGAAGCCCACCTTGATCAGCAGAGCTGCCAGGTAGATGAGATTATCCGGAAGAACGTCCGACCTCGAACGAGCCTTGGAAGAATAGAACCGTAGCTTAAATCCAAGGAGTTGAGCCGCGACTCGGCTACCCTTGGGAGGCAAGGTGCCCGTCTCCTCGATCCACTTTCGCATCGTCCTTTCTTCTTCGGAAAGACTGTTGCTTTCAGGAAGGATGTGCTGAAGCTCCTCCTGACTCACAGGCCGACGGCCTATCTCGAAAAAAGCCCGAATCCCAATCTCTCTGACACGGGCCCAGAAGTCACGGTCGCGCTGCTCGTTAGCTTCCATTATCTCAGACCGCTCTTCATCCGTGGTCGCCCACCCAGAAGATCCGGGTAGCGCCCACCGTGGCAGACCAGAGTCTCGATTTCCACCCTCCATATTGCGGAAGCTGTCCTCCTTGGGCCACCACGAACTGGCACGCAGTAGCTTGACGAAAAAGCGATATTGTTTCACGAGGACCGCTGCGAACACATCAAGAGTGACATCCAGCACACGGCCAACGTCCATGTCAAAAGCACCGATCATCGCCTTCACCTTCTCGAATGTGTCTTCCACGACTTCACTAGATGGAGGTTCATTGTTGCTCGTCGTAAAAAGTTCGGTCAGAAGCTTAGAATATCCCTCGGATTCCTCGCGTAGAAGGTTGTAGTTCGACTGCCGGTACAAGAGATTGGTCTGCTTGCGGATGCCCATACGGTGGAAGGTTTCGCGGACAAGTCCAAGCGCTTGGAGGAGCTGCGTGTCGAGCTGTTGACGCATAAGGGCCGCGTCGATGCCGGTGGAGAATACGAGCGGCCTCAAGGCACTATTCGACGTGTCGGAATCGGTAAGTATGGATAAAGTGTCTAGGAAAAGAGAGCGCGTGTCAAGTGGGCCGGAAGCCGGTTGCTCCCCGTTCATGTCGACATTCTCCGCAGCAACATCCTCGCCAATGATATCCCTAACTGCCGAGCCTGCGTGGTCTGGAGAAAGCCGTCCGTACAGGGCGGAGCGGATGAGCTCTTGGTAGATAGACGCCAGGCCAGAAGCATCTTGCGCGTCCTTTGCTTGTATTCCTTTCTCCACGATTTCCCTTCTCCCTGACGCGACCCATTGATCTGTTACGGTTTGTGTAACGTACTCGTAGTCGTACGGCGGTGGAGGACCAGGGGGAGGCTGAACGGGAGCATTGGATGATTGCATGGGCGGCGGAGGAGCGGGTGTCGGCGCAGGGGAGGGTTGGATCTGCGTTTGAGGTTGCGGCTGTGACTGGGCCGATGAAGCGGCAGGTGAGGGCGATGGAGGAGGTTTATGCTGCTCGGCATTCGTGGGAGCTCCGTTGGTTTGGTTGAAGTCAGTTACGTCTCTCGTTGGGGCGCTGCTAGGCGGGGACATGGCCGTGTCCCTCCGACCGGCGGCGAAGTTCTGGCCATCGCCACTTGGGCGTCGACCCATATTCATATTTCCACCTCTCCCCCGACTGGAAATCCGCCGACCGCGACCACGCGAGTCGTAATCGCGAGACTGCGGGCCGTGATTGTGTTGCGCCATGTTGAGATTGCCTGGTCGATGAGGGGATGGTCGTGAACCGTCGTTCCCGATTTCGCCAGACCACGATCGATCGCCTCTTTTTCTCTTCCCTCCGGCACCTGGAGCCATGACAAGGTCAATATCAAAGCTGGAGGGCTGAGGTAAAGAACGGATGAGTTCCGGACAGGTCGCAGTTCATGCGGCGGACCTAGATTAGAGACGGTCAGCTTCCTCAATGGGCTAAGATTTGAGATGAATGCGATGGAGGATCGAAGTTTGGTGCATATGGAGAGATGGGTGACAACCTGCTGCGGAAACCTCATGCGGGGGTAGAAGCAAAAAAAGGCGACACCAGAAGAAAAGTTCAGCGTCCGTTTGCTTGGATCGGCGAAGATGATGGCATCGGACAGGTTCACAATGGAACAAACCGGCGGCTACTGGCGGGTAACGCGTCTCGGGTCGCTTACTGGGTAGCGCGTTCCACCAAGCACTGGCTTCCTTCCCGCGGGCATGGACACTATTAATTGGTTTGGTTTCTACGGACTTCAAAAAATGCGATATACCGATAGTGGCTAGGAAATGGTCATTTCATTCATCAGATTAGTCTTGTATTACAGACAGGACTCTTGACGGCTCGCAATCTACAACAAGCCCAAAGCCTTGGCCTCAATGTCCACAATCTCTGGAATGAGCTCCTTCAGGCTAGGCCGGTGGGGAGACCAGCCGAGCAGCTTCCTGCCTCTGTAGGAGTGGCCACGAGAGTTGCTGCCCCAAGCATAGAGACCGAAGGAGTTCAATTCCTTCACCTCATCGTCTCCGATGGATTCCACGTCAGGAGACGAGATCAGCTTCTTCTCATAAGCGACCTTGGCCACCTCCCGTGAGATATCTCCCCAGACGAAAGTGCCGTTTTCGGCCAGGTAGTAGCCCTTGTCGTTCCAAGTGGCCTTGCCGCCGCCCGCAGCAGCCGCATCTCCCAGAAGCCGGTACAGATCGCTGAGGTCCTGGACGTGGATCTGGTGCCAGATGTTCTTACCCTCGTTCACCAGCAAACCCTTCTTCCGCTTCAAGACAGCGGACGCCAACCAGTAGGCCTGCACACTCTTCTGGTTGCCGGGTCCCCGGCCAGGGCCGTAGATTGTTGGCGGGCAGACGATGGCGATCTTGACACTGTCGGGGTTGCGCTTGCCAGCAGCAATGACGATCTCATCGACGTTGCGGTGGAGAGAGTCTGAAGGCAGGTTGAGAAGCTCATCCACGCCATCCCAGTCATCGTGCTGCTTCTCGCGGTACCGGCCCCAGGTGTTGGCACGGAAGTCCTCGACGGTCAGGATACCGGTACCAGATGTATGGATCCACCACAGGGGACGCTCCGGCGTGTGTTGGGCAGCACCCTTGGCGATGGCCTCAGCAGACGCAACGTGGTCGCAGTCGGCGGTGTCTGGCCCAAACATGTTAGTTTCGTAGTTCCGAAAGCAGGGGCTAGATATCGGGGTCGTACGGAAAACAATATCGGCCTTCTTGACCTCCTCCTCGATGATATCGGCCGAGTCTAAATCTCCCAACACAACGCGAACCTTGGAGTATTCGCGGGTGAGCTTGTCTGCCTTTTCCTTGCTGCGAACCAAGACAGCATATTCCCAGTCAGGGTGTGCCTGGTGGACGTTGTAGAAGACATCTCCACCGATGTAGCCGGTGGCGCCAGTACTGTGGAGTGCGAGCACATGGTTAGACGCTGTTACTATCATGGCGGCATAATGCGCATGTGCGAAGGAGGGGGAAGAGTCCTACACAAAAACCTTGAGAGGGGCCATGTTGTTAGTCTGGCTAAGGGAGGGTTTGCTTTTTGATTAGGTGTGTGCTAATAAGACTGTGAAGGTACAGTACTTCTGAATGGTAGATGAAAGTAATGAGAAGAGGTACCAGGGGCAATGAGAACGGAGAGGGATGAGGTCTACTTTATATCATGAGGAGGTGGTGGGGGGAGAGAAACGACAACACAGACGACCAAGCCCAGACAACAGGAAACCCCCCAATTACAGCTTAAGCTCCGCGGGTAGAAGTACAAGTATGCTTGGAAATCAAGAGTGGATGGGCAAATGGATCCTTGTCTTGAGCTCAGAGCTACAAGAGTGGGGGTACAGTACAAAAGGGTGGGAAGAACTCAAAAGAAACATCCCCGGATCCATTGTCATTATTAATTGCTTGTTGGCTTGCTTGCTCTCTTTGCACTGCAACCCTGACCCTGACCAGTTTCCAGTTGGCAATCTCGCCATTGTCTGCCATGCCATGCCATCTCATCATCGGGGAGTTTTGCCCCTCAGGTCCTGCATGACGTTTGCCCGATTCAGAGGCGGGGCTGGTTGACGTGACCCTGACAGGGAAGACAACAAACAATACTAGGTAAAGGTACAGGCAACTCAATGCAGCGGGGTCAACACAGACAGATAGAATCACGGTTAAATAATTGAAGAGTTACAGACACGACTGTCACATACACAGAAAATTCCATACAAACATGCTGTAATAGAGAACAGGAACAAAAAAGCCATGGTCGAAGGGGAATCTCGCATACGAAATATGCTCATAATTTACAAGAGTGACTTAAAAGGTACTCGTGGCTAGGCGACTCGCCGCATTGCGCGCGTCCAATCGGTCCTCATCGTCCTCCTCAGCAATCGAACTCACCCCGCTGGCCGAGCGCAGTCGTCCCTTGCCACTTCCACTGCCGTTCGTTTCTTCGTCATCGTCCAGCGGAGGCGCGACAATGCTGCCGCTCATGCTACGCCCAAGACTATCGCTGCGACGGGGGATTCCACTCCATGCGTCGCCCTTGGGACCTTGGCTCGAGCCCAGATTCGGTCGTCGTGCGGCAGGGTGAGATTCACGGCCCAGACGGCTCAATCCTCCAGAGGCATCAATTGCCCGGATATCGGGTCGGACGCTCTCGAGGGTCGCCAGCGTGCGGCGCTCCGACTCAATCTGACGGAGAGTGTACTCGCGCAGGCTGGCAAGCAGGTCACTCGATGTGCGCTCAAACCAGCGCTGTTTCTCCAGCAGCAGATTCGACGTTACCCGCTGAGTCCTCTTCGTGAGGTAGTCCTCGTGCCTTTGCGCTTCATCCAGCGCGTTGATAGCCTCATCGACTTTGTCGGAACGCACGGAAGAGCTGACCTTCAGCCGGTCGGCAGCAGCACGTTTGCTGCGGGCGGCCTGTTGAGCTTGAACCAATTCACGCAGCAGGATATGACGATTTGTGAGAGTCTCTTTGACGATAAAGGCGTCCGAGGAGTGGTAGCTGAGCGGGTCTCCCAGCGTGGTAGCCTCCGCGGTCGCCTGGACAGCATGGAAATCTCCCACGGTTTGAATAATCTTCCCGAGCTTCCGGTAAGCATTCGCCAGTCCTGGGTGGGTCTCCTGCACATGCATCTGGCCCAGCTTGACGCCAAGATCCGACTCGGCCAGACCCAATCCTAATCTCCAGTAAGCGATGCGCATTCTCCAATCTGGCATGTCAGAAACGTACCTCTCCGGCCCTTGACCACACGATCAACCTTGTGACTTGCATCCATAGCACCCAAGTAAAACATCTTCACAGTAGGCCGGGCATTCTGTAGTTCCGGGGTGTCATCCGGAGGCGGGGCAAATTGCTTCAAGACCTTCCTCCGAACACCGGTGGCGGGCTGCTTCATGCGGACCACAGGGCTGTAACCGAAGTCGCTCTCCACAAATAAGGTCACCTCGTCATCATGGATCAGGACCTCGTTACTCAGGACCACATTTAGCCACCGCTGCATCGAGGCTTTAACCCGGTTCTCGTCCTCTTCGGTTCCAGCACCGGCCGGCGTCAAGGGGGATGGTACGGCGGGTACAAAGGTCTCGGGATTGGCGGAGATGAGGTGATCAGCAAGCTTCACGAACTCGCTGTGGGTGCGTCGAACATCCCGGTATTGGGTGGTCCTGAACTTGGGGATATTGGTCTAGGCGTTGGCGGGGTCAGTCGGTGGCCATACAAAAACAATGAGAGAGCCGGCTCACGTGAACGTCAAAGCGCAGGATAGGATCTTTCTTGCCAGTTCGCTCTAGCCCGGTAATCTTGGCCTGGATTCTGTAGGCTGGGGCCGCAGGTCGGGCATTCTGTCTGGGCCCTGTCTGGTAACGAGCGGGGATCTGGGATCGAGGGTGTTGAGTCTGGGGCTGTTGTTGCTGAGCGCCATACGGCGGTTGCTCCCCAGCATTGGGGCCAAGATGTGTGTTTTGTAGTTGACCGGACAGGTTAGGGGAGCCGAAGCCATCCTCTCTGGCGCCCGACCCGTCGGCAGGCTGCGGCTCCCTATCGGCGCCGTAAGGGGATTGCTCTTGCGGGGGTAGCGGAGACGAGGGGATATCGCTCGTCGCAGAAAAAGTAGGTTGCGTCGGTCTAGGTGAAGCCCAAGGCGAGGTGCCTGCAGGATGATCGGGATCGTGCGAGATGGCGGAGTAGTCCATCGTGGCTGTCTGAGGGGGGGAATTGATGCGACCACGTCTACACCGCGCTGTGAGCCAGGCAGGCAACAATCAACATCTTGCTCTAGCTTGTTAATCAAATTGCGATTGACCAATGCAACATACCTGTCTATATTTCAGGGGCACCGGAGCGGCGAAGAGAGAAAGGACGTCCGAGAGGGCAATTGTGTCAGATGTGGGGGGAAGGGAAGGACGGAGGAAGCGATGGGGGATTGATTGATTGAGGGCGGCGGCGGAGGTTACGTCGTCGGGGCCTAGTTTGGCCTGATTAGCCAGGCAGGAACGGGTCACTGGATCCAGCCGGCGAGCTTCAATACTTTATCAAATACTTTATTTCTTCCCCAATTGCTGTGGTCTCTACATCCTTTTCTTTTAGCCATTGTTGGTCCAGTCAACTCAAGGGTTATATTACTAAATGGTCACTTCCTGAAATATGCTCAATAGATTATAAGCCACACTCCGACTGGCAATTGCTCCGTGGGCAATCATCATTCCCAATGGTTGCAGCTCTTCTGTTGCGCGCCTCTCACCCGGCGGCGCGGCCGATTGCTTTGCAGCAGGGCCAAGCATTGATCAGTCGCTTGGGCAATCATGCTAAACAATGCATCAGGAAATCGCAATTCCCTAAGCTCCAGAACTTTTCGAGCTCTGCCTTGCGAGGCAATGCAGACACTCTGGACCGAACAAGGAATATCGGTATCATTGCCCACATCGATGCGGGCAAGACCACCACCACAGAGCGCATGCTCTACTACAGTGGCTTCACCCGCAGAATCGGAGACGTGGACGAGGGGTCGACGGTAACAGACTTCCTGCCCGCTGAGCGAGCGCGAGGAATCACCATTCAGTCTGCGGCTATCACTTTCCACTGGCCACCCCAGACAGCCGCTGAGGCGAGCCAGCCGGACTCGCAAGCCCCGCGCTCTGCCTCTTCACACACTGTAAATCTCATTGACACGCCGGGGCATGCCGACTTTACGTTTGAAGTCCTGCGGTCTCTACGTATTCTGGACGGGGCAGTGTGTATCCTCGACGGTGTGGCCGGCGTCGAGGCTCAAACGGAGCAAGTCTGGCACCAAGCCAGCACCTACCGCATTCCCAGGATTGTCTATATCAACAAGCTAGATCGGGACGGAGCAGCATTCGGCCGAACGGTTCGGGAGGTCGCCTCCCGACTGGCAGGGTGGCCGGCTGTCTGTCAGATCCCCTGGTTCGAAGGAGGGGAGGGTCGTTTCGTGGGTGTCGCGGATGCGGTCAATCTCCAGGGCCTCCGATGGGAGGATGGCGACGGCAAGAGGGTGAAGATGTTCAACCTGCAGCAGCTAGAGGCCGAGGAGAGTCGACTAGCTCAAGAACTCAAACGCGCCAGAGTCGCCCTCGTGGAGCTGCTGAGCGAGTACGACGAGGTGATGGTGGAGAAATTCTTCGAGTACGACGAGGACCATCTTGCTGTGCCCGCTAATGAGATTGCCCAAAGCCTACGTCGTTGCCTCCTCGAGGAGCAGGGCCGGAAGATCATCCCCGTGTTCGCCGGCGCCAGTTTCCGCAACGTAGGCGTACAGCCTCTCCTCGACGCCGTCGTGAACCTCCTGCCCAGCCCGGTTGAGACGCCGGACCCGGAGGTCAGCATCGGCGGCGTCACGGGCGGTCTGCGACACTTGCTTTCGGGCGACCTCATCGTCGAACAGAAGGAGGCTGCAGCATCCTCCTCGCACAAGGGGAAGCCGAAAAAGAAGAAGTCCGTCGTGCAGGCCGAGTCCCGCAACGCCATCGAGAAGCTTTCAGGCTGCGCGCTGGCGTTCAAGGTCGTCAACGACGCCAAGCGTGGAGTGCTGGTCTACGTGCGTGTCTACTCAGGCAGCCTTGACCGGGGCAGCCTCCTGTACAACACCAACCTGAAGGTGTCCGAGCGGGCGCCGCGGCTGCTGAAGATGTACGCCAACGACGCGGTGGAGGTGGACTCAATCCCCGAAGGCCACATCGGCGTGGTGGTGGGACTCAAGCACGCGCGGACGGGCGACACGCTGGTCTCCTACAGCACCAACCGACCGACGCCGCCGGAACCACTGGACACGCTCCAACTACGACCCATCAAGGTGCCACCGCCGGTATTCTTCGCCAGCGTCGAGCCCCACAGCCTCAGCGAGGAGAAGAGATTGCACGAGAGCCTGGCGATGCTCCTCCGCGAAGACCCAAGCCTGCACGTCACGATAGACGAAGACAGCGGGCAGACGCTGCTAAGCGGAATGGGCGAGCTACACCTAGAGATTGCACGGGACCGACTCATCAACGAGCTGAAAGCCAAAGCGACGGTAGGGCGCATCGAGATCGGGTACCGGGAATGCGCTTTGGGGTCCTCAGAACCCATCACCAAGATCTTCGACAAAGACGTAGCCGGGCGCAGAGGCAAAGCGGGATGCACAGCGAGGGTCTCGGCGTTCGACCCCGACCACACAGACCCAGAAGAACTCACAGCGATCACCGCCGACAAGGACAAGGACACGCTGCTGGTGGAGATGCAGGACGGGAACCAAATCATCATCCAAGCGGTGGGGCTGGAGCTGACGGTCAACGAGCGCAAGGGCGGCGTGGAGGAGAGCGCGGTGCTGCCGGCGGGGACGGACGTCGCGACGCTGCGGACGGCGCTGCAGAACGGCTGCATGGCGGCGCTGGCGCGGGGCCCGCAGTTCTCGTTCCCGATGCACCACACGCGGACGGTGCTCACGTTCGACGCGGCCGCCCACCTGTTCGGCAACGAGAGCACGCCGTCGGCGCTCACGTCCGCCGCGCGCCTCGCCACGACCGCCGCCCTGCGCTCTCTCCTGGGCGACCCCTCCGCCTCCGCCTCCGCCTCCGGCACCAACACCGGAACAGGCACCGCCCTAATGGAACCAGTGATGAACGTAGTAATCAGCGTCGACGAAGCGAGCCTGGGCGCGGTCGTGCACGACATCTCGTCCGCGCGCGGCGGGCACATCGTCTCGCTAGACGAGGATATCCCGCTCCCTTCCACCGACGCCTCCCCGACATCGTCCGACTCTCCAATCCCCTACGAAGACCTCCCTCCCATCGACGCAAGCAAGGTCTACGCGCCCCCGGATCCCTTCGAATCCCCCTCCGTCGCGCTCGGCGCCAGCCCCTCGTCTTCCTTACCGGATACCGCCCACCGGCCCCGCACCATCGCCGCAAAGGTGCCCCTCAAGGAAATGGTGGGATACCTGAAGCACCTGCGGAGTCTGAGCGCCGGACGCGGCACATTCGTGATGAGCGTCGACCGGTTCGAGAAAATGAGTCCCCCGCGGCAGAAGGCTGTGTTGACGGAGTTGCGGGGTGGGTATTGAGAGATCTGATCTTTGTGCAGGAGAGAGGGAAAAGGTTTGTATTAGAGGATATGTGGTGTTTCTCTAAAGGAAGTGGATTCCGTAGATAATTACTCCGTCGTCAATATGATATCTTTTTGGTTCCTATTGAGACTAGCTACGACTTTTGATTATTAGGGTATCATTAGATAGCCACACTTCCCAAGAACAGCACAGTAAAACAGACCATTGCACACAAGCAGCAAGAACCTGCTTGCCTAGTCATCAAACTCGAATCCATACTGTCAAGCATAGAAGAGACCGATGGGTAATAACAGTCTGGAAAGAACGCCCCGGATATCGAGCAGTAAATTTCCCATGAAGAGCCCAAGAACAAACAAAATAATATCGAAATAGCACCAGCTGCTATCAAACACCAGATCACTCAATCGCATTCTCCAGGAACTCGAGCAAAGTCGGATCCAGACTGAAGGGCAGGAACATCTGCTCCTCGGTATCGGGTTCGGAGTAGGTGAAGTCCGCGCCCCACCAAGTCTCACGCATCTGGTCGCCATGAGCGGGATCCGGCTGCTGGAGGTGGTCATGCCGGGCGTAGTAGTGCTCCACGCCGATCTGAGCGGTGCGGTCGGCCAGAGTGGAGGCCTGAGGGATGCCGTCCGGATTGAAGCCGTGGATCGTTGCGATGCGGCGCAGAAGACGTTCGCAGGTGATGAAGGCGCGGCGGGAGCTGGGGCTGCGGCTTCCGATGGCGTGCAGCCAGCGCAGGCATTTTTTCGAGACCTCGAGGATGGCCTCGGGCTCCTCGGTGGTGCCTACGGCACCCTGACCTCCCTCGACCTTGTCCCCCTTGAGCACACCCACGGGACCGACGCACAGCTGGATGAGCAGGATGATGAGCGCTTGCATGATGTAGTGCAGGACGGCCCACCAGGGGGTCATCTCGCACAACCACTTCACATCGGGACGGTCGGGAAAGATGGATACCAAGTCCATTGCGGACTGGAGGCAGATAAGAGATGTCGCGTCGCCGAAGGGAGATCGAGGATACCGGACCCTAGTGCCTTCCTTGACATCGGGGCGGGTGAGGTACGGCCGAGTCAGGATGATCTGGAAGCTATAGAACGCGAGAGCCAGCGTTACCCGCTCTTGGCACGGTTCGGTCACCATTGGTCGACCGTTACTGCCAGTGAATCTGAAATAGCTTTGCAGACTCGCCAGCCAGTCTTTCAGCATTTGTTGGTACTGAGTGATGTTCTCACGGGAACCCTTTGGGATGCCAGCGCAGGATTGCAGACTATAGACCGATTTGACTGCGACATGACTGATCATGGCAAGGTCCGTCAAGTGAAAGAAGTACAAAGAACGACTCGGTTCGATCGTTTGGAGTGTTTGATTTCTAGTCCCGATCGAAGACCTGGGGGTGTGGACGGTGAAAGCATACCTTTTTTCCCGCAACAAGAGGTCCGCCAGAAACATCGCTACTTGGGGGTCCTGGAAATGCTGTTCATCGAATGGAAAAGGAGCTGGGATACTGGATGATCGCCAGTCAAGGCATGAAGTACGGCCCGTCATCACGGAAAGCAGTTGCTCTAGATTGAAGAGTGACCACCAGAGGCGAGTGCGGGATTCCCTTGAAGTCGCGTCTACATTTGGACTAACTCCCCGAAGATTAAGCCCCAGCGCTATGGCACAACGGGCAGCCCATCCTGCCATATGCCACGCTCTGTACAAGTCAGTCCTTCCTCCTTTTGCACGACGCAAGTCACGGCAAAGCATGGGAGACGTACCGGTTGATTTGGGCGGAAGCCAGGTGGTAGATGGCATAGAGCACCCATATTTGCACCTGCTGGAGGTCCGCATGCTCTCCAAGCAGGCTTTGGTCGGCATTTAGAGCCAAAGCTCTAGCCAGGAAAGTACGATCATCGACAGCATCCGTCCACACTCTCTCGCATAACTGTACATACTTGGCGCCGATAGCGTAGATCAAGTTCAGGATCGTAAGCCACTTCTTGCGCGGGGTCTCCGACTTGCTGAAGACATAGCGATACTGCGACAAAAAGAGGGTTTTGTTCAGCAGTGGAAATGAGGGATCGACATTCTGAAAGTAGATGCCAATGAGCTGGTCGCTGCGCGCACGGGGCGGGAGGATTTGCGGGTCTCCCGGAGCCAGTTCCAAAAAGCTCAAATGATCGAGATGATAACTGAGGGAGTTGACATCCACGTCGGCAGATGCCGCCCGCAGTGGGGACTCGGTCGGGTAACTGAGTTTACTGACTTCCTCGTTGAGCTTCTGCAGCCAGGCGATCTCGGAGCCCTTCCCAATGTAGCCGGTTGCCCTGCTGCGCTCGTCCCGGTTGATGTCTTCATTCAGGGTAGCGATATCGTGCAGCGAGCCAGCCGACGAGGAAGATGCGGAGGATTGAGACGCCGCCCGCGACGCTGCTGAGAGGCCCTTCTGCTCCACCGACGTCATGGCCTCTCTGCGAGGGTAGCCCTCTTTGACCATGCTGGAGAGCCGGTCCAGTTCGGCGCTGTCGCAGTGGTCCAAGGCGGCGACCATCTGATCCAGTAGGTCATAGGCCGTATGCAGCTCCTGTTTCGCCTGCCTCAGGGCCAGCTTCTTCCGCCTGTCGAGCTCCTCGGCAAAGATGCATTGCGTTCCGGCCTGGATGCATTTCTCACATGGCTGGGTGCCTTGACACTATTTCAGATCCGACTCAGTATCCGACTCAGACTGAGGGTTGAGAGTTTGTGGTCGAGGTAAGAGCAATAGACAGTCATGACGCAGCAACGCACTTTGGTCTTTCTTCTCTTGCAAGCTTCACACGCGTTGGACCGCTTTTTGATCCGTGGGAGATCCGGTGGGCTGAGGCGCGAGGGGGCAAGACCAGCGGCGGGCGCAAGAAACTTGAGCTCCCCTGCCTGCATATTAGTTAGTGTGTCGGGGAGGAGGGAGTAAGGAGGGAAGGAAGATAAAGTTGAAGGTAATAAAGGGTGACGACGTGTCGGTGATGGGGAAGAGAAGTGCGAGAAATCTGGGAAGCATGAGAAAGGCTGGACGGGGAGGAAGAGGCGGGAAGGGAGGGGGTTGGAGGCAGTTAGATGATGTATGTAGTAGGAAAGTGTTCACTTGGTTGGATCTATTGGTCTGTCTCTCTGTCTGGTCCCGCGTTCCCCCGCATTACTTGCCCCGCCGCTTTTACTCAGTAGTACTCAAGCACGTGAGTTTGAACATGGACAGTAGATGCGTGGCTTCAATTTGTGCCTGATGATGCCAATCATTCTATCATTGTTCTATTGTTCTTAGTACTGGGCCACAGCCAGTCGTATTGAGGTTCCGCTCAAACAGACCTGTTACTGGAAACATACAATTGGCCCAACTTGCCCAGTACTCCCCACGCGGCAGCTAACAGATAACACTACTAAACACGAATAAACAAATATAAATATAGTAGTATCATGATATATGTATATATAGAACTATATAACTATGCAAGCCGAGTAAATACATCAATACCGATCATCAAATAAAAAACCTCTCACCAATTGTCATCCCACCCACTGTTATCCTCTAGGCTCTTCCGTCCTGTGCCCGTGCCAGACGCAGCCGAAGAGGCAGAAGTAGTCGCAGTTGATCCAGCAACCCCGGTAGCCCCAACACCGCTACCCGGCTTCATCGCAGCCGTACCGATCGCACTCGACCTCGATGTATTCCGACGATGACTATCCTGCGCTCCCAGCCCAGAGAACGAATCCCAAAATTCCTTTCTTTCCGGCTCGGCTCCAGTCCGGCCCCGTTCCCGCCGAGCAGCGGCCGCCGCGGCCGCCTCGTCCTGCCCTTCCACAAAGCGGTGGAAGTGACCTGCTGCGCCGCGGGCACCAGTTTGCAGATTCTGTCCCAGTTGAGAGGCCTGGAGGCGAGCCTGCGCTGCGAAATCGGATTCCGCTATCTGTAGTTCAACTCGGTGATTAGCCTCCTCCTGACGCTTACCACTAAAAGTCAACACAACATACCGTCTTAGCCGTCGGCTGGATATAACTCTCATTCACCGTCTTCGCCCCCTTCCCCACCGTCGTTGTGAACCACCCGAAGCCCTTCGTCAACGCCGCCATGGGGTCCTTCTGGAAGTCATCAAATCCAGGCAGGGGCCCAGTGCCCGCTGCGCGCCCCGATCCCGCCGAAGCGGCCGGCGGCATCCCGCCTCCGAATCCCGTGAACTTCCCGCCCTGCGATGGCGGCAAGGACTCACTCCGGGTAGCATTCGCCGATCCCAGCTTGGCGAAATACGCCTCGTTGCGCTCCTTCTTGGTGGCGCCGGCAGCAGCACCACCACCACCGCCGTCGACCAGCCCGTCATGGGACGCGGGCGACCCCCCGCGCGCGAGAGGAGTACTCGACCGGGACGAAAGTTCCGGCTGCGGCTGCTTCTTTGGTTGTTGCGATGGCTGGGATGCTTGACCCGGCACATATTCTCTTCCTTCAATCTTGGCCGATAGCCGCTCCTTCCATTCCTCCCCAACCTCACCTTCGTACCGCTCCTTGATCGTCGAGTCTTCGAAGGTGCGGCCCTCTGACTGGGTGATTACGTGGCCATCAAAGAACGATTTCCAGGGCTCATTACCACCTTGTTCCATGCGCATAATCTCCGCCGTCTTGAAAGCGTCCATGGTGATGGAGCGGACGAAGGATATGTGTACACCTAGACCACGGTGGGTGCCGGCGCAATTAAGGCAGATGAAGGTTCCGAATTTGGGGGAGGCCTAGAGAAGCCACGCATAGTTTAGCATAGCACATTTCACCATAATGCGAGGGCTAGAAGGTCGTGGGCGTGGCTGATATCGTGGCGTTGGACTATGGTATGCGGTGAAGGGAAGGAGGCAGGCACCTACCCATTGAGGCGATGGAGCGCCGCAATCGCAGCATTTGTCGTTTCCGTTTGTTTTGGAGATCTGGAGAAGCTACCATGAGGAGGAATGTCAGTCAATGTGCACCGACGTAGGCTGATGATTGTATTTGGGGCGAAGGAAGGGGGCATCGAGGGGTAACAGGGGAAGTGGTGGCAGCAACAACATCAAGAGGGGAGGCTCACCTTGGCCCTCGTCTCCGGATCAACCTCCCACATACGAGACATGACAGCTCAAGTGCACTGATCAAAGAACAGGCTGTCGGGGGTTGCGGAAAAGAAGGCGATTTTGATTTGCTGTGTTTGTCGTGGTAGAAAGAAGAGGTGGTGGTTTCAGGAAGTGCAGCCGCGACGGACAGGAGCCGATCGGCGGAGAAGCGCTGCACCACTGCTACTTACGAGTACTTCCTTCCTGCTGCTATCAATCCAGCCCGATTCTCGCCACCACCTCCGAAGCACCGACCAGTGCTAATTGCGCACCCACAATTGACGTAATTGAGCTAATCGTCGAGAATCAAGGCCTTGAAAGAACATTTATACGATCAATTGTCCACGCCATCTTGACAAGCAACTCGATGATACACTCTACGGTAAACAAATAAAGCACCAGATCATCATTACAAGGCCAGCCTTGCGGCTAATCATCAGTTCGATAAATGGGGGCTAAGATACAGGAGCACAAGAGCAAGATTCGTGAGCAAAAGCCAGGTTCTTCCGTCACCACCACACATTACGCGGTTTTCATCTCTCGCCGTACGGAGCCCTTTCGGGAATCCGTATATAGAAAGACATAAGATAGGTTATTGGAAAGAAAAGAGAAAACAAAAAAAGGACAACACTCCTCTCATGTAGACCAAATCGATCAGGGCGAATTCGTCCACGACTTTTCAGTAGAACGTTTTCGGTGGCTGCCTCGTCTTCTATCCAACCCCCGACTGGAAGAATGACAACGCCTGCCGCCTGACGAACGACCTCGACACAACACCTCCTCCTGATGACGGGTCCCGACTCTGTCGTCACCTTGAACCCTCCCCAACTATTTCATCAGGGATCACTCGTTCAGGTGGGGAACGAAACTTGTCTTCTACTCAGCGGCCGGAGCGGCGTTCTCCTGAGCCGGAATCTCTGTGGCCTCCTCGGTCTTCTCAGTCACCGGGACGGCGTCATCCTCCTTGCCGGGGCTGTCGATGGCAACCTTGACAGCAATCTCACGGCCCTCAATCTCCTTGCCGTTCATCTCGTTCACGGCCTTCTCCTGAAGCTCCTCGGAGCCGAGGGTGACGAAACCGAAGCCACGACCCTTGCGGCGCTCGTTGCGAGCCTGGAGCTTCTTGATCATGAAGCGGGGGATGGGGCGGAGAGCGATCTTGGCGGAAACGGGCTGGTAGTCGGCGAAGATCTCCTTGAGCTATGGGGACTATTAGTCATGCACAGGGCTGCATTATAGAGTTCAGATCTTACCTTGTCCTCACTCAGGTCATAGGGCAGGTTCGCGACCATGACCTTGGTCTTGGAAGGAATTCCATCCTCAGGAGGACCACGCTGCTTCTGGGCACGAGGAGCACGGGGCTTGCCAGCCTGCTTGGCAGCCTCAGGAGCGGCGACGGTCTCATTCTGGTTGGTGACCTCGGTCAAAGGGGCGACCTGGCCGGGGACGTTAATGGGCTCGGTGGAGGCTTCCTCGGCCTGAGCAGGGGCCTGCTAAACGACCATATATATTAGCCTGACTGGTTCTGCAGAGCTCAATCAGCTAAAATTGAAACTTACCGAGCGTCCTCCGCGAGGCAGGCGGCCACCACGGGCGCGACCGCGTCCACGGCCACGGGCACGACCACCGGCCCTCTTGCGGCCCTCGGTACCGCTGGCACCCTCACCGCCACTTATGGCACCCTCAGCCTTGGCCTCAGCGGGCTCAGGCTTGCGGGCGAGCTGCACGGAGACCTTGCGCTGAAGAATCTCCTTTCCAGACAGCTCCTCAATAGCCGCGGTGGCCTCGTGAGCGGTGGCCAAGTCCACGAAGGCGTAGCCAACGGGGCGGTTGGTACGGGGATTCACGGGGATGGAGACGCTCTCACTGAGCAAAGATGAGTGATTAGCGTTGCTGTGCATCAGAGTAAACTTTATTGCGAGGCTGGTAAAGCCAGATGGGGGCAATAGTAGGAGACAATTGTGGTAAGGTGTCCACTAAAGGGGCTACAATCTGAAGGACATGACGATTGCAAACAACATAAGGCGCACGAGGGATCAAAATACTTATTTCTCCGAGAATCCCAGCCACGCATAGATCATGACTTTGAAACAGCTCAGACCAAGGGAGAGGAAAGAGGCCAGGTGGACGGAAGCGACAGCGCCAGGAAAGGAGCAACACTTACATCTTGTAGTTCTGGAAGAACTCCTTGAGCTCCCCCTCAGTGGTCGCATAAGCGAGGTTCCCAATGTACAACCGACGTCCTTCATCAGCACTGGCGGCCGCCGCATCCGTGGATTGGGCAGGAGCGGCAGGAGCGGGAGCAGTGCCGTTGGAGGTGGCCTCCGGGGCGGTGGCGGCGGGGGTAGCGGCGACGTTGTCGGTGGTGTTTTCGACGGCAGTAGACATCTTGATGGCTGAGGACACACAGAAGGTCGAGATAGGTACTTGAAAGGGGTGGTAAGGGAGTTGCGCGCAAGAATTGACCTGACCGGGAGATGTGTGTGGGTGAGTGTCGGGAATGCAACGAAGGACTCAGGAGAGCTTGAGGCTGCCTTGTGCTTGAAGATTGGAAATGGGAATTAACTTGAAGAGGGGGGAGAAATGGAGAGAGGAAGAGGCGGAAGGAAAAGGGTAGCTTGGTGCCCTAGATACGAAAGTTGACGGGGGAGAGGGGGGGGGAGAAGAGAATCTGAGTTGGAAAAGAAGAAGATTTGTCTTGAGGAAGGATGAGGTCGACTTGGGGGGGGAGGGAGGCGGCGAGACAAGGAGAAGGTGAGAGAAAAGGGCAGGCAACGAGGGCGGTGGTGGGACTAAACCAAAGAGGGTAATAATCTGCCTGAAGATGCCTGTGAGGCCTGAAGGGACCAAAGCACTAAACTCGAAAGAGACGCCCGACGTGGACTTTCCGGTCGGGCGGTCTAGGCGGTGGACAAGTCTGACATCACTGCTTGACTCACCTCTTTCTTTCCATGCAATGAACACATCAGGCAGGTTCAACTTCCTCCCTCCCTTCTGACGAATAATGCTTGTCTCCTCGTCCTCTCCTCTTCCTCCTCTTCCTCCTCTTCCCTTCTCTTCTAGTTCTTGTCTGTTGACCATTTGACAAACTCAACAAACATCAATTGCAAACATCCCATGGTTCTTTCCATTAGTCAGACACTCTCCTCAAACCCCCTCGATCGCTCCACTACAGACTGTCCCACTATATCTTCCTGGCTGCCCTGCTTTCCCGCGGTGGAGTCTCGCTCTATCGCGAACCTTCCTCGGATTGCGCACTACCCCTCAGTACCCCTCCTCCGATGTCGCCGATTCCCTAGTATGATTATCGCTTGAGACAGCCTCGCATTGATGCATTCTAGGAGCTTTATGCACGAGATGACTGGGCTCAAACGCGATTAAGCTCTCGGGACCAACCCGGGGGATCCTCGCCAAATTGAACCAATTACCAAGCACCATGTAAGACTATTGAGGAGCCGCTACCTGCCCAACGAACATGCAGTGGCATCATGGCATATTCTCAAGTCCGACTCCCAAACTCTTCACTTACCTTTTCAGACCATTCTCGGATGGCCGTACCCAATGGTATTGGAATCTTTCGCTATTGATGACATTTCACTGCGCGCATTTCCGTGTGGCATAATTCTTTGGTCGCGTTCAGGAGTTGTTCCTGTCTCGGGAAATGAGCCGACCTAAGACTCGGTGCTTCAAGCTACTGAGATGATCGGCTTTCGATTTGACCAACAGCGTTGAGACGGTTGTCTGGATGCCACTGCCTTCGTCTGTTGCCCGTTTGCACTATCAGACAGCTTCAATCAGGACTGTTTCTTCAATTCACCAGGGAAGATAGTCTGCCAGACTTGCTCACCGTGAGCATGCTACGCTGCTAAAATATCTTGCGCGTATTGTGAAATGCTGATGTTGCAATCTCTATGCAGTATGGGGGTTGAGATTCGAGAGTGGCGCGGAGATCAAGGTACTCGTAGCTCAAGAGCGATGACTTATGTAGCATCCATGAGTGCTGTAAGTTCCTGATAAGAGAAGGATTCTGCAATCTTTTTTAATCGAGTCGACAGAGAGTATGTCATTGTACGGCGTAGGAAATTATTCTGGTTGGGGTGCGTCGAACTCGAAGGAGGCGTTCGTGCTATCTCGGGCAGAGCTGTCCTGACTCTTGACCATCTGGGCCGCGCAACAGACTTACCAGCGCCTGCATATTCTTAGCCAGTCTCCGTTACGTAGAAAGTAGAAATCGAATCAGATATGCTAAACTTCGAGGATAGTTTGTATTTCAAAAATGCTAGTGTTTATGCAGCACGGGTGGCCATAGACTAGGTAACGGCAGATTGATAAGTAGGAGATTTTATATAGAAGATGTTTGACCGTGAGCGTCATTATCCGCTAGCAATCCCATGAAGTGTGCATGCATCAAGCTGCAGAGTGAATAAAAGGTATTTGTATTCAATCTCTCAGCCACTAAATTCAACAAATTTGCATTGGAATTGTATGCCTTGTGCAATGGGAAGTTGGTTAGTGTCAACTGCGGTCTGACCGGGTCGAATTAGCCCATTCATAATGGATAAATTAAGCTTTGGTCCCTTCCCACACCACGCTTTCCATTTCCACTTCTTCCACCTCCGGCTTTCCCTCTTCTTTTCCCTCTTTTTTCGCCTCCCAACAAAACCCTCCCCTCTATCTCCCAAATCACTCGCTCTTTCATGCATCTCAACCCTCTTTAATATATTCTTTTATATTTCCCATCAGGTCTCTATTGGCCTGCAATGGATTCTATCGAGCCTGTCTCTGGTACCTCCGACCCTCCGCCCAGCCAACTCCGACCGACGTCATACCCGGCTCGTCCGCGGGCGCCTTCGCTGCGTTCGCGACGGCCCTCTATCAGACTCCAGCGCCTTTCTTCGTTTGGCAGCCTTGGTATTCCACCCCCTCAGCGCAATGCAGAGGCCGCCAACCGACCCTTAGCCTCGCAAGATGCTACCCTCGCGTCCGGGCCCGACCCGGATGCTGACGATGATGCCTGGCAGGGGAACCGACGCCGCAGCAATTCCGAGCCCCGACCGGGTCGTTGGTCGACCACCTCGAACCCAGTACTTCTTACCCGGTTTGCGACAGGAGATCAGATGCACCCTGTTCAGGAGGAAGCCTCTCCTCAAAGTCCTGGGGTAGCCGCTGATACTTTACCACCGCTGCCGCAGCAGAATCCGGAGTCGCTGCAAATACCCCAACGGGGGAGCCGCGGCTTCATGCGCTGGTCCAGTGGGGTCCCCACAAATCGGTTCACAAGGAATCGCGCATCGACTGTGAGTGGCAGCGCACCGGCTCAGACAGCAGACACAGGCGATGAATATCGTTCCCACATCGTGGATGTGTTGGATGTGATCGGTGAGTCTCGGTCTCGCCCGACTTGCCCCCGCAGGCCCCACTAACGTTGATACGCCGCAGATCCCGAAGTGTCGGCACTGTCGACTCTTACAAACGTTCAGAACTCGCTGTTCGTTCCGAACTTGGGTCCTTTTGTGAACCGTAATCAGACATATACTCTTTCACCGCCCCCCGCACCGCTCAGGAATCTAGAATCATCGACAAGTGACGAGGGTGAAGACGAAACCGAGGAAAAGGGCCGGGAGCCCGCAGTTCGTCCATCGGTTGAGCACACCCTTACCTCTGTGCTGGACGAAGGCGACGAGGCTCGTTTTGCTGTCTTGCCCGAAGGCAGCGATCTCGCGGGTTGGTCCGCCGAGGAAATTGAGGAACTGAATGATCATGTCCGGCATATGTTGCACTCGCGGAGATCCAAGTTCAAACGCTCCATGAAGGGATTCGGGAAATATGTCTCTAAGCGTATGTCTTGAGAATTGCTCCTGCGCTGGACGTGCACTGACACACTGATTTCCTAGCACTGGGATTCTTGGTTACACTGTATGCCACGTTGATCACGCTTTTTGGCCTTGCATGGGTGTTGTTCCTGATCGGTGAGTGTTCCGTGCCGTTCCTCTCGAATGATAATGCTAAATGGTCGGCAAGGCTGGATCAACGTTGGAGGACGACAATCGTATCTCATCAACGTCATCGACAATGTCCTCGTAGCTTTGTTTGCTATTATGGGGGATGGTCTGGCTCCGTTTCGGGCTATCGACACGTATCACATGATTTTCATCGCACGCTATACATTCCTAACATGGAAGATTCGTCGCAAGCGCCAATTACCGGATCTCAAGAACAAAAATGATCTGCCATCGCGTCGAGAGGAAGACATTGATGTTGAGTTCGGCGATACCCCCAAAGAGGAAGAACATGAGTTCAGTGTGCTCAACAAAGTGCAGCAGTCGAAGTTGATACACCACCAAACCAAGCTCGCCAACTCGCACACGTTTTACAAACCGCACGAGACTTTCACCCATCATGCTTTCCCGCTGCGCTTGCTCATCGCGATTGTGGTCCTACTAGACTGTCACTCGCTGTTTCAGATTGCGCTGGGCGCCTGCACCTGGGGCATTAGCTACCACGTGCGCCCCTTTGCGCTGACAACTGTCATCCTCTGCTGCTCCATCAGTTGCAACATCTCCGGTGGTGTCTTGATTATGATTGGCGACCGGAGGACACGCAAGAAGGATGTGGTTGAGCGCCTCTTCCGGCAAGAATTAACTCAAGAAGCGATGAAGAAGATGCGGAAGAAGAAACGCAAGGAGCAACAGGACCACTCCGAGCATCAATCTCCGTTGACCAGATCTCATTCCAACTCGTCGCCGACTGAAGACACGGAACCATTCCCGACTGTGTCCTGATACCGGGACTGGCCGATTTACCTTATCTAATTCACCCTATACATGCTATCCTCTACGAAGCCACGAACACTACACCAAGATCTATGCCCGTCACAATAACCATCTAATTTTCACTTGCTGTCCTGAATCTAATCCGTTTCCAAATACCCATTTTCTTTCAGCGTCCATGACAATCTCTGGATGACAATATAGTTACCTATACGAGTCATTCCAATCCAACCGCGCGTTTCTACCAAAAGCTCGCAGTACGCTTGTCGCTATTTGATTGTCCATATTATCGTGTCAACCACATTTGGCTGTTTATATACATCTATCTCCGTTGCTGATTGCGGACTAGCTTTTTAGTCAACTGACTTCAAACATTGATACCAATACCGTTACATCTCCTTCTCCATTCCTTACTTGAAGCAGTAAAACCACACATCAGAGTATTAGCATGGAACTCCACTCTCCCAGACAAACCTAACCAGACCAAACTGCCAACATCCCAGTAAGCCCATTCACCGAAACCAGGCAAACAAAGACCAGCCAGCAACCACAAAAAGACACCCCCACCCACAAAGCGAAGTTTCCCTCCCGACAGACCTACCGTCCACCCGCCCTAAGATATCGAACAACGAACCCATTAACATCAATATCAAAAACACCCCACCCCGCAATCCAAGAACAGGTGCACAAACCTGTCCAACAACCGAAACTCTCTACAAACCAACAGAGCCCGACGCATGAACCAAACCCTCACATTCCTCGAAACCATGTCTCCCCCCATGGCTCATTTGCTAATAAAGCAGCGGGGGCCGGAGAAGACAAAAAGTATTAAAGATATTGTCCGGTAAAGACGAGACACTATATGGCATATATATACAGCTGATACATCGAGTAGCTGTGCCCAGCCTAGCCAACCCAGCTACCCAGCTACCATCGACTGCCCTCTGGATCCCACAGATCCAGATTGAGATTGAAATCGCTAACGCTACGCTAACACACACACTCAGTCAGATACACAACTACCCGCACGGGGGACGGTAGGAGTAGGTACACTACCCACCTACCCACCTACCCACCTACCTACCTACCTACTGATATACCCAGCTAGCTGGGTACTTAGCTAGCTAGCTAGGTCACCGGGTGCACTTACCCACCGACCTACTTCCACCAGGGCCTCACGACCGGACCCTGCACCAACACCACCAGCCACTTCCCATCACAAAGTCAAGACCAAACCAGCTCTCCTGCCCCCACCCCCAAGGAAAGAAGAAAGAAGAGAGAAGGAGAAAGCAAAATGTGTTCCGAATCCTTCTACCACTACGACGCCTGCCAGCACCTTCGACACGAGGATTACATCCTGTGCGAGGCGGCGAAGGAGCGGCCGCAGCGGGAGGTGTGCGTCCCGAAAAGTGGACAGCTGCCCAAGGTGCTGTTGAAATGGTACCGCGACACGCCGGGGCTGTGTCTGGAGTGCGAGGACAAGAAGCTTTATGGGGTGCATAATGAGGTGACGGCCAAGAGAGGGTGGGGGGTGGTGGTTAGTGGGATTTTGCTGTAACTCATCTATCATACACACAGGTGTGTAGTTGGGATGTGTGGAGGGTAGGGTATGGATGTGTGGAGGAAGGGGATCAATTGTCAGTGTGAAGAAGGATCATGGGAAAGGGATGGAAAGCGTTGCTTCTTTTATAGGTTATATACCCTAGTATATAGCCTTTTCCTTAACGTTCCTAGAGGAATGAAATCACTTTTCGGAAATTATCTTTTTCGTTCGTATTGTAAGATCGCGGGAGTAGAGAGATATAAAAAAAATCTGGCTAGTCCTTAATCTAGCTAGGATAGGCTCTGTATAGACACATGTAGTTGGGAGGAGTGGATTCTGTTGTTCATGTACAAAAAAAAAAATGATACTCACGCTCGACACTGGAAAATCAGAGCGGAGTAAAGCGGAGTAAAAACTGTAAACGATAGACCAGGAAGTATTTGGGAAGAAATGACAAGAAACAGATAGTCAACATTCAGGATAAAGCATACAAATCCCAGATTGATGCTTGGATGACAACTGCTGGAATCGGTTCGAAATCAGTGCTAGATCGAGTGATGCTACCACAAAAAACCCGCTGAACAAACATGAGAGTATAAGAGAGGTATAACGAGGGACGGGTGTAACCAGCCTGAGAAGGACTGGTCCTGTACAGGGTCATATGGTACTGTGAAAGATCGCGTTATGTCCGAAGGGCTCACTAGCCTATTTACAATTCCCGGTGGACGGTGTCTTGGTCCACTGGTGGCGTGTCAGACCGTCGAGTGGAAAGAATCTTCTCTAACGTGTCAAGCCGTTCGCGCGTGGATCGAATGGCATGGTCCATTTCAAGATCCGACATCTTCTCTTCATTCAGCTTACCCGCTAGAGCGCGCTCGCCTTGCATCTTGCGAGAGTAGTGATGTGTCCGCGAGCCGGCGGGTTGGCTGACTGTCGGGAAGGCAAGGCCATCCATGCCCACCCGGTCTTCCAACCAGCTCCAGAGCTCACTTTCCTCTCTCCGCCACATCTCCTCGTAGGCAGCCAGACGCTGAGGCAAGGAGTAACCTGGACATCCGATGTCATGGGACGTCGTCGACGACTGAGAAGGACTTCGGAAGAAGAGCATGAAGAGTAGAATGCCGATAATGAGAAGGGTGGCATTGCCACCCAACAAAGGCGTGACAATGTCTGCAACAGGACCAAGCACCCCATGGAGTGGCTCCAAAGGACCCCAAGATCTCGCCTTTTGAGTAGCTGCCTCCTCGGCTGCTTTTGTCGCCGCCGAAGTGTCCTCTTGAGTAGACTCGCTTCTCTTACGGCGGCCCTTGCCTTTACCGGATTTGGCACCGCCAGTGCGACCGCGAGGTGCGACTGCAGCCTTGAGGGCATTCACAAGTTCCGTTCCAAACGAACCTTGCCCATCAATGGCACCCTTTTCAATGGGACCTAGTCATCGTTAGCATTCTTACAGCTAAATCTTCCGTCACGCCAGTATCATACCTTTCAGCCAACTCTTTCCGGACCACTCGATAGTGCAGGTCATCAGAAACCGTGTCTGATTGTTCGCCGCCCAGGTGAACAGATATTTGGTCTTCGTACAGAAGACATTGCCACTAGGCACATCCGGCGTTTGGGTGCTCAAAGTGACCAAGACCGCCTTTTCCAGATCCAAAAAGTCCAAAGTTTCTGTGCTGATACACTTAGTCTGCTTGGGACCAATGGATCCATTAAGTGGCTTGATGTAAGAGTACTTTCTCGTTTTACTCTCGTTGGTGAGACCTTTGTTCCCACTTTCAAACTGAAGCTCTCCAGACTTCTGGTTTTCCACCAGAAACTTAGGTACAAAAGCGCCTGATGCTGGACCAAAGATGTAAGAGTAAACTTTGCCCAAAGGAGCCGGGATAATCTCGTCCTTGATCACCTTGTCATACTGGCCTGAAGGGTCAGTGAACTCAGTGGGTGGGTGAGTGGGGGGCCCAGGGAAATCCGCATCGCCATCGCTAGGGAAGGTCGACTTGCTGCCTTTGGCTTCCCCATTAGGAGCTGACGGCCCATTACTGGCACCTTGAAGGAGACCCGAAGCTTGGCGGCTGATAATCTTTGAAGGCACTGACTTCTCACTGCCATGGACACTAGTCGCTCCTTCGAAGATGCTGTCGGCATTATCGCCTTCTTCATCCTCATCATAGATCTCGTCTTCCTCGTCGCTCTCCACATCGCTCCCAGCTGCCTTCTCAGTCTTGTCTCCAGTGCCGTCAGTGACCCTGGTTCCATTTGCTGAGCTTTTGAGGGAAGGATGGTTGATTTTCCAAATATTGACCATCAAATCATACGTAGACTCTCGACTAAGGAGACTGCGGAAGGTGTGTCGCGCATGAAGTGTCTGGATGGCAATGGCATTCGGAAAGACCATCGCGGTTGACTCCTTCTCAATCGCGACAACCTCATCGAAGCTGATGACCAGAGTCGTCACCCAACCCAGAATGTTACTGGAAAAGCAAATGTGACCTTCAGAGATGTAAATGCGACCGGCCAGAATGATCTCTCGCTGGAGGGCGCAACTATAATCCTCGATTAGATAGTCGTCTTCGGGGACGCTGCGGAATAACTGATGGAAGTCTCGATTACGTTTCTTGCTGGCAACGGCAAACCCCGTGAGCCGTGGCACGCTGGCATTGGCACTAGGGGCCCCAAGGGCTATTGCGCTAGCGCCAATGGCGCCAACAGTCGAGGTGGTTGCTCCAGATGAGCCTCGATGTCTCCGACGGGCCATGCGACTCCGAATACTGCCACTTCGGTATGGTCTCGTGCCTCCCAGCTCGCCCTCCACGACGCTACCACTGGGCGTTGTCTGGTCTCCAGTGCCTTCCCTGGTGAGGGAAGTATTGGATTGGCCATCAACGCCATCATCCATGGGTCGAGCGAGAGATGTGGCGGCCGGTTGCTCGTAAGCCATGGTGACGGCACGAGCAGCGCGGCTATCTTCCAGTCTGGCAGACTCCTCGTCCCGTTGCAGGACGCCAGGGCCTTTGCGCCTGTCGGAAGGTAGATCTGGCTTCGTGATCACCACCCCATCCGGAGTGGATACCGACCCACCGGGAGGGATTGCAATGTCCAAGTGGCTGAAATCGAGATTGCCCGACCCCAACGTATCAACAGCCATGGGCTTCTTTTCATCTGGTTTTCTGCTTTCCACCTGCTGATTCGAGCTTTCCTGCTTGTCGTTGATGGTGCGACTGTCAGGCTCTGCTGCCATTGCCTGACTGACATTCCGACCTTTGGATTGCGCGTTGAGACTGCTACTGAGAGACGATGCGGCATTCTGCGCGGCAGAAAAGACCGAGGAGAAGAAGCTCGACTGCTGGGCGCTGGGAGGAGGTTTCGAGTTTGCTTTTGTCTCCTCTGTGGTGGGACCCAAAGCAGATACGGAATTTGACAACTTGCTCGGTTTATGGCTTGCAGCCGAGGCAGACCGCACGCGCCGGTGGGAGATCATATTGCCAGACGGGCTGACCACTACACCCTCCTTCGAGTGCATCGAGTCTGGAGAGGCCGTCACATCGGAAGAGGCGAAGAGCTTGGGGAAGTCTGTCCGAGGGGTCGGGGGAGTTACCGTGGTCGCGGGTTGTGGGATTGCTGTATGTGGAGGCGTTCGCGGAGCGGGGGCGTCCAAGGAGGAGAGTGGTCTATCCTCCTTTAGGTCCGTCAAGATTGGGGCAGGCATTCTGGGGAGAGGTTCGTCTTCAATTATGATTGGAGCCTTTTTCGCCGACACGCTACCACTCCTGCTTTTTGTGCTTTCCGCGGATGTCGAGTTTGTTCGATCTCGATTGGGTTTTTTCTCTTGGTTCGAAGTGAATGCATTCTTCAGTCGTCGACCAGGTGAGATGCCTCTCTTCTTTCCATTTGATGGCACACTCAGAGTATGACCGTGTTGGCTGGTAGGTCTGGAGCGCTCAGAGTCAGGAATCGAGTCCGCGCCGGCACTGGCGCCACTCATGACCGATTCTAAATCTCCCTGAGCACGATCGTTACTTGCTTCCACGGAGGTTGTTTTGATCAAGGGGGAGGATGAGGTATAGAAGCCGCTGTGGGAATTGTGCGAGGTGAGCGGTGGAGTGCTAGGGAAAAAGAAGTCAGCCAAATTATCCTCGTCGATGGCGAGTCAATGACACTCACCGATCAGGCTCGGAGTCATCTGTGAGGAGGTTAATAGCGTCGTGGTCCGGAGGGGGCGGTAGATCGTTAGCCAGAGATGAAGCGACCGAGGTTCCGTCCCGCGACTCGTTCGAGCGACTCTCTTGGATGTGCTGATCATCCTCCAGTTCGTATTGAGTTGGTAGCTCGTCGGCTGGCTTTTGGGCATCTTTCTTCTTTTTCTTGTTGCGACGCGCGGCTAGTAGCTTGGAAAATCCGCTGGAGCCTGCCTTGGCGGAGTCGGCATCGCCGGCTTGTGACTTCGGTCTGTCGGAGCTGGAGTCGATGGAGGAGGAGCGGCCATTGCTGCGACCCGAGCTGGTCATGGTCTCGAAATCGATTGGAGTCGTTTTGGTGCGACCGGAATGGCTCAAGCTTCGTAGGTCGGACGAGGGGGGCGGAATGGGGTCGGAGAGGAGCGATTCGTCCATGGCGGCAGTAAGTATGAGGGGGGAAGCGGAAAGGGGGGATGGTTGGTTGTATACAGAGGAGAATGAGAGAAATTCGAGAAGAGATTGATCAAACTATGAACATTGAAAGGAGCATGGTAGAGTGTAGAACCGGTCTATCTCTATAACAAGTTGTCGCAAAAAGTAAGATCGGACAGCGAAGATCACTCGAGGAGAAAGATGAGGGGAACGGAAAGACAAGTAAGTAACTTGCTTGCTTGCTTGTTTGCAGATGGAGAGGTTCACAGAACCGCAACAATGGGCGCTCCTTCTGATTGTTTGAGACGGGTTCTCTTGAATGATTTGCAAGAAATGCAATCCTAGGGAAGAAAGCGACGCGAAAGAGGGGGAAAAAGGAAATGAGACCCGGATCAGGGGAAAATGGGGGGGAAGAGAGTGGGCGGAAGAAAGATGGAGGCGGCGACAATGACGACGAGGAGAGAGAGAGACATTCAGTCAGTCAGTCAGTCAGTCTAGGCCTGAGCTTTGAGGCCAACAACCACTATGTACATGTAAGTACGAATACGATCTATCTTTAAAGCTGCGGTGGGGAATCTCTCGATCGACAACGATTTGACACTTTCGGTATACAGAGTTGCCGCAATGAATGAATTTCTATTGTTAGCTTCAATCTCCATCAGTGATATTTCCTATCGATATGACTTCTAGACTCTCTAACGGAGGAATATCTTTAATTAATCTCTATCAGAATGTGAGCTCCCCCTGTCGGGGATTTAAAATAGGAGTGAATATCTTTCACTGTCCTTGTCACATCAATACAGTCCCTGTCTGACCTGTCTCCCGCATTGGGAGGAAACCCCCCTCCCACCCCCAAATGCGGGTAATGTTACTGTCACATTCACCTCTTTCCCCCTCGTATCTGATGGCGTCACGACAAGATCTTCCAACTTCCTCTTCTCAATTCAACACAACCACACTCGCTCTCTGTCTTCTGCAACATCGTGTGAAGACCTTGCTCACAGATTAACCCGGTCATCGATTAATTCGTCTGGAGTTACAAATCGTCTACAACTAGCTGCCGCCATGGAGGCCGCGCCTCTCACTTTGGTAAGTCCTTCGTTTACTCCGACTCCCCTCGCCAACACAGCCTCGGATGAGCCTAGCTAGACTGACCCCTTCGATCTAGGCTCATACACACGCTCGGAACGCAGTGATTGAAACTCGCAAGTCCAACCCTGTCGCAGCAAGCGAAGAACATGATCTTGCCGCGGGCGAGTTTGCGACTGCAGCCCAACACAGCTCGGACCGTGAGGTGCGTTTGCTTTGGTGTCGACCTGACTTGCAGGGTTGGACTCACTCCGCGTCCACATAGGCACTTCGGACCCTCCAGCTACTGGAACAACACCATAAGAAGCTCGCGCAGATCCTACGGTTTCAGCATGAGAACCCTTCCAACTTCGCCTCGACTCAGGCGAACACCCAACCCTTGTCCGCAGAGACGGGTGGCTCTACCAGAACGTCGACGGCAGGGGCGGACGCACAGCAGCAACCCCCGAGGCTATCGAGACACCCTCGACTACCATCGCGAGAGTCTTCTTCCATTGTTAGCAACCTAGCATCCGCTCGTGGCATTCCGTCGCAACCTCGTCGCTCCTCCCCGGCGTCCCCAACGCTCACGTCCCAGCAGGCAGGGGCGAAAATGACCGACGGCCCAGCCAAAGTCCGAACCAGCGAGTCGAGACTACGTGGGGTGCAAGCCCATGGGATGAAGGAAAGGGCGAGTCGTCCATCGACGTCGAGACAGTCACGTACTCCGCCCCTGGCGAGTCCTACCGAGATCACCTCGCAGCAGTTTGCGCCGCCTACTTCATCCGAGGCCTCTCACCAGAGAAGCAGGACTTCAATGACCGAAGAACCATTCCAAAAATTTTACTCTACGTTTGAGGGCTTGATCTCGAAGATTTCGGCGCCCCTTGCATTTGCTGGCCTGCCACTTGGCTCTGAGGCGTCGGAAGCATCAGCCCACCGCAAATCCGCCCCGGACACCCGCACTGACCGCTACAACGCGATGTCCGACCGCTCCCACCACTCCGCGGACCCGGATATCAACAAGATCTTCTCGAAAGCCGCTCTGCAGGCGATCCGTGACACGAGCGGCACCGGACCTACCGGAAATCCAGCGGAGTCATTCTACGTTGTGCCTACCACCGGCGGGACGGTCTCGTACGCGGGGATCTTGACACGAGCCGAAAAGGAGGCTCGCCGAAGCAGCTTCGACGAGGGCGATGAGGATTTTGTCGATGCGCGGGAGACCCCGTCCTCGCCGGAACTCCGTCAGAGCTTGTCCGGGATGCAGGGCATCAGCAAAGCAGGACGAGGAAACGACAAGTTTTCCAGTCCCCAGAACCCCAAGACGATGGAGGAGCTGCAGATGGAGAACCAGGTGTTGCGGCAGCTGTCCGATAACCTGTCGAAGCGGTTGCACATGTGGGAAGTCAATGCACAGTCGTCGTCGATGGCCTTACAGCAGTCCCTCAAGGCGATGCACCACCCGAACGCCCTTTCACCAGACCACCCGGCTCCAAGCTCGTCGGCTGCTATGTCGCCTGTGGTGGAAGCATCGGCGTCACCTGCGGCGGAACACGAGAAACGCATCAAAGAACTGGAGGAGGCCGTTCGACGCAGTGAGGAGGCGATGGGCGAGATAGGGCGGGAGAACGAGAAGTTGCGAGCTTACAGCGAGAGACTGCGAGATAAAAACGAGCAGTACCGAGATCGTTGGGAGAAGCTGAAAGAGGGAGCCAGAAGAAAACGAGCGCCCGAGGGGTCGGCTGCGAACGGTGGAACTGCTGCCGTGCCACAGCCTTCGAGAAACCCCAGCTCGCAGGGAGACGAAGCCACTCGGACCAAAGCCGAAGGGGAGGTCGATAATGACACCATAAGCGATGAAGCCGAGACGAAAGCTGAGGGTCCGAATGACGGTGAGAACCAGTGATCTCTAGGTGAAAAGTGTTTCATGTCATTTACTCTTACAGTACTGAACTCACCAGGTGTTAAATACATAGCCATGGTTCTTTAGTGCAAAAACGATTGACTCTACAGTCATTAGTGATTTTTCGCAGTCTGTTACGATCATCAAAAGGGTATCCATCATTGAGAAATCTAGTGCCTGCTTACGATTCGCCTTACTTCATCATACCCAGTATCATCAATGACACTCGACCACTTTCCCCTCCCGCTGTCGCTGACTCCACGCCGCGGCCCCCTCATAGGAGCAATTATAGTCCATAAACTCGGCCGGATTCATCGCCACGCGCGTGGTGTCGGCATCGGTGGCTGGCCTCGCGACCTGGCGACTATAAGCCTGGATGGTAGAGGCGCGGTCGAAGCGACAGTCGAAGACCTCGCGAGTGACACGACTGACCTCATCCGCGCCCTTCAGATGGCGGCCGTCACGCTCAAACCCGGCAAAGAACGCGCCCAGAGCCTCGGCATCTTCGATGGCCTGACTTGCGCCCTGGCCCTGAGTGGGCAACATGGCATGCGCGGCGTCGCCGATGAGGATGACCCTGTCTCTGCACCAGGTAGGCAAGGGGTCAAGATCGCGCAGTTGCCAGAGCCCGACACCAGCAGCCAGACGCAGCGGCGTCTGGGCCCAGGCGGGGAAATCCGCAAAGGTCTGCAACATCTTATCGCGGTCGCCCTCCGTCGTCCAGCTCGTCTCGGCTGAGTCTTCATGCATGCGCTCATCGGGCACGAGCGCCACGACACCGTAGATGGAGCCGCGACGCGCAGGGCCCATGATCAAACGTCGGTCGCCGCCGATAACCATAGTCGTCTTCGGTAGACGAGGGTCAATTACCGCGGCGAACGCGGGCTCCCTAACCAAATCTGCCGTGGGAACCATCATGCGGTAGGCGCACAAACCCGTAGGCAGGGGCTCGTTGATCCCAGTCTTAGAGCTTTCCAGCACAGCGCGGCGCATCACGCTCTTGATGCCATCAGCGCCGATAACCAGGTGCGCGGTCAGCACCTCGCCGGACTCGAGCTGCACGGCGCCGCGGGCGCAGTCGCAGGCGCGCACACGGCTGGACACGCGGATCGAGGCGGCGCGGCCTGGGAACTCAGCGCCCGTGGCGCGGTGCTTGAGCGCCTCGTGCAGGTCCGCGCGGTGATAGATCATGCGCTCGGCGCCGTACTTCTCGCGCGTGCTCAGCGGGATGCGGTTCTGCAGGCGCCCGGCGAGATCGTAGACCTCGAAGGCCGCGTCCACCATCGAGCCTTGCGCGTGTAGCGCGGCCGCTAGGCCCCATTGGCCTTCGACGATCTTGGAGGCGTTGGGCTGTAGGGAGATGGTTGCGCCGATTTCGCGGTGCAGGGCGGATTGCTCGAGGATGAGGATTTCGCGGTCCTCGCCGCGGAGGGCGATGGCCTTGATGGGTTGGTTGTTAGTTGGTTTGCAGGAGGAAAGGAGGGAGAGGACATACGGCTGCGAGCCCGGCAATGCCGCCGCCGACGATGATGATCTTGAACGGTTCCATGGGGCCTTTGTGCGTTGTAGCAGCAGCAACAACAACAACAAAGAGATTGCCCCCCTCTCTGCAATGGGAAGACGCTTTATGAGAATATCTGCCTCCACCTCGGGACCTTCTTGTCTAGTATGTCCTGTGACCTCGGTGCTTCATCTCCGCCGAGGAGGGGCCGAGCGGGTGCTCGGGGGCCTCCGAGCCCTAACCTCGGCGGAGCTCGGGGGTGATTCAGTCAGCCTCAGTTACTGAACAGAGCACTTCAAGGAGGAAAGAAAGAATATATACTATACGTTCTCCATCAACCTGAATTCCCGTCTTACTGACCCATCAAACCGAACGACCATCAACACGAAGCCATCAACACGAAGCATACCTGAACAATAAACCCAACCCAATCATCAAAATGTCCACCACAACCACCACCACGGCATCCACAACTACCATCACCACCGAACCCCCCAAATCGAAATACACCGGCGCCAACCGCATGACCTTCGACGGCAACCCAACCTCCTACAACGACTTCCGCGACGCACTCAGCCGCGACGGCTACGCGGTGATCAAGGGCGCGATCCCGCGGGACCGGGCGGAGAAATACGCGGATGCATTTCTGGGATACATGGAGGGATTGTACGTTCGTTTCCTTCCCTCCGTCCTATTCCCAGCTAACTTGGTCCAAAAAAAAGCAACCTGGGATATGACCGGCATAACCCCTCGACCGTGCGACGGGACAAGCTACCCGTGCTCAACGAGAAGGGCATGATCCAGTCGTACGGGGTGACGCACGAGCAGTGGGTGTGGGATATCCGGGGTGAGGAGGGGGTGATTGAGGCGTTTGCCAAGGTGTATGACGATGAGGATCTGATTGTTTCGTTTGATGTGGTGAATGTTGGGTTTGTCAAGTCAGTTCTTCCCCCACACTTGGGTTATCATGAAGGTGCGGAAGCTAATAAGCCGGGAATATAGCCGCGAGGACCTACCTGAGAAGTATAACCCCCCTCCTCTACCCCTGCAACAGAACAGAATGCTGATAAGAAGCAGCAAACCCTGGCCACACCAAGACCAAGACCCCGCCAAACCCGGTTTCCGGTGTACGTATCCCACCCACCCCCAACCCCCCAAAAGCCCAGCATACCCACTAATAACCGAGAGTAGGCCTACAAGGCCTGGTGAACCTGCACCCGAGCGGCCCCAACGACGGCGGCCTGATCGTCTGCAAGGGCGGACACAACCTGAGCGCGCAGTTCCACGCGGAGATGGCGGACGAGCCGCGCATCCCGGCGTGGACGCCCGAGTGGTTCGGCTTCACGGATAACGGCATGAAGTGGCTGGCCGACCACGGCCTGCAGTGGGAGAAGGTGTGCTGCGACCCCGGCGACCTGATCGTCTGGGACTCGCGCGTTCCGCACTATAACGTCCCGCCGACGGGGAGCGTGGATCGGTTGGCGGTGTATACGTGCTATATGCCTGTCAAGGAAGCCAGTAAGGGGGATTTGGTGAGGAAGAGGGATGCTTTTGAGCGTGAGTTTCTCGCTTTATCTCTTGTGTCTTGTTGAGAGTGGTGGGTTCGGGGGATTAGGGCGGGTTGAGCTAACGTGTTACTTTACTGCTGCAGGTCGCCTGGGAACCACGCACTGGCCGAATGCCGTGCATGTGGCGCCGACGAATATCGCGACCAGAGATGGCAAGCCTTGTCCTGTTGCGCGGGAGAGGCCGGTGCAGGAGCCTGTGCTGAATGAGCGGACGATGAAGTTGACGGGGATTCCGTATTTGGAGGCTATGGCTTAGTTGGTTTATCAAGGGATTTGGGGGGTTGTTGTTTCTTTTGTCGGTGGTGAATGGTGAGCTGGTTGCTGGGAAGCTGAAAGACAGGGGGGGGGGGGTTCTCCCCCCAAAACGCTGGGTTCCCTGTGTTTGATTTTGTGAGGCTTGGTGATGCAATGCAATCATATTTCTGTGCTATGATGAGATTATAAGAAGTGTCAGGGGGTTTCCCCGGTTCTTCACATACTTATGACTGTTTTAAAAGTATCCTCTTTTATCGAGATGCTGAACAGAAAGAGGGGGGTCTCCCCCTGCCATATCCATTTGCTCAAATTGAATATGATACTGTGTGTATGAACACCTCCTCAAGAGTAGGTCAATTCATCAAGTATACTGCCGTGTATCATCATAAAAACCCGTCTAATCTATCACCTCCATATCATACACTAGTCTCGGGCGATTCGCCATACAACATCCAATTCCACAGCTCATCAACATTATACCCGGCGAACGGATAATACTGGTCCTCGAACCCATCCACCAACGAAACACCCCCCATAAGCCCCGGCGAGAACTGGCCCGCCCCGGCCAACGGCACCTCGGACCTCGCGGACGCAAACCTCTCTCGACGGAGGTCATCTTCGATCTGGTGCCAGGTGGTAGGCGTGATATCATCGAACGCCGACGGAGTAGGGAGCGAGGTCACGGGCTTCGCGGCTTGTGCATGGAGAGTCGGAGTCAGGGAGGAGTACGGCGGGGGTTTCTGTGCTGTGGCGCTCTGCTGGCTTGGTTTGCTGTGCGACTGGAGATAGGCGGATATCTGTTCGTACATGATATGTAGACCTATGCTGGTGAGGAAAGCTCGTCTGAGAAAACAAGAAAGGAAGGCGCGTACCCTCGACGAACCGCGGATCCGCGTCATGTTTCGACATCTGCACGCTCGTGTACCCGAGACACGCTTTCAGCAACTATGTGCCCAGTTAGCTTTGCAAGGTAAGAGAGGATGCGGTTGTTGACGGACCTGTAGGTCCATGGCTCGCAGCTTTGAGCCGGGATGCTTCATCAGGAATATTCCCAGTACAATGCACGCCAGGATGGATGGCCCCGCCGTGATGATCTGTGAGTCCGCCTCCCGCTCCGACAGCTCGATGCTCAACTTCGCAATCGCCCTGGCACTGTTTACACAGATCGACTCCCCGTTGCGCAGCCGGTGTTGCGACGGCTCGTTGGCGCAGTAACGCGTGACTTCGTCGTCGAAGGTCGCCGTCGGCGCGATCAGCGCGGCGCGGTGCAATGAGATCATCGCCTCGTGGTACTGGATGGCTAAGAAGGTGACATGGTGGAACTCTTCCTTTGGACAGAAGATATCATTACCCGGTCGTAGGTCTGACGGGATCTGGTTTGCCCACGAGAGCAGCTCCTGATCGAGACGGGCAGTATCCAGCAGGATCTGGCGGGCTGTCCTCGTCGTGCGGGGGTGATGATTGTAGATATGATGGCTGATGTTCCCCTGATAGTCAGCGAGCTGGACGTGCCAGCGCAGGAACCGGTCCTCAGGACGGAAGTCCTCCTCCGCTGGTTGGCACGGTTCGATGGAGATGGCCATCGGCCGGCCGGATTCCAGATGCATCATCTTCTCGAGAGACCAGCAGATCAGCCACACCCGACGGTGAATGTACTGTCTGCGCGCGGCTGCGCCACTGAGCCGGTGCAGCCCCAGGGTGTAGGCGACGCGGATCGCCATGCCCAGCGTTTGCCATGCCAGACCCTCCTTGTTGCGGCCGCGGTAGACAATTGTGAACAGCAACAGCGCCTGCACGGCGGGCAAGTACGGGATGGTGATGACATGTGAGAGTAAACCCGCCGCTGCGAGTAAATATCGGTCTCCGTCCTCCGTTTGTCCCTGCGCCAGCTCGTCCGTCCCCAGGCTCATTACCAGGTACACCGTCACGAGCCGGGGAATGTTTTCATGCGACAGATGTCGCAGTTCGGCCAACGCAGCCAGCTGCTCCACTCCGGCCTTCAGCCGCTCCACGTGAAAGATAGGGTAGAGCGGATGGATTCGCGACAGGAACGCTGTCAGATAGCGCTGTCGAACTTCCGAGTCCGGCAACTCGGGCAGTGATAGACACAGCGGGAGCTCTAATTCCTCTGCGAACCGCAACCCGTGGCGGAAAAACCCCGTCACCGGCTTCAGTCGCGCAGCCGTGAAGTATACATCTAGAGATTTAGCGAGACATTGCGAGCTGCTCCCGCCAAGGACTTTTTTGCGCTCACAGCCATCTTCCACACTGACGCCGTCGAAAGGGTGGTGAACCGGCGAGACCTCGTCTAGTGCTGCTGCTGTTGCTGCTGCTGTTAGCTGGCTGGTGGGTAGAGGACCGTCGCTTCTATGCGACAAGGGAGTGGCTTCTGCTTGCGGATGCACCTCATTACCTCGATGCGTCGTTTCTCCCTGCTGCGGTAGCTGCTGCTGTTCACCTCTCTCACTCGCATTCTCACTGCTCATCGCTGGTAAATCCAACCATTCTCGCAACCCCGTCACCCCAGGACGCTGGGGATCAGTGGTGACGCAGACCTGATTGCGGATGCGACAGTTCCGACACTTGGGATATTCGGCATCGCATTTGACCTTCCGCTGTCGACAGACATTGCAGGCCATGGACAGGCGCGGCCTCTTGGATGGGGGCGGTTTATCCATGATAACGAGCAATGCACGGCAGAGACAAAGGACAAAGGGAGAACCTGGGGTATGGCATGATCTGGTGGAGTGGAGGGAGCTGATAGTCCCGCAAGCATGGATCAGAAATGCGGGGTATGGAGTATGGGGGATCGTCGATTTGCAGCCTGGATGCCTGCCAGAATAGTTCCAGTCCACAGAATTGAAAGGTCACTGCAATTCCGCGCCCTCTGACTGGTCCCGAGGCTCATCCTCGCTCGGTTCCAATCGGCGTAGTTCTGGTGGGGCCGAGCCGAGGCAGCTACCTACTACCAAGTAGATACCTACCTTATCCTACTGTACTGTACATATACATCCTCAGCATCTATCCAAGTCGCGCAATATACTCAAATTAGAAGTAAGGGTATACACAAGCCAGACTCAATGGGCGACTAGCATTTATTTGACTGCCATGCTCTCCAAACTGGTCATCCGAACCTCGTTGACAGCGGGCATCTGCCTCCCCTTCCATTTCCCCTACACCAAATCAAGGCAGATCGATACTAAGCACATGGGAGGAGTGAAGCCGGAGAGGTAGGCTTGACGAATACTACAGAATCCTTCTTGCTCAATACTGATAGAAAGAAGGGAATACCCCGCCATCGGTCCATTCTTTCATCTCTATTGATAAATCTCGCCATACTGTGATAGCCACTGGCTCGAACTATCACCTCGCCATCGAGCACAAACGAGACGGGAAGCACGAGGTCGATGGACAATCCCAGTTTCGAGCTGCATTAAGCAGCTAGAAAAGAAGTCTTTCCGAACCGGGAATTGCCAATACGTGCCTTTCTGTGAACGGGGTCTGCGTCTACAGGACGGGTTGGGTTTGTTTTGGACTTCGGCTCGGAGGCACAAAGGAGTAACCTGAGAAGGAGCAGCTCTTACATTCATTGAGGGGGTACGGTGCGTTTTCTTTTTACTCTGCCGGCAAACTACCCTGCTTTTTTTGACACGTTTTGCGTTTCAGAAACGGCTGAATTGTATGGGGTACCGTGTTTCTGTGGATCGTGCTAACATCTGGGTCAATCTTTCGACTTTGTTAATTTCGAGAGCTTTGAGTGTGTGAGGTATCTATACTCAGAAACAAATCGCTGTTCAGATGTACATATCTTTAGTATGGCAACGACAGCTCTAGATTCACCTATATGAAGCAGTATCTTGATCTATGCTCGGCTCTCTGATATCAACAAGACCACCGACTCGGCAAACGCAGCTAAACTACCACCCAAACCAACAGAATCCGCCCACAGCCTTGAGTCGCTACTCTACTCCACATAGAACGTCGCATTGCCCCGGATATCCGACGAACTGCTACCAACCAGCACGGCGAACGCGCCAGGCTCGACAACATACTGCATGGACTTGTTCCACAGGCCGAGATCCTCGACCTTCAACTCGATATCCACCGTCTTAGTCTTGCCAGCGGGGATGACCACCTTCTCGAAGCCCTTGAGAGCGCGGTTCGGCACAACCACCGACGCGATCATATCCGAGACGTACACCTGCACGACCTCGGTGCCGTCGCGTTGGGAGTCGGTGTTGGTCACGTCCACACTGACGGTGACCGAGTCAGACGCAGAGACGTTGGTCTTGCTGAGCGTGACGGGCCCATATTTGAAGTCGACGTAGCTCTTGCCGTAGCCGAATTCGTAGATGGCAGTGGGGTCGCCCAGGGCGTACTGGGAGGCGAAGTCGAGGGTGCCGTTGGCGTAGACGTGGCCGGCGGGGCCTATGTTGCGCGCGGAGTTGAGGAAGTCGTAGTAGATGGGCAGGTCGCCGACGAAGCGCGGGAAACTGACTGACAGCTTGCCGGACGGGTTGTAGTCGCCGAACAATACGTCCGCGAGCGCCGCGCCGCCTTGCTCCGACGGGTAGAACTGCTGGATCAGACCGGCCGTCGAGTTGGCGATCCAGGTCACGTCTGTGACGGGCTTGCCGCTGGATAGGACCACGATGGTCGGCACGCCGGTGTCGGCGATCGCTTTGACCAGCGGGCCCTGGGCGCCTACGAGGGCGAGATTGTCGAGGTCAATGTGTTCACCGGTGCTGTTGACTTCGTTTAGGATATGTGAAAGGTAGAGAAGGGGGATAGGCCATTGTAAAGAATACTTACGTAGCGTTGTAACCGGACCAGAGCTCGGTTTGGTCGCGGCTCCAGGTGCCCACGACGACGACGGCGACGTCGGACTTCTTGGCCGCTGTGATGGCCTCGTCGAAGCCGGACTGATCGTTGCTCCAGCGCTCGCAGCCTTGGGCGTAGTTGACTGTGGCTTTATCGCCGACAGCAGCCTTGATGCCGTCCAGAGGCGTCACGCCACGGTACTGGCTCTTGTAGATGACGTAGTCTCCATACTGTAAACCGTTGGTCAATACCTTCGCCAAATCGTTTCGCAGAGGAAAACGGGGCCACTCACGTTCATGAAACCATGAGCCATGGGCCCAATGACCGCGATGCTGCCGCCCTTCTTCAAGGGAAGGGTCTTGTTGTGGTTCTCCAACAACACGATAGACTCCTTGTCCAGAGTCCGAGCAAGCTCGACCGCTTCCGAGCTGTGGATCAGCTCGTGCCACTGTGACTCGGGAGCAGCAGGGAAGGGATTCTCGAAGAGACCCATCTCGAATTTCGCCCGAAGGACACGCGAGACAGCGGTGTCGACGGTCTCAATGTCGAGCTTGCCGGACTCCACAAGCTCAGGGATCTTCTGGAAGTTGCTGCACGTCATCAGTATACAGACACGACTCGAACACTAGGTCACTCACAAAGAGCCACCGCCCATTTCAACGTCATTGCCGGCAGGTAGCGCCTGCAGAGTAACCGATTCCATGTCGATTGGGGAGCTTCGGCAGAGCTTGAAAGCCGTGCAGAGTCGATCAGTGCCACCGGCATCGCTGAAAACCCAGTGCTTAAAGCCCCATTCTTCTCTGAGAATCTTCGTCAAGGTGAACCAATCGGCTACAGCTGGAATGCCGTCGTAACTGGACATCTGTAAGCAAGGTGTTCGGCTAGTCAATGAATTGAACTCACGAGTGATATGCGCTCATGACACTCCAGGCACCGGCATCGATGATAGCGCGTTTGAAAGAGTGCAGCCAGCTACATCAGCGTCAGCACGATTCGTCAAGACAGTCGGACATACACACGTGGTACGAAGATATCGTTCTCCTCCTTGAACCGGTGCGGTATTCAATCCCTGCTCAGGGGCACTGAAACCCACGAAATGCTTGACGGTGGCCGAAACATTCAGACTCTGCAGGCCCTTCACGTAGTTATAACCAATCTCGCCAGCAAGATACGGGTCCTCGGAGTAGGTTTCTTCGACCTATGAGATTGCTGTCAGCATTTAGCGGGAGGGATATCAAGAGAATCTGCTTACCCGACCATATCGCAGTTCCCGAGCCAAATCAACGACAGGAGCAAATAGCTGATTGACACCAAGAGCGAGAGTCTCCTGACTGATGATCTTGGCCATCTTGTAGACCAACTATAACCCATCCGTTTAAACTGCAGCCCTCAAGTATTCATAGACGTACTTACCTCGCGGTTGAAAGAGCACCCATATGCAATGGGTGAATTGAAGATCGTGGCATTCTCGACCAAGAACCCATGAATACCTATAGCCGTCAGCAAGGACATTCTCCCCACCAGGTAAATCACAGCAGGCCCTACCTTCCGTCTGAACAAGCGCAGGAATCCCAAGCGTCGTGTTATGAATCAGGTAGTCCTGCGCATGCTTGATGTTGGTTACCATCCAATCCCATGGCACCGCATATCCAACTACAACCCAGTCAGCCTGTCCTGCCACCAAGCCAAGCACTACAAAAGATCCTCTTACCATAGAACCCTCCAGCCTTCAGCTCCATATTCGCGACCAGACCCGTGTAGTTGAACTCTCCGGTCGTAGTATTCATCCAGTTCGAGAGATCACCTGTAGCACTTTACAATCAGATCATCTGAGGTCACCAATTACAACCACCACCGACGAATGAGGGGGTCATTACCTTGCAGCAATTGTGCAGTCTTATCGTGGATCGTCATCCGACCCAGGAGATCAGTGACACGATCTTCCACCGGTGCATTGGGGTTCTTGTAGAGCGGTGTCGAGCCATTGTTCGCGGCCGCCAACCCGACGCAGAGATGAAGGAGCGCAAGGCCCTTAGTGAGCAAGCTGACACCCATCTTGCAGAGAGTGAGAGGGAGGGCTAGAGAAATCCACAAGTCGACTCTCAATCCAGTCCCAGTTCTCTTCTGAGCGCAAAAGACAAGTAAGGCGTCAGTTTTGAAAACCGTACTCCGTCTAGGCGAGAGGCACAAGGGCGGTATTTATACTCCTTCATCGCGTGGTCGGTGGTCGGGGTGCTCAAGGATTCAATTGCAGCGGAGTCCCGGCAAGAACAGGGAAGCCAAAGCAAACGTCACTGGGAAATCGAACAAGTCCGCAGAAGGAGACTAGTTTAGGCTGCTCAGACAGTCGGTTCGGAGATGAGAGCCAGCTGCGATGCATCCCTAGTCTGAACCAAGACTGTGGAAGCAAGAAGGCGAAGACGAATGATTGCCGCGAATACAATGGAGCAATGGCAATTATTGACGTTGAATGGTCCGGCCCGACGAGCCAGAATAGATTGATGATGGAGCCATCAATTTCCCAGGGTGATATTCACGGCTAAATTGCAGGTGGGGAGAGGATGAAAAGATGAGGGGTTGTCGACCAGGATAGATTAAGCCCGGGGGAATTGCCAGGGTCTGCCCAGTCTTTCCGCCTATCGACAGTCTCGCTCTGCTGCAGCTTGCCTGCGCTTTGCATGACTAGTTCTTCGACTAGATCCGATATTTCAACTCAGTCGTATGAGCTGTCATTCAGTCAGTCAGTCCACTGTAATTGTGGGCAACCGTCATTTCTGCCATTTGACTAGATGCACCCTATTATACAGAATGGACTTCCTCCACTCGCCCGCCTCGATCGATGATCACACACTGCTAAAGTCTATTAGAACACCTATATAGTGCAAGGAGATGCGGATGCTATCTGACATTATCTTCCGCCCGTATGTTACTCGAAAACAAAAGTATGTACTAACTAACAAGTGGTGAGGGACTCAGCCACCTGACGAGAGACCGCTCCCAACCTACACCTGCGCGTCAGACTCGGGCCCCCGCTGGGCTTGGGCTTGACTGCCCTGTGCCCCGCTACTGCTGTCAACTACTTGGTCTTCCGCCAAAGGTGAATTGACGGGTCCCTTGTTGGCACCGGGTTTGTGGAGCACACCGCCGAGCCAGGCCAATCCTCCGCTCCACGAATCACTCAGGCTTCGAAGTCGCGAAAGCGAAGCAATATCCTGGGGCTTGGACGTCCTTGATGCATCATCGGATTCGAGCGCAGGAGTGGAAACGCCGACAGTCACGGGAGCCGTAGAGAGCTCACCCGTAGAATGAAGCCGGCCGTCTGACAGCGGAAATCGAGGGTTCAGGCCCACACTAGCACCTCCATCCAAATCACGAATGGGTTGGAGTGTTCCCCCGTTTGCATTTCGACTGGACCCTTCCAATACTGTCGTACTCAGCTGCCTCTTCCGGCCGATGCGTCGGCCGATCCTCCGACCTTTGTTGGGGCTGATTTCACCACGGCGGAGTGACTCGGCAACCACTGCACTGAAGCCAGATGAGATTGCCGGGAGAAGAGGACCGGGTGAGAAATTAGAGATGGAGTTACGAAGTCTGCGTGCTGGTGGGGTCTGGGGGACCACAACACGCTGGACATTCTGTTGAGGTCTCTCGGTCGCTGCGGCAGTGGGCGTACCTTGCGGTTCATAATCCTCTGCGCCAGGAGCTGGGGGGAAGCGAAGCAGGAACGGTGATTCATGTGTGTTCTGCCCACGCTCTTCAGGGGGTGTGGAGGGACGGTGAATTGAGGCTGAAGTTGATCCGCGGGACTCAATCCACGGGTTTCTAAGAAGCGAACTGGGATGTACAGGTGAGGTGAGCTCATCGGAGCGGCGAGATGTCGATTCGGCGACAAGAGAGCCCGTGGGTGATGATGGTGCAGCAGACAAGACACCACGGGGAGTGGGTAGGTTGTCATCCACATCCTCGAGGCCGTGGCTGAGAAGTGACCCTGACGGAGAGTCCATACTGCCATCCTGAAAGTTGCGGAGTGTCCGTCCCGGCCTATGCACTTTGGCTTGCGGAGCTGGAGGTGGCGACAGATCGACATTGTCATGATAGCGCTCGCCCGCCAGCAGGCCGATCGCCTCTTCTTCGTCGTCAACCGAGAAAGAGGACTCGGTGTCGCTGCGAACTCTGCCACTGGTGATGAAGTACACTCCCAAGAACGTCAAGAGACAGCCGCCCACAAACTTAGTTGCTCGCTTGGCCGTGAAAGCCTCAAAATCTCGATATAGGATGGCGCTTCCGATGATGACGGAAAGGGTGAAAAGCACAAACTGGGTCGGAATCACCTGGGTGGAATCGAAGCGTTGCAGAGCTCGGTTGATGTAGCGAATCTGCATTACTGCGCTGAACGCGAGGATGAATACGAGGAGATACGTGACGGGAAACGTGATAACATGCCAAAAGGTGAATGTCAATAGAGACGAAACACCTTTCGTGGACAAAGCAGTGTAGCCGCCTGCATAAACAACATGAGCAATCATTGCAAGAAGCACAATGGACAAGAATGGACATACCATATAACGCAACCAAGCCCACATCAATCAAGATTGTGCTCGGCCCATACTTACGACTCGCCCACATCAGCCCAACAATCAACGCAGCCGTGAGACCTAGGTAGAGCTCAAACTCCCAGCGTGTAATCATGACCCAGATATCGTGCGGGCCGATTTTCTCCTCCGAAGACGGCGCACTGATTACCACGATCACTGCGCCCGCAATGGAGATGAGAACACCCCAAGCATCACGTTGCCGGAACTTCTCCTTCAGCATGAAGGGCGCAATGACACAGTTCGAGATCAACGCGACCACTCCCAGGGGGGACACGATCGACGCAGGCGCGAACCCATACGCCATGAAGTTTCCCACCTCGCCCACCGACATGAGCACGATTCCGACCCACCAGTAAGGGGATCGAAGGTAGGATTTGCGGCCAGTACGGCGCTCGCCCTCGTTCTCCGGCCGCACGGTGTTGTCGGACAGCATGGAGTCCCGCATGTAATCTCCGGAGTTGTCATCATCGTCGCGGTACCGCTGACTCCGTCCGGAACGGGCGTGCGCGTCCTCTGGTATAAAGTCCGGGGATTCATCCCTGTAACGACCCTGAGGAGGGACCCGGTTGCGCCCTCGGCCGACTTCACCATCACCTAGATCGGGCTCATCGACTGTTCCATAGAGACTCGCGTCGTCCTGACCTTGGTGAGCGCGTTTCCAGTGCAGTTCTTTCTGTAGCTTGTCCTGCTCCCATTCCCGATCGATACGGATGTGCGCGTAGCGCTGGATGTTGAGCGCCAGAGAAATTAGCACATTGCCAGCCAGCGCGGTCACTATGCCAATCAGGGAGGACCATTCGTGCATGCCACCCGGCTCTCCACCATCACCTCTGCCGCCATCGTATACGGGGGTCGTAGTCGGGGAAGGTAATAGCTGAGACGAGGAAGGCAAGTTATGGGGTAGGGCGGTGGGCGTCGGAATGGCGGAAGACACGAGCGCGGTGAGCAGACCTGCTGCCAGGGGCATCTCCCGCATGTGCTCCATATGCAATGGGCTTTCGGGCGTAAGGGGGCCCGGGAAAAGCGGGAATGTCGAAAATGAGGATTGACGCTTGAGGGACGGAGATAAGACAAGGCGGAAGCCCCAAATGCTATGCGGAGAATCACCAAACCCTGAGTGTGCAGGAATACCGAAGCTTTTCGCTGTCTGCTATCGCCGAAAACAAATATTCAAATAGGCTCGTAACGCAAGGCCAGGATCTCAAGTCACTTCACCAAAGTTGCGCTGGTGATGAATTTCCTGAGCCGTCGTTCATGCTTCTGAGAACCACCGCATGCTGGATTTAGAACCCCTAATCTTCGTTGTCGTTCAAGAGCAGGGGGGTATGGATGGAGTCGCTTGTTGGACAAAAGGATTGACCAGGGAAATAGCCAGAGTCCCAAGTTAGTGGCGTGTCAATGATGAGGATCAGATTCTCAAGAGGGTGTGGTGGAGGAAAGAGTCGATCGAGCGATCGGAGGAAGAGTCGGTTGGTTTGATTTGGTTTGTTCGGGGTTGGGAGGAAGAGGGAAAGGAAAGATGCCGAGCGAACCGACAACAATGAACTAAGTTAAATAATTTATCCCCTTAATCCAGGACGTGAGCAGTCACACGTGCAGCTACCAAGGAAGCTAAAGATGAGGAGGATCATAGCCTCTGTTCAAATACTACATCCTTATACTTCTACTTCTATGTCAAGCAGTCATTGGCATTTCTTACACCGCGATCCGAGGAATGAGGCGGCGCCTGTTCTTTCTCCGCTCCCTCCCTGTCGGTCCAACGTCATCAAGCATGAACTGGTTCAAGTTTTGGTCATCCTACATGTAAACACGTCTATGACTCCGAATTGAAGGATCTCCGAAGTCGTCTCCACTTGACCATGGTATCTTTTCCGGTCTTATTGAGGTTTCCGTTGCACACCTTAAACGCCATCGGGATATAAGAAATATACAAGTATTGCCAGAGATCTCCCAAAAGAGACTGCGGTCGCAACGACCGATGGAACTAGCAAGCAAAACACGCCTTACCGTCTACCTCCGTGCCCGCTTTTTATCTGGCTTCTGGTCTTCATCATCGCTAATGTCCCGATAGATGGGCGTGGGCTGTGTTTCCTTCCAGGCCTTCGTAAAGATCGGATCCTTTTCGGCCTTGTCCGCATACTTCAACAGGGCCTCCCGAGGATCTTCATCCCGCATGGAACTGAGAGGGATGTTCTCCCGGATATGTTTTTCATCCGGTTGCGACTTGGCAAATGGAGTCGCCGCTGGCATGTGAGGTCTTCGGGGATCCTTGGGACGTCCTGAAGCCGTCAATCCAATGGTCGGATGGCGGGCAGACCAAGTAGATGAGCTGTAGTGGGGGACACCGTTCGATCCTACCACAACAGAATCTCCGGAGATGCCCTGGCTGAGATCCATGGTGAGACTAGGGTCGTCATCGATGTGGCGGCGCTTCGGAGCCTTAGACATGACTAAGGCTGCACCCTTCGTCGACATGTTCGGGTTATAGAGAACATGCGTCTCGGCGTTCGCAGAGCCGGTGAGAATCTGGTTCATCTTCTCGTGCCATAAGACACTGATGACAGGGGATCCGGGAGTAATTGGTGTAACAAGCTCGGGCTTCAGCGTAGCAGGATTCAAAATATGCAAGTGGCCAGTTTCAGAGCCGGTAAGAACATTTGCCGAGGAGGGTGAAAAGATAATGTTCGACGTCGAATAGCGAGAATTGGACGGGTGAGAGACGGTCGTGATCGGCTTCTTGAACTTCCTCGTGTCCCAGAGCTTGATCGTGTCATCTCCGCCTTTAGTGACTACCAACCTGCCGTCGGAGCTGATGGCGATGCCGCTCGTCCAGGTGTCTCTTGTATGAGCATCCCGAACCTCACCACTCGGGCGAGTGAATGGCCCATCACCACCCCACATCATCAAGCTTCCATCAAGAGCCGCACCGATGAGAACATTGGAACCTCCCTGTTTAGGCGAACCCCAAGCGACAGCCGTCATTTTGCTCCGACCAGCGGATCCAGCCATCCTGGATTTATGCACAATGACTTCTCTCTGCGTCCTGCCTACATTCGCATCCCAGATGCGCACCGTGCTGTCTGTGCCAGCCGTGGCGCACAAGTTCTCGTCGGTCGGGCTCCATGCTCCGCTCGTCACCTCCGAGATATGGCCCTTGGTATTATGGAGATCCCTCAAGTACATATCACCCTTGACGAACTCGGTAACCGTATCACCATCGCGATTCAGAATCCTCGGCTGCGCGGTAGCGGAGACGACCATCACGTAGGTCGGGGCCAGAGGGTTAAAGGCAACGTAGTGTACGGCGTGCGCTTCTTGGGCGGCGGACTGTTTCTTCGCGGATGGGTCGACCGACTTGAAGGCGCGGATAGTCGACGGCGTCATGGAAGCGAAGTCGTGCAGTTTAATCGTACAGTCCGTGGAGCCGGTAATCAATCGTGACCCCGAGGGGTCAACCGTCAATGTAGTCACCGCGCGGTCGTGGGTCTTGAGTAACATCTCGTGGGAGACGGGAAACTCGTCCTCGTCGTCTTCTGAATCGTCGTCGGAGTCGGAATCGTCGCTCCCATCATCACTGTCGGGTTTCGCCTCCCTTTCCGCTGGCTCAGGTATGGCCTGCGCCTCGGTAGCGGCATCGCTATTCGATTGCGTCTGCTCGTTGTCGCTGTCGATTTTCGCGGCAACTTCGGTGCGCTTGGTGCGATCAATCTGAGTGCTCACGTCGGTTTTCTTCTCCTGCCGGCCAAAGCTGGTCGGGAAGAACTTCTTGAAAGCGTCCTCGTCGAATCCCTCCATTTTGTCGAATTGATGACCTGGATTGCAGGATGGGAAACGATGACTTCAGATGGCGACCCAGGCAATGCTCCTACTCTATGGAGAGTTTGTATGATTTGTCTTGTTTGCTTTGTCAAACACGTGGTGATAAGGAGCATTGTCTCTGATAACAACCATGACGTGACGCTCCGCAGTGAGCATGGCTTCTCACAGAATTGTAGTCGGATTTTGCAAATTATAGACGTGTGATTTAAAGTGTTTGTCAGAGCATACACTACTATCTTTTGCCTGATTGATACAATAGAAACCTATAGACCAGATATCACTTGTCGAGCTAATATAGATCTAAATACATCACCAATCATGCGCGCCTACAAGTACAATCCCTCCACCGGGCCACCGTCCTGCTTGGTCTTCATGATGCGCTCCCTGGCAGCACGGAAGTCATCCATCTGCACCCTCATCCGGCGTTCTCTCAAAGCCATCAAACCAGCCTCAGTACAAATGGCCCGAATGTCAGCACCAGAAAGGTCATCCTTCTGGTTAATGAACTCATCCAAGTCGACATCGTCACCCAACGACATCTTCGACGTGTGCAGAGTGAAAATCTTCTTCTTAGTGTTTTCTGAGAGATGGTCAGTATGAGAGCTCATTCAATCGAACATCAATAGTAAAACTTACGGTCCGGGTTCTCAAAGAGAATCTTTCGGTCGATACGTCCGGGACGGATCAAGGCAGGATCCAGAGTCTCAATCTTGTTGGTAGCCATGATGACCTTGACATCACCCCGGTCGTCGAAACCATCCAGTTGGTTGAGAAGCTCAAGCATGGTACGCTGGATTTCTCGCTCACCACCGGACGTGGAGTCATAACGCTTCGTACCAATAGCATCAATTTCGTCAATGAAGACAATGGACGGGGCGTGCTCGGCGGCAACCTGGAAGATCTGTCGAACCAGGCGGGGACCATCTCCGAGATACTTCTGGATCAGCTCACTACCAACGATACGCAGGAAAGTGGCACTGGTCTGATTGGCGACAGCCTTGGCCAGCAGAGTCTTTCCGGTACCCGGAGCACCGTAAAGGATGACACCTTTAGGGGGCTTGATGCCCATCTCCTCGTACAACTCAGGGTGGAGCAACGGAAGCTCGACGGATTCCCGGACCTCCTGGATCTGAGTCTCGAGACCACCAATATCTGCGTACGACTCCGTGGGCGCCTTGTCGAGTTTCATCACGGAGACGAGCGGGTCGGACTCCTCGGTCAACACACCAACCACGGAAACCGACTTGTGGTGCAGGAGGATACTGGCACCCGGTTCGAGCAGATCCTTATCGACGAAAGACATGATGGAGACGTAATACTCTGGCCCAGTGGCGCTGGAGACGATGGCGTGGTCGTCATCGATCAACTCTTCCAGGTTGCCGACGCCCATAGGGCTACCTCTCATGTCATCGACCCGGCTCCTCTCATCTGCATTTCTGTCCGTGATTTCGAGGTCGCTCCGGCTAGCGGTATCCAGAGCAGCCTGAGCCTTGGTCTTGCGCAGACGCTCCATGTTCTCAACGTATTCTTCTTCTAGCAGGAGGTGATCGTGGACCCGCTGCATGCGGAGGTATCGTAGTTTACATCGTGAGGTCGGGAAGATATCGGGAAGCTTGGAAGCCGTACTCGGGCCGGCAGCCTTGCGCTTCTTGCGTCCGAGACGAGTCGTAGGGGGAGGGGGTGGTTCATATCTGGGCTTATCCTTCTGTCGAGGAGTATTGGTAAGCCAAAGTATAAGGACTTTGAGCATAAGGATGGATGTACCTTCTTATCCTTGTCGTCTCTTCCATCCCCACCGGGGCCTCCGCCGATGTTGGACTGCTGGTTACCCTAATCGTTCAGATAGGTTAGATGGGGGACGTCACGAGCCGTCAAGCGCTGTGAACGACAGCAAGGGTTGGCGACATACCATAGTCCTAGAGTTTTAAGACACAGGGCAGGTAGTAAGTAGAAGAATCAATTGCCACTAGAGGTAATGGTCTTGAATGCAAGGTATGGGGGAGGGTGGAGAAGGGGGCGCAAAGCGAGATGGATGAAGGTGATGGCAGAGGATGGAAGGCGTGAAGCTGACGAGATGAGCAGCAGCAGCTGGGAAGCTGTCGTCGCCATCCGTTCCGGCCTTGGCGCTGCGGCCACCAACGCATCACCGCCTCACGTGACATTGAAGCATTGCCTCGAACTTCGGCCTGAGCGCTCAGGCCTGTATACTCGGGGCCACTGCGTCAGCCAATGGATGGTCAGGAACATACCTTGCCTTCCCAAGTGTCTTGTCTACCTAGGTAGGTTACCAATATGGCAATTCGTTCTATCACGCACTTCATCTTGCGTTAAGCAAAGTTGACTTTCATTCACAAGACAAGTCTACTGAGTATAGCAAATTACAGAATCAAAAATCTCTCCCGAAGCCCGTCAGCAGCGTACCATTAGCTGTGTTCCAACCTTGCAAGCTTTATCGCCGGCGAGCGCTTACGCCCCACCAATACTTGCGATCCCCTCATTTTCCTCGCCAGTTCCCCGCCAGATTAGGTGAGGCTGCAACTGCTCGATCTTTGCTTTTTCTTCTTCCTTTTATATCTCTGCTTCGTGTCGCTCCGGCTGGACCCTCTTGGGAAATCGCCACTGTTCTTAGGCCGCCATAATCTGAATTCTCATTACATAGTCTCGTCTTTGTACATGCCTAGCAAGAAGATCTGACCCTTCTTGGCTCCTCTGACGGACTATAACACGTTTCCTACTGCTGAACCCGTCGCGACACCTCGTACCACCCTCAAGCTATGGCTTCCAACCGGTCACGCCGGATCGCTAAGGAGATCGCCGACATTCACGCAGACACGCATTCGCAGATCACCGCGGAGCCGATAGGCAACGATGACGATATCACACATCTTCGCGGGTCCTTTCCTGGTCCGCCAGGCACGCCGTACGAAGGTGGAACATATGCAGTGGACATCAAGATCCCCACCGAGTATCCGTTCCGGCCACCAGTGATGAAGTTCCACACCAAGGTCTGGCATCCTAATGTCAGCAGTCAAACGGTGAGTCTTGAAGCTGAGGAACTTGGGGCACATGACAAGTATTGCTCACACTTGCTGTCTCATACAGGGAGCTATCTGTCTAGACACTCTATCAACTGCTTGGTCGCCGGTCCTGACCATCAAATCCGCGCTCCTCTCGCTGCAATCCTTATTGAGCACGCCGGAACCCAAGGACCCGCAAGACGCAGAGGTCGCCACAATGCTGTTACGCAACCCGAAAGAGTTCAACCGGAAGGCCCAGGAGTGGGCGATAATATATGCGGGAGCGCCTAAGAAACACGCCGGGGAAGGCAGTGGTGGTGCAACCGACGAGACCCTGCGAGAGTTAGAGCTCAAGTCCAAGGCAGAACAGGAGAAGGAGGACCTGGCCAAGTACGAAGGATCGTTTCGATACCGGTGTACATCCCTGCTAATCGTTTCTGAATAGGTACGACGGCTATAACAAGGACCTGATCGACCGCTTCTGCAGCATGGGCTTCGACGTCGACCGCGTGGTCGCTGCTTTCAAATATTATGGTATCGACCGCATGGATGGCGAGGATTATGAGCTGGAAGAGGCGTATATGGGGGATGTCACTGCACGGCTGCTGGGTGAGCCATAAACGAGGCTTAGACAGACAACACGACAGACAATTCCGGTCCGATGGAGGGAGAGTGGTTGTTTGGCATCGCTTTATCGTCAAGATTTGAGATTATGTTGTTCGATCGAGCGCTTTGTTTCTCATTTTGGACTCTTTCATATATCCCACTTTTCCACTCATGTGCGTTAATTAGCATCTAATGTTTCAGTTAGCAGTTAGCCAGAAGACATGTGAATCTAAGCCATTTTCTCTCGTATGAAGCCAAAAAAATGAAAAGTAATGTGTAAAACAAGTGGAGTGGTTGGCTGAGGGGTGCGTTTGCGATGCTATCGATAAGCACGTGGATCAGCGCCGTCGTCTCCGCCATCTCCAACTTCTCCGACGCAAATCCCTTTCACACGCCGCAGCTTCCAACCATGCGACAAGCCCACGGTCACCACTCATAATCCTCACCAAGCCTCACAGACCCGAAGAACCTCCTCAACTCTAAACCCTTTTTGCGCAAGACACCTCCCCTTACAAGACGCGCAGTTCGCCGTCCAAACAACCGCCACCATGATCGAAGACGACTTCTACCGCACCTCCTCGCAGTTCCGCCTCTGGTCCTTCACGGCCGCGTCCCTGAAATCCTTACGAGCGACCACAAACTCCGTAGCCAGTGACCGGGTACGAGCCGCGATCCGCCGCGCACAAGAGGCACGACGATCGGCCACATCGTCCGCGACAGGCACGCCGGCGCCGGACGGGGACGCCGGCGGCAGCAGCAGTAAAGCAGAAGAGAAACCCATCGAATGCCTGACGCCAGAGGAGGAGCAGCAGACGGTGAGCTACTACTGCGAACAGATCATCCAGCTAGGGGAGAACTACAAGCCGCCGCTGCCGACGATAGTGAGGGTTCGTGCTCTGCCGTCTCCCAAACCCAAACCATTCCCCGGCCCAGAACTAATCACGGAGAAACAAAAAGGCAACAGCAATCCAATACCTCCGCCGCTTCTACCTCACGAACTCCCCAATGACCTACCACCCGAAACAAATCATGCCATGTGCGCTCTTCCTAGCAACAAAGACAGACAACTACTACATGTCCCTGCGGCAATTCGCAGACGGGGTACCGGGGGACGCAACAGCAGAGGACATCATCGCGCCCGAGTTCCTAGTGATGCAAAGCCTGCGATTCACGTTCGACGTGCGGCACCCGTTCCGGGGACTGGAGGGCGGGATCATGGAGCTGCAAGCCATGGCGCAGGGACAGGGGACAGCGGCGCCGCATTTCAGCGGGAGCCAGACGGCGGCCTCGCTACAACAGGGCCTGCTTGCCCTACCGCCAAACCCAAACCCCTCCGCCTCATCATCATCGAATCTAACAGACCGAATCGCCAGAGCCCACCACACAACCCGCGAACTCCTCAAAACTGCCGCCCAGATCACGGACGTCTATTTCCTGTATACCCCCGCGCAGATCTGGCTCGCTGCGCTGATGCTCGCGGACCGTCCGCTGGCGGAATTCTACCTCGGTACGAAGGTTGGCGTGGCTGATGATGATGGGGCGCAGCAGGAGAGTCCCCTCGCCGCTCTCCGGGTGAAACTCCGTCTCACACTTAATGATTGTGCTGCGATGCTGCAGGCGTATAAGCCTCTGGCTTCGGATCCGGATCAGATGAAGACCCTCCGGAGAATCATCGGGAAGAAGCTGTATCATTGTCAGAATCCAGAGAAGGTGAATCTGGGCGCGGGCGGACAGAAGCGCATCCCTGCCGCCGCCGCGGCGGCAGCAGCAGCGGCAGGTGTGGATTCCGGGACGTCGGGGAGTGAGATGGAGAGGTTGGCGAAGAAGCGGAAGTTGGAACAGCAACCGCAGCAGAGCAAGGATATCTTCGGGGGGGAGTTGGTGATGCAGAGGACGAAGGAGCGGTAGCAAGATAGGTAGCTATGTATATATGATTGATATCGGGTTCTCTAAAAATTGCTTCTTGGAATATGATCACTTGGAAGCGAGGGCCAGGTTCAAGCATTAATAATATCATATGCTTACTACTACTCCTATTCAAGTATGCTTTATGGGCCTCTGACTCTGTATCAGAAACAGCCAACTCTATAGTACTAGGTGGGTAGGTCCAAAGCACCAAATCTACAGACTACCCAATTGGGTGCAGTGCAAAGCACAGGACTACCAAAACTAAACGTCTTAAAGAATAAATTCCTAACCTCAGGACACCAGTGTCTCAAGGAAACCGAAACAGTCTATAGCGAGTACGAGCATCGAAGTATGAAAGAAGAAGACATATCAAATTCCACCCTCTCAAACGCTCAAGTCTAAGTAAGGGGGGGTGGAAAGGTATGAATGAGATGGAAAAAACACAGGGCCATCTAAAAACACGAGTAAAAAAAAAAAGAACAAAGAAACACCCAAATAATGAGCAGGTGATATCTCCAGGTGGTATTTTAGGCAAAACGGGATAATCATCAACACACATGTATCCCCTCACATTCAGGATTGGTTCATTCCTCCTGCTGCGAGAGAGAAGATAAGAAACTTTTCTCCCCTTCTTCTGGTTTTGCTAGTTCCTGCCTCTGCATACAGCCTTACTGTATAGAGACCATTTCTTTTTTCCTGTCTTGATATTTTGTTCGTTTCTGAGCATTCCATTCGTAACAAAAACAAGAAGCACACATCATAGGGATATGCTTCATGCTCTTTAGACAGCACCCTGGTCGATCATCTTCTTGCGGAGGTAGTTCTTGTACTGTCCGATGGTACCATCCCAGCGGGTGACGGTCTTGTGCTCGCAGACCATGATATCCTTGGCGATCTTGTCGAGAAGACGGAAATCGTGGGACACGACCACGACACCACCGCTGTAGGCGTTGATGGCGTCGGCCAAACTGTCGATGGTGGGGATATCCAGACCGTTGGTAGGTTCGTCCAGCAGGATCATGTTGGGCGACTCAATGGCCAAGAGAGCGAAAACAATACGACTCTTCTGACCCTCGGACAAAGTGCCCATCAGGGCAGTCTGGGCCTCACCACTCAGACCGTAGCGGCCGAGCTGCTGGCGCCAGTACTGGTAGTCCTGGGACTTCTCGGGGAACTTGTCACGGACAAACTCCAGGGAAGACTTGGTCAGGTCCAGCTGCTCGGCGGAGTGCTGGCTGTACATGCCGAGCTTCAAGTGGGTGTGACGGCTGACGCTACCACCGATGGGGCTGAGCTTGCCGGTCATCAGACGGAGCAGAGTGGACTTGCCGACACCGTTGGGTCCGACCAGCGCGGTACGGGAGTCCATGTCGACACCGAAGTCGAGGTGCTCGTACAGGGTGTCGTCCCAGTTGCCAGAGTAGGAGAAGGAGACATCATCGAAGGACAGGACGGGAGGGGGCAGCTTCTCGACGTCAGCGAAGCGGAAGCTGAAGACACGGTCGGGGATGACAGGCTGGATGAAACCGTCGGCCTCCATCTTGTCGAGAATCTTCTGACGGGACTTGGCCTGGCGGACCAAGTTGGCGTAGGTACCGGCGGAGGCGATGAACTTCTTGATGTGGGCAATTTCTTCCTGCTGCTTGTTGTAGGCCTTCATCTGGTTCGTCTCCTGTTCGGCACGGGTCTTGTGGTACGAGTCGTAGTTACCACCATAGTAGAGGAGCTGCTTCATGCGCATATCGATCATGTTGGTACAGACACCGTTCAAGAAATCCATGGAGTGGGAGACCAGGATAAGGGTGCGCTCCCACTTCTTGAGGTATTCTTCCAACCACACACAGGCCTCGAGATCCAAGTGAGCCGTGGGGTCGTCAAGCAGGAGGAGAGAGGGCTTGACGAAGAGGGCCTTGGCAAGGGCCACACGCATACGCCAACCACCGGACATGTCCTTGGTCTTCTTGTGAATGGTCTGCTTGTTGAAACCCAGACCCGTCAGGATCAAGGAGGCACGCGTGTGGAAAGTCGAGGGATCCATCTTGTCCATACGCTGATCATGGCGTTAGTTACATGTTGCCGTTGAAGATACGGAGTTACTTACGTCGTAGAGATCCTCCAGGATAGGGCTGTCGGGACCCTGCACCTCCAAGATCTCTTCGGCCTGCTTCTCCATGCGGTCGAGCTGATTCTGAGCCTCGGTAACGACCCACTCAAGGGCACCGAGTTCGGTGGGAGGAGCACCCTCGTTCAGAAGGTAGATATCGATGTGCTCGGGGATGGGAAACTCGCGAGTGGCGATGGACTTAAGGATGGTGGACTTTCCACATCCGTTCTCACCCAAGAGACCGTAACGGCGACCGAAGTTCAGTTCGAGGGTGGAGTCGGTGATGAGGACCTTGCCGTGGAACACCAGGGAAGCGGATGTGATCTTGACGTCGCGAGAGGCCTCGAGGGAGGAGAGGACACCAGTGGTAACACGATCAGACAGACCGTGCTTATCCATCTGCGCAGTCAGCTTCTCAACCTCCTTCAGCTTGTCGGCGGAGGTGGCAGGCTGGTCCTCGACGGGCAAAGGGTTGCCGTCACCATCGAGCATGGGGGTCTCGTCACCGGGGGTAGAGGTACCCTTCTTGGACTTGAGAGTCTTCTTCTTGCCGTCATCGCCACGCTTGGCCATACGAGCAGCTTTGGAAGCAGACACCATTTTGACGGATTTTTTGTGTGTTGGTTAGAAGAGGGGAGATGAGGAGAGGGGGAAGATCGTGAAAGAGGGCGGGAAGAGAGAGACGAAACCAGTCCGTGAAGAGGAAGAGTGAGGAAGAGGGAAAAAAAGAACTTGACAAAGGTGGATCAGTTCCAGCGGCGGGGTGAGAAGGGAGGGAGAGAAGAGGGGCGACCGAAAGCCTTCTGAGTGGGGGAAGGTTCCTTGGATAGCCCTTATCGATAGCTAGTGGACTCTGAGCACAGGCAATGCTTGTCCTGAGGGCCCAGAACAAACCGAATGCAAATTAACAGAGAATACACAAGGGTATATGAAGTAAAGAGTAGGTGTGCTCTGATTGAAGCCAGAGAGACAATAGGGAGAAATAATGAGAAAAGACGAGGGATGAAGAGGTAAAGGAGATGAAGGATGGATAAATGAAAGACGCAACCTCCGTCAGAGATTTGAGTTGCCTCGAAAATTCCTTCAGTGGGTTCTGCCCAGCCAGCCTGTCATTGGCCTGTCGACGTCACCGCACGGGTCCGTGGCGCTGCCTTGCCTGATTGGGCATCCACTGTCACGTGCTATCGAGCCTTATGCCCAAGGCATTTCCCGACAATGGTCAGCAAACGGTCGCCGACACCTGAGGCCTCGATCCACCCGACAGCATCGGATTGCTAATAGGGAAGGAAGCAAGCTTGAAACCTTTCTAGGCCCGCAATATGCTACTCCATCATCTAGGAACACCATGCGCACCGATCCTAGCATCGCCCTGGGATTCGGACCCTCTGTCAGAATACCATCATAGGCTCTGACTACACACACCGCTGACGATAACATCCCACCCTCCTGGGTTGGCTTGGCAATCGGTCGATTCTACTTGACTACGACCTCGTCATGATAAGCAGCAACCTACTTCTATGCAGTCGAAATTCACTATGTACAGGCAGAAAAAGGGCTTCTATAATGAGCCACCATGCTCTATGCCGTCTAGGGTAATCGTTCGCTAATGCTCCGCAAGAGCTTCATCTCCGCTTCCGAGATCGAGAACTGGTTCGGCAAAATGATCTTGCCCGATTCAATGAGGACCTGCCTCGGATCACCAGAAAAAACATCCTGCGTGGTGGCCGTCTCAAAGCTGGCTCGGATGCTATCCCCGCTTTCCGTGTCACTCTGCTTGGGGCGCGCCAGAGATACCGGAGTCCACCAGTAGATTGGAAACCGACGCTGGATGTTATTGATCAAGAGTGCCACCGTCTGCATTAGGATACTTCCCAGGAGCATCACAAGAATCATGGCCCAGCCCACATCGGCCGATTGTGTGACCGACAACAGCGCGGTTGCTCCGGCAGGTGGGTGCACGGTATTCGTGAGGACCATGATACACGTGGTGAGAGCACAGGCCAAAGCGCCACCGACTTGGGGCAAGGATTCTGCATGAGCATTTAAGGCCCAAAGCTTGGAGATCCCTATGCCCACAGTGCTCGCAATGACCTGGCTGATGACAGCGTTTCGTGGCTGAGCAAAGGGCGACTCGATGGCTGAAAACTCCAGTACTGCGGCAGCGCCCTAGGAGATCGTTAGTCCTAGCCAGTTGACCGGGTTGAGGGCAAGACGCACAAAACTGGCTACGATGATCGGGGCATTGTGGTGCTCGAAGAGCGGAACATGCATCGAAGCCTCCGCGACGACGAGCACACCGCAGAACACCCCTATCAAGGTCCAGAAGGCCACGACCAGATTCCCGAGCGGTTTTGGAGCTTTTTCTCGGTATCCAAAGAAGCGCGAAACTGGCCGAGGCATATACCGCCAAGGCGGAGGCGGAAGAAATGGGTTCAAGAAGGCATCGATATCCACATGAAATCGAGAGAAGTCGATACTCTTAAGCAGGGACGGCCGAGACGGCGGAGCATACGTCTCCTGGGCTGTCATGGTAGCCACCTCGGCCAAGACGGACGATGCTTATTCCTGTGTCGGTTAGAACCAAGGACAATCCTTTGAATTTTGAACTGAAGAACAGTGTCGTAAAAGGGCATAAGTCACGAGGATACTCCGGACTAGCGGATGCTCGTGCACGTCTGCTCGGTCCAGAGACTGCGAAGGAAGAGGAACTTGCTCACTGGCACAGAGACAGAGCAGAAAACAAGCAAAGAGTCCATCATGATGCAAGGCAAACCCGACGGGTCCGGATCAGGGGGGCACTGGGGGAAATACTTGCCTGGCCTACGTGGTGAGCAGCGACTCAGTATAAGCGGAGCGAGCGCATTGAAACCGCCGTGCATCAAGTGGACACCGCAATTTGGCGTTGCTGGGTCTGTGGAGGGAAATCTGAGCCCATATTAATAGGCATCAGGGCTGAGGAGATCGGAGAAGAGGAAACACGCAAAAAGAAGAAGAAGAAGATCTTTCGCATTCATTTGGGCCGGTCAGCAGCATCTCCGCGGAAAAGAAGTCTTCAGCTGGTGAGAAGACCAGCGGAATTGCAGTGCCCAGAGCCAACTGACTGGGGTTGAATTCTTTGGGTCAGTCATGGGGGGTTTCTTTGGGTTATTTGGGGAAGTTCCTGGTTCTGTCCTTCCACTCACAGCATTTGAGTTGGGTAATGGAAACTCCGGGTAGGGTTTAGCGTCGGAAACGAGGGAAGATGAGGTCAGCCGCTGGGTTTCTTACCAGTTCATACGATAAGTTACCGTTTCTTACCCTTTTGTCCTCCATCAGCCAACCCAGTCACCGTATTGTTCATGGCGCCGCCCTTCCCGCAAAAGCAAGCGGTCGATCAATCCGGGGTATGGGAACAGGAGCAGCAGGGCTCAATCTTACCCCTCACGGTATCACATATCTGATGACACCAGTGTTACCAGTCTAGTAGAACCATGGGAGGAGTTCGTGCCTTAGATGGTGCAACACACCCTACCACTACCCAGGGAAATACGAGCACCAAGTATGATTCTCATCCTATCATTAGCTTCATAAGTCTCTATCTACATATTTACACTGCTCACCCTTTAGAAGTCCAAGGTCTTGCCCTGCTTGGAACTCTCCTGGGCCAACTCAATCAAACGGATGATCTCGCTAGCCTCCGCTCCGCTGGCCGGGAGTTCGGACTCACCCGCAAGCGCCCGTGCCAGCTTTCGGTAATACTCAGTCCAGGTTGGGGGTTCAACCGTGGGGAAGACCTCTCTGACCGGCTTGCCATCCTGGATGGTGGTAAGGGTGCCTGGTAGTAAAACGTGTCAGCTACATGATGGGACTGGTTTGCAGCGAGCCACAATAGACTTACCATATCTCTCACTGGGCTCGCGGCCGTATCCGTTGTCGCCGGCGCTCAACCCAGCCTTGATGTGCTCTTCCTGGATGTCGAGATGGAACTGTCACCTGAAGTCAGCAAGCAAGCCCCCAATATGTCCTGCAGTCAGACACAAAGCATACCTTTCTGAAGCTACCCTTGTCTCCGCGGACCCAGAAGCGGAGCTGCTCGACTTCGGGGCTGACAACAGCAGCCTTGACCGTGGCCAGAAGACCGTTCTTGTAGTGAAGCAGGACGGTGAAGGAGTCCTCGTATCCGGAAGTGTTGACCTCGCGCTGGGAGCCCAGGAAGCCCGTCACCCGCTCCGGCTTGCCGAAGAGGTAAACAGCCTGGTCCAAGAGGTGGGAGCCCAGGTCGTAGATGGCGCTACCTCCGGGGACAACCTTGTTCTTCCATTTCGAGACGTCTGCGGCAGGTTCTTCGGGGCGGTGGCGATCGAAGTGAGTCTCGAATTCGACGACGCGGCCCAGGGAGCCGTTCTTCACCAACTTGGATACGGTCTGGAAGTCGGCGTCATAGCGACGGTCTATGCAAGGCAACGGTTAGACGCCAGCTCGTGGGAGCAAAACGCTAGGGGTCGATGTGGGAACGTACTTTGGTATACGGCGAGGTGCTTGTTCTGCTTGTTGGCGAGGGCAACGAGTTCTTGCGCCTCCTTGGCGGTGGGGGTAAAAGGCTTCTCGACAAGGACTGCGGAAATAATGCGCGTCAGCACTGCTTATTGCTGCTCAATATGGTATAAACCTACCGTGCTTTCCATGCTCAAGCGCCAGCTTGGTCAAGTCATAGTGCGACTCAGGAACAGTGGTGATGACAACAAGGTCGACGCCCTCGTCCTTGACCATCTCTTCGGCGCTCCGGTAGGACTTGATGCCGGTGAAGTCCTTCTCCGCATCGTCATCTGGCTTGGGGTTGCGCTGCACAATGGCGTAGATCTTGAATTGAGGGACCTCCTTGATGAAGGGAATGTGGAAGACCTTGGCACTGAGGCCATAACCCACAATTCCGACGTTCCAGGTTTTCGAAGACATGGTGGGGGTAGTGATCGCGGGGAAGATGGTTTTGTGTGAGAGAGGGCTGGGAGTTCACGAAAAAGGGGGATAGATAATTGCAGAGACTAGAGAATAAAATTGGGGGCTTCTCTAACTTATATACAGGGTAAATCAGGTCCACTCTCCGACTATGACTACAACATCTCCAGGTGATCAGAAATCGTCTAGTGCGGGGGAAGGTCCTCGCGACGCAACCACTGGGCCGGGCGGGGCAGTGCGGCAAAGGCCGATACTGCAGTGAAAGACTCGGAATTCATTTCAGTGCGGTTGCCGTCGTGCCGATGATGATGACACCACCGGGCCAGACTATGTCTTAAGTTACCGACATTCATTCCCCATACTCCTTCTCTGCCCTTCCATGGAATCCTTTTCCTCCCCATAAGGGTTCCCGGAGAAGCATTCTTTCTGTCTCCTAACTCTTGAACCCCCACGCAGTGGGTGACCTCGATGGCGTCCTAGAGCACATAATCCCAATACGGGTTCCCGGAGAAGCATTCCTTCTGTCTCTTACTCTTGAAACCCCACGCAGTGGGTGACCTCGATGGCATCCTAGAGCACATAAGTCGCGTCAGAAAGCTTATCCCGTAATCGCTCTGCTAATGTCAACCGACGCTGACTTACCCTGGTCGTTTCCGGCTTCACGAGTTTGCTCTCGTATATGAGGTTTGGGTTCCCAACAATGTCGAAATTCGGCGTCGCATCTGCTCCCAGGAAGGATTGCACCGTCCTATCCGGAATTCCCTCCTTGTTGTAGGTGCGTTCAGGGCCCTTCTTGGCAGCTTCACGCTTCTGCTCCACGGTGCTGCGGACATATTCCAGATACGGCGGGTTGCCCGGGTAGAGCACATTATCAGCGATTACCACCGACACCTCGGGCACAATCTTCCCCAGCTGCTCACAGAGCTTCAGATCGGTGGTGTACGCAGGCTTGTAGTGGTCAATGAACAGCACCTCCACCTGCTTAACCTCGCCGCTGCTGAACAGCTTATGCAGGGACAGGTCGCTGCGGCCGACGATGATACGCACAAAGTCGCGCAGCCCGGCAAGATCCAGCAGCATGTTCGCGATAGCGGCGTACTCCGGGTTCAATTCCAGGCTGTAGTATCGCTTTCCCCCCGCCCGACGCACGGCATCGCCGAACAGAATGGCTGAGTAGCCAACATACCCGCCCAGCTCAATCATGACTTCGGGCTTGCGTTCCGCGACGATCTCGGTGATAAACTTGCCCTTCTCTGGCCCAATATTCATGAGGTGATATTTCTGCGCGAATTCGTCGATCAGGTCCAACACTTTCTGAGGGTTGCCCTGGATCTCATCTCGGTTGGGCTGGTCGTAAATGAAGTGAAGCAGCTTGAACTCCCGACCGTCCTCGCGCTACAATCGTGCTCATTGTCAGTGCCCAAAGCTTATCAAGCGCTGTCGGGTCTTTTGGCTTACCGAACGATCCCCAGGTTGGGGATGAAGCGGAGCTACGTAGGTGGTGTCACTCATGGTCACTGACGGGCGGTGCGTGTTCGAAATGGGTCTGATAAACGGAAGATTCGTGGCAGTAGCAAGAATGGGACACAAGCTTTGAGGACAGGACCAGACTGAAGATACCCCGCGTATTTATAAATGCGTCAAAACGCAGCGCCGTGGCGCATCTCGGGTTAAGGTCGGTCATAAGCTCGGCTTTGGTATAGCAGGAGATAAGTCCGAGCACATCACAACCAGTCAGAAGCTTATACAAGCAGAAAGCCTACGTAAACTACAGGATTGAGTGTCCTTGGTGCGAGGGACAACATGGGCGACCCTCCACCGAAGGCGAGTGCTTTCCCCGCCGGTGATGCCGTCGTAAGTGCCGGCCATTCGGAGATGGTTACCCTATTGGTGGTCGTTGACGCTCTCGGTCTCCGGATATCCCGAGGCAGCCCATCCCTTGGAGTTAACAATCAAGTCGGAAATATATTTCCTCGCAGTGACTCTGAAATCAAACCAGATATGATCAACAGCTATCTCTGGTGAGCAACAGGGTCAAAGCGGCGAACACTTGCCCTGGATGATTCTGGTTTGTAACTAGTCCTAGGCTCCAGGCTGCTGGCAGTAGCACTGGTAACAGAACGCCCATAGCTCAGTGCCAATTGCATTGCTCCACCTGAGGTTATCAGGTAACCGAGACGAACTACAGATCGGACTCAACTACTGGCACTAGTTCAAGGAACTAGAGCAGACACTTTAAGGATTGATCCTTGGAAACTCAGTGCTTCAAATCAGGTGCATGCCTTTGCCTTGAAACCGGGTGTAGGTGGCCATGTTTCGGCTGATAAGGCGTGGTGGCATCATTATACTTCCCGCCGCATATACTCTGCACTACTGCTTCAGCCTGCATGCCTGTTTCAAAGACACATGTCACTCCCAATGGATTATCGCATATCCACCGTCTACGCTCAAGCTGAGCATTTCATCATTGCCGATGGGCATGAGTTCTCCGATCTCAACAGTCCTGATACTTGCGATCCGCCATCCTCCGTCAAGCCGCGGTTCAGTCTGGGCAGCAGGGTGCAGGATGATGATTCGTGCAATAGCCGCCAATCCTTGCAACCAGCAAACCTGAAGCCCAGCCCCTCGGCCCTCGTAATAGTGAGGGGTCAGCATCCGATTTATCCACGGAAATCATACGGTTTCCATCATGTCGAATCTCTTATAGATAGTCGACGTGTGGTCGAAAGTCGATGATGCTGTTTCTCCCTTTCGGCCCAGCCACCTCACTCATCTCCATACAACACAGCAGTTGATTTCATGTTCAGGTACGCATCACCCACTGCGCTGCACCGCTGACGTGGTCGCCTTGCAGTATTCCCAAGCTGCTGATCGTGCTGCCCGCATCCCTCCCACAATGTGACATTAAAAGAACCAAGTCTCCGTCAATTGTTCTGTGGAACCATCTCTACTGCAAATCATCATCTGACAGAATGGCTATCCATACAGTACGACGAGCGTTTAGCTCGATATCCCAAGAAAGCACTCTGCAATTCGCCCGCGACATGCTGCAAATCCATGTAATCTTCCACCTGGTCCGCATTGCGGTTTCAATTGCCCTCCTGCCGCTGGACAACACCATTCTTCTGGCCTCCTACGCTGCGGGGTATGTGCCCGGCGACATTTCGCAATCCTCGAGCCATGAACGTCGCCGCCAGAGAATTCTACGAGATGAGAACTTCCGTCCCAGGACCGTCCTGGTTACCGGGGTCAATACCCCGCATGGGCTAGCGGTGGCCCGTGGATGGTACTACGCCGGCCACCGGGTCGTCGGAGCGAACATCACGGAGGGCGCCATCGCCCCCGGTGAGGGCATGTCCAAGACACTGGCTGCCTTCTACCACGTCCCCAAATCCAAGTACAGCGCCCGGCTACTCGACATCATCCAGAAGGAGAAAGTGGAGATCTGGATCCCGTGCGCGAACGAGGCCTCGGCCCTTGACGATGCAGCGGCCAAACAGGTGATCGAAAGCCGGACCCATTGCAAATGCATCACGCTGGACGCCAGCCTTGCCGAAATCTTCAGCAACCAAGACACGTTCAATCAGTACCTGGTCGAGAAGCGGCTGCCGGTGGTGGAAAAACACCAGGTCCTCTCGCGGGATGCCATTCACAAGATCTTGCATCGGTCGCCGTCCAAGATTTATCAAATGCGGAGACCGACCCCCACTCCCGGGGACGATAAGGTTGTCGTGCTGCCGAAACGGACCCTCAGTCTCACCTATTCCGAAGTCAGTGAGATTCAGATCTCCAAGGAGCGGCCGTGGATATTGCAGCAGCAGACGCGGCTGGGCCAGTTCGTTGCAGAAGTGATGGTCATCTGCGGCCATGTCAAGGCCATCAAGATCTATCCTGGCGACAGGCAGTCCGATTGGGGTCACTCCCGCCTGGACAAGGGTCTCGCGAGGGCGGCGCATGCGCTCACGGAACGGTTCGCGCTCCAGGGTGGGCCTCGACTGACCGGTCATCTACGCCTCCAACTGACGGTGGATGAGGAGTTCAACGACAACTTCCTCCGGTACGCAATCCACATTGAGGGCTGCGAGCAAGGCGCCGCGGCGGTTAAGTTTCTTCTCGAAAATAAGCCCGACTCGATGGTGGCAGAGTACCTGGAGGTGCTCACGCCACACATCAACGGGGTCAACGGCGAAGCGCCCGCGATCGATATCGCATCCATTGATATGGAAATCTCCACCCCGCCGCCTGAGACCTTCAGCCTCTGTCGGATGGCTCGAAACTGCGATGTGCGGAGGGTGCTTCCGGCCCTCTACCCTGCGATCGAACAGATCGATCGCAGCATCCACGAAGGAAGCAGATTGCTTCTGTTCTGGAAGAACTGGCGGTTTTCCGCCATTGACCCGTTGCCATGGTGGTGGCATACACATATCTATCAGCCTCTGAAAGAGATCGAGATGATTATGAATACGAACAACGGCAAGCAGGCATAAGATTTTGCCCCGCCTCGTTGGCCGTTTTGACGACTCTCCTTTGTTTTTGCATTTTTTCTTGTGTATTCTCATTAATTTACTCTCCCTATTTGCACTCCTCTCCTTTTTGGTTTCTTATTAGTTAGCGAAACGAGGTTACGACGGGTCACAGCACCTGAGACGATGTTAGTGTATAAAGGAGCATCGAGTGGCGTCTTCTGAGTATATTGGCTATTTGCAGATCTGTGGACTTCCAGACAAACGCGTTAATGAATCATCACCGCTTGAAACAATCTGATGCAGGGCGATAACCCTTGAAATCCGAAGCAATAATCTAGCGCTGTAGCTTGATCTTCGACGATGGAGTCGGCCAAGCGCTGCGGCGTGGTGATCGTGTGTCCCTGAATAGTTCCCCCTGTTTCCATGAGAACAAGCTACTTGGCGCGAGCATGAAACGGCTAGTCAGTCCCCTTCGCCACCCCGTAGTCAATATAGAAACAATATCGCCGTGAAAGCCGCTTAGTTTCAAATTGCTGGTGAGTGGTCAAGTATAGCCACCGAGGCAGGTTCGCCGGACTGTTTTGTGCAGTATGAGGCTCGACTGAAGATTACGATGAGCGACCGACTGACTCTGGAGGTCTCTGACATGTTGACACATCATATGCAGAGGCAAAGCTGCCCAGGATCTGGTCCCCACCCGGACGATGAGAAATGCAGTGCTGGATCTTCATTTCATCAAAGTACAGTACAGGCTGCCTTTATCAATTGCTGAAGTGGCCATCGTCTTTAACCTGCCAGTGGGCTGTGTCGGATGGGAGAATACGTCAGCCTTCCGTGCGAAGTTGCCGATTGGGCGACACAGCCGGTATTGAGTGTGAGAATGGATACGAGGAGACACGATTTGGAACAGTAATCTCAAGTGACTTGACTTCGAGGGGTGTGGGCCGACCGCATTAACTTGGATGTAAGAGAGAGACTTTGATCTTGCTTATGCATAGTTCGTACAGGATACAGGACATGGTTCAGATGTGATTTGGAGCGTCCATGTGCTTTTTATTCTATTTTGGGCAGAGATCACGGGCAGACTAAACCCAAACGGGAGGATGACCTTGAATGAAGTGTATTATTATTATTGTTATGACAGCAACATTCGCCCTTCACGAGCTTCCCCCTCCTAGTTACGCAGACTATCTTCTCTTCTACTCACTCAACTCTGGCCTTTCACCTTCACGAGCCATAGTAACGTCTTCTACCTCATCCTTGTCGCCGGGTGAAGATTATCCCCGGAGTAATTGCATCACCCGGTTCCCCTCCCACTGTTTGCCTGCGCCTCTACTTTAGTGTCCGCGCGGCACGATCGGGTTGCCCCGTTCACCTCGCCCTCGGTTTTTCGACACCCACTGCATAAACAATCGCATTGCATTTCGCACTCTCGCCGACGGCCTCTTCGCCTTCCTCCTGCTATCAGTCTCGGAATACAGTTCCTGACGCCTCGAATACATACTCCGATCTCCCTGCGATTGAACCACTAGCCTCGACTGCATTCCCTGGCGGTTCGGCTGCCTAGCGTAAGGGAAGCAGCGCCTTTCATCATCAGGCACCACTTCTCCGTCACCCACCCTTCCCAGCACCATGAGAGTCGCACGGCCGTCCTTCAACCCCGGACGGACGAAAAACATCATCCACGGCTTTCAGGGATTCATCATATTCCTAGCCTGGGCCCTGACTATCGCCGTGTTTACCAAGGGCCACGGCATTGATGGCAGATCGGCCTGGTACTGGGCCTTGGTGAGTGGCATCCTGACCGAGAGGTAACCCGCAACGCCGTGGGGAGTAAGCGCTAACTCTTTGACTGCATAGTGCTGGTTCAGCATCCCCGGCCTGATCTACCTCGTGGCGGTGCCCATGTGGCCGCGCGCCCGCCGCTTCGGCAACGTCTACGCCTTCGCGACCGTGGACTGTCTGTACGCCATTTTATGGTTCAGTGCGTGGATCTGTGTCGCTAGCTACGTGGCGCAGGGGAAGAGCATCGGGAAGAGCGACAGTGACAGCAAGAAGGGCTGCGACAACTGGGCGTACGGCAGCGCCAGCAAATGCAAGATCAGCACCGCCACCGTGATCCTGGGCGTTATTGTCTTGTAAGTTGGCCCCCTTTCCTTGTCAAGGGCAATCTAACCCGGCCGATCGGACAGCCTCCTCTTCGTGGGAACCGCCTTCATGTCCTTCCGCAACGTCGTGCACTTCCGCCGCACCGGCACCCTGCCCGACGCCGTCTCCGACCCGACCTTCGCCGCCCACACCAAGGCCGCGTTCTCCTCGAACCCGGCGCACGACTTCGAGGAGGAAGAGGACGACTTCCGGTCGCGCGCGGGCATGGGCTCGTCGGTGCGCGGCGACCGCGACGAGGACTACGCCCTGCTGCACCAGAGCGAGGCCGACGACTTCGGCAGCACCACGCACGGCCGCTCGGCCGCCTCGGGCGCCTACGACCCGACGGTGTCGACGGGCAGCGTGCTGCACGACTATAGCACCAGCTACGGCGGTGCGCATGGCCAACACTACGGTGCACCGTCGGAGTATGAGCCGAGCCACAGCGGCTACGGGCGCTGAAGGAGCCGAGCAGCAAGAAATACGAGTGACCCTTTCTTCGAATTGGCAACGCAAGAAAAAGAAAACAACCATAGGGCGGTGTTGCGGGCGCAATCTTTCTCTGACCTTTTGTATCTGGCTTGTAACCTGACGACTCATGTATGCTGTGATTAGCGGAGGCGTGCCACCGCCGGCCACCGCGCCCGCTGACGACTTATTGGATGACGAATGTATTTTGGAAGCTTCTACATAGATCAACTCACATACTACTTGTTTATCTCACGAGCCTTCCCAGCCCGACTCACTTCTATACCCAGAATATAAGTGTTTCCGGGGGAGAACCCCCGGACCCCCCTTCTCTTCAGCTTCCTGGCACCTCAATCCTAGGCCAAGTATATAAGTGTCTCCGGGGGAGCACCCCCGGACCCCCCTTTCCTTTCAGCTTCCCAGTGCAAAGGCATAGAGTGACACGGCGCACCGGACAGTTCTCCGAACAGATTCTGCCACCGCCTTGGCTAGCACGACCAGCCATCAGGACAGCTCAGCTCCTCCAACTCACAGCTCAGCACCATCTTCATTTCATCCAGAAACAGACACCAGTCTTTTACTTCCTACAGGTGTCAGATTCACAGGACTACCCCTGTCTCCACTTGCCGCGCAGTAAGTGTTCAACACAGTCTTAATTCGAAACTCCAAACAACACTAACTATGCACAGACCAGTCCACCACCTACAACCACTATACACAAAAACCCACGACACGAATACCAGAAATACACGAATCCCCAGGGGATACCCACAGTCAAAATGACAACAATAGAAACCTACAACCCCCTCCCCCTCCACCTAAACCCAACAAGCAAATCCATAACCCTGAGCCACAACACCCCCAGCGCCAGCGAAACCGCCACCCTCGCAAATGAACTAACCCACCTAAACACCCTGCACCGCGCCCTCCTCGAAACCCCACAGCAGATCCCCCCGCCTCCGCTACCCATAAACCCCAAGCGCAGCGCCCAGATCACCAAGCTCAGGGACAGCGCCAACGCCGCCTACAGAAAAGGCCAGGCGGGCGACGCCGCACGACTGTACGGGTACGCGATCGACATGGCGCTGGGCCGGCCCGGCTGGGAGCCGGTCACGTTGGCGCGCGACGAGCTGGCGGGATTGTATGCGAACCGGGCGCAGGCGTTCATGACCCAGCGGCTTTGGGCGGAGGGGCTGGTGGATGCACGGTGTAGTGTTGAGAGTAAGGCGGTTGGGAATGTGAAGGCTTGGTGGCGGGGGGGTAAGTGCTTGGTGGAGATGGGGAGGTGGGAGGAGGCTCGTGGGTTTGTGGAGAGGGGGTTGGAGGTTGAGGGGCGTGAGTCCGAGGGCGGGAGGGAGTTGTTGGCGTTGCTTGCGGAGGTTGAGGAGGGGTTGCTGAGGAAGAATAGGAAGTGAGGTGGTTTTGAGGATACTACGAAGGAGCTTGGTCTGGGGCGTGTTTTGTTGGTAAGGGGAAGGAAAGAGCAGGATCATGATGATCTTATGGATTGGGTTGTTGTCGCTTGCATACTTCTTGTATGTCATGTCATGTCATGTCTATGTATGTATGATGTACTTTGTTCTCTGTTTGTATCGGCGTTCAGGTTGATATTCGGGATTCACACGTGTCTCGAGGGTCTTGTCTTTGAGCTTGTTTTCACCAAAATATTTCTTATCTTGCGTTGGTTTGTTATATCGGTGGTACTTGTTTTGAGGGCAGGAGTAGGGGTTTGTATGGGCACCATCTATAACTAAGCCATATATCCTCCTCTCTCACAGCAGCTCGGGTTCGATTCTCCGCATCAAGATCTATCTTGCACGGTCTATTCTGGTAAGAGCTCCTGTGGTGTATGGGTTGCTACTGACACATTCAATATATATATCTTGTGTTACATTTAATGACTATGCTGTCGCTCATAAGCAGCTCTGGGTTCGTTCCAAGTTGTACTTGTCAACCCGCGGTGTTCTAGATATTATTAGAGCAACATATCACACTTTGATGGATACTGAACTCGGAATCAAGGCATCCTTCTTCTGATTTTGGCTATTTACTCAAGAGACACAAAGAAACAAAAAAAATTAACATGCCTTCAATTGGTGGGTAGATGTAGTATATGACTGGCTCTAAGAAGCCTATATTATGTATATTTCTGTCATCAATCAACAGCTCTGAAACCATAATAATACACAAAGTTAACTTCGATGCGAAGATTCGAGTCCAAGCTGCTGTGTAATTGAAGGATAAATACATTGTCTGAAGGTAAGGGAAGCAGGTGCTGCCCGGTGCTGGGACAAATAATATCTGCCCATAACTAAGAATAAGTATTAATGACAGCCCAGTAACAAGACTAGAAGCGCCGTCTCCATGGCGAGCTTTATACAAGATACGAAATGTCCCAGGTACTCTGTAAAAAAGGAATATACCTAAGCCTACTACTAGAAACCTGTACCAGCAGCCCAGGATATCAGAAAATGTCCAAACCGTGTAGCCGAAGACCGCCTCTTGCAGGCAGGGCCGGAACATGAGGACACTCATGTAGATTGGAGGTCCGATGCACTAGATTCGCTCTTTCAGACCCTCCGCACCTTTTTATAATTTCAGGTAAGCTCTTCGGCTGTGTTTGCAAACTTTTGCGGCGTGAAGCAGAACCAAGCAAAGCTGTCTTGCCGCTGAGACAGGGAAGGTTTGCACGAGGAGTTCGAATCAATTCTATATCGTAAGACACAGGGTGTCTCTTATCCAAGGAAGATATTTGTCCCCCTTCCTCTGGACTGCGTTTGTAAGTTAAGAATAGATTGTCGTAATTTTGCTTCATGAACCAGACCTTACGTATTTGGTCATGAAGAAAGTAACGGAGCCCACCACATTATGAGCAGACCATCGCCTGAGAATCAAGTGGTGGTGGGACTGTATCTTTGAACTGGTCTGTTCTTGAGAAAGTCGTAAAATGATAACAATTGAACGAAGCCGTTTCCTATTGTAGCTGACCGATAATCAGAATGATGGCGTAGAAAGGAACTCAGGGAGAGAGCAGCTAGAAACGCAACAAACAAGGTAATTGCCTTTTCATAATAGTAAGGAGCATCGTTAGCATGTTGCTGTTTGTACCATTGGCCTGCTGGATGGACATGATGGCTGAACGAGGGGCAAGTGTTGTAAGAAGATATGGAGGAAGAGAGTTGCGAGTAAGTTGGAGATTGATATACCCTCGCCTGTTCAGAACTCCTTACTCTGAACAAACTCCTAGCATCAACTGATACCACATAGTTGCGAAACTGCTTGGAGGGTTGATCTGGAAGCAGTTCGTAATCATACCGGTTACCTAAGAGCCAGCCAGCCCACACCAGGGTCCTAGCAAAGAGTGACTCTCTCAGATCGTATTACTCGCTTAGACCCAAGTGCCTGCTCACACCGTGCCATGCTTGCAGTCACCATTGCTCGCCACGTGCGAGAAAGCGGTACGATAAGGGAAAGTATGAAGCTTTGCTTTTTGCTTGAATCGGTGACTGAGGAACTATTTACATAATTCCACGGTGTTTATTTTTTCCGCCGGTCACGCGATCCAGGCCCCCAGACGCTGACAAGGTGCAAGAGTGGTTGGCGGGCCCTTCTACCAGATGAAGCATGGGTGCAATATCCGCATAGGCCTCGGGAGGTGAGCCACGCTCATGAGCAGCCTCACGGAAGTCGACAAGGCGACTTACCAAGTCAAGCAGCACAGTATAGGTTTCATTCTCATGAGCGACATCAATCAGGTTGTGAAGGGCCAGGCCAGGCAGAAGTCCTGCTGCAAAAAGGCAGTAATGTCGTGACGTTTAGGAGCGCGGTCAAGAACACGCTGGATCTGGACAGCACGGCCAGGGTGGACGGTCTCATCGTTGTGTTTTATGATGCAGGAGATCTCTTATTAAGAAGTGATCTTAGCAGAAGGCAGGACATGACAGTTCTGTTATTTGGCTATATGCACACGCGTAGATGGATCAGATGTGCTGGCATTCGTGCCTTTGCCTTTGAAAACGGTGTCGAACCATGCGTGTAAATGTTTGTGTGATTGCGAATGCCGATCCAGCCCAATGCTAATCTTGACGATTGTTGCGTATGCTCCGCGCCATATCCACAGCATGGGCATAAATATATATTATGCCGCGTGAAACATATATCACACCATGTGCTATCACAAGTCGAGCGCACAGCTGCCGAACTGGATATACACACGCAAATCCGTATCCCTGGATCAGTTTTCTCACATCGCCCTTCTCGACGCGCTCAATCGTGTCTCTGTCAATATAGACGACGATGGTCTCGTGGCTGTCTTTTTTCTCGTCAGACTTAATGCAAAAGCCCGCATGGTTAGATCCACATACGCGAAGGTCAATGTTCCAGCCTCTTGAGAGAAGTGTGCAGTGCTTTTTGCTACAGACACGTGTATCCGTCGCCCACGCTCGCTCGAGGAGGTCTCTAAGGAGAAGAAACAATCGCTTTGCCAGCGGACGCAACTGAAGATGCAGCAGGATAATGCATGAGATCTGGTGATCTGTCTTTCTAAAGGACGTTTCTCGTCGTTAAAGTCCATTGACCCCTGACCCTAAAGGGGGTGCGCAAGGCGCCCAGAGAAGACAAACATAAAGCACACTGACAGAGACCCTGAAGGGTACACTCGCGGAGAACCGCATCGCGAGACAAGCAACGAGGAATGCGCCCTGGGTGCGGGCGAAAGCGGATGCAATGGTTGAACGTGCCAGAGGAATGCACTATGACTCAAGCCTTTGGCTTGTGTACCAAGCTTCAGTGTTTAGATTGCTTCTGGTACATGGTGCATATACTGCCAGTAGGATTTCCTGATCTCGCGAAGGCACTTGTATCGAAATTTCTGCCGATCAGCCGCAGAGGACTGGGTGTAGGGCAAATTCAGATACTTGATCTTGAACCGTACTCATAGACCTCAGCGCGTCTATCGATAAAACCATCCTCATAATAATCGCTATACGCATTCACTCGGCTGTCCTCCAGACCATCGCAGGTACCTTGGCAAAGACTACGCCAATAGCGATTTGCTTGCTGTGTCTCCAGAATTCGCCGTGGGGTCTCAAACCAAGGTCTCCTGTACGTGGTGAGCCGGTGCATGAGCTTCCAGTGTTGCGAATTCTGCATAGAGACGTTTGCCAGCAATTTCTGAACACAACCCGGCAGACCTCGAAAGAGTGCCACTTGTAAGGCACTCCACCCAGCTTTTGCCCCTTGCAAGGGGTCAGTGCCGCATTGGTCCAGCAGGAGGTTCACTAAGGTGAGCGACGCATGGTCCGCATAGGCTACAGCCCGCGTGAGGGGCGAGAAGCCGTTGGAACCGGTACAGCCAATCTCCGCACCGTGGCCAAGTAGCAGCCCTATGGTTGCAATCTGTCCTTCTTTCAGGAGGCTGTTGGCACGATGATCCCAGTCCCGGCACTTGTCCATCTATGTCGGCACCGGGTGAAGGGTTCGTATAAATTTTGGCGATAACTCACTCTAGCCTGGACATCTGTTCGGGTGCCTGTAATTAGTCGTGCATCTTGATATCAGTGTCAGGACCAGGCTCAGGATCTTTGTGAGATTCAGCAATGACTTGCTCTGGCATGGACCCCTCGATCACCGAGTCAAAAGTGGCTGGAGGGCGGAGTAATTTCTGACTACTTCAGCTTCATATGTTCAACACTATTCCGTATTGTCACTTCGCTCATACGGAGAATGAAATAAAGAGGATGCGCTGCACTAAAACAGAAAAGCAGAAGCTCGGAGGTGCGCCGTTGACAAGTATACTGTGCTGTGCCTCCAGCGAATACTTGCCCCATGTAGGAAGACATGGTGAGCGCCTGTCATCTCAATGGGAAGGTCCGTCAGCTCCTGTTTGCACCATGACACCAGGCGGGCTCGCTCATATCCAAGGTTGCAGGTTCGGGCTGGTCCCAATTCACAGTACTGTTGCGGCAGAAGCTCTCCGCGTCTGTGTTATTCAGGATTCCTCAGTAGGACCACCTCTTTAGGAAGGCAACCCCCGCGTCCACGCCCTGGCATTTACTGGGACGCCGCCAATAGATGAGAGGGGGCCGCTCTATGCTGATTCTGGTGCAGCATCGGACTTGGAAGCAGGATGAAGCCTCACTCCGCTCATTGTGAATTCACATCCTGAGCGGTGGGATTTTCATACAACGCATAACAGCGCCCTAGCCTACTTATAGCTGCTTCAGCTAAATCCAGAACACCCTCGTAAACTGAATAGTAAAACAAGGGCGTCCGGATGCCATAGATAACGAGGGACGCGTTGCTCGCAGGTACGCCTGTCGATGGTTGTAAAGACCTTCAAGAGAGATTTGCTTCTGCGGTCCTCAGAACGAAACCATGCAATCAAGAGTACGAGTGCACCGAGCTAAGGCCGAAGGCTCTGTGGTAGCCTTGCCCCTCGTAACTCTGAGTCAGTTTCAGTTTGTCCTCAGCTATTACACGATCCGGTTAGTTAACAATTATCGACTTAATAGACAAGAAGAAACGTATGCAACTCACCATTTGATCTTGAAGGAGTGAAAAGACTTTCCTTGGATAGTCCATATACCAGGAAGACTACCCCAAGATGGTACCCATCACAATTTGCTTGTCAGCGTGGCTCGCTGTAACACATTCCTTGCAAATACTGACATGATTCTTCATTACTGTCGAATGGACGTGGAACATGGCAGTCCGACAGCTATGAGAAAGCCTGGCAGTATAGTCGAATGGTAGCCAGCAAGCACATCAGCAAGTTTTCTGGACTGTTCATCTGCGCCTGGCTTCAATTCCGTATTCATTACTGTCCTAAGACGGCGATGAACTTTGGACATGGTACTGTCGTTGTGTCTTTATGTAACCTAAAGGCAGCAAGACTGAAGATGCCGCATAACGGTGGAAGCAACAATGTCATGATTGTTATCGAAAGCCCGAGTATGTTGGATATGGATCCATGACTCCTCGATCGAGCGGAGGCTTGAAGCCACTACCGCTACCATATTTCTGTAAGTGTCCATGGACCCGTCGCTCAGAAGGATGATCTCTCTCAAGTCTATAACGACCTTCAAGCATCCTCGACGGATGACAACTGGGAAGTTTCGCCACCTGAAATTCAAGTCAGTGAAAGAATCGCGCGAAGAGCCAAACATCACTTACGACGCTTGAAAACACTGCAATCGAACTGGGAACTCCAGAGGATATGAGGTACTCAAACCCGCTGATACGTGTCCATTGTCGGTAGTTGCGCCTCCTCATCCAGAGAATCGCACCGTAAATGTAAACCCAAAGGTAAATGGTGAGAACCGGATGTCCACGAACAAGGGATACGGTGTTCGTCTGGTTCGTTTGTAAGGTCTGATGTATCACGAACATCGGTTGGCTTGCAAGGCACAATAGTCCTGAATCCAATTCATTTCTGGTTCACATCTGACCCCGCGGTCATGGATGATTTCAAGCGGAACGAGCCTGTTGCTTCTCTCTTTGGGATGCGTAGTTTTGAGAACTTCCGGCCCTGAAACACCTGGTGGCCTGGAGCCCTGTCGCAGGACCAGGTGGTGCCGGTAGGGGTGGTGAGCTCTTGCGCAGCCGTGACGAACGACGACGCTTGGATCTGGAGTGGGCACAGGGCTGGTATAACAGACGATCTATAAAAGGTTTTTCGTGCGGGTCTTCCTCGACTAATACACTACAGTTAGTCTCACATCAAGGAATAGCAGCAAAAAAGAAAAGAAAAGGAAAAAAAGGGAAGATGGAAAAAGATAGGGGAAGACTTACTTTGTGAAAGAGGCTTACACACTATCTCAAAATATGTGCAGAATCATAGTCCATGATGTGGAGTGACAGGTTGAAGACATTTGGCGTAAGGAGGGTGATCAGAGAGTGAAATAAGATGGTACATGCATTGATGCAGGGATGATGACGATGGATACAAAGATGCTAGATGATAAGATGGAGGCTGATAAAGGAGGAAGATGGAGAAGAGTGTGAGGTAAGAGAAGGGAGAGGATAGAAAAAGATGGTGGTCGAGAAGAATGAAGGAAGAGGGCTAAGGAAAAGAGGATGATGAAGGATGATGGAGGAAGAGGATGAAGGTGATGAAGGTGATGGAGGAGGAGAAGGAGAACAGAGGGAGAAGAGAAGGCGGGAGAAGGAGAAGATACTTATAGCTCAAGGCGAGGAGTGAAACACGAACACTCTCCACAATTGTCACCGCGGGCAAATGTGAATAAGTTACGATTGTGGTGAATGTATAGTATCCCTTAGCTGTGAACGATTCACCGGAATACAATCAGCCACACGCCCCGGCTAGACGGCCTGCGGCGCGGGCCGGTTGACCCACTACCCGTACAGGTAAATGAATACTTACACCCACGAGCTACTCACCGTCTGACTACTACGACAGATACACAACAATCAATAAATAGCAGACATCAAATGAAAGGCTAAATAGGATATATACAAAAAAGCCTACATCATATTCCCCCGACCTCCTCAAAAAATCAAACCAGCACACTCGATCCATCGCTCTTCTTGCACGCACACCCGGAAGAATCCGAAGCGATTTGCGAGGGCGTGCGCGCATAGCTAGGCGGCACATCCAGGGCCGGGTTGCGGGAAAAGAAGTTTCTGGGGCGGAGGAGCAGGGTCATGGGCTCAGAAGGCATGATCGGGTAGTCCTCGGGGGTGGGGAAGTGAGTAATACCGAAAGTGTGCCACAGGACAATGTCAGTGTTATCGATGGAGCTGTCGGCACCGGCCTCCTCGATCCAGGCGGGGAGACCCTGGGACGGCTCGCCAGAGGTCTGGGGAACGTGGCGTCCAGCGGGGTGGATTTGGTCATCGGAGTCTAGATTTATCCATATTAGTTCGAGATTCCCTTTTCAGGCAGAAAGAAAGGTAACTCACATTTGGTAACGTGGACGGCATGTCTGGCGAATCCAGCTCGCTTCCAGACCAGACCACCCTCCTTGGGAAGCAAGGGAGGCACCTCACGGCTGACCAGCTTGTAGGTGACAGGCTTCTTGCTGTAGGGGTTCAGCTTATTGGTGTTGGCGATCTCCCAGGTGCGGCTGGTGTTGCCGTCGTAATCGGACATAGCCTCGCGGGGGGTGGTGAACTTGGTCTTCTTGGCGTAGAAGGCGTTGCCGTACTTGTTCTCGGCGCTGCCAACCTCTCCGGGTCCGCGCACGGCGTCGACCTGGAAGACGGTGTTACTGGGCCCGTCGACGTTCGGGTCCACGCGCAGACAGAACAGGTGCTGGTGGTTGTGCGCGTTGACGCCGGGGTAGACCTCGGTGCCCCAGCCCTTGGTGTCCTCGCCGGGGTTCATGGCGTAGGTGTTCAGGATACCAGTGAGCTTGATGTCCAGCTGCACGGTGCCGTCCTGGTGGAAGATCCAGTAGACACAGTACTCGTAGTTGGCGGCCGTGAAGATTTGCGAGATAATCAGCTTGCGAGCACGGGTCACGATGACCGACTCATCACGGAAATCGGTGTGCTTAAAGAGAATGCCGTTGTCCTCTTCGTGGATGCAGATGGCGTTCTTGACAATGGTGCTGGCACCTGCGCGGTTGACAAAGGCAGCGTCCATGTAGTGGATAGCGCCTTTGCAGTCACAGCCCAGGGAGAGACTGTTGGTCATGTAGCCACCGCCGTACTCGCCCAGGTCGAAAGCGTGCTTGCGCTGGTGGGGGTGCTCGGGGTTTCCGTAAGGGACGACCATCTCGGCCAGCGAGAGACGGTAGAAGACCGGGCGCACGTTACCCCTATCATTGAATGTAATGTTGTTGAGCACGATACCCTCGCGGTAGTTAAAGCCGATGTGGATGTTCCAGTTTTGCCAGTCAATGGTGCGTCCGTCGATGTTGAAGGAGACACCCTCGGGCTGGGTGATGTGGATGGGCTTGATGTCCTTGCGGAAACCACCCTCCTTCTCGATGGAGTTGACATTGTAGTTGCTCGGGGGAGCCTTGCTGATTTGTCTCCGCACGGGGGGCACATCGATGTGAATGACCTCCTTGGTCTCGGCGTTGAAGATAGGGCAGAAATCAAGGGGGAACGTGTACTGGGAATCGTCGACGTGGGGGCGGTAGTACATGAGGGCCTGCTGCAGACGGACGTCGGTGCCGAAGCGCTCGTCATATCCGATAGTCCAAGCTAGATTCTGTCAGTGCAAAGCTTTATTGGAAGTCAAGAATATAACTCACGATCACAGTGAACCTTGTGCATCTCTTCCTTGGGAATACCAACAATAGCACACTGCTCAATGACCTTAGGGTCCTTGCGGACAATGGACTCCACCTCCTGCAGATCCTCCATCGTGATCAGCGGCTGCACGCCGGGGGTGTGCTTCCACTTCAAGACCTTTTCCTTCTCAAGATCGACGACACCATCGTAGACCTTACCACCAGGAGCAATGGCGACAACGTCAGCCATACGGGTGGGACGGGGAGCCTTCTGGGGATCGGCCAGCCAGGCCATCATCTCCACCTTGCGGGGCTCATAGAGCGTGACCGCGTTGAAGTTGACCTTGCCATGCTCCTTGCGGATGAGGGCCACCGCGGTATCGATCTCCGAGGTGGAGAGCGGGTCAAGCGGGTGGGGAGGAGGGGCCGTGGCCTTGACATGGTGAGCCAATTGTTGCAAGCGGTCGAGAACCATGATGTGCTGAGTAGGAGTAGTGATGAGAAGAGGATGAAATGTACTGTCGTGTGTCTTTCTTCCAAAAGCCTCCAAGGGCGAGCTGGATGATAGTTATATAGTATAAGAAGTGTGGGGTAAAGACGGGGAGATTATCACGGAGGAAGATGCAGGAAGGGAAAGGAAGAGACACAACCAGCAGACTTGTGGTACAGAGCGTATTCTGCCTATCCTGGAACGGAAAACATTGTAGCTTTTAAACGCGCCGTGTCCAACAGGCCAGCTGCACGATGGCCAGGAGTTACTTGGTTGAGTGCATGGATAGCAGCAACGAGTGTGTTGGCGATAAGCCAGTGGACGACGACCGATAAACCACGACCCGGATCCCTTGCCCCAAACAGGCATAGCGTCCGATATGTGGCCGAGGTCGCCGAAAGCGGAAATGCGAACCCTTTCACGAAGGAGTTCCAAGGGTTGCTGCAGTGGCGGGCCAGACCTGGGGTTCGGATGCCTTTACCCAATGTCACAAGAGGACGATCTGAGGGGGAGGGGGTGATATGCACAGGTATCATGGGGTGCAGAGGGGAGTAATCGTGCCGAGTAATGGAATGCGATTTGGTTACACCTCCACCTATCTATCGCATCCCCAATCAATCAATCAGCGAAAAGAGGTGGCAAACCATCCAACTGACACAACTCACTCACTGTAATGTGTCAATTCCACCCAACCTATCTCTAATTATCCCTATCTCCTCTACATCAATGATACCAATGATAAGAGCCCGTCATCTCGGATATCGCATCGCATCGAGAAGCCTCGGGAACGTCACTATAGCGGAGAAAGAAGAAAAAGATATGATTATATTCCCGCCGTAAGAAGAACACCATACACCTTTGCAGAAACCCCACTCCCAAGACTATACGAAGGCATTTCAGGCGATGAACTCCGTGGACGAGACCGCAAGAAAAGAAGAAACTAACGACACAAACGACAAGGAACAATGCACCAAGAAAGCACAACCCCATGCCACATGCTATGTACATCCATCAAATCGTTTAGGTTCTCCATCCCTCCTACCGGCTAAAGGGGAAAACAGACAAACCAGAGATACCAGCTTTAAAAAAAAAATCAAGTAACAGAGAACCATAAATTTGGAAAACACCCTTCGAAGACGCTATTCAATCGACCACCGGCGAGAGTTTACCGTGGGTCGCAGTAGGTTCCTATACAGGACGGGAAGGATAAAGAGAAAATGGTTAGGGAGGATCGCAACCACAAAGCATACAAAAGTCGTAAGCTCCGCGCACCTGATTCGAACGCCCCAGGGCAACGATCATGACCGGCCGAGGGCCTCAGGATTTGGCAGCCTGGAATTGTGCCAGTACGCCGCCGGTACCACCGGGGGTCAAAGCATGTGGTGTTTGGCTGCCGCCGATGTGGCCGGCGTTGGGGGTGCTGGGGGTGCCCGTGGTCGAGTAGATGGTGGCGCCGTTGAGGTTCGGGGTTTGGTGAGGTTGCATGTGGTACAGCAGGGAGGGCATTTGGCCGTTCAGGCCCCAAATCTGGCCGGAGTATTTTGAGTCGTCGATGCTGCCGCCGAAGACAAGCTGGCGCATCTTCCAGTAGATCTCGCCGGTGACGAGGGAGTCCGACCCAGCCTGGTGGGCGATGCCGACCCGCTTGACGCCGAGCTCATCAGCGATATCTTGAAGGCCCGACTTCTGTCCCAGGTTGGTGAGGATCTGAGCCGCGGCGGGCGTCAGAGGGGTGTCGTTGACCGCCTGGTTGCGCCCGGCGTGCTTCATGAGGTACTTGATGTCATAGAGCGACGGGAAGAAAATGTTGAGCAGCTTGTGGAACTCCTCCTCATTCTCCGGCAGCGGCTTGCAGAGCATGATCTTCATCAGGTAGCCGAAATCGTAGCCCGAGTGGAACGAGACCCAGTGGACGTCGTCCAAGAGCACGAGCCCGGAGCTGATCAGGAGGGCGCCAAACTCGAACGGGTCGATGCCGTTCTTCTCGTGCATCGTGAAGTCAATCCCCGCCTTGGCCAGCATCGCCGTCGACTCTTGTGCGTACATGTCTTCCTCTAACGAGAACCGGAAGTTGAACTGCCATGTGCAAGGGGCGGGGACGAGGCTGTTGCCGAGGGGCTGGCCATTGGCATCGGTGGCATTCGGGGGCGGGACCTCCCCTTCGGCGGAAAACAGGGTAATGCCGAGTTGGATCATTTTCAGGAGGTCGACGTTACACCGCAGGGTTTGGTAGTGGTAGTCTGCTTTGTTTGTGAACGCTCCGATCGGGCGTGCGACAATGCCGGGGAACTCGGTGTCCTGATGATTTTTGGTTTCCAAATTAGCCTACACCTGACTCGTAGTTTGTGCGCCGGGGACGGAGTAGCTATAGCTTTGTCTCTAGATTTGTGAGGCTGGGACTGTGCTCTCCAACGTCGCAATCGCCCATCCTCACATCATAGGTAGTGGCCTTACCATGCTGATATACGGGTACTTCTCCACGAACTGCCGCAGGATAGCCATCTCCTGAGCCAGGTTGTGGCTCCATACGTCGCGAATCCGCGTCTTCACGGCACCGCCGGCCTTGGACTCGAGCGCAAGCCGACCGTCATGAGCTTGATGTAATTGCTGTTGCTGCATCTGCGCGCCCCGGGCGAAGCCCATCTGGGCGGCGTGGCTGGCGAGCCCCGTACCGCCTCCATCCGCAGCGCCTCCGCCGAACCCTGCCACCGAGATGCCGTTGGCCAGGCCGGAGCCGGACAGCGTGAATGGGTTGATGTTTGTGTTCGGGTTGCCGGCGGCGAAACCAGGGTGACCACCGAGGGACGGGGGAGGGAGAGCGGTATTGGCCGACTGGGCAAGGGCCGGATGATGTTGTTGCTGCTGCTGCTGCTGCTGTTGTTGGGCTGCTGCCGCCGCTGCCGCTTGCTGGTGTTGCTGCTGGAGATGGGCTTGCTGCAGTTGGGTATATGAAGAAGCGCTCAGGCCAGCAGGCCCGTATCTGCCGACAGGAGGGGGCATAATCGATGAGTGAACACGGAGGACCGATCAACAGTCATATATCACCTAGTCGCCAAGCGTATGGGAGGTGGAATGTAGAGGTAGACGCTATATGTGGGGAGAAGAGGAACACAAGGAGAGTGAGCACAAGAGTTTAGCAGGAGTTAGTTAGCTGAGAAATAGTGAGTGAGTGGTAAGGTCGGTCGGTTCGGGGGACGTTTTTCGCGCTGGGGGGGAAGCCGATTCGAGGGTAGTGGAAAGGCGGCGTGGACGGCTGTGACAGAATACTGCAAGCTACTTGATTCCCTTATCCGGCCTAGCGTGCCAAGACCCAATGCCTTCTCCCTCGCTCACTCAATTGAGTCTCCCTCAGTCTGTACAGCTTCAACCTCAACTCCCCTCACCTCTAATCCACCTCTCACCACCACCAATACCCTCAATTACCAACCCGGAACCTCCGGCCATCAACCCCCCGCCAAACCACCCACGAGCACCACCACCTCACCCCAAAGAATCCAACACAATGGCCCGTAACCCCACCGGCTTCGACATCAACGAATTCAAGGCCGCCGCCCACCCGCGGTCGACCTGGGCCAAACAGGACCCGTGGGCTCGCTAGTACGACCTCCTTTCCTCTGCCATAGCCACATTATACCCACAATTCTTCCATGGAAAACATCTTACTAATTCTCCTGGAATCCACAGCGAAGCCTGGAGATATACCGGCCCGTTCAGCCGCTTCAACCGCTTCAAGGGCCTTTTCCCGGGTCTCGGTGTCGCGACCGTCGCTTTCGCCGGTTACTGCGCTTACGAGGCTGTCTTCCTCAAGGATGACCACCACGGTCACCATGGCAAGGAGGGCCACCACTAGATCTATCGCATTGATTCATTACCGGACCGAACGGGCGGGTCGAGTCGCGGAATGGAGGGAGGGATACGCTCGGGAGAAGCTAGCGCAGATATGAAAACGACAAGCGGGATGGACACAATGCATTTCGCCGGACATGGAGGAAATGCACTGCGGAGGGACAGGATTATGGTTGGCACCGTGGACGGATACTCGGCTCGCTACGAGATCGATGGATCAGAAAGCGAAGGGGATGCGCCTCATCTGGCGCTTTTAAGAGGTGAATCGCTGATGAGCTTAAGGTTGGGAAGGGGAAAACCGGGTTCAGTTTTCTGTCTTGTTTTATATCAGATGAATGCTTGTTTGGGAGATAGAGGTGGCCTCAAGCGCCTTTCTTGAGAGAGGGATGCTTGGTTCGGCACGGGCATTCGTTTGACGTTGAATGTGGGGGTTGGTTGATATGTACATAGATATCGTGTTTCATTTTTTACATTTTCATTGACTTGTTAGCAATTGCAAGATGGTATTCTTGATCTCTATTATCTGTCAATCGCTGTGTTGGCTAGCTGTGAGTTTGACACCTGGTTCTCGTATGCTGCGGAATTGTCCCTATACAGGCGCGTTTATTCCTCAGACCATGGACTTCAGGATAATGGTAAGTGGGCGCAAAGGAAGAGAGAGAAGAAGGTATATACAATCGAGATCTCTGCCAAGAATCGCCGCTCCTTGAGAGAAGCAAGCGACGCTACAATCGAACTAGTATCAGACCGAGTATTATATCCCCAATCTTATCATATACAATCATCATGAAGGCTGCAGCGACCACGCAGGAGATGATCCAGAAGGCGTGGGCAGGGTGAAGGAAGCGATTGCGGGAGTAGACAGTGAAAGATGTCTGGTCTTTCAACGCAAGGGTCCGGTCTACCTTAGCAGTACTAATGGTAAATTGCTACTGAGTACTATTACGCGAAACAGAATGATATAGCAAGTATGGTCATCAAATATCATTCATAGAATAAACCCGTTCCATCCCAGCCGATCCCACATTGGCACACGTCTATCCACTTTTAAGTTTAATCATAACAAAACCAACAGGTTTACTCCTCAAACACCAGAGAAATCCCATCATCACCGGCCGTGACGATGCGCTTGCCATCAGCGCTCTGCACAAAGGCCATGATACCACCGGACTGCTCGCCCTCGGAGTTCTCGACCAGCCCCAGATGGCCCTTCCACTCCTTGAGCAGACCGTGCGCGGCAGCCGCCGTGCCGCCACGGGCGTCCCACCGGCGCACGATGCCATCCATGCCGACGGAGGTGAGCAGCCACGATTGGCTCTGCGGGGTAGAAGCAGACGAAGGAAGACCGGCGCGGGGAGGCGCGGAGCCAACGCCGGCGCGGCTCTGCAGGAACTCGACCTTGACGACGGCGCCCTCGTGGGCCTCGCCGATGTGGCGACGCACGGCGAAGCGGTGGGCGGCGTCGAACAGGGCGATCGAGCCATCGACGGACCCGGCCGCGAGGAGGGTCAGCGGCGGAGACGAGAAAGACAACGTCTCGACGCCGTCGGACTGCGCCTGCAGCGACGCCAGCAGCGTGCCGGCGGCTGAGGCGCCCGTCTGCGCCTGCGACGCCGCCTTGCCCTTGGCTTTGCCGGCAGCACCGCCGGTGGGGGCGGCGGCCAGGCGGGGCAGGCCGACGACCTTGATGTGGCCCTCGGCGCCGCCGACGGCGGCGATGGTGCCGCCGGGGGAGATGGCGATAGAGTACAGGCCGCCGTCAACGGCGAAGCGCTGGTCCTCGGGGGTCAGGCCGACGACGGCGCTGGTGCCGGCGGAGGAAGCGACCCCGGCGGCGGCGGCGACGCCGAAGACGTCGTACACGTAGAAGCTGCCGTCCTCGGAGACGGTGCCTAGGAGGTTGCCGTCGGGGGTCCAGGCGCCGGCGGTGCAGGAACCGGTGTGCTGGAAGAAGGTCTGGATGATGGAGATGGGCTGGGCGGCGTCGGTGTGGTCGATGCGGAAGACCCAGGCGCTACCGTCGTTGGCGCCCAGAGCGATCACGTTCTTCTTCTCCTCGTCACCGTGCACGTTGGGGCACACGGCCACCCAGTTGATCTCCTCGACCTCCTGCGTCTCGGCGACGAACTCCCAGGCGAGCCCGGTCAACTGCGGCGTAGCGTCGCGGTAGGCGCGCAGCTTGCCGTCCAACCCCGCCGTCACGACGTACTCGCCCCTGGGCTCGGTGAAGGCGACCGCGTTGACGGTGTCCGTGTGGCCGACCAGCTGCGCCAGCGGTTGCAGGGACTCCCGCTCTTGTTTCGGTTGCGGGTTGGATTCGTAGCTCGGGGGGAGGAGCGGCCGCACGGCGTTCGGCGTCGAGTCGAAGATGTAGGCCTTGTCGTCGCCGGAGCCGGTGATGACGATTTGGTTGTGCACGGGGTGCTGCGCGATGCAGAAGACCGAGTCGGTATGGCTGTCGAAGTGCGCCGCCGAGTCGTTCTCCAATGTGATTTCTTGTTCTTCGTAGGTCATGGGCTGGTCCTCATCTTCGCCGTCGGACTCCATAGGCTGGTCCTCGTCGCGCTGGAAGATTTCCTCGGCGTCGTCGGCCTGGAAGTAAGCATCCTCGTTGGCCTCACGGTGAGGTTCTTGGGAGGACATGATGGAATTATGCGCGGGGGTATCAGAATATGAGGTTGCAAAAACCGGGGGGGAATAGGTCGACTAGAGGTAGGTAATGTATGGATTCTCCTGCGGCCGTCAGAGGGAGTATAATAAAATCCAAGAAAGTGCAATGGAAGGGAAGAGGCAAGAAGTAGTGAAATGGAAGTAATTATTTTTTTTTCTTTAGCTGAATGATTTCTCCCGGTCAACCCCCGCTTAGAAATTCAATCCAATTCTTCCCCGCGATCGAGCCAAACACTGCAAACATCGCCCACTGACTTTCTAAGCCGGTGGAGAAGAACCGAGACTCTTCTACTGCAACCGGCTTGGTGGATGATTGTATAGACGAGAGACTTGGAGTTTGTCGTTTTCTTCATCCTCAGGTGTCTAGTGTATTGATAAGATCTACATGCGCACAGGTATCTAAAACGATCTACAACGCAATCCTCCAACCCCAAATCCCACCAATTGCCGCTTCGAGCGGGTGATAGATATACTTATAGCTTCGAGCCCGCCTTTCTCCGAGCCTCTTTCTCCTGGTCTCGCAGAAGTCGACGCAAGATCTTGCCACTGGGACTCTTGGGGATAGCGTCAAGGAAGCGCACACCACCCTTGAGCCATTTGTGCCGGGCCTTGTGATCCTCCACGTGCTTCTTGATGGACTGGATAATTTCCTCGTCGCTGCCCGTCGCGGCCGGCGACTTCACCACGATCGCCTTGGGAACTTCGCCGGCAGAATCATCGGGGATGGCGATAACAGCACAGTCGGCCACGGCGGGATGGGTGAGGAGGTGCGCCTCCAGCTCGGCGGGCGCGACTTGCAGACCCTAGGCAGGTGTGACACGTCAGCGGCAATGCGCATGCTAGGAAGTAAGGTGTGCAGCGCCTAACTTACCTTGACCTTAATCAATTCCTTGATGCGGTCGACAATGAAGACGTGTTCGGTGTTCTTGGGACTCAGGCGGATCACGGCTTCGTCACCCGTGTACATCCAGCCGTCTTTGAACGTTTCCTGGGTGGCTTTATCGTTGTTCAAATATCCCAGGACAACGCTGGGGCTGCGGACGACAAGCTCGCCCGGGGTGTCGTAGCTGGTAATCTCCTCCCCCTCCGGAGTCACGATGCGGGCTTCCACACCGGGTAGGATCGTGCCGGAGGAGCCGAACCATACGTCCCAGGGATGCGTGGAGGTTACGACCGTCGACGTTTCCGTGAGGCCTATGCATACAATCAGCATCGAGAAAAAGAAAATGGTGGATCGAGACTCATACCGTATCCCTGTCGTATCGTCACGTCTGGATACAGCTTCTGGAACTCCTCCGCCGTCTCCATCCCCAGCGGCGCGGCACCGGTGAAGATGGTCTTGACAGCACTGAGATTGAACTTGGCGCACGTTTCCGCATTGCGGATCATGTTAATCAAGATCGGCGGAACCTAGTTACCGTCGAGTCAGCCTTCGTTCTCCCACAATCCCAACCGACAAACGATACTCACCACAAACAACGAGGTAATCTTGAAATCCTGTATACAAGCGAGGAACGGCTCGAGCTCAAACTTGGGCAGGACGACCACATTATCCCCTCTCCACGGGCCGGCATGACACATGACCACGAGCGAGTAGATATGGCTCTGAGGCAGCAAACACATGACCACATCGGTAGGCTCAGTTTGGGTGCGGGGATCCCTGCGCGAGTCGCGATAATCCTGCTCGAAGGCCTTGATCTGCAGCACATTGGCAATGACATTGCGGTGTGAGATCATCACGCCTTTCTGCACATCCCGCCCAGAAAACAATTAGCCTTTATCCAACCCGTTTCCGAAACGGATTTTAAAACTATCTTACCGGCAACCCGGACGTCCCACTCGAATAGCACAAGAATGCCGTCCGACGCGCCCCCTCCCCGGGGCCCCAGTTCAAAGCCTCCAGCCTGGGCAACGACTTGCCGACCTCAATCAACTGATCGACCGTCTTGAATTGCGCGGGAGCCTGCACCCCCGGCGCGAGCTGCTTCGGCACCTCGAGCAAGAAGATACGATCCCGTGGAAACCCGGCTGCATCGGCGGCCTCCAGCGCGGTCTTCAGCAGCGGCAGACACGTAAACAGCACGGTGGCTTTAGAATCCTGCAACTGGTACTTCAATTCGGCGGCCGAGTAGGCCGCGTTGGCGGGGCTGACCACCCCGCCTAGTCGGTGGACGGCCCAGGAGAGCGTTAACGTATCGATCTAGCAAGGCCAACAACAATCTCCCGTAAGTGTCACGTTTCAAAATTTCAAAATCTCACAGAGAAAGTCACGGTAATGCAAATCGTAGGCCACACGTACGGTATTGACACTGAAGATAGCCAAGGTCTTATCCCACTCGCTGCCGGCGTTAGGGGACCAGTGGAAGCGGTCGGAGAGGGCGCGCGCCAGGTGGTCGACGCGGTCGACGACGTCCAGCCAGGAATGGGTCTTGCCGGTCACGCCGCAGGTGAAGGGGTTCTGCGAGTAGCCGAGTGGGTTGCGGCCGTGGAGGTCGGAGAGCATAAACTCGGCCAGCGAGATGCTGTCGGGGATGGGTGACAGTTTGCCCGCCGTTTTGGGGGGACCGAAGACCATCTTGTTGGTGTTGTCGCGAGTAGATAGAGGAGGAATTGGTGGTTGCAACGGGGATAAAAATGACACAAGACGGTGTGAACGAGCGTTGGGGAGGGAGGAATGGGAAAATTAAGTAAATAAGTAAGGGAGGGAGAATGTTGCGGGGAAAGCTTCTCATTTACTGGGGGAAAAAGCGAGAGGGGGAAAGAAATTGGGGGAGTCGGTGGGAAAGCCGAGGCTTCTTTGCTACTTTCTAGTACAATACTTGATATTGCTATTGCCCCGATAGGAGTCGCTGGATTCCTGTCATACTCGGCGATTCAATGCTTGAAGGTGGCTGAGAAACATAGAATCTCCGTTGAAGCTCAAAAGATGAGGAAATAGTATACTGTGTGCAGCAATTGACAGTCTGTATGCAAGACCAGAGACCATGACTTCACTCCCTCCCTCCCTCTGCAAGGACTCACTGACTGCTGGATTAACCGAGGCTGGCCGATGTGGAGAGCGACACTGCTTTTTCTTCCCCGCAGTTCTGGCTCGGCCGAGGGTTGAACCGTTAAGAACTTACTCGGAGAGATCGACACACCCTAATTTTGGGTTGCTGCACATCCACCATTATCTTGAATGATCATGATCACTGCAACAACACATATCGTCCATGAATCAAATGAAGTGATTATGTCACAATGCTCTAATCTAGACTCCCCATCTAGCTGACGACATTTAAAAATGCATGCAGGTGCAAAACTGGATATGCCACCGTTACATCAACAGGTGCTGGCTCCACTTCACCCGTTGAGATGATCATCAAACTGCCAGGTGCAGTGCCCATGAGTAGATGTTGTACTGCACATCTACATAAAACATCCAGCCTCCATCATCCACTCCCTCGGGTCGATCTCTCCATTGCTAGATGCATGAGAGCTGCTTCCACCCGAACAAACCAGACAATCTCAGATGAGAGGATGGTTGACAGACGATGCGATACAAATCAGTGAATAAATCAAAACCCTCTGGAGAACATCCTCATCTCGTCAGGTCATTATAAAGCCAACTTCTCATTTCCACCGTGGTAAACCTTCCTCATCGTCAGTCCCTCAGTTATTACCACAAGGCCCTTCCTCCTTCCATCCTCCACAACCACCACAACCACAATCACCCCCATGGATCACTGCGAGAACTGCGCTGGTGAAGGCCACGCCGCCACCGAATGCCCGGTCCCCCGCTGCTACACCTGCCTCAAGCTGGGACACCCCGCGCGCACTTGTCCCGACCAGATCTGTCGCAACTGCCATCAGCGGGCCCATGAAGTAAGGGATTGCCCGGGGAAGAAACAATAGGGATGTGCGACGTGAGTTTATTCTTCTTCTTGATATGGAGATATGCGTGGCTAAGGGACTACCAGAAATGAATTGGAGTTCAGTTCTGGTGTTGAGGTCTGGCGTTGGCTCGTTAAAACAACTTGGTTTTGCTGGATGGATGGCGAATTTGGATATCAAGGGACGGACGCAATTCACTTGGTCACTGCATCGTTAGATATTGATAACAACTATCCATTGAGTTTTTTCCTCAGTCGGCATGGATGTGCACTTGCACTTGCTTGGACACTATTTTCGAGTCGCTCGAATCAATGTTCTAAACCAGCCTGGTGTTTATCTAGTCGACGAATTAAAAAGTGATACCAGGCGATTCACTCTGCCCAGCTCGAGAAGTCGGTGGAATACCTGGACAAGTTGATTTTATCGAGGTAGGCAGAGGGGAAGCTATAAAGTCAACGATCAAGGCACCAGGCACAGACAATGATGCATACTTGTATTGTATGATATTGAAGTTAAAGCAGCCAATTATGCAGGAAACGAACTCTGTCAGATACACCGCTGTCCATACTGTAGCAGAAACCCAAATCAGCAATCAATCATCAGGTACATTTAGTCCTCTCAACTACAGGCAGTCATGCCACTAGAACAGTAGATTAACCTTCGGCTAAGCCTTTCTGACGCGGGGCGTTCACCATACACTACGAAATATGCGGAGAAAACGAACGAACAACACAACAACCCCTCGCCTAACCGGCTAAAATGCCACCTGCAGCAAGCCAACTCACACATATTATCCACGCATAAGTGGTGGATCAAGATTGCCCGCGGCGAAAGTGCTGCCGTGCGCTCTGCAGAGGTGATAATCAGCACCGCACTTCCGTCCCTCCCACCGGATGCGGCATCCGCAGCCGGCTAAATCAACACAACCGGCCATGCGCAGGATCGACTAGCTGCGACGATGCACCAGAGCAAAAGAGGGGGATGAGCTTTCAGGAAGTGTATAAATATAAATCACGCAGCGATGCACGAAGGTCGAAAGGTAATTCCCACCCAGCATTCCTGAGCAAACCCCTTAGATCCTCACCACCATGCGACTCACCAGCGCCGCCCTACTGCTTCAGCTGCAGCTCTTAGGGCAAGAAGTGACAGCGAGCAGCGCAGGGGGCTGGGGCCCACGCAAGTTCACGAGCTTAGTGACGTTCGGAGATAGCTACACAGACGAGACGCGATTCTCGTACTTCGCGACACACAACAACTCCGCACCGCCAGTGGGGTGGATTGAGCCTGATGTGCGTACGCCTACGCCATCCCAAACAGCCCCGATAACCCTACACCCCATCCCCCATGCCACCTTCTACTCCCCACCAACAACACTAACAATCCCCCCCCCCCCAAAAAGGCCAACATCTCCTCCTCAGGCGGCCTAACCTGGCCGCACTACGTCTCCCTACAACACGAGCAGCACATAAACCGCTACAACTACGCGGTAGCAGGCGCGACGTGCTCAAACGAGATCATCGCACGCCCCTACAACAACGAAACAGGGTACCTCTTCCCCTCGGTACTCGAATACCAAGTGCCAGCATTTACCGCAGACGCGCACTACACGGACCCAAGCACGCACCAGCCATTCGTTACCCGACCGGCGGACGAAACCGTCTACGCGCTGTGGATTGGCACCAACGATCTGGGCAACAATGCCTTCTTGACGGACTCGCAGCTGAATAATAGCACGCTGGTTGACTATGTGGACTGCGTTTATCGCGTATTGGATGGCGTGTATAACGCCACCACATCTTCGCTATTAGGGGACAAGGATGGGGACGACAAGGGGGGCAAGGCGAAGTACTTCGTGCTGATGAATGTTGTGCCGTTGCAGCTTGCGCCGTTGTATGCGACGCCGGAGAATGGGGGTGTGGGGCCTAATAATTACTGGAAGGATAAGCCGGCGAATCTTACGGAGATCAGTGGGCGCATGCAGGGCCAGGTTGTGTTGGTTAATGAGGCGTTTCGGTATCGCACGCCCGTGGAGACGTTGATGAATCGTCGGTGGCCTGGGGTTAAGGTTGCGGTTATGGATGTATATTCGTTGGTGAGTTTCTCGGTCTGGATATTGTGGTTGGCACGGGGGTTGGGTGTCGCGGAGCGGTGGATTGGGGGGTTGGGTGCCCGTGATAGTAGGGGATGCTAACAAAAGGTACCAGATCTCCGAGATTTACTACCACCCCACCCAGTATCTCAACGGGAGCGCGCCAGCGAACGTTACCGGCTTCGAGTATCATTGCGATGTGAATGGGCAGAACTGCGGAAAACTGGACAGTCCGGATTCGTTTTTGTGGTTCGATCAGTTGCATCCTTCGGAGCGGACGGATCAGATCATCGCAGAAGAGTTCCTCAAGGTGGTTAACGGGGAGAGTCGGTTTGCGGAGTATTGGTCTTAAAAATAAGGTGATTGGGGGCAGTGGGAATGGTGAAAGCGTGTGGTGTTATTTTCAAACTCAATTGAGATGAGTAATCATACGAAGAACACTACGGCTTCCCAGAACTGGATCTATGAGAGGGTATAGCAGTTCGGTCAGTAGCCGCGGGGCCAACGATTCTGAATAATCTTTCTGAATATCGCAGTCCGCATAGAAGATAAGTTGAAGAGTAGAGAGAATATCACAATTTGCATAGGAAATGGGTTCAAGAGACAAGAGATGATGAACGAGATTTGTTGCGTCCGAACCTGTTCAGATGAACAAGTTTCCAATTGCCATGGCAATATCCACGAGTTCCAAGCACCAAAGCGAATGCCTGACCGAAGCCTTAAATTTTCACATTTCAAAGACCAATCGAAGCGGATGCTCATTCGCATTGAGCAGACATGTCACTAATCCATCCTGGGTCGCTTGCTCACCCGGCCATCAAGATTCATAGAAGCAAAAGCTGACGCATTTGGACCGGGAATCGTGTACTCCTGGATGACCTCTTTGATGGCCTGCGCAATACCCCGGGAAATAGATGGCGGAAAAGATGCTAAAATTTGAGAGTGGAGGGTTGTGTCGGCTCCATGGAAAATGTAGTCATCGGGAAAGTCTTGAACTCGAGCGCATTCTCGGACAGTAGGAATATCGTGACGAGCTAGGGTTGGTTAGCATTGCGAGGACTAGAGCACCGTGACACTTGCTTGGGTGCAGCAAACCGTGATTACTGTATAGGCTGGGTTTGACGGTTGTGGCCTGAAATTCAACCTCGTGGAAATAAGGTTCGTCGACTGTGCTTGGCAGCTGACCTGTGTCATGGTTATAGACATTGACTTGATCTTCCGGTTTGAAAAGACATTCCTGGCCGTTCTAGTATGATCATAGTCGGCTCGAGGATCCTTGGATTTGAGGTCGCCAATCACCTCTCCCAGAGCTCTAGGGGTGATCTCGACCGGGGACCACGGGAACTCGGAGCAGAGGGCGAAGCGATCAAGACAATGTATGTCTCTTGGTGAGAGATTCCATGGTCTGGAAGGTAGATCTTGTGTACATGCACCGAATATCGTTGAGTTAAGAGCTTTAGAACGGCTTGGGCAAGGGATGAAAGATACTGCGGATGCAGAATCCCGGCTGGCTGTACGCATACCAGGAAGTCAATGTCTTTTGTGCTGAGACTGAATTCTTCAATGCAGGTTTTGAAGAGCGGACCGTGTTCGGAGTCCTGATCAGTGCCAATCGTCAACGGTCGATTCTCAGACAACAGAACCACTTTCAGTACATCTGTGGTCATGCCTCGAGGAGGCGACATCTGCCCGGATTCAATACCAGCAAAGACGACAGATGAACGATCATCATAAACAGTCGCTGCTGGATATCGTGCCTGTCGTTAAGATGGTGCTTAGTAACTCGTGAGCTGATGGACAGCCATGAAGCGCGAGCTTACCTTCCAAGTCATGTCTAGCACAGAGTCGAACCCAAAGCCGGCAATGACATTGCAATCAGCCTGGTAAAAGCCCTCAGCGAGTCCGAGATCTCGTGGACTGAAATCTAGAATGCTGGGCCTTGACTGTACATAACGAGGGCGACTCCAACGGTACTTGCGTGAAAGGAGTCCAGAGCTTAGTGGTGTGAAGCAGGCTAAACGCCCATCGGTTCCTCCGCGGATCGCAAAACGACAAAAATACTCGGTGCCAGTGGGCTCTGCAGGATCAATTGGTGGAGAGGCCGAGTAGACTTTGGATCAACAAAGCCTACCATCGGCGGGATGTAAGCAGGGAACAGGTTCTGGGGAGGTCAGCTGCCAGGCCTCAATAATATGGTCGATTAATATGAATTCCGCGTCGGATTGCTCCCCCATTGCCTTGAAGTCATGAAAATGTAACACGAGCTCATTTTCTCGGATCGGTAGTATGAAGCTTGAATCTGCAGAGGGCGTTGTGGGATGAAACGAGTAGAGAGACCCGAGTAAAGCAAGGCTCTCAGACCCATTTGAGTGGCGATCAGTGCAAATGTCGTGGACAAACAGGACGCTCTGTACATTACTTGCTTACCCAGTCGGGGGCTTCAGCGTGAGATGTACATACTCTTCTTTAACAAACTCGTGACTGAGGCGCTGGCAGAAGTAGCTCCAGTTATGGATAGAGCTTGTACCGGGTGGCTATAGCACGGCAAGTTAGCTTGGTCTTGAGTGCAGGAATTGAAAAGAGTATCAAACTTGCCGGTAGTTCTCGCTGAGGAATAAGTTTGCTAAACTGCATCTCAAAATTATCTTTGATCCAGGATTCCCACAGAACTTTTTGTTCGTGTTCGTATTGACGTTCCTTGGTCACTCGCATCTGTTGTGGGCTGACAGGAAGAGAAGACATTGGTCTTCCATGACCTGCAATGGTATCGGAGCCGGATGAAGCATTAGAAGAGGCATGCTCTCTCTGAGAACAGCTAGAGCAAATGTTGTTCCTTCTGGTAAGAGAGTTACCTAGATTGTCTTCATCATCGGAGTACAACACGCCATCAGCAGTAGCATCAAAAGGGATGTCCGAGGTTGAACCAGGAGTATTTCCAAGTGCTGGACGGACTGAATCTGGTGCCAAGCCATATATAGACAAGTTATGCTTTCGTGCTATCAGAGGAAAATACGATTCTTCGCTATCCAGACGGCTGAATCGAACAGCACGGACATTGTGCCAAGTTATTACCATCTGACAGCCACAGGCCGAGAGGTGCCCAATTTCTTCAATTTCCATAACAGCGTCATTGTCTTCTAGATAACAAAGTAGATTAGAGTCCAGAACAGGAAGAGTGGGTAATGTGACTAACCTTCGTGATACCAAATCTCTTCCTTCAAATGGGAGCATGTACTTTCCCGATGAAGAGTCACACTGTAAAGCACTTTTGACCCAAATAGCTCGCGCACGAGTTCGCTACCCCCATTCTTCCATGTTACCCTAATCTGGAGTGGCCGCCGTGAATTCTTAACAGCGATGATCCTGGGCATCAGCTGAAGATTATCCCTTGCTGCGAGTACCAACGAGCGAACGGTATCACGGTCAACTGTACCCACAACCTGTTCAAGCATGCACTTGTAGAGCTCCTCAACCAGATGATCACAGAAGAACACAGCATGATTATCACCATATTTTACACTCACCTGGTAAGCATAGCATGGTGCAGATATGTGTGCCGTGTGGAAATCAAGATATTTCTCATGAACTTTCAGAGATCGAGTCTCAGGGAGGGTTGAAGAGAACGTTGACGTCGCAATTGCCTCCCGCGACATATTTGACAGTCACATCGCGAGTCTGCGGATGCAGTGCCAGGTAGCCTGCTAATGCTCGCTTTATATGTCTCATAAAATGGTTCGGCTGCAGTGTCGAGAGCTGCGAGGTTTCGAAGACATGTATTCTCTCTTCATCGGGTGTCCGTGCGAGGGTGTACTTTCTCAAAATATCCCAGAGCACCTTTGACAAGCCGACAGGCTTTCGTCTAAGTCCCGTGACAATTGTTTCGTAATTCTTAGTTTGAACGAGGAGTGTCAGTCTCTGTCATCACCATTTTGGGTCAAACCCTTACCATTTCCTTCTCTCCGAGGCCATAGTAGAACTTGCCACGACCTTGCGTGAGCAGATATTCCCAAATTGCTATTGCCGTGTCTTTAGCTACCACTTTATCGGCCCTGAAAACATCCGCACATCCCCAGTTGTCACGTAGCAGAGCCGTGTATCTTGCAACGATGTATTTTTTCTGAAGCCGAATCGCAGACGCCCATATCTTGCTGGCTATCAGCGCCTCTTCCTCCTGGCTCGCTAGACTCTGACGCTCACGATCCGTTTCGCCCCTCAGAAAGTTGTAGCCGTGCCGATACTTTCTGCCTTCAGACCCAGGGCGAGAAAGTAGAATATCCTTAAGGTACATCTGGTTCTTGTATCTGTCTCGATCCAAAATAAGGTCTCCGTGTTCTGTCTGAATGATATATCCGGCAGGTGGCATATTCAGGTCCAGGACCACGCGCATCCAATCTTTAAATTCGTCAGGAGTAATTTTCACCCCATCTGCACCTTGCCCTTTGGTAATGTGAACGGTCACATCTTTCGACGGGTCACTGATTAGATTGACAGAACTGCCTAGAACGTAGTTGCGCTGGCAATTCTCCTTCTTCTTGGGCAAGGTGGAGGGAGAGATTGGAGTCAACTTGCAGTAAATCCGAGACTGACATTTGCCTCGGAAGCCAAAGTTGAAGCTAAACTTGCTTGCCATCAATTGCACTCGAAAGCCTTTGCGACGAAGGACCAGAGCGGCGATCTTGAGACCTTCGCCATGCTCTCCGGCCAATAATCGATTTTTGTCTTTCTTAGTCGTTCCTCCAAAATCCAAATCGTGGGAAGTCAGACGTGCCTGAAAGTTGGACATCTCAATACTTCCGTATCTCTTCTTGTAGAGAATATAACCTAACAACTTTCTGGCTCCAGATGGCGTGCAATGCGGGTGATATAGACGGATTTGGATTTCATTTCGGGTATCTTCTATCTCCGGTAGGAAGTCGCGTTGGGTGAGATGGAACGAGGTTAAAATACCGTCCTTCCTGTTAGTTCTCGTCAGTTCTCTGCGAAACATCATTGGACAATCAAAAGGACACGAAGTCACTCACCAGTTCTGGTAAAGCTCGCGAGAAGCAGCCCTATTGCTCCAGTTTTGAACATAGTTCTTGCTCAAACAGAAGGCATATGACATGGGCCGAAGGGAGCCATCATCGTCCTCTGGCTCTGAGTCTTGAGGGCTATGACAGAGTTCTTCCTCGTCATCTGAAGCCATGTCTGCCAGGAGATCAACTTCAATAGATGGGAAAGATGAAAGATATGAAGGATAAAAGACGGGCCTGGAAGGATAAGGATGGAGGGAAAGGATGAGGAAGAAAAATATGAGGAGGGAAGGATGAGGATGGTGGGTTGGGGTGAAATGAGGCGGAAGTGACACCTGACCGAGGGTAGTGAATGAGTATTCCCTCCTCCGTACCTACTTTAGCCTGTAACTCGAAGCCTCACACACAACTTTACTGTCCTGAAAAACCGCTTTGTTGCCAGAGAGACAAGGACCTCACCCAAAGAACTACAAGGTGGTGACTAATTGATTGAATGCTCCATGGCAGAAGTATTCTTAATAGCTTTAGTAGATGTCCGCCTTCTGCGACCTCGAAATTGTCTTAAGCTCGACACTAGGCACCATACCCATCAAAGGATCTCACTCGCAAGTGCTGTACATCCCCTTCCATCCACTGCAATGGAGCTACAAACGCCATCTGACTCCAGGAAAAGAGAGTATTCTTCCCCCCATACACGAAAACCTCAAATCTGCCTGCAAATGAGCCATCGATCCAAACGCGACTTCCACCAACAACATCCGTTCGGATCGTGATATCACTTTTCACCGGCACAGCCACTAGCTCATGCGTGGAGGATGTCGCATTTACCCAAATTCGGCCTAGATATGCCGGGTCGAATCCATCAAACTCAGACACAGACCGAAGAGGATACTCCCACCCATCAGATACAAAAGTCAGAGATCCACCAGAATCAAGCTTGAGCGTGGCGTCTTCTGAGGAGAGAGTAAAGGGACCTGTCACGCTCAGATCTAGTGTATAATTCATTCCTTTACTTCCATATCCCAGTACAGCCTTCGTCGTGTGGTTGCCTTCTGTTGCATCCCAGTTAACCAAGTCTCCTCCCATTAAGTCTGCCTCTCCGGGGAGCCGCCGATCCAGGTTCTGCGCCACTGCATTTGCAGTCAGCAACTGCATTGACTCCGACAAGGTCGACAGGTTCAGCTCCTGACCACGGTTACCGGCCCACACACGAGATGCGGCTGTTGGGATACCGTCACGAAGGGCGTAATAGGCTTCTAGCTGCGTTGTCGCGTCAGGACCATTATCATTCCAGGCTGCGATAATGGCCCCTTGTACACGCCTCGGATCGGGCTGTTCCGTGAGATTGTATGGGTTGAATAATGGTGGAGTCCACTGCAAGTTGTCTTCGCCTCCAAAGTTCAGTAATCGACTATTATTGAAAAATGGAGGGTAGGGCGCAGGGAGGATAGGCATATGGTCATTTTTCAGGGACATATACGCCCACCAGTCATCGGAATTGATCAACTCATAGCCATCTTTCGCAAGGCTAACCGGATCAGATTGTCCATACTGCCAGTGTTGAATGATGACATCCTTAGAGATGGTGCGACTACTGGAAGGCTCGTACGTTCCCCAGATACGGATCCTCTTTCCGGCAGTCTCATTAATGAACTGAGCCATCTCATTCACAAAGTCGATATAGTCATCTGCCAGTGCCGAGTCATATTCATCTGCCCCGATATGAACTTCTTTTGTTTGGAACCACGGCAGAAACTCGGACCAGATTGACTTGATTAGCGGCAATGTGTCGGGGTGTGTCAGGTTCAGAAGGTCTTTGGGCTCTAATGTCAGCTCAGGCTTCCATCTGGTGATTGATAGAGCATGCCCGGGTGCTTCAATCTCAGGGATAACAGTTATCCCACGTTGAGCGCAATGATACTGGAAATCCTCGAACTCAGCCCGCGAAATTGTCTCATTCGGCCTTTGTACCAGGGCCTGCAACTTCGCACTTTCGGGTCGCAAAGAGAATTGCGAATAGACATCATACCACGTATCATTATGCCCGCGATTCAAGGGATAATTGTCACTGCTGTGGTAGTGAAATTCGGACATCTTGAAGAATGAGGCGTACGTGCACAGATCTTTGAGAAATGCCGGAGAGTACCATTTCCGACCTGCATCGAGATGAAAGCCTCTAGTCACAGATGACGGCGCGTCAAGGGTTCTGCCGGGAGGGATTTCTCCCATGCGGTAAATCAGCACCTGCTGCAAGAACGTTCGTGATCCCCACCACATCCCTCGAGCACCAGAACCGCGAATGAACGCTCGGTCCGCATCAATGACAAGCTCGTAGCCTTCTTCGGTTGGTTCCTTATTCTCATAAGTCAGAGTGACCTCCTGAGCATTCACTATGTCCAGGAAGACACCTGTCTCATTCTCAGGGAGCGCATCCACCACATGGAGCGCCCAAGATGTGTTGGTCACTTCCTCCAGGTCCTGGCGAAAGGTTTCCGCAAATTCCCCAGCAGAGGGTGGGATGAGAGTCAATCCATTTTCGTCCCGACAAGACGCAAAGCTGCTGGCGAGAAATATGTTCTTCTCTACTCCTCTGATGTCGAATCCATTTTCCGACAGCCCTGTCGTATTCCACTCAACGGGCGGAAGGACTTGGAAAGCACAAGAAATTGAGACTATCGACGAAACAAATACCAACTTCATGTTGTCAGATAACTCAGCGTCTATCATTACCCTTTACCCCCAGGTTTCTTTATTCAAGATAAAATATAAGGCAGGGGCGACAGCTTGAGAAGGAGCAGTCTGTCGCGTGGGGATTGCAGCTGAACTGCAACCTGTTGCCAACCGTTACATTCTGATGCGGGGGATAAACAATGCATCCTGCAGAATTGGCCTATCGCTACGGAACGTTACCCTTCGAAATGCCGATCGTTGATGCGCCAAGAGATAAGGAATGAGCAAGTGTCGTTTCAAAACCACCAAAAGGTGTTGACAGCTAGTCAAACCAGTGTTCAGTGTATGATTGAGCTTCTGTACTGCCTTGCAACTACTTTATGGAGCTTCTCTCTCCAGCAAACATAAGACGTTGTTGGGCACTTGTTGTTCCTTCCTCTGCCTTGACCCCGGCTACACGACCCTTGCATGATGCCAAGGACCAGCCACCCTCTCACTACTCCAATGGACCGGGCCAAGATTGAGCGTTGCCACCACACCATCCACTAGATCGGGACTTACTTTCTCTATCACTGGGGCCGCTAGCTCTATCAAAAGTCTAATTCTGGAACGACAACGATTCGAACCTCGGCCATACTACACCCTTTGTCCAGGAGACTATTAGACTGCATTAATCTCCAAAGAAGGGGCCTAAGACCCAGATATATCGAATCACGCGACAACAACTACAGACCTACAATCACTGCCATGGGCTTGTATATATCTCAAGTGAAAGTCATGGGCTATAGATCTGTTTCAACAGCTAAAGACTTGTGAAAGAGGTACGGAAGGGCCCGGGGACCCCGCGGGAAGGGTCATCCCAACGGGCCAAAACCAGAAGCAGAGCAACCACCAGAACCGCTGCTAGCACCAGGGAGAAGATGAAAATTGTCGGCATATTCTAAGTTGAACAGAAAGGTCCTAAGATTACAGTTTTCTATCCTTCTCTCTTGGCATCTGATATCAGAAAAAGATGTTCCCAGAGACAAGCAAGGGACACAAGACTTTTTGCTGCCAGTGTCGATCTGGTACATATCTGATCAAACCTGTGCTCAAGTGATGGTGTGACCCTTGTGCAAGACGGCGTCTATAAACTACGCAAGCAATCTTCGTGGCCTTGTATTCGATGTCTATTTCAGCCTAGCCAACAAGCGAGACGATGGATATATCCGAACAGTGCTTGGTTATACCCGGCGAAGTACTAGACAATATTTGTGCCAGGAAAGGTACATCCGAGAGTCAAGTAAACAAGAAAAAACATTCCGCATCGACAGAGCAATAGGTTACTATCCATTGACGGCATGGGTGCAACAAGCTCGGCTTTCTCATTGGTCGGCAAGCTTGAGTTGATAGAAAGCTTTGATGAACGAACCATTAGCAAAAGGGTAGCTTGAAAGGCCAACAAACTTACCCAAATCACAGGTTGAATCAGCCCAAGCATCAACTGCGACGACTCCGGCTTTGCTAAAAAGCTCTTTGCGCTCCGCATGGTTGTATTTGTGACTATAACCGAAGCGAATCTTTTCTCCTTTCTTGACAACAATGTGCTCCAATGGGGCCCCCAAACTGGATATCACGGTCGCGGGGCGTGTATGAGGCCTCGTGACGACCCAGTACCGAATCATATTCGCTGAGGTAGTACCAGCCCTTAACCTGGAAAACATCTGTCAAGCGGCCTTCAGCTGCTCCAGTAGCATCTCGAATAATTGTACTGGCATGCTGGAAACCCGCCATGGTGAAGGGAACAACGGCGTCTGAGGAAAACGCCCGCAAGACCTTGGTCGGAAGCTTACAGGAGTCAATACTGAGCAGAACCGAGCCTTGATCACCGGGGCACGTGCAAGTGCTGGCAGCCATCTTGCGGATGAAGTTGGCGGCGTTTTCGCGCGAAAAGCTCCCAATCGTCGAGCCTAAGAACAGCACGCAGTGTGGTCGGCCGCTGGTCGCGCGGTCCTCTTTGATCCATTCCAGTCCGTCCTCGAATGTTCCGTGGAGAGCGGCGCACTGGACATGTTAATATCGCTCAGTTGGCAGCGTGCGTAGCGTTGACTCCAACTCTGCTCGGCTCAAATCCAGTGCGTAGTATGTCACCTTCTTCTTTTGTGCTTCCAACGTGTCCAAAAGAGTTACAATCTTGTCTAAGCTCCTGCGGAGTGAAAGAGAATGTCAGATTTTGGAGAGGCGGAATGACAAAAAGAGATTATCAATCACCCGCTGCCCAGATCAACGATCGCGCTGTTCTCAGCAATCTTGTGAGTCATTTTGTGAGCCTGAGTTCGGAGGATATGAATCTCTTCATGGCGCAGGTAATAGTCTGGTGCATGCGAGTGCCAGTCTCAGTGTTGCAAAGCTTCGATGCCGTACAGAATCAAGATTGGAAGGGTGCGAGGATCCTTCTCGATACCTTTCAACACGGCCTCATAGATTGAGTCTTCGACCTTGACAGCACGAATGTCGATAATGTTGTTCTGTGGCAGCATGGCGGATGACAGTCAATGAATTTGAGACTACCTGTGGCAGCTCCAGGATTGGTGAAGCTGCTGCATGGCATCCCGTCGGATCCGGAAGAGACGGTTTGAGAGGAGTATCTTCGTCATCAAACATATGGCTATTGAGACCAAAGCTACCAAGCCCACGCGCGAGAACATCAATGTCTCTAAAAAGGATCGTCGCCGGATGATACCAAGGAAGACATGATGAAGTCTCCAAATGCCAGATGGGAGGTAAGAGCAGATCTACGTTTAAATGCGTATTTTTGTCATAGATACTAGAGTGTGGGGCTTCTCTAGCATGTTTAGATTGTATTAAAACAGTGATCGTGAGACAGCCCCCGATCTCGATGATCGATCTTCCATTGAAGGACGCAAGGGGCTCCCATTTTCTTCCCGGGTCACTTCTATATTGTACTTGTTTTGATAAATCCAGGGTCTCTAGGCGGCGTGCGTACAAGACTGATGTTTTTCTCTTCTATGATATTAAAGTCCTGGACTTTCTTTCACTCATCAGATATCGATTATCTTAAATGACATTCAATGTTATGAGGCACCACGACAGGTACCAAGTCAATTGTGAGTTACTTCACCTCTGTAAGTTTTATACATTAATCCCGCTAGCTTCTCTCTTCTGAGTCCCTGGTGCAGTGCCATTCTCCAGGCATCAATTGTTCTTAGTATAGCCCTCATGTAAATTACCTTTGGAATTGTTCACCATATACCTGCAGATACTATAATCAGCAATCTGCAAAAGCTATAGCAAGTCCCAAACCTAAGATAATGATTCACGATAGTGAAAGACTGAATTTGTCTAGCCTAACCACAGAAGCCAAACTCCGGCACCAAAATCCACCAGTGACCAAGCCCACGTCATGATTCTATCTCTTCAACAAGGAAGGCCGTCTTACGCCACGAACATCACGGCGAGAATATTTAACATCCGCAATATGGCCAAGACGGCACGACCATCACGCCGGGAATATTGATATTCGCAGCAGTCAAGTGCTTAAACTCCGGCACGCGGCGTTCCGACCAGCACCGCAGCATCGCGTCGCCTGGGGGGAAACCCAGCTGGAGCGTTGGCTCGCCGCCGGTGAACACCCAGCGATACAGCCCTCGCCCGCCGAAGTATCTCTCCTCCTGGGCTTGCAGCTCCCGGTAGCATTGAGCATAGGACCCCCACCGACAGATACCGTGGAAGAGCGGCGCGTCGGGGTAGCGCGCGCGCAAGAGGCGGAAGATCTCGCGCAGGCGGCTCTCCAGCGCCGTCCAGTTGGGATCGTCCTCCGCGTTCTCTTTCTCCTCGCCTTCCTCTGCTCTCACGACGATCGCTTGCTGGGTGGGTGAGACGTTCAGGACGCTGAATTTGTGGATGGCTTCGAAGAGGAACATCTTGGAACTGTGGATTGGGGGGTTGTTTGAGTGTTTGCTGTGGGTTTTCTTGTGGGGGTATTGGCTGGGGTTAGTGGTATGGGGTTATAAAAAGGCGCGGCTGCTTCGATTGAGGTGTCTTTATATACTCTCTATTGTCTTTGTTTTCGCAGGTAAGCTTGTATCGTGTTGGATGAAATTGGATCTATATCTTCGGGGAGTCTCCCATAATTACGTTAAGACAGCCCTTGTTTTCTTTGCCATTCAAGGATAGTTTACCTCCGTTTATTAGTCTTTAACCCTACCTTCCTCAACTCGTTCTTTGCTCTATCTACGCGGTTGTCTCCTCGGATAACAAGCACTATTTTTTATTGTTCTTCTTTGTTCTCTCTGAAATTAGTTATTGGATTGCCTTTACTTCTTTGTTCGCGCCCCTATAGTAGACCAGTTCTACTAAGCTGTATTACGGGGAGTATCAGGTTTGCGATGCTATGTTGTGGTGGTGCAGCTCGCTGAGGGACGCTTTTCTGAGGACGACCAAGTAAAAGGGTAAATTCGATTTTCCAACGCAATGCCCAATTTGACTGCCCACTGAACCTTAATGATCAATTAACCACAGAATATTTCTTGGTTAGTTTAGTAAAAACACCAGCAACATTAGGCGCTTCGTGGTCGTTATCATAGAGCGTATTCCGAGCTTCTTGCTGTATTCTATCTGGAGCCCCGCGCGACTTGAAGACCTCGTTGGCCTATACGTCATTAGCATTATCAATGACCACCTCGACCGTATGGGCTGAAAGTCTCCTCACTGCTCAAACCAGAGAGTAAGCCTCTTGAACCTTGAGAATATCTTGGGAGTCGATGGTTGTTCGTTCATAAAATGGCTGCTCAAGAACTCTGGTGGGTATACAGGAGAAACGTCACACAGAAGAACTGCTTACCTGCGATACAGAATGTATCTTTTTCTGAGAATCCCTCGTTAACGATACTGGCAAGAGACTAAGCAGTTCGGCGCTTCTAGCAGAGCGGCCACCGTTCGGCTGGCGCCGCTACAGGAAAGAGGCCATATTAGCCTCGGATTTCCACGAGCAAGCACGGCGAAATGGTCCTAGCTCGCATGAGGCAGAAGTAAGGGCAAGTGGAGCTGTATCTTCATTTTCTGACCAAGATGAGCTCAACTACCTTTAGTCCAGCTTGGTCAGCATCACTCAGAGACGGCTAGCTGAAAGACATACCTTTCGAGCCAAATTTGGAGTGAGAGTCGTCGACAGATGTTCTCATCTGGATCTGTCGGTGGCAAACCAAGATCTTGGCTGATCCATCACTTTTGTATACTTCTGGGGATTCTAAGTTCTCTAAATAACCCCGACGATCGATTCTAGGACTCTAGGAGGGGGCATGCACTCTACCATCTGCCTTTTAATCAAAATCAAACGATAGATATGATCGGTGCATAACTTTCCTCGCATTCAGAAATCCCGTTAGAAGTAAATTCTGTGCTTCGCTGAGCGCTGAAACATTGCCCGCAGCTGGGGATCAGTAAGAACTTGTTCTTCCTCACTTTCAGCTTCTTCCGGCAGCGTGCTCGGGCTAGAGGCGATGATAGCCGATAAAAGGTTATGCTCTTCGCACCCCACATAATACCATACTGTGTCCTCTTGCGAGACTACGTCTGCCTTGTCGACAAGTCTCTTGATAAGTATGCCCTCGAGTTTCAAGAAGGGATGCCCGGAAGAAGGCCGTGTTTCCGCCCCGCGTCGCATGGAGTTTGTTGTTGCACGGTATAAGGGACAGTCCAATATAATACCGATTTATCAGCAGATTCGCGGTTGGCTTTGCCCCAAAGGAAATGGTTGAGTACTATTGGAAGGAGAATCAGGCGGGCTGCACCTTGATAAATAAGAAAAAGAGTCCGTGCTTCGATTCTTGAGGTTCTTCGTGTAGCCCCTGCACTTGCTGTTTTTGATGGACGAAAGCTTTCGCTTATTCTCTTGGCCGGGAAGAATAGCAGGCGTAACGTTGAGTAGACCAGGGCGCTCTTAGACCATGTCTACCGCAGCCTGACTATATCCTGACTGTTGACGTCGTCCGCACAGTTATGAGTCTCAGAGTGTCTTTAGAACCTTTTCAAGCGCCTCGGAGCTGCTGGTTTTGTTCTGGTCGTCAGCATTGTTCTGAGCTTCTCGGGCCTGCTAGCAAACCACTTCTCCAGGTTCTCTACAAATCCTGCCGCTTTATTTTTGGATATGCGAGGAGAGCCGTTGATAACTGTGAAATGTAGGTTTGGGAGTATCCTAAAGAGTGCTGGCGTGATAAGTTTCTGTTAAGACCTTCATAATTTTATCGATTCCTCCCACAGCTACTCTCAATTTCAGGTATGGGATACGTTCACGGTTTCGATAGTGTTGCTCTGTGATGAATTCAAGCAAGGCAAAGTCTCCTTAATTGGCGGAGATCTGATTCTGGGGCACCCGGCGGACAAGGTCTGTCGAGATAGAGACTTGGCAGTTATCATCTAACCAGCACCACAGACCGATTGTGGAATGCGAGAAATTCATATGTGCACGGGTGATAGTATCTACGTTTGAGAGTAGAACTCAATGGTTGTCATCTCTTGTTGCATGTACGACGTTCTCTTGCAGGCGAGTCTTATCGGAGTGCTGAAAAGTCTGCTTCAAGAATGGGCGACGATAACGTTCGCTTCAAATTAATGTTCTAGGGAGGTGTGTATGAGCATGTTTCTTCCCCACGAAGCCGCACATCTAGCACCACTGTCGGCAGACAGCATAGGATTCGCGATGAGGGCCATCTTCTCCTTGAGTGAATCGAGGCAGGTGCGGAGATGTTGGAGGCGCTGTTGATGTATGAGGTGCCCCCGGGATCGAATACCGGTAGCGCTTTATGACCTGGTCGATGGAGTTTTGCGAGTTGTAGAGCACAGTTCCCGTCTTTGTGCTTCCTACCTGCCAAGCCTGACTGGACATGGGTGCACGGTATTTCTCGGGCGTTTTGGAATCTGTCTGCCTCCTTCTGAAGCTCAGCCAGTGGAATGCTTTTGGCCTTGCTCACTGCCTGGCATTCTGGCAAACGGTTCAGGCTGTCGGAGAACTTACTAGGCCCACCGCAGTAGCTCGACGGGCCACCCCGGGTCGGGGTTGAGCTTGTTCTTCTTCGAAGCTGGAGAAGTACAGACCATGGTTGAGCTGGAATTGTACTGTTCAAAATCTTTTTGCGTCGTGCGAAGCGAGAATCCTGGCTTGAGCGAGAACATACCAGGGTTCCATAAGGAAGAGGCGGCATGATCGAGTCAAGCTGGTGTCCTGTCCCCAGACTCCTGGCGGAGCCGATCAGGATTCCAGGTGCGAACATATTCTTACGCTGTTCATTTGTTTCGTGCTGCTGAAATATGGTAATCTTCTAATCACGCTCTCGGTCTGATGGCTTGATCAATGGACCGAATTCTCGTGGGAATAGGCGCCGTTGCCCTACATTCACCAACCCTTTTCCATCGCCTTGTTCACTATAACTATAAAAGTTCGATTCAATCAGATCAGTTGGCTGTTTGATTCAAGGGGCTGCCGAGATGTTTTCTGTATATTCACAACATTAGCTGTGTTTGAAACAAATTCAACTGCATAGAGTCTGGGTCTGTTGCAAAGAAGTACTGTACTGTACATAATAGTTTAGTATTGCTAGTGCAGGCAAACCGCATAACCTCGGCTCCAAGCCCCGCCCATTGAAGCTGTCAATAAACCCCCATTTTCACCCACCAGCCACAATTGTAGCCCAACCTGATGGACAAACATCCATTCAACCTGCCAGAAGCTCCGACCGACTTTCCCCTCAGTCAACAGAAACATGTTTCTGCTGGATGCAAGGTGCAATGCCTCCCACCAACCACAAACAAATCCTTATCGGCGGCGTGGTGGGGCTTGCGGGCTTTTCGACCAACCACCAGCGGAAGCACGATAGCAGCTAACGCGCAAGTCGAATTTCCGCTTATCAATAAGAATCATCACCATGTCTTCTTCTCCCCTCTTTTCGCACTGTTCGACAGCCTCTTTTGTGCGGTCAACGGCATCATGACTTTCACTCCCACCAAGAATGATGGCGTCTGGGGCCAGAAATGGCGCTCCTCGCCCTTGTTTATCGTGGGTGCCATGGCCATCGCTCTGTTCACGGGTGAGTTACGAACCAGAAAAAGAAAAAATCACATGCCCCAAACCATCAAGTCATGGCATGGCAGTGCTGACGGGACCTGTGCAAAATTGCTAGATACTTTCCTCTATACTTTCCTCGTGCCGATCCTTCCCTACGTGCTTGAGAATCGACTCGGGCTGGACGTCGCCTTGACTCAGCGGATGAGTTTCGCCCTGTTATCGGAAAGCGCAGTGGCCTCGCTGGTGACCAGTCCCTTTATCGGCCACTATGCGGATGGCTTATCGTCCAAGAGAGCGTTGTTGGTTGGTTCATTGATAGCCGCTCTGATCGGGTCTATTATCCTAGCGATGGCGACTTCGAGTGAGTCAATCACCGTCGGCAGTCTGGCGGTTCAAGGCTATACTGGATCGGTTTCTAAGAACACGAGGTTGCTGACCGCTTGGTAAATAGCATTCACCCTCTTTGCTGGTCGTCTCGTTCAGGCGATCGCTAGCTCATTTATCTGGGTCGTAGGATACGCCACCATCGCGGACAACGTACGGCCAGAGCATCTGGGTAAGACGTACGGTGTCATCTCCCTGATCGTCGCCGCAGGTACCTCTGGGGGCCCAATGATCGCGGGGATACTCTTCGAGCTCGGTGGTTACTGGGCCGCATGGTCAAGCGCTTTCGCGATCCTGATCGCAGACATTGTCCTGCGGTTTCTCATGCTAGAGAAGTCAAAAGCTAAAGATGGTATGCGACGCTTCAGCTCACGCCCCGACCATACACTAATTTTGTCCCAGAAAGTACGCAGCCTTCGCACAACAGTGCCGCCGCGGATCCTGAGAACGCCCCGCTTCTGGGAAACGACGGTGTAAAAGTACCCAACCTCGGGGGCTGGAGGTTCTATGTTTTCGTTCTGCAACACCGCCGATTCTTGGCCGGGGTTGTCAGCTATTTCTCCTTTGCTATTCTAATCTCGAGCTTTGACACCACCCTTCCGCTGCATGTCCGCGACGTGTTTAGCTGGGGAAGTCTCCCCGCGGGGATGATGTTCTTCGCCCTACAGGGGCCCGGGATCATTCTTAGCCCCTTCTGTGGATGGCTGAAAGACCGGGTTGGTACGAGGTGGCCGACCACGGCGGGCTTTCTCCTCCTTGCCCCGATTATGTGGGTGATTGGTATGCCGGGCGACGACCGTTTCCCTTGGTTCAACGAAGGCGACAGAGGACAAGTCATCTTTACGATTTGCGTCACCCTGGTAGGATCCGTTTCATGTCTGATGAACGGAGCAGCGACTATTGAAGCGACAGGTACGTTGGCCGTATCCGACGGAGAAAAAGCTGTTTAAACTAACTTCGGTAGTCACTATCGATGAGTTGGAAGCCGAGACCCCCGGAATCTTCGGTCCCAATGGGGGATACTCGCGGGCCCTCTCCATGGCTAGTATGAGCTGGACGCTCGGAGCGTTTGTTGGGCCTGTGCTCTCGGGTTACCTGGCGGAGCACGTCGGGTACTATGAGATGAGCACGGTGGTTGGTGAGTCTATGTTTTGTTGCCCCAGACTAGCTGAGCGAAGCTGACCCAGGTAGCCGTTGTGTGTGCCGTCTCCGGTGTCAATGCGTTCTGGAACCTCGATTCTAGAGTGCATTTCGACCGTGTGAGGGAGTCCCAATAGATTTCGCCGCGTATGATTGCTTGAAGTTCGCATGGCGGGGAGCGGTTTGCATGTGACGCCAAGGACGACAGTTATGAGACATGCCATAAAAAAAGTGTCTTGATTGCAGGACGTATCTTCTGTTTGATAGCGGTAAATTCTGGTTTGCATTTGACTCTGCGGTGGCTTTTGAGGCGTCGAATCTGAACTAGCAGAAGATTATTTAGATTGCCTCCGGACCAAACCGGACCCTGACCCAGTCTTCCAGCTCGCTTAAATCAAGGCCGGTCGGCTGTTCTTGCACACGGGCCGGCCGATTTAGTCGGTGTAGTAGACACGACACAAGTCATATATGACCTGGCATAATTATCCGAGGTACTGTAGTGTTGTCTCGTACTCAAGTATGGTAGCTTAGGTAGATTTGGTCTTTGCCGTATCCCAAGATGTAGAGGTATTCCTGACGAGCCTGAGGCCTCTCAGAGGTCTGCTCACCGCCCTCATTGCCATGTTGATAGCCTCGTTTCCCTGAGTGCGATAGCCATGAATATCGCCTTGGCCACGCCTCTCAGAGGTGCCTCCAGTTCCATCAAATCGCCTTCCTTTCACCTGTCTGTATAGTACCATGGATGTTTGCCAGAGTCGACTAGAAACTGCAAGATAGATGTCGATCTCGCAATAGAGTTTGATGACAGTGATGACTCGATCAGAGGTTCGAGCAAACGTGCATTAGCTCGACACATGGGGCTGAGGAGCTGTGGCGCGTATCTGAGATCGATTGGAGACATCGGAGTGTTTCACGAGTTCAGAGATTTGGGGGGGGGGGAGATGGAGCTCATCTCAAAATAGAACCATCTACTCAAATGGTAAACTTGGAAGGAAAACGAGTCAGCGAGTACTCTGTGACCAATGCATAGATGGTGGTGATGGAGATGAAGATAGGGGATGGGGGTGTGTTTGTTCCGTTTGTTCTGGAAGCAGGAGAGAAGCTGAGGCAGCTAAAGTGGAGGCCCCAGACCCCCCTCTTTCCTAAAGTTGCGTGGCGGCTTCGGGACTTCTTCCATTTCGGGATTTCTCTTGGAAGCCTTCCATGTCGTTATCCTCCATAGTCTACTTCTAAGCTGTATACACTACACGGTGGCGGAAAACAACATACTTTGAGGCAATATCTACGGTCTTATTATCCTGATTGCTCGCGTCATCAATTGGCCTTTGTCCCAAGAGACTCTTGCAGCAACTAGATGGGTCATCTGCCAGGGTCGCTGTGTTCCAGTGATCGATCGTCAGGAGCACGCGGTTCCCAATGCTCTGGACCGCGACCAGCCCAGTCTTCCCTGCAGCCACGCAGTGACAGGTTCGATCAAGCTCACTCGTCCCAAAAATTGTATCTTAAACACCCGCGATATACGAGTCGGACCTGTCCACCATCTTCGTCCCCTTTTTCTCTTTGTTCTTCTTCCCGCAGCCGTTTTTGGGTCATCGCCGAAAGATGTGACAGGTCCACAATGTCTTGACTCTTGATTGACAGGCTGCGGGGAAATCATCATATTCGTCCATCGACCGGATACTACTCTATCTAGAGTAAATTGCTTATGCTGCGGAATTTGGCACTAGTGTCCTCTCCCTCCCCTCTTCGTTTGCCCCCCGAGACAGACTCATTTGTTCGACTTGTGTGCTGGCCATCAGCGCCTCGAGCGCAAGACAGCGCATTCAATCCGAAGCCACCATACGGAAGGGCTACGTCAGGTAGCCGTGACTGTCTGCTCGACGGTGGATAACGGAAGGGGGGGTGGGGCCCCAATTATAATTTGTGACTTCGTTCGCTGGAGTCACGGACAACTCCCGTTAAAATGGAGACCGGAACGGAATGCGGACATAGTGTCGTGTGCCATAGTCCCAACTAGCAGCAGAATGAGGGGGGAAAGAAGGGGGGGAAGTCCATCTTCGCTGGAGCTCGAAGCGGAGTCGAGACCATCCTGATCATTTCGAACTGCTGCCGAAGACGCACGCAGAACGATGGACACTGGAAAACCACATGGAAGGGGACCACCGTTCATCGTGGAACAGTATGTATCTTGCTGTCATGCGCAGCAGAAATCATGACCGGGATCAAGGAGTGCGCGACTAGGTCTCTAGACCCGGTGTGGCCAGGGTGATTTTTCTTTCCTTGGAGCTTGAGGAAGAACAAGGATTGATCCCGGTCGGAGTAAAAAATGGGATCGGCAGATTTGCCCGGGACCTCTTATCCAGCCTTGAAGCTGCTGAAAATTTATCAGAGTCCGCATGTGCAGATTGCTGCAGCCAGGCAGGGAAAAAAAAAGACCCCTGCTTAGTCACGACTAGTGTCTTGGCTTCAAACACACTGCATAAAAAAAAAAGTAAGAAAACAAAATTCATCACAGGAAGGGGGGCAACGAAAAGCAAATTCCACCGCAGGTTGCAAGAAGACGGTCTCTGCGTCAAGCGAATTACTCCTGACCAGATGAAGTCGCTTCCCCATCAATGTTAATCTCGACCAAGGCCACACGGACCAACTGCTGGGCGGAAGAGCCTCGGTCTAATCCAGGCATCGCCTATCAGTCTCCTTTCGACTTCCTTCCGCTCCAAAAAGGTCTTTCCCCCCCAAGTCCCAAAGTCCCAAAGCTCTTTACGAGTGCCGAGCCGGGCCACAACGGCTATAATGGAATGATCCAGCGTTCCTACCACGGCACTAATAAAGTTCAGTCACTGACAGCTGCTGACTGCCAGCCTATGACGTTCCGGGTCGACTGCTCGATGGGCAGTTGGGTGGAGCGGTGGATGGAGACCTCGCGCCGTTCATGCGGCCGGAAGTCGCAGCTCATCGGGCTTTGGGGCAGTCTTAGCCTATGAAGGCTTCTGAGGTGTGGATTCCTGCAGACAAATTTTTCTCAGTTGCTAAAATTTTGGTTGTCTCGAAAATCGATGCCAGGGCCAACTCCCGAACACTCTCCATTCTCCGGCCGAACATGGCCCCTCCTCGACGGCTCCCCAAACCATCGCTGATGACCAATTCCATTGGTCTATATATAAATCTATCGGCCTCCTGGTCTTTGCCCCTAGGCATCGGTGGCCGATATATCTCGCCCCCAAAGCTTTTTTATAAGAAATCTCTCTCTCTTTTATCTTGACTACTGCCCCCTTCAATAATAAACCTCCCCGGTTCTGGTCAATCGCCGTGCGAGACACTCCTTATATGGCCGCTTCCGCTCGCACTATATGTATAAGAACTCCCCTGTGTTGCTAAAGCACTACCGAACACAATCGAATCAACATCATGATGGACGTGGGATATGAAGCGACTCCGCCGCCTTCCGCTGGGAAGGATTGGGCCAATTTTTGGAATTTTGTCGACCGAGCACCCCCCACCGATGACAGCGATCCCGTCCCCCGCGATATCCTCGTTGTCGGCGCCGGCATTGCAGGCATTGCCGCTGCCCTGGCTCTTTCCAAAGAATTGACGCCTTTTGTCCCCGACCTCCGTATCACTGTGTATGAACGACACGATATCCTGTCCACCTCAGGTGGTGCCATCAACCTCACTCCCGTCGCCCAACGACATCTCGATCGCCTCGGGGTTCTAGCAGAACTGGATCGACTTGGACCGGAAGGTGGTACTGACGTGGACGCCATCGAACTCTACTCTAGTCGTTCCGGGCGGTCCCTCGGATCGGTCGACTTTGTGGATGAACATGGTAATGGGTATGGCGGATACAAGGGTCGTCGTGTGATGCGCATTGCTCTCTCGGTGGCCATGTTGACGGTCGTCGAACGATCCCAGAACGTCAACGTTGTATTTGGCAAGAAGCTGCTTCGGGGAAAGGAAACCAAAGACAAGGCCACGTTATACTTCCATGACGGTACTACAGCTACGGGCGACTTGGTCCTTGGATGCGACGGTGTTCACTCGGCAACTCGCATGTATTGGGTTGACCCCGACAGCCCTTCCGAGTACACCGGTATCTCCTTCTGCCAAACTCTGGTTGATACTAAGAAGATCACCGCCCCTGTCCACTTCCGTTCCACCTCCATGAACATTTCTCGTCACGGGTCATTATTGGCCAGCTACTGTGACCGGGACCACGAACAGATCTTTTTGGCCGCCATTGTCCAGTTCCGAGAGGAGCTGCTTGGGCATTACCGCATGGACCCAGGCCAGGACTGGCGGCGAACTGCTGCGATCAAACAAGCCCTGCGGCAAGAGATGCAAGATCGCTTTGGTCGATCGGGAGTTCCTTGCATCCGAGACTTTGTCAAAAAGGCGGACGACTGGATGTTGTATCCTGTCTGGCAGGTTCGACCTAACACTCGGTGGTATCGGAACCGAGTGATTTTGCTGGGTGATGCAGCACATGCGGTATGTTGACATATTCGTGTGGATTGTATTATAAATGCTGACTGGACTAGATGCCCCCTCGTGATGAATCGGCTGCGTACGCCCTGGATGATGCCATCCTCTTCTCTCGAATTCTCGCCAAACATCGCTATGAGCCTCTGCCCGTGGCCTTCAAAGCCTACGAAGATCTGCGCCGAGGCACGGTGAACGCGGCTTTCCAGGTATCCCGCCGGATGTGGGAGAAGAACCGCGACATGGGCTTCCTGGAAGGCCGGCTGAAGGAATGGACGTACCCGATGCAGGTTCGCAATACGAAAGACGCCCGCGAGGCGGCGTGGGAATTCGATGCCACTAAGGTGTCCATTCCCGGAACGTTCAGCGATCAATCCTCATCGCTCTACTCATCGGAGCGAGATTTTCTTTAGACAATTTGCATTGGCGGTGTTTTGGTTGGCTTGGGTTCCGGATCTATGGGTGGATTGGTTACGAGAATACGAACTGGGATACATTGCATTGATACAATTGTTGTCAAAAAGAACGCTAGGCTTGAAGCGCTGGCGGGGCTTCAAAATCTAGTCCTGGCCGCGCCCTTTTTTTGGGGGTTATCTCTCTTCTCTTTCTCTTTGCCTGGCTTCTTCTTTCTTAGCTAATACTACTTTTTTTCTCATTCATATATTGTAATCACGCTTATCTTGAACGACTCTCGGGTGTTGCTCTCACCGGCTCGTTGTGCATGTGTCTTCCAAGGAACAATCTATTTCTTCATCTATTCTGCCAGGTTTCTGGGTAAGAAAGTGGGCTCCCCGGCCGTTTTCGATTAATTTATCCTTTTTTGTTTTTGCATTTTTCTACTTTTTTTTTCTCTCTCTGATTTGCTTCTTCCCTGGTGGTCCATCGGAAGGATTCGATAGCTCCCGATAGTGCCTCGACTAACCCCTTCTTGTCCAGTGCTCTCAGCACTAAATTGTCTAGCTCCGGACTGTCAACGGCGTCCAGAATTTTTTTTCGGTCTTCATGTGCCATCGGCGATTCAACCATCGTCTATCGTCTAATGCACGCACAATAGGATTTAGTGTTTGAGATCTTGGGAAAGGATGAAGGATGCACCCACCGCGATACCCACAAGGTTCTCCAAAAGCTCTACCAGGTCAGATACCCGGAGTTTATCTGCGAAAAATAATACAGCATGAGTCAGATGCCGCAGGATTCCGATCTCGTGCTGTTTCCCTTTGAGCCAGCGATTCGCATCTAGGATTACGATCCTGATGATCATGTCTCGGCATACCATGGCTGACTGGAAGGCAGGGAGGGGAATGCATGCAAGTATCGTGGTACTTGCCGTGAAGAGCATAGTCGAGCTGCTGCCTAGGGTATGTGAAGCTGATAGTTCCAAGGATAACCCCCTGTTGAATGCGTTCGTAGGCGTTGGCTTTGTCCAATCGAATCCTCGGGATCAAGTGCTTACCTTGCATCTTGCATGGCATCTTACATCCTTGTGCTTTGCAATATGCAATTAGCTTATTGTCCGATTTCGGGGGCCTCGGAAACAGCTCAGTATTACTGTACCTGTGTTCATTCGGGATGAACACTAAACCCCCGAAGGCCGTTGACAGTCAACATGACATGACTACCGTAGACTCTCATAATATCGTGTGAGAATAAGACACAAAGCCCAACACACCGCTCGCAAAATAGATCTAACCGACCTCAACCCTTGACTCAGCTCAGCTCAGCTCAGCTCAGCTCAGCTCTAGCTCAAACACACCCGAATAGGCAAGAGGGCATATGAGCTCTTCCACCCCCCCCCCCAAACTAGATAGATCCTCGGCCCGCCAACCGAACCGAACCCCCTCTCTCAACACATCCCGCTGATCATACTACTGTATGTTCATCACCTTTCCCTATTCAAATCCATTCAAACGAAATGGAAAATCAATCATACATATGTTCTCGAATCTAACCGCTAGCGTACCGTAGATACTCACAAAAGTGCCGAAGGAATAAACAACAACCAACCAACCTGATTGGTCACAGACCGCTAGGCATGATATGATATGCAGAACCTTCACCAAGGATCCGCACTATCGATCCTTCTTCCTTCCTTCTCAGCCCTTCTTTAACCGTTTCAGTGAGGCGTTTTACTTTTGGTGTTGCTAGCAGGGATACACTATTCGGCGAGCATTCGGCGATGCATGGATCTGAGTTTCTGGCTGGGTGGATAATAGAGTTTGAACGCATCCGTGGATGGCATCGGCGTTGAGAATCCCGGATCAGGTATGAGAGAACTCGAGGCGAGGTAGAGAGATGGAAGAATTATCCGCGGTACTTGCACCGGACCGAAACCTCGGTGAGGCTTTTTGTTTCCTTCCCGCCTTGTTGGTGGTTGATTGCTGTGGTTATCGGTATCAACCCATTAATCCCTGGGGTTCATCCCACCAACCCCATGCGTGGGATTGTGCGGACTGCGGACTGCGGTGGGCGTGGGGAAAGGAAGGGCACGTCTGATCAGGTGATGTATGTACCACGATCTCACTGGTTGGTTAAGGCTGGTGATTCGGATCGTAAGGATAAGTTTGATCAGACCTGTGGGTGGGGACTTGGGTCATTTATGATTGCTTCTTGATTGGAGCTGGAATGGAGCTCGAATGAAATGGAGCTATATGTGCCTGGCGGTCTATATGTGAGTGAGGCTTGGCTTGCGGATCGCAGGGTGGTACTTGCTGCGCTGGGTTCGGAGGTGCGTGGTCGCTGGTCCCTCTGTGGCGGTGTAGTTGGTTGGGTTGAGGGGTTTCTGGTGTGAGGGGTTGAATTTGCTGATATTTTCACCTGATATAGTCTGTATGGGGCGAGTGTTCTGTTCTGGGTGTTCGTATGCTTAGTTGCTGGTTATTCTGTATGCTTGGCTGAGATTCTCGTGTTTGCGCCAGACTATGTATATCTGTCGCTGAAGGACGCTAGTTGTGGTTGATCTGCTCTACCTCGATGGACTCACTCTCTGCACATGGTAAGGGGAAATGCAGCAAGATGGGGTTTGCGACTAGCTATCACTATCTACCTTCGACTCACATCTCGATGAGTCGTATGGGCCACTATCTAAACTAACAACCAAACTAGCTAAACAAACGTTTATGAATGAGCCCCCCGGCCATCATTCAGACAGTAAGCTCCCAGACAAGCAAGAGAACCTGTACCACTCCCAGTCTTACGATTTGAATCACGAAGACGAAAGCCGAGGATATGCAATCCTGCCGCGCTCCACAATGTTGTAAGCAGGTGCGCTCAAAGACCGCTCCTTGCCGACGGTAGAGGACGACGAAGAGGGCAATGGGCTATCATCGGTTTGGCTCCCCGTCGACTTGCGCCTCGGAGCCGGGCCAGGCTTACCAGCATCCCTGCCCGCCTTCTCAATCATGCGCCTGAGATTGTAATACACCCGGGTCATCGAGTCAGGACAGTCTTTATTATCCGAGTGCAGCTGCTGCATAGCGTCTCGAAACCTGGTATCACGATACACGCGCGATGCATCCAATTCGCAGAACGAAACGTTCAACCCATCGGTGACGCACCCCAGGATCGGGCGACATTGTCCCTGGCAGCGCCGTTCGACCTCCTGAGCCGTGGCCATGTAGCGCTTGATCGCCTCCGTCGCCGCTTCTTGATCCTCGTTGTCCCCTGCGATTCTGAAGCAGCAGCGGACGTACCTCTCCTCTTCAGTCCTACCTAGGACGGCGATATCCAGCCCCCCTTCGTAGGTGACCAGGACGTTCCTCGCTTCGACGTACCGGGATACCTCGATATTATGATCTTTGACAGCCTCAAGGCGGATGCTTTGAGCCGGGGTACTATCCACCACCAGATTACTGCTGCTGCCGCTACTGCTCTTCGAAGTCGCTGTATCCCCATTATTCGCCTCCGTAACCACATCAGCGACCATAAGGTACAAAACCGAGAAGCACGACTTCTTCAGCATCCACAGCGCAGTCTCACTGTACATCTTGAACAGGCCCACTGTGCATCGCGGAGTGTCCCAATTAGTCACCGCCACTGCCATCTGCACCTGAAACTAGCCAGGACGGGAATAACTCACTAATCAAAGGCGGCTTCTCGCGTATCTCATCCGTGTCATAGAATGACGGCTCCCCGTCCATCGTACAGGTCACCTTAAGCCAGTTCATGTAAATCTCATGCATGTACTCCAGCCGGTCAAGGGAGAAGACCTCCTCGGGATTCCTCAGCAGCTCCTTGAATTTTTTCTTCTCCGCGTCGCTCATCTCGCTGTAGTCGTGCGCGACGCGGTGGTACTTGGATAGATGCGCGTCTTCCCGACGGGTTTCGTGCGGTAGGTTCGCAGTTTTGGGACTCTGTGCTTCTGGGGGGGCGGTCGTGCTGATGGTGTGGCTTGCGGATGGTTCCATCGCGTAATAGAGTTGGGGCTGCGGCGCTAGAACTTCGGAATGTAGGACGATGAAGGGTTTGCGTTTGGTGAAGGGGATTTGGGATGGTAGAGTGGTGAAGGACGGTTGTAGGGGTCGGTTTCGTGGATAACGATACAGCGTGATAAATGTTGGGTTAAGAGATATAGATGGTGGGTGAAGAGCAATTTGAACATTGGATGAGGACGGTGGGTGAGGAATGTATGGCATCGTGATGGGAGACCTGTTCTCGTGCTCTTGCCTTTCTTCCTTTTGATGTCAGTGCTGTGCTCTTTCCGTTTTGCATGTTGGGTCTCAGTCTGGTTAAAGGCTGGAATGTGAGCTCTCAATGCTCCTTCTGCATCGAGCTGTAGTTTGCTTTTGTACGATATATGTAGCAAAAGAAAAGCGGACTGCTAGTACAACAGATTAAGCAGCGATGTAGGTGAGAAGAGACTCGATATTCGATGCAATACAAGCCCCAGTAGAGGGACACAGTCAGCTTTCTACCCAATAATCAAAACCAAGCACGTTCAATGAGAGCGGATTAATTACCATAAGATCTATAAACAAACACTATACACTGTACACAAATCTCACATTACACTCCAACTACGCCACCAACTTCCCCCCAGCAAAACAAACCCTCGCAACGCCCACCACCACCGCACCCAGCAACACACTCACGCCCGCAAAGATAATCGCCGCCTCATACCCCCCATATGCATTGATCATCGCGCCGGTAATGGGCGTACCCGTCAAACTAGCCAAACTAAGCACCCCCAACGCCATGCCCATATACGAGCCGATAACATTCGGCCTCGGCGCTGTCAACGCCAACGTCGCCGTAAACAGCCCGATCACCGAGCCGGAAAAGAACCCAAAGAGCACCGCGAACGCCACCATCGCGCCCTTCGAGTCCACTGCCAGCCAACACAGGATCAGCAGCCCGCAAATCGCCGACGAGAGGACCAAGCTATTGAACCTCCCGATGCGGTTAGCGAAGACCCCCGTCAGCAGACGGCCTGCGAATGAGCCGGCGTTTATGATTGCCACGAGGTAGTTTGAGAAGTCGACGTCGAGACCGATCACGGATTGTGCGTAGGCGGGTACGTAGAAGAAGGGAGTGAAGAGGGCCCAGATTACGAGGAAGAGGCCGGCTACTTGCAGCGTGTAGGCTGGGTGATGCCAGGCTTCGAGGAGGAGGGGAGCGCCGGTTTGGCGGCGCGGTGCAGGGGAGGAGATGCATAGGCAGGCAATCAGGCTGAGGCTGAGCATGATGAAGCCGATGATGCGGACCGTCCAGCCGAAGCCTAGCGTTGAGGCGTTGAGCATGCGGTTGAGTGCGATCGGGAGGATGATGCCTGCGAAGGACGAGCCTGATGATGCGATCCCCATTGCGAGCGGGCGCCGCCGGAAGAAGTACTGGTTCACTGCTGTGAGCGTGGGCGTGTAGGTGAGCCCGTTCGCGAGGCCACCGAGGATGCCTTGTGCCAGGATGAATTGGTAATATTCTTTGCAGAGGCTGTTGAGCATGACGGAGAGGATGAATAGGAGGGAGCATGGGATTAGGATGATCTGTTTGATTCAATGCGTCAGTCAGGATTGAGGGGTGGAGAGGCAATTGTAGACTCACCCTTGGGCCATAGCGGTCCATCAGCGGGCCGGAGATGAGGCCGGCGGAGAACATGAAGAAGGCTTGCAGAGAGCCAATCCAGGCGATATTGGACGCGCTTTCGTCCTTGAGGAACGTGCTCTTGTAGTAGGCTTCGTAGATCCTGTGTTCTTGGTTAACTCCAAAGACTATTATGGAACCCAGGGGTGAGGTATCATACCCAAAGGCATTGATGTAGCCGAATGTGTTGAACATGACACACCAGCAGGACAGAACAGCTAGCCATGCCTTCAGACCTCCTTCGGGGAAGCTTGGAGGCTTGGGAGGGCTCGTATCCTCCTTCGGAGCATCGTGCGAGGACATGCTATCTTTCTCGACGTCGGGCATGATGATGTTGCAATTGACTCTGTTAGAAGTAAGATAAAAGATAAAACTACTATCTGCACGCAAGAATAAAATGTGCAACATTGTCTGAGATGATGGACAAGTTATAGTTTCCTGCACAACAACAAGATGAGGCTTATACACGCTCGGGGATTTCCCAGTTGGGACGACGACCCCAAGTCCGGGGATCGGAGCCGAAGCCCCAGTCCGAGCGTAGGTTTATTTCGGGCTTAGCGCCATCTGATAAGAACGTGGACTGGAGACAATGTGTCAAGTTGACTCTGTCTCGGTCGCTTTCTATCGAGTTTCCATCAAGTTTCGATGTTTCGGCTAAGAACTATAAAAGCCACTCGGTGAACATGATTATCAAAACACAACTCTCTTCATATACCCATACAACACCCCAGCCCCCCACGTCAAACTCTCATCATCCTCCAATGCCACCATCACAACATCGTCCGTCACATATCTCCAATGGTCAATGATAGGCTTGTGATCGTAGATCAAAGCAGCCGAGACGACGCCTCGGAACTTGACTTCGCGCAGCTATTCTCCTGTCAGATCCCAATCCGTTCGATTAGAGAGTCATGCAAAACACCTACAGTAGCTTTCCACGATTCCAACCTCGTCCAACCTCCATACTCGTCGTACGCCATCAGGTACACCTCGTTAGCGGAGATGAAGTCCTTCCCCGCGAACCTCATCTTCTCCAAGACGTTCTTCTCGGTCGGATGGCCGGTGTGAAAGATGAAGCCCTTCCATCTGCTCGACGAAAGTAGTGTCGGGTCGACGGGCTTGAGCTTGTCGAAGACCTCGGCCAGTTCTCTGTCCTCGACCTGCCCGAGGCGCCTGGTGCAGGCCCAAAAGTGAGATTCCGGATCACAGTTGCTGGCCGGTGAGGTCGGGCTCTGTTTCTCTTGAGGGGGAGCCAGGAAGCGGACCTTTCGGTCGCAGAATTGGCTTGGTCGTTCAGGCATGTTGGTGCTACGGATGTAAGTATCTTCTTGTAGCTTGCGTGAGGAGAGAACTTTCGCTCTTGGGAAGTTTAATTAAATGTATGAGTAAGTTTTGCGATTGATAAGTATGGCCGACTCAGGTTTTAGCCAGATATTCTCCCATGTCTTAAGTATGGTAATTGGTGTTTCCCGCGCATGACTTCCATAAGTCACAGATGGTTTTAGATCAGGAATAATAGTCTCCGGATGCCTCGCAACAGGGTATAAAGTCATGGTGCAGGCGATCAGGAACCCATCCGGATAATAATGCATGAGGTTCTCGGCTTGACGACAGGTATGCAAGGGGTGAATCAGGGTTCCGGCTTCCACATCCGTCTTATACTTGGCTTGGCTCATGTATGGCATAGCTTATCAGATGATAAGGCACATAGCATCAGACCGGAGTTATTTATCTCTAGACATGGATCCACATCATAACAAGGTGTTGATACGTACCTCATATACGCTACGTACCTAGTTTTCATATGACCACTGCAGCAATGACATAATATCACCAACACAGAAAGCCGAAAGTATAGTATGCTCTGTGAAGCATTTGCTCTAGACATCTGTGAGTGAACACAACCTAAAACCGGTTTAAGATTGTAGAGTAATTCTCTACGCTAGAGTATGTAGCGGCTTTCTGTATGCTCCCTGTGCCCTTAGTGATGGAGTCTACGTCGTGACCACTGCAAGCAACAAATTCAACCAAAAAGATAAGCAATAGCGTCAGTTTTCATTTTCATAAGAGTTACGTTACTCAGTCTTTCATCTGATACATGTAGTTTGAACAATCGCAAGCCTCAAATAAGCTTACTAATCGTGAGCAACCTAAGCGCTTAGAGGAGGGGTGACAGACCCGGTGAGTTTCTTCAACATACCAACAACCCACTACTGCATTCCAATAGATAACACCCGTCATCCGCGCTTCACAATCATGATATCTGATCTTATCAAGCCCCTCGCACTTTTCTGCCGCCAATCACAGTTCCAGCGATACATCAGACGAATCAGAAATCTTGGGGATGCATGGCGTAGCTTTACCGAAGAGCCTCTTCCTGAGTCTGACGAAAGAGCTACTTTACTAGAGACCAGCTTTGGCTTGGTCTTCAATATCACAAATGCACTGGACGAGCAATCCGGGTCGGACACAACGAATGTCGAAATAACAACGCAAGAATCTCCTGCGTCCTTGATGACCAAGGAACCTCCGTCACTAGACCCTCCTCGCCACTACCGGATCTTCGCCGACTGGGGCACGGACTTTCTCTGGAGAGATCCCGATGATCTCAGGGACGAGGAAGGTGACTGCATGCTAGATGCAGAAGAGTTCCTCTCGGCCTACCTTCCCTCAGTGTTCGAACACTATGACGCATGGGTGGACACATACACAGAGAATTTTAACGAGCGACGCAACAAGACTGGAGACTTTCACGCCTTTACTTTTGCCACAGTCGCTGAAGAGGTGGCCTGGAATGTGGCCGGGTACTTGCTGGCTTGGCGAATCGCAATGGCGCCTCAGGTTGGGAGAATCGAGCTCAGTGTTGGCGACTCGAAGTACTTGATTGAGAAGGGAAAGGAGACGAGCGTAACTTTGGAATTTCTACGGGATCAGGCTGAGATGTTGGCAAAGGGGGAGCGTATAGCATAGCGTGAGTTGACTATATGCTATGCATGCGACGAGTGCATCTTCGTGTAGGAGTCTCACTGTAAGCGATAAAGTTTTATAGTGAATGCCAAGATACCAAAAAGCCTGGTGGCCAACCTAAACCTCATGACTCCCACTCCTTAGACTTAATCCAAATATCAGTAAATCTACGTCTTCTTCCCCTGCGCCTTCTCATTCTCCATGAACCAACGCACACTCCTTTCTAGCCCCTCCTGCACGCTCACTTTGGGCCGATACCCCAACACCCTCCTCGCCTTCTCCCCATTGAGCGTGCGAACAAGGGTACTAAATCGAATCCCCTCGCGCGTCATATTAGCCCTCTTCGTGCCCCCGGACACAATCCAAGCAACCCACTCATTAAGATACCCAATAGTCCAACCCACCCACATAGGGATAACAACGACCTCGTCCGGCCGAACAGGCCTGCCCACCAAAGCCGCCACCCTCCGCTGAAAGTCCCAAAACAACCACGGCTCCTCATTCGTAACATGAAAGCACTCGCCATCGACCCTCCTCCTCCCATCCGCCGGAGGTGGCTTGCCCCACGCCTCCAACAACGCCCTAGCAGCCAACAAATGCGCATCCGCCAAATTCCCCACATACATAAAATCATACGAATTGCGCCCCTCCCCCATCTGAAACCGGGACTTTCCCTGACGCGCAACAGCGAACATCTTTCCGAGAGCCCCGATATCGCGCTCACCGAAGACAAGACACGGCCGGATATGGCACGTCAGCATCTGGGTGTCTGGATGGCGGTTGGCGGCTTGGATGGCATCCTCGGCGTCCGCTTTGGCAATGCAGTACAGGCGTTTCTGCTGTGGCGGCCGCAGGATGGGTAGGTCTTCGGTGGCGTCGATAAGGTCCGTGTGGTTGTCGTTGATCACGCCCGAGGTGGAGGTGTTGATGAGCGCGCGCACGGTTTGCAGTTTATGCGCGGCGGCGAGGAGGTGGTATGTGCCTGTTACGATGATGTCGCGGTAGGCGGTTTCGGGCGCGTCGGAGAATTCTGGGGAGGCTGTGTGGAAGATTGTGACGGGCTGTGCGAGGGCCATTATGTGCTGGACGTCAGAGGCGATGGAGAGGTCGCCCTGGTGGTAGTGTACGTTGGGCTGGGGGTGGCGGTTGCGATTTACGTTGATGTCCATGGAGTGGATCTCGCAGTTTGGCTCCGCTTCCAGGATCTTGGCGATTATGTGGTAGGCAATGAAGCCGTTGCCGCCGGTTACCAGGACCGGGCCGATGCTTGACATGGTGGCTGGGTTTTTGTGGGGGATGCTTCAAGAGATAAAGGAGGGAAGGGGGTTGAGGCAGATAAACGCATGAGTAGAGGGAATGCTTCCGTCTTATTTATTATCTTTCTTTTGAGGTAAGTTAAATACTTGCTTGGCACTAAGCAGCTGGCTGGCTATACTCCATACGCACAAGTGCGAGCTTGGATACACCACACCCCTGCACGTAAGCACACCTATCACATCATCGCGATACGATACTGGCATTTGCCTCGTCTTACTGCCTCAGCCGTGTTGCGTTGATAAAATTCTACATCCAACAGCATGATTACCAGTATTTTACCCCTCGATATACTAAATAGGGCTATTCTAAGATCACTGCATAGGAAGACTGCCCCCCTCCTCTTCCGAAATCTAATCGACCCCCAAAGAGAATTATCCGTCAGAAACTCCAGCTCCTGCGAGTCCAACTGGCCATCGCCCCTTCCATTCTTGCGTCATTCCCAGTGCTGACTGCTCGACCTCTTCTTACTCGAGAGGTTGCTCCGTGCCGCGTCCCCCGTTTGACTGACTTTAGGGCCCTCGCGTGTACCGTTCTGAAGCAAGGATCTAGTCGCGTTATAGAAAGACAAGCCAAGGGAGCGCAGTCGCGCGAAGAACATGGCAAAGAATGTGGCGCATGCGACGATGATGGCGATGTTCATCTCGACGATCCTAGACGATGCAAAATTAAATCAAATGCCTTCTCACGCGCCGATCCACTAGGCCTGCAATAACGTACGTGAACTGGGCATTGCGCCGGTCGTCCAAAAAACATCGGAATTTTCCGTAAGCTGGAGGTTAACCAGTCGAGCCAGACTGGCTGCGCAGGCACTATCGGCCACCCAGTTAGTGAAGAAGACACAGTAAAAGCTGGAGGAGAATACTGACCCAAGCCCACTCATAAACGTCACCAGAAGCCCGATCCGCCGCCGCCGGCTAACCTGCAGATTGACCAGCCGCGGGATGGGCAGCAGCAACACGTAGAAGTCCGTGACGACGTTGATCACCGACTGGATCGTGATCATGGTCCCGGAGACGAACTTGCAGTACGAGATCTCCAGCTGCGACAGCCCCGCGCATTTGACCAGGCTGCCGATGGCGATGGCGATGCAGGACGTGTAAAGCACCGCCATCGCGACGATGCCGATCCAAGCAGCGACAATCTCGCGGTGCAGTGGGAACACCCGCTTTACACAGGAACAGGATTGAGATCTTGGCGAAGCAGATGGTCCATGGGAATGTAGTGCCGCCTGCGTCGAGGACTTGGAGCGGCTGTTAGCGGTGTTGGAGAGATGATATTGCGCGTTGACGTACTCGGGTGGATGAGGGTTTGATTGAGGTTGATTGCTCGCATACCCCACATGAGTCGTCCGATACCCAAGGGAAGAGCTGCTGCGCAGATAGGTCAGTCCAGGGCTGGTGCTTGGGTGCATGGAGATGGACCACCACTGACTCTGGGTGTAGAGCGTCATATGCGTGATCAAGCCGCACTGGGACTGTAAGGACGTTGAATGGTGAATGATTCATCACTCAATCGAGTTACCGCTGCAGGGATGCGGGTGGTTAGATGCTATCATTCAGTAATCCATGTTTCAGCGTGCCGGGGGAATGAACATGGCGTGCATGATACCCAGTGTCTTCGGCGCCCAAGAGCTTGATGATACATTTCCGCACTCACACGCGAGCAGACACCGCCAGAAGCGAAAGAAACAGGAAGATCGTTTGCAGCACGATAACTGCCGTTCGTTGCGACGGTGGGTTATCGAAGTTGGGAACCACACCTGGCGGCGGTGCTACAGCTGGAGTGTTGGGATCCATGACCAGGCGATGGGTTGCTGAACAGGACCTGCTCTGGCGCGGAGGCTCTATGGACTTAAAGGCGGCTCTCACTCGGGCAGCCCAATACAGCCACCATTTTCGAAGGAAGGGACCAGTTCATCACCAGAATAGTACGAAGAGCACCAAGCTCGAACACCGTGCGGGCATCTTGTGAGTAAGACTCAATTCAGGGCCATTGGTGGTAGAATTCGGCCGGCCTGTGGAGGGCAGTTGCTGACTTGAGGGCGAATTGTCGACCAACCTTGAGCCCGTTTGCTCTCGCAAGGCTCGCACAGAGTTGTGTTACTCAGGCTTAAGCTGATATAGTGTATTGCCTGCGAATAACTCTGTGCGTGGCACATGCCAAGAGTCTGTCTGCAGGAAGAAACCCATCAATGCGGTATGTCCAGCCAAAATACGTGTATACTTGTATACATGAGTACTTGCACCTCGCAGCGGGGGTCGAAAGTTGAAACCAGTCAACGTGCATCGGCTTCGAATTCCTCTTTCTAGACTCGCAGCTTGTTTATTTTCAGGGTCGTATCGGAGGCATTGCCCGCTCTGTCCCTCTCTTATCCGTTCTGCATACAGAGCACTTGGGCTCCGCTTATCCTCATGTATCCTCCAATTACCTTTCGTCTGTTCTCTCTGGCGCATCGGAGAGATGGTGATTATGCTCAACTTCTGCAAACTTAGAGAGTACTTGGATAGATTGCACTTTTTGACTATGGCAGGTGAGGGCTGATCCAAACCACTCTACGCTGGTCTCGCTGCAAGCACCAAGATACTTCAACGCCCTCGACGACCTCTGCCTCCATCCCAAATACACGACCGCTCTACAAGACGAGATCTACGCCGTAGCCGAAACGAATCCCCACACACCACCCAAAGATCTCACCAGCTACCAAGATCTCACCGGCTACCTCGCCTTGCTCAACGGCTTTCTCAAGGAGTCCGCACGCCTCAAACCCACAGATTCAATATCGTTGCGGCGCAAAGTTCTCCAACCATTGACCTTGAATGACGGAACAAGCCTCGCCACGAACGACATCGCGTGCATCCCACTCCAGCCCATCCTTCAAGAACCGGAGACCTACGCCGACCCGCTCACGTTCAACCCTACCGATTTGTTCTGAACAGAAACCAGGATTCGAAACCTAGTCTCTTAACTTCAGACTTCACCGAAGCTGACATCACCTTCTCGATCTGGGGCCTGGGCAAACGGGCCTGTCCAAGTCGGCACTACGCTTCGCTGCTCTTGAAGCTTATTCTCGCGCAGATCCCTGCTTCGCTACGACCGACGTACGCCGGAGAGTCTGCCCGAGAAGAGGTGTTTTTATTGGCGTTCGGCGATCGTTCCGAAGGCTGAGGCGGTGTTATATCTCTGGGAACGGAGGGTGGACGTGGAAATACCGAGCTAGCTGAGTACGGTGATAGCTAGCTGTATAGAGGGGCTTTGTGAAGGAGCTCTCGTGCGTATTATGCAGTGGTGGCGCGTCATTGAGCGTGGTGTTCACTTTCTCCTCTTCGAGCGTGCGAGGTTAATGCGTTGTTTGTCGCTGGTCACCGAGTTCCAGACATGTTAGGATGGCGGTTCAAGGGTAGTGCTTTTGATGGAAATGATACCAGTACAAGCCCATTATTCGGTCATTTATATGATTTGAAAGTGTGAATCACATATAAGGTTATCTTTATGAGCCATCATCATTGCTATGAGGTTCTGCTTCCTCTTCACAGAACTCATCGGCTTAGGGCTAGAATATGGACTCCCTCCCCGCGGGAATGAGCGGCTGATGACGACCGCTGCAATCTCGGGGATCAGATAGAGAAACATTTGCTATAATCCGAGCCTTCAGGTTTTTCGGGGCCCACATGAGTAAAAATAAAATAGGAAAGGACGCGCATCTCCCAAATTCTCATAGTGGAATTGCGGAGGCGCCAGAAAAGAAGATTTCCAGGGCCTACGTTGAACTTTTTTTGGACCACGCTGAGCTGGCACTCGGATTTCCAGGTATCTAGGCATCGAAGAAATGGTTAGTCAGCGGCAGGACCCTCGCGCTAGAGCCATGAAAGGCTTGGCGGGTATGATCTATCCAATAACAACAGGATTGGCGGGCCGCTGACTGATGATGGATGTGATCTGCTCTAGAAGCTATGGAATCATTGAAATGGCGCACTTGTTCGATGCTCTACCAGTGTGAGGATCGGGAACCTGTTCGCCTGTTTTTGAAAATTTCTCTGCGCTACTGAGTCGTACAGATTGATAGTACGACTTCTAATGGTAATTCTCGCAGAACAGTCTGTACAGTTCAGTTGCATAATGTTGAAAGACATGGAGCAAGGAATAAACGCCATCGACATCATGCGAGTGTAGAAGGCCACCCCGTACAAAAACCCTAACTTGCTACAGTCATCCCACGTGAGGGATTTACGATCCTCCACAGGTGCTCCTCTGGAACATCCATATCAGGGAAACATACGAGACAGATTCTAGCCCGGCCGAGATCCGTTTCTCCAAGCCTCATCTATATTCTGGGATACGGAGATCGGTTCGTTTGACGAGTCCGTCAGAAATCCGAGATCAGTAGCCTAGACAACCCGTTTCCTAGCTTTCCCCTTCGCTGGGTTCTTGTTTGCAACCCACCTTGGAGATGGTCGGGGTGTGTAGCAAACCCAGCATTCAAGCAAGCGTCCCATTACAGCGCTGATAGACCATCGCAATTATTTTATCACCAGATACTATCTGTGAGATAAAATGGTGGCAGACTAGATCCCCAGAAACTCAGAGTACATAGATCCACAGTCTACAAGGCACTATGACTGCTGAGTTGACCCACCCGAGCACCCCGTTGAGGCGACGGCCTACCGAATACTTTGATCTAGCCTGCAGCTTCCCAGTCCCGTTTCTGCAAGGTTCCTGAAACTATGTGCGTGTTGATGCTCTCGATGGTCTGACGCGTCATACTCACAACGAGGGCCTTGCGAGAGCTTGATGGAGTCTAGGCTTCCATGCGACCGTCAAGCATAAGATCGGATGTTTTGCAGAGTTTTCTTCATTCCGGGACCCAAGACGGTCTCCCCGGACAGATACAATATGGTCGGTGTCAAGGCAGGCGGGTTTAGGAGTACAACACACTAAAGTCGGGCGGCGCAAAAGGCTCCTGGTGGATCTCCGGGCGAAGGGGACGGAGGAGGGATGGATACTTTGATTTGAACGTTTATCTTTCTTTATCTGCTGCGGAAGCTGAGATGAAGATCTTCGGAGCTGCGTATCTCATCAGCTTGGCAGGTGCACACGATATCCGCGTTCATAGGCTGTTGCAGTGTAGCATGGAGGTCCTGATTGTGTACCCAGCTAGCTAGGGCCTAAGGGGAATCCGGCACAAAGACTAGAGTGATGGTGCGTCTTCTAGAGTTTGATCATGGCGACAAGTCCGTTTTCAGATAGATGAGAGATACACTTCTCAATACATCAGGTTATGGCAGAGCTGACGAAAACACTGGCTCGTCGTGTTTTAGCGAGCTTGCCCCACGCCCTGGCAAAGCTGGCCTAGAAAGTGGTAGCTGGGATTCCTCAAGGCTCTGTCTGTGTAAAGGGGCAGGATGCTAGGTCTTGACAATCGAGGTCGAGTGGGCGAGATGAAGCATAGAACGCGGGGTAGCCTTATCCCCAGTGCGTTGCAGCTGATGTTCAATAAGGTTTGCGTTCCTCAATAGTTTAAAGGGGCGAGAGACTCGCCACCGTCAGCCCGGTGAGCAGCATGAAGACTGGGCACGAGCATACTCTACTTTTGGCTGGGAAGACCCTAACTAATCCACGGCCAAAGCTGTGCCAAGCATCTCAGATCGGTTATCAGTGGGCCTCGCGGATAAGCTTATTACCGCCCTGAGAGGCATCCAGCATTCCAGGGCATCATCACCCCCATTGAAGACCTACACGTTTAAAGTCTGAATTGAGTTAGTTAGCTACTTACATACATTTTGACTAAAGCTAAAGATGAAACATCCAACCAATTTTTCGGCAGGGAGTATGCTCCATCACATCCTGAAGGCGAACAAGAGGAAGAGGCGTAAAATGCGAATTTACGTTTTATCACTGCAGTACGCTAAAGGAGCCGTTCACTTGGCAGTCACTGAACTCAGGCGGGATGAACTGATGGACTCATTATCGGTATCGTCACGGAACTCTTAGACCCTAAGAGTTGGGGAGGGCCACGCAAGCGGGTGACGAGGGTTAGAGAACAGGGCAGAGACGTCAAACACAAGTGGGCCAAATTATGCTTTTCGCCTCCGTGCCAAACATGGAACGACGACTACGGAGGATGGCCTTCTACCAGACCTTAGCCTTTATACTACCCATGTGCTTAAATAGAGGTCATGCTCCCTCCCCAAGATAATCCCTCCATTATCCAGCCTCATTCATTCTTTCATTGAGCCTACCATCCATCCAGTCATTTCAGCTGCCTGTCATGGGCAAATACTCGCGTGCAGCTGTTGCTGCTCTGGCAGCCGCAACCGCCAACGCCACCTCGCTCTCTGATCTGTGTACTGTTTCCAACGTCCAGTCCGCTCTGCCCTCCAATGGAACCCTGCTTGGTGTCAACATGATCCCATCCTCGGTCACGGCGAGCGTTACTACCTCTAGCAGTGGCATGGGTGGCATGGGCATGAAGAGGGCTGACAGCGGCTACACCTACTGCAATGTGACTGTGGCTTACACTCACACCGGCAAGGGCGACAAGGTCGTCCTCAAGTATGCCTTCCCCAGTCCCTCTGAGTTCAAGAACCGCTTCTACGTTGCCGGCGGCGGTGGTTTCTCACTCTCTAGCGACGCAACTGGTGGTCTCGAGTATGGCGCTGCCTCTGGTAAGTAACATTGAATGTTGATGACATTTGCAAATTCAAACACTCTGACGCCGTCAAGGTGCCACCGATGCCGGCTATGATGCTTTCTCCTACAGCTACGATGAAGTCGTACTGTACGGCAATGGCTCCATCAACTGGGATGCCACTTACATGTTCGGCTACCAGGCCTTGGGTGAAATGACCCAGATCGCCAAGCCCCTTGCCCGGGGCTTTTATGGTCTGTCCAGCGACAAGAAGATCTACACCTACTACGAGGGCTGCTCCGACGGTGGTCGTGAGGGTATGAGTCAGGTTCAGCGCTGGGGATCCGAATACGATGGTGCCATCACTGGAGCTCCAGGTAAGCCATACTCCTTGGTCAACCATCAAAAATTCTCTTCATCTACTAACCGGTCAATAGCCTTCAGATTCGCGCAGCAGCAAGTTCACCACGTCTTCTCCTCGGCTGTCGAGCACACCATGGATTATTATCCCGAGCCTTGCATGCTAGACAAGATTGTTAACGCCACCATCGAGGCCTGCGACCCTCTTGACGGACGTACTGACGGTGTCATCTCTCGTACCGATCTCTGCATGCTGAACTTTAACCTGACCTCCGTCATCGGTGAGTCCTACTACTGTGCCGAGCAGAACTACACATCCCTCGGATTTGGCTTCAGCAAGCGTGCCGAAGGCAGTACGACCAGCTACCAGCCCGCCCAGAACGGTACCGTCACCGCCGAGGGCGTGAAGCTCGCCCAGGCCATCTATGACGGTCTTCACAACAGCAAGGGCGAGCGTGCGTACCTCTCGTGGCAGATTGGCTCTGAGCTGTCGGATGCGACCACCTCGTACAACTCCGACACCGGCGCCTGGGAGCTCAGCATTCCCTCCACCGGCGGCGAGTACGTTACCAAGTTCGTGCAGCTGCTGAACATCGACAACCTATCGAACCTCGACAACGTCACCTACGACACGCTGGTTGGCTGGATGAACACGGGCATGATCCGCTACATCGACAGCCTGCAGACCACGATCCCCGACCTGACCGAGTTCCAGTCCTCCGGCGGCAAGCTGCTGCACTACCACGGCGAGTCCGACCCGTCGATCCCCGCCGCCTCCTCGGTGCACTACTGGCAGGCCGTGCGCTCTATCATGTACGGCGACTTGTCCTACCAGGAGTCCCTCAAGAAGATGGCCGACTGGTACCAGTTCTACCTCGTGCCCGGCGCCGCCCACTGCGGCACCAATTCCCTCCAGCCCGGCCCTTACCCCGAGGACAACATGGAGATCATGATCAACTGGGTCGAGAACGGCGTCAAGCCCTCCCGCCTCAATGCCACGGTCTCCTCGGGCTCCTACTCCGGCGAGACCCAGATGCTCTGCCAGTGGCCCAGCCGTCCCCTCTGGTCCAGCAACAGCAGCTTCTCCTGCGTCCACGACCAGAAGTCCATCGACTCCTGGACTTACTCCTTCCCTGCTTTCAAGCTCCCCGTGTACTGAGTATACGCAGCGAGGATGGCCTCATTGGACCTAATTGAGCCAAACTCTGCATTCTGCTTCTTGTCATAGCTCTCGATAAGAGTCCCTTCGATTCGTGACTTCTTGTATCTATCAAGCCTTATATCTTTATCTACAGATCACTCTTATCAAGACCAGCTTTGTATACAGTCCACTTCAGATCTCATATAATCGCATTGTAGAGAGTACAGACAGATCACTACGCCAGCATGGGTGTCACAGCAACCATCCGATTCTAAATTACAGTAATAGGCTGAAGTCAGCAACGCCAATCTCCACCTCCCATCACAACAAACATCCAGCCCAAAGGGGCTAGCCTAGCTTGACGCATCCATGAACCAACGCCAAATTCAAGACAAAACGTCATCCACCGGGACCCTATAACGCTCCTACAGCTAATCACGCCCCCAACCATTGCTTTCGTCGTCCCCCTCACTCAAAAGACAAATGCCAAGTAATCGAGCCATCGAACCCTTCCCAGAATTGCGAAATATCCCGCAGAAAAGAAATCCCAGCCATTACAACGATGACGATAACACAAGTCCAAAAAGACAAACAAAGACCCATCCCAAAGATTTTGCGTACCCTCCTGATCGGCAGCACCATCAGGCACGGCTGGTTTGTATCCAGTATCCACGTAATCCTTTATAGACTTCGGGGTAATAGGAACCCCTGGTGGAGGCTTCTGGGTGGATAATGATTGGCGGATACGGGAATTAGGGTAGGGTCCACATCGGAGATCGGGAGGTTTGAGGGCTCTTACCTCCGGGTGGTTGCAACGGGGTTATTTCGTTGGTGGTTTGGGTATTTCTGATTTAGTATTGCATACTGTACGCCGACTCTGTGGTATACTGCTCAATAATTAGGGAGAGAATAGCTTTTATAGATGTTCGGGTAGATTGGTGTTGGGGTTCGTGGTTGTTGTTATACTAGGCTTGCAAGGGAGGGTTGGGGGCGGAGGACGTATGTGTCGACTCGGGTATGATGCTTGCAGCTTTGCTGTTGTGTTTGATTATTTTTGATGATAACTGAAGTATTTAAGTTGGTATTGATTCGAGATTGATAGATAATACGGTTACTGGGATGGTCGAGTTGGCTTTCTTCCTAGGAGTTGTTGTGGCTTTTACTGTTTGGGGTCTCTAAGCCGGATGTAGGGAAGGGCATGAAGATGATATGAGTAGTCTGTCGGTAGAATTGCTCCAAGCTAGGAGTATAAGGCATGTTACTGCCATGTCGATATAGTCAGAGTCGGAGTACATTGGTACTACAGCCATATCCATTATCCCGGTAACTTGAAGTTCATAGTGTTAACTTCTTTTGGGCAAAACATATACCAGGCATGAGCACCAGACTTCGGATAAGGCCTGCACAAACGAAATGAATCAATACTACTCGGTGCGAGTAGAACGCTTGGCCTTACCAATTAACTCGACTCCGTCGCAGGCTCACTATCTGGAGGGAAAATCACGCAAGCCCGATCTTATGTCTTCATGCCTGCTGGCTGTCCAGTTTGATACAAGGCACTTTGGCGATTGAATCTGCCACGGGATATAATTACCACGTAAAGACCTTCAAAGCAAGAACGTCTTGGTGGCGCAATTGGTTAGCGCGTACGACTGTTAATCGTGAGGTTGAGAGTTCGATCCTCTCCTAGGACGTCTTTCTTTTTTTCCACCGTAGAAAACTGCCAGGTGGGTCCACTGGCCTAGAAAGCCTGATTGCTTGAACCCTACAGCAACCACAGGACCGGGTCCGAGCCGGGATGGACCTAATGCTCCCTACGGAGATTCTGTTATCCTTCTTAGCTTTCGCCTGCGTTGGACACTATGCAGTACTTCTTGATGCTAGGAATGCGACACCTCTGCCAAAGAAGGGACGTCGGTACTCGGACGGAGTTTTCGCTGTTCAAACTCCCTTGCACTCTATCCCCTGCCAGAGTTGGCCTTCCCCACGTTAGTGCGGGTTACCATCCACCTCGGGCGTCTTATCAGTGCCGGCTGTCGTGGTGCCGTACTAGTTAGTCTAGATTAGCGGGCAAATGTAGGGTCTCGCGGGGAGTCTCGTCGACAAGGGAGTCCTGGAGCCCGTCCCAGGACTCAAAGATGCGGCGCTCAATCGTCTCCAGGTTGAAATTCCGGGGCGGCCGGGCGATATGAACGTGAACGATCACACGGTGGTGCCTCTTGGCATAAGTCGGATACCACACCACATCATATCTCAGAACGAGATCGTCTTCGCAGGGCTTTATCCACTCTATGGACCAGTCTGAGCTGATGGGCGGTCCAATGGGCAATCCAATGGGCTCGTCCTCGGGGTCGGGCAACCAAGTGAGGTAAAGAGGTCGAGGCGGTGGCGGCTGGTATCCTCTGGGTAGCAAGTGTCAAGGATGATCGGAGACCAGGACTCCTGGAAACGACGTATCCAAACCTATTACGCCCATCGCATTCCCTTCGGCAACGGCGCTGGGGGTCCAGGCAGCAGGGTCTTCCTGCACAATGTAGATATAGGTCTTTCGCTTTATCCTCACGCGGTACTGCCAGGCCGGTTGAATGACATCGAGGACTTCTGCCTCCGACAACTTGAACCGAGGAAGTGAAGCCAGCGCTTTCTGTGCATTCTCGTGAATACGTGGAGCACTGGAAAGGCATCTGCGGTGACCTTGGTCAATCACCGCCAGGGAATCATCACGGTGCACGAGCAACATTGAGACCAAGTGAGACGCCAGGTCTGTTTTCATCTGAGCTGCATAGGAGCGGAAAATTCGCCGAGAACAGGCTGAAAGCCAATAGGGCCTGGAAAACCTGGAGAACCATTCATAATTCTCAGAATCCCGAGCCTCATACAAATCGTCCGCACGCTTTGCCAGAGCGTTTACTTCTCCTTCTCCTTTCTCTTCTTCTTCTTCTTCTTCTTCTTCTTCTTTCTTTTCTTCTCTTTTTGATACTACTCCTTCCTCTTGTTCTTCCACCGCTGCGCGGAATATGGCGAGTTCGAACACCCTCTTCGCGACCAAGAAGGTAATTATCGCGTGATCTTGCTCGAGAACGAGCCTGACCACCCCAACCTTCTCATATTTCTCAGCTGCAATGCCTGTAAGATAGTCCATCTTGGAGGACGAAGAACGATTCGGGGGCCGTTTAACGGGTGGACACAGGATTGAAGTCTGACGAAGAGATGTCCCAGGGAGGGGTGCTTATAACAGTAGAGAAACGGGGAGTGTCATTTACCTCAGAATATGAGTACTAAGTCCTGAATTTAACGAAAGGATCTGAGGTCGAACTGAGGTTCGCACTATTTTTCGGGTGCATTCTTTGGTGGAAATCATAACGGGCCACGATGTAGCTGGCTAAGTACAAGGCCGCGATTTCTTTATTTCTCCCCCCATTCACCCACGGAATCACGATTGAGTCAAAGAAAACATGGCAGAAAGCAGAAATAAACGCTTCCATTGCTCAGATTATTTCTTTGTCGAAGAGTTGTCGAAGAGCACCACTAGTCCGTGGTGATTCTTGGAAACGACGATGCCCTCAGGGTCACATAACCTGACACGCGTTCGCCACAATGGGATATGTTACAACTAGATGCACATCTCAGAGACGCTGCCGGTACGGCACAAAGTACCAATTGCTAGTATTCATTGACGGCTATCTGGAGTCTATATGGCAGGGCCTGATCCCCGATCGCTCACATTAAGTATATGTGGATGATCAGGAAACAGCAATGCCATATCACGTAACATATCAGGAGCGATCAACAGTGTTTGCTCCCTGTCAAATATCTAAGACAAGTGACCGTTCCTCAGCAGGCTCTGTTTCAACTCTCTCTTTCGCCTGCAATTACATTGCCTAAGCCACCTTGCGAATGAGGCTCACTCAGCCAACAACCCTCCCCCTCTCTACAAACCTCCCAACCACCTTCCCCTCACCTTAATGTAACACATTCATTCTGACCTCATACTCACTCTTCCTCTCCAGAGCACTTTTCATTTCCTTCTTTGTGTCTACAAACATAGCTTAATGTTCTATTCCCTCGGCTCATTGGTTCCGTGGACTTGATGCTTCAATCCTCCTGTTCATATCATTCAGACTCCTTACTTCAGTCATCGTCTACCTGCATGACTTGGTCAGTCTGACTGACTCTTCAGTGGTTTACGGGGCTGAGGAGCATATCACTGAACGTAACCCGACAAGAATCTATCGCATGCACCTGCCACCCCGTATTCTGCGTAGGTGTTTTGAACTCCCCTTCCCCCCCAATACAGTCCCCCGCAAGCCTTCTCTTCCCCCGCCTAACCTTTGAGCGCAGAGCAACTGAACGCCGCCCGTGGCCGCCTCCGAACCATCGCCCACAAAGACCTCTTCGCGCGCATCGCGTTTGTTTTCAAACAGTCGCAGGCCCCCTGCTGCGAGCGCACAGTCTTCGAGTTCCTACGCGAGCTCCAGCGGATCTACGTTTGGCCCTTTGAAGAGTGCATGAAACGCAGCAGCATCGATGACCTGATTGACCGGCTGGCAGATTTCGCGGAGAAAAATATGCGCAAATACGTCGATCCCAAGACTGACACCCCCGTCGATTGTGTATGTTACGCAGCGGATTGGATCACTATTATCGAGCACGTTGCGACTCGTGTGCTGGGCTACTTCAATGGCCTTTGCCTGGATTGCATGAACAAGACTAAAAATCTTCGCCCTGGGGGCGACCAGGACACGGATTACTGGGAGTACATGGACCACCGTGATCGATGGGACCTAGGCTGTCGCATCACTCATGCAGAGCCAACTTGGTACTTCAGTTTCATGGGGCGCAGGGAGAAGAAGGGACTGATTGCGGATCATTGAATGGATACTTTATCACGTTTCAAGGGTGTGCGTTGGTGTCGCGATACTGGATTGACGTTGATATTAAGCATCATATACAAGGATTTTTAAATGCATGTATGTACCCGAGCCAATCGCTTTCAACGTGAAAGTTTTAAGCAAGTTGTAAGGATCTGATTTCGAGCGGGAGAGGGCGCTTCATCACAGATCCTTCAACTCTAATGTCCAAACAAGGTCTTTTTTTAACAAGCGAAACCTTTTGCCATGCATGCAAGCCCAAGTCAGAGTGTGTTTTGGCCGCGTCTGTTCTCTCATATTTATTTGTTGATCGCTGCAATGCTGTTCAGCCTTATGATTTCACTGCAGCCGACAACATCCGGGGCATCCAATGCTGCAGCGACGAGCTGGCATCGACCCAAAAGCTGGGCAAGCGCCCGTACATCAATAATGCCCAATCGCTTGGTAATAGATCAAGTCTTGTGTTGGATACTCAGATTGAATGCTGGCAAACTAGTTCGGCTTCATAATCGGTACTCTGTATTGAGACACAGGCAAGCATAGCGCTAAAGTGGACCGATCCGTATGTTCCGCTCCGGTGACTGCTGGAACACCGAGCCCTAAATCCAGATCCCGAGACACCGAACTGGTATTCTCCCGCGGCACTCGCTTCTTCGAGCCCCGAAATCCATAACAACGAGGCCGGAAAAGGGATATAAGAAGGGGAACTCCAAGTAGTTCAGTCTTAAAAATCGAACCAAGTCTCTCACATCTATTTTCTTCCACTGGAACAAACTAGAAAAAATAAAAAGAAGAACTCGAGCCCAAACCAAGACAACCCCTCCAAAATGCAACCGATCATCCTGTACTCGCACGCCCTGGGCCCCAACCCATGGAAGGTGGCCATCATCCTCGAAGAGCTGAACCTCGCCTACGAAACGCGCTTCGTCAGCTTCACCGAAGTCAAGCAGGAGCCCTTCACCAGCAAGCTCAACCCGAACGGGCGGCTCCCGGCGATCGAGGACCCCAACACAGGGCTGACGCTCTTCGAGTCCGGCGCCATCGTCGAGTACCTGATCGACCAGTACGACGCGGACCACAAACTCGACTACGCGGACGCGGCCCGCAAGTACGAGGCCAAGGCCTGGCTGCACCTGCAGGTGTCCGGCCAGGGGCCCTACTACGGCCAGGCGGGCTGGTTCCGGCGGCTGGCGCCCGAGCACATCCCACTGGCCGTCCAGCGGTACGGCGACGAGGTCCGCCGTGTGACCTCCGTGCTGGACAAGGTGCTCAGCACCCGCGACTGGCTCGTCGGCGACAAGTGCACCTACGCCGATCTGTCGTTCATGCCCTGGCAGCGCCGCGCCAGGACCCTGGCCACCGACCCGGACACCTTCGATGAGGATTTCCCGCATGCGGCGGCTTGGTTTAAGCGGTTGTCTGAACGGGAGTCCGTGAAGAAGGCCTTTGCTGCCCAAGATGCTGCTATTGAGGAGTTGGAGCGCGCCGGCGCGCCGCTTTGAGTCGTTGCTCGCTTTGCGAAGGATGTATGATTTCCATAGGATATGGGGGTGGGTTTGCTGTGTTATCATGTATATAGGCAATGATTGATATATATTACTCTCCTTCAAGGAGAATTAAAACTGCCAGCCCATTACAATTAATTTTGGTTGGATCCCGAGCCCGAGTTAGTCGCCACCATCTTTCCTGTTCAATGTATTCTCGCGGAGTCATGCTGCCCGAAGCCAAAAGTCCATTATAATGTTTAAAATTGTGGCAATTTTCAACAATCGGGGCTGTGGTTTAGTGGTATAATATTCCCTTAGCATGGGAGAGGTCCGGGGTTCGATTCCCCGCAGCTCCATTTTTTGTTGATTTGTTGTCGATTCGACCATCTTGGCAGTCCAATTGGTACTTAAAGAACCCACTGAATATTCTTTTTTCAGAGGTTGCGGGTAAGTTCTTGAAGTGTGCTCTTTTCCTTTGCGTAAAATGGAATGTTTGTCAGTGCGGCAACACCTGCACATGCGTGCAAGAATGAGGACAATCCCGAAGGAATCAGATATATAAACTGCCTAAGCACTGAGCCGTTTGAATATCCATTGCAGACTACTTAGTAAGTAAATTCTGGTATTGGTTAGTATTTGTTCTTTCTTTCCAACAAATAGTTGAAGAGCGATCAATGAAAGTATGTCAGCCCATTTGGCATATGGATAACTTGTTGATAGTCGGACCCCCCACCCCACGGGCAACAGCGAAGCAAACTGCATAAGGAGGAGTATAGGGTGCATTGCCCACACCAAACACCGGCTCGGTGACTGGAGTGGAGCTCCGCTTAGCAATGACACTCTCCGATGGGATCGGAACCTCTCCTGCGGCCGGTGGGCCCCATAAAGTTCTTGGCAAAAAGTCTGGATAGTCCCCGTGTTTTTTCGTGTTCCCGTATTCATGATTAAAACTATCTACCTTCTTTGAATATACATAACTTATGAATATTATATGCACTTTACCTAATTTCTTTGAATATTATTTCTAACAAAAAGATAAATAAGATAGAAAAAACATATATACTCAAACTTTACAATATAGATATAATAAGAAATTAGATATTGAGAAACTAAATTAACTAATCTGATTAATCTATAATATAATTAAATATATCAAGAAATATAACTTTTAAGTTCTTATCCTTTGTATCTTAATTAGAATATCTAAAAAAGATTTTAAAAACTAAGAAATATCTACTTATTTGAACTATTTAGAGAATCTATTTATATTATGTACTTTACTTATTTAAAAACTTAAATTCTTAATAGTTTCAGCTCAGTCGGGAGCATGGCGTACCACCCCTTGAGGCTTCGAAGTAGAGAGCGGGCTGTCGAAAGGGACTCGGGGAAATTGGGCGATAGGCGCTGGGCAGCGCGGAGCCAGCTGCGCCATTTTAGCAACATGGTACCTTACTTACTATAAAACCTGCTGGACCTCAGCAGCAATTCTTGACAAGCGTGCAAAATGCCGAAACTGGATACCGTCCGATTGGTTCTGGTTGCTCGTGGAAAGCAGGATTTCAATACGAGGTTGATCAAGACGGAAGTCAGCTTCATCGAGATCCGTAACGTCCCATTCGTCTGCCTGAATGAATGGCGGGCGACCGTAGAGCAACGAGCGCCATTTATCCTCGGTATAAAGAGCCCACCATAGTCTTCTTCGTAGTCGTTTTCCCCATGCAGGGAGACCCATGGGTCGACATTCTAACTGTAGCCCAAGCGCTGTCGAGACCCCGACAAGTAGGCCAACTAGCGACCAGGTGAAGGGGCTGTCGGCAATCGCACTCTCCTGTCCATTGATCGGCCTGTGTAAGTAAAGCAAGCCGGCCCGAAGGACGGCCAGATGTGGCGTGTGGATCTCTTCAAGGATCAGCTCCAAGACAAGTCGCCAGAGTCGCTCTGTCGGGGGCTGAGAGTAGGCACTGAGTACGCAAAGATGCTCGTCAAATTTAGCGAACGACTGTGTAGATGCATATATGGCGGCGAGAAGATGTACTGGTGTACTAGACAGGGCGTGCTGAGTAGGTAACTGTCGTGACCCAGTCAAGCCGAACTGTGTTCGCGAGATGACTGGATAGGAAGGAAATATGAACTTCTGGAAACTGGCCCAAAACAAGACAAAATTAGTTTCTGGTCTGTGGAAAGAATATGTGCCTACGTACAGAGCTACTAGTCGCTGCCCACATTTTAGTGGAACTAAGGAGTTGAATTCATCCCGGATGTTCTTTCTAGTAAAATATCTAGTTCTCTCCTTCGCCGCATCGTCACTAAAATGTTGTCTTCTGCTTGAACAGGGTTTTGTTTCCTCCCGTGTTCGATAGTCTGGAGGTCTGGCATCAGGCACTGAGTCGAAATTGTTCTTAGTCGTTGGCCAAATTTCAAAGAAAAGGCAGCCTTCAGTGGAGCGGAAGCGATTTGCGAAAAGAAGTGCACTTTCTGGAGCATGGCACCGAGTTTATAGTCAGAGTTTTCGAGTCAGACATGGCGGTGTTTTGTTGCTCATGAGTATGAGGCCAGATATCAAATTGGTCGGATTCGAGCAGAGCCGAAGTGAACCGAATCTAGAAATCAAAGTTCCATGAGTGACGCCCGCTAAAAACATGAAGTGAATGAAGGAGCTTTCCACAGTGTCCTATGAGAGACTCCTCCAAGATTCAGGCTCCATTGTTTGCGAATCGCTGTGGCTCGAGACACACCACTCGTGACTGGTCTCTCACAGGAGGGAACTGATGGACACCCACACAACATCACCCTTTCTCTTTATAAGTGTGCAAAATTCTCGGCTTTGAGAAATCTAAACCGAAAGCCGACAGCAATGCGTCAGCAACCGGCATTACCGGCGTCGCGAAGCCGAAGCCGACGAACTGGATTGAACGAAGTCATGATTTCTTTGCAGCCACTCTTCCACCATGCGCTCCAGGCTTTCATGCGATTTTTGCCGGTAAGCCCCTTCCTTGTCTTCCCGATCTGTGGGCCCTAGCTTAGTATTGATTAATCACAGATCTTCGAAAAGCAAATGCGTCCTATTGCGGGCAAAGCCCCTTGTCAGAAATGCGCGCGTTTCGGCATTGCCAACTGCACTCTTAGTAGACCCAAGCCAAACCGTCAGACTACCTCTGCGCGCCAGGTCCGACGACAGCGCCAGCCAGCTTCTCTTTCAAGTCCGAACCGTAGGCACAGGACAAATAGTTCAATCATCGCATCCTCTCTAGAAGCCGTCATTCCCCTGTGACTCCTCGCCATGGAGAGTCCGAGCATAAAACCCACCTGGACACGCATCTTGCGAGTCTATCACCAGGTGTCATCCTTCGAGCATTCAATACATTCAGCACAAATCTCCGGAACTGGAGATGCTGCATCCTTTATCATTTATGGAAACGTTTCAGTCCTCATGTGTGACAGAGAGTAAAACACCTCTTGCCGCTGTCTTAGCTGCCACATACTCCTAACTTCCATGTATCGACTCGTTGCTTCCGCGTGAGCGGTACGCGTCTTTTGCCCACGAAATGCTGGCGAGCATGGCCTTTCAGGCCCCGAAGCTCCAGGTTGCGCAAGCTCTGCTCTGGTTCATTTGCAAGGAGAGTGTGTTCAAGAGCTGAGCCGAGATCTGCTTAACACTCAAACACCGATATGATCTTAGCAGTCAGAAAAAACTTTACTCCGTTGCAATTGCTGATTCAAGTGCAATAGCGAACAGTAAGTTGCGTGACTGAAGCGGAGAATTCCATGTATCTACAGAAGACATGGCACCTGGCAAGAGCAAACTTGTCACTCCAGCTTCAGAGATAACGATCTGGGCATATACAAAGAGTATACGGGAGTCACTCTCCTACATTTATCCTCCCCGACTTATGAACCGAAAAATCCTTGAGAACTCCATTATATCGCACCACACAAAAGCAATAAGCCGGACATCTCTTTCATCCCTTTCAACGACAAGCAACCACTATATAAGCAGCCAGAATGCTGTGGCTTCTCGCATAGAACCAACCGACGCATCTCTTTCAAGCCGACTCGACATAACCCAGAAAAGCGGCCATCTCCAGCAACCAGCACCGCAACAATCCCCACCGGCGAGTCCCCAACCCACTAACCCCAACCCATCAACAGCAAACCAAGATGCCCAGCACAGCAACCTACCACTTCAACCTCCGGCAACCGGCCCTCCCAGCCGCAGGGCACCCCCCACCCGAGCCGGTCCCCTTCACGCGGCAGCCCGCAACACCGGGCACGCAATGCCAACGCTGCCACCAAGGGCACAACCAACAGCACTACCCCCTCTACAGCTGCGCCGCCTGCAACTCCAACTACCACCCAGCGTGTATCGACGAGCTGCGCAGCCGAGAATTCTACCACGGGCGCCAGCGCCTGATGTACGGGTGCCCCAACTGCGGGACGGCATGGATCCCACCGGCGGAGATCCAGCAGCAGCACGCAGCGGAGTGGGCGCACGCGCAGCGCACGGGGGGCGACGGCGGCCGCTACCAGTACCGCCGGGCCGTCGGCGGGTACTATGTCTGCACCATGGGAGCGGCGCGCGGCGCGCTGCCCTGCGGCTGGGCGGGACGGGGCTGGAGCAACCTCACGGAGCATCATCGGGTGCGGCATGAGCGGCGCGGGGTCGCGTACCGGTGTCACACGTGTCAGCGGTCGTTTTCCGATGGGTTGAGACTGTTGCGCCATCGTGAGGGGGCGCATCCGCGTGTGCGGCCGCCTTATTGTCCGGTTTGTGCGGTCGAGGAGGAAATCGTGGGGTTGGAGGATATGGTGAGGCATGTGGAGGATGCGCATGCTGGTGGTCTGGATGTGCCGGTTTGTTTGTTGTGTTTTCAGTGGTGCGGCGATTGGTTGGGGTTGGTTTTGCATGCTGAGGAGGAGCATGAGGTTTTGGAGTAGGGTTGTTCGCTCTGTTCTCTTGGGGGGTTGCTGGTTTCTACTGGGGTAGTTCGATGAGTTGGGTACTCTGGAGTACAGTTGGTCTTAGGGATTATGGTATTTATGAGTAGCATGAAAGCAAGACAATGAAATGAAATGGATAGTAGGGTGACTCGGAAGGACAGATATTGTAGCGTTGCTATAAGGATAAGGGTGTATTACCATCGTCTATAGAAAAGCAGATGGTCAAATGAAATTAGCCCCTCTACGAAATTTCTATGAGCTGCGGCCCGTCAACTTATGGACTCTGCTCATGAACTCGATCATGTCATGATCACAAAGGTGCTCCGAAGCTGCTGACAAAAGGATAGTCTGTCACTCCCACTATACTAAGGCCCTACAGCTTCAACTGAACAATGTCACGAAAAGAAAATCTCATCTATAACATTATACCATCTCTATCTATCATTACATATTCAATTATAACACATACAGCATGACCGTCAACCTGTAATCTCTCTACAAACGCGCAAAGCGCTTGCCCATGCTACGCTTCTTCAGCAGAGCACCGGCCTCCTCCAGAGCCTGGGCACGGCCCGGGCCATAGTCAGGAGTGGCACCGAGGGTGCCGAAGATGTCACCGAGGTAGTTGCGAGGCTTGATGCCGGCCGCGAAGGTGCTGTTCCAGTTGCCGAGGATACCCTCAACGATCTTAATACCGGCGTTGTACAGGTTCTCGACAGCGGGCTCGAACGCGCCCTGGGAAGCGTAGAGCAGGTTGTCACGGGCCGACTCGCCAGGGTAGGGGCGCTCGAAGTCAGAGGCGGTGCGCATGATGATGATGCGGGAGAAGTCGGTCAGGTTGTGCTTGGAGGACCGCACGAGAGCCTCCAGGGTGGCGTTATCCTCCTGGGCCGTGGTGCAGTACTCGCCGGTGCCGTTGGTCCAGATCTTGGTGGTGTTGTCAAAGGCCTCGCCCAGAAGACGGCCGCTGAAGTAGACGTCGCTGGTGGTCACGTCGCACAGGCGGACGGTGGGGCCCTCGGTGCCGGCCTTGTAGATGCCATCCTCGGTGACATACTTGGCGCGGTAGGCCTTGGCATCATCGCTGTCGGCCAGCGTGGCGTTGCGGGCGAAGCCGGCAGCAATCTTGCGGAGCTCGTCGTTCACCTCGAACACCTCAGTACCGTAGATGCTGGTAGGGTACTGGCTGGGGTAGTAGGCACCCTGGGGGAAGTAGCCAGTGGTGGCGTTGGCGGGCATCTCGCGCATGTCGATCTCATACTGGAGAGCCACCTGGATGGCGAAGCGGGCAAAAGTCACGTCGCAGATGCTGGCCCGCTCGGGGTTGACACCGGCAATACCGGCGATGAGGAAGTAGGTGGTGGTCAGGTCAAAGATAGGGTTGAAGACGACCGACGCGACAGTGATGGCAGCATTGATCTCAGACTCCCCAGTGATGAGCTGGCAGATGCTGTAGTCCGCGGTGCAGTGCACGTCGGGGAACGCGGGAGAAGCCCCAGGAATGGTGATGTTGTGGGCCAACAGGTCGAACTCAGGGATTCCCCACCAGATCTCAGCCTCAGGCGCGAACTGTGGTCATGGAGTGAGCTTGCGATCATACAATGAAGTAGGTGGTGCGGACTTACCATCGACACGATGAAGATCTTGGGGGCAATCTTGCCCGGCGCGTGGCTCACGGCGACATCCCGGGGGTATGGGGGGACAGAGCGAGCTGCAGCCAGGGAAGACAGGCAGCTGCCGGCGAGCAGAAGGCTCGTGGTAACGGATTGAAGGAGCTGCATATTGCGCGCGTTCGTGATTGGGAGAGAGCACACATCTTCTCAGGTCAGAGGTCGCACAGCACCTCTTATATAGTCACAGCTCGTTGAGAATTTTGGAGCCCGCGCGGGAAGCAGTCGGAAAGCACCGCAACTGGAAGTCCGATTGCAGAAAAATTGGTATCCATAGATGGGCTGATTAGGAAGGATCATCGTCGATAGCGATCGGCAGTAAGAACATCTTATTCAATTGACCAATGATAGCCATTCGAATCAGTTCCGACCCAGCCTTCCGGTTGAAGAGTCTCCACTTCTAACGTGATTTAGCCAAGCGGGTACTAATTTGGCTTCCTTCCATGACTGACTATTGCAACGATGTCCAGCGACGATGAGCTCCTTGCGCGAACCCCTGCATTGGTCAGTCATGCTGCATCGATGACTTGTCGCAGTCAACTATCTGACAGCTAGCGCAGGAACCGAACGCAGACATCCGGTCGATGGAACGAACTGGTGGTAATAAGGTGAGAGACCTCCAGAGCGAACGCGAGGGAACGCCGATAAGCCCGCCCGTCTTGTGCGGTGGAGCTTCATTTATCTGGTTCTTATCGCGCGCTTGCCCTCCAGTCAAAAAGACGGCCAGCTATCGGCGTCCCACCGGAGTCCTGTGGGCACTCCATCTGCCCAGGCTGAGGAAGATAGCCAGCACGGCGAGGGGGTCATTTTCCCTGCATGTCTTAGTCGAAGGTGGCCGCTTCCTGCATGGAAGCAGAGATGAAGTCGAAAACATCGCCAAAGGCGGGGAAGTGGATAAGTTGTGCGCAGTTGACGGGGAAAAGAGTGAGGGCAAGTATTCAAAAAGAAACATTCTCGAAGGTTTCGTGCCGCTCGAGCGACGGCACGTGACCCTCGGTGTTGAGCACGCACTGGAGCCATGATAGGAAGAGAATTCATGAGGCTTTTTCCACTTTCCCAAGGCAATCAAGATTCAGAAGCACCAATGAGTCAGAAAACTGCAGACTTACTTGCCAAGTGCGTAAAATCACTCACCCCAGTGCTCCTTCGAGGCCCGTGACCATGGCGTTTGGGGCCAGCCTATGTGGGCACTAGGCAGGCAATTCTCTTCCAAATTAATTCCCCGCTGTGCGTCTTTTTGTTGGCTTTTCGTGACTGCAAGTTTTTGCTCCGTGCTGCGTTTAGAGGGCTATATCAATTTGTAGGGTATCAGGATGCAAGCTCTTCATGCAATGGCACCCTGCCTCAGATAAGGACCACTATTTCGAGAGTTCAAGTAGACCATGCTTGCTGTTCAACGACCATTCTCTTCCGAGGGATGGACAAAGATATTGCGAAAATCATCTATCGTTCATCTCATCGATCGTGCCGCGTTGAGGTAATGCCGCATGCTCATGACGAGAGATAAGCCATATCCCGGTGCAGTGGGAAGAAACTAGCTCGGCCATCGCTCCAAAGCTAGAGGTCCACATACCGACTAAACGCCTTCCAGATTATGCTAATTTGTTCCATTGGTGGGACCTGGATCAAGACGGTCCCTTGGGTAACCGCCGTCGCCAAAAGTCTTATTCAAGGCTATCAGTGTGTGCGTTATCCGTATCGGTCGGGTTGAGGACATTCCTCGGCTATCTTTGAGGCTTTTCCTCTGAAGTTCTGAGGAGGTTATGTGGGTTATGTTGGGATCTCTAGAGAACTAAATCAGAGCTTGCGACGTAACATCAGAGTAAGTATGTTAGTATAAAGATTGGGTGTAGTCAGAGCGTACAGTACTTCTGACCGACCTTCTGCGCTCTGGCAATAACTGGCTTGCGACTTGTGCAATTGTAGGCGTGGTGTCTAGTTTTATGAAGATAGCATCTTTTTAGAGAATGAATGGATCCAGGATAGTATTTCTGATTGATAGCTCTGACTTGCTGATGTACGGAGTCCGGTGGGACATGGAAATTTAGAAATGGATGGTCCGCCCTGATGCCTGAGGCTTCCATCCTTGTGGTAGCATGGCACATGACCTGGAAGAATGTCTTGTTTGCAACAATAAATGCAAACATGACAACCAATGCATACATTCCAATCAATGACCGCAATTCTCCCTCGGCTGCCAAGAGCTCTTTTCTAGATTCAACCCGGGGATTCCCTTCAATTGACAGCTGCCATTCATCCACCTATCCCCTGGACGTTGAACTTGCAACTCGCATTGAGATACTTCTTCTTTTTCTTCTTCCCCTTCCCCTGGTGTGGTCACTCTGTACAGTCATGTCCTCCCTCAGTCTCACCCACTGCGTCACCACCGACTTATTCTCCGCTGCGTCATCCGGTAACGCAGATCTGGCCCAACACGGTCCACCAGGACAATAAAACCAGCCCGGCGGTCATCGCATGACATGGCGCACCCACAGGCGAACCTTTCACCTGTCACCACGGGGAGGGGAGAGACACAGAGAAAAGAGAGGGGGAAAGGAAATTGCAAAAGGGAAGGCCGCGACGTCATCCACGTGGGGTGCAACGCCCATGACGTCAGCGCTTCTTCCTTCCCCTCGGCCGTCTCTCTCTCATCTTTCCATCTTGTTCCTGGCCGTCGACCTTCTGGTTCTGTTTTCCTTTTATACTCTTCCAGCGTAACATCCGCCTCTATACTCAGACCCAGACCCGGACCCAGACCCAGACCCAGACCAGACCCTTACCGAAAGTCGCGCGTGCGCTGCGGTGCGATAACATAACCAACCCAGTACGTTAACTTCCTCCTACCGAACCGAGTCAAATCAGACGAGCCTAACTAGACAACCGCAGGAAATAACCAGCACCCTCATTCAACGCAACCCACCCATACATCACACATCAGACCAAAAAAATGGCCCCAATCCACGACCGCATCCGCGACGACCTCCTAGCAATGGAACGCCGGCTCTGGACGGCGCTGACATCCGCGGACCCGGGACCAGAGATTAAAAAGATGTCGAACGAGGACGCCAACTTCCTATTCCCGAAGCGCGACATCCTCACGCTGCGCAGCAAGGACCCCTCGCTCTCAGAGGCGCTGAAGCCGCCCTTCCACCACTTCGAGGAGTACGAGCTCAAGGACGTGCGCGTGCTGATCATCGACCTCATGGCCGGCACGGTCACCTACAAGATCAACGCGCGGCTGCGCGGCAAGATCGAATTCAACGGGACAGGGTCGACGACGTGGAGCCAGGGGTCCGACGGGGAGTGGCGGATTGTCGTGCACCAGGAGACGTCGTTGGAGTAGACCCTTTCTTCCCTTGACGTTTGGGGAAGAGTGTACCTCCTCTCTACAACGACACTGAGGGAGGACAAGGGAGGACAAGAACGCGGTGCAGTGCGGTTTTGATTTTCAGTTCTTGATACTCTTCCTGTTCGCCACTACTATTGTTTTTACACCTAGCCGATGCGGGTTAAGGTGCGATCGTCGTTGAGCAGCCAGCTCCGTCGGGTGGTTCTTTTGTTACTCTTCTCTTTCATTTTGCATACTTCTGTCATGTGCCATCATGTGTCATGTGTGATGAAATTCAATAATTTATTATTTCTTTTCTATTACCTCCATTTCCCCCTAAGTCTATACCTCAACTCCAACTCGACTCAATACTTACACCAATCCCTTAGACCTGACTCCTTTACGTAACCCTCACCACCAACTAACGAACAAATCCAACCCCATCGCCCAATACCTCAATAGTCCACTACATAACGCATACCTTGCCCAAAGGAGAAGCTAAAATACGGCAAAAAGAAAGGTAAATAAAAGGGAAAAGCAAACAACAGCCGGCCCGGCCCCCCGAAAAGCAAAAACGCAATAGTGCCCTTCTCGATGATAGGATCAGCAAAGGATAACAGATAGTCCGTCCCAGCCCCACAAGAACAACACAATCAATCACCTCATCAAGATCGACCCCGACCACCTTGCCCCGACCACCTCGGTCCACATATCTCCCGACAGGGCTGCATAGGGATACATACGACATGTCCCGGTGTGTCCCGAGGATTTCCGGCCAGCGTGAGTGCGGTACGGAGTTGATGGGAGCGGAGATGATCGCTACGTAACATAATCAATAAATATCTTAAAAGAGGAGGGGTTGAAAGCAGAATATGGAGTACAGGTCATACTAGTAGATGGAAAGATAGTATTATTTGCAAGTCAGAAACACAGAAAGTTGAAAATCAATCATTGAATCGAGACCATTTGTCATTCTTTTGTTTATGCACACAATCATATATATCCCATATCCGGTGTGTATCTGTCTGTAAAACTCAGTGCGGGAGGCCCTCTAGGTACGATTTTCACTGCAGGGTGAGAATAGATGCTAAAAAGAAAAAGGTGGAAGAAGCAAGGGCAAGGCTGAGGGGGAAATGGGAATACCGAGAAAGAAGAAAAAAAAAAAAAAGAGAAAAAAAAATGGAAGGGTAACCACAAAAAAAAAAACAAATTTAAACACCATCGGAGAATCCATCGCCACCGGCCTCGGTATCAATGCGCATCGCATCCATCAATCCACACACCTCGAACAACTTCTTAGGTCCCATCCCCTCCGGCAGACCCACCACGCCGTCCTTCTTCAGGCGCTCCAGCGCGGCCTTGATGCCCATGTAGGCGGGAGTGATGCAGCAGAACGAGAAGATCATGATGCGGAAACCCATTTCCTTGGCCTCCTCGGTGGTGATGACGGGGCCGGCTCCATTCTCGACCATGTTCAGCAGCAGGGGCCAGGGGGCAAGGTCCTTGACTGCCTGCCGGGCCATCTCCTTGGAGGTGAAACCCTCCAGCAGGCCGACGTCGCAGCCCAGGTCGCGCGCGGCCTTGAGGCGCTTGATGCACTCGTCGTAGCCGTGCTGCTGCAGGGCATCCGTGCGCGCGATAAGCACGATGTCTGAGCGAAGGCGGTCCTTGGTGATCTTGGCGGCGCGCAGGCGCGTCAGCCACTCCTCTTGCGAGACCACGCGCTTGCCTGCCAGGTGCCCGCAGCGCTTGTTGGCGATTTGGTCTTCGATGTGGAACCCAGCCACGCCGGCTTGGATGTACTGCTGCACCGACTTGGCCACGAACAGGGGGCCTGCATTGTTGCTGGTTAGCCTTGGCTTGCGAGTGAGGAAACGGGAAATTGCTTACCTCCATATCCGGTATCCATATCAGCAATGAGTGGGGGGCCGTACGGGTCCAGATTGGCTATCATCTCGGCGTTGGTTCGCATCTCGTACAGATGGGCTAGACCCAAATCTGCTTGGCCGAGTCGGGAGGCAGTAGTGCCGGCTCCGGTCTAGAGCGGGTCAGTCAGACTCGGAACTATGGGGACTGGGGTCTGTGACATGAGTCCGGGGAGATGACGTGGAGGGTATGTATGTACCATGTACATCGCTTTGAAGCCAAGATTCATTGCAATCCGGGCGGACAGTCCATCGTATACACCGGGGCAAATGATCAGTTCGTTGCTTTCCTTAATTTGTCTGCGCAGCTTGGACGCTCCCGTCACCAGCTGAAGGTTGACAACGGGCTCCTGTCGCGAGCCATTGATGTCGTAGTAGCCGTCCTGCTCAACGGTGATGGTGATAGTGTTCGTCATGCTGATGGTGGAGGCAGAGTCAGGGGTATCAGCGACTTTCATTGTAATTAGAGATAGTAAAGAGGAGGTGATGATGAGAAGGAAATGAGCTGATGGTTGATAACAATGAACGGGCTCTTTCAAGGCCTTTATATGTATCTATCTGCTCTGGGTCTCGGCGCAATGTCTGTCCGCGAGGCAATTATCGATTGCCATGAGGACAGCGATATGACACTGTCTAGAACGGGCATCAGTTTCCTGCAACCCTTCTCCGATCATACTCGCTGTAACTCAAGGCCTTGGCCGCCGATTGTCGTCGTCAACTCCGGCCAGATATTGATACTAGGCATTCTTGGCCGCGATTGCAGCTGGACACCCCCATCCAGCTCGCCAACGATCGTGATTTGTTCTTGTGATGCGCCGAGCACGCCCAACCGTGATCCGACAGGAGAGAAGATAAGCCCTGGGCAGTTCTTCGTTCCCACCCTCGGCATGACGGGGGGGCTGAGCTGGAAGAGAATAATACGGGTGGAAAGCTGATAGGGTATCGGAGTCAGATATGCGCCACGAAGCGCCGATAATGCTTCCCTCGTCGCGCTGAATCCTGCGCCGGGGAAGTTTGGTCGTGCCGGGGGTGGTACAGGAGGAGGGCCACCGAGGGGGTGGGGAAAGAGCACCAGTTCTCAACCCGACTGGGATGCATGTCAGACATTTGATCACGCACAGAGCTGCTTTCTTCAGAACAGGTATCCATCCCCTCCCGGCGCCCCTTCTGGGTCGCAGGTGCATGGCGGTGATTGGGGGCCGACGACATTGATCTGCACGAATAGAGTCGTAAGCGGCTCGGCTGATGCACCGGAAGTTAAACGGCATCCCACCACGGAGCCGGGGGGCTACCTTGCCGTGAAGGACGTGGACCCATGGTTGGCGGAGAATCCGGCCAGCAGTGGCGTCGGAGGTAATCAGTCAGGATGGAGGGGTTCAGAAGGTGGATGCGTGCTGGTAGCTATACTGGAAACCGACGGCGAAGCCGAGATCTCACTGGGCAGCTGCAGTGAGTCTTCTCATCGCCGAAATTAGACTGCATTCGTGCGCAGGGGCCAAGTAGCTTGGCACCTTAGTAGTGTCAGTCTCGACCTGGGAGCCATGCGCTTGCTGATCCATTCCTTCTCTCTGCCCGTGCTCTTGCTGGTAGTATACACTCCGCGTGTTGTCTGTCTGTGACCAATTTGTGTAACAGGCCGGGTGGTAGACATCCGCAAGGGGTTCGACCCGGAGACTTGGTCTCGCGCAGGAGCCAAGTGCCGGATCCGGAATGGCAAAACGGTCTCGTTCGGCTGGGTGAACGGAATCCCAGGTCTTTGAAAGCAATAATTGCAATAGTATAGCCTCACCCTGGTGATGATACAAACTAGTGACGAAACCCACAAGGCTATTTGGTGGGAGGGGGAACGAGAAGGAAGCGGAGGAAGAGCAACAGCAACAGCAAGAGCAGCAGCAACAGGAGCAAGAGGTTCGGACCACGATGGACGTCGCGCGCAAATCAGCCGATTGGTTGTTTAGCGTAGATTGGCCGAAAAGCCAGGCGTTCCGCCCAACTCCGTATTTGTCCGGCTTGGCTGCGCTGCTGAGCGATCGTTGCTGGCCTGGGCGTCGGCGGCAGGACCCGTGGTCAATGCTATTGTTTTTTTGTGGTTGTTTTTGCGGTTATCGTGGATCATGTATATCTATGCGCATTTCACTATTGATTGATCCCTCCACTAGGGGTGAGAGTGCTAGGAATGATGCTGCTCAGTCTTGGGGTAATCCGAACACTGCCTTCTCCATGAATTCGGCCGAACAGCTTCGTCTGGGGAAGGGGGTTGGTGGGGAGACAGGGTCCGCGGTGGGGCTTAGCATTCTGCAGTATTGACTGCACTTTAAGCCTATACCCTGCACCCACACAAGCCAAATGACATATTAGGCATTGTCGGAGTACTGGGGCGAGAGGGGGTTTCGGCAAAGCACAGTTCACTTGCCCCGTGCTCTCAGCTGGTCCAGTTTTCCATTCCCATGGAGGTTTGACAGGGCGGGCTGCCTCTCATTCTCTGCGAGGGGCAGTGGTGTCTAACGGGGCGCCTTGATTTTTTCTTCTCTAAGCCACAGGGCCATATGTCAAAAAGGGAAAATGCTGTTCCGTTGATCGCGTGATCCGCGATTTTAGTCGAGACCACCAAGACGACCCTGAACATTCTTTCTAACCATCAGTGCGCCACATTCGAGTGTCACAGCTGCATTCCAATCCAGAGGCCGACTTTTGACACGGTCGGATCGAGTCCGACCGTGGAGAACGAGCCGCACATCTCCTGAGAAGCTAGGAAATGCTAGCGACGATCACAGCGGACGAGCAGCGAGAGACCTGGTCGTACCGCTGCCTAGCAGATATGCTCAGTGTTGAACCCAAGGAAGGTAAGTCGCACCATAACAATGATCATTCATCGCTCTTCAGGCCAGCTTTGATTTTGTTCTGACCCGTCCTATGTCGCTACAGCTACCCACGGATTGTGATTGGCGTATCCATAGGGCACCCACGAGTGTCGGAAATATTTCTCCAGCACCACCTGCTGATAGGTCATATCGTCGACACAATAACCACCACCACTGGGGCCAATGTGGGCACAATGTACGGCAGGGTTGAATTGCACCATGTTGTCATGCACTTCGCGACACAGCAAAGTGTTCCTGCCCATCTCGTACGGCTGCCCGAACCGAACCCTCTGTGTCAGAAAGACGACGCATTCCTCCTTGGAGGCGTACTGTTGGTTTGACCCTCGACAATGATCCTGATGTGTCTGGCAGATAGTGTCGGCGAGCAACGTAGCCACCCTGGACTGGATCTGGGCGGCATCGGTGAGGTGGAACATCTTCCCTGCGGCCTCCATGAGAGGAACGAAGAGGTAATCCAACCAGCGGAAGACGGCATCATACTGGGTGATCTTGCCAAACGAGTCGTACTGGAACCAGGTGTCAATGGCCGCGGGGATTACCAGCTGGAAGGTGGTGATGTTGAAGGTGATGAGAGTGGTGGCAGCGACGATGTTGTCGGTGGCCGCGAACTGCGTGATGTTGTAAGCGATGGGAGGCCCGAAGATGCTCGGATGGTCGGGCTGCGAGAAGAGGCCAAAGATGTACTCGTTGTTGAGTTCGCGACCGTCAAAGGTGCGAGTGGCATGGACTCGGCCTTGCACCTGCGATGGAGATTAGAGGTGATGGAAGAGAAAGAGGTGGTTGAAAAATCTGGGGAAATGAAGTTGTGGGGAAAGAAGGGAATTAAGTACAACCGGGTTGGAAAACCTTAGAAGCCGTGTTGCCGGTGATTGGTGGACCTTGTGCACAATAGTATACGAACGATCAGGTAAAAATAGTACCTACATTGGCAGCGAAGATGGAGGAATCGTTGGCTTCAATGTGCCCTCGATTAACGGGATAGAGGAAATTCTGCCAGAAATAGTTCTGCAGCATCCACAGCTCGTGGTAGGAGTAGTGAGCCTGATTGGGGCCGGCATTGACCACGGTGCTAGCGATCAACGGTGATAATAGCGTGAGGAGCAGGAACATCAACATGGTGAAGAATTGATTAACGCGAAGACGCCTAGTGTCCGCTTCGACACTACTGCACCTTCCCTTGACCTATTTATATCTGCTTCCATCCCGCCCTCCATCGTCCATGCGCAGACCCCGGGTCCTCACCTACAGGTTTATGCTTACTCTTTCACAACATTGACCCTGGTCGACAGAGGACGAATGAGTGATAGTCTGACTGCTATCCCAACCCCTAGCAGCCCCAGCGACACGATCAATATCTCTGACCTGCCCCGCTGCATGCTTTGGCTGCTGAGTAACGGCATGCCGTGTGATTAGACTCGAGAACCCCAAACATGCACAATCCCTACGCCGAATTCACTCCGACTTTCCCGCCCTGCTCGAATAAGGATCAACCGTACCGAAAATCCATGTCCGACCCGCATGAAGGTTGGGTAAAAGGTCAAATTGGATGGCTTCCTTGTTTATTGTAGCCCTGGATGAACTGTCAGCTGACAATTCCGACCTGGGGTCGTCGCTGAGCTTATTGACAGTCGGGGAAAGGACATTCCCAGTGGGTTTGGTTGTTGATTTGCTGCTATCACCCTGCAGAACATGCAGGCCATGATTCTTTCATCGCCGGGCTATTTCGGCGAATGATTGATATGTGGCTATCTGTAAGTGATTCAATGCTGTGTGACACAGTTGCGATTGCGATATGACGACATGCGCCATTTAATTGACCTGGACAAAGCCCTTCGGTCAGTTCCAACATGAATGGTTTCATGTCTGACAGAATCATGCGCTTGGCTGGAGTGGTTACCACAGGGAACCAATTGAGAGGGCATGCACGTTCAGCACATGATTGCTGAGTAAATGATTTGGTGAGCTCGTGCTCGTCCGTCGCCAGAGCGAAGATGATATAGGGTTGGCCCATATGAAGGTTCTCTGTTCCCTATTCACACAACAATGGTGAGCATACGAAGCGTTCCAATGTTGAGATTGCACCTGCTGGGGCGTGCACAATCACGCCTGCAAGCCGGGCCTGCGCAGTCACACATTAGTCACAGCACAACTCGACCGATAACTAGTCAAGTCAACAGCATGAATGCAAGTAGTCTGACGCCAAGATGCTTCCTATCTTTCTCGAATCTAAGTAATCCCCGCACTGTCGGTCGGAACAATTCCGAGACGCGGAATGAGCCCGGAATGCATGCGGGGCAGTCTTAAGCTTGGGGACTATAACTATAGCTGACAACTCATCAACCTGCATCTTCAATGTACTGTACTTGTTCAAGCCTACTTCACCCAAGCTAGCCTGAGACATAGCAGTCAGAGCGAAGATGACGCACATTACACTCACCGGTGCCAAGGGTCGCCAAATCGAAGGTACCGTCGAAGCTCTGCCATACCACTTCACGCTATCTGTACCCATCTAACCATCTCGCAGTCCCAACCACCCTCTTCATCAACAACGAATTCACCCCCTCCGTCAACAACGCCACTCTGGTCGTGGAAAATCCCACCACCGGCGAGCCACTGGCAAATGTGTCCGCTGCCAGCACCGAGGACGTCAACCGTGCGGTCGTCGCCGCCACGGAGGCATTCCCCGCATGGAAAACCACGCCGGGGCCCGAGCGCGCGGCCGTGCTACACAGACTGGCCGATCTGATTGAGCGCGACATGGAGGATTTCGCGTCGATCGAGGCCTTGGAAGGCGGGATCCTGTACACCGACAGTAAGAACCTCAACATACCGCAGACCGTCTCGACCCTCCGGTACTACGCAGGGTGGGCGGACAAGATCGACGGCAAGACGCTGCATATCCCTGGGGGAGTGGCCTATACCTTCCGAGAGCCACTGGGAGTTTGCGCAGCCATTGTGCCCTGGAACGCGCCGCTGTATGTCTCCTCCGTCTTACCCTTCACTGTCACGGTTCCCTTTCCCTTTGCCAATCATACTAACCCCCTTGACCTCCCAGAATGATAACAGCCTGGAAAATCGCTCCGGCCCTAACAACAGGCAACACACTCCTCCTGAAGCCCTCTGAGCTGACCCCCTTGTACTCCCTCAAGCTTGCACAACTCATCCGCGAAGCCGGCTTTCCCGCCGGAGTGATCAACATCCTGCCGGGCGACGGCCCCTCCGCCGGCGCCGCGCTGTCCTCCCACCCTTCGATCCGCAAACTCTCCTTCACCGGCTCCACAGTCGCCGGCCGCGCCATCCTCCACGCCTCCGCCTCCAGCAACCTCAAGCAAGTCTCGCTCGAGCTAGGCGGCAAGGGCCCGAGCCTGGTCTTCGCCGACTGCGATCTGGCCAACGCCCTGCTGTGGACCCGCATCGGCATCACCGCCAACAACGGCCAGGTCTGCGCGGCCGGGTCGCGTATCTACGTGCAGCGACCGATCTACGAGCGGTTCCTGGAGGCCTATGCGCGGGCCGCCGCCGAGAACGTGCCGATCACTGGAGATCCGCTGGAGGAGAGCACGACCAAGGGCCCCGTCGCAAGCAAGGCGCAGTTCGAGAAGATCCTCGAGTATATCGCTTCCGGGAAGCAGTCGGGCCGGAGGCTGTTGTTTGGCGGGCAGAGGGTCGGAGAGAAGGGGTACTTCGTGCAGAATACGGCATTTGCGGACGTGGGGCAGGAGGATCGAATTATGCAGGAGGAGATCTTTGGGCCAGTGGCGGTAAGCTTTCTTCTTCTCTTTCTATTCATTTCTCTCCCCACGTCTTCACAAGTAAGGGTTGGAGCTTGGGCTAACGGAAGCAGGGCATCGCCCCCTTCGACACGGAGGAAGACGCCATCCGCCTGGCCAACGACTCGCTGCACGGGCTGAGCGCGGCCGTCTTCACCAACGACATCAACTGCGCCCACCGCGTCACGGCCGCTCTGGAGACGGGCCAGGTGACGGTCAATGCGTGGGCGCTGCTGAGCGCCAACGCGCCGTTTGGCGGCGTCAAGGAGAGTGGGTTCGGGCGGGACATGGGAGAGGAGGCGCTGGAGTGCTGGACGACCGTCAAGACGGTCAAGTATAGCATTGTGCCGCGGTTGTAGTTGTAGTTGCAGTTTAGCTAAACTCTCGCTCAAACTATGAACGTGCTCGATTGACCGCACTGCACTACCAGTCACCCTCTCTACGGCTTATCCCCGTCTGACTCGCACAATTCACCCTTCTCTCCTACTCCAAAACCTGCCGGTATTCCTTAGATGACTTAGGATACCACCGTCTGCAGACATAGCATGGCTCCATCCCGACTTGGGAGATTCGCATCCCGACTTGGTGTCGCCCATTAATCAAAGCCCACATCAAGTGACTTCTTCTCATTGCGCTCTAGTAGGTCACGAAAAGGAGGTACAGACCGTAGCGAGCCATACAACGACACTAAAGCCGACCTCCTCCCTCTACCGGCCCATGATCCTTTCCAACGTCACCCAGCACATTTGTGGCACTGTTCAAATTCAACACCCACCACACGACCAACAAACTCCGTCCAGACAAAGCCACGAAATTACGAGCCCAAACAAGCAATCAACACAGGAGCGAGTTGTGGTAAATGGCCATACCGAGCCACGCAAAGTACGCCACAGCTTGGCAAACCAGCCACATCGTGGCAGATGAGTCATAACCATGTGCATCCAGAGAAATCGTAAAGCATGCAACATCGATGACACATTCTCCCACATGACACTACGAAGTTGAATCATATATACATTGCGTGAGCTTAGTGGCATTCGACGACCCAAGTCCGACCTTGACCAGCACTTCCCAAGACTACCTATGCATCAAGCCAGACCCAAGCCCAGCAACAGGATATACTAGGCTCTTCCCTCTGCCAAGAATACAACACAAGACGTAAAGAGTCACGCAGGAGTGAAGCACTCCGGTGGGAACATCTCGTATCAAACCACAGTCTCGGTGCTCACATCCTGCACTGCAAGTTTAGCCCAGCATAACGGTCCAGCTCTGCAGAAGGATCCCACCGGAAAACTCCCGGGAAACGCTTGCCACTTTATTGCTCCCTGGGACGATCCACTCCGATCCTTCAGCACGGAGAAGAGGATGGATAGGGTCATGGACCGGCTGGATTCTCCGAGGAAGGGCCGAGCTATGATGCTTGGGAGCCAAGTCTTCCAGACAGGTAAATATTACGATTGAAGATGAGAAGGTTCGAACCCAGGAAAGTTCGCATTGGAGTCGAGCTTTATGGTATATAAAGGGGCTGGTTAGCGGAATTGTGTAGTGCTTATTCAGTAGAATACATAGATAGCTAATCCCGTTGATGATCCATTCACAAACAATGCAGGACCGTTCATCAACGAGGATAAGACTCATAGCCTTGGTTATTATTATCAACCTTTTTTGGGAGGAAGTCAAAAGAGCGCTAATCCGTATCCACTCTCAAGCATATCCACTCCGTGGATCATAACTTCGTAGATTAAGAGTCTAAGACACCTTGCAGAAGGATCCCGCGCAGGATGCCCGTTCCTAGAACATGGCAATATCTCTGCATGTCTCGCATATAGTATCAATCGATAGACACCACCACATCTATGATCACCTATATATCTCATCTGAGCGCCAACCGGTCCTTATCTGAACAGGAAGCATTTAGCGAATCTGCCAAGGTAGGCAAAAGCCTCGGGGGCTGCGGTGGGGCGGGAGTTCGGGGTATTGGCAGTGTAGCCACTGGCACAGTCATGACAATAGGAATCTGATAATGTTAACCTAATGTTCATTTCTGGCCAATCGATTCACGAGTTCGATATCGTCTGGTTATGAACAGGGTCGTCGAGTATACCCCAATGGTAGATAGATGTATAGATTGTGTTGCGAAGTCGAGGTCAGGCCAGCAGGGTCCGGTAGGCAACTACATTTGGACTGTGTGTGTACAGCCTTGAGAATGGGAAGGTGCAAATTTGCGACATCGGAAAGAGAGATGTCTTCTATTATCGGTTTATGAAGAGTCGATGCAGAAGGGCATGGCTTTTGTCCTATGTTCAGATAGGTACAGAAGAGAGTGTGTGATTCATACCCTTGAGAACAGCATGGTCCGTAGCGTACAACTCGGCCACGAATCTAGTGAACAATCCAGAGCAGTGAGCTTGAAAAGCAATCGTCTGTTGAGAACGACGTGCCGTATTACGGCGCGCCACGGTTGACAGCCCTGCTGACCCTTGGGATGGTCAGGCACCAGGACGGTCTCGGACGTATGCTACGATTCTGACTTCGAGACCGACCAACACGAGCAGCTCACCTAAAATTCCCCTGGAAGCAAGCCGGCGAGGATTTGAGTTTGTGAACTGAGTGGGAATCGGGATGCCGTGGGGGTGGGTTTGCGAGGGATGATGTCTCGTGTGATAAAAAAAAGTACGGCAATGCAAAGTTTGGGTGGCATGAATTTGCAACCACTCGACAGCCTATCGGATACCCGCTTGGCAGTACTGGACCCGCTCCGGTCAAGCCCTGAAGCCTCAGGCCCAATTCCAGTCTCCGATATCGACCCGACCTCCTTCCTTCCTCTGATTGATGGATGACTGCTTGTTTTTAGTTTACCTCTTCTTACGATGGGTTATACACCACTCAGAAATGGTTTGCAACGGGCGACACAGCTTGCAACAGTGCCAGCCAGCCAGTCCTCCCACCCAATTCAAAGATGTGAGTCGCGGGATGTCAATCAGCCCAACTGCGTGCGGGATGCGGGAAAGAATTTTCTCCTGTTTAAAGTTTGCCGGTCCAAAGGAAAGCCGGAAAGTGTTTCAAAGATAGATGGTCTCCAATTTACCAAGGTGATGTCAAGGCTACTTAATCGCATGGAGTGCCTGGCTGCCTGGTTCAGGGACCCTGTCTTGTCCTCCCACTCTCCCCCCTGAAAGTGCTCCTCCGGGGTTTCCTGGGGTTGCCACTCCAGATAGTCCACCAATTTCAAGTCGAGGGAAGGATCCATTTGGAAAGCATATTCATATTAAAATCATCTCTAGTCTTCCCCAATGCTAAACCCCGCCTTATGAGTGTCCAGGAACAAAGAATCGAAAAGAAAATGGCTAAATCCGCCGATCACTGACACTGTATCTCACTGCAAGGGCAGACTGTGCCTTTGTCGACGGCGCGGCCTTTGATCGATCGCCGCGATCGGCCGAAGAACCACGTGTGCCATGGAGGGAGCGCTCTCCCAATATGGACATTGTCCATGCGCGAAATGGAGCGTTTCGTGGTTCAGTGGACCGTGTGCTCCGTAGCCCTGAGTCTGGTACTAGCGGAGCCCGTATTCTGCCCTCTCTTATCATTTAGAGTAGTCCCTGATCCCCTGCTCCGACTCCCCCTCGAGTCATTTTAGAAGGCGTGTGGCCCCAGTCGCCTTTCCTCGCCCTCCCCAATTGTTTGCTTCCGCAATGATAAACTTTTTGAGAGCCACGTGAAGATTTGGTTGACCCCGCCGGCGTGGCGTCAGGCGCGTTGAACTATTATCGCTGGATCGAGATAAACCGAGCGAGAGCCCTCCCCCGAACACCGCTGTCAGACCGAGTGAGGAACAAAAAGGGGACGACAGCCCTACGGTTCCTGGTTTGACCCTCAATCTCTTAACCTCTGAATCAAGCCAGATGACTCGGATATTGAGGGTGCTCGAATCTTAACTGCCTTCGTTTTCAGGCTGCCCCGCCAAGCCTCTCCGACTTCAGGATGACATCCAGTGCGAATACCTGGGTGTGGTTTGCAGTCGTGCTGCTTATCGGTATGCTCCACTAGTGGCCTGCTTCTGCGCAATGCCCTCTGACAGACAGCATAGCACTCATGCGATTTGTCTCTCGCATCTTGCAAGTCGGTTTGCCCCGCAACTTGCAGATCGAGGATTTTGTGATGCTCTTGACCGTGGTACGTATATGATGTTGCGATTCAATGAAGATCAATACTGAGTAGTATACTAGATACTTTACATATTACTCACGGTCTTCCTCATCCTGGTCGCTCATCATGGGACCAACGAAATCCCCATGGACCAGGTCGATAGCGTCGATCCCGCCACCATCCCCGACCGCATTGTTGGCAGCAAGATGGTCATTGTGGTGGAACAGATGTGGCTGGGGGCAATCTGGGGTTGCAAGGCTTGCCTGCTCTTGCTATACTCGACCATGACGTAGGATTTTCTTTGAGAAACCATCCCAACAGCACTCAATGACTAACGTCGCCACAGCAAGGGACTCTCGCAGCATAAATGGGTCAAAGGCATCAGCATCTTCTGCGCCATCTCGTTCGTCGTGATCGAGATCCTCTTCTTCGGCGGCTGGTGCCACCCTTTCTCGGCCTACTGGAGCGTGCCCCCGAAGAGCGTTCAATGCTCCGTGTACCGCAATCACCTCACCCTCACGCTCGCGCTGAACATCGCCACCGACCTGATGATCATGGCCATCCCGCTCCCACTCCTGATCAAAGCCAAGCTGAACCTGACGAAGAAGCTGACGCTGCTGGGAGTCTTCTCGCTGGGGGCCTTCGTGATCCTATGCTCGATCCTGTCGAAATACTACTCGCTGTCACAGCCGTACGGTGACGAGTGGGTGGACTGGTACGTGCGCGAGGCCGCGACGGCGGTAATCGTGGCCAACCTGCCGCAAACGTGGACGCTGTTCCGTCGGATGTTCAACCTGAAGGGATTCCTGCACCACTCGTCGTACGACCGCAGCCGCAGCCGCAGCCGCAAGAGCAGATTCACCAGCCGCTTGGACAGCTCGACCATCCACCTGTCGCGCTTCCGCAACGGCGACAAGTCGCAGCTGCGCTCCACCATCGACCGCACCGAGTCCGGCGAGCGCATCACCGAAACCCCCCTGGAGATCTGGGAGCATCGCCAGTTCCACGTCACCAATGAGGCCGAGTCGACGCGCCGCAGCCCGAGTCTGAGCGACACCAGCAGCGCCGCCAGCATCGAGTTCGAGGGGGGGAACTTGCAGGGGCCCCAGGTCAAGACTACAGTGACCACTACCACGACGCCGATATAATCCGAACAACTATCCAAGCATGGCGTTTGTTTATTATCAACAATGAGGGACTGACCAACCCCTATCACACTCGTTTGACATTTCCTTTACCTATCCAGATACACACATAAACGTGAATGTTTTTACCCCCGATATGGGACCTCGATAGACGATAGACACTAATCCGAAGACCATGACCCCCCCCCCACGCTACGTGTTACAATGAGAGGCGGGTATAACCTGCTTCTGAATCAACCCACACTGTATGTACAAGGAGTACTTCTCATCCCGCTAGTCACTAGCCCTAGTCCGTGAGCTAATGACGCACATTGCCCCGGGGCCCTCCAAATTCCAAACACATCCCATCACTCTCGGGGATCTACAAACCTATCATCCAACTGTAACCGTAGCACCACCAAAAAGCCCATACATAAACCTTGACACCCTGCAACCCCGCCCAAAATAAACCCACAATCCCTCCAAACACACGCATCTGCCCCTTCCATCCTTTTTTAGAAACCACAAACCCCAACCGAACCGAAATAACCGAAAGCGACGCTAGTCAGACAAGGATCACATTCCTTAGTCGCACCCCACCCCATCACCCCGGTGCGTTAGACTAGGCAGTGGGCAGCAGTAATCTCGGTGAAACCCACAATCCACTGTGCCGCAATCATTAATTGGACGGCGCTAGATGGCGTGCATTAGTCCCGGGACCGTGACGCACGCGGTGCTTGTATCTGTCTACGCTATGGGAGGCCGCCTCTGGGGGTTGGGTAGGTTGTTGTGGTGATTTGCTGTTGTTGCCAGGTGTTGCTGGAGGGATTTCTGGGTTTGAGGGCTGGGTGTGGATTTTGATACCTTTTTGGTGGCGGGGATTGGGGATTGGAGGGTGGGTCGGTGAATTTTTTTTGCTGTTGAGGTTCGGTTGGTTATCCTTGCTGTTGTAGGTAGAGATACTCTGTTTTGTCTGTTGTTGGTTAGTTTTGTTGTGGGGGTCAAATGCTGGGTCAAGAGCGCTGTCTAATGCTGTCGCAAATAGTGTTTTCCTGTTTAGTCCTGTGGGAAGTCATATGTGTATTAACAGCCTGCTTTTGGTCCAGGTGATTATAGATAGAGATTTGGACTATGAGTTGGAGTACCAACTGGAAGATCAGGTTGGCACATACTATTTGCAAGTCGTTAGCGTATTCCTTTCAGAACCTAAAGATGGCTTGTTCTGACAGACCGAGTCACCAAGCACATCGATATTCTAGATTCGTTGCAGGGATCACTGTGAACCACACGTGTCTGGTCTGGCTCTGATGCCTATGGCTGTTTGTAAGTGGAAATAATGATCGCAGATGAGAATCTATTGGATGGATACACAGTGAATGTAGCGCGCTCACCTTACCCACGGAGTCTTTTCCCATGGCCGTCGTGCGTTTCTCTCCGTCAGCCGTGTGTATGCTCCGTGATTAGATGGGATGTAAATTTTTATCGAACGAGGTCCTGGACTGACATTGCGACAGAGTGGTATCAACAGAAATCTTGCAGTATCAGTTGACTTGAGCAAAGCCAGATACTCGAGTCTGTATTATACATCAGCTAGAATGTTGAAGCAGCTATGCATAAGTTATCACATAGCAGACTAAGAGGGTTGGTATTCACTATTTATAACTAACAGATAATAATTATAAAGAAGAATAATCTATTAGTATTAGTTAAAATAATATTTATTTTTTATTTTAGTCAATTAAATAAAAGTTACTATGATTCTCACAACACAATACAATGGCAACCAGTGTCTTAAAAATCAGTGGATTTTACAATCTCTTTATAGAAGAAATTGCTTTTCTAAACCGCTAAGAACATGCATCCCATGCCGCTTGCAATGGGCTACTGCCTTTTATCGCTGTCCTTCTTTGGGAGGTTTGGCCGTTATTGTTCAAGAGAGGACGGACAAGTCATCATGGTATGCGCTGCTCGGTTCGATCGCCACCCTCATCCTGCAGTTTCCCTAGCCAGTCTTCACCACGACATCACTGGAGCACCAAGATACTGATGGGCCTTACGACGTAGCCTGTCCGCCGCTCTTCCACAGGGGAGCAGAGTCTCCTGAGGGCTTCCAGCCGCCTTGCTTGTAACCAGACTCGTTATCACTAGATTTCCAGCCGCCCTGTTGGTAGCCGGGCTGATTGTCGGAAGGATTCCAGCTGCCCTGTTGGTAGCCGGGCTGATTGTCGGAAGGATTCCAGCTGCCCTGCTTGTAGCCGGGCTGATTGTCGGAGGATTTCCAGTCGCCCTGCTTGTAGCCGGACTGATCATTACCGGAGGACTTCCAGTCACCTTGCCGGTAGCCGGACTGATCATTACCGGAGGACTTCCAGTCACCTTGCCGGTAGCCGGACTGATCATTACCGGAGGACTTCCAGTCACCCTGCTTGTAGCCGGACTGATCGTCAGAAGGCTTCCAGTCGCCGCCTTTATAGCCAGACTGATTATCACCAGAGGGTTTATAATCGCCACCCTTGTAGCCAGATTTGTCGTTACCAGAAGACTTCGAGTCACCACTCTTGTAGCCAGACTGATCGTCAGAGGGCTTCCAGTCTCCGCCCTTGTAGCCGGACTGGTCGTCAGCAGAGGGTTTCCAGTCTCCGCCCTTGTAGCCGGACTGATCGTCAGAGGGCTTCCAGCCTCCGCCCTTGTAGCCGGATTGATCGTCAGAGGGCTTCCAGTCACCCCTCTTGTAGCCGGACTGATCGTCAGAGGGCTTCCAGCCTCCGCTCTTGTAGCCGGACTGATCGTCAGAGGGCTTCCAGCCGCCACCCTTGTAACCAGACTTGTCATCGTCGGTGGACTTCCACTCACCCTGCTTGTATCCGGACTGATCGTCACCGGAGGGCTTCCAGTTACCCGGAATGAACCCGGATTGGTCATCGACGGAGGAGTTCCATCCGCTCTGCTTCCAACCGGAGTCGTCCCGATCCCAGCCGCCGTCGTCGCCCGAGACCCCCTGACCCTTGGTGGAGCAGAACTGGAAGTCAATGCATTGCCCGGTCGCCAAAGCGCAATGCTTGCCATTGAAAACCTCCCCGTCTGGGCATCCGGGTTCCGTCACCAGGACACACTCGTGGCCGGTCTCATCCAGCTTAGTCCCGTCGGGGCAGCGCGGCGAACCATACGCCACGCAGTGCGTCCCGTCGAACTTGAAACCGTCCTTGCACCCGGGCTCGACGTTGGACACGCAGTATCCGTTGTCCACGTGAGTGTTGGGCGGGCAGCCCGCGGGCCCGCCGTAGCAGTACTTGCCGTTGTAGGTCGTGTTGCCGTCACAGTGCGGTGGCGTAGTCGAGATACACTCGCCGTTCTGCGCGGTGTAGCCCGTCGGGCAGCGCCGCTCGCCGGTCCGGAGGCACTTACCGTAGCGGAAGACGAAGTCGTCCGGGCAGTGGGGCTGCTCGAGCGATTCACAGCGGCCGTCGACCAGTTTCTGGTCGCCCGGGCAGCGGAGACTGTCGTGGATGCACTGGCCGTTCTGCAGCCGGGTCTTAACGTCCGGGCAGACTGGGGGCCGGCTGATGATGCACCAGCCCTCCTTGCTGGGGACGGCGTTGTTGGGGCAGCTGGGCCCCTTGGGGGAGATGCACTTGCCGCCGTCAAAGGTCGTGTCGTCCGGGCAGCGCGGCTGCGTTGTTGTGATGCAGTCCTCCCCCTTGAGTACGCCCTTGTCGCACTGCCCGACGGTCGTCAGCACGCAGCGCTGTCCGTCCCATTTGGCGTTGTCCTTGCAGCCGGGGGTCTCGACCGCGACGCACAGGTCACCATCCTGCCGCGTGTTCGGTGGACACACCGGTTTCTCCCGGTAGACGCAGTCGTTGCCCACTAAGACGCCGTTGTCCGGGCACTTTCGGGAGACTTTCTTGACGCACTGGCCGTCTTCATGCTGGGTCTCATCGGGGCACCGGGGCACCACCTGCAGGATACACTGGGTTTTGTCCAGCTTGTACTCCGGGGGACAGACGGGTGGGGGATTGGTCTGCTTCGTGCAGCGGCCGTGAAGAGCGGGTTCTCCATCGGGACACTTGCCATCATCGCCCGGCGCTGAGGCGCACACCCTGCCGTCATAGGCCATGCCCTTCGGACAGCAGCGGACGGTGCCGTCGCTGGGGGACCGGGAAACTTCAGTGTCCTTGCTTAGACACTCGGGGCCCTGGTCAAACACGCAGCGGTCACCATCCAGATGAGTCCCCCGGGGACACTCCCCGGGTTTGACCGTCCAGTCACAGGTCTGGGTGGTGGGGTTGTAGGTGCCTTGGTCGCAGCCCGGGCCCTGCATGGAGACACAGTGGCCATCCTTGAAGATGCCATCGAGACAGTCGGGTCCCTGGGTCGCCACGCAGTGGCCACGACGGTTGTCGTACTCGGTTCCCGGCTGACACTTGGGAGGGGCGTTCTGGACGCACACCCCGCCATCCAAGGTGGCATCATTTGGACACTGAGGGGGACGATCGCTCGCGCAAGACCATCCGTTGAAATGCTCCCCGTCCTCACAGCGAGGAGGCGTCTGAGAGGCGCAGATATTGCCTTGCAACTCGTAGCCCTCGGGACACCCAGGCTTATCCTGGGTCACGCAGTGATCGCCGCGGACGATGGTTCCATCCGAGCAGTTGGGGGGCTTCTGGCTCACACAGAAACCGTCTTTATAGGTGTATCCGTGGTCGCAGTCCGGGTGCCGATTCGCAATGCACCGATCTGCGTCTCGCTTGAACCCGTCCGGACATTTGGGGACTGCAAAGACACACTCCTCCCCATCGAACTCGGTGCCTTCGGGACAGCATCGGATGCGACCCGACTTGTTGTCCGTGGACGGCAAGACGTGGTCAAGACTGAGGGTGTTACGGTCACGGCAGGAGGGGCTCAGAACCTGCTGGTCGGCGGCACAAAGGGCCCCGAGCAGGAGGAACGGCAGTAATGCCGATCGCATGTCGCGATGACGATCGAATTCAATCCTGGTATGGTACGAAAGAAGAAGAGAGATGTTAGCATGCAGCTTAGCATGAGAATCATGAATTGTGACACAACTGTGATGAGTCCCCCTCTCTTGCTAGTGTTTAAATATTGCCCATAGCATGGCCCCGCGGAGAGTCACGGAAGACGTACTGGAGTCGTACCTTCCGCATCCTGCCAGTGTAGTTGCTCATATATCCGTCATGACTCGATTGAAACCCATTCAATCTCATTACCTAGAGGCAGAGTGCCCTTCGAAGCCGCATTCGGAGGTAGAGCGAGTGGTGAATCATTGTGGAAGAGGGAAAAGTCCCGAGGTGAGTGTAGTAGAGTCGTATTGACTCATTGACTTCAATGGCGAAAGAATAACACGGTGTAGACCGGGCCTAGATCTGACGGGCTTGCCGGGTTCAGCAGAATTGACCCAAGTCGACTTAGAAAATGGTTGCCATGGCCGCAACAGGCCTCCGGACCAGAGGATACACAGTTTTATGCTTCAATACCTTATCGCAAACCGGCCGCATGCTAACCCACAGACGGATGAAAGATTCAGAAAGTGAGAGCACGGGTTTCGTTCCCGGTAGCCGTCAACATTTGAGGAAGGTTTCAGCCGCGAATTCCGCGACGGCCCTGTCAAGATTGGAGTCCTCGGGGTCCATTAGTTGCCGATGTCAAGGATATGGAATCCGGCATGTCCATTTGCGGAGTCCAGGGGATGGACACTAGGCAGATGGAGACAGGATCCACTGGCTTCACAATGCTACCTTCTACCTTCTACCGACCGCTGTTGGTTGCCAGAGACATGGGAAGTAGGCCCTTGCTCCAACCAGGGAGGCAGGATGCAACCCGTAAACAACTCCCCTCCTACCTTCAAGGCTTCCCCAATCACACAATTAAGCTAAGACACTGACCCGATTAAAACAAAGCATTCCTTGCAATTGCCGCGAGTAGAACAAAACATGCCTGGGGCCCCACATCTAGACTCTGGAAAATAATAGATGATCGAATGCTTCGTAATCTATCTAGTAAAAAAGGGGCAAGAAACTTTATGCATGTTTAATCCCGCATTGAATACGATCTGTTATCCTCAGCTTTCTCAGCTCCGTGGTTGCAGTTGATCAGAAGTGAGGAAACAAAAACGAATGAGTAGGGTTGTAGGGTTGGAGGGTTGGAGGCGTTAAAATGTCATGAGTGTTTAAGTTAAACTCTAAAAGGCAGAGTCAAGTAGGTTTCCGAGTTGGCGGGAACACCCAGTCTCCCGGGTGGACCGCGGACCCGGGAACAGTCACCCGCAGATCGCCTGGCCAATCACACCCATACATTCTCTCCTTGACAGCCTATCTCCGGAATGGCGGTAATTGTACCCCAAGCTAAGTCTAGCCCCACATTTTACTGTATGTTGTGTAACGTTATGAATACCAGCTTGACACAGTTTAAACCAACGGAAATTTGTCCCTTTGCATTTGCACTACCGACATGGGAAAAAAAAATGCTGCTCCTGCGCAAAGAGTGGCACTGAGAAGGAAGAGAGAGAAACAGGGACCAAAAAAAAAAAAACCCATGCCAAGGGATAAGTCCTTCAATTCCTTTTTCCCCCCCGCGTGTTAAAGTCATGTCCGTCCAATAATCTCAGTCCACCTCTCAACGACATCCATGGTCTTCTTTCCGCATCTGGCGGCGATTGATGGGAATTGCAAGAGTTATGTTGGGACTGTCATTTAGATTTTAACGCCGAACTGCCTCGGAAGTCAGCCAGCCCGTTCGGGATGAAGATTAAACCTCGCAAGGTAAAAAGCAAAGACGACCACAAAGATTGGCGGGCAGGAGAGTTACATACCCAACCGGCAACGTGGTTGGCCAAGTTGTCGACCCCGCAGACGGCTGTCAAAGCATTGGAGGTACCAGTTAGGATACCACCGCGGCCGTACTTGCTGGCCTGACCGTGCAGGCAGGTCCAGTAATCACAGGTCGGCCCGTCACCGGAATCTCCCTGGTCAAAGCGCCCCAGCATCTCGGTGAGGCAGTGCTCCCAGTCATTGTATTCTGCCTGTGTGACCTTCTGGGAGACAGCGTAGACGGACGACGCCGAGAGGAGAGTGGTGAAAACAAGAGTGAGCTTCATTTTGTTGAAGGGTGTAGAACTAGATTGGTCGGCCGGTTAGTCGGAGAAAGGGAAACAGGCTCGTAGGGGTCGCAGAGAAGGATAGCAACGTACTGACTAGGTGGGAGCGATGAGGCGCGTTGCTTTGACTTTTGGTCTGAGGACGTTGAGTAGATTGTGAATTGTGTTGAAGGAGATTTTGGCCTGGAAATAGCTCGTCTTTTATCCTCGTTGCCAAGCCTTCTGGATACTGTGTTGAGGCTTGAACAGTATTCCTTTCCAGTAGAGTTGCGACCTTCATCTATAGACTCTGCTGTTTCCGGATGTTATGAAGCCAGAGATGCATCATAGCGTTACCGTGGGTGCACTGACAAGCAACTGTACGAATTCATCCTGAACTACACCCACCGGAGACTGTGTGGGTAAAAGGGCTCGCCTCGAACCTGTCTAGGCATCATTGATTGAACTGATTGAGCGCAAGACATCAATGACAGCAACTTTCAAAGGCCAGGACATGCTACCATGATGGCCTTTCACCTTCACCGACCGTCCTGGGTATCCGAAGTATGCGGTACCATGTTGCCGGAAGAAGAACCAGGCTCAACCCGGAATTGCACTCATTTCTCTTCTAACCACTGTCCCAGTCACGCTGTAAGTATGATGTAGACTGGGCTGCAAACAGTATACAGTATCTGAGCGACCGCGCCGCTGATACGACCCATGTGCGCGCAGGATGCTAATTTTTTATCGACAGACATTTCATCTTGGGACGATAGACAGCAAAGCTTAATTCTCGATTGACAAACTTTTACTGTAAAGCTAGGGTTGTTACAGAAGCACCCTTCCCCCCACCGAAAGCATCCATCTCATCCATAAAAATGAATCTCATCTATTTTTTAAACACCGTCTCGGGCATAGAGTCTTCGTGTAGGAGTAGTTCCGTTCAGCACCTGTTTTACAAAGCCACAAAGCTCCAAATTGCAGCTCTATGATCTCTTATAATCCATTGCAGGACTGTCTTCTGAGTCAAGGTTCTTATTTCCGCTGAATTCTCTACTCTAAGCAACTACATACCTTCAAAATCTGCACAGGTGAGTTTGGAGTACGAAGTAGTACTGGGGCTCAAAGAAAAAATACTTGTGCTGGTAGCTGATTGGTTTTTTTCTATAAAGCTTAATATATTGAACGATCGAGAAAAGCTTTTCTTGCTGCACTTGTCACTTTCTGATAAGGACCGTGGTGGCATTCCGTCTTTCCTCTCTATCCTGTATTACAAGTATGGTGGAGGATCTTGTTTTGGGAGCGGTCACAGTAGTACTATCTGGGCTATTCTCAGGGTTGCTATGGGCGCTGTTCTGGGCCGTTTTTTACGGAGTATTTTGGGATGTCCTTCTCGAGCACGCTAGCCTGCTGGACAGCCTTTGAGTGTAATCTTCATGGTGTGACATCTGTTTGCCTGGCTGATACCTGATTATTCGCCTGGGCCCTGCTCCTAATCTGGTTGTTGGTTTTCGATGTATAACTAATTATTACTGTTAATATTCTATTTATAACCTAAGGCTACTAATACCCTCAGTCTGCTATGCAGTTCGACATATTTACCTGAATTGCCCAGAAAAGATCTGCACATATCAACTCAACGCATCGGATCCCAAGCTGTCTCGCCAGTGGTTCTTCGGATCCTCCGGATGGCTGACACCAGGAGCATGAAGTTGAACAATCAGGCGACAGTCTGAAAGATCATCCTTTGAAAAAGTAAGCCTTGGCACTTGGAAAATCCATCCGACATCTCCGCAGCGGGAAACATCCCGGTGAAACTCCAGACAGAGGGCATCGATCGACGATCTTTTCGAAATGTGGACCCGATCCTGATCTTGGCGGGATGATATCCAAACTCCGACCCTAATCAGCTCGATCAGGGGCTTCCACGGCCCAGATTAGGCAAATGCAGTCTTCTGGAAGCTAGAACTAAGGGAATAACCCCTCTCCACCCGCCCAGCCCCTTATCACTTCTCAACCACATGGAATCTTTATAAGTCAGGCCGCACCGGAGACGCATTCCACCACTACCTTCTGCACAGCGCCAATCGAACAACCACCATGACGCCCCATCTCCTCCTCCCGCGCAGCATCCCAATCAACACCTCGTCGGCCTTCGAAGCCCACGACCCGCGCTTCCACAGCATCACAGGCGCGAATCCCGCCCTAACGCTCCTCCTCAGCAGCGCAACCAACACGCCGTTCGCGCACGAAGCGAGCGTGTACATCGCGGGCACCAACACCCTCTACCTAACAAGCAACATCCTCACCGACAGCGCAACCAACACCTCGAGCATCCAAATCTCGAAGATTGCTCTAGACAACCACCCGCTAACCGCCGAAGTCCTCCACCTAACCCCAGCAATCCCGAACCCGAACGGCGCAACCGCACACGACAACGGCATCCTCTTCTGCGGACAAGGCACAGCAACCGCACCAGCCGGGCTCTACCAGCTCACACTCGACCCGCCCAACAACAACACCGTAACCCCGGTCCTCACCAGCTTCTACAGCCGCCCATTCAACTCCCCCAACGACGTCGCCATCCACCCCGCCGACGACTCTATCTGGTTCACGGACCCGGACTACGGTTATATCCAGGGTCTGCGGCCGGCGCCTCAGCTTCCGAATCAGGTGTATCGGTTTGAGCCTTCTACGGGAGCTGTGAGGGTCGTGGCGGATGGGTTCGACAAGCCGAATGGCATTGCGTTTGCGCCCGATGGGCTGACGCTTTATGTTACCGATACTGGCGCTGCGCGCGGTGATGGCACGGTTGATCTCGCTCGTGTCGCCACTATGTATGTTTCTTCCTTCCTTCCTTCCTTTCCTTCCTTTTCTGTTCTCCGGTGAGCGTGTAGACGGGGGCGGTGTCCCCTGATAGTTCTTGCAGGGATAGTTGGTGCTAACGGCGCAGATACGCGTTCGATATCCGCGCTAGAGATGGAGAGCCGTTCTTAACGAACCGGCGGGTATTTGCTATGGCGGATGCGGGCGTGCCTGATGGGATCAAGGTGGATGCGGACGGCAATGTGTATGCTGGTTGTGGGGACGGGGTTAATGTTTGGTCTGCTGGGGGTGTTTTGCTAGGGAAGATTCTGGTGGAGGGCGGGGTGGCGAATTTTGGGTTTGCGGGGGCGGGGAGGTTGTTTTTGATGGGGGAGACGAGGCTTTGGGAGGTGCTGTTTGGGGAGCATTAGGGGTTATTTGTAGGGTTGAGGTGGCTAGGGAAGCTGAAGGAAAGGGGGGTCCGGGGGTTCTCCCCCGAATACACTCTATCTCTGGTTTGAGATTGAGGTAAACCGGGGAGTGGAAAGGAAGGGGGGTCTGGGGGTTCTCCCCCGGTTACACTCTATCTCTGGTTTGAGATTGAGGTGGTTCGGGAAGCTGAAGGAAAGGGGGGTCTGGGGGTTCTCCCCCGGGACGCTTATACTGGTAGCGATATTAAGATAGAGGTTGGTTGATGTAGAGAGTGTATACATCAGTCCAGCCATGACATACACGTAGCATGGTGATAGATCGCGGGATTATCGGTTAGCGGTTAGTGGAACGTGAAACACGGCTAAATTAAAGTACCAACGAGAGCGCAGATGGATTGCCGAAGATTAAACGAACCATCGCGGGAGAGCCTGGAGGCCGAGGTGGCCCGAGCGCAGTGGAGGCTCGGGCTTGGCATGGCCATGGCACGTTTCAACTTCTCCTTATACTTCGCTTGGCGTGTGGATGACGACTACGTTAGTTAACTAGTAACTAGCCGTGTTTGGTTACAAATCAACTCATCTACATCAGAAAACGTGCACACTGGTTGTGGAAAAGACCAACTCAATTGAGAATAGAATAGAAAATAGGTGGAACGCTGCCTGAGGATCAGACAGGTTCAAGAGAAGCTAAAAGAGTGAATTACTACCACCTCCACCTTTCACGAAGTTCCGCCACGGCGTGCTGCTTGCTTAGAAGATAAGGGTCTGGCCGGCAGTGCCGACAACCGCGCTCTTGACCTTGCTGGAGCCGAGCAGGGTGTACGAGTACGGGACCGAGGTCAGGGTGCCCTTCTTGGCGGTGTTCTTGCCGGAGCCGAAGTCGTTGCCGTTAGCCACCGCGTAGCCGTTGTCGGTCGAGTACAGGGGCTTCTTGGAGCCGCTGAAGACGTTGGACTCGACCAGCAGCTGGGCGCCGTCGCGGGCGTTGATGCCGTCGCTGACGTCGAGGTAGTAGCTGTTGTAGACGTGGCCGGTGCCGAAGCGGAACGAGGGAGCGCGAGAGTTGATGTTGTACCAGTAGTTGTTGGCGTACGTCACCGTCAGGTGGCCGGAGTCCTCTTTCGAGTTGCTGTCGGAGTGGCCGACCAGCGACGCCTTCCAGTGGTCGTGGATGAAGGTGTTGGAAATGGTCACGTAGTCGGATCCGTGAGTGACCTGGAGGATTGGTCAGTGTTGTGCGTTAGGAGGAGAGGGGGGAGAGCGTACATCGATGAGACCATCATAGTAGTCCTTGTCGTGGTCACGGTCGGAGGACACGTCGCAGTGGTCGACCCAGACGTTGTGGGATTGCTCTTTTGCGAAGGGGTCAGTCTGGCTCGCGGGGAGGGTTCCGGCTTGACTTACGAACGCCAATGGCATCGCCGTGGTCGGCCAGCACCTTCTTGACACCCAGATTGCGGATGATCACGTTCTCCTTCTTCTTGACGAGGCTGGGATGGTCAGTGGTCATCATATCACGGGGGGAAGGGTCCGTACAGTCCGAATCCGTCAAGGATGGCGTTGGCGTCCTTGCCGATGATAGAGGTGTTGCTTCCAACCTTAACCTGGTCGGCGGCCTTGCTGATGGTGCCGCTGACATACACCACCTTCTTGTCGTCGCTCTTGACGGCCGAGGTGAAGGCAGCGTAGGAGGAGACGGTGGTCGTGGTTCCACCGGATCCACCGGTGGTGCCGCCGTTCAGGCTGGCGTAACCGAAAGCACTCTGTAGGAGGTAATTGTTAGAGTTAAGATTCTGGTAAGTCCAGTCAGACACCGCAAGACAGCAAACGTACGTCGCTGACAGTGGCACGCTTAGCGTGGGTGGTGGCAGTAGGAGCAGCCAGGACCTGTCCAGACAGGAGGCCGGCCACAGCAATGATCCACTTGAGGTTCGTCATTGTGAATAAAAGAAGGGAGAGTAAGACTATAGTTGGAATAGAGAAGGAAAGACAAAGTGAGAGTTGGCTGATGAACGAGAGAATCCCCGGGATGGAAGAGCGCTCTTTATAGTTGTGGTTGCTTGTGGCCTGTCCCCTTCCAAGCGCCCTCATCAAACGGTATACATCGTCAGGAGTCGACCTGAGGCTTGGCTGGACCCCATCGCCATAGGTGGAAGGACTGTCACGATCCGCGGCCAGTATGGCCTTCTAGGCGTATGGGCGCATTCAAGCTCGCATGGCGACTAATTGTCCGAGCCGGCAGTGGCTCGCCAAGCTGCCAGTCAAAGCTCTTGGCTGAGACGGAGCTGCGACCGATCCAACTAGGGTTCACGGATGAAGCGGAATGCGGCACTGCCAAGCACGAATCTTGGGGGGAACCATCGAACTCTAGTCTAGCTGCCACAAGAGAACTTCCACAAATGGAGCTGGCTGTTTCAGAACGGTTGCCAAGAGCGCGGATGTTTGACTCCATCGTGGCTGTGCTGCGCTGCTCGTCGGCTCGTCTTGGCACCCCAGCACCAACCGGTTTCTCTGCTCATGTATATCAGATGTTCTTGGCGCTCGCATGGGTGTCGAGACCAGTCTACGGCCGGTTATTTACCCAACCGAGGCATGTTGAGTCCATACGTCTGGCTTGGCACCGTCCCGCCACCATCCCCTTAGATGGTCTGCGGAAGACCGGTGGAATGAAAATCGGTCTGTATTGGGATTCAGGGGCTTACACGTGGCTTACAGACTCTGTCAAAGTTCAGAGCTCTTTGGCGGAAAATGATGGCTCCAAGTCTTCTTATATTGTAGACACTGTCGATCTCCTCTGCGCGTGGAAGAACGTGATGCGGAGAGACATACCGAACATCCACGACTCGCTACACAGACACCATGACTTGTCCAAATCCAAATCGTCCGTCTGCTCGTTGTAGAACTTACATTCGCCGGTGCATCTCCTGACAAGGTGATGCTGGTTCCTCAAGCGACACACCGCCAATGATTTACCACCGCCGAGATTCTTGACTGGATTGTCGTTAACCCGAAGCATGCAGCCGAGATGCAAAGCTAAATTAGTCCCATATACGCTGGGGTTGTAATATCCACCCCATACACTTGTGCGTGGCGAATGTGGAATAGTAATATGCATGATGCACGACGGTTCCACAGTATTGCACCCAAACGTTCATCGCATAATTTGCCTTCGAGAATATGATCCGTCTGTTACAGAGTTTACCTAGAAACAGGGCAAATGCCTGCTGAAAAGCTTTTCTAATTTCGTTTTCTCTCTTTTTGTTTTTTTATCGTTAGTCTGCTGGTGATGAGAATGTAAGGTCAGGCGAGAAGAGGCCGCTCAATTCATCAGGCTTGTGCATTACTCGACCCTTTCCATTTCACTACTCGGATCCTCAGCGTCGTCGCCATTGCGGTGATCCTCAGGAGGACTTAGTCAATCACCCAGTCTGTCAGGGAGTGTGAGTGCCTTCTGAAGTCCCAATTCTCTTTTGACATTGTAGCGCCCGCCCATTCTAGCGAATCGTGATGGGCAAGCTGGACCGGGTGAGAACGTGATTAGTTGGACTAGCGATAATATGCCTGAGGCCCTCCACCTCGTCACACCAGTCATCCTGCTTCGAATACCCCCAGTGGCACAAACGCAGCAGCACAACGGCCTCAGCATAATTATGTGAAGTGGGCATCTTGCCGGGTTAGGGATACCTCGCCGCCCGAGTCCGGCCTCGAATGTGCACATCGACGATACGCAAGCCCTCCGGCAGACGCTCGTCGGAGGTGAGTATAGAGAACTCATGACCGTCCGGGAGCGCCCCCAAGGGAATGTTTGGGAACAGCGGGGCAAGGGCGACTTCTTGTAGAGCAGCACGATGTGGAGGACCGGCGGGCCCCAGATCATGTTGGGCACTCTGGCCTCGTCGAGAACTCTGGCTACGCGGTCCAGCTTCAAGTTCGACTTGATCAGACAGTCTCAATTTCAACATTGCGTTCAAAGGGTCTGCCAGGTCCATATGGGGAAGAAGTGGTGCTTTGGACTTGTTCCTGATTGGGGTGGTGTGAGGGGATTCCCTACTGCCTCAGGCTGTAAATTGATGTCAAGGTAGAAACACGAAGCGCTGAAAAGGGTCTGGTGCAGTTTAGGACTCACCGCCTACTTGATCCGGGCTTTCTGCCATGCTGCGATTGGAAAGAGTTTTTGGCTTGGCGTTGATTGGGCACAGGCTGTGCACGGACCATTTCACCAGCTGATTGGATGCTTGATCGCTTGGTGAAGTTTGACTGGCAGAAGGTCAGACTCGATAGGAACACAGTTTCAAGAGATGGTCGATGAGCTAGGGGCCTGCTGGTTCTGGGTGTGAGTTGGTTGTACGGTATAAGTTGTGCAATGGTAGCAGCCCTAAGCCTTCTTTAACATAACATTGACTTCCCAGCCAACTCGGTCCGGGGATGTCAAAGTTTCACACGAACCAGCCATCATCCCGATGGTGTAAACCTAAACACAGACACAGGTTTCTATACGAGACATCCCAAACAACAAGGAAGCTTTCATGGAAATTCCAAAGCTTAGCCCGGGAAGTCAATCTGGTCCAATGACGCCATCGACGGTACACGTGGTGTGCGAGTGCAATTTGCAGTGGAATCGATGGAAGACCTCGCAGGAACACACTGCGCAACCTTATTCTGTAGTGCCAACCACAGGGCTATCAACTTAATCTCTTTTCCTCCAACAGACAACAGACAGAAGACGACCATCTGATCCATCGTAGCACAACATCTTTCTATAATCAGCCCGATTATGTAAGGGTCATGGCAAGGTAGCATTTGCTGCCGTTCTTCTCGCCAGATTCGGCCATCTCCGAGTTCAAGGTTCCTTCCCTCAACAATCCTTAATCCTTAATCCTTCCTTGCCGCTGCCCAGAGCGCCTCCTTAGCCTCCTCATTTTTTTTCTCTCTTTCTTACTCTGTGCTCGTGTTATTCGCCTCCATCGCTCAGCCCATCCGCAGCTAACCAGCTTCCCGGGCCTGGTTGGCTATCTGGCTCCGTATCGCGAACATTTGATGCGTTATCACGCCATAGCACTCCAATCAGCCTGCCCACCACTAGTGCTGCGTCTAGCTTCGTCTAGAACTCTCCTTCGCTTTAAAACCCTGCAGCCTCCGCGGAAATACCATCGCCTCATACTTCGTCGCATCATCGTGAACGCAGACCGCAGACCATTCTCGCCATGTTCCCCGACGACAAGAAGCAGCCGGGCCAGCAGCCGGCTGACGTCGATGAGTTCGATTCCGATGGCTACAGTTCGGCGGAGATCCTGAATGCTTTGAAGACTGAAGGTACGCAGACGATTTGACGTCCACGGTATTGGACTATGCCTGATAGCGTTTCTGACGCATCGCAACAGACGATCAACATGAGATCCAGCTCCGAACCATGTCGTGGCAGAAGGGCGCATGGCTGCTGTGCGGAGAACAGGTCTGTCTCGCCATCATGTCGCAGTCGTGGTCGCTTTCGTGAGTGTATTCCGTAACTGGCCGCACATCACTCATGCTAATCGGGCGGGGGTTGATAGAGTGCTGGGGTGGGTGCCAGGAATCATCACTATGTTGGTCTCGGGGATTTTGTTCTGGATTACTTCGACTACTATGCACAAATTCATCATGAAGCATCCACAGATTCGGAATATTTGTGAGAAGCCCATCATTATCTTGGAGGAAATATGCCTTACTAATCAGTGGGCGGGCAGGCGACTTTGGATACTATGCGTTTGGAAAGAGTCGAGCCGCCTACGTCTTTGGCGGATTCATGCTGATGGCCAACAACGTCCTATTGATCGGCTTCCACATCTTAACGGGCGCCAAGATCCTTAACACTTTGTCAGATCATTCTCTGTGCACGGTTGTCTTCTCAGTGATCTGCACGATCATGGGCGTTGTGCTCTCTGTGCCTAGGACATTGCGCCATGTCTCCTTCATGTCCATGTTCTCATGTGTGTCCACCTGATGCAACAATTGGTAATCTCGCTTTGCTAATTCACGTTCGCAGCGGCCTGTATGGGTATCTCTATTCTCCTGTTCCTCGTCTTTGCGGGTATCGAGAAGGCACCACTATACGGGTACAACGGCAGATACCCTACAGACGGTCCCGTGCACACCTACGCCTTCCCCCTTCCTGGGACGACCTGGGTCAACTGCATGAACGCGGTCCTCAATATCACCTTCCTCTGGGTGCCTCAGATTCTCTTCCCGACTTTCATCTCCGAGATGGAGCGCCCGCAAGACTTTCCCAAGGCCCTCGCTGTCCTGACGGGTATCTCGGTATTCCTGTTTATTGTCCCCCCAGCCATCGGTTTCCGGTACCTGGGCCAGTACGCCACCGCGCCGGCATTCGGCAGCTTAGGGACTGCTGCGTACAAAAAGGCGTCGTTCGGGTTCGTCATCGCGCCCACGCTCATTATCGCCGTCATCTACGCCAACGTCAGCGCCAAATTTGTGTTTGGGTACCTGATGGGTCAGTCGCGACACGCACACAGCAACACGGTGATTGGCTGGGGGGTGTGGCTTGGCCTGATGGCGGTGATCTGGGTCCTGGGTTTCATTTTCTCGGAAGTCATTCCTAGTATGGGAGACTTCTTGTCGCTGCTCGGTGCTGCATTCGACTCGTTCTTCGGGTTCATTTTCTTTGCCGTCGCGTACTGGCAGCTTTACCGGGGCAAGTTGTTTGCAGGCGTGGTACGCAGTATGATGACGGTGATTCATGTCATCGTGATGGCGTGTGGGTTGTTCCTGTTGGGCCCGGGCCTGTACGCTGCCGTCGAGGCGATTATCGCGGACTATTCGGGGTCGGTATCGCCAGCGTTCAGTTGTGCTAATCTGGCTTTGTGATGTGTGATGATATAGTTTTGATTGTCTAATGAATGACAGTGCCGTGCACATACCCCAAAGTACCATGGATCAAATGATGGTAATTTCGGCCCGACCAGAGATTTCAGGTTCCGTGTTTGTACTTTCCCTCAAAATATAATGGCATGTTTTGCGCAATGAATGTCTTCCAAAGACGGCGTTATAGAACAGTAGGTACTTGGGTGCTCCAGGCTGACAACTGACACCTCCCAGAGACACCCTACCACACCTCTCGCTCTATTTCTTCCGACAAATCCGATCTATCTCCATACCGAACCAATCCTCCGCACGATCACCCCAACATCCCGCACATCCCCCCCTTCCGCAAACAAAAATAACCCCTTCGCATCCTTGCTCGGAAATACCCGCGCCGTCAGACTGGTCTCCCCAAAGCTACCCCCAAGCACCTCCACAGACGACCAATCCAGAAAGACGCGCAAGCTCACCGTGCCGTTGCAATCTGGCGTAAGCGGTGCATGATACACGCTGGCGAACGTGGCATCGAAGCTCCCGTCCCCGGACTGGGTGCGATCCAGAAACACTTCTTGGGCTTCGAAGTCATAGCCGATTTGCGTCTGTTGGCTGCGATCCGGCGTCGCGAGCGCGGTGATCCCGACGCGGGCTGCTGTCTTATTCCTTGCCGAGAACTGCAGGCTCACCTCCAGCGTCTTCCCTGAAACAGGCAGTGTGGTAGTTCCCTGGGGTAGGGTGGTCCAGGTCTGGTTGTAGATATCAACACTTCCAGCAGCAGCCTCGCTCCTCGCAATCCCCAGCTGGGCCAAATCCACAACCGGCTCCTGCACAAGCCTCACCCTCCCATTGACAGTCCTGAGCCCCAATCTCCGCGGCAGCGTAAACGCCCCGCGCCACCCCTTCTCCGGCGTCTTAGCCGCATACTGCCAATTACTCATCCAAGCGACATCGATCCGCTCGCCGCTCGGCAAACCATTAAAGCTGGTGGGCGCATAGAAATCCGGCCCATTATCCACCCAATTCGCCTCCACCTGGGTAGCATTACCCTCAGTATTGTTGGAAGTATAAATCCCGCCCTCGTCCGGCACAAACCTCTCCCCATCAAACATCCCAACAACATACTGCGTCCCCGACCCCACCGTCCCCGGCGGTCCACCGGGATTCACCGAGATCTGCGCCACCCATTTTATCTGGGCTGGGTCATCGTCCAGCTGGAGGGGGAACAAATTCGGACATTCCCAGACGCCCGCCACGGCGTTGAAGGGGCCGAAGGTGCTGGTCTGCGTCCAGGTTTTCAGGTTGTCTGAGGTGTAGATTGCGATCTTGTGTTGCGTGGCTAGCGAGACGGCTGCGATCCATTTGTTTGTGGGCTCGTGGAAGAAGACGAATGGGTCGCGGAATTCTTGCGTGTCTTGCGTTGAGTAGGGGGCTGGTGGGGTCGGGATTACCGGGTTGCCGGCGTCCCAGGGGGTCCAGGTTGTCCCGTTGTCCAGGCTGTAGGCTATTGATTGTGCTTGTTGGTTGGCTTGTACGTTTTGGCCGCTGGGGAGGGTTTGGGTTTTTGGGTACTTTTTTATGCGGTTTGTTTAGCTCGAGGAATAGAAGCTAGGGGAGACGGGGGGCTTGAGGGGGAGGGGTGGAACCCACGAACGACGTATAAACAGCGACCAGCGGAACCGGACTCTCGTCCGTGCCGAACCCGCTCGTGTTGTGCACGTCTGCTATCGCTGACCCCGAGAAGTACATCTCCGTGATCGTGTCCGGGTAGCCGCGCGCCAGCAGCGCGATGGGCTGCTCCTCCCAGTGGTGCAGGTCTGTGCTAGTGGCGTGGCCCCAGGACATCGCGCCCCAGTCTGTCCCGTTTGGATTGTATTGGTAGAACAGGTGGTAGATGTTGTTGTGGAAGAGGAGCCCGTTCGGATCGTTCATCCAGTTTTTGCGCGGCGTGAAGTGGTATTGGGATCTGTAGGGCTCGGTGTAGGGTTCCGCTGCTGCGGTTGTTCCTAGCAGGAGGGTGTAGAGGAGGGAAAGGGCCATCTTGATGTCCTCAGCGGAGTTTTGTTGTGGGTTACGATTCTGTGAAGGGATTGCGAGGAATGAGGACCGGTGCTTGCTTGCTCTTCGTGCATTTTATACCTGTCGGTTTTGTTCCTCCGTACTCGTATACGTACTCATGGAAGAGAGGATAGGCGGGGAATGGAGCCGGGGAGGTGGAGATCCCGCGGGGCGATCCCCTTCATCCCTGCACACTCTGCAATATTCTTCGGAGGAGCTCCGGCGAAATCCTCCCTTGGCATGCATATAGACATGAACGTATCCCTGCTAGTAGTCAAGCTCGCCAATTAGAGCTTGTAAGCAGCCGTGGGGGTCTTGATACCTTCCAGGCAGGCTGTTCATGGCATGATATTTACGCCGAGGTTTCTGCCATCGGAGAAACTGGACCTGCATGTTGTTCTAATGGGAAATTGTCTGGTGAGATATGTTTGGGATGTTAATCGGTGGTGTGATGGGTTGGCTGAGAATGTTGTCTGCGTTGGTGGGTGGGTGCGCATCTGGGGTGAGGGAGGTGGGGGCGAGAATAGGGGTATGAAAGCTTCAAATGCCGTCCAATGTTGTTTTTGTTCAGTCGTGTGGATCAGGTATTTCATGGATGTTAATGTCGCGAGGTCATCCTGTATCGGGTTCCGCAGCCATCCTATATCAGTTATTATGGTAAAATATATAACCCTAGGCAACCGCAGCAGCGACGTCACAAACCAGAGATCCGGGGGTACAGATAGTGAAAACCACTCTATCAGGCTTATACACTCAGATAGCACCCGTAGAAAGTAATGCACTGTCAATGGCAGGTATATGATAGGCTGCGAGAGTGAAGGAACTACCATTGAAACATGGTCAACCTGGGATAGCTATGCTAGCATTGACAGCGATTATGAGGCTTAACAAAAAGCATGCTTTCAACAAATCAGCCCGGCTAGCTCAATCGGCAGAGCGTGAGACTCTTAATCTCAAGGTTGCGGGTTCAACCCCCGCGTTGGGCTTTATCTTTTGTTTTGTTTTTGTGGGAGAGGTGGGACCCGAGATTAATGCAGTATGTGGGGCTCATCCTTAAGATTCCGGGTTACCGGTTCCAGTATAACTGCTGAAGATGTGCTATACACTCGAAGTCGGCTGAGCAGCCTGCCTAACTAACCAGATACTCCACACCACTTCACAATTGTTCAGCAGTGACTGGGATGAGCTCCCCATAGTCAATCTCCTGCGCCTCACCCAGATACCCCCACTCACTGATATATGCCTCCATCGCATGCCGTGCGCCATTCGTGATAGCATAAGCCCCGAGCAAGCCATCTTAAGCACCGTCAGTCGAGCCCAACCCTCACAGAAGCCCAGTGGCTGTCTAAGCTACCAGTTCCCGCCCTATCACCACTGATGAGCGTGGTATTCTCGACCCCAAGCACGATCTCATCTCCGGGTCTCCCGGCCAGCGCCGCACTGAACCGCAGATGTGTGTGTGGTATTGACCGAGCGAATATGCAAGCGGATTAAATCATCCCCATTCCACCTTCCAGGAACCTCTACGACCCTGGTATCAGGCACCGAGCCCGCGAAGTTCGTCTTCCCAACGACCGTCGCCCTCCACCGCAAATACCTCCCCATCCGTCCATCTGATCCTCGCAATCCTTCCACAACCCCCAGATCGACATGCTGCCCCTGGTTCAAAAATGCAGAAACACCCACCTCATTCGGCCCCCTCTCCCCCCAAACCAGGGTATACATCCACGGCAAACGCAAAGAGAGAACGCCCAATCCGACGCGCCACAAAGGTCAACCCGTCCGGCGCCGCAAAGTCCTCCTCACCCGTCAAATTCGCCCTACTAGCGCCCAATCGCAGCGCATTCGCCTTTCCCCCGGCACCAACAGCATAAACCCCAAATCAACCGGCGCACGCCAATGCACCCAGTGCCGCGGCAAGCTACAGCCGGCCACGAAATCCACAACCCTCAGCACCAGCAACACAAACCCACCTTCCCCACGCACATCCAGAGAAGCAGGCGGCAAGGGCCCAGATATCCGCCCGCGCACCGGCCCCTCCTTCACAACAGGCCACCCGCCCTCCGCACAGTCCACAGGGAAGAGTACCGTCTCGCGGCCCTTCGGGTTAGTAGACTGGTTATACAGCGCGGGCCCACCGCGCGTCGCCAGCGCCACGCCCCACCAGTTCCCGTCGGCATCAGGGAATAGGTCCGCGTGCCCGACTGTCTGCAAATAGCGGTTCGTGTGTCTGCTACTGACAAAGGGATTGTGCGGACTAGTTTCCCATGTTCCGTTAACCGGGTGCCTGGATCGTGCGAGGGTGGTCGCGTGGTTGAGTTGTGTGCCGCCTTCGGTAACCAACAGGTAGTGCTATCTGTCTTTCTTGTAGAGGTGGGGTCCTGGGTTCGAGGCCCCTGTTCCATGCCACAAGGGGAAGGGGGCGCTGGTTAGTCCGGCCTTAGGCTTTATGGATGTAGCGTGGATGGGCGTGCCGCTGTAGTCCATGCTATTGTTCCGTCGTCGTCGTCGATGAAGATGTCCGGGTCGATTGCATGGTTTGGGTTCTCGATGGCGACGGAGGTGGACCATGCTGTGCTTTTGAGGGGGTCTGTCGTTGTGAAGAGGAGGAATTGTGGAATTGAGGGCGAGGATCAGTCCAGCCAGGTGGTTATCAGGTAGAAGGTTGCGTTGTGCTGGCGGAGCGTGGAGGCGAAGAGACCCAGTGTTTGGGTTTTTGTTGAGTCGCGCAGCCCTGGGAGTTGTGTCGCGCGGCTGAGCGCCTGGCTCGCTTGTTTTCAGTGGATTAGGTCTTTGCTTGCGTAGATGGAGAGGCCTGTGAAGGTCAGGAAGGGTGAACTCGTGCATAGGAAGGTGTTGTTTAGTGTTGCGGCGAAAATGCAGCTCGGGTCCGAGTGTCAGCCTGGTAGGATCGGTTCCGTGTAGCTTGTGTTGGGCCCCGAGTCATTCGTCGTGGTGGCTGTGCTTAGCAGCGCAATGGCTGCGAGGAGTGTGTGCAGCATGTTGGATTTGAGTCTGCTGGTGGTGAGCGTGTTGGGTGATGGTACTTCTTTATGCTTTTATAGTACGCACCAAATACTTGCATCTTGGCGTGCCCCGAAATGTGGGGTCGAAACGCCACAGGCTTCGGCCTCGTGTCTGTGTCTATCATTCTGGATGCTCTTCACGGCATAGCGAAAGCTGCCGTTCTGCAAGAACAGTCTATTTGCAGGGCTGTATGCGCCATGCCTGGAGGGTGTGAAGTACTTTGGCAGCTTCGGCACTGCCCGCATAAGCTTAAAACATAAGGTGAGTTGGCCCAAGTCGGGTAAAAGGCGGCCGAGGTTGACCCGGGATGGTTTAGCCGTCGTGCCCTAATCAGCCTGTATCTTAAGGTACCACGTCTAGGCTACCGTAGTCGTCATCCAAGAAACAAGCATGTTTCGGCAGGTCAAGTCCGCACTTCATGTAGTCCAGGCGTTGTCTTCGTTACTGGTTATCTGTCTTTGTAGATTGAAACTTAGTCTTTGTCTGAGAAGAGCTTTAAGAGCGGGTGTTATTTGACTTTACGTGCATACTACCTCTCACGGGCTACTGTGCTTTACTGAACGGTCAGTGCGTAGATAGCTTGGCATCTAGCACAGAGCTTAACGTTTACGCACATGTCTATACTCAAGAATACAGTATAAGAATAGTGACAAGGTTCAAGTATGTATGAATTTTCAGTAGTTAGCTGATGATTGCCGAGTGAGGCCAATGGAAAATCCACGTTTCTAAGTTTTCTAATCACCGTAGCCTACACCATAACATCCAAGTGCCTCTGATACACTGCTTCTCCAAGCAGATTACCTAGAGTCCGCGCAATAGGCATGAAATCAGGTTCCACCGAAGATTTGCGCACGGATCGGTACGATACGAAAAACTCTCTCACTGGCAATGATCCGGCGATTAGCTTCGTCAATCAGGTCGTAGACCTCCTGATCAAACATGGGCGGGAAATCATTCCAGAGCACCAGCCCAGGAAAACGAGGCCAATTGGTCGAGCCATGCGCTTTATTCCCGAGGATCGAGATATGCTTTCCCTCGAGCCAGTACTCGGGATCAAACGCCCACCAGTCCTTCAGCCGGACCTTCGCGGGCATCGGATTCACCACCACATACACATGGCCGAGGAATTCGAAGCACTGATACAGGACCCGCAGTGCATTGATATCGCTCCTCAGCACATCCAGCGGCACCGCTAGCCGGTGGTACTGCCATGATCGCGACGTCCGGTGGGCCTCTTCCATGAGGGAGCGCACGGTGTTGTACGACTTCTGCGACACGTAGACCATATCATTACTGGTGATGTCGACTTCGTATTGGTACCGCATCGTAAACACTCTCCGCAGCCCGTCAAACCAGAGCCGGTATTTATCATTGTTGATGACCATCGGGAACCAGTTGTGCTGCTTCTTCCTAGCCCAGGACATCGCGAGCTGGCGCGCTTCGTCATTCACCCAGATCAGCGCGGGAATCGGGATCTCACCGAAACCCCGCAGCCGGGGCTTGATCTCCAGGCTGCCGCTCTTCCAATTCTGCGTTGCTGTGTGGACTAGCGTTCCCACGCAAGACCGAGGGGATGGGATCTCGGGTAGGCTCATCTCCCAGATCATGACGCGGAGCTCGGTTGGAAGCTCCTGGAAGCGAGGAAACTCAGTTGGCCGAGACATTTCGCTGGGGATTCTGGGTTCTTTTTGAGAAAGATTGCTCTGTGTTGGGATCTTGATGGGATCTGAGAGAATTTCTCGTTTCTTCGTAGGCAGGATGACGAGGGCGCGTCATCTTGTACTTATGTACAGTACCTCGGATCTTCTCTATGCGTGGTTGAGGAACCGTCGACTATGAGATAAGTCTTTCTCAACAAAGACCTAAGGAGTCATTCACCAGTACGAAAAAACTAATACGGTAATCTTCCATTAAACTTTTTTCTCTGTTTACTTCCAGTGACCATCATTCTTTGAACACCCCTCTAGTAAGGCGTCAACTGTAGTTAACTCAATCCCATCTATCAAGAAAAGCGGGCTTAGTAGAACAGAGTTCGAGAGGTCCAAAACACATCACACAGATTAGATACAGAGGTCGTGGTATGAGCTCTGCGGAGAAAAGGCAGGACATCACCGGTCCAGGTACGTTGAAATATTGTCCTGGCAGCTAGGGTCAAGGTAATATCAGAATTGGGGAAGGTGGTTCACAGCGAAGTTACCGAATGTCGTGGTAGTACTAAAGCGGTAATGCCTTCAAGTCTACTCATAGATCCGAGCACTGTTTTTAAGCTCACTGCAATACCTCCTCATGTATCAAATTTTTGGGCAGCAGGAGTCAGTGGCCTACTAAAAGAAGTGCGCAATACTTGTGATCATCTGAAATTGGTAAAGATGCTACGGGGTGGTAGAGGATCCAGAACGGATCAACAACGAATTCGTCAGACTTTGCGCCGCTACTACTTAGAGATCAAAGAGAGAAAGTAAATTTATTCAGCAAATCCAAAGGTAAAGAGATCGCGAAAGGCGTGAGTAAAAAGATTAGGTGGTGCCGGGAAGACTATCCTCTGCAACATCACATAAAGAATATAGTCGAAGTCACTTTAAGGAAGAACGACATACCTGCAGGACAGCACCCAAAAAACCCCCGTCTACCCAAACCCGCTATTCGTCACCTCTACGGGTATGATGCCTATGGTTTGATACCGGTAAGAACGAGCGGGAAGATGCTGAGCCGCTTCCTGGATCAGATCATAGACCTCCTGTGCAAACATGGTCTGGCCGCCTTTCCAATCGCAACACTGTCGCAACTGGGAACGACGCTTGCGCCTGAAACGACGTCTGGGCTTGATCACGCTGGACTTGATCACGCTGGAGTTCCAAGTACACTCCAGCCACTTGGAACGGTCCAATGGTTCAAATTCCACAGTGCAACAGTCCTTTGTTGTGCGAATTTGGAGCGTATTGCGCGGCAACCCACTGACGACCACGAGCACGGAACAGATCCGCTCCAAGCCGTTGGCCAGCACCGCCAGAGCATCTACATGGGTCTCCAAGAGCTCCAAAGACACTGCCACCGTGCAGAAGTTCCAATCGAGTCTTGGGAGGCTGCCCGCCCGCATTTGTGTCCGGAGGAGCACATAGTCGTCCGGCGACAGGTACACTGCGTCCTGCCATCCCTTGATCATCTCCAACTTCCGACTGAAGGTAAAGATCTTGCGTGCGTAGTCAAACCAGATAGCCCAGTACAAGTCTCGAGAGTTGAGCGGCGACGCCAACACGTGGGAATCGAACTCCCAGCGATGCTTCTGCCGTCTGATCCACGGGAGCGCAATCTTGCGAGCCTCCTTATTAACGAGGAGCAAGGCGACCGGAATCTCAACCAGCAGAGCCTTGGCTGGACACGGACGGTCTGTAGACGATTCGCGCTTCCAATGTCGGGTCTCCGCGGGGAACAGAGTTGAATCACCTTCCCGCGGACAGGGGATGTCTGGTAAGGACATTTCCCAGATCTGATAGCGGAGCTCGGCCGGGAATTCTACGAAACGAGGAAACGTATTGGGCTTGGGCCCGCGCTGTGCGTCCCGTGCGGGATTGATGATCTTCATGGTCAGAGCTTGATGTTGTGGAGTGCGATGTGCTGCAATGGCAGACCATCTGGTGGGATTTGTCCTGGTCTTATACATGTTGCGGTATTCTATCTACACTACTATGGTCTTACAGAGGACTAATTGCTCGGTATGAAGGGTTATACCGGGTTATACACTTGCGAAGAGAACATGAGGGACATTTTCCTTTTCTTTCTTTTCTGTAACTGGAGACTATCATGAAGATCACCAGGAACGATTTCACTGAAGTTGGACCATACAGTGTAGAGCCATATACTCTAGTTTAAGCTGTTGGCCATAATTACCAAGGGTATCTGACTCCCATAGTTTGCATATCTTCACGCTCAGGAGGATAAACCCAGAACCGGCCAGGACGCTCGCTGACACGATACTCTGCATAAGCGCTACAACCGCTAACAGCAAGAACGGGTTGGATCGAATACTCATTAGAGGCAAGTAAATCCAGCTTATTGATCCGGTGGGCTGCCGTCTCGATCAAGGCATAGATCTCAGGACTAAAGATCTCCTGAGCTGCATCCCACCGGAGCGGTTGTCGGTGACCCAGATAGTTTAGGGACTTCCCAGTCATCAAGGACTGCTGGTCAATCGTCCAGCGATCCTGCACTCGGACCCCGTTGCCCCCCTCCGGCAGTGCGTTCATCACGACGACGACCATCTTCAACCACGGCAAAGCCCGGAAAATCCATCGCAGCGCCTCCCTATCCGCCCTCAACAGCTCGGCCGGAATCGCCAGTCGCCTCAGCAGAAAATTGAGCCAATGATTGAACCCACGATGCTGAACACCCTGCGCGGCCACTCGTAGGCTTCCGTACGCCTTGGGAGACAGGTAAAGGGTATCACAGCTGTCCATGAATTTCCATTCCAGGGTGAGCATTTTTCGGTGCCGGTCGAACAGGAGCTGCTTTCGTTTCTCGACTCCCGGCCTATACGCATGCTTCCAGCGGCGCTTCTGCTCCTTGAGCCAGGGAAGAGAAACCTCACGAGCTTCGTGGTTGACGAAAAACAGAGTGTAGATCTTAGTCTAGGGAGAGTCAAGCTTAGACTCAGTGAGTAGGTTGAGTTGCTTGATCTGGCCCCACCAGTGATGCCACCCAAGAGAATGCAAACATCCTCCTCCCCATACGACAGGGAAGAACGAAAAGTCGTCGGGAAGCGCCAACCTCCAAATCTCGAGGCGGAGCTCGGTGGGGAGGAGGCCGAAGTGGATGAATGAAGTTGGTGTGGTCATGGCTGCGGTGGTTGAGTCAAGTGGGGTGTGTGTGTTTGTGGTACAGTGCGTTGTGATGAAAGGGATTTTTACCTGTGTGGGGTATATCAGCTTGGTTTTAAATACTCCAAATGAGTTCTGTTTGCATTCTTCGTAAACTACTTATGCTGTACTTCGTATCTAAGGAGTCATCCTACCTAGTCACATCCTATCAAAGAGAGTAAAGGAGTTATCCGGCAGTACTCTTTGTTTTTCTAAGTTTAACCTCAGTTTCACCAAAGAAAGTACAACTGTGAAAGACTACTAATCTGGTCAGCTATCAAGATGTCAACAGATATCGTTTGACTCATAAATCCGATTCAAAAGATGGGCAGGTAAGGCCCCGCTACGGCGCATTTGTGCTATCCATTTCAGCCTCCCCCGTAGCCCTACAATCCCAACAGCGCAATACTACCAACAACCCCACAAGAACAACCATCATACCGACCGATAACCCCACAATCACAACCACCCATCATACCACACCCCCCTCAAGAAAACCCCCAAATCCACCGACCGCGCCAAAGCCTCATACCCCTCCACATTCGGATGCAAATGATCGCCCGAATCATACTCGCCCCTCAACTGGTCAGGGTACCCCGGATCCCGCAGCACGGCATCAAAGTCCAGCACGGCATCGAACACGCCGCCATCCCGGATAAACGCATTCACACGTTGCCTGGTCCTCTCCCTCTCGGGGTCAGAGTACGGCTGCACGACTGACGAGTTCGCGGGTGTCCCGAACGGCGTGATCGTCGCCCCGAAGACCGGGATCCCTGCGGCGTGGAGCCGCGTGATGATCTGGCGGTAGGCGCGGATGAGGCGGTCGCCCGTGGTGGTCTGGTTGTGGGGATCGGCGTTGGCCGTGCCGATGTCGTTGACGCCTTCGAAGACGATGGCTGTGTGGATCTGGCTGTGCGAGAGGACGTCACGGTCGAGCCGCGAGAGGAGCGAGGGGCCCAGGCTATCGTGTAGGATGCGGTTGCCGCCCGCGGCTTGGTTGAGGAGGGGGATTTGTGATACGGGCTTTGTGGATTGCATGCGGTTGAGCAGGAGGTCCGGCCACCTGGTTGGGTTAGGGTTAGTGGATCTGGTGATGAAGGTTTGGGCTTCGTTGTGGTGAAGGTTCGGGTGGTCCTAGGATTGAGGTTGGAATTGGGAGGATGATGCGTACCGGTTGTTCTGGTTGTTGTCGCTGCCTCGGCCGTCTGTGATGCTGTCGCCTAGGATGGCGCAGGCTTTGACTGCGCTCGGGAGGTAGGCTTCTACCGTGCTTAGGAAGTACCTGCTTAATGTTAGGTGGAGTGAGTTAGAAGGGAGATGATAAGTACCAGTGTTCCACGCTGGCTACGGAGGGGTCTGTGAAGTTGGCTGCGCTGATCGAGTTGCCAAACTGCATCCACGAGGTTGTTCGACTCCCCGGGTGTGAGGTGATGGCTCCGCCTGATTGTCCATCTGCCAGGTAGATGTCGACTGTGATGGTCGTGTTCCATTGCGTGGATGGTAGCCGGATCGGGTCGGATACAACCAGGCTCCCTGGAGGAACGATTGTGCTATGGAATCCATCGAAGAGGATAGATTGAGCCGTCTTTGGAACGATAACGCTCGTGCCGAGTTCGTTGTGTAGTGGAAGCGCAAGAGATACATTGGTGACGTCGAGGTCATCCACACCAAAAGCATTCGATAGACGAAGGCGAATGGTCGAAGCGGGCTGATTGAGGCGGATAGTCTGCCGGATTGTTGTGTTGGCGAAAATTATTGAGCTGGAATTCTATACATTTTTAAGTCTCTAGAGTATGCGTCTCAGAATGTAGACCTACAAATGGCTCCGGAGGAAGATTTCCCGGCTCTGTGAGTTGCGGCATAGCGGTCCAGATATCGACCCAGTGCGAAGACTGTGCAGCCGCAAGGCTGGAGAAGACCACAGCCGCTTTTCTGATGTAGTGGGAGTGCATGGCGATATTCTTTGAAGACGCTGAATTGGTGATCTGCCAGTATGCGCCGTCGAGATATTTATGTATTTGGTTGCATGAATCAAGCATTCTGGCTAAATGGGTAAATCGGAGGGTGAAAGCTTGACCTGCCACCAAAACCATGCAGATCAGTTGGGGAAAGCGGGGAAATATGTTTATTGTCTATTCAGCCTGAGGCATTTCATATGTTTGTGGATATTTGAGTAATGTCAACAAGATGGCATTTAAATGTATACGAAGAGCCACGAATTATGCATGCAACGACACATGGTCAAGATTTGACACAGGGAAGTCTTTGATGTATGTCATGTCCCGGAGAAGAGCATTGAGAGACAAACTATTTTGAACAGGCTACAGTGTCTGTTATCATGCCGATAGGTCCACTCTGTATCACTGCCCTAAAGGAGTGGGTGATGAGGAAAAGTAAACTTCAGCATGTCAGTTGAGCGTCATCTGCAAAAGCGGTATGAGTTGCGCAAGACGAAGCTTTAAAACATAGCATTGGCCGGGTGGCGCAATGGTAGCGCGCTGCCTTCCGGTTGAGGATGTGGCAGTGGTTGCGTGTTCGAGTCACGTCTCGGTCGTTCTTTTTTTCTATTTTTTTTTTTTTTATTTCCGAATATCTCGCTGCACCGGTACTATTCTGGTATGGACCCATTTCCCAAGGTATCCACTATCCAAAGCTGTTGATGCTCCTCTGGCTTGGTTGTTGAGGTCTGTTTAGTTGCCGTCTAAAATGGAAGTCAATGCAGCCCTAACTCGGGTTCCGGACCACACTTCCTCAAGCGACCATACTATCCCCATCATGCCTGACAGTTAGCTGCAGTGAGGCAAATAGACTTTACAATGAGTGCTCACACAAAGCTAACATCTGGATACAGAGGGGGGATGTTCCTACCTCACAAAGACATACCGCAATAATTCGAGACAAACTCCGAGGACCAACCCCCTAGAATCACTATCCACAAAGAAAAGCGAGACCTATAAGTCCAACCCATTCACCGATGAATGAAGGACATATATCTACGCCCACCCCACCCGCCTTCCTCCCGAAATTGCCTTTATATCATACCGATTCACCGCAGCAGGGAACCAAGATTATAGAGAACGATCACCTGAGTTTAACCAAGATGAGCTTCAGGATCCCACCCACACCGCGGCTCGCCGAATACGCTCGCCGCCCGGCGTACGACATCCGGTGGTACAATATAGGGCCCAGCGCCCATTTCACGGTAATTGTCTGGAACAACGCGAGCATGGTTGATATGGACGATGAGCCGGCGCGGGCTCTGGATGCCGAGTTCCGTCGCCAACGCGCGGAGAACCCGGGCAGCCAGCCGCTGCACGGCGCCGTCTGGTGTGGGAATCGGATCCGACTCTACCGGGAGCTCATGAGTTGGGCCATCGGGGAGGATCGACCGGTGCGCCATACGATCGTGGTCCCCGCGAGTCGGCGGCTGTTCCTGGACCAGCCGGAAGATGCTGGTCTGTTCCGCGACTGGTACCGAACCATTCCGCCCAACGTCGAACACGCTGACGTTGCTCGCTTCCTCAGGGAATACCCCGTGAGTGCGCCGCAGCGTGGTGGTAGTGGTGGTCGTAATGCAAGCAGGCCCAACGAGCACTACACAAATGGGAACGGGGATTACTTCCCCGCCGAGCAGAATGGTTCATACGACAGGTATTTCCTCTAGCCTGCTCCCGAGATAGTTCCTACGACTGACGGTCTGGCGCATCCATCCCCCTGGTGTACGTATGACACGGCTATCTCTGTCCTCGGAGGCACCGCAATGACGATGTAATCTTTTACTAATATAACAAAACTGTTTTTCAGTATTCACATAGAATCATATCCTTTTAAGTATCGTAGAAACATGTAGAACTATATTGATTTTATGAAATTATGTGACACTTTGAGTCACGCGAGAGAGAGATCGAACATTCAAAATTCTGAACTACAATTTGGATAAAGGCAGGGGCTTGGAACAAATGAGGCGCAGCGGTGGCTATAGAAGACACGTTCATCCTCAGAGGTGGGCTGGTTCTGTGTCAAATGAGATGGTTTGGTCTGTTTTCAACACTCCCTGTTCACTAATCCCATAGGCCGTATAAGGTGCCATAGAGAATATCTATATTCTCGGTATCGGCTGGGGTTGCTTCAGCCGAATCGGCCTGGACTGTCTCCATCACCACCTCAGCTTTACAAGCCATCTGAGTGGACAGGGGATAATTTCTCTCTGCCCACTCTAGGCGTCGATGAGAGGGCACGAAATCCTCAGGAAGATCATAATGAAACAACCCGGGTCGGAGGACGAGAATCACGCGGCCCTGCCGCTTAGGAACGAACAGCGGAGTTTCTTTCCACTCCTCTCGAGCACCGAGACCCGAGAACATGAGTCCTGTAGAGGTATCAAACTGGTCCAACTCGGGGAGTTGATGGACTTTTACCTGTCCGCCCAGTTGGAACTCATGATCGAACATAGATTGCGCACCGTCGGCTATAATATTCATAAGGTGCTCCCGGCGGTGTGCCTCTTCGTCCGCATTCTTAAATTCATAAAGGAAGGGTTGAAGTCGGTCGTCTGCTAGAAGCTGATCTGCCAGAGTGACTGCCGTACTCGCTCGCCGCTTCTGGTTCTCGATACCGAAAACATAAGGCCGTTTGGACCGAGGGGTTTGGAATTCCAATTCGTTCTCATCCAGAGTGGCATGGCGAAGGGTGACCAATTTCCACCAGCTTGCATTGGCAGGGCTTGCTAAGAAGACCAAGGGTAAGCAATTCTGCCCGTCAGGATAAGGAAGAACAAGAAGCGCTCATCGGTGGGATTGAGGAGCCAATGAGAAGCCTTACCTTCGTGGAATTTTTTATGCAAATACTGAAGACGTTGGGAGAACGATGGGTCGCCGTGCTCATCTGTTTCGTCACGCTTCCCATCCAGAAATCAGAACAGGTTCTCGAGAAAGTGGGTAAACATCCACTTGTTGATTATCGCTTCACACAAGAGTCGCGGAAACCTTTCCCGGTATGGAGGAGAGAGTAGGGATTGGATTGTATCCCAAGGTTCTTGGATACAATATCGATCGAGACTTTGAATGATGGTTTGTTTCTGTTCCTCGGAAAGTGACGGTGTAGCTTCAGAGATTAGCATTCACGCGAGGCTATGACCTGCCTTATAAGAAGAACTGAGATGCAGCGATAGAGAAGTTGGTAGGGCTATTGAGATACCTTCCCAGTGGAGATGCGAAGATAGGCGGCTTGCAGGCTCTCTTTTCTGGTGAAGGGTGATAATGGCTTGCTGCCATCTAATAAGGCGACCTGCGTTAGGGCGGAGCTCTATGCTATCCCGGGCCTACTGTGCTAAGGCACTGGTACCTGGGCTAAATTGGATTGCATTTGGAGGAATCGCTGGATAGCAGTCGAATTTATTCGAACGCCTACACACTGATTTAAGTGAAGTACTACCTGCTAAGTGGCTATGGGCTTGGCAATACAGGGTCAAGATGGAACGGAGCCGACGGGATTATGATGTACGGGACTCACCCCGGCGGTCACCCGCTTTCCTGCCATGTCCACTGACGACGGCTCCTTGGTCATTTCCCCATACGCCTGAACGGCGTCGTCAATGCCGACAAGGAGCGTGGTCGCTGCGCAACCGGTGCTGGCACTGGCAAGAGAGCATGCGCGGTTTGCGCAGAACATGATGGTGATGATGGAGCTCATTCAAGGCCCCCTGAAAGGATAGCTTTGCTAAGTAGTTTGGTGGGCGACCACCAGCGATCCTTCCTCTTGTATATGTCACTCTTGGTCTTGGGCCTTCTCTACATGAAGAAGTACCTACATTCAAACTGAAAGAACGCGACGATCACAGTTAAGCGACCGACAGAGCAATCGATGCAGTCAGTGCTTTGACAGCTTCCCGGGCACGACAAGCCACTGTGATGCTGCATACGAAAGTATCATTCGGAGCCTGTTAAGCCCAGCCACAATAAGAAAAGCATGTACAATAGAGCACCTCACTCTTTCAGAAACAAAGAAACCCAAACTAACGCGCTTCTCCCAGCCGACCAACCAACACAACAAAAGAGAAAAAAAGAAGAGATGCTCACACTCGGACTCGAACCGAGGATCTCAGCATTACTAGTGCTGCGCTTTACCATCTAAGCCATGCGAGCGGATTGTTGACTAAGCGCCCAGAACTTAATCTTATAACCCACCAAACTCACCCAATTCAACCCACCTCCATCTCTATACAACCTACCCCTGCATCCAAATCCAATAACTCAACGCCCAACACCTCAAATCCGACCCAAGAAGTCTCCAGCACTTGAGGAACCCAGACAGAAATCTTAAGCTACACTCAAGACCCACCAGCGTGGTGGGGCCGCGGCGCTGCGGCCCGCGACAGAAAATTAAGTGGAGCTATCATGGTGTTCGGCGCTGCTACTGTCAACAACAGCCGGGGTGGTGTAGTGGTATTAACATTGCAGAGCCCCCGGGGCCTTAGGCCTAGCGGGTGGAGTGCAGATTCTGGGTTCGAGTCCCAGTCCCGGCAATTTCTTTTTTTGTTTCTTCTTTTGCTGCGTGAAGGGGTGGTTCGTCATGGGGGCGTCATGCCGGAGGGACGGCGTGGGTGTTGGCTGGGGGGAAGGGTGGTGGATGGGATTGTGTGATGGGAGGTTGGGGGAGTTGATGGCAGATGTGGGTCTTGGTAAGGAACTGAGATGGAGAGAAGCTTGATCTTAATCATGGAGATTGAGTATTAGGAAGAACAGGGCTTCGAGGCAAGGGGGTGGGCGTCTTGATATTGAGTACTACGACTCCGAGACGGCATAAATCCCCGCTTCTAGAATCTGATCGTATGGCTTGCATGCTGCTTGTTATTGCTCGTCTATAATATCTATTGATGGACGCAATACTCGATTTTAAATCTCAGACGATCTTACACCCACATCCTGCCCACCTTGCACCTCTCGAACCTGCACGTAAGACTCCCGGAGCATCCGATCAAGACATGCATCCGCCTCAGCAGCATAAAAGCAGCGCGCACGAATCAACGGACCATACTTATATAAGACAAACGGAATCGGAACGCACGCCAGAGCCAGGAATGCCGGTACAGACGCCGCCCATCGTGGGCCCAGACTCTGATACATTTGATCGGTGAACAGAGGGAACACCGCCGAGAATATAGACACCATGACCATACACGCAGCCATGATAGATGCCGCATAGACCGTGTACGAGTCGGTCAGATAGTTATAACACGGCAAAGAAACCATGAATAGCCCATACCCAACCGGGACACTCGCCAGGATGGGAACGATCCAGGGAATGCTGACCGGGGCTATCGTCCACGCGAACCAGAACAACCCCACGGGGAGAGCAATGCTGGCGCCGAAGGCATCCGGGAGACGGTATTCCGGTGGTAGCCGGTCTGTGCTGCGGTGTCGGGTTCGTGCCATCTTCCTGCTATAGCGCGTGTGGGAGACATAGATGTGTGGAATCGATAACAGAACACCCACCAAGATGCCGATGAAGCTCAGCCCGGTGTCAAGAGTGCTCCACCCGCGAAGCTGCTGGAATACGATTGGGTAGGCGGCGAAGGACATGTACAGGATTCCATAGACGGTGGCGTTATAGAGGGCAATGAGCAGGACGATCGGTTCGCAGAAGAAAAGCACCCACGGTCGGACGAGGATTGTGCGCAGCTGACCACCAAGCGAACGCTCGTTGCTGCCATGCATTGCCATCGTGCTGCGGTATACTCGGCCAGTTGCTTTGCTCAATCGCTTGGCGCGATTGTCCAGAAGCACGGGCGCATATGTTTCTGGGAGCAGACAGAATACGGCCAGGGCGATCACGGCGGATATAATGGCCATTGCACCCTGAATCCACCGCCAGCCGCCATAAACATCGACCACGGCTCCAATAATTGGGCCCAACACGCCGCCGATGAATGGAACCCCCGAATACGCCGCCATGGCCATGCCCCGGGTGAGAGCTGGGAACAAATCGGCCACCACACCCCCCGAGACAGCCATGGCCGCGGACCCCAAGCCGCCCGCCAAGAAGAGGAGGATCACCAACGCTCCCATATTGGGAGCCGCGGCCGCTCCCGCACTGAATGCCGTCAAGAGCACACTGCTGGCAAGCATGACGTTCCGACGGCCATAGGCCTCGCTTACCGCACCCCAGAGCAATGGGCCCAACGCAAAGCCAAGCACGAAGAACGAGGACCCCAGCAGGGAAACCTCGGTGGAGACATCAAACTCTTCGATGAGGTCGGTCAGCCCGGACGAGTACGCGGAGGAGCAGAGCGCCGGCACGAGAGCGGCCAGCGTGGCGAGCACATTAATAGCCCATTTCGAAGTTTCGCGGAAGTTCATGGGATTGCGAGGGTCATCCGCAAGCCAGGTGACAATGTATGGGTGAGAATCAGTCCCTGCGCCTTCATATCGGTGGTTGAGAATGTCTTGAGTGATGTAGCCATTGTCGTATATCATGTGTAGAAACGGGACTTTCCTGTTCAGGACTGCATATTCCCGGGAAGGGGCCATCTTCACTGGCCGCGGAGTATCAGTAACTACCACCTCCAGATCTAAGCACTTGGGGACAGAAAATGACAATACTGACTATGACTCAAATCTATGCTCGCTCTCCAGGAGCATCGAAGGCTGCACTCCGCCAGTCTGTTCCGCGTCGACATCATTCCTATAAAAAGACCTCAAAACCAGCACCACCGAAACACAAACCCAAAACAAAACAACATTCAGCGCATACCTAATCTTCACTCCACATATCCTAGGGAAAACAGTCAGCCCGACGTACAACCGCTTCCTACACCCCAAGTCCGGACCACGAAACTCGGTGCAAGTAGTCAGTCACCGCTTCTTCTCACATGAGGTGTCCAATCCACGCAGCGATCACCCAGCAGCACCAGCATAAGCATTATAAGCTTTCCAGGTGGAGCCATGAAGCGGCCCAACGCATCGCATGCCTCTTGATATGCAATTGTCTCGTGATCTGTCTGATTCACGTCTTCGCTCAGAATTTTCCGACTCGTGAGATAGTATCACACACAGACAGAGGTCTCGGCGGCTGCAACATCAGCTCTTGATCGGGTTGTCCTCCGGGTGGATGCGCGTGTCTCGCTCCATTTCGGGATTAAGATTGTGATAAGTGCTAACTGCAAACTACTCAACGACAGAGAGAGTCTGTATGTCACCGACGACCAAAGCCGAACATCTCGCTGATCAGATCGAGTACGGTGAACTGATGTAGGGGTTTGATCTCAGCCCAACCCGAAGTTTAAAGCACTGGAAGCGTGAAGGATAGAATAGACCGGTCAGGACTCGTATGCAAGCACAGATAAAAATTGCAAAGTGGGAGAGCCAATAAGCTTAAGCTCCAGACGGGTACTACGGTAATGCAGTCACGTATAGAGAAACAGCACGTATTCCTATAGTACAGTTTCCAAGACCAAGAGCTTTGTTTGGTAGACCTTGAGTACAGACATATATACAGCATTTTATCCAACAAGCTAATATATAACCAAGCGTACCTACCTCAGCAAATACAAATGATCGAACAGCTGGTTGCGCTGTCTTGTACAACCGACTCGAAGAAAAGAAACCCTCTTCATCTTTCTGCTCGATGCGGCAACATACTACCCGGTGAGTTTGCGTTAGCATACGTTGGGCACCGGAAGACCGAATCATTCCTGTTTTGTTCTCCGGGCTGGGAGTCGACAAAGCCTGGTTTCATATGAACTTAGTATCTGACCGGTTGTCTTGGCGACAGGTGTTATGGTGCAGTCCCTCAAGCATGGCCGGTGTGCGTGATGCTGCGGGCGATATATGCTGCTTCTTGACTGAGTCTCGCCAAATCCTATTTGCTTCGCCGGTTATTGGTCGTGGTAACTACGAGATTACGGTGTAGCGTGAATCTTTACTGTGTACGAAGGTTTCTTTCTTGATTCCTGGATGTTTCAATTGAGAGGACTGGCGCGAGGGACATGTTTCAATCTATGAGGAAGATATCCTTCGGATCTAATCCAATGACAAATGCGGCTGTTCATGTCATTTCGATCTTCACAATAGTAGCTATGCAATTCTGGTATGATCACGAGTCCAAAAAAACGCCAAAGCAAAAATATGGTGAGAAGGACCACAAGACACGACTGTGAACTCAGTGCTAGCAAGAGTCGGTCAGTTTCAGCTTCAGCTTCAGTTTTCAAGAAAAGCCACATACCGTAACATCCTCCCACTTCTCCCAACCGCGTCCACGAACGGTAGCCAGCTCGTCCATCGTGTACTGTTTGCCGGTGGTAAAGTAGCCCGCATTAATCTTGGCGTCGATCTCCACGCGAGAATCGTTGGGGATCATGTCTTCCGGGATGGGCACACGCTCCAGGATCTTGATCCCTGAGTCGACGATCGCGTCATGTTTCATGTTGGACATGGACAGCATGCGGTCGATCTTTTTGATACCCAGCCAGTGCAGGATGTCGGGCATGAGGGCTTGGAAACGCATCTGGCACCATGTTAGTGTTTGCATGACGCAAGGGTTGGAACGCACTTACGTCGCGCACACCGGCAATGTTCTCCGTCCGGGTGAAGTACTTATCGGCCGTGTCGCCGCCGCGCTTGCGAGCATTGTAAACCAGGTACTTGATCACCTCGCCCAGAGCACGTCCTTCCTTCCGGAAGTAAATCACCACACCACTGCCCCCATTCTGCGCCTCCCGGATCGCCTCCGCAATCCCGAACGCCAGATACGGGCGGCATGTGCAGATATCCGACTGGAAGACGTCACTGCCATTGCACTCATCGTGAATGCGCAGCGCCAGCCGCACATTCTCATCCGAGACCCTTTCCGGCGGGCCAAAAATATAGACCGTCAATCCACCGATTGGCGGCAGGAACACTTTCAGGTCCGGCCGGGTAATCAGCTCGGGGTAGCTGCCGCCCGTGTGTTCGAACAACGTGCGCCGGAGCGTGCCCTCGTCGACGCCAAACCGCTCCGCAACCCCTGGCAGATACCAGACGGGCTCGACGGCGACCTTGGTGACACGAACATCGCCGCCAGAGTCGACGACGATCGACCCGTCGACGTCGAGCTTGCCCTCACGCACGGCCTCGCCGATCTCCGCCAGCTTCATATTCGCTCGGGTGACGGCCATCGTGGGGCGGATATCCCAGCCGGCGCCGAGCTCGTCCTTGAACTGGTTGACGATGTCGTGGCCGTAGGGGTCCATGGACACGATCTTGGTCTTGTCGGCCCAGGCCGGCTGCCACGGGAAGTTGAACGTCGGCTCGCTGTTGCGGAGGTCCGGGCGGAAGTCCGTGTCCAGGTCCCCTGCGGCGATCGCCAGCGCGTTGTAGATGCTGTAGCTTCCGCCGTGGGCGCCCATAGCGTTGCGTCGCTTGAGGAGGTTTGCGCTACGAGACACGATGACCGGACCACGCGATTTGGCGTCGGAAGCGCCCCATTCGAGGGGAACGGGGTCGATCCCGCTTTGGCCGGGGTAAGTGGTCAACTGTGTAAGTGGGGGATCAGTGGGGTTGATTCGGAGAGAAGAACACGGCAAAACATACAACGATGTGCTTGCTGTAACGTGAAGTGGAAGTCGGCGACTGGACGACAGTCGTCGCCGCCTCAGTGGGCTTCGGGGATGTATCCAGCTGCGGCATGCTGGCAGTCATGGTGGTGCGGGGGAAGGAAACAGAGTGTGAAACAGAGTATTGGGGGAAGAGGACGGGGGAAGAGAGGGAGGATCAAGGCAACATAAATAAGGGGCTGGAATCGAAGCCAGACAAAGAGGAAGAGAAGACAACGATCGGAGAGAGAGCTTGGGAGGGGAGAGAGGGGGAAAAAAGGGAAGTTGTAGCTTGTATGGATGGATTGGGGGGGGGGGGGGGGGTGTTTGTAGTGTTAGTAGTTAGTTAACTAGTTAGTGGTAGTGCTGGGCATACCAGACTGCATGTGACTTGGGCCCCAATGCTTCTGCCTTTCCAAGTAGTTTCCCTTTCCAGGCTCTCTTTCATTCCTGCCTCTCTTTCTCTGCCTCTGCCTCACTTCTCCTCCCTCTCCACTTTCCCTTCTCCGCACTTCCTTATCCTCCTTCCGGCTTATCCCTTATCCTTATCATGGTCGGGACCCGGCCTTATCTTCGCCGCCGCCCCCCCGGTCGATCAGGGCTCAATGATAAGCTCAGATACTAACTACTGTAGTTAACTACTTGATCCCCTGTCAATCTCTTTATCAGAAGCCTGCTGCTATTTCTTGATTGAGATCTGGCGAATTAAATGGTGGGGATGTCGATGCATGTCTTTATCCACTACCACCAAACTGCACGGTGACGATGAATGGAGACAGCAGGGCGGCTGACCCAACCTTGAAACCCCTCATTCCAGTGACCCAAAGTGTTTGCCCCAATCTGGCAGCCGATTCATCTTCCAAGGATTTGCTGACCTTGATTCCATGGCTACCTTCAAGCTTTTCTGGACTGGCTGAGTCTGACTCACTCCACTGCACATTGTCCCACCTTCTACTCCTGATCACATGCTCATTCCTGGTCATCGTCACGCTATGCTTAAAATGATCTACAGAAAACATCCCGGATGGTCTCGAGCACTGCAAATACAGTTTTGTTTTGTTTTGTTTGGTCAGCAACTCAACTCAAATGTGAACTGGTATCTATTAATATGTGCGCAATCTTGCAGCCATCACGGAAAGATTCATAAAACTCATGCGGATCCCATAGTGCAGCCCTCGCGTTAAACCAATTTGCTCCAACCAACAACCGATCCGCCGCCATCAAGCAGTGACTTCAACCAGCAGGAAGTCCAGAATTACCGGAAGTTCGCCTGGGCACGGGTGTTCTTGAGTGTCTTCTTGATAATGTCCTCCACCTCGTCCCAATCTTTGGTGTCGATCCGCTGGATGCTGGTGTTGAAATACTTCTGAATCTGGTTGAGCATCTCCCACTCGTCGCGGTTAGAAACGAACGAGATCGACACGCCAACACGACCGAACCGACCCGTACGACCGATACGGTGCAGGTAGGTCTGGAAATCCGCTTGGCGGGGTGCACGAGGGTTGGCCTGGTGGATTTCGGGAATATCCTATTCATGGCAAATTAGCATGGTGCGAGACTGATGACACAGTTCGGGGAACCTCACGTAGTTGATGACCATGGAGACGGTCGAGACATCAATTCCTCTAGCAAGGACGTTGGTAGTGATCAGGACCTTGGCGTGGCCTGCGCGGAACTGGTCAATAACGGCATCACGCTGAGAACCTTCAATGCCACCGGTCAGGGAGGCAACGGTGTGGCCTTCGGCAACCATGCGCTTTTCGATCTCGACGGCGGAAGCACGGGTCTAATCCGAGTTAGCAAAATCCCGGTGAAGAGCTTCCAAACCACGCACCCTGACGAAAATAATAGATGACCCAACAGTAAGAAGGCCGTAGAGCTGGACAAGAGTCTGGTACTTGTCCTCTTCATCGGTGCAGTCAAGGTATAATTGCTTGATACCCTCGACGGTCAATTCCTCGTGCTGAAGGGTAATCTCGTTGGCATTCGGTGCGAACTTGGAAGCGTATGCGTGAACGTGAGCAGGGAAGGTGGCCGAAAAGAGCACAACCTGGATGTCTCTGGGCAATAGACTGCGAAGCTGTTAGGAATTGTGGTCTTCGGAGCGGGGTGGACGAAACTGACGCCTTGACACGGATACATTGATCGCCAAGACCCTGCTGGTCAAGCATGTTATCTGCCTCATCCAACACCAGCACCTTGAGCTTGTTGGCCACCATAATGCGCTTCTTGATCATATCCATCACCGTTCCTGGTGTACCAACAACCACCGAGCACTCCAACCTAGCCGGGCGCGCGTTGGTATCGGCAGGCACAGCAGTTCCAATGGTCAAATTAGGGAGGAATTGGCCCATAACCTGAATAACACCGACAATCTGACGCGCCAACTCGCGTGTAGGGGCCAGGATCAGGGCCTGCGGGGTCTTCTGCATCTGCTCTGTGGTGAGGTCGAGGCGGCTGAGGACATTGAGGGTGAATGCAGCAGTCTTTCCAGTACCTGACTGGGATTGACCGACCAGGTTCTTTGCTGGGTTGCCGAGCAGAAGGGGGAGAGCTCGTTCCTGGATTTTGGACGGTTTGCGGAAGTTCATCGCCGTTAGTCCTTGCAAGATGCGGGGATCGCTACGGAGCCACAAACGTCAGCTTCACTACAGACAGCAATATGCGGTTGAATGTAACATGGAACCTACAGGCCAAGGTCCTCAAAGTTCTTGACGGAGAAGAGAGGGTTGTTCGGGTCGGCTTGAAGATCACTGAGCTTGACTTCAACGGTATAGTCCGGTTCCTGGAGGTCGGAGCCGCCCAATGCAGCAGGAGCGCCATCCGTCTGATCAATCTCTTGAGTGGTTTCGGTAGTGGCGGTAGTCTCTGCGTAAGAGGACTGGATTAGCGTTGTTCTGGATGGGATCGACCGCGATGGAGGTTGACACTGTCGTCAGGTCGAAGGTAGGTATGCGATGTGTTGTCCATACCTGCAGGCTGAGGTTCTTCAGGCTTGGAGATGCGGTCGGCGAGAGAGCCGCCAGCAGGCTGCTCGTCGGAGGCCATGATAGCTGTGATGGATCGGCGATGACAAGTGAGGAAATATGTGTGCTTTGAGGGGAAAAGGCCGCTGAGTTCCCGACTGAGAGGGGAGCAGCGGGGTAGTTCAATTAGAAGCTAAAACACGCAACACAGGCTTTTTCTGACAAGAGACCCTAACGGAGTAGTCAGAGAGATGTTCTTTCAAGAGCAGCGAAGAAAGAAAGACAGGATGAATGAAAGTGAGATGACTCGTACCAGTCACAACACAATGCGAAGTTTTGGTAACAGCGGGTTGCTATGCTTTGAGTTCCTGTTCATTTGCTCATCACTAGACAATGATCGCGGAAAAACCAGCCCAGACCGCCTGTCAACGTCGCTATGCCTATTTGGGACAGTTGACAGGCAGATGGCATACAGCCCCCATTGAAGTAGGCGGTGAATCACATCTGAACCTCTCCTCACCATACGGTACCTTACTCTAGCGGCATGGGGCTGAATGACGTAGCTCTCCAACGTGGCCTGACAGCCTCGTTCGGTATTGTCATCGGGCAATCTTCCGTTACCTCACTTTACTCCATCCAGCCTAAGAGGTATTCTTCCCCGCTTCCTTCCATCGCCCAGTAAAACAGTGAGAGTGTCTCTCTCTCGCTCTCTCTCCCCAGGTATTCTTATTAGTGATTGTTGTCCACTTTGGCTTCTTTTGGCCCCCCTCCCGTTTCCTGCCATTGCCATCGGTCGCACAACAGGGTTTTTCTTCTGTGGGTGGTTGGTGGTCACATTGTGCGTCTCCTCGGGTCTCCTTAGGCCGACACGTTCCGGTTTCCCCTGGTTTCGCATCCCCGTCCGTCTTTCTGCGCCGTGATCTCCGCCCAGCGGATTGACCGTCAGCATGGCAACCCCGGATGTCGCTCCTCATTTTGGGGCAGAGCTCAAGGTACGACGATACTGCAACTCAGGGAGGCAGGCAATGTCGCTAATTACAGCATCGGATAGGATGCCTTCAAACCAGTCAACAATTGGGTATGTCCTCCCCCCCGCATGTTCGTCCGCGCGCGCACCGCCCACCGATGGTCGATCCGAGGTTCCGTGCTAAGCCATCGCTCCCCAGGTATCCCATGGCATCGGGTGGTTGGATGAGATACAACAGTTCTACCGCGAGCGCAGCGTGATCGAGAAGGAATATGCGGCCAAAATGACGGCGCTGTGTAAAAAGTACAACGACCGCAAAGCGAAGAAGATCAGCACGCTGAGTGTAGGAGATACTCCAAGCATGACCCCGGGCTCCCTCGAAAGTGCCTCGCTCACCACCTGGACGACGCAATTGACCGCCATCGAGGCGCACGCCGCCGAACGGGACCAGTTTGGCACGGATCTGGTGGTCCAGATCGCGGAGCCGCTCAAACAAGCCGCTGCTCAGTACGAAGAGCTCCGGAAGTGCCATGTCGACTTCCACGCCAAACTGGAGAAGGAGAGGGACTCGTCTCATAGTGACCTCAAGAAGGTCAAGGGGAAATATGACGGCGCATGTCAGGAGGTGGAGGCGCGACGCAAGAAGATGGAGAGCTCGTTTGACCACAGCAAAACCAAGGCTCAAGCCGCTTATCAGCAGCAGATTCTGGAGATGAATAACGTCAAGGTGTGTAGCCAAATCGCGTCCTCTTTCGTGCGCTAACAGAGCCAGAACACATACCTCATCAGCATCAACGTGACGAACAAGTTGAAGGAGCGCTTTTACCATGAATATGTTCCGGAGTTACTCGATGTATGTTCTGCTATACCCGCCATCGCTATAGTTCTGACGTTCGCAGGGCCTGCAAGACCTCAATGAGACCCGTGTAGCGAAGCTGAACTCAATCTGGGCACAAGCCGCTCAGCTGGACAAAAATTATCTGACTAGAAGTGTGGAGCACATGTCTAATCTCTTACACGAAATCCCACGCAACCTCCCTCATCTCGACTCTCTGATGTTCCTGCGCCACAACACCATTCCCCTACAAGAACCTGCCAACGTGGGCTTCGAGCCCAGCCCGGTCTGGCACGATGACGAGGCCCTCGCAACCGACGAAACTGCCAAGGTCTTCCTGCGCAACATCCTCAGCAAGAGCAAGACACAGGTGCGCGATTTGCGAGTGGAAACGGATCAAAAGCGTCGAGAGGTGGAGGCGGCCAAACGGGTGCGCGAAGCGATTCGGCAGGGCAGGGACAAACGGAGCGAAGTGGAAGTGGTCCGGTCTATATTCTTCCTACAAGAGACGTTGCACGAGATTGACCGCAAACGCCTGACGGCCGAAGTTGAGACGTCTACGATTATGTCCGTAGTGGGCGACCTATCACTGGGCGCACGCAATCACAACTTTAAGTCGCAAACGTTCAAGATCCCCACTAATTGCGACCTCTGCGGCGAGCGTATCTGGGGTCTGTCGGCCAAGGGCTTCGACTGCCGCGATTGCGGCTACACGTGCCACAGCAAGTGCGAGATGAAGGTGCCGGCGGAATGCCCGGGCGAGCAGACGAAGGAAGAGAAAAAGAAGCTCAAAGCAGAGCGACAGGAACTGGCCAACTCCACCCCCACCTTAGATCTGGAGCCGTCGTCATCCAGCGGACCGACGGGGGCGCCCTCACTTACGCGCAAAGACACTATGAACTCGCTCAGTTCTGGCTACGCTGTCAGTGCTAACCGCTCGTTGTCGAATGCCGCTAGTCTCTCTCCATCCACCGCTGAATTACCTGCCTCAACCCCGACGCCACCAGCCACAGAGACCAAACCCGCCGCGGCTGCTGCCAAACGGAACCGCATTCTTGCACCACCGCCGGCCCAATACATCAACAGTCCCCCATCAACGCCAACTCTCAGTTCCAACCCGACAACTTCCTCCGAGCCCCGAGGCAAGATGCTGTATCCGTATCAGGCACAGGGAGAGGATGAAGTCACTGTCCAAGAAGGCGATGATATCGTGATTCTGGAACCAGATGGTGCGTTCCGAGCCCTACCCTATCCAAATTGGATTCATCTCACCTTCTACTCCTGTTCCCTCCTCGTACAAACTAACGTAAAGCAGACGGATCCGGCTGGCTTCGCATCCGCACCCCCGCAACCGGAGCCGAAGGCCTCGTCCCAGCCTCCTACGTCGACCCGGTCCCCACCCACGACCGCCCAGCATCTACCTACTCAACCACCTCCTCCGCCTCCGCCTCCGTTTCCACTCTACCCTCCGGACCGGGGTCCGGCAGCAAACGCATCGGCCCCGCCGTGGCCCCGCGCCGTGGCGCCAAGAAACTGGCCTATGTGGAGGCGTTGTATGACTACGAGGCCCGCAGCGACATGGAATGGAGCATGACTGAGGGGGATCGGTTCGTGCTGGTGAACCGAGATAGTGGGGATGGGTGGGCGGATGTGGAACGGGGAGGTGTGACGAAGAGTGTGCCGGCAAACTATATCCAGGATGTGTAAATATCGCTTTTTCATGTGTTCATTGGGCGGGGCTCTATGAAAGAAAGAAAAGGGGAAGTTGGACTTGCACAGTGGAAGAGATTGGGGCGGTATAGTGTAGCTTTGGATCCGTGGACATGGATTGCTAGTTGGATTAGCTGCGGATGGGATTCAAGTCGATGTTGAGGTGGATGGGGTTACAGTACATATACCAATATACGTACATCGATGTTGTACAGTACATATTCTATGAGTCATGCTCAGTTGGAGGGGGAGATGTTGTTCTTTTGCTATGAAAGCTTTGTAGGGTTGTGAAGCGCTGTCTATTGTGTGGGCAACAAGCCAAGCCTCTATATTATATTCAATGAGCGAAGATAGTCCTCCCGTGCGCCTAAACTATGAGGTTGTCATTGACGGGGTTAATTTAGTATATGTCCGGTCGTTCCCATCAGTTTCTGACGCTAATTCGCCGACCCCAGTATATGTTGGTGCTCGGCACTACCACCATAAATTCGGCAGTTCATAGCTCCAAGCTTTCAAGTTACAATCAACCCTGTCATGATGGTTCGCGACCTGGCACTTGCCATCAGTATGGACACTCCGAAGCCTCGTCTTCAGCTGATGCGCGTAATGCCTCTTAGCGGCTGGAACATGCAAGTCCCTGAAACCGGCATGACATGATACCAGCTCTCCATTGGCGTACAAAATCAACCGTGTGATTGTTTATGCGAGGCACCAAAGTCAGGCCTTGCATTGACTTAGGATGATTACTTGGCGCAACAAGCATAGTTATGATGATGCTGACCAGAGGCGCTGAGGCGACAGGGATGTCAAGGCTGGTCTGAAATGGGCACAAATACACTCTTCAAACCAATCAGAAGCTTGTGTGAGCAGCTGACGTGTCACAGCACTCTTGAAGCAAACAAACAGTGCCTAGCTTGAGTCACTAGATGTATCCCTGAGCAAGAGCACTCCTCCGTGCTGGATTCAAGTTGCGTGGTTCAACCCGCTGGGCTCATCCATTTGCATCCTGGGCTTCGCTCTGTATCCATTTTCTTTTCCTTTGGCGACATCGACCATATTTTTGAGATTCGACTACATGTGAAAAGCAAAACAAAGTAAATCTGGCATGAGGATGCGGTGAGATTACCCAGCCTTGCGACCAGTACCTAAGACGATAATGCGGGGAGAGTCAGCTGGAGCTGCTTACTGCTTGTCATACTTCAGCATAACTTAAAAGCTTCGATCCGCCTCCGTCAAGCCACCCACAGCAGTTTCAAGTCGCGGTTCCAATATGAGTTCCTTTCTGGACAGACCAGCAGGGTCTCCTCCTTCAGGACAAATCTCGAATCTCGATGACCCGCCAAACCTGCTTTTAGTGGGACGTGCGATACTTCTGCTGACTTGGTTTCTGTCCTCTATTCCCGTTTTCATTCGCCTGTACACGAAGATCTTTATCGTTCGCGAATTCAGATTCTCCGACTGTATGTATCTCGTGGGTATACGGAAGATGTTGGGTATAGTACTGAACAGGATATGCAGATGCCATGCTTCTGGCCTGGGTACACTCCACACCCACCTGAACAAAACCAACACGAACCTCGAGCTGATCTCCAAAGGGACTCGGCATGGGCTACCTAGCGACGGGCTGGCTGATCAACGAAGCTGCACCAGGCGTAGACCAGTGGAACCTGCGCCTACGAGATTTCATCAGGATGCTTTACGTACGCATCCCAGCATCCCAGCGTCCCAGCACACAACACCTTCCTAACCAAACCAGTACTTCCGCCTGGACTCAATCATCTACGGAATCTGCATCTTCTTCATCAAACTCTCGATCCTCATCCAATTCACCGAGATCTTCTCCATCTAGCGCGACCTATTCTTCTGGAGCTGCCACAGCCTGGTTTGGCTGAACTTCATCTTCTATACGATCTGCACCTTCCTAGAAATTTTCGCCTGTCGCCCTCTCTCAAAAGCCTGGGATGTGCTAAATACCGACGGATCCTGCCTCGTGAACACCCGACTCATCAACATCATCTCGAGCGCCTTCAACTCGGTCTCAGACCTGATGCTTCTCCTCCTACCACAGACGCGCATTTGGCGACTACACGTCAAGCTCCGCAAGCGGGTTTTCGTGTCCGCGGTCTTCCTGTTCGGTGTTCTGTGAGTGGTTCCAGGAACCTTCGAAATTCTTGCTAACTGGCGTGCCAGGGCCACTACCTCATCGATCATAAGGCTGGTTTATACCGTCTTACTATACACCACAACCAATAATCTGTCGTACTATAGTTGGATGGCAGGTGTCTGGACCCTCCCGGAGATCGCATGCGGGATCATCGCAGGCTGCCTTCCTTCACTAGCGAGATTCTTCCGTCATCTCGCTCGGAGTACTTTCTTGGCCGAATTGAGGAGCTTTCCATATAACCTGATCCGATACTCATCGCATCCAAGTCGAAGACGCCCGGACGGGGACGGTGAGGAAACTACAGCGCAAGTAAACAAGACTCGGGGCGTGCCGGATCGATTCCTGCTTGCTTCTTTTGCGAGTGCACGCGCAGCCGCTTGTCCCGCGACCCAAGCCGGTTGAAGCCCTCGAAGGTACCTGCCGTGTGCAGCATGTTCGTGTCATTCGCCACCGCGTACGCGGGGACGGTGATGTCTTCCACCTTGTCGATCTTGTCCTCTCAGTACGCGTTGAGCGAAGTCTCTGCCAGCGCCATGCGAGGCCCGTCTTCGACGTACTGGTTCCCTGCGAACGTGGTGATCAGGCCCTCCAGGAACCCCACGGAAGGGATGCCCCCGCGCACCGTCACGTTGCGGTACAGATCCACCAGGACTTCCCAAAGACCGATGGCCGCCAGATGCGGGGACTTCTCTGCAGCGATGAACCATGGTGAGATCGCCAGCCACGAGTGCCCGCTGAAGGCCACCTTCCCGGTGCACCAGGGCTCGCTGGCAATGGCTTCCATCAAGTCGTATCCGTCCTCCGCGAGTTGTCAACCGAAAAACGCGATGTTGCCGTCCGAGGCATACGTGCCGGGTGCGTCCGGGTTGACGATCGCGTAGCCGTGAGCCACCCAGTAGGCTGGATCAGGGCCCTCGAACCTCTGCAGCTCCGACACTTGGGATAGGGGCATCCTGGAGCGTCCGGGCACGTCTTCTAGCCACTGGCCGCCTACCTGCTTGCCGTACGGGCTCCAGACGATGATGACTGGCACTGGCTCGTCTTCCACTGGGCGGTACACGTCCGTGTGGATGATCGGTTGCAAGGACTGCAAGTGGCCCAACAGGGCGCAAATTAGGAAAATCAGACCTCAGAAACGAGAATCCCGCTAGCAACCAAGTAGGCGATCAAGGTGCAGGCAGAAGTAGAGCTCAGGCAATTTATCTCAGACAATTGACTTGGACTGACCAAAACCAAGTTTCCTGTGAACGGAAGAGATGTACGATGGAATAGATTGTCTCTCAATAAGGATACGAATGACAGGAAGAACACGCGCTTTTTTGGACCCCAGCTAACTGAGGGCAGCCCTGAATGATGAGCTTCAAAAAGATATCAAAGTGAGACTGAAGGACAATTCACGATCGTAAGTCCGCGGCGGAAATTGGGCTACATTGATAGTGTATTTGTAGAAACTGGCTCGGCTGAGGATGTTTGCTCTTCAATCTAAATTATCATCACACAAAAAGATTCCCACATACAAAATACCGTGGTCTCGTAAAACGACGAGCCCGCAGTGTCTACTACCTCTGTTCAGAAACCATGGCAGGTTGTTAGGGCTGGGCTCGGCCCGTCCGTTCTAGTGACGTGCCCGCTCTTTCCGTGCCCGCCAGACACCCTCCGCAGTAGCTTCAAACCACGCATGCGCAATGAGCATTCAAATCACCTCTCCTATCTTCTCTTTGCCTTGCAATCATGTCGGACGAGACACCGTGGTGCGTTGGGTGGGAACATTACCCGGGGGAGAGAACCCGCGCGCTCAGGATGGAGGATGGATTTGGGAAAGTCCAAGCCGAGCTGCGATACCGGGAGCACCGCCGACTACCTTCGCTCTCGCTATATGAAGTGCAGGCAGGAACTTGAGCGCAAGTTTGAGCAGCAAAAGTACGAGAGGTACAACAGAGGCTTTTAGAGCAATGCCTCTGAAACTGAGACTTGCCCCTCGGTCTACACAGTATGGAAACAATGCTAAAGTATCATTTTGATAAGAAGCTGAGCGCCTTACGGAATACCTACACGCGAAGATTTTAGTGATTTAGGATTATACAACTATCTAGTTCACTCAGTGATGGCCAGTTTCGCGAAAGCCCTAATAGTTAGGAAGTTAGGAAGTTCAGCTTTCACGCTACCTCGCTTTCTCACCTGTGGAACCCAACACCGTGGGACTCGTTGACACCGGGACAGTTTGACGACACTGTCTCCCCTTCCCATAGCCGTCTCAGCGGAGCTCAATCCGCTGCTGGAGAGAAGAGCTGTAGGGATAGCCTGGAACAAAGAACAAGGGGTAAAATTATCATTATTTGCGGCTGGTGTATAGCAACTCATATCGCTTTGAACAGTTAGGCACAACGCGGTTATACAGTATGAAGTATCAAAAAAGACATGATCAGCATAGTCCTCAATCTCACAAAGCGTGATGCTTTCGGACCACTAAGGACACTCGAAGGGCAGCCGTTGGCTGACTGGTGGCGCGGACGGGATTGTCAGCATACAATGGGTAGGTAGATGAAAGAGTAGACTTAACAAACAGCAACAATAATATGCTAACTGTCGGAGTTGGGCTTGTTTCCAACGGGAAAGGAGGAGAAATGTTGTTTCTGGTTGTATGTACAGTACTTTATCTCTTAAGGTTGTGGTTGTGGGATGGTAAGTAAGTATGTGGTTGTACCGGGTGTGTAGCTGTCCGCAAGGTGGGGTGAGCTTAAGCTTGAGCTTGATCTCCTTAGACTTTGGGAACTAGCGGTGTTCCACGGTAGTGCAGTGCCATCTGTTTCTTGTGTAACAATTGTCGTTGGTAGACACATTACGGCTACAGACAGCTGTCTAGGCCCGAGAAATAACTAACATATCAGATATTCTCGACACGGTCGATACATATACTATCGCATTGTGTATATACTGCTAAGTACGCAAGCCTATATACCGATCCTCAAAACCACCGCCCCCAAAAACCAACCACCCCTCCAGCTCACGATCCGGAAACACAGTAAACCCCATAAAATGAAAAGTATCCTAGGTCGGTTCTGTGCTCCCCGATACAATACGATACATCGAAAGAAAGATCCTCGCCATAGCGATCACGATCATCATCAACTCGTGTAGTCATCAGTCATAACATTTGCCAGATTAATAATTTTTTTGTGTGTTCTGGGTAGGTCGACGGGCCCGTCGGTGAGAGCGACGGCCCGTCTGCAAATGTTATACCGTGTCTCTCAGGACGGCTTCATCCGACAGCCACGACCAGTCGCCCTGGAAGACGTCCGCGGGAAGGGAGTTGACGTCTAGGTCTTCGAGGGCGTAGATGGCGGCGGCGCTCTCGGCGAAGGAGACGCCAGGTTCGAAGAGCCCCGGCTCGTCGAGCGGGTTGACCATGCTCAGTGAGGTGGGCATGTCGACCATCGTGCAGTAGGGTGGGGAGGCGTAGGAGCCGGAGCTGTGGAGCGGGAGATACAGAGGGCTGTCGCCGTTGGGGCTCGTGGCTGAAGGCATGAGGCCCTGCTGCTGCTGGTGGTATAGTTGAGACGGTGGGCTCGAGGAGATGGTGGCCCTGGGGCGAACCGCCGCCGCCGCCGCAGCCCCGTGACTTGGAGGAGAGTGTGAGACACGACTGGCCTCAGCACCGCTACCGCCGGTGGACGGTGCTGGGCGCGGTGCGATGGGCTTCAAGGAGCCCACCGAGGTGGAACGAGGAGATCTGCCAGCGGCTCTCTGGAGAGAAAGCAAGACGCAAAAGAAACCCACATCAGCCTAAGACTGTCTCTGACAAGAAGAGGAGTGTACATGCGGATGTGATGAGTGATTCTGGTTTCTAGTGCATATGCTTGTAATACTGGTGGTGTGGCAGATCAGGGGAGAGAAGATCCGGATGGTGAACGTTCTACTTTTGATGATTGACATTTGGCCTCGGCCTCGCGCTTGAGCTTGGCGTGATCCTCGGGCGCTTCGCAAGGTGTGCAATTGCAGACCGAGCAGGTCGCAAACGGACGGCCTTTTCGGTTGATATGAATTAGTGGTCGATCTGAGATGAGTCCAGGTTAGGTAGTTTGCAAGAGAATTAGAACGGGAGAGGGTCATACCATGGTGCTTGCAGGTAGTCACACGGTGACCGCGAACGCAAGCTTCACAGGCCCACTTTTCACCGTCGATGAGCATCCCTTGATGGAAGTATGAGTGGAATTAAAGGCTGTCATGATGACCAGGCGGAGGGCAGGATTTATAGGTGAGCAAACACCTGGGCGGGAAACCAGCGGTCGAGCGAAAACCGAGACAGAGGAGGCGCTCCGATGGGGGAAGTAGAGCCCAGATGGAGCGTTACTACAGAAAAAGGCAAAGCCGCATGGGGACGGGCACAGCCACGGATCGACTGCATGGATGGCAAGTACAGTACAATACAAAAGGACAGCTCGGTAGAGGGAAAATGGGGGGAGAGGGGTGGGAAATTGGACGAGCCAGGGGGGGGGGGGGTGGGAAATGGAGACCGACCTGAGAGCTGAGGGTGCAAGGGAAAATTATTGCATGCGTGGTTTTTGGCTCATATTTGCCGCGTTATGGGGTTCCTCCTGGTCGGACCCAAAAGTCCCAAACAGTGGAGAGAAAGAGAGAAAGAGAGAAAGAGAGAAAGAGGCAGTTCCGAAAAGGCATGGCCCCAGGCCAGGGCCAGCCAGGGCCAGGGCCAATTCTATGGCTCTATGGCTCTATGGGTCTATGGCTGACCTCCTCTTCCTCCTTCCTGTTCCTCCTCTCTCTCTCTCTCTCTCTCTCGCTGACCGCGGATCCCATCATGATATAATCCCTAATAAAGTGCGATGAGCATGCGGGATTTTCCCTAGCGAAATATCGGTCTTGTTGATAACGAGATGCCGCATCCGTCTTAGTTGCGGGCAAACCGATGGTGCAGCAAATTCCCGCATACAATAAATTGAAGCTCGGCTAGCATCCTCGCGGTATAGTTACAATCATATTCCTGCTGCCTTGGATTATTGGCAATGGGCAGATGATGGGGTTCAATCGCAGTAACAGGGACTTCCTGGCGATTGACTCCTGAACGTGAATCGTTGTTCAAAGATGATCGGAGGGAAATCGACATTCGCATTCGAGCCCCCGAATCGAAGACCCTGCCAGCTGCAGACCGATAAGCCAAAACGCAGAATCAGAAGCAGAGCTGCACGAGAGCGCCAAAGCTCGAGCCATGGCGGGATGGAGGTGGCTGAGCAGCTCTCCCAAGCAAAACGCAAGTAGAAGAAAAGCTTGTAAGCACGAGCCAATCTGGGCCTGCGTGATTAAATTTGTTGGCGCGCACTTTCGTTCCTCCCCGGTCGGAGCTTTTCATCATCGATGCTCGACAGCTGTTTTGCTTTTTCCCCGTCTCATTTTTCTGTTTCGTACGGTTGCTCCGTGCGCTGGTCTGACAGGATTGGGACTCTCCAACTGGCTGGAACCAGAAGTCCGTGGCTTGAGACGGACTCAATCTTGTGTGTGCTGATCTTCGTCCGATCGGAGTAGTTGAGAAAGACAAAAAGGAAGGAAACCTGAGCAAAACAATCAAAACCGCCAAACATGTGACCGCCGACTCCTTGGATTCTCTCCGACCCTTAGGTAGCCATGTTTTTCTGCCTCAGGCTCCTGTCAGACCATTTCCTTCCCTCCACGTCAGTCTTGATGTTTTTTCTTTTTTTTTTTTTTCTTTTCTTTCTGCCGTCCTCCTTGCGTAGTACATTTACTACGTATGGCTGGGATGGTTCCCACTACAACTGCCAACAATCACAATACAACGAAATTTCTAAAAGTTAAATTGGTCTAAATACATGGAATCGAACGGTAGATATCTGGCTATACAATTATATCCGCAACCACCACTGACAGACGTACCGATTCACAAGCCTATCTAGGCGTAGGTAGGCCAAACGGTGACGGTAGAAGTAGTGGTGGTGACAACGGCTGAGGTCGTCGTAGCCCACGCGGTCGAAGTCACCCACACGGTCGTGGTCGAGACTCCAGAATCGGCGTGGGTAACAACAGCCTTGTGGGCGGTCACCAAGGCAGAGGGCGCGAAGGTATCCTCGGCCTCAGTCTCATCATCCTCGTCGTCACAGTCGGGCAGATCCTCGTCATCGTCACCCTCGTCAGAGGTCGAGGCAGAGCTGGAAGAAGAGCCAGACGCGGAGGTAGAGGTGGCGGTGGCCTCGGCGGTGACGCTGGTAGCGCTGGTCTCGGCAGCGGCCGTCGCAACGCTCACGGCAGCAGACGATTCAGCGGCAGAGGCATAGGCGGCGGCGGTGGTAGGCGCAGAGGCAGCAACCGAAGAGCTGGCAACGCTGACACTGTCCGTGCCCTGGGCGATGATGCGGGCCACAGCGGCCTCCGCGGCGACCATGACGATGGCCTGAGTGTTACCGGTGGGAAGATCGGGGTGGATACTGGCGTCAACAATGTACTGGAAAGATATTAGCTCACTGGGCGAGGGCAGCACGTCAAGTATGGATTCTTACCAAGTTCTCGGTACCATAAACCTTGGTGTTGAGGTCAACAACAGAAGTACCGTTACCGACGCGTCCATCGTCAGTGCCGATCTTCGCGGTACCGACGAAGTGGTCACCGCTGGTCATCAGGTTCAGAATACCAGAAGCAGTCAGGTCACCGGAGATGGAGAAGCCGGAGGTGGAGTTGCTGATGTCGTCGATCAAGCTCTGGAAGAAGCGGGTCGTGGCTTCCTTGTCGGCGGCAGTCTGCAACCAAGGATCGGTCTCGAGAGTGGTGGTACCGGAACCGTCAATGCCAAGAACACCAGTCGAGGTGGCACCGTGGGTCAGGTACAGCTTCATGGTGATGGCGCCGTCCTTGCTGGTGCTGCAAGAAGCCTGGAAGAAACGGGTAATGCCATCTGTTCCGACGTTGGAGGTCCAGAACTGGAGACGGTGGCCACCCTGGGTGAGGACACCGGAGCCCTCAGCGAACAGCTTCTGGACGGCGGCACTGGGGCCAGGAACGACGCCAGAGGTGTTGAAGTGAGTGAAGTTGCTGTTGGTGTTGACAGTGACAGTGAACATGGGGTGGTCACGGAGGTTTTGGCCGACAGGCAGGTGGATCCACTCAGAGGAAGGAGGAAGGGTGATGCCAGTGCTACCGCTCTTGACGGTGTTGATCTGCTCAGTGGGGCCAATACCGGAGTTGAACAGAATGCGAGGGGTAGACATGGAACCCGCAGCAAGGACAACCTTACCACCAGCGTTGAGGCTGATAATCTCAATGCCACCAGAGCTAGTCTCGACCTCAACACCCGTCACGCGGGCGCTGCGGCGCACGAGACGGCGGACCTTGGTGCTCAAGCGAAGGGTGAAGTTGTCGAGGTCCTGAACCAAGGGAAGGTAAGAGCGCACGGGACCAGCACGGATACCATTGCCGACATCCCAGGAGGGGTAACTGTACACCATGTGCTTCTCGTTGGGCTCCTTCTGGGAGTCGACGGACTTCCAGCCAAGACCCTTCAAGAAGTTGGAAAGGACAGTGTACATGCCCTGGTCGTAGCGCTTGCCGTCGGCCGAGGGAAGAGTGCTGCCAGGGTTGAGCTCGTAGAGACGGTTAGCGGCCGCCTGAACGTCCTTCCACTTCCAGCCGGTGGGCCACTTGTCGTCGAAGTCGGCCGCGGGCGGGTGGATGAAAGACTCGGCGTTGACAATGGTACCACCACCAAGAACGCAGCCGGCCATACCCGCAGTATCGTCACAGAGGTAGTCGCCCATCAGGCCGAGAGAGGTGAGAGAGCTGCCTAGGGCCGGGATATCGAAAGCGGTCATAGAAGAGTTCCAGGAAAGGGCACCAGAGGCACCCAACTCGGTGGTAGGAGCCACACCACGCTCAATCAAGAGGACCTTCTTCTTAGTCTCGGCCAGACGCTCGGCGGCAACGATACCGGCAGCACCGCCTCCGACAACGATGTAGTCATAGGTTGTGTTCGAAACCGTGGCAACAACACTGGCCGATGCGCTGGCGGACGGGCTGGTGACTGAGGCGGAAGAAGAAGCAGTAGATGTGCTGGAGACAGCCTTGGCAGCCCAGGTGGCATAGCTGGAAGACTTGGCCTTGGACAGCAGGACTTGGAAGCCACCGTAACCGGCTCCGTGGAAAGGCATGGCAGAAGAAGCGGAGGAAGGGCTGGTGGGGCTGGTCTTACTGAGACCCCAGCCGAAGTAGTAGGTGTCTTCGGTGGCGCCGAAGGTAGTAGGCTCGCCAAGAATACAGTTCTCACACAGGAAGGTATAGGTGAGGAAGGTGCTGTTGATAGAGGTGCCCTCGGGGATTTCGAGGATGCTGGCATCGCCACTGTAAACTTCGGGGCTGGAGTAGGCACTGGTCTCACGAAGAGTGCCGACGGCAGCGTCACCGTTGGCGTTGGGCCAGGCTGCGATGAGCAGGGCCTTGGTCATGGAGCCAGACATACTGACACCACCCCATCCCTTAGCGCTGGAGAGGGGCACGCTCAGCTGACCGATGAAACTCTTCTCCACGGTCTCAGGGAGAGCGATACCGAAACAGAAACCGGTATCAGCGTCACACCACCTCTGGAAATCCATGCCGGAGACCGAATCACTGTAGGCGGAAGTCTTGGTGGAGGCTGCGGCGGAGGCACCGAGCGCGGAGCTCAGGGCCACAGCGCCGCCAAGAAGATAGGAACGCATCTTGAAGTGATTTGTTCGCAATATTAAGAACAAGCAAAAGCTGCTATAGACCAGATTGGGTCGGAAAGTCACCTAATCGATGGTGAAAAAGAATGAGATAGAAGAAACCTTGGGAGGGTTAAGCTGGCCCAGCAGCAACCCGGAAAAGAGCGGCGGCAAAAAAAGATTGCCAAAAATGAAAAAGAAAACAAAAGAAGGACCGAAAAGAACGGGAGGGAATGGATTGAACGTTGAAAGCCGGTGGAAGTCCATTTTGAGGCGAGCCACTGTATTCATATAGGTTCTTGAAGAGAGCAACGTGGGGGGCTAGGCTGACCATGGTGTGAGGAAAGCGGAGGCGTAAGGGTGATTGAAGGATGGTTAGAGGATAAGGCTAATGCGTTGAAGATATTGCTTGTGGGCACACATGCCCACCTCAAAGGTGTCTAGTCTGCTCCTATCCGAGCATAACACCGTCTAGAACGCAGGTTATGAGTGGCCTCGAAGCAAGATAAGCAATTTTCGGCGGGCCCTGGGCGTTTCTCGGAGAGCGGCCACGGGGGGTGGGACATGCCAAGCATCACTAAACGGCGTGTGTTTCACGAGCAGGCATCGGTAGTTTGAGCGTTATAACCCCCCTGTGCCTTGGAAGAGCCAAGCTCCTCTATATCAAACATTCTCAGGATGGAGTTCGCGCCGGAGTGGATTGATCACAAAACCCCCGTCGCCTATTGGCCTCCCTGCACGTCGGATGAATAATGAAGGTCTCCAGTGGGTGGAAGACAGTCTCCATTGTCGACAAGCTATTCACACTCCGATGCAACTCGGACTGGCAGGATGATGATGCCAAGAGCGGGCTGTCTATGGTCTATTCTGGTCTTCAGTGGTTGGTGCCTAGAAAGCCGGTCTGGTCAACATAGCGGCCGGAGCATTCAAAGGATTAAACATACCCGATACTTTTGATGGGTACTCGGAATCGACATATTGTCTCTAAGAACTGGTAAGAAGTCGTAAGAGTCGCACTCAGCGACAGGTCATGTTGTGCGGGTGATACATGAAGCCTGGCGCGGGGAGTCTTGAGACAGGCCAAGTGTCAAAGGGACGGTGAGGGGCAAGTCATGAAGGGAGACGGGAGTTGGAGGGGAAAGGCGTTGGTGGAATTTGGGCAACTCGACCGGGTTCCGAGTGGGTCTCAGGGGAAAGAAAGAAAGAAATCCCGTGTAGAGCAGCGGCCAATCCAACCGTGGCCCGTTAATATTGCGTTTGCTATCAAATCAATTTCCCTGGTGAGGGAATCATTCCATTGCTACTCTACATGCAGAGACAGTTGCGCTAATAATGTAGGGCCCAACTAACTGTACAGCTGCCTTCTATTACTACTCTGTTGGCGACCCACATCGCCATCTACCCTGCGAGCCATTCGCTATCATCACGTACAGTGCTTCAACCAATCTGGCTGCATATAAACTAGAAGAAAACAGACGAAGCAGAAAAAAAAAAGGGAGTCCATGTGAAGAAGAAAGAAAAAGAATTCAATGAGAACTGACAAGCACGAGCGTGCACTGGTAAATGAACTATTTAAACAAGAACCATGCCAGCGCCGAACAAGGTCGACATGACAGTCACCAGGCCCACAATGGCAGGGGTCATGGTCAGACGGGGCACCTGCAGGCCGGCAGCAGCGCCTGGAGAGTTCGTCGCGATGCCACTCTTGGAAGAGCCAGAGCCACTGCCCGAAGAAGCGGAGCCGGATCCGGGAGTGGCGGTGCTGGTGGACGCAGTTCCAGCGTTCATGCTACCAGAGCCGGAGAATCCAACACCCTTACCAGCGCCCTCGGTCATGTACTTCTTGGCGGGCTCGGGAATGGCGGGGAGAGAGTCGCTGTCAACATCCCAGTTGGGAGAATCCTTGGCCGGGCAAGGGTTGGCGCCTCCGGTCTTGTTGTAGCCACCATCGCCCTTGGGGCTGGCAGTCTTGGCCATAGCAGACTTGAGGGCATCGTAGTCATCCAAGGTAGTGACCTTGCCATCCTTGATCTGCACGAGACCGTAGTGGCTGGGTTCCTCGGAGTACTCATAGACGAGACCACCAGAGTAAACAGCGGTCATGTCCGTGCTGTACAAGGAGCTGACTTCCTCGAACTCGCGGGTGTTGGTGTTGCAGCCATACTCGGACAGGAAGAGCGGAAGACCGTAGCCAGTGAAGTTCTTGACCTTCTGGTCCCAGCCGGAGGTGGTGAAAGAAGAGGGGTCGCACCAGGAGTAGTCGTTGAAGGCGAAGAAGTCGCTGCGCTCGTCATCGGTACCGCAGTTCATGTACTGGGCCATCTGGAGACGGTTGGTGTCGATATCGGCCTACAGAAGTTTCCTGGTCAGTGCCCGCACGGTTGATGTTTCTTTGTGTGAGAGAATCACTTACAGCAGAGTATCCCACAGGGATCTCACGGTACTTGCGGCTGCGAATGTACTGGCGGAGATCACGAGTGACGGCCTTGACATAGGGGGCAGCACTCGAGGAGGGGCCGTCATTGATGACCTCGTTTCCAGAGAAGAAGGCCAAAGTGTTCTTGTAGCCGGCGAACTTGTCGACCGTGGCAAAGATGTACTGAAGGTAGACATCGTTGTAGGAGGGCTTCGGGTCGGCACGGTTGAGCGAGTACTTGGGGGTGTTGACATCCAGAACCAGGTAGATGCCAGCATCTGCCAGAGCGTTCATGCACTCATCATGGTCGGCGGAGTTGTCGACGGAGTAGACACGGATGGTGTTCAGACCCAGCTCCTGGAACTTGGCGATGTCGCGCTTGCAGCCTTCGGTATCGGCGATGGGGTCGGCCAGCTTGGACGAGCCACCGGGTTGATAGTCGACACCACGGATGTAGAAACGGTCGTCACCCTTGAAGAAGGCATTACCCTTGACAGTGATGGCGGTCACATCATCACGGGCCTTGAGGTTGGGAGCAGCCAGAGCGGTGGAGGCACCGAGAGTGATGGCCGTCGCGATAGCGGAGCCCTTCATGTTGATGGAGTTGTGATTTTGAGTTGAATTGCTTGCTTGCGGAAAGAGACCAGTCGGACGGTGTGGAGTCTCGGGAACGAATGGCGAGACCTGCTGTGTAACTGATTATGATATAGTTGGGAGAAAGCTGGAGCCTGGGAAGGTTGAACGGCGCGAAACAGGTCAATAAGACTGAACGAGTGACTTGAAATGGGTTTAAAAAAAAGAAAGCGAGTGATTGAAGGGATAGCGGAGGAAAGCACCCAAAGCAGGGGAAGAAGAATGACGAGGAGAAAAAGAAGAAAAGAGAGAGAGAGGGAGAGAGAGTTCAAGAAGGTAAGGAAGGGGTGGTGCAGGAAGGATCCTTAAAGGGCTCTCAGTCCGGAGTGTCAGGCTGGCCATCGATCCATCCCTGAGCCGTCCGTCTGCCCCATTGAGCGATTCAAAACAGTAAGGATAACCCGGACCTGACCAACTAGAATTGCCACCAGAGTGTGCTTTCTTTCGCGACCGAGGAGCGCGTGTCAGTGGGCAGTATGGTATGTCCCCATTACCGGATGAGGCAGCCAAGGTATGTGTGTGGAAATGTGGGAAATTTGCTGGGCGGGTCGAGGGAGTGCCTAGTGCGTATCAGCTGTCTCGATCGTCAGATCGCCCCCAGCAAAAGACTGCAGGATCAAGGGTCCAGCCCGGGAGTATACAGGAAGAAGCTCCAGTGAGAGGAGGCGTTGATGGGAGTTGGTGTTGTTGTGTTGATCGGATCTTACTATAGGATATGATTCCTTGTTCAGAAGCCATACATCACGTATTTCTCTTAGGCCCCCCCCCTGGTTGTGAATGAGTGAGAATCAGGTACTGAGTTCAGAGTGTGTGTCCCGTACCTGGGAAACTGGGAAGGGCGCAAAGAATGGAGTGGGGATGCAAAAAGCCCTGAACCCCGGCCGGGCCAAGAGAGAGAGAGAGAAAGAGAGAGAGAAAGAGAAAAGAGGGCGGGGCGGTGGGTCCAGCCAGAAAACCAGTCAGTCCCTGGAAAAGAGAGAAAGATAGAAATGCCTACCTGCCTACCTGCATCACCCAACACTCAGTATTCTACAGCCATTATTCTGGCCAATGGATTGAACACTGTTGACTTACCGTACAGACACCTCCCAGGCTTACGTACCATAAGCACCAACATATAAAAAGGGATCACCAACCCAGCATAGCAAACATAGTGCCTGCACCCACCACCACTCAGCCATCCCGCTCCCCTGCCGTCTGGAGCTGATCATCTCCGTCCTGGACCCTGAACCCTCCTCAGCATGTCTGACACGCTCCAAATAGTCCCTGGCCGAGCAATTGCCCAGGCAGAATAGCCTTTGGGTGGTTACGACGACTCTTGTATCCTGTCTCAGTCGTGGGGGGGGTTGTGTCCCCCCGACAGCTGAGACATGCAAGCACAACACCCTCTAATTTTAGTCCCAGGCTAATTTTAGCCAGCCGAGCATCCCATCTCGCATAGAGCCAAGCCAAGTTGCTCATGCATGCACTCAATCGCTCCCTCTGCTATCCGTTTGATAGTGATTGAATCTATACTGGGGAAGTGTATCTCTAAATGTATGTACAGTACTCCGTAGACACCGCAGAAAAGCCATATGCAGAAGAACCTCATCCAGACTCTACAGCTCTGGTCAAGATAAGATCGAACCGAGTAAAGTTCATTCCCTCCGTCTCTCTCCTGCCGTATCAAATGTACTATTCTCACATGTTGATTCTCCCCGATCGGAACCAAGACCAGAACTACACCACCAAGAAAGCCATGCAACCTTCCTCATTTCTACACACAAAGCCAAGACTCCCCTACACATCTCCAAATTCCACAATCACAACCCCAACCAACCCATCCTCACCAACTTGGAACCAGACAAAAAACCCTCCCACTGACGTCAACGCACAGATCCCAACACGGTCCCACCAACCGACCGACCGACCAACACCCTGACCAACAACGGAGACGCTCTAGCCCGGTACCTGTCTATCGTTTCCATTCCCACCGAGCCCCAGCGCCGCCCGCGGGCGCCCGACCGACCGACCGGTCGGACTCTTCACTGCAATAACCGAATCACCAAACCAAGACCGACCCCCAAACCACAATAATCCATGAAGTCTTTACGGTAATCTGAATCAACCCAAAATCCCAAGACTCTTCCTTACGCCGAGATTTTTAAGACAAGAATTTGGCAATCGATAGCTCGCGTAAATTCTACCGGAAGTCCATACAAATATACCTTCTTGGCCGGGACACTGCTCGCTCGGCTGCGGTCGAGACCTGCTCGGCAGGGGGGGACCAAGCCTTGGGGGTTAGGCAGCATATTTTCTTTCTGAAGATGGGGTTCTTCGGTTAGGGTGAGTTTGGTTGTGACTACTTTTCTTCAAGTTGGGGTTCGTGGGGATCTGATTTTGTCTGTGGGTTTGGTGAAGGTGGTGGCTGCTGGGCATGGGCATGGCATCACATGAATGGATTCTACTGCGCCGAGTTCAGTTGTTGGGCCGCATTTCTGAAGTATGCTGGCGGATGGGGTGGTTCTAAGAGACTTTTACGAGCAGGTTGTGAATCAATCGTGGCGCAGCAGGGTGCCAAGCTGTATTAGAGCTCGATAGTCGAGGGTTTTGGTTTGCCAAGCACCGTATAGACAATATGAACTGTGTTTCCAGAGTGATCTGGCAAGGGGGCGTGGTTGGATGGGAAAGGGTAATCATAGGTTGATGGATGGAATGGCTACTGTTTGCCAGGTTCAATACCTGCACGCTGAGTTTATATTACTCTATCCATCATCGCAATTCGATAGATAGCGGTGGTGAGAAGGAGATGTCTACACGGGGAGATTTGACCCTAGAGAATATACATCCATTGCCTGTTCACTTAGGAGTCAGGGAGCAAGATGCAATGGCTCGGCTGTTGTCGACAGGACTTCGGGCTGTTGAGCGCCTACCATGATGGTGAAAGCATCTCGCTATGGCTGCCCTGGGACAGCCGTATGACTATCCGATAGGTAAAACCACCACGCGACTCACCTCAAATGGAAAGAGCAACGCTATGGTCCTACTCAACGGGCTATAGCCAACACCTGCTGTTTCTGACTTCCTCCGTCAACAAGCTCCTTCCTTGAAAGCACTTACCAGTGAGCCGACAAGCAGGTGTCCCATCCAAATCGACGCAAGCATGTTAACCTACCCAAAGAGAGCAGACATCATATCCTCACACCACCAACCACACTGACACAATCATTCTTCCTCTCAAACATTCATCTCATACCAGCTCAAGCAAGTGTGAGTCGACCTCAAGCCTTCACGCCCACCAACACTGACACGAACCAGATGCATTACACCGCGCACTCCCTCGTCTGGGCCACTCTCCTCAGCAGCGCCTGGTGCCAGTTCTCCAAGCTTTTCATCAGCCAGCCGGCCTTCGTCCACCACCCGTGGCCGTCGATCTTCGTCGAATCGCCCGAGTTCGGTCCGACCGGCTCGTACCTTGACAAAGACCACACGCGCGAAGGCGCAGGAACCTTCCCCGCACTGTCCTGGCCATACTCCTCCGGCGCAGTCCAGGAGTATATTCTCATCTGCGAAGACCCCGACGCCCCGGCCCCGGAAGCCATCGTCCACGGCATCTACTACGGGATCCACCGCGCCACGACCGGGGTACAGAACCCGGATTTCTTCCTCGATCAGTCGCAGGCAAAGCCGTTCATGCTGCGGGGCGGGTTCAAATATGGTCAGAACGGAGGAGACGGCGTGTATCTCGCTCCCCTGGCGCCCCAAGGCCAAGGGCCGCACCGGTACTTCTTCGAGCTGGTGGCGTTGAACGAGACGCTGGACCAGAAGGGGCTCAGTTCGCCCGCTCAGGTCGACGAGCTTATGCGCGCGATCGATGGGAAGGTGGCCGGATGGGGGGCGTGGATGGGCTTGTCTCAGAGAGCTTGAGCATGATGGAAGAGCGTGGTCAAAGAAGAGGGAATCGTTATCTGCCCTCGGGTTGCACAGTCTTCTTAAGTCGTTGGCGTTGTTTTCATGGTTTATCCGCGGTCACTTGTATCATCAAGACATTGGGAGCAGTCGATGTGAGGGGAGTGGTACGACCAGAGTTCGCTGCATGGCTTTATTATGATCTTCACCTCGATGTCTTACATTGGGTAGTCGTGAACGTCATCATCAAAGGTCGGCATTGCTCCCGATCCTTCAGGTATTGACTAGAGCCGGTTAGCTTTGAGGGTCCGATAATTATAGTATAACCCTATCGCCGAAAGACCCGAGGTTGACTTCATCTCTGGTGACTTGGTCGAAAACAAACCTTTGTTCGTATTCTTCGTGGTAAAGGGAGGCAAATAGACCCGACTGAATGACTGCCTGTCTCCAAGATTAGCACAAGGATAGGGGCACTAGTCCGGTCTCGGTAAGGGCCTGCCTCACTGTGGGGGGATATCCAATCAACAGCCTCTCTTGCCGCTTACGCTGCCCAGCCCCAGTCTGGCTAGCCGTTCTAGGACTAGTAAGGATCTGATGAGAGCTAAGCCTCTTTCGCACTTCGCCGGGTGCGGAGGGAATTCGGAGCTCGGAAACCTCTGACAATGACAGCCAGCCTGAGGGTCTTGCAATATGGAGAGGTCTTGGGCTGAGTGTCCGATGCCACCCTCTCTTGTCACGACAATGATGAGTGTTTGATGAGATTTCGATGGGTTATCGCAGTTGTGGATGCTGGGTGGGCAGCCCTTGACAGGTACCATCGATGATCAGGAACGCCCCCCCTTGGCAAATTGGCCACTGGACGGTAATGCCGATAGTCCGTGAACGGTGGCAGAGGAACGGACCAAGTATGTGTTGTGCTGCCTCAGTCAATCTCCCACGGTGCCTGATATTACAAAGGATGATCAAGACTGTACTGTACTTTGCTCAGCCCGGTTGTTCAGGTAGTTATGTTCGTGCAAGGTGTGAATTCCCAGGATAACCACATCACTTGTAAAGTGATTCTGTTGCAAAGAGTGGGGTAAAAGATAGTGCTCGGTAAACAACAACTACCACAGCAGACTGATCTCATGGTGGTGTCATCATCAGTAGTTCTTCGGGTGTGTGTCTCAACAGTCGGGATCGTCCGCTCCGTCTGACTGGCCGCACAACTGAAACCTTCTTCCCTTTCAAGCCATTGAGGTTAATTCAATGGTCACTCTCCAACTGCACTTGTCGACCATGACACCATGACCCAAACTGTTTGCTCGCCAATCACTCGGGCTTGTCCGAAGTGGTGTACACATGGTGTACATGGTGTACATACAGATTGTGAGACACTCTGCAAAGTCAAAGATGCATCGTAACTCGGAAAGTCGACAACTCCAAGCGAGCTGGCTGGCATTGGGCCAATGGTCTATGCTCGAGGCTGACGTTGACCTCGTACAACCCGTACTCCGCATATCCCACGGATCGCTTTCGGATGCTTTGTTGCTTTTTTGGAGGGCCATTCGATTCATCGCGACCGGCGAGATAGGCTGTGTATCGCCGCACTTGGGTTGAACCACGGCACTGATGCATCGGGGCAACACCAGTTCCTTTCTCCCACTCGATATAATGCCCATTCACTTCCTGGGTTCACTTATTTTTTCTTTTGATGATGATGAAAAGGTACCATCTTCTAGCGGTTGCCCACTGCTGATCCACCGGGCTCCGCCAGCCCGAGCCAGACCTGCCTTGTTTTTTCTTTCTATTTCGTCGTTCTTTATTCCAGCCCAAGCTAACGGCTTAGCCTGGGGATCGAGGTTTTTTTTTTTCTCCGCTACTATTTATTCATCGGCGGCGCAGCAGAACAAGCCTCGTCGGCCATTTGTTTCACTCTCATTTCGGGTGGCTTGCAGTTAATTATATGCCAACCGTTACAATTATCAATAATTGCCTGCCAGCCCTCTCTGCAGTGCTTGTACAGTACGGAGTACTTATTCTGCAATCCTCAGCCGCTTGTCTGGCTCACTTCCGCTTCCGTCTTCTTTCCCCCTCTTCTTCATCGACCGACGAGTGTTACCTTTTTGGGAAATTCCCCTATACGACTCGGAGGACCGTGAACTGAACGACCACTTTCTCTACTCTCGCTTCTCCCCTGAACCTTTGTCTCTCAACTCAAACCCATCCATCCAATTTATACGTCAATAATCTCGAACTGAGCCGCCATGGCGTTGTCAACTCGCCTGCTCCAGCTTCTGCTCCTATCCCTGATCGCCCTGTCTGCAATTGCAGCCCCGGCCGCCGATCAGCCCGAATCCGACGCCCCGTCGGTCGCCGACAGCATCGAAGAGACATCTCTCCACAAGGCTCTGCATTTGTTCCAGCGGTTCAGCCATGGCATCTTCCAGTCTGACGAGGAAGCCGCAGCGGCTCTCCAGCAGGATGATTCGTCGTTGGTTGAACACTTGAACCTCGTCAAGCGAGCCGACGGCAACTCCACGGCTGCGGTCGAGACGACGAGCCAGGCTCCCGAGCCCGCAACCACATCGGCGACGGCGGCGGCGACCACATCTCAGGCTGAAAGTTCCACCAGCAGTGCTGAGCCGACGACTGCTGCGGAAACTACGGCCGCCCCTACGACCACTGCTGCCCGCACGACCGCTGCGAGCCCTACGACTAGCTCTAGCAGCAGTGAGTCCAGCTCTAGCAGCAGTGAGTCGAGCTCCAGTAGCAGTGAGTCTAGCTCTCCGTCTCCGTCCACGTCTTCATCTTCCTCTACCTCTTCGGCGACCACCTCGTCGACCTCGTCCTCGTCGTCTTCCACGGCGACGTCGACCTCCACCACTTCTTCGTCCTCTTCGTCGTCCTCGTCCTCGTCTTCGTCCTCTTCTCACACCACCGCAGCTAGTACCACGATCCCCACCGTCGCGGCCACTACTACTACTACTACTACCTCTACTTCTGCTACCTCCACTGCTAGTACCACTTCATCCAGCTCACATACTACAGCTCACACCACCGCCTCCACGACCTCGACAACCTCCACCTCGTCCACCTCGACTTCGACCTCCTCAACCTCGACCTCCACTTCGACCTCCACAACACTAGACACCACCACCTCTACGACTTCGACCAGCTCCTCCTCCTCCTCCTCAACCCAAGAAGACAAAACCACAGACAGCACAACCGCAAAGACAACCCCTTACACCTCCACCTATAAAATGACCACCACGCTGCCCAACGGCCAACAAAGCACCGTCACAGCCGTGACCGTCATCCACCCAACAGAGACCTCCCACGAGGTCGCCACCGGCACCCGCGGCTCCCCCAGCCTGCAGACCGACAACGGCGCCTCGACCCACGGTCTAGGCCGCGAGCTGTTCGTGATAGTCGGTGGCGCCGCCGTCGTGGCCATGGCTCTGTAAATTCACAAATGAAATCACCAATTCGCGTTCTGAATGCATTTTCCGGAGTTTGATCTTTATTTCTGCATGATACCTCACTATGTTACGATCCTTATGCAAAGCAAGAAAGCATTTTTGTTTTTCGGGTGTATCCGACATGTGTCTCTCCTTTAGCGCATTTGATAACTTTGTTGTTTGCGGGGGATGAAGAGGTTGATGATGTTGGCTTTCGGGCTCGGGGAGGGGGAAGTGCCAGGTTGGGTTGGACGAAGCGTGTGCATAATTAGAAAGGCTGCTGTCCGTCTTTATAATGACTAGCTGAGACAGATGGTTGATGATGGCTATTAGGACATCATCCATTGTTTCCGTCTGGCTTAATTCATACCCTTAATTCATACCGTATGGCTCGGTAGATGATTTGAATGAGTATTATGATGTAGAAGACGCAGTCCTACATTGCTTCTCTACATGTATGTGCTGTAGATAGGTATGCTAGCTGTATCGCTCTGTACAAGATCATCCCGCGCAGCTGAGGCGGGCATATCACCCCTCACTCAGCTCCGACTCTACGGCTACCTTCCCAACCGTAACAGACGCTCATTAATGATATACTGTTGGTTGGCCAACTCACCCCATAGCCCTCACTCAATCCATCTATCCCCCACCCCTCACCCGAATAACCTCAGAAATAATCACCGCGGAACCCACCGCTCCTCCTCTGTCCAGAACCGCACCACACTCTCCCAGGCGGGGATATCGCCATCGCGCAGCAGCGCCGCCACGTCGACGTTCAGTGGTGACTCCGGGCGTGGGTCCGTCAGCAGCTGGTGGATGGCCGTCAGGGTCGACGACAGCGTGTACACGGGACTCCAGTGCTCGGTCGTCAGCAGCGTCAGGCAGATCTCGCCGGTCGAGAAGGAGATATTCGGGTGGCTGATGCGGGTTCTGAAGCGGATGGTGGGCGGGGTGAGGGGGTAGGAGGGCGGGATGGTGATGTGGAGGGCCCAGAGGCCGCCTTTTTGTTTTGCGATTCCGTTGTTAGTTCGGAGTTTCGGGTTTGGAGTTGGTTTGTAGAAGTAGTGGTTTGTTTGACTTTGGGATATGGAGGGGGCAGGCGCGGGGGGGGTGGGGGGGGGCTCACCTTCGTATGGGGTGCCTTTTACGCCTTTGAGTACGGCTTCCCAGTGTAGCAGGTCATCTTCGTCGATGGGGCCCAGGTGCAGGAGCGCTTCGTTCGGGTTGTTGGTGTAGTCTTTGAGTTCGCGGAGGAGCCGCTGTGTCGTGTTGTGCGTTGCCATTGTCTTGTGTAAAGTCGTCGGTGAAAGGCTGGTCTGGCGGAATGTCGTGGAATGCTCGGCGTTGCCGACTAAGCAGCTTTGTTTGGCTGGGTGCGTGTCTCTGGGTTTGAGTGTTCTTTGACACTGCGCTCTGCACGATCCCAGAACTTCTGTTGATAACTATCACCAACAAGCACTCCCCTCCTGAATGAGATATGACCGGTGGATGGCGCTATGTGCTCTTGGTTGCAGACGCGGAGTTGAAGCGGAGGAAAAGACCGAGGCTCAACGCTCAACGTGGGTCGTCTCCAATCAGTAGCGCCGGGTGCCAATCTTCTTCCGCGGTCTGGCCTGGTCATTCCGTGGACGGATGGACCCTAACAAATTTCATCAATGCTTGGCCACCGTCTTTCATGTGAAGCCGACCTCCTTCACCCTTCTTTCATATCGATCAACGCAGAACTACACCCATGCGCACCTCTCGCACGTCCAAGGAGACGGCTAGAGTCTTGCAGGCTCTGTCGCCCCCTGGGCGCCGCCAAACACGCAGCTCGTTCGCTCATGCTAGTGCCCTGCGCGATTTTGCCTTCAACGGTGGCCCTAATACCCCTGCGGAGGCAATGAGCGACGACGATGATATGTCCTCGCTGTCATCTGTCGCAACGGTCGATATCGAGGATATTCTCGAGCCCCCTTCCAAGCGGCAAAAGAGTGCTTTGAGCGGTCCTACAGCGCGCAGCGTGAGGACTCGTTCGGCGCGCATTCCTGCAGATACGCCCCAGGGCTCCCTCAAAGTGGAAACCACTGTCAAAGAGGAAGTAGTGGAAAAGCCGGCGGCCAGGGCCCGTCGCGTTCCTGCGCGGAAGGTCAAAGTGGAGGATGGCACCTATACGGTAGAGCCTCCATCCAACTGGGAGACCATCTACGCCACCGTGAAGAAGATGCGCGAGGAAAACCCGACCGCCCCCGTGGACACCATGGGCTGCGCCGAGCTCCATTGGCGTGCGTCGTCTCCCCGCGACCGTCGCTTCCAGACCCTTATTGCCCTGATGCTGTCGTCGCAGACGAAGGACACGGTGACAGCTGTGGCTATGCAACGACTGCACACAGAGCTCGGGGATGGCACCCCGATTGCCATCAAGACAGAGCCCAGCGATGAAGATAACAAGCCAACAGAGCCCATGAAGGACAGCACCCTGAATCTGGAGAATATCTTGGCCGTATCGCCGGAACGGTTGAACGAGCTGATCCGCACCGTGGGTTTCCACAACAACAAAACCAAGTATATCAAAGCTGCGGCCCTGATTATCCGGGACCAGTACGGGTCCGATATCCCGTCGACGGCGACCGAACTGATGAAGCTGCCTGGGGTCGGGCCGAAGATGGCGTTCCTCTGTATGAGTGCCGCTTGGGGCAAGCATGAAGGCATCGGTGTCGACGTCCACGTGCACCGCATCACCAATCTGTGGGGATGGCACAAGACGAAGAACCCGGAGGAAACTCGTATGGCTCTGGAGTCGTGGCTGCCAAAGGATAAATGGCATGAGATCAACAAGCTGCTGGTTGGTTTGGGGCAGACGGTCTGCTTACCTGTTGGCCGACGGTGCGGCGACTGCGACCTGGCCGGGACGAAGTTGTGCAAGAGTGAGATCCGAGGAATGGCTTCGAAGACCAAGACAACAACGGTGTTGAAGAGGGAAAATGGTGTTTCATCCCCACAGTCGAAGGGTGAAGACAGTGGGGCCAGTCCCAAGGTGAAGGTAGAGGCGGAGTTGATGGATTGAATGCGGCTGCTCCCAGTTGTCACGTTTTGACTGTTTGGTCTGTTTTGCCCACCAGGTCCGACATCTCCAGTTCTTTCTCTGTTACGCGGGGCGACGACTGATTTGGTCTTTCGTGTCTCTTTTCGACTTCTCCTTTGCGCTTCGTCTTCAATCCATCCTATCTCCGCCTCGCCATCCTCCCCATCTTCCATCTTCGTTCTGTCTCTCTCTTCCTCTTCCTCTCTATCTATCACCATCTCATATGGACCTTTTCACATAATTCGACTCGATCTCGCAGTAATTGGGATACGGTTCCTTCCCAGTGACCGCGTCAATGGGTCTGTTGCTGTCTCCACGTCCATCCTCAGAAAACCTGAGAATTGACTAACCTTCTCTGTTTGAGTAGCTTCAATGAATCTCTACTCCTACGGAGATGACTATTACGCGTATATCGCCCATAACTGGATGCTTCCGGAGGAGGAGTCTGAGAGTTACACGTCTGAAGAAAGTATGGAGCTCGACGATCAGTCCAGTTCCAGTACCGAGGTCCCTCGTGAGCCACGCATCACTTTCATGGACCTTCCCCATGAGGTCCGAGTCAAGATCCTCGAGTATGCTGGCTTGCTGCGGAAGTGTGTGATCAACCTTCGGTACGAGTCTGTACGCAGAAAGCAGAATGGTGGTTCTTGTTTGAGAGGCGATCATCGTCATTTTATCCCCTCTAGTCCGGGGACCTGGGCAGAGCGGGACTGCAACCACCCCAAGCTGCCAATTGAGCTCTTCAAACTCTCTCGTGCTTCTCGTGAGGAAGCTGGCACTGTTTTCTTCTCCTGTAACCGGTTCAACGCACCCCTCTACAGCCGCGCTGACTACCGAACCTTTGTGCTCTCGATGGGTTGGGGACTCGACCGTCTGAGATACCTGCACCTAGACCTCACCCCGAGAGAGCACCGCTACTTGAAGCTGGCTGGTGGAGTGCACAGGACCGCTCTGCGAATTTGGAACAGTTTCTGTCATGTGGCGGCCACTGAAATGCACGGCCTTAAATACCTTAGCATGAAATGTAAGGTGCGAGAATTAGAGGTCGCTACAAGACTCATGCGCGAGATGGACCCATTTCCAGTTCTGTCCCAGTGTGCTTTTCACTTCGACCACACTTACGAGGAGCACATCCAGAACGTGATCCGCCGCGCTGCCTTGAGGGTGACGGATAGTTTGAGCGTCAAGCATGTGTTTCCATTCACGCGTCTTCCTAGAGAGATCCAATTCCTGATTCTGGAGCTGCTCCTCGTCAACCGTCCGGACCCGTTCCTACCACTGATGGACAGTCTGGAAGGCGTCGTCTCCCTCCAGGACCGCCGAAAAGTCATGAGAAACAACATTTACAGCCCTCTCAACTGCTGCGGGACCTGCTCTCCTGTCGGGGCTCTTTGTTTCTGTCGTGGCCGCCACACAGCTTTTTCGACCTCCTGCAGCTGTCTCGAGACCCCGATCAATTACTTCCTGGTCAGCCGAGATTTCTATCGGGACGCGCGCCTGACATTCTATTCCCGCAACAAGTTCGCATTTCTGGAAGAAGATCCGGAGTTCATGATGCAGTTTCTTCACAGGCTCCCTACCTCGACTACAGAGCTGATGCGGCACCTGATCCTCAAGTTTCCGGGGCATTATCGCCATATTCCCCGCACCGGGCCCCGTTCGGAAGAACAAACCTTGATCTGGTGGTCGGTGCTGCGGCGGTTCATTCGCGAGCACTTCACTATCCCGTCTCTGTCGCTTTCCATTGTGGACATGGGCTGGAAAGGAACTTCTGGTGGCAGCGAGGCTCGGCGTCGCTATCTGAAGAAGCTGCTCGAGGCGTTCCTTGATCTGAAAGGATTGCGGGACTACCGGCTGCATCTCACCGATAACAACGAGCTGGCGAGGATCATGGAAAGGGAGATGCTTGGGGATGCCAGCAGTCACCGGGTGAGGGTCGGACCGGCACCCTTCAGTGGTCCGAAGAAGCTGCAGCATGCAAAATGAGAGCCTACTTCTTCGGTGGATATGATCTTATCTCTTTCCTTTGTCTTCTTTGCTTTCCTCTCTGCCCTGTTGATGCGTGAAGGGTGGATGTTCATACTTATCACTTCGAAATATCTGCTCCAGTTAATAAGTTGAGGTCGATTGTATTCGAGGGCGATGTTCATAATCAAATACAAAAAAGTTACTTGTCCTAGCATCTCAACCTGCAGTTTCCGGTAGAAGCAAGAAGTCCTAGGAAGTGGAATTGAGTGATGCTTAGGATGACTACTGGCCGGGATGGTGTTGGATTTATTTCTTTTGGATTTATTCCTTATGTTATATCCTGATCAACGAAGGAGTTTTCTCTTCTCCAGCTTTCCATTGAAATGACCGATGTCTGGTGTTATTATCTAAGTCGGGTGCAACGGTGTCATGTAGACTCTATTGAACCTGTCTCGACTCTCACAGCTAATCGCGACAATCTGGTCGTGGCTGTCGCCGCAGACTTCCCCGAAACTATCGCAGACTTCTGGAAACTAACCTCTAATAGTTGGTCTATTCATTCTTTGACTTGACACATTTTGCTAACTATGAAAAAGCTCCCGCTCTCATTCGCCTTGCGGAGTATTATTCCGTGACCGACTGACAACGCTGGCAGCGGAGTACATCTGATGAGACTGACCGTACCGAGATCGCCGACCTAGCCACAGCTGTAACCGTTCAGCCTCATCGCTGCCTCATGGCTCTTGCCTCCAAATGGGGCTTGCAGTATGGCTCCCTGGAACGACCAAGAAAACGATCTGCTGGGGCAGACAACGCCTGGGGTCTGAGACGGGTCAGATTGCGAAGACTGTCAGCGACAGAGATTGTCGAGTCTGTGATCTCCCGGGGCGAATGTGGCGAGCTTACACGTCAGGATCAGATTACTCGCTTGAGACCACCATAACCTGTGCCGAATGAGTCGGTCATTACACGTGTTGTCGAGAAATATGCCGGCGTTCCTGGTGAGTTGAGGACTCCGTTTGAATCTGCTGAACTGGGTTGGGAAGTGAGTAGGACATCACCTGGGAGTGGAAAGTCTCGCCAGAGCTGAGCCATAATCGTTCCTCTGACTTACTCTTGTACTTAGCGGATACCCCTGGCATGTTAGAGTTCATTGATATTTGACTTTTTCTTTCTTTCTTTGGGCATGCGTGCCGCCGCTCTTGGTAAATACATTCTAGGATGAAGAATCAGGACTGAGAGTCTGCGTCCTTCCTCAGTTCTGGCGAAGGGTTTCCCAATCATTTAGGAGTTCCGAACACAACCGCTGCCTCCAGGGGTTCATTGAATTGCAGGTAGTAGAGGATACCCAGGTTCTCAGTGTTTATTCGATTGCCTTGTAGTTTAGCCAGTGGCACCCCCAAGATTTTCCTCACGCTTATGCTACTAACCACCCTATACATATTGGGTTTCCTATCACATTGGCGAAAATAATAGTAAGTGAGCCATACATTCCTACGAGCCATGAGAGAATAACCTACCATCTTGTAGCCTTCCTCACTTGCAATTATTCATCTGACAGTTTCAAAATTTATGCAGGCGATGACTAATCAATCCCCTCACGCGTCTTCCCCGCAGTCTGATTTCAAGATCTGAAGCTCCGGTCTGCTTGCATCATTGTTGAAATCTGCAACCAGCAATTGTCCTTGCCTCACTCAATTGCCATACCACACTACCACTTTACTGACGACAGTACCGTTTCCCCCGGGGAAATAACGCAAATTCACCCCGAACGCACCGCAATTCCCCTACCTACCACCCGAACACCAAAACCACCCCCCTCACCACCATACCCCGCCATAGCAAACACCACACCAACACAGCTCCGTTCCAAGCCCACAAAAACCTCACCACACGACGACAACAATGAAGCCCAACCCCCAACCAATCCCCATCCCCGCCTTCGCAACCACCCACCTCCACCACCTAAAAACCGAACACAGCCTCGAGATCGCCTCGTCCACCCTCTCTGCCGCCTCCGTCGCCGCCAGCCCGTCCACGCGCCGCACCCTCCAAGCCACCGGCCACGCTCTCACAGGCCTAGTCCTCTCGCAAACCCGAACGGGACTAGGCGGTCGCCTCGTGGGCGAGTTCGTGCCTGACGCTGCAACTTTATCCACAAGTTCCAAAGAGAATAAGCAGACAAATGGGAAGGAAGGCGAGAGGCTACGGCTCCCTGCGCATGGGATCCGGGTGGGCGATGTGGTGCGCGTGCTGGAGATAAGTCATTCTTCGTCTTCGGCGACGGCGGGGGCGAAGAAGGGTGGTGGAGGTGGGAAGAAGGATGGTGGAGGTGGGGATGGAGGAGCGAAGAAGGCGCCGGAGGGGGTCGTTACTAGGGTTGGTGAGGGAGCTGTATGGGTTGCGTTTGGGCAGCAGGGGGCTGCGGGTGCTGGGAAGAAGGAGGAGGAGGAGGGCGTCGAGGAGTTGTGGGGGAAGAGGGTTTGGTTGTATGTTCCCTTTTTCCTTCCAGCATTTCTGGTTCTGTGGGAAAGGGTGTGGGGAAGGATGGTTGGATGGATGGGCTGGTTGATTGACGACTGACGAATTGCTGGGGCTTAGTGTCAAGTTGGCGAATGATGTTACGTTTCGGAGGTATGGCTTCTACTGCTATGGTTTATTGATGAGGGGTGGTGATGGGATACTGACAGAATACAGGATGAACCAGACGATGGATCGAATGGCTAAAATGCAGGAGTCCGATCATACCCACTTCATGCGCGTCGCATTCGGACACACCACCCCCCTGGCGCCGGACTACGACGTCTGCAAGGACATGGAGTTCTCCGATCCCACGCTCAACGACTCGCAGAAAGAGGCGATCCGGTTTGCGCTGGCGGCGCGGGACATCGCCCTTATACACGGCCCGCCGGGCACGGGAAAGACGCATACCTTGATCGAGTTGATTGTGCAGCTGGTGCAGCGGAACCAACGCGTCTTGGTCTGCGGGCCCTCGAATATCTCGGTCGATAACATTGTGGAAAGGCTGGTCCCTAAGAAGATCCCCGTGGTGCGCATCGGCCATCCGGCGCGACTGCTGCCGGCCGTGCTGGACCATTCGCTCGAGGTCCTGACGCAGACGTCCGAGGCGGCGGAGATCGTGCGCGATGTGCGGCGCGAGATTGACCAGAAGCAGGCAAGTATCCGGAAGACGCGGAGCGGGAGGGAGCGCCGCGCTATCTACGATGATTTGAAGCAGCTACGTCGGGAGTACCGCGAGCGCGAAACGAAATGCGTGGCCGACTTGGTGCGGGAGAGCAGCGTCGTGTTGGCGACGTTGCATGGGGCGGGCGGTCATCAGTTGCGCGGGCAGAAGTTCGATGTGGTCGTGATCGATGAGGCCAGTCAGGCGCTGGAGCCCCAATGCTGGATACCGCTCCTGTCGGCCTCCAAGGTTATCCTAGCGGGCGACCACCTGCAACTGCCCCCCACCGTCAAGTCGACGCGCGAGCAAATGAAGAATAGTACCGCGGAGGCGGGGGAGGAGCTGTTGCCTGACGTCTCGTTGGAGACGACGTTGTTCGACCGACTACTGGCTACGCATGGACCGGGGATCAAACGGATGCTTACTACTCAGTATCGTATGCATGAGACTATCATGCTATTCCCATCGCAGGAGCTGTACGAATCGAAATTAATCGCGGCCGAGGCCGTACGATCGCGTCGGTTGGCGGATTTGCCGTATGAAGTGCAGGCGACGGACGATACGACGGCTCCCCTTGTCTTCTGGGATACACAGGGCGGGGACTTCCCCGAGACCGCGGAGGAGACGGGGCTAGGCAAGTCAGAGAAGCTATTGGGGGAAAGCAAGAGTAATTCGATGGAGGCGTTGGTGGTAGGACAGCATGTTGATGCCCTGGTGGCGGCTGGCGTGCAACCGAGCGATATCGCAGTAATCACCCCGTACAACGGACAGCTAGCGGTTCTGTCGCAGATGTTGCGCGAAAAGTACCCGGATCTAGAATTGGGCAGCGTCGACGGCTTTCAGGGGCGCGAAAAGGAAGCGGTAGTGGTCAGCCTGGTGCGCAGCAATGAGGCCCATGAAGTTGGATTTCTGGCCGAGAAGCGCCGGTTGAATGGTGAGTTCTAGATTGATTGTCGAAGGTCAGCAGCACTCTCACTGACTGGGCGCAATAGTGGCCATGACGCGGCCAAAGCGACACTTGTGCATCTGCGGCGATTCGGAGACGATCAGCCAGTAAGTTTGGGGTGGTCGATGTTGGAAAGGAGTGAAAACTGACAGACTGCAGGGGAAATGGGTTCCTGAAGCGCTGGATGGAATTTCTAGAAGAGCAGGCCGATCTGCGCTATCCCGATGCAGGGACGTTCTTGTGATAGCGTCGAGGCTCGGAGGATGGATGAAGTCATAAATTCGCAGCAGAGAATCCAGTCCGTAATTCGGCCCTGCTCCACCCGACTGAAACAGGCTAAATTCGCCCAGTCGCTCTGAATGACAGCCCAAGTGGTCAGAGCACGCCCGCTTGGCATCATTTGCGAATCGATCGATTACCTGCGATCACACGAACCAACAGCAACTAAAGTCTGACGGTTTCATCCTCGATTGTGTTGGCACGAGCCGAGGGCGATGAATCGGCTGCGAACAGATCCTGCTGCTCCTCAATAACCTCTTCTGTGCGTCTTCTCTGCACGTTATCTGGCTGCTCTGGTCAGGTTGGATACTAAAAATACCCCCCCTGAAACGTAAAAAAAAGGCCCACTTGGCTCATGCTTGCTTGCTTCTGCTCCTCTCTGCCTGCATTTCCTCCTCCTTCTTTCTTCTTTGCCTGGAATCTCCGTCCGGTTTCTCTCTTCCTCTCCCTCCCTCTCTCCCTATCTCTCCTTCCCCTCTCTTGTAATTCATGTCTGGTTCTTCGATCCACTGTCACTCCTTCCTATACGTCTCCCCCACTCGATAGTCTCTCGCTCTCTTCAACAGACTTTATCTCGCGTCGCTCCTTCCTCTCACCATGATCTGAGCGTTTCGGCCGGATCTCCTGCTTCTCCCTGCTGACGGTGGCGCTCTCCCCGCAGCCTTGTCCGGTCTTTTACTATATACCCGATCGTGTCTTTTCCGTCTGATCGATCATTTTTCTTCATCCTCCCACGCGACCATCCCCGGCATTCCGACTTTCCCACGTGCTTCTGCATCTTATGTTCACTTTTAAATGTCCAATCTGAGTTCGCATCGGAGCTCCCCTTCGCCTGAGCCCGTCATGACTGACACCTGGGATGACACGGCTCTCCCGCCCATGAGCTCGAAACAGCTCATCGTCAGCACTCGTCGTGCGCGCCCCGCCGAGACATCACTGCTGTCCAGCACATTGCGCGGCCCTTCCCGCCAGGGACCAACTGTGTCTGTCACCGCCGAGCCGCCGACCGTGGTTGTGCGCGGTTCCAGTACCCATCGCCGTACTGGCAGCACGCTGAAGACCGTCATGCGGAAGATCTTCACGCGCAAGACGCGCGGGGACGAGAGCGTATCTCCGCCCCCACGTGGAGGCAGCACCAGTCCGACCCTGGAACGATCTCTACCGTCCCATGCTCTATTCTATGGATCTCGACAACAACACCAAGAATCCCCCCCGCTGTTTACCCCGTCCAATGGCACTGTCACCTCGTTTGCCGAAGCCCTGCAGAAGCTGGACTCGCACCCGCGACGCCGTCGTGCCACTCTTCCCAGTCTGATTCTGTCGGATGACGAGTCCCGCGGCGCGCTCGAAGCCGCCGTGCAGGGCCGGCCCGCTAGCAAGCGTGCCAACAGTCCCCATGCTAATAGTGACCCTCTTGATGTCTGTCGTCGCCGGGAGCGCCAGCAGCTCAAGCGCCGGTCGCGGAGCGCTGCTGCCCTGCGAAGTATGGGTCAGGAACACCATCATCTCATGTCGCCTATCCAATGGCGCCGACGCAGCTTAGAGTCTTGCGCCGCATCAACGGCCTTCGACGCACCTTCCGAGGCCGACCGTCCACCAACCAGGACTACTGTCGCCAGCGCCCCTGCGTTGCCCACTGAACCGTCAATGCTGACTGAGGAACCAGCGGAGCCCGAAGGCACTGAACCTGAGGAAGAGGAGGAGGAGGAGGAGGCAGAGGCTGCCTTAGAGCCTGAGCCGGAGGCCGATCCAGGGGTGGCTCCGACTGATGTCGGCACGCTCGTCACATCTCTGCGACATGACGAGCATATCACCTTGGAGCAGCGGCTGAACATTCTGGAAGTCAAAATGATCGATCTGGAGTTTGCCATCGCCCGTCTGCAGACCGACCGCAGTGAGACTCCTGCCGAACCCAGAAAGACCGCATCGCCCGTCAAGCGACACCGTCGGAAACAATCCTCTGGACCAACCCCCACGCCTCCACCGGTTCCTGCCCAAGAGATTCCCCTTCCCGACCGCCCTATCAGCACGAGCACTCTTCGTCCGAACCAACTCCATCGCTCCCGTACCCTCCAAGGTCCTTCATCGACCTCTCTTACCGACCCCAACACCATCTCAGTCGAACAGTACAGCGCATTGGTCATGCTGCTGCGACGCGAACAGACCGCGCGACGCAATCTCGAGCAGCAGGTTGCCGGTCTTCGCGAAGACATGGAGCAGTTGACGCAGATGGCGCGCGAGTCTATGGGCTTGGGCATGGGCCCGATCTACCCCATCCCGATTTCGGACCTGCAGGACCTCCGACGTCTGCGCCCGAGCGGCGGGTTCTCGTCCAGCGAGTCCTCGCGGCCGGAGACAGTTGGGGTACCGGGCGAGAGCGACTCGGAGTGGGAGCGAAACGAGCTCTCGACCAACAAGCCATTACCGGCCAAACCAATACCGGATATGATCTCGTCGCGGTGGTCACCGGGTCGACGGATGGACCTGGGTGGGATGATATGACTTGGACTGCGCTGTTCTCCTTTCTTAACGATAATATATTCATGCATGCGACCTACATACCCGGGTATTGCGAGTTGATCGATCACAGGTGATTATCGATAATGGTTGATGACGAGTTCAACTTATTTAGTGTATATAAATTTCTATTCTGGAGGCTAAATACTTCATCTTCAGCAGTGTAAATATCTCATCTCTAGCAGTGTAAATACGAGCACTTTTTAGCGTATAGCGCAATGGAATCTCAATCCGTCCACCTCTGCCCTGAATGACTTGCAGTCCATAACAACAAAAGAGGTACGCTCTCCTACTTCTTTGTCATGATACCTAATACCTTTCAGACGCACCCTGGTCCCTACCCCCGCCATAATTTCTAGTTAGTACGAAATGACAACCTCCGAAGAACCCAGCCTAACAAAGCCCCCGACAACCGTATATAGCCTTCCCTCCCTCTCCCCATATCAAATCCACGATCCACCACAGATTCCCCAGCACAGTCCCAACCCACAACCAAAATGGCAGAATCGATCCCAATCCCAAGTATCAGGCTGGATGGATACGATCCAGACCCAGCAAGACAATTCGGGATCGGCTTCGATTTCTCAATCGGGATCCCATCCCCAGCCCCATCCCCATCCCTAACCCTGACTTTTGAGCCAGACAGCACCACCCCCCTGCATAAAGAAATCACTTCAATCCCAGAAGAAGAAGAAGAAACTAACTTCCTGCAGCACCTCCAACTCCCGGCACTGCACTTTCAAAACCCCCCTCCCCCCCCAGAAGACAACACCCAACCCCAACCCAACCCCAAAGACAATACCTATATCGCTGAGATCCCAAAAAGCAAAGCCTGGATCCAAACCCTAACGCCCTACTTCCCCGCAAACAAGGGCTTCACAATCTACCCCTCCATCAAGATCTGCCCCGTCACGCACACGATGTACGATACGGTCGTCGTCTATAGCCCGAGCGACCACGCGAGCGAGAACCCCAGTACAATTCCGAGCGCGAGCCCAATCCTCACCACCGTGCTGGGGTACGATCGGCCGCCCGAGCCCGACGCGTGGGTTCGGCGGCTTGCGGTGCTGCGGAGCGAGTGGCGCCGGGGTGCGGTGCCTGGGGTCACGGTTTACGGGGCTGTTTGGGTGGGGGATGAGGTGAGGTTTTATTCTTCCCGGGGGGAGGTTTTGGGGTATTCGGGGGTGAGATTGGGGGATAATCATGGTGATGATGTTGGGGGGGATTTGGGTGATTATGGGAATATGGGTGCTGATTATGGGAAGGATGGGGGTAGTAGGGTTGATGGTGGTGGAGAGTGGAACTGGGATTGGAAGGACGGAACAGCGCCGATGAGGGACCAGCGGGACTGGAGTTGTCGGTTCTTTGAGGCTATGGTTGAGGAATTGAGGTGTAGTATTTAGTTCATTACTGTATACTCATTGTATACATGTGGTTGGGGTGCTGCTGGATAACTACACTCTGTAGGTAGGATGTATTTCTTACAAACATTAAAATAAAAACAGATTTATCTGATATAGCTCAGTTGAACACCGTGTAGGATATATAGTTTGATAGCGGAGACGTTGAACACGTCTTACAGAATACTTAAAGAAAGGAATTACACTCAGAACCCTACTCGGTAAATCCATAAAGAAAACCGAATCACCAACAATAGTATGATAGATTATTCAGGCCCTCCAAAGATGCAGATTCCCAATCCCAGTAATAATATCCCCTTTGCCCTCCACCGCATCCCTAACCTCCAACAAAACAGCCAAAACCTCCATACTCCTATTCCCCGTTTGGCCGCGCGCAAAGATCGACAACGTATGCGGGCTCTCGCCCAGACGAAAGAAATCGACGTACTCGGGGGACCGGCCGCCATCGGCGGGCCCGCCCACAGCGACGACACCCACGGCCTGGATCTCGAGCTCCTGGTCGCCCACGCGCTGAGTGGGCCAGCTCCGCCACAGCAGCTGGGCGCGGCGCTCGTGCTCGCCCTCGAGGAAGTTCCGGGACTGGAAGCCGTCCAGGGTGGCGGGGAAGGTGTCGTCGTGCGGGCAGCCGGTCACAACACTCAGAAAAACGCCGCTGCTCGGGGACGAGACGGCGATGAGCGTGTACTGCACGCTGAGTTCGCCCTCGACGCCGAAGGTGACTGTTGCCGGCGTGATCTGGTAGCCTGCGTCTATGGGGAAGGCCGTGGAGAGGAGGCTGAGCCATTCCTCGCGTCGGGTCGGGATGCGGCCTATGTCTGTCCGAGTCCGATTCATTCTGTGGTCTTTTCTTTGGAGGGGGAGGGGGGTTAGTAGGGTGGGTGGCTGGGCTGCTGGGTTGAGGAGCTGCGTATGCTTTGAGATTTGCCGTAGATGGCTGATGGACCGGATTCAGCTCTGTCGGGTGGAACTTACACAAATATGGCGAAGGATCGGATATTTATATCTTCCAGCCTGATGGAAGGTTGGTGCTGCCGGCTCTGTTGTAGGTATATATCTTCGTTGAAGAGGAATGTCCCAAGAAACTGCTTTGTTGCATCTGGAGAACCCCTTCTAGTCACCTTGAGAGGACAACTTCCGGCTGGTCCTGATTGCTTAACGTCAGGAAGACATATTGAACTCCTTCGGAGTTGTGACAATTCCTTAAAAAAAACACAGATGACACAGGGAAGATGTCTGATGTCCGGAGTTATTTGTATTGACTTTGACAAGCCCGACGAGAATTTCACAGATACAATGCCATAGATCATTATTGTCCACTACCAGCTAGACGGGCTTCATATAACCACAAACCTTAGCTGACACGGCATCCAGCCATGCAATACGACACCCTCCATCTAAATATCAGCAGCCAAGAAAAGAGAGACACAATATATAGAGCATAACATGCCAACTCGTGCCCTCGAGCGAAGCACCCGACCCCAAAGGCACCATACCACTAGCAAACAAGCCAATAGACCGCAGAATGAATCACTCGGGCCTCTACTCCCCCAGCGGGAGCCAGGCACCCAGCAGCCCCGGAGGAGAAGAGCCACCAGCCGGTGAGATCAACCCAATCAACCATCCTAAGGAGTGGGCCGCAATGATCTCGCGTGTAGCCTTCCCCGCCACGGAGGGTTGGGAGGTCACGGAGTCAGTCGTCTCGGCCCCGGCCCCGGACTTCGGGCTGAGCGACCTAGTGACCGTCTCGCACCCCACAACCGGCCCGGTGCTGTTCCTAGTGACAGGATCGGACCTCTTCGTCCCCCCGCTCCGCGTGGAGGATGACGCCGTGTGGAAGCGACGCCAGGAATGTATGCAAGCGGAATGGCGTAGGACCGCCTGGCGGGGTCAGTATATCCATGGAGGTGTGCTCGTCGGCGGGGAAATGGTCTTCTGGTGTTATCAAGGCCACGGCATAAGTGCTCACATGATCAATGACGACGTGGTCGGGTCCTCCTGGAAGCTATCCGAGCATGAAGGCAAGCTGCAAGTAGCCAAAATCCTGTGTAACGTCCGTGTGGTGTCGGGAATGGATGTCAACCCTGATCTGGGTGAACGCATCTTAGCAACAGTGGGACTGGATATTGACTGGCCCGAACTTGGCTGGGAATTCTGGTCTGATTAAGATCCAGCTGCAATGTGGACATGGTCTGATATTTTTACAAATCGAGAATGAACAAATTTCTGCTATTATTAAACTCTTGTTGTATCGCAGTATCTCATTTTGATGACCGTAAAGTAGGACGAGATGGCCTATTCCGTCTTTTTGTTCTCCACAGTGTCGGCCTCGTCGGTAAATCTCAGTCGCTTGCCGAATAGCCACCTAGAGCGACCTAGGAGGGTGCCTGTTGCGAATCCCAAGTACGCGCCTGTGAGAATTGTAATGGGCCAGGCTTGCCACGGACGGTCCCTATTTCAGCAATTAGCATAGCTCAAGCAGACAACTCCAATCACAGGGCCGAACACCACGGGCCGGGCACCAGCGTTGCCGCTTCCAATAAACCAAACATCCGCAATACACCAAGTAGATCCCCAATATAAAACCAAAAAAAAAAAAAAAAAACACTCACCAGTCCAAAGGAATGGGCACCGCCCCAAGCCAAGCCCCCACGCAGGTCCCCAACGCAGCACCCCAGACCGCATCGGCGGGCCGACTAGCGCCCCAAACTTCCTTCCAAACGGTTCCATCGACTCCATGCACATAAACCAGGGGCACAGCAGTCAGAAGGGCCATGTGGGCGGCGCAGAGAGCAGTCTGAGCATGATGCGTGGTGAAGGGGGCGCCGAACAAGACGAGGAGAATGGCAAAGACCGGAGTGGCCAGGAGGGCGGTCAAGATCAGGGAAAGAATAGAGGGCTAGACAAGTTGTCAGGTCAGCATACATTCCCAGGCGTATGCGTAGCAATAATGTGCACATTGTATGAAGAGGTTTGATTACTTACAATCACTTTACCCCCCAATCCGCCCATAAAGCCACCTCCGACGCCAGCGCCAGCAGCACCACTTCCACCGCTACCGCCCTTACGGCGCGCGGGGCGTCCGGGTCGGAGGATAATGTTGCTTGAGCCAGAGCTGAAGCCAGAGCTCGTACTGGAACTGCTACCACTACCCGCGGCCTCGAGGGAGCCTCCCGCTGGAGGGAGACAGATTATCGTGAACACGACCTGACTCGCCGCCAGAAAAGGAATCGCGTTCAACATTTCCGAGATGGGGTCGTGGACGAGATTGGGGAAGCGTACGGCGAACCCGAGCAGAACCGCAGCTGGATGGGCGAGGGAGTAAATGCGCGCGACTTTTGTGGGGAGGATGCGAACGGGGGGTTGAGACTTGGGCGCCGGCGGAGGGCCACTGTTGCCATTGTTGTTGGACATTGTTGCAGCCGCTGTAGGAGAGAGAGATGAAGAAACCATCCTGAGGAGGGAGCGAGGAAGAAAAAGCTACCAAGACGGAAGACGGGGTGGGGGAGAGCTCGAAAGGAAATGAAGCTGGGAGAAGGGGAGAGAGTCCGGAGAAAGCGGAAGGAAAGCGGAAAGAAAAGGCTAACAGGGGCTGCATGCCTCAGGTGTCGACTCCTCGGGAAGTACAAGACAAATAATAGTTCACCCACACACATAACTCCGGTTGCACAATTCAGCGAACAAACAAATAACACAAGGAAAGAGATTCTGTATGTCTACATCGCTTTTCTTCAGCGCTTGGCCTTCCCAGAACTAAACAATACATACATCAGTCATGACCCATAAAGCATTTCAGGCGCAGCGGCAGCCAAAGTATGGCAACACATCCATCCATCGAAACATCCTCGTACATAACATCTCCGGTCCCATCTGAAGACATATCTTGGCATCCAAAACCGAACATAACAAAGGAAATAGTACACAGAAAATCTATGAAGGTACACTAGGCCCCGGTCCTGACTCAGCCTTCTCTTCCTGAACCGTCTCCAGAGGTCTGGGAGGTTCCGCAGTGACAGTATCAGCGGAGTCTGTTGTAACATCTGCAGGTGTTGTTGACACAGTTGGTTCGGAGGTGGCAACTTTGACAGGCTCCAAAGGCTCACTAGGTTCAGGACCAGGCTCAGTGCCAGGCTCAATGCTAGTCTTGGTACTGGACTCGGTACTGGGCTCGGTGCTGGGTTCAATACTCGGTTCAGTACTAGGCTCCGTACTAGGCTCCGTAGACCTCAACTCCGTAGGAACAGCGGCTGTGACACCAGGCACAACAGGCACATCAGGAGCAGCAGGCATGCCAGGAACAGAAGTCACATCAGGAACCGCAGGTCCAGTCGCTACCGAAGCAGTCATCACTGGACTCTCAGGCATATGGGGTTCTTCAGGGATCGGCGGCGGTAGTCCAGATCCAGGCAGAGGCGACACCGGGGAGCTGACGGCTGCGTCTTTAGGATGACTAGTTGCATCGATCGGAGCTGGTCGGTGGCGCACGTCCGTAGCTGAAGGGGTGAGTGGCTGCGTCGGGATAACCGGGTCCGCGTCGTTGACAGGACTGCGCGTCCGATCGCGCTCCGTGGATTCCTTCACACCATCTCGCACCTGAGCAACCTTGGCTTTGAATTTTCCGAACAGACTGCGCTTCTCCGGCTCCGACGCCAACGACGCTTCCCTCGAGCCCCCAGGGTTGCTGACCTCGGCGTCTAGACTCAGCGGCTGATAGCTCGGGTCGTTAGCGAACTGCTGCATGTCTGATGGGGAGCTTCGGCTCGCATGATGCCAACTGCCGATCGAGCTAGTGCTTCGACCCGCGCCAGGATTCGACGCCATGAGCGGCGGCGAAGCCAATCCCAGGCCGATCTGCTCATTGCTGCGCTTGGACGATCTAGGGAATCGCCAGCTGCGGCGGTGTTCCTTGCGTTCTGCGCGCGCCGCGTCTTCCGCCGGATCTACATCCGAATAATCCGTAAACGACGAACGGGAATTCATCGACGGGGTGCGAGATCCGTAGGGTCGCAGGGAGGTGTCGCCCATCTGGCCACCCTCAGCCTGCGAAGCCTGCTTTTCGGGCCGACCTTCTCGCGGTGGGCTCAGTTCATCGGAACTAGTGGTTTGGGGAGGACGGGGAGTAGCGCCGCCCACCTCATTGCCAGCATCTGTCGACCGGGGCCCATGCAGAATCGCCGCCAAACCAGGCTCAGCTGTCGCGGCTTGCAGTGACTGAGAAGAGCTCTGCGCACTCTCGCTCGCGCTACCCGGAATTCGTTTCTTCTTCAACCGATTCGGCTGCCGAGGCTCCCGTCCTTCTCCGCTGGGTGGGGGTGATTTGGAGAAGAAACTTGACAACTTGCGCTCGCGCGTCGGAGTCACCACCGCGGGTGGGGGTGATACCGCTCGCGCAGCGGGAGGCAGGCCTTCGTGCAGTACCGGTCGCTCTGTAACGGGCTTCAGTGGCACGGGTTTATCATTCAAAGCTTGCCCATTTTCTGCATTTGCCCTGGGTATGGGCCCATGCGTCGCTGAATGCACATAGACAACCCCAACACTAGTGCCGGGCGCTGCCGGAGGTGGCGACTGAGGGTTGCTTGATGGTGCAGTAGCCGATTGCTCAGGAGCTGGTTGTCCAGCGGCCGATGGCGCATGGACTGGTTGCTCGGGGACTGACTGCACCGGGGGTGATTGCACGGGAGGGGGGCGTCCAGCCATAAGCTGCGCAGGGATGGGTGGCCTTGGAACGGGCTGCGCATTGCTGAGCGGAGGAGCAGGGGTGGGCTGGATGTTGCTGACGGCGGCATTGTTGGTTGGTGATTGGATGGTCGTATTGGCGGTGCAGGACAGGGCTTTGTCCTCCTCGACCGTTGGTGGCGCACGGCTGGACGAGCGGGAATGTTGCGCGGAGGTGCGGTTCGATGAGTTCACCCCGGTGGACTCCACTACCCGTCCATAGCGGTGCGGAGGAATGGCAGGGGACATCTTGGACGGCAAGGTGTTGCTGCGATGCACGCCCGCCCCGCTGAGCGAGGGTGGTGTAGCCGGGCTAGCGTTGTTTGAGTTGCGCGAATTCCGCGATGAGACGGACACATTCCGGCGAAGGCTTTCGTACTTCCGGAAGCTCTCTCCACCGCCACTGGCACTCGATACGGAGCGTCGGATGTTGGTGGAATGAGTGGTGGGCCGGCGCGTCACACCCCCTTCGACTTCCTTGAGCGTCTGCTCATCAGCGGCCGTGCCGTTCATTCCAAAGAGGAAATGATCCTGATTTTCGATCAGGAAGATGAGCACATCCTGGCTCAGCTTATACTCGTCCGGCGACATATCGTGCTGAGGATGCGACAGCAACCCCGGCTGAAAGATAGCCGACAGGTTGGCTGAGGTCATGCGATTCTGGTCCGATTTGGACGCGAAGACCGCCAGAAGATCCAGAATGTAGAGGAGGAGTTGCTTGTTTAAAGGGGGCAGCTCGCGAATCAGCTGCTGGTATGCCGCAACGGCTTTCGCATGATCAAAAGCCTCCGACTCGTTGGGAGAGGCATTGTTCTGCATCTGTTCCTGGACTTGTCTTTGGTAGGTGCGGAGCGGTTCGCGAAAACGTTCGTAAAAGTCCAAGGGGACGATGGGCTCGGGCAGTTGGTTCAGATAGCGCCGTAGCACGTTGGCTGCGTCGTGCACTGTGTATCCCGTCCAGTCGAGACCTTTACCATATCGCTCGGGCGAATCGAAGACCTCTTGGAGATCCTTGATGCGCTTCGCGGACCCACTGAGACGGAAGATGCCCTCAACATCCGTCGCTAAAACACTCTGATTAGCCCTGGCCACCCGTCGAAAAGAAAAGCGAGGACCTGCATACCTTTCTCCTTCAGAAACACACCGCATTTGGCCACCACAATAGGTACATAGCCGTAGATGAAGCTCTCTCCGTTATCATTGGTCAGCGAAATGGCGACGTTGGCGTACTTGATGCTGACGTTGAGCGGGACGCCGAAAATGCCCTGTGGTTTCTCTGGAGACACATGATCAGCGCATGACCCGCAAGAACGTCGGCTAGAATGATTTGAAATAGGCAGTCGGACTCTGTCCGGTGCTAAGGAGGCAGGTCGGGTCTGGGCCGGATGCGAGTCATGGTGTCTCCCAGCCGTGACGCAGACCAACTGGAGCTCATGACCGCATCGCGTCCGGCACCGACCTTGCACGGCGACGCCCCAAGCCTCAGATTGTTCCTCCACGCAGACATACCTTTCGGTTCCTCCTTGCGAGTATTTCTTTTGAACTGCCTCCACCAGGAGGCCAGATCCCGTTTAGAAGGCGGCGAGGCTGCGATGACGTCTGGCTGGGCAGTTGGGGGCGGAAGTGGGTGCAGCGGCTCCACGCCGGCGTGCGATTTGCCCGTGACCATGGTGAAAGGGAGGTGCGCGACAAGAACGAGGGTCGGGGGGGGGGGGCGAGATGCGACACTGGCGGTCTTGAAATAGAGAAAAAGGCGACGAGACTAGACCCAGCTAGAGAAAAAAGCCGAGGCTGCTGTCACCGCCCTCGCGTTGGCGCAAAGAAATTCCGGGGCTGGGAGGCGTGATCCCAAAATAGCACGAGGGCTAGTCAGGCAGCGGGCTTAAGTGCCGCGCCGTCGGGGGAACAGCGTACAATGGGAGGGGAAACCCGGGGAAATGGGCCCAGGAGTGTCTGGAACGATGCAGGGCGACCGAGGGAGGAGGTGAACGAGGACGACAGGAACGGAGGGGAGATGGTGAGAGAAGACGGAGAGAGGGGAAAAGGATTCAGGAGGAAGAAGAGATGAGAGATGGAAGAAAGGGAGAGAGAAACAGACAGGGATGATAGATGATGGGCGGGCGGGATGAAAGGGGAGCCAGAGCGTCAGGTCAGTAGGAGTAGGAAAGCCACCGGAAGACGAATCAATCAAAGAATCCCTAGGCACGGGGACGCAAGAGCTGCACCAGCCTGTCAGGTGTCGGGAAAAGTAGTTGTTTGTTGGAGAGGTATTTCGGTGGGAGGTCTTTTTTCCTCTCTTTTCTTTTTAACGGCGTAAGAAGAGAGAGAGAGAGAGAAAGAGAGGTAATAGGTAGTGAGTGGATAGTGAGAGTGGAAGAAGAGGATTAACAAAGTAGAGGTTGTCGTCGTCAATTTCGCACACATCCACTCAAACTCATTCGCTCCTCGTTCACTAGTAGACACACACGCACACACACAATCCACTTCAGCAGTGGACTAACTGACAGAGAGAGGGCTGACTTTTGGACCCTCCGACAGGGTGCAAAGAAGGTGTGCGTGCTGGTCGATCCGGGGATGAAGACCCAATGACCATCATCGGCAGAAGGGGGGCACACGGGGTTGATCCAGAGGAGATCGTCAAAGACCAAAGAAGGACTCAAGCGAAAAAACTGGGCTGGGTTGAGGAGGAAGACTTGTGCTATGCTGTGCGGATTGATTAATGATGGAGGGGGAGGGGGGAGGGAGGGGAGGGAAGTAGAGGGAGTGAGGGACAAATTAATTGACTGATTGATTGATTGATTGATTGATGAATGTCAATTGATGGGGAATTTTGAGGGCGGGACCGGAGGAAGCAGAGACGAAAGAGAATTGACAGAATAAGAGTAAAGGATGGGGAACAATAATAATCAAGCACCAGTCATCGAGTCCGGTTTGCTGTTGATGGCCCCCCTCTTTAGCTCACTGTTCACCTATCGGAAACGAGGTTAAATTGGAGAACAAGAGGGTATGCGAGAAGGTGTGTGAAGATCTAATGAGTATAGACAGACAGACAGACAGACAGACTACCACTTAGGACGGAAGTCTATCAAAAACGAGGAAGGAGGAAAGATTAAATGTCAATAATTCTCCATCTTATTAATCTTCCGGAGTGGTGCATCAGAAGATGTCGATGATTATCCTTCGAACTTCGAATCCACTTCAGATGGATGTCTCCTCGAACCAGTTCCAGGGATCCAGGGTTTCTGGCACGAAACGACAGAAGGGGAAAACAAGGGCCCTTGCCCTTTTTTTTTTATTTTTTTTTTTTGTTGGCTCTCTATCTCATTTTCTGTTCTTCCTTCAGACCCATGAGCCGACGGTTCTGGCCCTGGATCTAGTCAGTCAACTGGGCCGTTCTTCAATCATTCCGTTACGACGGTTGGATCAATCTGCTGCTAACTATCGACTACTGCAGATCGAACCACTAAGAGAGAGGCCCAACAGAGTGAGACATTCAGTCCACCCCAAAACTACTAGTCAAGTCCACTAGGCCACAGTCTAGTGTACGTGGTGAAGAAAACACCAGACTGATGACCAGACTACCAACCAGTAAGACACTGTTCAGTCTCTGAGAGGTTCGCAGCGAGCAACAGGAATGATGACCGACCGTTCGTTGTGAAACCGTCTGGCCAGGATGATACATTTCTCGGTAAGAGCAACGCAACAAAAGCCCCATTCTTGTTCTCGAGTCTCTGGACTTTCTCAGGCTCCAGGCTCCTTCCTCCCGTTTCCCCTCTAGGGTGTGTCCTAAAAATATGGCCCTGGGATCGTGGGACCCCCCCGTCAGTCTGGGTGTCTGCTATCTGGCCGGCAGTCAGTCAGCAGATGCAACCCTTAGTTGTAGTACGTAGGTAGTGAGTGTGCTGGAACTCCGCAGTGAACCCCTCCAAGCTCTGACCCTTCCCTTCCCTTCCCTGGGCCTGCCCTGACTTGCCCCTCCAAGGCTCCAATAGAAGGGAAACAACTGCACCACGACGAACCCCTACCGCGGTTCACCCGATCAGCAACTGGCTTGTATGTGGCTGTCATCCCAAACGGCCCGAGACTACTGGACGGACTGGGCTCTCGTGTCGGAACTACGTACTACTACCTAAATAAGAGTAAGTAGGAGATGTATTATTCATCAGCATGGCCAGTGTTGGCGGGAGGGAAACAATAAGATCTACCCACCACCCCTCTTTGATTGTCTCGTCATGCCGGTGTCGATCCTGGGATTTGGGAAGGCCACGCACGGATTCTTCGGATTCTGGTGATGGTCAAGCTGGGGGAGGGGAGAAAAGGATTGGGTCAATGGGGAGAGTTTCTCCCGGGGCAGGGGAAAGAGGATCTTTCCCTTTCAATCCCTAGTTTTTCAGCATCGACCGGCATCCAGATCCCAGGGTGGTGGATGAGGCCAACCGTGGTTGTCGAGTCCAGCCAGACAGACAGAGTCATCCAGTTGGGCGTGTGCTTTTTTTAAACTCGGCCGCAAAAGGGCTGCTCCATCAAGATTGAAACGACGGAACCCCTCGGTTGCAGCCTGCAGATGAGTCAGCTTTCCAAAGGCAGTCCCGTGACAAAACACAGATGGCTTGCCCATGATTCCACGTGATCACTGCTCCTGTGACGACACGTGACCGCCGCAGAGCCTGCGGTCCGCTGTGAAGCTCCGGAGCTGGTCGTCATCGAGAACTGTCAACTGTTGCTGTGTGCATTTCCGGATCTATCATCATTTCCATCTTATACCACTCACACTAACATCACAATGGACGGGTAAGTATACTTGCGTCTATTTGAGACTACCAAACCAGCCCCTCTACGCGACCGTCCGCTGACCTGCCTAGACTCAATGCCTCGGAACAGCGCGAGCTCGCTGCCCGCATGGAGAGAAAGCAGCTGAAGGAGTTCATGACCGTACGTGCCCAATCCCACCCGAGCCTCCCTCCAAGATGATACATTTTTCTGTTCGCACTGTGACAACCTCTTCTACTGCCTACCGTCGATTCATCCCTGGCCTCACTTTCCACCACTATACTAACATCGCCGGTCCCGCAGATGTACTCCAAGCTCGTGCAGAAGTGCTTCGATGACTGCGTCAACGACTTCACCACCAAGTCCCTGATCAACCGGGAGGAGAGCTGCGTGATGCGCTGCGTCGACAAGTACATGAAGGGCTCGGCCCGGTTGAACGAGCGGTTCCAGGAGCAGAACGCGGCCATGATGCAGCAGGGCCAGATGCCGGGACGGTAATTTCGATTTGTTGTACAATCGTGTCTTGCTGGGTTGTTGTTGTATTCGGTTTGGCGAACTCTGTATAAAATATTAGAATTGAAACGAGCTTCCTGGTTACGGAAGATGGATTTGTCTGGGATGTGGTCAGTTTGATGATACTTCGGATGTAGAACGCAGGCATTTAGCCTGGTCGGATAGTAGAAGCGGTTGCAGCTTTTCCAGAAGCATGCCAACTCGGTTTGAACTAGACATGCTGAAAGTAAAGGCAGACAATCACTTTCTCCATTGAGGATTGCCGCCGAGACTGGACAGTACACCAGACTGCCCTACCATTTAGTCGCCTTCTTAACCGAGGTATACCTGCGCATATGTAGGTTCTACACCCGAAGCCATTTTCAAGAGATCTGAATTTTCACCGATTGTCCCTTAGATGCTCAAGCATACACTTGCTGCCCAAACGTGGACATCGATCTAGAGTCCCAAGAGATCTCGTAGCCATGAGTCCATCTCACACAGATTCCCACCTGCATGATCAAAGAGGCGATATCTCAGCGCACCAGTTCATTCACAGCGCGTCTTTCCAGTCGTGTACCCCTTGATGCGCGTCACGAATTCATAGCTGCCATCTGAACTGACATCCATTTCAGGAAGAGAGCACCCAGAAGAGCAAGCGGTGGAGAAGCCGACATCGGGTCGACCGGAGCGAGTCTGCCCGTATCCTGAAGCGCGGTCTTGGGTGATAAGTGCTCGCGACCAACCTGTGCCACGACTGATGGGAATGGTCTCAATCGGCGCTCACAAAATAGCCACATTCTCTCGGTCGATAAGAGAGGGGTTGGCGGCGATAATGAGAATCGATTCACCACCAAGCTAAGGTGCCCAAGCCAAGACTGAGCCGGAAAATATTGCCCTTTTTGTGGAAGTACACTAGGCGATAACACCGCTGCTGCTCACGCCAATGGAATGACGATGATAAGAGCTTTGCAGGTGAACTGAGGATCGGAGACCAAATGGGGACGGAGTGGGGACGGAACTGGATTGGCTCGGTTTGCATCGTTTGACAGTATGACTAATGGCAGACTGATTGATTGATTGATGCGATGATGAATAATAATAATGATGATGATGATGTTTTGATGAGGAGAGAGAATGAGGGGCACTCCTACTCCTACTATGTACATGTACAGTACTCTATCTCGGGTTCTCCTCCGAGCCGTCACTATTAGTATTCTTAAAGATATTGTATGCTAATAATACCCTCAATCACACTCCACTCAACTGCCCCCCTCACGTCTATTCTCCTCTCCTCTTCTCTCCTCTCTCTCCTCCTCATCAATCCCCTCCCCCCCTCCCCTCTTGTCCCCTCATCGGCAAACTCCACTTCTCCCTGTCCGGTTCGAGCAATTTATTCCCGCCCGAACCGCTTTGCTTTCCACCGCTTTCTTCTCTTCTTCCATCATCTTTCTTTCCTTCTTATATCTCTGTCTGCCTTCCCTGGCTTTGTCTGAGCTACCATCTTTGACCATATACCCAACACAATGGCCGACACCGTAGGAAAGGTGAGCTACCCCTCCACAGCTTGGTGTCACCCGTGTTCGCCCGCTAACTCTTCCAGACCATCACTTGCAAGGTGAGCAGCTCGTCTAACCAGCACCCAAATAGCACAGTCCAATTGATTTCCCTAGGCTGCCGTCGCCTGGGGCGCCGGAGAGCCCCTCTCCATCGAGGACATTGAGGTCGCTCCCCCCAAGGCCCACGAGGTTCGCATCCAGATCCACCACACCGGTGTCTGCCACACCGATGCCTACACTCTGTCCGGCAAGGACCCCGAGGGAGCTTTCCCCGTCGTCCTCGGCCACGAGGGTGCCGGTATCGTCGAGTCCGTCGGCGAGGGTGTCACCTCCGTGAAGCCCGGCGACTATGTCATTGCCCTCTAGTAAGTCTTGTTCCGTCGAATAGTCCCACCGAGCGTCACCCGCTAAACCACGGCACAGCACGCCCGAATGCCGCGAGTGCAAGTTCTGCAAGTCCGGCAAGACCAACCTGTGCGGTAAGATCCGCGCCACGCAGGGCAAGGGTGTCATGCCCGACGGCACCTCGCGCTTCAAGGCCCGCGGCAAGGACCTCTTGCACTTCATGGGCACCTCGACCTTCTCGCAGTACACCGTCGTGGCCGACATCTCGGTCGTGGCCGTCACCCCCAAGATCCCCACCGACCGGTCGTGTCTGCTCGGCTGCGGTATCACCACGGGCTACGGTGCCGCCGTCGAGACCGCCAAGGTCGAGGAGGGCTCCAACGTTGCCGTCTTCGGCGCCGGCTGCGTCGGTTTGTCGGTGATCCAGGGCGCCGTCAAGAACAAGGCCGGCAAGATCATCGTTGTCGACGTCAACGACGGCAAGGAGGCCTGGGCCCGCAAGTTCGGCGCCACCGACTTCGTCAACCCCACCAAGCTCAGCGGCAAGACCATCCAGGAGCAGCTGATCGACATGACTGACGGCGGCTGCGACTACACCTTCGACTGCACGGGCAACGTCGGCGTGATGCGCGCCGCCCTGGAGGCGTGCCACAAGGGCTGGGGCCAGAGCATCGTCATCGGCGTTGCTGCTGCCGGCCAGGAGATCTCCACTCGCCGTAAGTCTTCTCGTTTTGTAATAATTGTTCCATGCTAACCTCCTGCAGCATTCCAGCTGGTCACCGGCCGTGTGTGGAAGGGCTGCGCCTTCGGTGGCATCAAGGGCCGCACGCAGCTGCCGGGCCTGGTCGACGACTACCTCAACGGCCAGCTGAAGGTCGACGAGTTCATCACGCACCGCGAGAAGCTGGCCGACATCAACACGGCGTTCGAGCAGATGAAGCAGGGCGACTGCGTGCGCTGCGTGGTGGAGATGTCGTGAGACGAAAAGTTATGAAATAGTCGAATACCATACCTGAATTCCTGCGTTGCACGGTCTCCGAATATATAATGTAGATCTTCCAAGGTCCCCACCCCCTCCCACCCCTCCCTGTCCCTAGAGCGGGGTGAGGACCTGCTGGCTACCCGGCTACTCTCCATTACTAGAAATAAGCGTCCGCGGGGGAGAACCCCCGGACCCCCTTTCCTTTCAGCTTCCTGGTATACCTCAATTTATATACTAAGTAAACGTCCCGGGGGAGAACCCCCGGACCCCCCTTTCTTTCAACTCCCTGGTATACCTCAATCTAAGTACTATGTAAGCGTCCCGGGGGAGAACCCCCGGACCCCCCTTCCTTTCAGCTCCCTGGACACCTCGATCCTTATACAAGATACAAGACGGACAACCTCCGAGCCGGGCGGGGTACCTACACCGTGAGGGGTAGAACCCCGACCCCGACCCCATCACAACATATAACCAGCACAAGCACCAGCACCAGCACCAGCACCAGCCCCAACCCACCAACAAAAGAACAAAAATGACGAAAGAGATCCCCCTCCCCGAACCCTTCGCCTCAATCCCCCGCATCCCCCTAACCCTCGGCCCAAGCCCCATCCACCCCCTCCAGCGCATCAGCACCGACCTCTCAACACCCACAAACAAGGTGAATATCTACGCCAAACGCGACGACCTCGCCTCGCACCTCGCCTCCGGCGGCAACAAGACCCGCAAGCTGGAGTACATCCTCGCCCCGGCCGTGCTGCCCCCGCCCTCAGCCCCATCCAACCCAGTAACCACCCCGCCCTGGCAAAAAGCAACAACATTGATCTCCATCGGCGGCCTCCAATCAAACCACACGCGCCAAGTCGCCGCGTGCGCAGCAGCACTCGGCCTAAAATGCAGTCTGATCCAAGAAAACTGGGTCCCAGACGCCAACGCACACAGCAAACAATACGACAAGGTGGGCAACATCCAACTCTCGCGACTGCTGGGCGCCGACGTGCGGATCCACCTGCCGACGTCCTTCGGAATCGGGCACAAATCCACGCTCCAGGAACTGGAGGCCGAATTGCGCAACAAAGGGGAGAGACCGTATTATATCCCTGCCGGGGGGTCGGATCATCCGTTGGGGGGACTGGGGTTTGCGCGGTGGGCGTTTGAGGTGGCGGAGCAGGAGAGGGAAATGGGGGTAAGGTTTGGGACGGTGGTGGTTTGTGCGGTTACGGGCGGGACGCTGGGGGGCATGCTGGCGGGGTTTAAGTTGTTGGAGAGGCTATTTCCAGACAACAAGAAACGGGTGGTGGGGATTGATGCGAGTGCGAAGCCGGCTGAGACCAGGGAGCAGGTGTTGCGGATTGCGCGGGCGACGGCGGCAAGGATTGGTATGGTCCCTGAAGATATCGACGAAAAGGATGTGTTGCTTGTGGAGGATTATCATGCGGGTCAGTATGGGGTGCCAGACGCCAAAACCTGGGAGGCGATCGAGTATGCGGCTCGGATGGAGGCGTTCATTACCGACCCCGTCTACGAGGGGAAGAGCTTCGCTGGGATGGTGGATTTGATTCGCAAGGGCGAGATCCGCGGCAATGTGCTCTATGCTCATCTGGGCGGCCAGTTGGCTTTGAATGCTTACACCGATGTGGGAGAGAGAAAGTAAAATAGCAACAAAGGCAATGCGTATCAATGTATTCAATGAGTGACTAAAGTTGGTTTTATGGTATGAATGTCACCAGGTAACTGCGTCACCACGTAACAATGTTCACAACTAGAAGAGCTTGTGCTCAAGAGTCATCTCCGACTCGGGCTGCAAGCCAACACAAGCACGGAAAATGTTGGTCAGAGCGTTGCGCTGCTTCGCCAGCGAGTTGACCACCGGAGTGCCAGGGGGCGTCAGCGGAGCCTTGAGCATGTAGCTCAGCACACTGAGCACGCTGTGGAACCCACGGTACTCCTCAGCCTCGTCCGCCTTCCAGCTAATGCGAGTCATCATCTCCGCCACCAGAACCAGATCGATGATCAAAGGAGAAGCCAGCAGCGAGTCCTCACAGATGTTGAACAGACTGATCGTCTGGTGTCCTCCCATGAAGATTTCCGCGTAGTACTCGTCCAGAGCACGCTTGTTGTCTCCAACAGCCGGCATGTACTTGATCACCACCGTGTGGTCAGGGTGCTCATTCTCCGCATACAGGATCTTGTTGGCCGCAACCATATCGTCCACCACGTTTGACTTGGAGATCTCCTTGGAGCGAAACTGCTTCTGCGAGCTCAGGTTCTTGCCGTCGTTGTTGCCCAGGTGGTTGTAGCTGGCAATCGAGGTCAGCTTGATACCCGCGTTGATCAGGAAGTCAACCAGAGCGCTCTTCATCTTGGTCTGCCCGGACTTGAAGTCGTCGCCGCCGATGAAGGCTCCGTGCTTCTCCGCCAGCTGGAGAGCGCCGGGAACAAAGGTGTTCTGGGGGGAGCCGTTGATGAACGGAACGTTGTCCAGGATACAGGCAACAGCAAAGACAGTGGAAGGCGAGACCTCGAGGTGTCCATCCTTGATGGCCGCCAGCAGGTTGTCGGCAGTGTCATTAACGCCCGGCACAATGTCGGCATACCGCTCAGTGTTGGCAGTCCACATGACAACGAGCTTGTCGAGACCGTTCTGGGCCTTGAAGTCACGCATGTCCTTCTGGATCTGCTCTACGTGAGCCCAGCAGGCCTTGGATCCCTCCAGGACGTTGTCCGCGCGGTCTTCCTGGTTGGCAGCGATGAAATCCGGGTAGTAGATACTGGGCAAGGGCTTCATTTCGGCCATCTCCTTGCGCACCAGCTGCTTGAGACCAGGCTCGAGAACCTGGGCCCGGTCCATGGCATCCGCCAGGTTCATGCTGCTGATGTCCCAGCCACCAACGACCAGGTCATTGGGGTGCACCATAGGCAGCATGTCGTGGAAAGGGATGTTGATCTCCTCGCCTGTCTTGGCATCGGTGCCCAGCTTGATGGTGGATCCCATCACCACAGACCCGTAGTAGTTGGAGGCACGCATGCCCTCCCGGGTCTCCCAACTGAGCCCGCGGCGGTTGCCGATGAGACCGGCAGTCACGGTGGAGCCGTTGTTTCCACCCCAGCCGACCATCATCATACCCACCTTGCCCACCTTGCGGTCGACCTTGAAGTGGTAGTTGGTAGCCTTGGGGGTAGCCACAAGCTTGTTGTCGGCCGTGCGGGTGACATCGGTGGTGTGGTACACGTACTGACTTTTGATCTCGGAATCGGTGTACACGACATTGGGCGAGTTGACGGTAAACAAAGGAGCGGCACGAGCAGACCCGTTCACGGCGCCGTTGGCAACAACATCCGAACTAGCGTGGGGAGCCATTGTGTTCACAGAGAATCGGAAGCGTTTCGGAACAGAGAGTAGTTAAGAATGGCAAGATAATCGTTTACTGGATGTGGTATGCGCAGTCCGATGCTCCACCACGGTTGGATGAGCGCCGGCCGTTGAACGGGTGGTGCCGTCTAAAAGAAACAAGATCAATTAGCTCTGGGGAGTCATTTGCAGAGGGGAGAATGCTTCGAGGGAAGGTCCAATTGCTGTTCCGGGCGAGACGAAGCTCTTTGACTGAGTCCCCGTTGCCTGTCGACAGCAATCCGGGGGTGGGGCGCGGGCACTTACGAGTTGAGAAGTGTGGAGAAAATTTTGACGGTGGTAAGAGATCACGCCTCGGAGAGTGTGATCGAAGGAAGATTTGACTTGAGGCTGGTTTTGCGAAACGAAAATTGAGGAATTGACTGTGGGTGAGGGAGAGAAAGAAAGGAGGAGGGAAGGAGGGGAGTTGCTCTGGGCTCCTTCTTATACGGAGCACTTCGGCTCCCGCTGGGCGAGTCCGCAATCGTCCGTCCGTCCAGCTCCGCCTCCCAAGAACGAGAACGAGGTTGGGGAAAGCAAGCAAGCGAACTCTCTCACCCACTACGACCCACGCTAGTATCGAACTACCGGACAATTCCAACCGAGTGAATTGATTAGAATTCTCCGGAGATCACAATGATGTGCTGGCACTGGAGGGTTTATTCCTCCTAGAGGTTGCGGTGAGCACTGCGGACTGCGGACTGCGGACACTACATGAGAATCATCTTCCTGCGGGACACTTGTCTGTCTGTACATAAATATGGTCTGGAAGATCGGATCTTGACTGATTATCTTGGAATCATATGGGATTGCGTGTTCTACCGCCGATTTACAGACATTTAAGTCCTACCAGTAGATCCATCCTCTCAATTGAATCCTGCAGATGAACCGTTGTCACTGCTGCCATGCTCTCTGCCTGCACGTGCTCCTCGAATAGTTGCTACCCCTGAGTCGTCGCTGGACTCGCGCCTCTTCCCACCGAGGTGACCAAACAAAGACAGGTGGCCAGGGCTGGCCTCCATTACTTGCCAGCAGCAGCAGCAATAGTGGGCCGGGGGTTGGCAGGTACCCGCGGGGCTCCGCTTCGACAACGATTCATTCGAACATACCAAATCTCCTGGAGCCAGCGGTGCTTCAACTCGTGCAGTGGGGTTAAAGGGAAGTCATGCATCTTCACCAACGTTGAACCACCACGCATTTGTGCATCGAGTGAGTCAGAAGCACGGCTGTTGCTGCGTGCTGCAGGCGAGTTTATTGGGGAAACTGCATGTTGCGGTGAGCAACGGCAAGCTCGGCAGAAGTTCCATGGTAAGCCAACTCGGCCCCTGAATTAATTGAATTTATGTATGCAACGGTAATGCTCGCTGTTTGCGGAGGGTGCGGAGGGCTCTGCTCCTCTCCCATTGCCTGGTTCCCTCGCTTAGTCCCCGGTACCACGCTCCCGAGTCCTGGGACGCGCCAGCAGTACGTATTCCAATCCCTCAGTAGTCTTGTGTAGGGTTTGTCCTAGTCATCTGGTGCTGGACGGACAGGGGTGGTTTTGAGGAGCAGGTCAGGTGACCCCTGTCCGCTGCGGGCGCTCAGGCACCAACCATCTGAATGCCTTAGGCCGAATTCCCAGGCTGCAGGGAGAATTCAATGTCAGCATCATCCACCATTCATCATCCCAAGCTCGGCGCTGACCCTTCGGCTGGAGGAGCCGGGCTGCAGTAGTCGCAGGGCGATTCTTTTGATCGCACACTTCTGTGCTCTCCTGCTGTTCTGCTGCTGAAAGCCGAACACGGGACAACCGTCCGCCTCCAATTGAGGCTGTCTGTTAGTCAAAGTCTGTATACGAAAGGTGCAACCGCCTACGCGCTATATCGACACTTATACACTGGCTCGACGCTAAGTAACAGAGGACGGCACACTCCGGAGCCCGGTTCCGGGCCCTTCGCCTACTTGCAGACAGGGTGCCAACATCCCAAGAGTCAATAGTCACTAGTCAGTCAGCACCTAGCCGCGCTCTTCGTACGCCTCGCGGCCAGACATACCAGCCACTGACGACGACATGCAGCTAACTGCTTTGACTACCTCGAAAGCTGGAAGACTCAAAGTTGAGTATGATGTGCAGTTGCCGACTACCGCAGTCAATGCCTTGGACGAGGAGCCATGGTACGAGGTTGCCGCTTTTTGCGGCCTCTAGAGCCAAGAAGTCAACCTGGCTCAGTAGTTGATCTGCGCCGCTAGACGGGACAGCCAGCACCTTGACCTGACCATCAGCGCCTGAGACTGAAGTCTCTTATGAGCCAGGAAACACTCCAACTGATGTTAGTGAGCGCAGACTCGCTCGGTCACGACCTCCAGTCTTTGTTGCCAAAGAGATCTTGCTGCCAGCCGGCGCGGGACAGGCATTGTCTGTCACAAAGATCGGCGGAGGTTCTACCAAGGCTTGACAGTCAGCATTTTCGGGGAGGGGTGGCCTTGTGTGTCTTCCCGGTTCACCACCCCCCGTCGCTCTCTCCCCTTGCGTTTAAGACGGTCGGGAAATTATGACATTTATGGTTTGCGCATGGGATCGACCTGGTCTTGCGGGGTCAATCCATTGTTATCCGTCTGGGGTTGGCCATTTTTTGAATTGTTCGTATTGAGCCAAACACTCCACGCAAGGACGGAACCCGGAAGGTAGACGGAGAACTCACAGTGATCGTAAAAGGGCAATCGCATGAACTTTAAAGGAGAGGATTGTTATAGACCCCAAGGAGATCACCTGGCGAGCCCGACCCAGCGTCACAGAGGGGGCTCGTGCACACGCTGAGACCGACAAGCTGCAAGTCAGGATGAAAGAGGCAGCATCTCCCGTGACAATGGAGCCACAGGGCTGGTCGGGGTCACTAAGCAGAGAATGGAAGGAATGGGGCTAAACTAGTTGTTGCGAAACATGAAGATGAGGGAGCCGGGAACAGAGGATAACCAGATAATGGACCCATTGGCATTGAAACCATGGGTGTGCAACTGTTGCATAAACCCCTGAGTCAGGATCGGCAGTGGATGATGACTGGCTCAGGGGGCGCAAAGATGACGGACGCACTCCCTGGACTGATCGCTCGCTGTGATCGGAACCAGGTTTTGCCTCTAGAAAACTCAAGAATTCCCCTGGAATTATATTGTATCGCAGTCGAAGAGGGGATCGCAGACCGTCAGGGGTAAATTTTGTAGAGAATAGATAGTTTTAAGGAGGGTTAAAAATAAGTCATCAAACACTGATGGCGATAGTCTACCAAACAAAGCCAGCCAGCCAGTCAGTCGGTCAGTCAGTCACTCGGTCTCCTGAGGCAGGAATCCATCAAAGCAAGTACGCAAACGTACGTACGGAGTACTGTGTTAGGGGATGTTTCCTAGTGGGTTGCATGGTTGCAACGATCCAGACCGAGCCAGAACGCTGATGGAAGCAACCTCACTGTTCGTAGTCACTGAGATCAGTAAATTATGGACAATTGTGTATTTGTGTATAAGTCTGTGTGTACTTGATGACTTGTGTAGACTCTTAGATTGCAAGTGAGACCAATCATCACTCACTGAACGGGGCAGGGTTCGTGGGTCTCCGACAAGAAATTCGTTCCAAAAAAACTCACACGAGGCTTCATTTGGAGATGCTTTCCTTTTTCCGCCTTCTCTCCGTCCAAACAATTGCAGGGAGAAATCGAAAAAAAAAAAAAAAAAAAAAAAAAAAAAAGGACACACGGACAATAAAGACCACATCGAATGGAAGCCATTGAAACAGCCCCCTCCACCCCCAAAAGGGGATTAGTCGGGGATCCTTAGGCTGACTGCGTTGGAACCAACCCCAAAGAATCATTATTATTATTCCTTAAACTACCACCAGACCAGCTCAAAACTAATTCCACTAGACTATTAGTATCTTGGATGGGCCATTTCCACACTTTCCGCCAACCCCCCCGCCCTCCTCTTCTTCTCTCTTTGTCAACAATGAATGGTTGATGTCCTTTGGTGCTACTCCTCTCTCCTCAGCATCCATGCGTCTTTAACCCAACGACGACTGTAATTCCCACTCCCCAGATCGTCCCCCTCCTGTTGTAACCTTTCACCACTCCTTCTCCGGACTCAAGAGCCATCCGGGTTCCTAATTCGATTCTCAATTTCTCTCCTGTTCGAAAGCGGTCTCTCCGTCCGTCAGTCCAATGGTCTAACCACTGCGCAAACGAACGTTACGTGTGTCTGGTGGTATTATAGACCCGTGAGATTATCTCGACCAGCATGGCGGCCAGCATGGACTTGGGCCTCTTGCCCATGATCAAGTGCTCCAATTGTGGCATGAGTGTTGAGATCTCTGCTATGGGAGACCATGTGTGTGCAAAATCAGATCCAGGTAGCTCCCACCCCTCCCCTGATCGCATCCCATCAATCTGTTAACTTGTGACTGGCAGCTCCTCCTCCTCCGCCAGCACAATCGCCGCCTCGTCCGCCTTCGAAATCGAGCATTGGATCACCACCCAAAGCAGGCAATGCGTGGGCTGCCAGGGCCGGGAGGATGAATCCTCCGCCGCGCATTGACCCTTTAGTCGCCAGTATGTTGACCCCCAACGCCCAGCGACAATTACACCGCGTGCTCCATCAATAACACCACCCTCTAGATCGGCCATTCTTGCGTCCGCACAGTCCGATAGACAACAAAGGCCTCCTCCCATCTCCACTGTCCACTTCGATTTCGGGCGGGCCGCGCTCGCCGTTGCGTCCGCCTCAGCGTAGCCAGACCTCACCTCTACCACAAGAGCCGCAATCGCCAGACTCCATCAATATGGAAACCGCTTTCGCCTCATTTCCTCTCCCGCGATCGATGTCGGATAGACGTCCTAATGCAGAGGCAACGGTATTTGGAAATGTACCTCCTCTCCAGCCTGCACGACATGCGAGCAGCATGAGTCGAGACAGCAGCCACGCACCAGTTGAGCTGCCGGCTGATAATGAAGTCCCGCCTCCGCCGCTGCCAAAAGATGGCCCTCCTCTACCCGGTGTGTCCCACAGATATGGAGCGTCGATCGATAGCAAAAGCAGCTATCGGACCTCGGTCGCTAGCACACGATACAGCGACCATCGGAACTCCAAACGATCGACCGCCATGTCTAGCCGTCGGCCCTCGTTCGGCAGTGTATCCCGGGATCACCTCAATTACATCGATGAAGAAGCTCCTCCGGTGCCCGCCCCGGCACCTCAAGGCCTGCTGCTTCCCGCACGTCTTTCAACCACATCTGGAGCTGAGCTCGCAGAGAAGCCGGAAGGAAGAGGTGAAATTTACAGCGGATTCGATTTTGGAGTTTCCGCCCGGCCAACAAGTGCCAAGGCCGAGATCGATCACGTTGGAGCTGCCTCGCTTCGAGTATCGTCCTCTCATACCAATCGTAGCTCTGACAGGCTCAGTAGCAATCGCGGATCAGCAGAGCTGTTCTTTCAAAGCCCTACCCCGAGTCCCTATGAGGCTCCTGTTGACTTCGAGCTTCGGGATGATTCAGCGGCCTCTCCTGCCGCTGCCGCTCCAGCCAGCGCGGAGTACAAGGCTTTCAAACCTGTAAATTCGGAGCCTTCGCAGTCAACAGATACTGAACCGACACGTTCTCTGGAGGAAAGCGACCGCCAGAGGAAAGATTCCGACTCCACAAGCGAAAGCAACATTTCGGTTTCCAACTTTGCGCGTGCGCTGGGACTTGATGTCCCGGACCATGTCGCAGAGAGCTCAATCACCTCCTCGGATTCATCGTCATCCCCGTCTGACACTCGCAGCGGCACCTCTCTCTCCAGCTTACCGTCAGAAGCAAGTCTGTCTCGACGACAACCGTCAGACCCTAGTCGCCTCGGCCCCGTGGTGGAAGGGCTCAAGGGTGATCAGCACCCGAAGGAGCCTGTACTGGACGAATCAGTCACGGAAAGTCCAATTGATCTCGAGCCTCCTCGTATCACAGAGCACCTTTTCAGCCCGGATTCGCCGACTGACCCGGCCATCTCTCAAGGTAGCCTCTCGCTCGTCTCGGAGAAGCTGCCACGAAAACCAGACAATCACCAGCCCGAGAGACCCACTATGCTCCGCTCTGCGACCGCACCGGCCCCTCGCCCATCCCCACGCCCGAAGGGGCCCTGTCGCGGTTGCGGTGAGATGATCTTGGGTAAATCCGTATCCTCGGCCGACGGCCGTCTCACCGGCCGATATCATCGTGCCTGCTTTGTCTGTTTCCAGTGCAAGACGCCCTTCCAAACGGCCGATTTCTATGTCCTTGAAGACCGGCCTTTCTGCGCGCAGCATTATCACGAGCGCAATGGTTCGCTCTGTGCCACATGCCATACAGGTATTGAGGGGCAGTACCTTGAGACGGTTGAGCGTCGTGGCCGTGGGCCGGGCGACCGTCAGAAGTTCCATCCAGACTGCCTCAAATGTCGCACCTGTGGCATTGCTCTCAACGGTGACTACTTCGAATGGTACGGACAAGTTTACTGCGAGCGTGACGCCCGGCAAGCGGCGGCTGCCTCGATGCCTCCCCCACGGCCCCCTCGCTCCCCTAGACCTATGTCTCCGATGGGACCCCCGTCTGGTCGCGGCTATCCCCCCCCTCCAGGATACGGTGGTCGCGGTCGGGGCCGACCACCTCCAGGCCCTCGCCCTGGCTCAGCCGCCAGCCAAGCTCCTCCTATCCCGATGCTCCGTCCTCCAGGTCCCGGGGACGGGCCATACGGTGCCATCGGGGCTCTCCCAAGCTCCCGACGCTTCCCCGAACGACGCACCACCAAACTGATGATGATATGATTATTATAACTACATACGTGATGGACGTGATCGCCAGCGACAACACTCATAATTTCTAAACTGGCCTCTCGCCTGGGGGGCCTTATCCCACTTTATAACGGTTTCTTCTCTTGTGTCCTTGCCGTTCTACTTGCTTCTTCCCCACGATCCTAGACTCGCTTTGCCTTATACCCTTTCCACCTAGCGGTTTCACTGTTAATAGACTTTTGGCTTTTGATTCTGATGACACTATAAATTCCTGGCTGGGCTGGCGAGATCTCTGTCTGGGAGACTATCGTTTTATCTCTACTGGCATGTACCATATGATGTCTACCTTGCAATATTGCTAGTGGTTACTGTTTTTGTGCTACAGCGATCAATGTGTGCTTGTCTGCTATATTTGTACAGTATAGTATATCGATTGTCCACTTGATGAAGATGATTGCCGTCTTGTCCTTCGTAGCCTTGTTTACCACTTGCAATGTCACCGGTCGATCATACTTTAGTTCTTGTTTTCTGAAATTTGAGAATATGTTCCCAGAGCTATTGCCCGGCTGCTAGATGGCCACGTAATCATCGGGTTGTTTCCTTAAATCTGGATGTGGCCAACTACTTAGATCCCAACGAACTACGTGTTCTTCGTCCATAATCTATCTTCAGGGAATGCCACCAGGTAAGTCACCTCATGGCTTCACCTATCGTTAGTAAGGTTTCAAACCTAAATACCAAGGGAAGTATGGCGCACACCGCCACGAGAGCACCCTGACAACATGTACAACCCCGCTTCCTCGCTCATCAAACATTCCCCAGGCACAATCACCCGACCTCAGAACGTGGCGCGAGTGTGACAGCAATCCGCGATATCTCCGCCGGCAATCCCCGTTGGCCGGGTCGCGAAGCTCCTCGTGACGGACTCTCAAGAGCACAGAAGAACTCAGCACAATTGAGAAAACTGTCTCTGTTTGACTGTGGACAAAATCAGTTGGTCACACGGCTCATCTTGGCACCCCGGCCCCAAACCAGTCTTCACGAACTGGGCATCATGAAAGCCAAGGCTTTGTGGGGTTCTGTTGCTATCTGGGCTATACTTGCAGCTCGTGTTCTGGTTTGCTTCAGTGTGTTGGCATTGCATGAGGAACCCTTCTTTTGGTGGGATTGGGTCCCTGGAGATCTTCTCTGCAAGTGTAGCTGTCATCGAGGTTGTTTCACGAAGTTGTGAAACACCTATCACATGGGCCTCACCGCACCTGCATCTCGGGGCTTCAGGCCGAGAGTCGAACTTTTCACGAAAACTTAAATGGCAACCTTGCAATAGGAGCAAACCAGTCAGGTCAATTGGCTGACCCGCGCTGTTTCCGCCGCGGTTGCCAAGCGCCCCCGCTCGAGTCTGCGCTGGACCTTGGCGGGCCATGGCGAGTTGATTTGAGTCAGTTGCGTGAATATTCGTGTCTGCAGTACTGAGAACCCTACAATGGGAACCACTGACTGAATTCTCGTCTTACTGGACAGGTCACTCTGACTCTGGCCCAATCCCAACTCATCGCCGCCGTATTCACTGCGACAGACCCATCTCGAGTCGATGACATCAGCCACCGGGTACCGGCGGCCAAGAACATCCATCACTTGGCGGCTGGGCTGTCGGCAACCCAGAAACATCTCCGCTCGCATGCTATTGGGGGTAGCAGACATGCGTTGTTGGAAGCTATGGGTCCCCTCCCACGGAACCCCAAATGCGGCGAGAAATCTCGGGGGTAGGATTAAGTCATGGTGTGTCGAGCCAGAAGTTTAGATCTTCACGTGCACTGCACTTAACGTGGGATTGCGTATTGTATCGAGCACGGTCTGTCTCTGTTCTCCCGTGCAAAAAACTACCTCCTCTCAGAACATGGCCGGTGGTTTTCTGGCATACCACGAACCCGGAAGTACGTTTTGTTCCCATGGTTTCCACTGCTGCGAGTAAGCTGACTTTGGGCCGCAACAGTCGTTGATATCCTCATCCTCATCTCCTTTTTCTATATCTTGTCGCTCGCAGAATGGATCTCCGCCAGGATCCTGCGGGCCGGCATTGTCGGCCAGATCGCCGTGGGGATCATCTATGGGAAACCGTTGGCTGATATCCTCGCGTTGGACTGGCAGGAGACCTTTCTGACGCTGGGGTATATCGGGTTGATTTTGATTATCTTTGAAGGTGTGTTTTTGAGGGATGGATCATGAGGCGAAATGAGGCTGATGTTCGTTTCTGTAGGAGGATTGAGCGCGCGTCTTGACCTGCTCAAGGACAGTTTTGTCCTAAGTATGTTTGGCGCTGCCACGGGGGTCTGTGTTCCCATCGGACTCTCTTATCTTCTTTTGTATCTTGGGTTCGGCTACGGTATGTCGAAGCTGTTCTGTCCGGGGGGGATATGCAGCTGATTGTTGTGGTAGGAGCTGTGGAAACCTTCATCATTGGGGCGGCACTTTCGGCGACTTCTCTAGGTAAATTCTTATGTCGAAGACTCGACTGGCCACTACTGCCGGAGAAACCCCGGACTAATCCATGACAGGCACCACATTCGCCGTGATTTCCTCGGCATCCAAAACGGTCGATCTCGCTCAAACACGCGTGGGCGCGGTCCTAGTCAGCGCGGCGGTGATCGACGACGTAGTCGGGCTCGTCATGTCCAGGTAGAACCCATCCATTGCACCAATAACCCAAAACACTGCCTCCGGCTAACAACTCCAAAAGCGTGATCCACAACCTCAGCCGCCTAACCGAGTCCCCGGGAGACGTGAACCTAGGCTGGCTGATCGGACGACCGATCGTAGCCTCGATCGGCATGGCCATCGTAACCCCCCTCGTAACCAAATACCTCTTCGCCCCGCTCTTCCGACGTTACATCGAAGACCACTTCGCGCGCTACGACCACGTCTCCAACATCTGCCTGATGGTCCTGGTGTTATGCGCCTTCCTGACGATCGCTGCCTACACAGGGACCTCGGTGCTCTTCGGTGCCTTTCTGGCGGGTACCTTCCTGTCGTACCTGCCCAGCACGCACCCGGACGCGCCCTTCGTGGTCATGAGCCGCGAGGAGGGCGAGCGCGAGGCCCATAAGAGCCCTACCTTTGTGCATACCTTCGAGCGCTACCTCATGGATGTCCAGAAATATCTGATGGAGCCGCTGTTCTTCGCGAGTGTCGGCTTCGCGATCCCGTTTGTGCAGCTGTGGACGGGGAAGCGGATCTGGCGGGGGATTGTGTTCAGTTTGTTGATGGTCTTTGCGAAGGTACCCCCTCCTTTTTCCGTGATAAAGGGCCGCAGGGCGGTTTTTGAAGCTGTACTGATAAATTCGGCGATAGTTCATCGTAGGCATCTGGATCCCCCTCTGGGGAGCGCTACCCACCCAACGTCTGCAAAGACGAAGCCGCAAAGCGCGCAATGAAGCGAGCGAAGCGGAGCGCAGCAACGCCACCACCCACCCGCCATCCGACGCGGCCTCGCGATGGCTTCTCCCTGCGCTTCTGCTGGGGTCTGCGATGGTTGCGCGCGGCGAGATCGGGTTGTTGATTATCGAGGTCGGGTATAATGAGACCGCGTACGTGAGTGAAGACGGGTTCATCACGGGCGTGTGGGCTATCCTGTTAAATACTATCCTGGGGCCTGTGGGCGTGGGGTTGATTGTTAAGCTTTATGGGGAGCGGATTGTGGAGGGGGAGTGGGGGTTGCAAGTTCGGTCTCCCGGGAGTTGATTTGGATGCATTGTAGATTGAGCTTATGGTTTGTGGGTAAATTTGCATCGTTCCATTGGTGGGGGTGGTGGGTTAGTTCGTTCTGGATGATGTTAGACTGGATAGATCTTAGCGATGCGGCTGTGTTTATGTATATATTGGATACATGGTAGAGAGTGAAAATGTGTTTGCATTTTTGAGGTATCTCTGCGAGGTATCCACGGATATCACTGCCTGAATCCAATATCCCGGAAGCATTCATACTACAATGATAGAAAAGCAAGCGCACAAGCAAGGATAAGCAAAACCGCAAACGATTCACAACCCATCCAACTCCTCCCCCTTATCCCCTCAGAAACCAGGCTTAAAGGGTTCACGACCCGTATGCGTAAGGATAAACCCCGTTCGATGCATAAAACCGTCCTTGCGGCGCAGGACGGCTCGCTGGATAAGATAGTGGCACAGCAGCAGGCTGGCTTAAGTATTGCGGCGGCACGTGGCTGGTTATGCTCAGGGGGTCCCGGTATATGGGCGAGAAGAAGTCGTGGACCTGCGGGGAGGGGTAGATTGGTTGGTTGGTGCGGTGGTTTGCTGGTGCTGGCACGGCTGGGTGGGCGTGAGGCAGGTCAGTCCTCTGGACAGGAGGAGGATGAGCGTGCGATTGGAACTGGGGTTGCGCAGAGCCGGAGGCATTCGGGGATAGCCCATCCATGCCGACACTGTCGAATCCGTTGAAGAGCGGGGCCCGAGATCGCTGCTCGGGGAGAGAATGGCGCTTAATGATGGCGAGCTGGGCGCGCTGGGCGGCGACTAGGGCTTCCAGCTGGTCGATGATCTTCTGCTCCTTCGCCAGGTTGCTTTGCTGGTGGCGCAGGATGTTCTGCTGGTTGCTGAGGATTTGATGCTGGTTTGATAGGATTGCGAGGACGTTGGCTTGGAGGCGGCTTAACTGGGTGGTTAGGTCGTCGGTGTAAGGGTGAGCTGGGTAGATCTTGGTTGTCGTGGTGCTCGTGGAGGCGGAGCTGGAGTTTCTGGTTTGGTGCTCTGGGTGGCGGGCGTGAGTAGAGGTGTACTGGTGCCGGATTGGATTGTCTGGGAGTAGGATTTGTCTTCTTGCTGGGTGATGGGGACGGTGCTGCAGGTGCTGCAGCGAAATATCGACGAGGTGTGCGTGAACTCCATGTCTCTGACCCAGGACTCGTCGTCGGTGTCGGTGTCGAGGGAGGGGGCGTGGTCGTGGTCGATGGCTGTTGATGCAAGGCTTTCTTCGTCTTCATCATCACTATTTTCATCACTGTCGTCTTCATCCTCGTCTTCATCTTCGTTTTCATCTTCGCCTTCATCCTCGTCTTCTTCGTCGTCGTCTTCATCACTATCATCTTCATCACTGTCATCCTCATGATCACCATCCACATAATTCTCATCCTCCTCACTATCACCCTCACCACCATTCATATCACCAGCACTCTCATAACCATCCGCCTCCCCACCATAATTCTCATCACTATTGATATCATCCCCTCCACCAAACCCTTCACCACCGTTGATATCATTCCCGTCACCATAATGCTCACCACTATTGATATCTTTCTCCTCATACTTAAGTTCCCGCCTCTGCGAAGAATAAAGCTCGGCGAATGCTTTCCTCAACTCAATATCAATCATGTACAGATGCTCTGCTTCGCACATCTTTGCTGTCTGGTCGATAGCCGAGGGGCTTTTTTCTGTAGCGGTTTTCAGCAGTAGCTGGAGCTCGCGACGCCGTTCTTGCACTAGAGTTGCGAGATCGGTTTCTTGGGATAGTCGGGACATTTTTGTTGTCGGTGGCTATTTGGTGGGGTGGTATGGGGTGGTATGTGAGGGAGGTTGGTGTAGTGAGGTGAGGTTGGGACGGGATCTCTTGAGGGGAGGTTTGGAGGTGAGGTGAGGTGAGATTGGAGGTGAGGTTAAGATGCTTGATTGGAGAGGTGAGTACGTTGGATAAGATGGCTATGTTGGATTGGATGGTGAGGTTGTTGTAGTTGTAAGCTGGCTATTCGAACCAGAGCTAGGACCTAGCCAGTATGATCATGAGATCATGGAGAAAAGAAGAGGAGAGAGGGAATGTCTCGAAAGAGGAAGAGAAGGGTACTCTAAGACTTAAAGGTATGCTTGACTCAAAGTCGATGTCATGGTGATAGGCTGGGCTGGTCTACTGTCGGAGCAGATATCCGCCTGTATGTCATGATGTCTTAGGGCTGACCCAGAAGAGAGGAAGCAGTAGCACCACCGCCTATAAACACCAAGCAACAAGCCTACTTAACAAACAACCCAAGCTATAACCACTGGACTAAAGAAGCGTTCCCGGGGGAGAACCCCCGGACCCCCCTTTCTTTCAGCTTCCTGGTATACCTCAATTTTATATACTATGATAAGCGTTCCGGGGGAGAACCCCCGGACCCCCCTTTCATTTCAGCTTCCTGGCCTACCTCGGCTCAAATACTAGTTCTATACAACGTATCCGGGGGACAATCATTTAACCCCACCATCAGAAGGCAGAATCTCCCTCGCGCCCCCCAAATCCTCCCCCAGCGCCCTCCCCCCAACACCAATAGGCCTACAATCCTGCAACACAAACACCATCCGCGCCCACTTCTCAGGATCTGGATTCCGCCAAGCATGCATCGTGCCCCGCTGCACCGCGATATCGCCCCGCTTCAACCGCCGCGTCTCGCCCGAGTCCAGCACCATCTCGAGCTCCCCCTCCAGCACGATCCCGTAGTCCAGGCTGCGCGTCCGGTGCATCAGCGGCGCCTTGCCCGGCGCGAAGTCCACCACCCGGCACACCGTGCCCCCCGGGTTGACTAGCCCCAGCGTGTTGCTGGCGATTAGGGTCTCGTGGGCGGCTAGGTCTGCGTCGTTGGTCAGCTCGGCGGGGAACTGTGAGGTCGTGTACACGGTGCTGAAGTCGAAGGTGCTGTTTTCGATGGTTTGCCAGGCCCCGGGGTCGGAGGAGTGGATGGTTGCTAGGGTCGTGGCCGGGTCGTGGGTTGTTATGTGGCGGGTGTAGTTTGGTAAGGGGGAGAGGGGGCTAGCGGCTCTCGCGGGCGGAGGGGCCATTTTGGTGGTTGTTTTGGGTTTGTTGTGGTTGGTATGGTTGTGGTGGTGGTGTTTGTGGTAGATGTGGATGGGTTCAGTTAAAATCAGAGGAGGGAGTAAGCTGATGTAGTACGTCGTGGAAGACGACGGCTATAACTCCCCCTCCAAAATCACTCTGCGGGGTAAGGTACTCAGGTACGGTACCCAATCCTCCCGGCTGATCTGCAGATTGTGCAGCACGGCATCCAATGATGCTCCGCTGTGGCTGCATGGTGCGCTGGCGAGGATACATTGATCCTCCCAGTAATAGGGACGACTCCCAATACTTCTGACGTGGCTGAGTGCAACTGTGCGTCCAACCTCTACCCTACGACTCGATGGTAACAGACTCCCTTGTGTCAATAACTAGAATGTTGAGACAAATGGAGTATCGAAGCCCTACGACAATTACAGGCGAACGAAACAAGTACCAATGCAATAATTCTGATTATTTTCCTTTTCCTTCGCTAATCGATCTTTTTCATAACCTTACCCATTAATGCCAATAAGAAAAAAAGGGGATGCTGATGCAATATCTCAAAAATGCACGCTCAAATACTCTTCAATCTCCGCCGATACTCGGTCTCCCGGAACGGGGCCAGCCCGCAGTTGGTCCTGTTTGCGTGGACCCGACGCTGCAAGGCGCCCAGCGCCAGGATCTCCGTCGAGTTCGTGGTCTTCATCACCGGCCCCGGCGAGCCATGGCCGGCCGTCTGCGTTCCGTGATGGTTGTAGTATGTCGCGCCGGCGCCGCGCGACGAGTATCCGCACGACTTGATCACGAAGCCCACCAAGCCCGGCAGGTTGGTCATCCGCGACAGGACGTGCTGCCACTCGCCTGAGTTCAGCTGCACCTGGTAGAGCTCGATGTGACGGATGGAGTCCTTGCATTGTTCGACCAGCGACAGCAGCTTGTAGGATGAGATGGACACCCCGCGCAGCTGGATCGACTGGAGGCGCAGGGACCGGCTGAAGGATGCTCCGTCCAGGTCCAGTGTGTCTGCACTGCTGATGGACAGCGACTTTAGGTTGCTGGCGTGACGGATCATCTTGAAGAGCCAGTGTGCGTGGGTTTGGTTGGGCAGGGCAGTATGCGGCGCGGCGGCGGTGGCCGGGGGCGGAACCGGCGGTTCATACTGCGGCTGGGCGTGTTCGCTGGTGGAGGCGGTGATGCGCAGGCCGAGGTGGTCGAGACGCTGCAGGACGTGCTCGGCGGAGATGCGCAGGGCGCTAGAGCTGATGGTCTTGTTGGGGAAGAATTGGGCGAAGTCGTGGGTGAGGGGGAAGGCGATCTCCAGCTCGGTTAAGTTCGGCAATGGCACGTAGCGGAGACTGCTGATGACGGTGTTGACAAAGTCTCGGGTGGTCGCTTCGGGTAACGAGGCCGGCACCCCTTGGAAATCAAGCGCGCGGAGTTTGGGCAGTCGACTCAGGCAGGAGGGTAATAATCCCGCCAGGTCCTCCAGAAACATCGCGCAGAACTCATCCGAGTGCTCCGTGTCTTCGAGGCCGATGTCGATCTGGCGCACGTAATCGGCATAGGGGCCATGGGAGAGCTCTACGAGGCCTACGAGCGGTGACTCGGCGGTCTTGGACTGTGCGGATTTGGCGGTGACGCGCAGATGTCGGAACAGACGCGGGGAGGCACTGCGACAGAAGGCCCGATTGACCAGGCGTAGAGTCGCCAGGTGGTGTCGAATCTCGTCGGATGGGATCTTGTGTTGTCGCGTTGGAGTGGCCCACGGCCGGCTATCGACGTCATCCACATGGGACACGATCTGTAACCAACATTTAGTATACCAAACCAGATATCTCAATTGGTTTCATTCAACTGCGATGGCTCCTTACCATGTCGTAAATCTCTTGCGGTGCTTGCATATTGGCGGATTGGGGTTGTCTGTCTTTGTTTGCATTACAGAATACCGTCTAGGTGGAATGGGGAATTGAGAACTAAATATCTTGGGGAGGAAGGAGGAAGGGGAAGCTAAATTCAGAGTTGAACCCCCTTTTTGCGGGGTATATGAGGTATTTGAATTCCCATTATTCATGCCGAGGCCAAGTGGCTGTTGGCCTTGCAGCGTGCATCTTTTTTGAAGACGTAATAGAATCCCCAAGAGGAAGCTCGTCGTGAACCCGGCGTTGTGAACCAATGATCGTGGCGGATTCCGGCATGAGACCATCGTAATGCCCATCTGACTCATGGGTCAAGTGACGTGCTCGGCCATGGTTTTAGGTTGGGGGAAGAAAAAATGGAAATTTCAAGAAAAAATGACAAAATGAAAACAAGAAAGAAAGAAAGAAAGAAAGGGGAAGAAGATTCAAGGGGGTTCAATTCAAATATTGGAAAGGGAAGGGAAAGGAAGGGGATGGGATCTACCTCACTCCTTTCTATCTCCCTCTTGTAGTTATACTTCTCTTCTTTACCCCGGATCTTCTCACTGAGCTAGTCCTGCTATCTAATCTATCCTTCCCTCCCTCCCTCTTTTCTCTTTCCTCCCCATCTTCAGTACTTCAACCACCACCACCACTCGGAATCTCTCCCCGCTGATAAGAACTCGGTATCGGATCCCGATCGGATTCTTTTCCCCCTCCCCTTTCCCCGCATTCAATCTCACTACTTAAACACCTCATCTGCTGCAATCCCTCCCAGAAATGACATCGAGACCCAACAAAGAAACCAAAAACACCCATCCTGCCATCCTGAGAAACAATAATCACCAAACACCCGCAGAACTAACGTCAAAATGGGCTCCACCGCCAATCCCAACGTGACCGCCCAGCCCCATGTGCCCCCAGCCGGTGTTTGGTGTCCGGCCGTGACCTTTTTCGATCACGCGACCGACACCATTGACCTGAACGCACAGAAGCAATACTATAAATATCTATCCACAACCGGTCTGGCCGGGCTCGTCATCCTTGGCACCAACTCCGAAGCCTTCCTGCTCACCCGCGAAGAACGGTACCAATGCATTGCCGCCGCCCGCGAGGCCGTTGGCCCGGACTTCCCCCTGATGGCCGGCGTGGGCGCCCACTCCACCAAACAAGTCCTTGAGCTCGCCTCCGACGCTGCCGCCGCGGGCGCAAACTACCTCTTGGTGCTGCCCCCGGCTTACTTCGGCAAGGCCACCACTATGGCTGTCGTGAAGCGCTTCTTCGCCGACGTCGCCCGCCAGTCCCCTCTCCCCGTGGTCGTGTACAACTTCCCCGGAGTTTGTAATGGGGTTGACCTGGATTCGGAGACCATCACAGCTATTGTTCGTGAGTCGGAGGCGCAGAGTGCATCGGGCGTGTCGAATGTCGTCGGCGTGAAGTTGACCTGCGCTTCGGTGGGCAAGATCACCCGCCTGGCCGCCACCTTCGACAAGGATCAGTTTGCCGTGTTCGGTGGGCAGTCTGACTTCCTGCTGGCGGGATTGGCCGTCGGGTCGGCCGGGTGTATCGCTGCGTTCGCGAATGTCTTCCCCAAGACGGCCGCGCGGGTCTACACGTTGTACGTCGAAGGCAAGGTGGACGAGGCCTTGGCGTTGCAGAGGAAGGCGGCGCTGGCGGAGTCGCCCTGTAAGAGTGGCATCGCGTCCACCAAGTACGCCACGGCTATCTTCTCGGCGGTGGCGGCTGGCATCGAGGGCGCCGAGGAGAAGCTCAAGCCTCGCACCCCGTATGAGGAACCTGCTGAGGGAGCCAAGGTTACGGTGAAGGAGGTGATGGGCAAGATGGCAGATGTGGAGAAGGCACTGTAAGTAGATCATAAATAGGAGATGTACAGGCGTGAGAAAATAGACTTTAGTTTCTCAGTTACACAGATTCCGCGGATCGCATTCTACATGGGACGTGTAAAATGTGTGAGAGTATACACATGGCATTCTCAACTGTACAGATTCTGTGGAGGGGTTGTGACACCTGGCTAGACAGGGCTGTAAGAGCTGGCTCAGCCTGGCCAAGCCTGTGGGTACTTCTTCGTGTCTCTAGACTCCAGCTCCCTACCCCATACGTGCATTTCGAGTTCCATCAATTTAAATGAATCGCCCAGGGCCCAGCTGCAGACGATGGACTCCTCTCCACTTTAGCCTGATGGATCCTTTGATCGCTTCTACGATGACAACCACTATGCCGGCTTTACTATGACGCCAGTAATGGCAATTATTTTGATGAAAAAGTCCAGGGCCAGTACAGGCGACAGGTAATGTCTACACGCACGCCCGGGACATCGTGGCGGTGAAGTATAGGCTGTCCTTCGAGAACTCTTCGAAGCATGGAGCATAAACCAGGGTTTAGGACTCCATCGCATATCGTCTCGTTTTTTCAACTACGTCAGTGGTGTCTGATCCTCTTGGTTCAATAAACCATTCTCTTCCTCATTGTTGATATTGTATATCATGGCTTCCGCCCCGCGGGTCAGCGGTGGGGTTGAACCGCTGTCCCAACCCAGGCGACAGGCATCTCATTCGACTCAAGCTGGGAATCGAAGTCTGGCTCAGCAAAAAGATGCCAGAATAGGGCCCCGTTTCCGAGGCTTATCCCTCGATGAACTGACCATGTTTATGCGAGTGGGCTGAGCATCGGACCGGTATTAGCGTGGTTGCCTGGCTCATTCAACTGGAGCACATTGTGGTTTCGTGTGAGGGATGGCATCGGGGGCGTAGTGACTGATTGTGAGGATTTTCACAGCAATGAAACCATGCATCTTGAAAGGACTGGAAGAGTCAGTCTTCAACAACCATCACTTCTGCAAGAAACAGCTGGAAAGATCATCCATGGAGTGTTGGAGGTTTCGAGTCTGTTGCGGTCCTTGCCAAATATAGCCGAGACAGGAGGCGGCGAGTCTTGAATACGGGGGAGAGACGGTAATTTTGGCAGAGTCCGCCCCGCCGGAAGGGAGAATTACGTACTGTATTGAAGAGATTGGCCCCTTCGGTTTGCCGGAAGAGGCGTGGCCCGCGATCATACGACGTCTACCACCGAACATTGGCCGAATCTCTCTTTCTCTCTCTCTCTCACCATCCATGCATTATTCATTCTCTTGTCTCCTCCTGCACAGGCAAACTGGAAGAAGTCATGCTTCCACCAAATTTGCCTCTCTCTTGACTTCCACCTTCCCATTGATCTTTCTAGAACCTCGTCAACCGTTGCCCGAATTACCTTCCCTCCTCTCCCTCCAACACTGATTGCCTGCCATCTTCGTTATCAATCAGTAAAATAGGCACCAACGGACGATCCGGTCAGAATTTTGTCCCACCGGGGGACCCAAAGTCCTCGAACCACTCATCGCGCCTTAACCCGCCGCGCCCCCCATCCCCCCTCCCCCCCCAACCGCTCGATAAGATCGAAAGGGGAAGGGAAGAACACCCCGGCACATGTCCAGACACTCACGGGGTTTCTGCTACTAGCCAGATCTTTATTCCTCACTCAACTCACCTTCCTGCTCCCTGCAACTTCCTATCCACAAACCTCCGCGCTCTCGTAGACTGCTGGTTCTCACCCACTGTCCCTACTGTCTTCATCCGACTATCGCCATCATCGATTGTCCCTAGGGGACTCCACCGTTCTCAAATCTTAGCTTGTTTAGCGCGCTGGCTCAACTTCGCCTTGCACGACTCAACCCGCACCTAGCCGGCTCCTGATCACACACCTCTCCCAGGTATGCACTTTCATACGGTGTCAACCTCCATGGCCTTGTCGTCGTGACCGCCGCCAATTGCTGGTGCTTGCTGCTGACACGAGTTCAGGCGAAAGCTTGGAGATTACCGCTTGTGGTACATCGCCACCGGCCTTGACTGACTCCTCTGCATTGCATGGTCCCGGCCCTGGCCGCTGGACAAGATGGCAATGCCCAGCATGGGGAGCGACTTCCAGCTCTTCTCCCCTAATAACAACAAGAGGAATTCAAGAGACTCACAGGCCGAGTCCATGTCCTTCGCCCCGTCCTCCACAGACGAGGCTACCCAGGATTGGACACAATGGATGCGATGGGATGATCAAGGCTTCGCGGAGGGCGTCAAAGAGCTCTCCCAGTCACCCTTCGACTTAGCATTCACCTCACCCAACACATCCACGGGCAACCCCAGCACCGGTTTCCTCAACAAATCCGAATTCTCTCCCGACATCTCTCTCGACTGCACTGGTCTACCCTTTGACTCATTCTTTGATCGCGGCTACAATAGCATGACCAACTCCAAGGGCGACTCGAGCGGAGCAGAGATGCCCTCTACCCTGTCGACGGCAGCATGCTCACCACTGTCACCAGACGGGATCACTCGAAAGCGCAAGTCGGGCAGTGACGATGACGGCTCAACCGTGAGTGGCATCATGCCAACCGGGAAGAAAATGCCGGCCAAGAAGCGAGCCCACAATGTCATCGAGAAGCGGTACCGCGCCAATCTCAACGACAAGATTGCCGAGCTGAGAGACAGCGTGCCTAGTCTGCGAGCCTCAAAGAATGCAGCCGGCAACATGATCGATGATGACGAAGGCGAGGGCGTCACTCCTGCCAGCAAGCTCAACAAGGCGTCCATCCTATCAAAGGCCACAGAATACATTCGCCACCTGGAAATCCGCAACAAACGACTCGAAGAGGAAAACACCGCCCTCAAGAATCGACTACGTCTCGCAGACAAGGCTGCCGAGCAAATGATCACATCCGCTGCCTCCGTTTCATCGCCCAGCAACTACACCGAGTCCGGGGCAAGCTCATCCCCGAGTGTGTTCTCACAGGTTGAGGATTCACCCAGTGATCATTCTCCCACATCGCTGCATCCGCCCGAAGGGATGATGAAGGTGCCGGATGCCTTCAAGCGTCTCCGGGACGAGGCAGCTGCCAAGAACAACGCTTTCTCCCAGTCGTACATCCAGTATCCCAGCGGCAGCGGCAGCAGCAGCAACGGAGCCACGCAGAGTGGCGGAGGCCGGAAACGGTCGTACTACCCCAACAAGTATATGCTTGGCGCTCTCGCTGGCCTCATGGTCATCGAGGGCTTGGGCAGTGAAAAGGAATCTGACTCGACCGCCAAGGGACTGCTAGCGGTGCCCGTCAACTTGTTGAGCAGCGGCCTGCAAAATCCGACCTTCAAGTACTGGCTGGCGATGGCCCGCAGTTTCTGGTACTCATGGCACGCCCGAGCCATCTCGCATTTCCTCATCCTTGCCACCCTGGTCGTCGGTAGCGCATTCGTGGTCTTTGTCTACCTCTTCAACGCCGGGCCCAAACATCAACCAGGCTCGTCCAAGACTGCGGTCATGTCCGATGCCTCTCTGTCTTCATCAAGCTTCCGACGCCAAGCATGGTTGACCAGCATTCAGCAAGTCGGCGTTCCCCGCCACCGGTTTTTCCGCGAGTGGTATGTGGTGACTTCGCGCTGTTTCGAGTATGTGCTACGGTGTCTTCTGGGCTGGAAGCTGTACTCTTCCATCACCGGAGTTACCGTGGAGGACGACAAGGGTCGAGTGAAGTCATGGGATATTGCCATTGATGCACAGCTGGCTGGGGGCGATCCCGAGATCAGCAAGAGCCGACTGGTACTCACCATTTTCGCGGCAGGAACCTTGCCTCGCAGTCCAATGAGGATGATGCTCAAGGCACTGCATTGCCGTATCTTACTCTGGCGAGTCGGTGTTCCCGGATCGTGGACGTTTCAAGTCTCCAACGATGTTGCTCGATCGTTAGCAGGCTACCAATGGGATCTTGCCCGAAAAATGCACGCAGCTATGCCGAAAGATCATCCCGATGCGCTGCCCAGTCATTTGGCTGCTTTACTGCAGCTCGACTGCGATGAGGTCATGATTGACACTGTCGTGCAGCGAGCCGCCAATCTCACCTGGAACCGCTCCCCCCAAGAGGGGGCTGATGACGATGAGGCCCTACTGGATGTTGTGGAGGAAGATCCAGCTATTCGATCCTCCCTCGACGCCCTTGCAGCCTGGTGGTCAAGTCACATCTTGCAGCGCGCACTGCTTCGATACTTTGAGGCTAGCTCTGGTGGGCCTGATGCGAAGAAGAGCCGTGATTTGTTTAAGACCAAGATCAAGATCGCTTTGGACGTCGCTCCCCAGCCGTCTGCCGCTCATACCCGCGCTTTGGTAATGAAGGCGGTCTTCTTCGACCAAGACCGTGCCGCGAACATCGGGGCGGTCCTGGCAGCGCTACCCAAGGACAAAGGGAAGAGTAAGCAAAGTCAAGTGTGCAACTTCCTAGATTCGTCACTCCCAGTCTCGGTGCGGGATGAGATCGCCATATCCGTCCGCTGTGCCATGATTGCGGCCATCTTTACGGCACGAATCACGGGTGACACCTCTCTCCCCGCAACTTTCACCATCCAGAAAGCCATCACATGGTTCAATCAGCTACCCCTCGATCCTGTGGATTTGACCCTTATCGGATTTGCCTCGGTCTACCATCTGTTGCATGTTCTGGCTTCAGACACTGATTACCTCTCTTCTTCTGAGTCATCGCCCTCGACCCCCGCGTCCAGAAGCTCGACACCGTCGTCGCTTTGCTCCGATGACGAAGCTCACGACAAACCCCGCTTCTCCCCGAAGCAACCCGTTTCGCCTCAGTCCATCCCCAACCTGAGCCGTGTTGCATCCGAGCTGATGTACTGGGCACGCAATGCCTACAACCCCGCATTCTACGGTTTCACCCCTCAACTGGTGAAGGTGATTGAGAATGAATGCACATCACTATGCCGTAGTGCTGGGGTCGACGTGGCCGACTATTCGTCCGTTCGGGCTGCGAAGACCAAAGCCAAGCAGGTCAAGGAAAAGAAGAAGAAGAGACACTCCAGGCGGGCTTGACTTGCCACGTGCTCCGGGAGTGCAAGGGATCCAAAGGATGCCTCTCTCAAAGCTATTTTGTCGGAGCTTGGGTCTTCCCCATCTATGATGGCAGGGCCTGCGGCCTGGAGCCAAGCAGTTGCTGGATGATGGGAACTTGCATTTCCGAATACACGCTTTCTCCAATATCACCGTTACGTTACATCTCACGAATTGGCCACCAATGGTCTTCAGTCGATACAATACCACATGTACATGTTTTCTGTTTGAATTGTAATGGCGCATATCGCTTACATGGAGGGATAAATGAATTGGAGGGTTGTTCAGTCTAGGGAGTCTGTGTTTCCGGGTTTACGCAATCAATACCTCCCTCAGTCTTTGGGATCGAACCGATCAAGGCACAAAATCTATCACTGTTTTCGCTTTTTGTTCATAATGCTTAATAACCAGTTCATTCTTACGACATACCGACATGCCCTACGCACCTTGGAAGTCCTCCCGGTGGATAGCATTTCCATAGAAATTCGTCGTCTCAAAGATTATCTTGTACAACGATTGTTACAGCGCATCTGGTCGGCTTCGTGTTGACTGTGTCTGTCTTGCTTCCCCTGTGCTTTCGTCCTGGGTGTCGGAGCGTCCGGGACAACGAACTCTGATCTCCAAGATCACTTTAAAGTCGACCCACGCGGCACATACCATGTACTCACGTCTGGCCAGGGTTCAGGTACTGCCTTTGATGTGAAACATCAGTCCTATTGTCGCTGACTGAAACCCTCTGGTCGAGCTTGAACGGCGAAGTCAAATAATTCTCCGGAGGAACGGCAAATCGCCTTTGATGGAGATGATCGCATGGACAACTAATTCATCATAGTCTGATACTGGCTCTGATTTCCGCTGCCTTGCTTTCTCGCCCGGTTGCCATGTGCGGCCTAAAAGACAGGAAATGTCCAAGATAGAGACAGGCGATGACAGCACAGCCTGACTGACGCTGATGGCAGCACGACTCTCGTGACTCTCTACCTGGGCTATAAGGACGAGAAACCACCGTGGCATCGAAGCCGGCCCTGGTCGATGGAGGTCTAGACATTACCTCTTCAAGGGACTCTGCCAGTCATGATGACATGCGGGTTCGTGCAGCGGTTGCCCTAAGCGGGTGGGAACAATGCCTCCCTTCCCGACGTTACAAAATGTCTTCCACGCCAAAGACAGCCTGAGCACACGATGCAACAATGTTACCTGATCGAAGGAAGATCTTTCGCTGCTCAGCTCGTTGAGTCATTGCTCATTACCTAATCTCTTGTGCGTCGATGGCATGACGTCAATCATTTTTTGCTCTCAGCCTGTGTACTCCGCCCTAGGGATGCGGGCAGCCTCTCGATCCACCCGAAAGGGGTTGCAACCAGAAGCGCGGGCTCGAACTTTCAGAGCTGCTATGAACGCGTGCCTACCTAGACGAGGGGTCGGCTTTCAAAGTGAGTGGTGGAATGTTGGGAGAACGAGAGTTCTGTTCAGTGTGCAGCAGCAGTCAGAACATCGTCCAGCTCGCATGAACAGGTTATGACAGCGCCTTGTCGTCAACCTGAACGTCATACGCAGCTCTTCACCCTGGCTACAAGTCAACAGAAACCTGAAATTCCGCAAAGACTGAGGCAGAGCGAGCTTCGACTGGGAAAGGGAAGTGGGAAGGGCATCGCTCGGGATAGGGCGGATGCAGCGCACACGCACCCTCGTTTCCGCTTTCAGTGCTGCCGTTTCATCGCCCCCGCAAACACGCTTACTGCTTCAACTGACGGATGCCAAATGCTTGCAGACCCAACCATGGATCGTCGAGCTAAGCAGCTTAGGGTTAACCGGGCAATCTGCCGGCTGAGCGTACCTGTCGGCTATGCCAGGTCCAGCGACCCTTCGAGGTTGGTCCCGGCGAATCAAGGGGCAGCACCCATTCCACGGAAACTCAATCCCCACACGTTCTGAGGTTGCAATGCCCTTTCGGCTGCGCGACTTTTGCTGCTGCGCTTTTCCGTTGCATGAAAGCGCTGAAGTCAATGCGGCAGTCTGTCCTGCTCTCTGTCTCTGTCTCTCTCCCTGTCTGGACGGTATCATCGCACATACAATGGCCCCCGCCTGCTGCCCTCTCCCTCACCTCCATAAGCGTCAAGGGCGATGGATGACGGCATAGTTATGAATAGCCCTATGCAGCCGCTTGCACGTCATGACAGTCATGATTCTAGATTCACAGGATGTGCTGGTATATGTAGTAGACTACCGGCGCTTTCCCGGTTTGAGTACTGGTTCGATCTGAGGCCTTTCGCTGATCTTTTAGCGAAAGTGCACACGCTCCATCTGCTCCCCAACCCTCGCTCCCTCGCTCCCTCCCACCACCACCACCAACACCACCACACACTCAATCCTTCCAAAACGGCGATCCTTTAGCTACGGCACCATGGGGGTAGACTATCATGATCCGGGCCAACCGCGTCTTCGAGATGTTCATCCCCCAATGCGGCTTGCCCTGGCGACGCCGATCTTCATTTTCGCGGGCGGGGTGTTCGTGCTCTTCGTCGGTAACATGTACATACAACTCCAACATCGCCGGCGATTACGTCGGATACTCGAGAGTGAGGACGACGAGCAAGATCAGCACGCGCGGAGCGGTGCGCTCTCGGCCATGCTCAACAAACATGTCTTCTATGCGCCGCTGCTGTCGACTCGGCATAGTCGCGAGTTTCGGATCGGGTGCTGTCACATGGGGATCATCCCGCTGCGGTTCGAGGCCATTCTATTGGTGGTATATATGGCGTTGAATGGGATCTTCTTCGTGGCGACGGTTGACTGGTGGGCCCACTGGGAGGAGGTGATGTACCAGCTGCAGTATACGACCGGCACGCTGGCCGTCTTGAATCTGCCGGGATTGATCCTCGCCGCCGGCCGCAACAATCCGTTGATCCCGCTGCTGGGCATCAAGTTCGATACGTTCAATCTGATTCATCGGTGGGCCGGGCGACTGATCGTCGGAGCGTCGATCTTGCATGTTGTCTTGGCGATTATTCCCCGACAGAGGGAGCGTAAGTGCAGTCGCTGTATGAGTACGGGCGTAAGCCAAGCTAACAGTCAATAGTGGGTAGCTTGTCTGCCATGGCGTATGTTGTGTGGACTACCCCATTCTTCATCTATGGTATGACGGTAGGTCACACTGGCATTTACACTTCCAGTGGGCGGTACCGCTGACATTGTGCCAGGCGTTCATCGCATTCGCGGCCATTCTCATCCAGTCGATCTCGCCCATCCGACATGCCTTCTACGAAGCGTTCCTGCATTTACATATCCTGCTGGCCATTGCAGCGTTGGTGGGACTGTGGTATCACTTGCGCGGCATGTCGCAACAGACGGCGATTCTGGTGACGCTGATCCTGTGGGGGTTTGATGTAAGCCTTTTTCTCTACACTATGAGCTTCGTCCTCGGACTAACTAGCCACGATGCAGCGAGCTGCACGACTGGGGATCATCATCTGGCGCAACGTAGGCAAGCAACGCACGACGGCCACCGTCGAGCTGCTCCCCGGAGACGTGGCGCGCGTCAGCGTCGCGCTCGCGCGCCCCTGGACCTTCAAAGCCGGCCAGTACATGTACCTGTACCTGCCATCGCTGGGACTGTGGACCTCGCACCCGTTCTCCGTGGCGTGGACGGCGTCCGACCACAACGTACTGACCGAGAAGCGGAGCTCCAACGACTCGATCAACCGCCTCCTGGGCGGACCGCAGCAGACCACGATGTCGTTCCTGATCAAGCGCCGCGACGGCTTCACGGGGAAGCTGTTGTCGAAGGTGCACAAGTCGTGCGACGGGAAGTTCCAGGCCACGGCGCTCGCCGAGGGGCCCTTCGGTACGTTTCGCCTGTCTGTTGCGTCCAGCACCATAAAAACTAATTCCCGTGTAGGCAGCCTCCACTCGCTCGCCTCCTACGGCACGGTCCTCCTAGTCGCAGGCGGCATCGGCATCACGCACCCGATGTCATACCTGCACGAGTTCGTAAATGGAATTACCTCGCAGACGCAGGCAGTGCGTCGGGTGACTTTAGTCTGGGTGATTCGGAGCTTAGGTGCGTTTCATGCCCCCCCCCCCCCTATAACCCCAAGCTCAACCCCCGCTTCCCACCTACTAATTCTGTAAAATAAAAAGACCACCTAACCTGGATCCAACCCTGGATGACCTCCCTCCTGACGCACCCCGCCCTGCAAATGGCCGCAACCCTGCAGAGCGAAACCAAAACCAAGCGCGAATCCTACTTCCAATTCCCGGACTTTTACCTATCCGTCCAGATTTACCTGTCTTCTGCCGCCCGATCCTCCTCTTCTGGCTTCGGAGACACCAGTAGTCCCGAAGACTTCCTGCCCGAGGAATCCCCCTGGACCGCCACGGCCGCCGTACCGGTGCATATCTGCCACGGGAAACCGTGTTTCGGGGAGATTGTGGAGGTCGAGATGGCGCAGCAGGTCGGCGCCATGGCGGTTAGTATTTGTGGGCCCGGCGGGATGGGGGATGATGTGCGGGAGACGGTAAGGCGGGTGCAGGGGAGGGGGCTCCGGGTGGATTTGTTTGAGGAAAGTTTCTCTTGGTGATCTACCTCCCTTTTTCTTTCTTTCTTTCTTTCTTATTCTTTCTTTGGGTGTGGAGTTTAGGGGATAGGGCTGGGTATAGGGGTTGGGCTGGGTTGATTGGGGATTGGGTCTCTTTGGTTTGGGGTTCTATTGGGTAGGAGTTTTGGTTAGCGATGAGTTTTATCTTACTTTGTATTTATGCTGTGAGCAAGGGGTAGACAATATATTCTTTTACTTTTATTTTTTTTGGCCGTGGGTTCTGGTTCCGGTTCTGGGTTGGGGGTTGATGATTAAGTCTGTCGTGGTAGTGCCGGTAATGTGGTCTATTTAGAGTATATGGTGTAGCTGTAGGTTCCCTTCTGCCTATGTGGTCAGGTCAAATATGTATAGCTGTAGAATTTATTCTAGGTATATGCGTCTGGCACACTCCTTGGAGTATGTGTATGATATGTGCAGATCTACGCTGTACAGTAGACTCACTCCATCTAATTTACTCTGTCTTCATCAACCTCCCTCTCCCCCCCCCCCCCCCCTTCCCTCCTTTTCTGCCCCAACGTCCTTTGTCCCTTTTCCCCCTTTACCCCCCGCCCCCCCCCCGCCGCAGCCAGCGGCGTCGCCCCCCCCGCCGTATCATAGATAGGCGCCACCTCGACCACATCCGCGCCGATAACAGGTAACCCGCGCAGGGCGTCGATTATCGTCAGGAGTTCGCGGGTGGAGAAGCCTCCTGGTTCGGAGGTGCCGGTTGCTTTATTTACAGTGAGTTAGCACTACGGTCAACATCGGGGTTATGCAGAGGGCCGACCCGGGGTCCTATTTGGTTATGTCTGCTGGGTTGGGTTAATGCAGGGTGATACATACCAGGAGCGAAAGCCGGATCCAGCACGTCAATATCCACGGAGATATACACTCTGCTCCCGCCGACGCGGGCCTTGATCTGCTCGACCATCGCGTTAACTCCCAGGCGGTCGACGTCGCGAGCGGTCAGGATCTCGAAGCCGCAGCGGAGGTCGTTGCGCAGGTCTGCGCCTTTCGGCCGGATGACCGGGGCGCGGATGCCGACGTGGATGGAGGTGTTGCGGATTAGGCCCTGATTCTTTAGTTTGGATGTTAGGGGGCGGGCTGGGTTGGGGGGTTACCTCTTCGTGCGCGAGGTGCAGGAAGGTGCCGTGGTTGACGCCTCTAGGTCTGTGGTCAGTCAAGTGTCTTGGTCGAGAGCGGATAAGTTACGCACGCGTAATGCGAGATGCCGCCGCCTAGCAATTGTTAATGAACTTGCTTGTATTGATTGATGATAAGGGATATTACCTAGAACCTCAGGGTCCCATGTATCTGCCATCATATATCAGCATATTATATTCCCGGTTGGTCTGGTTGCCGAGGTATACCGATATGACTATCAAAATGAATCACCGACACCGGCCCCCAATTCTCATACGTCGACCGCAGCGCCGACAGCGTCGTGGTATGGTCTCCGCCCAGCGTGATGATGCGCGGCGACTGGCCCAGATGCGTGGCATTCGTGCGGCGGTTCGAGATCACCTGCATTGACACTCGCACTTAGTATGTTGTGTACGGCACGGTCTGAAAGAACTACAGCCCCACCTTATGCGCCAAATCCAACTGCTTCAATGCAACCGTATTGTCCAGCCATGTCAATGGCGCGTCGCCGCAGTCCACTAGCTTCGCCCAGCTCTCGAACACATTCTCCCCCGTGTAGATGTCGTAGCCGCCCAGACGGCGGGAGCCGAGTCGGATGCCTTTGGGGCCGAAGCGTGCGCCGGGGCGGCCAGTTACGGCCTGTTGCTTTCAATTAGTTTCGCTGGTGCTGGCTGGGGTTGGTGGGGGCGGACCGTGTCGAAGGGGGCGCCTAGGAAGGCGATGTCGAATTTTGTGTCCTCGTCGGCGATGCAATTGGCGTAGGGAAGATTGGCGAAGGTGGTGAGGCCGGAGAATTGGCTACCGGTGACGATGTCGATTGGGTGGTTGATATTGTGGTCGTTGTTGAGGAGTGCGTACTGGTTGGTGGGGTTGATGGCGGCGATGGGGGGGAAGGTGATTTCCCGGGCGGACGCTGCGGTGGCAGCGATAAGAGGGAGGGACCAGTGCATCTTGAACCTGGGCCTGAATTGAATTGAAGTGTTGAAACCGATGCAGACAGTCAATGGTTGGTTAGATACACCAGGTGATAGACAGGAACTTATACTTGATAGTGGATAGATAAGAAGCGCATCCGAGGCAGGTCCGGTCCCTGGATGGACTTGCCCAAAGCAGTAAGGGCTGTCTTCCCCCCACATGCTAAGCCGATCTCCGAATCTCCACCGGCCATTTTCTTTTTCCCCTCGGCTCGTTTCGCGTCATCGCCTCAGCTTCAACCACTCCGGCAGTACCTCAATCAACTTTCCCGGTGTATATCTTCAATCCCAACACCATGGTCCGTCCATTCCTTTGCATCTATGATCCAGCCTCACTAACCCAACCCAGCCCCACGCCGACTCCTCCTACTTCGGCCCCAATGCCTCCAAAGACGAAGTCTACGCGCAAGTCGTCGACCAAGCCCGCGGTCTAGTCTACGGCCAGCGCAACTGGGTATAGTTCCTAGTTCCTACCTCCTCTCCTTACTCAACCCTACACAACCTATGCAATTAACCACTAACCACTGAACTCAACCCCAAAAACAGGTCAGGTACGTCCCCCTCCCCGCAAACCCCCCAATGCAAACCAAACTAACAAATACAAAAAAAAGCAACTTCTCCAACATCGCCTCCCTCCTCTGGCACGCCTACGCCGCGCTCCCTTCCCCATCTTCCTCCGTAAACTGGGCCGGCTTCTACATCCGCAGCGACAAGTTCCCGATCTCCGCCCCCAGCAACAACGAAACCACCCCCAAGAAACTCCTGCTAGGTCCCTTCCAAGGCCGTCCCGCATGTCAGGAGATCCGCTTCGGAAAGGGCGTCTGCGGTACCGCGGCCGAGAAGCGCGAGACGGTCGTCGTGCCGGATGTGCATGAGTTCCCGGGCCATATTGCTTGTGATGCGAGTAGTCGGAGTGAGATTGTTGTGCCGGTTTTGGTGGGTGGGGAGGTATGTATCTTTCCCCCTTGGGGTTGAGGTTGGATTTGGGGGTGAAGGAGGGCTTGGGGCCCGGTTGGGATCGGTTGGCTAATTGTTTCTCTTGGGGTGGGGGTGTAGACGATTGCGATTATTGATGTCGATTGTACGGAGCCGAATGGGTTTGATGAGGTTGATCGGAAATATCTTGAGGTGTTGGCGGGGTTGCTTGCTGAGTGCTGTGATTGGTAGATGGTATATGGTATACGGTGTTGTTGGGGCTGGGGTTGGGGTTGGGGTATATAGATGTGAGGGTATAGAAGTCATGTTGGTATAATTTCTGTGTCTCTGCTCGAGATATCACATTGATTCCCGCATGGGAATACCCATTAATCCCAAAGTCTATAAAGCTAGTAGTATATCAACCGACATTCGCGCTGAAAGTATACGCGAGAAAAAGCAATGGCTCTGTATGTCTCTGTGTGTGAAAACCCTGTATGTATATCCTGACCAACTCCGAAAGAAAAGTCCCGTATAACTTTCCTCAAGCAAAACTTCTACATGCTCAGCATGCTCATCTGCCGCTTCATCGGGCTGGTCGAGCCCGCGTCCCCGTCCTCACTGGGTCCCAGCCCACTGTCCGTGCCGGCCAGCCCGGCGTCGGTGTCGATGTCCCACTCGTCCTCGTCCTCGTCATCGGCGCCATCCGCCCCGTCCACCACTAACGCCGCCGACCAGCTCTTCTGCACCGCCCCGCGCGTGTTCCACCGCAGCGCGCGCTGCACGCTCTGGAACCACTCGCCGCTACCGGACACCACGGTCGGGAACGGGTACTGGCTCGCCTCGACCGTCACGTAGTCGCCCTGTCGCAGTTCCACCCGGCCCTTGCCGTCGAAGGAGCAGTAGGCCGTGGAGCGCGACCCCGGCGGCACCGCGATCCGCAGGAGGGAGGTGTCGGAGAGGACCATCGGCCGGAAGGATAGAGTGTGCGGGCAGATCGGCGTGAGGAGGATGCCGGGGATGGAGGGGTGGATCAGGGAGCCGCCGGCGGAGAGGGAGTACGCGGTTGAGCCTGTTCGATATCATGTTAGCTTGAACGAAAGCGGTGAGGCGAGGGGCTGGGCTAACCTGTAGGGGTAGAGAAGATGCAGCCGTCAGCTTGGACGACGGTCAGCAGATCATTGTCGGCGTAGAGTTCGAGGTTGGACACATAGGGGGACGGGCCGCGGTCGATCACCAGCTCGTTCAGCACCTCGAATTGCTCGCCCTCCTCGACGGCGCCGGCCTCAGCGCCTTTGGTGCGGTCTTTCCGGAAGACGGTGCACGTGAAGCGCATGCGGAGGTTGACTCGCATGCCGACGTCGCCCATCACGGCATTCAGATGGTCTTTGTAGTTCTCGAACTCGAAATTCGTCAGGAAGCCCAGACTGCCCAGCGAGAAACAGAGAACGGGCGGCACGATGCGCTGGAAGAGCCACGAGGTAAACAGCACCGTCCCGTCCCCGCCTAGCGTCAGCACGAGATCGAATCGCTCCGGGCACGACCAGCACAGGTCCGGCGTCCAGTAGCGGAGCATGTCCTGGTACCGCGGGTCCTTCTCCAACAGCCCCTGCGCGTCGAACCGCTTCGAATTGCGCAGCTTGGCGTCCACGTAGACGTTGACCCCGATCTCGTTCCCGTACCGCGGCGTCGACAGGAGCCACTCCGCCAGCTCGCGCGTGAGGTGCACCAGGCTGTTGTCGCGCGCTTTGGTGACGATCATCACGGTCCGCACGGCGCGCTTGATCGGCCGCCGCTGCAACTGCTTGGACACCTCCCGCACGCCCGTCGCCGTCTGCACCAGCCGCGAGTGCGACAGCCACTCGTCATCTGTGATCTCCTCCAGCACTTTCTGGATGTTGACTGCGTCGTCGAACCGTTGGTGGAAGAAGCAGGGCGACTGCAGGGCCAGGCGGGCCGACGGGGCCGCCCAATCGACGTACGATCCGAGTTGTAGGTTGGAGAGAGCGGCCGACAGCTTCTGGGAGGAGTTGATCGATGCCCGACGCGTGGGCTCGTCGGAGGAATTGGGGTTGGGAGAATTCGTCGGCAGGAGCCCCAGGGAGGCCGCCAGCGGCATGTTGGGGTTTTGAGCGGAGATGGACGGTCGGGATGCGAGGGCTTTCAGGATGGTCTGCCGGGGGATCGAATCACTGGACAATGCGTTCCGCTGGTGGCCGGAGAAGGCCGCGGTCTGTCGCAGGTGTAGGAACGAGGGCGACGGAAGCGACGGCACTGCGGAGTCCTCGCGCGGGATCTCCGACGGTTGGCCGGTCTCGCGACGGCACTCGGCCAGTCCGGAAGTCGAATGATCGGTGTGAATTCCGCTCGCCGTCTCGGAGGGATCGATATTGAGGGCATAATCGCGCAGGAGCAGGGCTCCCACGGTGGCAGAGCGCTGGGTAGGCGGGCGCGCCGGAGAATCTGCTAGTGGTGGGGCTGCGGAGGGTGAGGAGGACAGGCCCGTCGGATCTGAGGGAGAGTTCGCGGCGCAAGAAGATCCGGGGGATGGTCGGGGGGGATTCATGGGGCCATGGTCAGGCGGGGGAGACGCCATGGACAGGTGTGTCAAGGAATGGTGAGAAATTTAAGGAGAGAGTTGAGTAGTGTCGGTGGGAGGGAGAGAGAGACAGGAAAAAAAAGAAAAGGGTCGACATTCACGAAGGGGGAGAGGAGGCGGGGGAGGGAGAGAGTGTCTTGGAACAACAACAACAATAATAATAATAATAATACTATGGGGACGGGGATGGAAAAATCAGGCCGAGTCCGGATGTAACGGGGTTTGCACGGGGTAAAAGGCAAGTCTGTAGAATCCGTGGAGGGAAATTAGACTAGAATCCCTAGACTAACAGAAAATAGCCCTCTGCAGCATCTAGCGTCGCGTTCGATGAGCTTCCACGAACAATGATTATTTTATGGGGAATTGAGATCGGGCTATTCATTGATGGAAGGTACTTAGTATTCCCTGCCAAGTCGGGCGGCCCTGAATGTAACTCCGCACCAGACAGTCATTCTTTGGGCACGATTTTTGTTCACTACCAGTTCATTCTATCTGGAGATAAGCGGAGTTTCCACCATGTACAACCGGACGTTTCTTGTCTTAACGTCAATTTGGTCTCTCAACCTGCGGACAACTTTGCGATGCGCCCTTTCAGAATGAATCGGAATTCTACAGTGCATGCATCTATTTGATTACCTCGCAATTGACTAGACTCCGCGCTCCACATGCATCTCTTGATTCGAACCCAGTCAGATGCTAAGAATACGAACCCCCAGCACACTGCAGCATCCCTTCCCCCACTGTGGCTTTTTCACTGAATATATGCCGTGTCACAGCACCATGTCCCACTCCCACCTCGGACAAATCCAGAAATGCACTGGTGCACGTCCCTCGCCTGGGAAAGTTGGAAGTCGGAGGTCTGGATGTTCGGCGCCGGTGCTTTTGATGACGATTCCTACGCAGGTTTCTCCTTCGTATCCACTAATGGAAGGCCATAGAAACTGCGCTCCTCGACGGGCGCCAAGACGCCCCGTGCACACTAGACCTCCGAAAGTAGTCCCGTTCAGAAAAGCCGACCCTGGGTTACTGGAAACAAACGGCTCCGATGAGAGGCACCGGTAGTCAAAAAAGGGTTCGGGAAAATCAGTCTGGAAGCGCAGTGCGTCCCCGGACCTCACAATTCCCAAATTTGAATCGTACCCACGAGTAGCAGCCTTCGGTAATTTTTCCGGTGTAGCAGTGTTAAGCCGATCATCAGGCAGCGTTGATCTTCCAATTGTAGTCACGGTACACCTGGTCCTCAACGGTCTCCCGCAAAGTCCCCTCCAGAGGCCGGCCATCGACGTCCTCCACCATCGCAACATCGCCGTCGGCGCTGACAAGCTGCGTTCCATGACAGATGGCCGAGGCGCGTTGACGCACCTTCTCCCATGTGTCAAAGTCAAAGGATCCTTGGCTCTCATTGAGCAGCAAATGGCCCTTGGAGGAGAATGCGAGGACGTGAACGGACTGCGCGGTGGCGGCATCCTCCGCGGAAGGTTCCCGGCGGATCTGACCCGAAGCGTCGACAGCGAGAACAGTGGCAGAGAAGGTCATGGACAAAGGGACGGAGGCTGATAAGAGAGCCAGAAGTGCCGTATGGAGAAGCGCGGGGAGCAGAACCAGATACTGGACGGAAGAGCCGATCACACTGCGTTAGTCGCTGACCAGTAAAGCCAATGGAGCACCTGTTCGTCGAAGTAAGGGAAAAGTACGTACCGGATCGCCTCTGCCGACACTTTCACCACCAATTACAGCCAGGGTGATGACCACCCCGCGACGAGGATAGCCTTTCTCGCGGCCCAGGATCACTCGTCCCAGGAGGGTCTTGATGATGCCCTCCACGTAGCGTTCTCCGACCCCCGCCGGAGCAGTGCCCGGTTTGACAAAAACTTCGATGGTCGCATCTTCGGGTTTGAGGGCGTCACGGCGACCGGGGAGCTCGACGGGTGCGTTGACGGAGCCTAGGATGTTGGACCCGGTCGAAGGGCATTGATAAGAAGCCGACCCATCGGCGCGATTGAGGGTGGAAAGAGTGGCAGATGGCGCAACCATGGTAGCTCAATTGATGGCGAGATAAGAAGGGAAAATGGCTGATGATGATGGGAGAGGTAGCTTGAATGAGGTTGTCGAGTTGTTGCAAGCGGGCAGGCGATTGTTGGAGCTTCCGCTGGGATTTTTTTGGGCGCGGAGTCGCATGACTGCGGGCTGGCCGCTGATTGGTCTGGCCCGGTTCTTTGAAGAAGTCGCCTTCAATCGTCGTATTTTAGGAGAATACTTTCAATTTTACCATTTAATTCTGCTCATGGTTATGAAATATACTCGGAAGGGAATATGGCAAAAGTCAAAAAGTGAGTGCCCATCGCGCATTGTAGCCTTCTGAGCAATGCTGCTGCTGCCTCATAGGTGTTATATATAAATGGCAGCAAAGAATTAATGAGGAATAGGAGGCACTTCCGTGATTAGGCAGTGCATCGGACTTCAGATACCCCGCGGAGTTTCTACTAGTATTACTTATCATCTGTCCTTGGCTTGAAAATTGATATTTCGGTTTATAACTTGAACCCCTGGCCATCCAAAAACAACCACGATGACCTGCGACACGGTTGTGCTTAAAATCGCCGAACGACAATCGGAGACATCCATTCGGCCTCGGACTCGGAGCCGATTGCAGTAAGGAGGTTGAATCCTGGTGTCAAGGGGCAGCAGCCAACAAACACCTGCAGCGCTGGTGGTGGGGGCCAACAGCAGTGCGCAGCCTCACAGCCTCGCCAACATCTTCTTTCCCCTCACTTGCGAGGACACCAGCGACGGCATCATCTCACTCTGCGCTGCGCTCACACCAAGCCATCAAGATGAAGTTCCTCTGCTTACATGGCAAAGGCACCAGCGGTGCGATCTTCAAGTCCCAGACAGGTCAGCTACCACCCAATGTCCCCTCCAAATCCCCATCCCAATCCCAATTCTCCTCACAAGCCAGTCAGCTAATCAGAGATAAACAACAACAGCGGCGCTCCGCTCGCGGCTGTCGGAGCTGAACATCGAATGGGACTTCGTGGACGGGTTCTACAAGAGCGACCCAGCGGCGGGCGTCGACCTCTTCTACGCACCACCCTACTACGCATGGTACGAGAACGACACCGTCGACGAGATCGTCGCCTGCCGCAACAAACTCCAAGAATACATCCGCACTCACGGGCCCTACGATGCCGTGATGACCTTCTCGCAGGGAGCAGCGGTGGCGTCCACCTTCGCGCTGCTCCAACAATCTGAGGACCCCTCCGCGCCGCTCCCGTTCAAGGCGGCGATTTTCATCTGCGCCGGCTCGCCGCTGCGCATCATGGAGCAGGTCGGCTACGAGATCGCGCCCCAGGTGTGGGAGAAGGACCTGTTGACGCGGCAGGCGCTCGCCGCGCAGGCCGACGCCTCCGCCATCCTGCTGCAGGGCTCGTCGCGGTGGAACGCCGGCGCAGCCTCGTCCCGCGAGTCCGAGGAGGATATCCGTCGCGAGATCACCCCGTCCGACGTGCGCATCCCCGTCCCCTCCGTCCATGTCTACGGCGCCCGCGACCCCCGCTACTCCGCTGGCATCCAGCTGTCGCAGACTTGCGACCCTGCTAAGAGGAGGATGTATGATCATGGCGGTGGACATGAGATCCCCCGCACAGAGGCCGTCACCAGCAGTATTGCGGCGTTGGTGCGCTGGGTGTTGCGCGCCGGCGGTGTCTTATAGATTATTGCTGGTGACATTGTGTATATGGCTTTGCATGGTAATAGATGGTATTGATTTTTGACATTGGGACTAGCAATAGGGATGTAGATTGAAACCTTAAGGGTTTTCCGACGCGCGATAGCATTAAGCACAGAAATAATGAGCGAGAGGGGCGTGGTCAAGTGGGGAATACTGACTGTTAAGGCGACGGCCCTCTGGACGGCACCGCATTGCATCACTTGACGAACCGGACCTGCTCCCTCTTCCACATCAGGGCCACGGCAATCAACTGCGCCGCCCCAAACGCTCCAACCGCGTACATCTGCCGGTTATAGCCTAACGCATAGACTCTCCGAATCTCCTCCTGGACCTCCGTCGGGACTCCGCCAAGAAGGTTCGGGTCTGCTGCAGCCTCGGTTCCCGGAAGATGGGCCTTGACGTAATCGATCAGGATACTGTTAACGATAGCCACCCCGAGCGAGGCCCCGATCATGCGCGCTTGGAGCGTCAGGCCCATCGCGGTCGCTAGTCACAGTAGTTAGTTAGTTAGTGCATTGGGGTCTTTGATCAGCAACATGAATTTGGAATTCAAGGGAGGAGGGTGTGTGTGGTAAGCACTAGCAGCCCCGAAGGGAAAACCTTCCCAAAAGCAAAAACTTACGTTGATCAGTAGTGTCGCCCACCACCACAGGCACACACATATACAGCGCGGCGATGGAGATCCCGATGCCCAAGCCCGTGATGGCCATGTATCCGTACTGGCCGGGCCAGATATCCGGGGTGGCGGGGACCGAGGAGAGCAGGAAGGCCCCCACGATCTGCAGCACAGACCCTGCCGCTGCGAGATACACGAATGGCGTGCGCAGTCGCCCGGCCAGGAGGCTGCACAGCGCGGCGCCGACCGGCGAGCCGACGCCGAAGGTCAGGACTTTCAGGCCCGCGCCGATCGCGCTGCTGTCGTTGACCGTTTGGAAGCGCTGCGGGAGCTCGATGTACAGGATCGTGACCGCCGGTCCGGTTAGGAAGCATCCACTATACCGTAGACGATAGAGTTTCGGACCCCGGTCAGCTAGTGTCAGACGAGGAACGTGAGAGGAAGGGGGGGGGCAGGGGCGCACGAACAGGATCGCGCCTAGTAGGACTCGGTTGCGTAGGATTCCCCACGGGAGGATGGGCTCGAAGCCTAGGTACTGGCGATTGGCTACCATCCATTCCCATGCGACGAACGCGGCCAACAGCGCCCCTGAGATGGCTAAGAGGCTTATAATGGTGGCTGATGACCACGCATACCGGACGTTGGCTTCCTGGAATGCGGCTACGAAGAGGACGGAGAAGGAGAGCAGGAGCAGGCAGCCGACGGTGTCTGCTTTCGTGAGAAAGCTCCATGGCCCTTTTCTTGCGTTGCGAGGATTCTGGTCTTTGAGCTTTGTCGAATTGACCTGGTCAAAGTCTTTCGGAACCAAGATGCTTATGATGGCCCATGCCACTACCCCAGCGGGAACACTCGCAACCCATGTCAGCACTAGAGACGTTCGGTAGAGGCAGGGTGGTCATACTTGAAGAGAAATATCCAACGCCAGGCGCCTGAAGCGCTGATACCACCTCCAATCAACGAACCCAGGATCAGTGCGAGTGTCAGCACGCCTGACCCCGCTGCACTGGCAATATCGAATCTTTCAGGGGGAACCATCCGGATCAGGCCGAAGAGGCACGAGGAAAAGACGCCAGATCCTCCAATGCCCTGGAAAGCGCGGCATATAATGCTATTGTCAATTAATTCAGAACAGGGAACAGGATCTGACAGGGAGCTTGGCCAGGGGATAGTTGGTTAGACGCTACTCACAGCTGACTCATGGTCTGGGTAGCAGCGCAGCCACCAGAAAAGGCCACGAAAATGGCTAGTGAAACCAGAATCGCTAGCTTGAGCCCGATGAAGTCGCTGCATTTGGCCCAAACAGTGAGGAAGCCCGCAAACGCCAGGAGGTATGAGGTGATGATCCAGGTGCTCTGATCTTGGCCATCGAGGTGACGACTGATGGTGACTAGCGAGGTGCTAATGATTGTGATCTCGGCCGTGGCGAGGAATAGACTCAACGCGATACTATGAGAAGTAATAGTTTAGGTTAGGAATAATCGATCATGGATGGGAGGATGAATGGAGGGAGGGATGATTGTCTTCTGATGTTGTCAGATCGAACTTACCCGCAGCCAGCGAACCAGAGTCGAGGGCCTTGCATGTACCTCGGCTGATTTCCCATCGATCGACCAGGAGTGTCATTGTTCAACCCTTCAGCCAATGACGCGCTGGAAGGTTGGGTATGCAGGTTGTGCGAGTCATGAATCGAGGTATGTGTTTCGTGATTGGTATCCATTGCTCTGATGTGGTCACTGCGAGTTAGTGTTAACAGCAGGATTCACGCGGACAGACTGATGACTTGGGGATTACTTCATACATATAAGCAACCGAATCGAATGATCATCACACGCACTACTCGAGAGCTACCACAAAAATATTCTTTGTGATCGCCGAACCTTACTACCAAAGAGATCCGGCCGAACTCGGCTAGACACGCATACCACTAGGGTGTCTCTTAAAAAAGCAAACTCGCACCACCACTGCACTGAGATATGTGAATCAATGTCTTCGCGGGACCTTGCATTTTCAGCTCTCAAAAAAGCAAACACACACTATTGTAACCAATGGTCTACAAATACAGTGCACGCGCTATGCTTTGGATGCAGCTTCGATAACCCGGCGAATGACATGCACAGTTTGCGTGACATCGCTTTTAGACCCGGCCCCAGGAATCTCATGCCCTAGCGCATGCACATGAACCCATCTCACCTCCGCCTTGCATACAGTATTTGTCAACGGAACCTTGTTGGCAGCCCCATCCTGCGAGCCCCAGATGTGAGCCGTTGGGATTGGAATCACATCCTTGTAGGCCTCCAGGTCGACCTGCTTGACCTCCCCGCGCTGAACAGCTTCGTAGTCGAGTGGTGGATACGTGATCGAGAGGATGATTGCGAACTTGAAGGGCAGCTTGCACTCGCTCTTGTGCTTAGCTAGATGCGCGAGATAGGTGAGAATCAGTGTGCCAGCTTGACTGAACGCGATGACCCCGTCGTATGGCCCTTCATGGTGGAGCAGCGCCTCTAAATGTTGATAGGCGGCGACTCCACTTGCAGGGTCCTTCTCGTCGATGTAAGCATACATTTGCTCATGCTTGTTGGCGATGACTTCGATCCCTGCACCCACGTTGGTTCCTGCTTATTGGACTGCGGGCCGGGGTGAGACCTACCTGGCTGCATCGGCGCAGGGATGTTGCCTTCGACAAAGTCGTAGGTGTGGTTGTCTTCGAGTTCATACCGGATGGCTGCGGTCTGAATCTCGAAGATCTGGTGCTGTCAGTCTGCCTGCTTGACCTTGAGCTGAGTTGTGATGTGGTGTAAGATCACTTACTCGAGAGTTCGAGCCGGCTCCGTGTAGGCTGGCTTCATGTCAGCGTTGGAGAGGACTTCAGAAGAGTTTGCAATTGCCTGAAATAACCTACCAGAGGATATGCATGCTGAAGGGAGGGTTGAATGGAGAGTGTATCTCACAGGATATGGAAGTGCACCCAGATAGGGGACGAAGAAGGGAGGAGACCACACAACAACCTGACAATCTCTCTTAAAAGACGTGAATACCTCTTCTAGAAGCTTTCCTCGTCATCCAGTGGAGGAGTCTCGCTTATCTATCATGTTTGTGAGTGGGGATGATCCCCGTTGAGCCCACGGGTCATGCGGGTTCGTTGCACTAATATCGAGACCGGCTATGAACTGCAGTGAATGAGCGAGTTCTGATAGCCGGATCCGTGTCTGCTGAGCCCGGAAGCGGCCTCAAATGAGCCGGTGTTACTTCTGAGACATCTCTCTCATGATTTTGTGAAAAAACGGGAAGTATAACAAATGGCTATCAAGCCAACTCAAGCTGACCCATTCATATTTCATCCACCCACACACATCCGTTTCGTGTCTTCTCTCATCCTTGCACTTCATGAGATCATGACTCCGACCACCTTTTCCACCTCATCACGTCAGACGATTCAGACCTTCTAGCCTTCTGATCCCTGGCACGATTTTCAAGGAAAGATGTAAGTCTCATCCCAAGCTCCTGCCTATACGAGGCTTTACAGCATTAATAACACCTTCCTCACAGCTTTCTTTCTTCACCATGGAGTCAGACTGTCTGAAGCGTGATATTCCCCCTCCGCTGGCCATCATTGGGCTCTCCTTCCAATTTCCTGGAGACGCAGCCTCTCAAGACGCGTTCTGGGACATGCTGGTTCAAGGCCGATGTGCATCCACTGAGTTTCCTGGTGACCGGATGAGCATCGATAGTCACTACAATGCCAACAGAGACCAGCTACACAGTATCTCCTGCAGGGGAGGGCACTTCCTCACACGCGATCTAGCAGCCTTTGATGCGCCATTCTTCAACATGTCCGACACTGAAGCGAAAGCTATGGATCCACAACAACGCCTTGCTCTAGAGACTGTCTATCGAGCTCTCGAAAATGCTGGTCTCCCCATGGACATAGTGGCCGGCTCGAAGACAAGCGTGATGGCTGGCTCTTTCTGTAACGACTATCACATGCTGCAAAACAAGGATGCCCTGAATGTGCCCAAGAATGCCACGGCTGGTAACTCCAAAAGCATGATTGCGAATCGAATCAGCTGGTTCTTTGACTTACTAGGCCCGAGTGCGACTGTGGACACTGCCTGCTCGAGCAGTCTTATGGCTGTAGATTTGGCATGCCAGTCACTCTGGAGTGGTGACGCAACTATGGTATAAGAATTCTTTTCCTATCATCACTAAAATACGCTCTCAATGCATTGCTAACCTTCTGGCTTCGACTATAGGGAATCGCCCTGGGGTGTAATGTCATACTAGCACCTGAAATGACGATTGGATTGGACAACCTCGGACTCATGTCTCGCGATAGCCGCTGTTATAGTTTCGACAGTCGAGCCAACGGATATGCGAGAGGTGAAGGTGTCGGTGCTGTGGTCATTAAACGTCTTGATGATGCTGTTGCGGCCGGAGACACGGTTAGAGCGATCATTCGGTCCTCGAGCTCCAATCAGGATGGCAAGACTCCAGGTATCCTGCAGCCAAGTAAGGATGCGCAGGTACGGTTGATTTGCGACACCTATAAGAAGGCAGCTCTGGATATGGGAATGACGAGATACTTTGAGGCCCATGGCACTGGTAAGTGATATCCCACTCTTGACTGATAGGCGGCTGCTAATGATGATTAGGGACTCCGGTTGGCGATCCTATCGAGACTAGGGCTATCGGGTCAGCGTTTCATGATTATCGTTCACGTGGAGAGCCTCTTTACGTGTGAGTGGTTCTCAACAAAGTCCGAGACCCTATTTCTAACGAGATGCCAGTGGCTCTGTGAAATCCAACATTGGCCATCTAGAAGGAGCCAGCGGTATCGCGGGGTTGATCAAAGCGGTTCTGATTTTGGAAAAAGGCATCATTCCACCAAACAGCAGCAACCTGCAGTCACTAAACCCTCAGATTGACGAGCAATACTTTAACCTGAAGGTAAGAATTTTTTGTCTCATAACATGAAAAGCTCTTTTCTCTGACTCAATGCAGATCCTGACCCGTGCTATTGCATGGCCATCCCCGGGTTTACGCAGGGCTTCCGTCAACTCCTTCGGGTTCGGTGGTGCAAATAGCCATGTCGTCCTTGATGATGCTTACAACACTTTCCGCATGTGTGGCATCGAAGATGGCCGTCATCAGACTGTGATAGACCCTCCATTGCTTCACGGCCTTGAGACATCATTGCATGCTTATTGTCATCTGAATGAAAAACCTGATTGTCGTCACCCACAAACAAGCGGCACTGTGGAATATGCATCCGAGCCTACACTGCTCGTGTGGTCTGCTGCAGATGAACCGGGCATCAGAAGACTCGCAGACTCATGGCGGAAGTACTTTTCTGCTGAAAAAGTGATGGAAGGACCCACGGGAACTTACCTACATGACTTGGCCTTCACATTCTGCGCAAGACGGAGCCAGTTGGCATGGAGGTCTTTTGTTGTAGCGAAGCCATCGGAAGATCTACGGAGTATCACAGAGAAACTAAGTCCTCCTGTGCATGCCACCGCCAATCCCCGCATAGGCTTTGTTTTTACTGGTGTAAGTACCTCTTCCCGATTCAAGTCTTGTGACACTACTGACAACAAGCAGCAAGGAGCTCAGTGGTATGCCATGGGTCGTGAGCTTATCGATCGATACGACGTCTTCAGAGATACTCTCATTGATTTAAGCAAATACCTGAAGAGCCTTGGCTGTGAATGGGACATTCTAGGTGAGAGTCGATGCATCTTTACGGCCTGTACAATGAGTAACTTTCCCTGCACAGATGAGTTGAAGAAGTCTGCTTCAGATACCCGAGTCAATGATCCAGCTTTCGGACAACCACTATGCACAGCACTCCAGATTGCATTGCTCGAACTCTTCGCAAGCTGGCATCTCTCGCCCGCTGCTGTGGTTGGCCACTCGTCTGGTGAGATCGCGGCCGCGTAAGTCTATCCCTGACGGACATTACCACCAATCTCTGCTGACATGTATACCTTCTTTCAGTTACTGTGCCGGTGCGATCACGAAACATGCTGCTTTGAAGATAGCGTATTACAGAGGTTACCTCGCGGGTCATCTTGGGAAATCCAGCCCCATGAGAGGTGCTATGCTCGCCGTGGGGTTGTCTAAAGGTGACGTGCAGAAGTACCTCAAATCCATTGCTCTTCACTTTGGTGAGCTCAAGCTGGACTTCGCGTGCATCAACAGCCCAACAAGCGTGACTATCTCTGGACAGCTCGAACAGATTGACTTCCTTCACCAGCTCCTCACCGATGACAAAGTCTTCTCGAGAAAACTCGCAGTCAACGTTGCATATCACTCGTTCCAAATGAAGGAGATCGCTGACAGGTACCAAGAACTATTGGGTGAGCTTGAACAGCCAGTCACAATGAAGAAATCCCCGGTGATGGTGTCCAGTGTCACAGGGACATGGACTTCGGACGAAGAGCTATCAAAGCCCGAGTATTGGGTGAGAAACATGGTGTCGCCCGTGCTATTCGACGAGGCTTTAGCATTGCTGTGCCCGCAATCACGAACGACAACTCGGAAGTTCGACGGCAGTCATCGTCACAAAGTGGCCTTGGATCATCTCCTAGAACTTGGACCCCACTCCGCTCTTAAAGGTCCCTGTGAAGACATTCTGAAGGCAGCGGGTAAACAGGACCAAGTCTCTTACATTCCACTCCTACGCCGTGGTATTTCCGCTGTCGAGTGCATGATGCAAAGCGTCGGTTGCCTGCACTGCAGCGGCTACCCAATTGACCTGACCTCGGTCATCAGTGCATGTGAACTGGGAAGAGAAAGTCAGCCTCGTGTGCTGATTGACTTACCGGAGTATCCCTTCAACCACTCCAAGTCATATTGGTTTGAGAGCCGCCTCAGTAAAGGCTACAGGTTCCGCCAATTCGGCCACACGGAATTGCTAGGTACGCCTGAGCCCGACGGAAATCCCATGGAAGCCAGATGGAGAAACATCATCAGGCTGTCGGAGATGCCGTGGGTCGAAGATCATCAGATCAACAATAGCATTCTGTACCCGGGGGCCGGAATGGTGGTCATGGCCATCGAAGCGATCAAGCAACTGGCAGACCGGAATCGAAGCATCGCCGGGTTTGACATCAGGGATGCCGTCTTCTCCTCGGCTCTGCAGATTCCAACCAATGCTGAAGGTATTGAGGTGGGCGTCTACTTGAAGCGGGTCGGTGGTGCCAAAAAGGATGCTACGGGTTGGTTCGAGTACCGCATCTGCACGTACGAAAACGAATCGTGGGTTGAGAACAGCTCAGGGTCGGTCCAGGCTTATTACAAGGCCGACGAGTCAGTACTCAACGTTGGTCATCGCGACGAAGACGAATGGCAAGCTTGTCTCGTGGGTAAATACCAGCTTGCACTCGAGCGCTGTACTACACACGTGGACTCAGTCAAACTCTACCAGAAGCTGCGCAGCTGTGGCTATCACTGTGGTCCGGCATTTCAAGTCATCGAGAGAATTGGTCACAAGCAAGACGAGTACAGGGATTTGATCGCGAAAATCAGAACCTTCCAGCCGAGCAGCATAGGAGGATCAACGACCTATCCAGAACATACCATTCACCCAGCCACCCTGGACGGCGTTGTGCAGATGATGGCAGCGTTGGAGACTGAGGCTGGACAGCGAACTGTTCCCGTATACGTTCCGACACGGATCCACCGGCTCTGGATATCCAATGCCGGCGGACTGAGCCATCCTTCGACAGACGCCATCAATGTCTACGCGACTTCTACCCGTTCCGCCATTGGCGACACGCGGTACTGCATGACAGCGTACGATCGCGACGCCTCCAAGGCCCTCTTGACTTTGGAAGGACTGAGAGTTACTGCGATCGCGAGTCCGGAAGCATCCTCCCCCGTGGATCAGTTCAAAGCCGACAACCTGTGTCATCGTATCGAGTACAAGCCTGACGCTGATCTGCTCAGCAACTCTGACTTCGAGACTGCCTTTTCCATAGAGAAACTTCAAGACCAGAGCCAAGTACAGCATCTGAGGGACATTGAGTTTCTGATTGCAACATACATCAACAAATATGCCGATCAACTCGATGCGATGGACAAGGACACCCTGGCACAGCATACAAGCCTGTACATCGAGTGGATTCTCCAGCGTGAAGAACTAATGGAGCTTGATGCGTCTGACTTCGGCTCCATCGAATGGCGACACCACATGGACGACGAGGCCTATGTGTCCAAAACACACGAACGGGTTGAAAGCACCAGCAAGCGGGGTCTTCTCGTGAGCACGATCTGCAAGAACTTGATCGAAATCCTCGATGATCCTCTCCCCCACCTGTTCAAAGACAACTTGCTGTCGGATGTTTATTCTGAAATGGTGTTCTCTCTTCTTGCTCACTTGATTAATGAGTTAACTTGCTAATATTTCTCTGCCCAGTTGCAAACCCTGCCGGCAACAACAGCCCTAAAGAAGTACATTAATGCTCTCGCCCACAAGAACCCCCGCATGAATATCCTCGAGGTCGGCGCCGGAACCGGAGCGATGACGGAGCTCTGCATTCAGGCGCTGTCGTCATCGGACCCAGAGGGTTCGCCACGTTACGCCCAGTGGGACTATACCGATATCTCGAGCTCGTTCTTTCCTGACGCTGTGAGTCGTTTTGAGACGGAGAAGCAGCGGATGAACTTTCGGGTGCTGGATATCGAACAGGATCCGGAGATACAGGGTTTTGAGTGTGGATCGTATGATCTGGTCGTTGCTTTCCTGGTGCGTGTCGATTCTTCCAAAACCCAGAAACGTCGGCCGCTTATATTGACACCACATAGGTTCTTCACGCAACAGTTGATTTGAAAACCAGTCTGAGAAACGTCCGGAAGCTACTAAAAGTGTACGTTATTGGCAGCACATATGTGGAGCGATACTAACATGAGGTAGAGGTGGGAAGCTATTGCTTTTTGAGATCACACATCCGGATCCGGTTAGGGCTAGTTTTGTCTTCGGACTGTTCGAAGGCTGGTGGCGTGGTAAGGTCCTCGCACTGGTCCTCGTTGAAACTCCACTAATAAACTTGGTAGCGGGTGAACCCTATCGTCAAGATCATCCGTGCGTTGATGTCGACGACTGGGAATGGTTGTTGAAAGAAACGGGGTTCTCAGGATGCGTTCTTGCGATAGACGATTATGTCGACAAGGCGTGTCATGAGGGAACGCTCATCGTGGCGAGTGCCGTGTCTCTGGTGATGGATAATGAGTCCACTACTCTAGTTGATCCTGCTACGGCTGGTGAAACCAATCCTCCCAACTCTGACTCCCAGAAGGAGATCAATATCGTTCACGATACCGCCAACTACACCCAGGCCTATCTTGCAGGTGTACTCGCACAAATCTTGTTCTCTATCGGGTTCCGGAAAGTCATGCTACGCAGCATCGAGGATATTATCAATCGAGACCTTTCCTCTGATGTCTGGGACATATCACTACTCGACTTTAATTGTCCTTTCACATACAATATGACCGGACAAGAGTATGAGGCCCTCCAGCAACTGATGACAACGACCACGAATCTTATCTGGGTCGACGGCGGAGGAGGTCGTGAGCCCTCGCCTCAATTCCGGCTTGTTGATGGCCTGTTCCGGGTTCTCGCGCGGGAGCTGTGCCGGGCGAAGATCACAACCCTGTCCTTGGAGCAGGATGCCTTGTACCTGCATCAAGCGGAACAGATTGTCAAAGTCTTCAAGACCGTCATATCACCTACAGATGACTCAGATACAGAGTACAGAGAGATCGACGGGGTGATCCACACCGGTCGGTTGGTGTCTGCTCGAGCTATCTCTCAAGCCGTGGCCCAGATGAAGCTCCCCCATCAGCAAATGTCCAGGGCATATGGTGCGGGTCCACCGCTACGACTCGAGATCGGCACCCCAGGTCTCCTGCATACGCTTCGATTCGTCGAGGACAAATCTTTACAGAATCCCCTGCAACCAGACGAGGTCGAAATCAAGGTGAAAACTGTTGGTCTCAACTTCCGCGACGTGCTGATTGCTCTTGGCCGCCTGGAGAGCGATACCCTGGGGCCTGAATTCGCGGGAATCGTTGTTCGAGTTGGCTCGGAGTGTCAGCGGTTTAAGGCTGGCGATCGAGTGGTGGTCTTCCACCCGAGTCGCTACGCGAACTTTGTCCGTGTACGTGAGGATATGGCCGTCATCAAGATCCCAGATGACACTATGTTTTTCGCGACCGCGGCTGCGATTCCGGTGGCCTATGCTACTGCGTGGATCACGCTTAGACAGTTGGCAAGGCTGCAACCCGGGGAGTCAATTCTTGTACACTCAGGAGCAGGAGGCACCGGGCAGGCAGTCATCCAGGTTGCGCGGCATCTGGGAGCCACAATCTTCACAACTGTCTCGACCGAAGAAAAGAAGCAATTACTGATGGAGCGCTACCACATCCCAGGAGACCACATCTTTTCCAGCCGCAATACGCTCTTCGCGAAAGGTGTCAAGCGCCTCACGGATGGACGGGGTGTTGATGTGATTATCAACTCATTATCTGGGGATAGTCTCATAGCATCTTGGGAATGCATCGCGCCTTTTGGGCGGTTCATCGAGATTGGAAAGAATGATATTCTGACGAACACGAAGCTTCCAATGCTGCAGTTTGAGAAAAACGTCAGCTTCTCAGCCGTGGATCTAGCTGAGATGGCGTTTGACCGTCCGCGCGTGATCAAAGAAGCTCTGGGGGAGATCTTTCCTTTGATCAAGAGCGGCAGATTGGCACTTCCCGAACCAGTTCAGACATTTGGTATCGCAGATCTTGAGCATGCGTTCCGGCATCTACAAGGCGGAAGGAATTTTGGAAAGGTGGTATTGGAGCTTAAGGATGACGACCAAGTCATGGTACGTTCACAGATAAAGAAAAAAGGAAACCCCGACTAACAGAGGCAGACGGTTCTGGATACCAAGTCATCGTTCGAATTCGAGGGCAACGCGACATATGTGATTGCCGGCGGTTTGGGAGGCCTTGGTCGAAACATCGCCAGCTGGTTCGTGGAGCGTGGGGCTCGCAATCTGATTCTACTCTCACGCTCCGGTCCCAAGGGTGAGCATGCACGAGAGCTGGTCGCGAAGCTACAGCAGAAGGGTGCTAGGGTCGTGACTCCAGCCTGCGATATCACGGATCCAGCGTCGCTGAAAACCCTTCTCGATGTCTGCAGTCAAGTCATGCCCCCGATCAAAGGTTGCGTGCAAGCGTCCATGGTTGTCAGAGTAAGTCACCACCCGAATGTTCCACCACATCAGCTAATAACCCCAACCAGAGCGGTAATTTCGAAACCCTCGATTACGATTCGTGGAAGGCATGCACAGCGCCCAAAGCCCAGGGATCCTGGAACCTGCACGAGCTTTTACCGCGCGGCATGGACTTCTTCGTCATGCTCTCCTCCATCAGCGGGATCTGCGGCCCCATCACAGACGCCAGCTACGCAGCCGGAAACACCTATCTGGACGGATTGGCACGGTACCGCGTCAGCCAGGGCGAGAAAGCCGTATCTCTGGATTTGGGGCTGTTCCTTTCGGCCGGCTACTTCCACGAAAACCCGGACAAGCGGGACCTGTTCCTCGCCAACACCGTCTGGGACGAGATCTCGGAGGCCGACCTACATGCACTACTAGACATCTACTGCAACCCGAACGGCGAGCATATCTCGACCCCATTGGAAAGTCAAGTGGTGGTGGGCATCACGCCACGCACCGCCGAGATGGGTCGCGCCAAAGCCGACTGGATGAAGCGGCCGTTCTTCCGACACCTTGCGTCGTTGCTTGAGACGCCTGCGCAGCCTCTGGCAGCAGCGATTGGGGGCTCGAGCCTGGCGGCACGGTTTGCGGGGGCGCGGACCACGGCCGAAGCGGTCGAGGTGGCTCTGCAGGCGACGCGCGAGAAAGTATCCATCATGCTCTCGGTGCCGGTGGACGAGATCGACGTGGACCGGGCGATCCATCAGTACGGGGTGGACTCGCTGGCCGCGGTGGAGCTGCGGAATTGGTTCTCCAGGGAGATGCAGGCGGAGATTGCCGTGTTTGATATCTTGGGCGGTGCGAGTATTGCTTCGGTGGTGACGTTGGCAGTGGGGACGAGTCGGTTCAAGCGGGAGGATGAGTAGGAGGGCGGGATTGTAATTGTGGGAGGTATTCTGTTGGTGTAGTACAGGGTGATCGGATGGAAGGGATTCAGAATGTAAACAGAGAAAAGATATATGAAAACTGAAGGAATATTCTTATTCCGCTCACGTACCTGTGACTCTACCCTGCTTTTGGGTGAAATCCCCACCACCCCACTAATTTACTGTTAACCTTTAAGGCGATTAGTGACAGGGCCCACCCCCCAATACTAGAGATACAGAAAGTGAAACTTCAGAAACTGTTTTGATTCAATGATAGCCGATGATCTCCTTCTTACTCAAGCTACCGTGTTGAGCCTTCTATATCCCTAATCTGAGCGGGAAGAAATCACCTATTCCTGGGGTTCTGCTTTCTCTGTTAACCCTGATATACTACTATTATAGACTTGAAATGGGGTTTCTGATAGCCAGCCCAGTAAAAGTAGTAGACCACCCCCGACACCGGCCCATCAACACCACATCAATCGACCCACGAGGCTAAATCTAGACTACAATCAACACCCTCACCCCAATAAAAAAACCACTTAAGAAAATTGTTTTGAAAAGTTATGTACAGTACTTGGTATCTGGTTTCGTCAAATCCGGAAACACATCACAAGCTCCCGCGTGGGCGCCTGGACACCTTAAGAACTCGAAAGATATTTCTAGCTATGGATACTAACTACATGAAATAGGATATACTCTGTTCATTCTATCTATCTAGTCACCGCAGGAACTCGAGTATAATATTAATGAGAAAAAGAAGAAAAGAGGCAATTGGATAATCGCGGTGGTATATCCAAATATCTGAATTAACAAAGGTCTTCCCGTTCTGAACATAGCAGATAAAATATGTTAATATAGAGTCCCTGATTCTTACATTAAAGCAAATTAACACTATAAGTACCACTACATCTGTTGATGAGAAGTTACAGGAGGCGAGGTTGTTGAAAAATGGGAATAGTATAAGTTCTCAAAGCCGATTATTGGTATAAGCAAGTCATCCCACCTGCTTTCAAAGAGTATAGTAACCTGTACAATGCTCATAGCAAGGTAGTTTGAGATGTCGGCGCTACGGGATGCTTTATTTGATTCTACCAAGCTTTGCAGCTGCAGTGAGACTGAAGAATATGGAGCTTGCTTTGGGGACTCCTCTGACTCCACTGATGAAGTTGAGGAGAACAACGCAATGGATGACGCGCTGAAGCTACTTCAGTAGGCTTGAAGAAAACATGTCACCTGCAAAATAGTCAACGCAAAGATCAAGTTAGAGCTTCTTGCCCTTGCGGAGCAGATCGCCCCATTGCAAGAACTGCCTCTCTGTTACAATACAGTCAATATCAAAGACCTTAAAGGGTTAATAGAGGTTATTGTGGGAGCGATCGTTTACTGATGCTACAGTAGTGGTGTTATCTACCCTGGCCCTCCGGTTACGAATACAGGTCAACTCTTGACGTCCTTGATCTTCTGTTCAAGCGTCTCTTGCCGATATACACTAGGCGCTATGATAAAATCCGGTTCTGTAACCCATTCGGCAACCCGGTTATTGGATTTGACTTGCCACTCTATTAGATAATGGTATTGTCTCTTGTAAGGCTCAAGGCAATGAAGGAAACGGAAAAAAACCCTTGCTGACAGATTGCCCAATTCTGCCGACCACGTGCTCCAACAATTCGAATCTTCCAGAAACGCCGAGTCTAAAACAGTCTGTCATTGTATGTTGCTATGGAACAACATGTAAGAAACCTGTGTCTCTGCTCACTTGACCGCACCGAAATGTCTGAAAGCTTCGTGAAACCGTTCACTGTCCACAGCGGGACTGCTTAAGTCCTGGATAACGAAAAGGACTCAGCGCCCTGTCACGATATGCTACTCGACCAGGTCCTCTTGACGGTTTAGTCGTCGGTTTCTTTTGCTTTTTGGTTGACCTAGCTTTGCCGCGGCGAACCCGCTCATCCGATTCCAATTCATTTGTTTGTTGTGCTGCGGCAGCTGATGGGCTTGGTGCAGGGCGCAATTCTCGGTAACGAGACTTCTGATTGCCCAGTCGACCATTACTCTCCTGTGATTGTGGTGAGACTTGAGAAGTTAGATATACAGGCTTTCGCTCCGGATTGTCCATTGTATCGCTTTCTAGGGCTTGTTGCTCATCATTTTCTCCCCTGTCAGTGAAGTGGAGGTATGTTAGCCTGACAGAAGCCTCAGAGGTATCTCATATCAACTTACCAGCTGGGCGTCCAAGTGGGAAAAGTTCCGATTGATCTTTCTTGATCAAGCCAGCTCTTGTTGATTGGCGCATACTGAAGAGAAAGGGGGAAGTACGCTGTTGGATCCCCGATTTGCTGATTAGGGCCAACCGGTATCGATAGAGGATTTACGTCCGGACAACTTGCGAACTGGGTAGTCGCCGAAGTATGATCTATACCATGCTCATACATCCCCTGACCTCCACCCGAAGCAGAAATAATTTTAGTCAAGGAATAGTTGTCAGGAAGATACTCTGGTCCCCCAGTCAAACCGGGCCTGTTTCCAAAACCCGTTAATAGCCATCCACAAACTTTTGCACCATGAATTGTCACTCCTCCCCTGATCGCCAGCACTGAAAGTCATCAGGAGAATATCTATTCTTGGTCTGAAAGGCATTGCTCTGGCTGAGCATATGAGACTCTTTCAAACCAGCAGCGAGTGGTGAAGCGGCAATCAAAGATAAGCAAGAGAGCGGTATTCCACAAGGTGTATTTCACATAGGTCGTGATAAGTGACAAGACCCTTGGCCCATACATAAAACACAACTCTGCAGATCCTGCCAATAAATATGCCTTTGGCCCTTGCTCCTTCTCCAGACGTCTTCTAATCTTGCCGCCCGTATGCCTTTCTCTTGGTTTCCTCATATTTGGCCTTCCCTGGACTTTCTGCTGCGCAAGCCTCATCGGTCGTTCACGGCAGCTGTATTCTCTTGTCCCCTTTCTTCTTGACGCTTGATCCAGGCCGGACAGTCCACCGGAGTGGCCGACCAAACTCGCTTTTCTAGTGCCCGATCCTTCATTGAAGAGATGTTTCACTATCAAGCCACCGATTCTCGCTTGCGAAGATCGATTTCAGGTCGCTGCTGACGGTCTTGGAGAGCTGGATGGCTGGAAAAGTTGGGGCGGAGAGGGGGGGGGGGTACGGCTGGGAGTACTTCTAACTTACGATCCCAATTCATCTTCTTGTGGGGAATTCGAGACGCTGAAGCTAGGGTACTGGTTACACTCCACTTGTTGAAAAGGCTCGGGTATAGTGTAATTCTCCTGGTCGCTGTATGCAGGAAATTCCATTTGATATTCCATTACGGAGAGATGTTTAGCCCAGAGAAGGATGAAGTGTTGCGACTAACTTGAGGCGGATGATCACTTCCAAGCCAAATTTAAATTGAGAAGTCTAGTAAGACAAACTGAAGGGGTTGCAAAGCAGGACTGACAGTGAGCAAAGTCAACTATGGCAAGAGAGTCGGTTTTTCTATTTCGTGGACGCGTGCAACTCTGCAGGACGCGTCCACTAAGCCCTCGAGCGCGTTCGACCGCGAGTTGATTTCGTCTTGAAATCAGTTCGAAGGGGATAGAAAATACCACTTTCTCTGGTCAGCGCTTGTGTTGCATGAGTAGTATAGGATGGAAGATAGCCTGGTCCAATCTTCGTAAGAAAAACTAGGGCACGGACGATCATTTCTATGCTAGGTATAGGCGGGTGAGTTGGGCACCTATCGTAATGCATGGTACGGACGACAGAGCGTGACCAATAGCGCTGCCAACAAACATTCAATAGAGTCTACTAATACAGTGAGCTTTCCAATGCGGCACTGTAATGTACATCCCAATCAGATCATTCTGTATTTTGCCTTTCTCCTCCTTCCCAGTGGACCAGCGACTCCCCCCCTTGTCCTCCTTCTTTTCCAAATGACTGACAATATCCAGTTTGAAAGAGCATCTGCTAACATGAAAGACTCTTGACTCGACGAATGATAACCTTGAGAAATAACCATGACGTCTGGAGAGTCTGGGAAACAGGATGTGCGTCCGCCTCAAGAGACACTTGGCACAGACTGGGAAAAAAATGCCGCATAGAAGCAATGTGCAATTCGAGATTTGTGATTCGATTCCAGCTGCTGCAATATTTTTTCTCCAACACAGTTCCAGGTCAAGATGACTATAAGTAGGAGAGGATATCCTTATATGACCTGCCCTATAATTGCAGTTGTCGACCCGGAAAACCATTGAGTGAGAAAAGCCTACTCAAGCCCGCCAGGTTATAACCCACGGACTCCGCCTGTCTTTTCTTTTTTGACCATCATCATCATCATACAAGGACTTTGAACCACAACTCACGAGTTGTATTTCTTTCGACGGTAAGGTTTCTCTGGTGCTGAGCATACTTCACGGAGACCACGCCTGACCAGACCAGAAGACCCTATCTCCTTCACTTGTTGCTCTCGCAAAACTACACCACAGGGTCGTGATAAGATGCAGCGCGAATATCCTCCTCGTCTCTTCGCGAACGAACCACTCTGCTGCGGATTTCCAATGAGCCGCCACCAGACGTACGGTAACAAAAATGGTAACGTGAACCGGCCCTACTACAAGTGCAAGGATTGCAGCGATATGGTGTTTGACGATTGGGAGGGTATTCGTGGCGGAAACCCTGATTGTGCCTGCAATCCCCCAAGAATTTCCCGCGGACAGATAGAGAGGGGCAGTGATTACACCTTCCGCTGCGCGAGGGGCAGATGTGATTTTAAGATGAATATTGAGGATTGGCAGGAGTGATGATTCTGTGATGCTGGGAGTGATGCCGATCATGGACTTATAGTGAGAAGGGACAATAGTATAAGAACGCGTTAAAAATTAGTCGACGACTACCATTTCGTGGGAAGTGTAAGAACTGGATTTTGGTTCTAGGATTGTTGAAACTGAAATACTTGCACTTGTCGCCTGTATCATATTTTCGAGTAAGGTCCCGCTGAGAATGTCGAGTGGCGGAAACCACAACCGATGTGTTATCTGTTCAATAGTTCTGGACAGGTATATATGCAACAATAACTCTTCCAACTTGGGCTGTCAAAAAAAAAGGCTCCAGTAATAGGGGAGGGCCAGGACTATACCTTGCACTGTGTCCGTTGCCACCGTCCTATTGTTAAGTATTGATTTTCACTTGATTGAGAAATGGATACTTATTGGTGGAACTTCATTATATGCCCGGCCCTCCTCCCATTCTCCAAATTCTAGTAGTGGAATTTTCTGTCATTGTAAGATTAAAGGGTAACGGGCTGTGAGAATACGTTGTCCATAGGCAACGGTTGTCGCCAAAAGTGTTAAGATATGATAGAGAGCTAGTGTTATGACCGAAGTTTCTTTTGGGTTTGGTGCAAATTGAAGAATTATTCTGACTCCCAAGTCGCGTGTTCGTGTACTGTAGACGCTCCTATAAAGCTTTATAATAAAAAGGATTTATTATGCTGGTTTCGCTGGAAGCCTGGTTATTGGTAGCCTAGGTCCTTCACTGGCTTAATAATATCTAGCTGTTGTTTATCCACAAAAAAAAACTGAAGTCTGCCTATATCAATACTTCTCAGATCATCTGTGATATTGAAAATTAAAAGTAGTGAATCAGGCGCGAGGCTGAAAGGGCTCCTGATATCTGCTGTTGGCCAACTAGGGGTCAAGCCGTCATGCGGGTTGATGCCACATGAGATCTGCCAGAAACCCGGCACAGACATTCCATGGTCTGTCTGATTTGCCCAAGTGTTACCATGAGAATGAATTCTAGTGCGATGCCTGACTATACTCAGAGGTACTAGTTATGACTAGGGTACCGTGTATGAAGCGGGAATCATGCACTGTATCTCCTTAAATATGATTAGAATAGTGTATAAAAGACGGGTATTGCTCCTGTTAAGGCCAGTATATTGGACTAAGAGTATCTTACACATCCCCTATAATTTTGATGCGGCCAGTTCAATAAAACAAGCACACTAGCATCCTAGCAATAAGGTTCTAAAACAATAGTAATGTGTTTGTTGGTCAAGCCAATGTTAAAGACCTACGGTATCTTGATACGCTTTATACATCTATACGACAAGATGGTCGCAGAATATTTGATCCAATAACGCGCGGCGATATTGAAAGTGGATTGATTGTACTGTGTCAAGCGGCCGACCATGGAACGACCGACCATGAAGCGACCGACCACGAAGCGACCGACCACGAAGCGACCACCACCGAAAAGACCACCGAAGAGACCACCACCGAGAAGACCGACATTCAAAATATCCTCCAAGATCCAGATTCGAAAGCTCTTGCAAGATATACAGGGGGGCTAATACGAAGACGAACAACAACTGCGTATACATAAGCCAGGGACTCAAGGATGTACCAGCGCAACAGTGGGTATGTTTACTATCTAGAATACTAAGGTCCCTCTTGACTATCGTCGTAGATCCGCTAACTAAGGATATGATATTACCAATAACTCATAAGATTTTACATGAGCACAGCTAGAGTAGTAGCGGTGTTGAGCATATTCCGAGGTGGGAACCAAAAAGAATTGACAGTCCTTGTTTTGATGATGTCCTCAGATTCATGTCCTTTATACTAAAGATCTATTGGAGCATCAGTTAGCTATTGAGTATGCTTGGAGCGGACAGTAAGCTTCCCCATAAAGAATACTTTCCAATCTGTGAGGCTGGAGTATACAGCTCATCCAGGGCATCTAGCACTACCAACCTTCACTATTCCTTCTATAAAACAAAAGAGCAGCCTTCCCACATACAGGAGACATTAGACAGTAACATCCAACCTCAATCCCTCAAGCTAAACCCAGCCTGTGTACGAATACAATCCACAATGTCCACAACCAAACCCAAAGTCCTCCACATCGGCGACAACATCAAATACAACCACGAGCTCTACGCGCGCTTCGCTTCACAATTCGAGCTCATCCAGCCCAGCGCCGCGGAGCGCTCCCGTGCCGAATTCAAGCGCGCCCTGCAAGAGGGACGATGGGGCAACTTCCACGCGATCTTCCGGCCCTTCTGGAACACAGGCGGCGAGATGAGCAACTGGGACGAGGAGCTGATCTCGTTGCTACCGGCGAGCGTGCAGATTATCGCTTCAGCAGGGGCAGGCTATGACTGGGCGAACGTGGAGTGTTTCGCGCGATATGGTGGGTTGTTCCCTTTCCCAGACAATCCCAACCCCATCCCCCACCCCTTTTCCCACCCTACCTTAACAGAATACATATAAAAGGAATCATCCACTGCAACAGCGCAGCAGCCCTCCAGCAAATCTGTCACAGACACAAGGCTCTTCCTCCTCCTCAGCGTCTTCCGAAACCTCCGCTGGTCCCACGCCGCAGCGCACAGCACCTCCCCGCACGCCTTCCACGACGGCGCACACCCACTCCCCTTTAACCGCGCGCAACCCATCCACCCAAACCATCGGCATAATCGGCCTCGGCGCAATCGGGCTCACCATCGCGCGAAAAGCCCGCGCCGCGTTCCCCGGGATCCGGGTTGTGTACCACGATCTCGTGCGGAAGGGCCCCGAGCTCGAGGGCAGTATTGACGCTACCTACGCCGCGACGCTGGAGGGGGTGTTGCGGGCCGTGGATTGCGCGGTGCTTGCGACGTCGTTTGCGGGGTGCACGCTTATTGATGCTGCAGCTTTGGGAAAGTTTAGGCGCGGGGCAGGTTGGTGGATATTGCGAGGGGCAGGTTGGTCGATGAGGAGGCGCTTGTGTGGGCTTTGGATGAGGGGGTTTTTTGAGTGCGGTGGGCTTGGACGTGCATGCTTCGGAGCTCGTTGTGCATCTTCGGCTCGCGGCCAGTCGGAGGGTTATGATGCTTAGCCATGATGCTGGGGGGCGGTGGATACACATGTGGCGGTTTGAGAAGTTGGCTATGGAGAATCTTCTCGGGTTTTTTGGGGAGGGGAGGGCCGTGACGCCTGTTAATGCGCACTTGGTAAAGATGGATAAAGGGGGGGGGGGCAAACTAAAGAGTTTGTTGTAGTGGCTCTGCACCTTGAGACAGGTCATGGTTGGGAGATGTGGATGGTGTTGTTTATGTATGCTTTATCTGGTCGGCTTCATACCTCTATATTAAACACATGCAGAGCCATATCCTATCTTTCCTCTCTCGACGCCTGAAAATCGAACAGCCGCCAATTGAAACGCGCACAGCGCTTGAGAGATGATTACACCCCCTATAGTTATCTACTCGTTATAATGATACACCTGTTCATCGTCAGTCAACTAGATCCCCAAACAAAGCTAGCAACACTTACAAAATAATCCGGCAACCCATACACCGAATACCCCAGCCGTCTTGCCATCTTGGCAAACCCCTCCGTCTCCACGAGATGGTAGAACGGAAACGCAGGAAACATGGCCCCGTCGCGATGCACGTCCGCCTTGACCATCAACGCCGTACCGCCCACGCCGTCCAGCTGGATCTCGCGCTCGGGCCGCGGATAGTCCTTGTTAGCCATGTGGGCCATCAGGCTGCGGTAGGTCGGGAGCTCGGCGTAGCCCTCCAGCAGGATCTCGTCGGGGCCCATGATATCGGCCAATTGCTGGGCGGTGGAGCTATCGATCCACGAGTTGAAGTCATAGGGTCGGACATCCATCTTCTTCACGTCCTTGTTGTAATACCGCTGGAAGCAATTCGGCACAATCACGGGCCGGTCATGGGCCGTGAGGTCTTGGATCAGGGTTGGGGGCGTCTCGACGATGTCCGAGTCCAGCCACAGCACCCACGAGGTACTGGGGCCGAGGGTCGTGAACAGCAGACTGTTGCGCGCCAGGCTCATGGACTCGCGCCGCGCCTTCTGGTTCGACATCTTGTGCCGCTCCTTCTCGTCCTGCGACTGGATCGGGGGCTCGAAGTCCTGCCGCAGGATGCTGATGCTGGCGAACCGCTCGGCCACCGGTCCGTTCTGCGTCTGTCCGATCGCCCGCTCCAGCGCCGCCACCGCCGCGTTGCCCCCCTTCGTCTTCGGCACGATGAACCCCACTGAGATCAACTCGTGCGGGTAGCTCAGCTTCACCACGTTGTCCCAGTATTCCTGGTAAAATCGCGCCAGCGGCGTCAGGATGAGCACGCGCTCGCCCTTTCGCGCTGAGTCGCTGGTGCTGGTCAACGCGTTCAGGTTGTAGTGTTCGACCGGCGGGGGCGCTTGGTGGCCATCGTGTCGGACCGATTGGGATTTCACGAACGGTTTCGTCGGCGGAGAGAGAGGGTGTTCGGCCGCGTCTTCGAGGCGGAGTTGCGACGAGGCCGATTCGATATCGGGGGTGTTGCCGCCGGCGGCGGCGGCGGCGGCTGCAGGAACGGGAGAAGGTGAAGGGGACAGCAGGAAGCAGAGAAAGCCGAAGGCTAGGAGCGCCGCCAGTATGAGGGTGATGGGACTAGTGCGACGCATGTGGCGTGCCGCGGCCATCGTAGCCAAGCCCGACTGTAAGATAAAGAATTAATCTCGAGCGCGCAGGGAGTGACTTTCTCCGTCTTGTATTGCTTGAAGAGGTGAGGAAAAGAAGCGATCAAGGTGGTTTCTGCGGTGGTCGATTCGGGGCTAGATCGACGATCGGGACTGCGGTCGCTCCGTCTGGCCCGGAAGGAATTAACGGGGAGGATTCTAGCCAGCAAGATGACAAGGAGAAGAAGAAATTACCAGCCGTCCCCCAAACATACTGTAGAAGAAGAGAAGGTGGGAGGGGAGAGACGGTGGAGGGTTGGAGGTGGTGATGGGGAAAGAGAAAGATGAAGATAGATGTGGTTCAATGGAAGCCTGCCGGGATTCGAAACGGACGCGCGGACCGAATCCAGCCAACCTCTCATCTTCAAGGTTCAATCCTCCGCCCACACTCTCTCTCCAACCCAATCCAGGCTCCCTCACCATTATTCGACTACTACGTCCGTACACCTCAGCGCCCGGTTCGTTGCAACGATCTGCATCCAGCCAGAGACGCCAAGCTCCGTTTTGCTCCCAGCAAGTTGCATTGGGGCCAGATCTGGCCGGATGCGGCCGTCGCACTGCAGAACTGCCAAACCAGCCGGTCTTGCGACTGTTTCCAGTCTTCAAATTCAACCCTCCCTGGAAAAATGAATGGGTCTAACTTTTTCGGTTCTATAATTAAAGGGTCTAGATATGTCTAATGTCGTTAATGCGTTCTTACAATAGAGGGGGGCAATCACTATAGGCCCAAATCTATGGCAGTGACCGCATCACCCCCTCGAATGCAACCAATGCCATGGCATTCGCCGGGAATGCTCGCAAGAAACACGGTACAAATCCCCTCCAGTACCCTCTCAGTCCGCGTTCCCGATACACCGTGATTGCTGCATCTTTCCACCGGCGGAACCTGCGTTCCCCGTCCCCTAAGGCTCCTCCCATTGGGTCCGTCATGAGCCGTTGCTTCACCACGTCCGACGGATATGAGGTGAGCCAGAAGATCTGCGCCGAGATACCACCCGCCCAGAAGTTGATCGCGGGGGCAGACAGACTGGTTTTCTCCTTCATCAACCGCGTCAGGACGTCATATGAGCCCCACCAGAAGAAAAAGAAGGCGCGGAAGATAATGGTTGCGCAAAGTCCGCGATAGAGCCCCGATATCCCATGCGTCCGAAGCTGCAGCAAAGTCATCAGCCAATCTATCTTGACCCAAGCATTTGTATAAAGTCAAGACTTACCAGTTTCCGCACGCAGTCAATAGGGCCGGAGTACATGCGCTTCGTTTTATCCGCCGAGTACTGAATCTGCAGCCGTGCCTTGACATGTTCCACCGGCGCCGCGATAAAGCTAACAGTTGTCCCCGCCATGATCCCTGCGATACCATGGCCGAAACTAGGCAGAGTGTTGGGATCGGTTTGGCGGCCGCTGAGGGGAGTCATGGCGCGTATATGAGGCTTCGAGAAGACATTCTCGAGTAGCAACCGGCGGTATAACGTCAACGACCCCAACATGCTAGAAGAAGAGCCGATGGTCAATCTCTTGCCTTTACCCCCGCAGGACCCCAGAAAGCAGGACTTACACCGAATCCATGACCATCCATCCGACCAGCGGCGGCGTCGCTCCCTTATACAACCCGCTCACGCCCTCCTTCCGCACCGTCTGTAGTACGCAATCCAACGGGCCCCTGAAATGTGATTCGTGACTCGTCTGCAGGCGCACTTTGACTGTATCGAACCTGCAACGTTATGGTTAACTCACGGATATGGTAGCGGGTGAAGCGACGGAGTTGACGTACGGATGTCCCACTGAAGTAGCGTACAGATTAGCCTTGAGTTCTCCTGCAGCTTCATCTAGAGCCAGAAAGCAGGAACGTACCTGTTAACTTGGCAATACCAGAGAATACGCCTGCAACGAACCCCTTGTAATCGCGCTTCGAGCTCGTCGAGGGAGGCGGGACTCCGCTCTCTGTACCGGCCTTGGCCATTTCTTGTGACAGCGGGCGCTCCGCTATACTGGCCGGTGACGAGGTGATTGATGTGGGGGTCGAGGACATGTTGGAAAGGAGAGTGTTTTTAGGGATGTAAGGGAGATTGTGTATCGCAATCCCTCATGCACAGGCCGTAATATGAGGTGTTTCGAGTGCTGTGCCTGGCCGACAGGTATAAAATTCGGTCGCAGGATTGCGTCGCGGTCCGTTATCGGACGAGGGATCGAGGAACTTAACAGACTTGAATGTCGTCCATGGGTCGAGAAAAAATTGATAACAGAAATGATCTAAACAATTAGAGATACGACAGCAATGCACTATACAAGAACCATAGAGGTGAGGAAAGAGAGGCAGTCGTGGGGAAGACGGAAAAGATGGGGGAGAGAAATAAGACGAGGAGCAATCCGATGCGGCCCCGCAAAATCCGGCGGCTCGGGGAGTTGTACGCCAGCTCCGGACGGGAAGACTGCCGACCGGTCGGTCACTCCCTTCGCGGAGGCTACTCTTTCCGTATCGGTATTAGTAAATATGATCATACAAAGACATCGAAGAACACCAAAGTATGAGTAAAGAGTCAATGCCTGCTGCATCGATCTGGGCGGGTTCTATGCATGTTTCAGTCTAGCCTCGAGGAAGACAGTCTGTTTCTGTGCAGTCCCCGGGAGTCAAAGCTAAGTCTAAGGTAAAAGTAGATGTTATCCCAAATGAGGACAACATCGACACAGGAGAAGTGTAGGGAATAATGAACCGGTCAAAGTGGTGTGTAAAACAGTAGCCGAAAGAAAAGAAATAACAATGTCTGGGTTTGGCGATATGGGGTATAGGCGCATGATCTCATAATACACGAAAAGAAACAATAGGCAGGGTGAGTCGAGTTTCTCGCAGTAATCCATCCGCTCAGTATCCCTTCATTCCCTTTCTGGCCTTCGAGCGTGCCCTTTCAGCCTCGCGAGCGATGAGCCTGTCCACCACATCAGGCGCCGGGCCAGAGTAGTGGCTGTCTCGCGCAGTGAGGTCGGCCGAAGTCGTGCCTGAGCCCAGGTATCCTCCCGCATCCTCGAGGGCGAGGGGTGTGACTGGGCCAGGACTGCGCAAGGGGTCAAGACGGGGTGCAGATGGACTGGGCGAAAGCGGGCGAGAAGGAGCCTTGACAAGGAAGTTTCCATCCACTCGATCCCGATACTGCCACATGGTTTCGCGAGAGCTGGCTGACGCACGATAGCCATGCTGTCGGGATTGTCGAGGTGACGGAGGCTGCGCAGATAGAGTTTGCGAGGTGCCCGAAGATTGATAGACTGCGGGATGGAACCGTGGCAGGCTGCCGAGATGAAATGCTGGCGCGGATTTGGAAGAGTTCCCACCCCGAGCCCGCGACGGCTGCGGGGAGAGAGGGCGACCAGCTGACGACATGGAAGGAGTTGCGACCGGCGCGTACAATGTCGAGCTATCAGAACGCATTCTGGAGGATTCAGAGAAGTGTGGGCGATGCACCGGCCGAGAATGTCTCCTGTGCGTCGGTTTTTCACGGCTTCTGTCGGGGACTTGCTCACGGTGGGCAAAATAGTAACCCTTATCGAAGCGTCCAGTCAATGGAGTCACGGGAAAGTCTTGATCGTGTATGATGTGAGACCGCTTCGGTATGGGTATGGGGCGAGAGGCAGATTGGTTGAGGTTGAGACCCGCTAAATAGTCTGTGGTATCGGAGACGGGAGACTGGGGGGATGGCGGACTATAAGTCGACGAGGTCGCCGTCAATTCTTCAAGGGATGACAACGAAACTCTGGTGGGGTGGCCGTGTCTCGCAATAAGACTTTCGAGCTGATCTCGGGCACGAAGACTTGAGGGATGATGGGAAGGCGACAAAGGCAACGATGAAAGATTGGCTAAGAGCACGCGATCAGCTTAAATCATTGGGAATGTGCAGAACAAGCGCAAAGCCAAATGCCACACGTGTCAGGCAGAGATAATCTTGATCTCTGTCAACAAGTGAAGATGAAACAACGAAGCAGGTCACCAGAGGGTCAGTGTGATACAGGAAGAATGCAAGCGACCCAAAGAGGAGAGCACATTCCACCAAGGAGGGTGGGAAGATCTACTGGCAGAAGGTGGGGCAAAGAAGATCGATGGGTAGAGGAAGTAGAATGGACGAATAAACGACCGAAGGCAAGAAGAGGGACAAAATGACCTACCGCTAAGCAATGGTGGAGAGTGAATTGAACTGTAGGAGGAGGACGGATAGAGAGACGGCGAAGACGATGCAGATGCAGATGCAGATGAGGAGGAGCAGGAGGAGCAGGCCGAAGGGGAGGAAGGCGGAAAGGCAGCCATTGAGGGTTTTATTCTGGGAGTTTTATTGACTGTCCCTTTTTTCTGTTCCCTGTTCAAATTAAATCCCGCTTTTCTGGATCCAACCAGTGCCGAGTGTGGATTCAACGGATGGGATGATTTGAATCCAGGCACCCCAGATGCCTTCTCCTGAGTCCTGACAGCGGCTGTTGGTTGCCAAGCTAGGCAACCCACCGTCTGCTCGCAGCTGTTCTATACGGGGTTCGTTTCCTTGTACGAGGTACTCGAGGTTGTCCCAGGATTACGGATACTATATCAGCTTGGATATTGTCCTCGGCCGACGAAATTCACGCAGGGGAGGGGGGGAAAAGTTCGGGTCTGTGTCTAAATTGATCGTCAGCTTGCGGGGAAACTCAAACAAAGTTGACAAACGCAAGAAAACCAAGAACCAAAAAAAGCCCATGGCGTCATGGCGGGAGACGCGGGAATCCATCATTGTTGCTCTTGTTGCTGGAAGGAAAAGAGAGGGGCAAGCGGAGTTGCACACCGTATGGTACGGTATGCGATATGCATATTGGATAAAGTGGGTTCCACTTCTTTCCGCTTGCTGTTGACTGCTGTTGCTGTTGCTGCTGCAATATGCCCGCCTTAAAACATCAAAAGGATGCACACCCCACCACGGTAGTGGCTGCATCCTTTAAAGAAACTCGATCACGAGACTCAGGACCATCGGCCATTGGGAGATGTAGTAAAACGAAAATCTCATGCACCACGTACCGATCAGAATTCTATCTTCATTTGGTGGTTGAATGTGGAAGTGGACGATTCGTTCCTGAGGAACCGACGGACACTAGTCACAATCCGGCTAGCCTTCCAATGACGCACCGCCCTTCGTTGACTTGTCAAAGAATTGTACGTAGATGGAATGATGCCAAGTCGGCCCAGGATAGGAGTACACAAGCGAGGAATGAGAGGTAAATGAGTGAAACAATCAAAAAGGAGAATAGAAGAATGTTGAGTGAGGCTAGTGTGGTTGGTGGAAGCCAAGGCTGGTCACACCTCATGCAAAAGAAAAAGTAAAGTGGGAACAACAAGGAGGAGGAAAGAATAGGCTGATTGACAACGCATGAGGGGGTCTTGGCAGGCTTGTAAAGGAGTCATCGGTCGTATTCATTCAATACAAATAGTTCAAAGTACTGTTGTAAATACCTCAGGCAACCAGATGAGGGGGGTGGACTAAGCGGGGCAGAGCAGCGAGTGAGGTAAGTGACTGGTGCATTGATCGTCTCCGGATAGTTTGTGCGACTAAACAAGCAAGCAAACAACCAAAATAACTACTCGCTCCCTGCATGGGCTTCGCGTCTGTTTATAACCCTGCGAATGCTGCGGAAGGATTCATATTCTCCGCCTGATGCTTCGTTCAGCCGTTAAAACCTGTTGCAACCACACGCGGGAAACTCGGGTGACCAGGCCCGTTAATATCACCAAAAATAATCCGACTCAGGACACCGCTCCGATGGCAGGCAGCTTTAACTCACAGGGCGAGGAGTGAATACAAATGACGATCTCTCGTTCTTAGTCTGCCGAACTGAGACGGTCCTGCCCTGGGCAAGTCGAGAGTGAGTACCCCTCCTCCTCTAGGGTGTCTCGTTCTAATCATATCGGTAGCACGTCCGCCGATCCAGCTGTATCATATCTGACAGGCGATTGGCTGCCAGCACCATCACACACCATCAGTGGCTGATGGAAATAGATGGTGCGAGACGACCATGCAAGACATTGTTGACAACCCTCAACGATATCCGCGTGTCGTCACCCCAGATCCAAGCAGTTCAGACTGCACAGTCGATCTGCAGCTATCTGTGCAACCGTGGACTGGGTTATCACTCCGGTCGGGTGGGGAGGACGGGACTTAGGGCTGGAACTTTTTTCATCCTTCTTCCTGGTTGCTCTGATGGGCTGGGAGAGGAATGCGATGTGATGGGGTAGGGGACGTCTCCAGCACCATCAAGCCGGGTAAGCTTGAGAAGTATGTCGCAGCCGACAATATGAGTGGATGGCACCAGCCATCCACACCGGCTTGGGCGATCAGAAGACTTACTTAGTACTTCAAATCACCCCTCCATCACCGGCTTTCGCGCTTGTCTCCTACACCAGTCACTCTGTTCACGACTTTTTCTAGTGCAGAGGGTGGTTTCGACACTTCTGAGTCGCGACCAATCAGGGAACTAGCCTATGAGTCACCTTAGCACTCGACTACTCCAGCCACAGCCACTTCTAGACTGGTGATCGAGCCAAGTGGTTTATTCCAAGGAAGAAGACTGGACGCTCGCCCATCATCCGCCCAGGCAGTTTTGTGCGTTGCTATTTACGATCCTGCAATCTGCATAGGTTCGATCCATATGGGCGTAACACCCTTGTTTGAAAGTGCAGGCACCAGCATAGATCGTAAATTGGAGATCTCCAGGACGCAGTACGTTCAGAATCTTTTCTGGCCGGTTGGCCTATCCAAACGTAACGGCCGCCTACGGGAGATCGACTAAGCTGATAAGCCTGGCCACACAAGTTCTGAACGAGTTTATTGATGACAGATGGCGGCTCGGATATGGATGAATCACGCGTATCGAGGCAATCTATTAGCGATAGCACTATCCTCTGTGACTCGAAAGGCCCCTGCCCAGCTGGCAGGGGCGTTGCCCATCAACCTCTATTACCCACTGTGGTTATGAATCCTGTCACACCCTTCCCTGGCACTAGTGATCAGATAATATATCGCTCGAAAGTTATTGGCGCCCTGGAAGATCGCTCTGCAGGTCGCAGAATAGGACATGATCATGCAGGTCTGATTACCTATCTCTCTGGCCATCTTCCTGCTCTTCAACGAGTCAGTTGCACAGTTGGTATCACCTTGACTTGCCAGTCAACTCCACACTGCGGGAAAATAAACCAACCACTCATATTGTTGATGACCCCTTACGGTCGCATACCGTCGGAGGAGGTGAATAATAACTTGGTGTGGGAGGATCGGGGTAGAGCTGCCGCGACGTTCAGTCCCGAGGACCTGCACTAGTCCCGCTCACGGAGCAGGGGCACTGTTCCTGTGATCCATTTGATCCTGGTAATATTGCAGGCCTACGCGCATGAATTGATCAGCTAGAGATGTCGGCGCGGATACGGAGGTGACTGTGGCTGGTCAGATCCAAGGCACCAGCGTACATCAAGAGGATGTTGGAGAAACATCATGATTCACAATATATCCATTCCTTTTTGAACGATGACGATGACGACATGGCGCGTGGTGCTTTTCACTAGTCTCGAAATCGTGGACGTTTTGACCTTGCACTTGTATAGTAAGCTTTTAAGCTATGGCGATTTTGCACTAGTGCTTATCTTTACTCACTCTAACACATGACTGAATAACCAGTTGTTGTGGAAGTTGTGCATACAATTTAAGCACTAGGAATTGTGTTTGCCTGAGCACAATTCAACCTGGGTCTGGCGGGCCACATTCAGTAGTTTCAAAGAATTTTTACCCAATTCTTATTGAGATCCCTACTATAGCCTTTAAACTCAAGTCTCCCTATGGACCAGACATAGAGTAGTGGTAAGCAACCAACCCACGCCAGGCTGGGTCTGTGTGAGTCTGTCTAAGAGCCTGATAGTAAGGCATCAGAATCGATATCCTGTAAGGGGAAAAAGCCCACGCGCTCCAAGACTGAAAGCTAGCTTTCCCCCACTGTATGTTGGACGTCAGTACTTGGTCAATCAAAAAAGTCGCGGTCATGTGCTCGGGCTATTGATGTTGAGCGACCACAAAGCTAGCGGAACCTGGCTTGTCAACCACCTCAACCCACTGCTGCCAATCTTTCTTGTCTTTCACAGAAGTATTCTGAAGAGTCCGAATGATGAACAATGCTTTGTCTGATTTACACTCGACCACATTCCTATACGTGTCATCTATTCACATATAAGTGAATGAGTAAACCTGGTGGCACTAAGCGAGCCTGACCAACAAACGCCGCGGCCCACGAAGAATGCTCATGATGCTATGGTATTATATCTTTGTGGTTGTGACGATCTTATCTGCATCTTTCGCATCCAAGCTTATCCCAAACATCCGCTCATGCCGTGATCCACCGGAATACAAGCACCGTTGATCAGGTTCGATCCTGGCCCGGAGGTGATCGAGAGACACAGATCTGCGACTTGCTCAACATCGCACATCTCCACATTGGCAGCGGTCATCAATTCCATTGCCTTGTCCTTTCCCTCCTCGTTGATGCCCGTCATGAACGCATCCGTGATATTTGTCGTCATCCCGCCCATCATCAGAGCGTTGCACCGAATCCCTTTCGATCCATAGAAGGTCGCTGTATTCTTCGTCAAACCTACAAGGCCATGCTTGCTCGCCGTGTATGCAGCGCCTGCCACGCTTAAGATTAGCTCAGACGCATAAAGATGACAAAGATGGTAACACATACCAGCCGCAAAGCCTGCCTTGCCCGCCAACGACACAATGTTGACAATACGTCCATCCACAACATCTCTTGCCAGCATATTCTGCACCGCCAACTTGCTTAGTAGGTATGGCGCCGTCAAGTTCACCGCAATCACACGATTCCACAAGGTTTCATCTAGCTCGCCGACAGGATCAAACCGGTCCATGATTCCGGCGTTGTTGATAAGGATATCGAGCTTTTGGAATCGGTTGACGATTCCCTTGAATAGAGTTTGCGCGTCACAAGCAGAGGTAATGTCGGCCTTGACGGTCAGAAGCCGGTCAGCGTGGCCTCCGGCTGCGAGTTCTTTGGCTGTCTGGTCGAGGCGGTCCTCGTTGATGTCGCAGATGACGACGTTGGCTCCAGCTTGAAGGTACCGGGTCGCAAGGGTCTTCCCGAGACCGCCTGCACCGCCGGTGACGAGGCAGGTCTTGCCTCTCAGATTCATTGACATATCGGCTGATTCAGGTAGTGTTTCCTGATCGAGACTGCATCAACAGACATACATCGGAGCTTATATACTAGTCTTTCGTAGTCGAAACAGCAAATTTGCGTTGCGTATGCCCTCCCCCACCGTGACCGCGAGAGTCTTTCCCCTGAGCCAGTTGTATCAGGCAGTTTATGCCCATTCAAGAACCAAGCAAGTGGGCATTTGAGGGGGAAATCGCGTATTGGCGGCATTTGGTTGTCGTATTTGCGTATCCGGGCCATACGGGGGGCGCATGTGGATCCCTTGCTCGATGCTTGTCTGAAAAGCAAGGGGATACGGCGCAATACGCGAGTGGGTACACCACCAATGTCAATTCGGTGCGACTTGTCTTAATAAATGCCTGGATGCCTTGAGTTTGGAACTCTGCTTTGTTGGCCGACGTTGCAGTTAGTTTCGGTCTCCACCTCGATTTGACCTTGCTAGCCGAGCATAACCAACCTTAGGCACCCCAGGAACGAGGCAGCCCAGCGAAAAGTATTCAGAAATTGATGTGATGCAGTACTCAAAAACCCTGCCAGCTATCCCGTTCACACCTACAATAATCTTCAGCTTTCTGTTCCTTCGGCACCTTGGTGTGAAATCAGTTTTCAAAGACGAGAACGCAACGTGTAAGAGAGACAGGGAATTCAAGTTCGGGCCATTTTTATCCTCCTGACTAGAAGAAGGCATGGCTGATGTTTCCAGTCACTCGATTGAATACTTTTCGCAGCCTGATACGTTGGATCTCACGGTCCAAACCACGTTACTTGTCTGCTATCGACAGTGTTCTTAAATCGCAACTGAGTGGCAACAGACAGCAGTCAAATGCAAACAACCAACTGCATCTCAATGAAAGTTTGCGGAACTATGATCTTAGGGTCATGCTCTTTGCAACATCAATCGGCTTATGCTTTTCGCACAGATGCTTGTATATTTAACAGTAGTGTACTGTTGAATGCTCGCAAAGCGCAGCAAGAAGATCAGCAGCAAGCGGCGACCTCGGCTTTCGTTTATGGCATTTATGTTCCACGCAAGGGTGTAGCGTCTCCGTTTATCTGCCGGGGTCTACTCCGAGCTGAGATCGACTTTTTTTAAAATTTGGGACTTCCCCGCGTTTAATCTCTCCTAGGGGATTTCTTGTGGGTCGGTCTAGCTTGGATGCATATCACGCCCTCTATTAGCATAGATGGGTCTGGACTGTGACGATTCTGCATTCCGCAAGCTTCTGTCATCGAATCGTTATCGCGAGCCATGCTAGGCGCTTCTAGGTGGCCATGACCCTGTCGGGCTATTCCGGAGTGGTAAACGCGATCCCCGAGTCCTTGTCCTCGAATATCATGTAGGGGGTTTTCTCCGGCTGTTGAGATTGTTGACTTGATTTTGCAAGTGGTACCACGCAGATAAAAAGCAGTTTGAATCCAATGATGAGCCAACAGCAAGAATTTCTACATCTAATAAGGAACGTCTGTCGCTTGATAAGCTTATCACGATGGCATGCTTGTTACACAAAGCAATTACTGAGGGTATGAAACATTGTGCTATTTGTCCCTGTCTCCTTGATGCTCCACTGTCCGTCGCGAAGACTTGCTCTTTCCGGTTAAGCTGCAGACTAAACTGCTGCTGGCTATCTTATCGTCACCCCGGTTATCGCTTCCCCAGTTTCATCGGCATTGGTCAAGTATCTACTAAGTTCTTACTTGGACGGGCGGCAGTTGCTGCATTAACGCGCTCTCATCATGACACTTGATAAATAGTCTTGCCTACGCTCAATTATGAGCGTCTGCATACTCGGGCATGATTCGACTTGACAGAATACCGCTGACATGATTACACAAGAAGATGAGATTCAGCAAATTCCCCCGACTTCCACGGGGGAGGATGTTCGCCTGGAGCATTTGGGATATGAGCAAGGTATGTCTGACCGATGATGCCTGACAAAGGTATGCTGACTGTATCTGGGGTAAAGAGCTCAAGCGGTCTTTTGGACTGTTGGGCATGATCGGTTTCAGTTTCAGTGTGGTCACTTCGTATGTCGCATTTTGATTCCAAGATCCCAAGATATCAAATTACCAACCTCTAACCCAACAACAGCTGGACGGCGCTTAGTGGTGTCTTCATTGTCGGTGTCACTTCTGGAGGTCCACCGGTCATGGTCTTCAGCTTTATTGGTGTCAGCCTACTCACCCTTGCCGTGGCTATTCCCATGGCAGAGATGTGCTCCATGTATCCGGTAGCTGGAGGCCAATACTCCTGGGTTGCAGCCTTAGCCCCTCCCAAGATTGCTCGAGGGTTATCATACGTCACCGGATGGTTCATGCTGATTGGTGCGCTCTCCCCCTGTCTTCTATACTTATCCGTCAATGCTAAGAGCACATCTACTCATAGGCCTCCTGGCAATGGGCGCGACGAACAACTCCATTGCAGCCCAATTCGTCCTCGGGATGGCAAACCTCGTCTTCCCCTCGTACGAAATCCAACGCTGGCAAACGGTCCTGGTCGCATACCTCGTTGCACTCCTCGCTGCCGCCATCAACATCTGGGGCCCTCACCTCCTCAACCGGCTAGCCCGCTTTATCCTCATCTGGAACATCAGCGCATTCTTCATCACCATCATCGTCCTCCTCGCCACCAACGACCACAAACAGCCCGCCTCCTTCGTCTTCGTGGGTTTCCAAAACACAACAGGCTGGGACAAGGCCATGGCAGCCATCGTCGGTATCCTCCAAGCCTGCTTCGGGATGTGCTGCTACGACGCGCCGTCCCACATGACGGAGGAAATGAAATCCGCCTCCAAGCAAGCTCCGCAAGCGATCATCCTCAGCGTGGTCCTAGGTGCAATCACAGGCTTCGCCTTCCTGCTGGTCCTGTGCTTCTGCATAGGCGACATCACAGAGACCGCCAACTCCGCCACCGGCGTGCCCGTCATCCAGATCTTCTACGACTCAACCGGCAGCAAGGCCGCCGCCTGCGTGTTAGCCGGCATGATCGCGGTGATCGTCATCGTGGCAGGCAACAACATCCTCGCCGAAGGCTCGCGCTGCGTCTACGCCTTCGCGCGCGACCACGGCCTGCCCTTCAGCACCTTCCTCGCCAAAGTCGACAAGAAGAAACAGGTTCCCGTCAACGCGATCCTGCTTGCATTGATCGTTCAGCTCGCTCTCGGCGCGATCGACTTCGGCACCAGCACAGGCTTCGAGACCGTTATCGCCATCGCCACGGAGGGTTTCTGTACGCTCTATTCCCTCTCCCTTCCCCAGCATCAAACAGAACCCACCACCAGCAAATAAAACTAACACACAGCAACCGGAATCCAGATCTCTCCTACGCAACAGCCCTGGCAAGCCGCCTCCTAGGCTTCATAACAGGCCACCAAAAAGCCATGACCGGGCCCTTCGCCCTCCCGTCCTCGATATCCATCAGCCTGAACGTTCTAGGCCTGCTATTCCTGCTCTTCGCCTCCATCACCTTTAACTTCCCCACCTCGTCCCCGGTCACGAACGACTCGATGAACTACACTAGTGCCGCTATCGGGGTAATCGCCTTGATCGCCTTGGCGACGTGGGTGAGTACCGGGCGGAAGCATTTCACGGGGCCGGGGGTGGCGCATGGGGTGGTGGAGACGGGGAAGGCGTTGGAGATGGAGGTCGAGGACACTGCTATAGCTTCGGCGGTAGAGGGGGAGAAGAAAGGGTGATCTTGCTTTTTGCTCGTTGTAGATGTATATCACCTGAGAATTGAGAACTTTTATTCCTCCTAACTTTTACGTTTATTACCGATGATCTTTGAAGAGTCTGTACGGTCTACACCTCATCTCATTTCCCTAGATCAACCCATCAAATTTCAACCGAGAAAGTCTCAATCCCAAGAGATCCTACCACAAAGTACCGTCAGCAATCTGAATCCCCACAACAACAGCACACGGCAAAAAAACTTACCAAAGCATAATCCCCGCACCAGCCGCAACAGCCAAAAACTGCGTGACCATCTGCTTCACCTCCGTCTTCTTATCCTTGCCGCTCGTCTCCAGCAGCTCGGGGATGACGGACACGGTGCCAACGTACAGGAACGTTCCCGCCGTGAAGGGCAGGAGCATGTCTCCCCAGGTGAGACTGGTGCCTAGCAGGCCGACTGCCGACGATGCTGCGCCGGTGGTAGCGGAAGCGGAAGCGGAAGCGGAGTTTCCGCCGAACTCCTGCACGGCGATGCCGATGAAGGTCCCCAGGAAGGCGCCGATGGCGGTGACGAATTGCGCGCCCATGGCTTTGCGTTTGGAGAAGCCCGATTGAATCAGCAGGGCGAAGTCGCCGACTTCGTGGGGGATCTCGTGGAAGAAGACGGCGACTGTTGTCGTGGCGCCGATGGTCGGGGAGGCGTAGAATGATGAGGACATCGCGAGGCCGTCTGTGATGTTGTGCGTGAAGTCGGCGATCAGGTTGAGGTAGCCGCCTAGTTTGATGCTTGGGGAGGGGGTTGCGGGGGCGGTGGATATGGTAGTCGTGGTTGAGGTGGAGGAGGGCGCGGATGTGGAGGTGGACTTGCGGTTTTTGATTGTCGAGGAGGTTTCGGTGGTGACTGAGCTGCTGGTCGTTGTGGCTTCTGTAGGGCCTTCGGTGTGGGTGTGCGAGTGCGAGTGCGAGTGGCCTTCACCGCCGGTTGCGATGCGGAGTGCTTTGTCCATGGCTACGAAGGTGAAGAAGCCAACCATGATGCCTAGCCCCAGAAGGAGATTGCGGTTCGGTTCAACCATCACGAAGCGGACGTGGTCTGGGGCGTCTTCGCCGAGGAAGATCTCTGGGAGGAGGTGGAAGATCGTGTCGCCAAGGAGTCCGCCGACGGCGAAGGCGACCATCACGGAGAGGGATGAGGGGTCGATGTTCGGGGGGCAGAGGGCCAGAAGGAAGTCTATTGAATGTATGTTAGGTTTTCTGGCAGGGATTGTGAGAAGCGAGCGACAGACTTGGAGGTCCGGAGATGTAGATGGTGGCCAGAATTGCATTGACCGCTGGGCTTCCGGGGAAGAGGACCGAGAATATTTTCGACATCAGGCTGGTGGTCTGGGGGCTCGTCGCGCGCTTGTGTTCATTGAGGGACCCAACCAACGGACAATTCTGGTTATCATGTCAGTTCAAACTTGTGATCCGTAAGGTATGCCGAGTATGGGCGCCCAGCAGAGTGCACGAGGTAGTAAATGAACCTACCTGAAGCTCCTCTTCGATCTGCCCTGCAGAAAGCTCGCCAACGGAGACAGCATCATGAGCGACAGCCAAAGCAGAAAAGAGAACAATGCCAGCCGCAAGAGCCAGTCCAATGCGACGCATTGGAAGAAGAGAGGTGGAAGCCATAGCAGCGATGGAATTCAGCAGGGAATCAACGAGGGATGCACGGAAGTGGACAGGTCATGGAGAGCTGACGGAGGGAGAGAAACAAATACCCTTTGACTAACTAGCGGAGGGGGGGAGGCGCGCGCGCGCGCGATCGGATGCCCCGATCTCCGGATCTGCTCTTATCAATCGGTCCCCCTCACAAACACGCCAAGACTGGAATGCAAACACCTTCAAGTTTTCGGGAGCCGATAACTTTTTTTTGAGGCAACAAACTCCAACGATCAACTTATCAACACTTTTGCGCGCCCGCATTATTACACACCATGACCAACGTTCGCCAGAAGAGAAAGAACCGGTCCGGTCTGCCCAAGGCTAAGGCCAAGCGCACTGGTCTCCTGAAGAATGGCCGGAAGAAGATCAACGTCCTGGGAAATGCTATCATTGCTGAGAACTGGTACGACTTCCAACTTATCCGAACGGGGACGATGCAAGAATTATTGCAACACACAACAAGCTAACATACGTCTTCTCTCAGGAACCGCGAGTTGACCCTCACTCAAAACTACCGCAACCTGGGACTTGTTCATCGCCTGAATGCGCCGACTGGTGGTTCCGAGAAGCGCCGCACGAAGGACGGCATCGAGCGCGAGCGGGAAGACTCGTTGCACATCAAGAGCAGCGCCACCGCCGTTGCCCAAAAGAATGCTGCCAACGAGATCAGAGTCGAGCGTGATCCGGAGACCGGCAAGATCCTGCGCGTTATTAGCAACGACGACGAGATCGAGGTGGCGGGCCGCAAGCACAAGCGCAACAACCCGCTCAACGACCCCCTGAACGACCTGTCCGACAACGAGGAAGAGGACGAGCCGAACGCCCAGCAGAAGAACGCCGACAGCGACATTGTACGCCAACTCGAATTCCAGGCGGATCAGGAGAGTCGCAAGGTGGCCGCCAAGAAGCCCCGCCACCAGAGCAAGAGGGAAGAGGAATGGATTCTGCGGTTGGTCGAGAAGCACGGAGATAACTACGCCGCCATGGCCCGTGACCGGAGACTGAACCCGATGCAACAAACCGCCGGCGACCTGAAACGCAGAATCGCCAAGTGGGAAAAGACCCGGTCATGATTTGTTTTTCGAATCCATTGCATTTCGGCGAGTCTGGCGTTTGTTCCTCGGGTTTTATTTTGGGCTGATCAAAGTGTCTGAGTCTTGAGTCATGACTTTGTCCGGCTTTGCTCCTTTGCGGTATACCAATTAGTTTGGATGGATAAGTCACATCTACATAAATAAAGAGAGTTGTTACGCCTCGGTGGTATTCTTGCAACAAATCATGGGTGGGCTGTATTCACGATGACCACTGCATATCTTTCACAAGCTGTTTTCGCTTGAGATATGTTATCTCTTCAACAATTTGCGCTTCCCAGGCCTCACCGGTATTAGGGCAGCGTCAGAATTGGTTGTATTGAGGTTGGCGATAACTTCATCCTTTAAAACCCCGATAATTGATCGATAAGCAATGCTGCCTGCCTAGAACATCTCATAATGCATGGTAGGAACCAGAGACAAGCTTGACATCATCATAACTCGCATCTATCTCTCGCTAAACTTACCAATGGCCCAATGGTGAATCCAGCCATCATTGTCTTCGGGACAGAGCAATAGACGAGACTAATAGATGTTAGCGAGGATAGAAGGAAAACATTGAGGAAAGAGCTCAAACATGTGAAGACTTTAGCTAATGGTGAGATGTTGCATAACTTGTTGTAGAGTTCGTTCATTCGTTAAGTTCGTTCGTTCGCATACTCGCTTTTCGTATACTCGTATTCTCGGATACTCGTATATTCGTAAATCCGCATTCGTATATTCGTACTTCCGACGTCCGTACACTCGTATATCGATAGGGTATACTCGCTCTGACTCCACTTCCCAAATCTGACACTGGTAGCGTTCTCTGGTACCTGCAACCCAAACCCTGCCCAGACTTCTGTCCAGGCGACCCAAACACAGGATTGAGTGTTGAGAGTTGGCCATGCCCAAGAAACCATACTATGCTTAGTTTGCCACGATGGAAAAACTGCTCCACTGGCCCCTTTAAAGCAGCAGCTCCTGGACTCGAACGGGGACTGATTGCTTTACGAAAGAAAAGGGTCTAATCCTGACACTGTACAGACAGCATATCTTCTGTGCAATTTCTTGTCTGGCAGACTCCCCTTCATGACCATGGCAGACAGCTCAGGTCAAGATCAAGATGTTGTATACTTCGCGTTATACCGATACACGCCATCGATCCCCGCCGCGGTAGTCTTCGCGGTGGTATTCTGCGTGCTTTCGATCTTCCATATCTACCGGCTTGTCCGACACCGAACATTCTTCTTCGTCCCTTTCGTCATTGGACTCGTCTGTACGTGGGCCCCTTTCTGGTTCTTTTCCGGGCCAAAACTTGACGCATCACTAACGCCAGGGTCTCGAATAGTCGAAGCAGCAGGCTACATCGCGCGCATCTTCTCGCACTTCGACACCCAAGCCCTAGGCCCATACATCACGCAAACAATGCTCATCCTCGTGGCGCCGCCGCTCTTCGCCGCCTCGATCTACATGACCCTAGGCCGGCTGATCGTCCGCCTTGACGCCGAATCCGCCTCTTTAATCCGAGTCCGGTGGTTGACCAAGATCTTCGTCGTGGGCGATGTCATCTCGTTCATTCTCCAGTGCGGAGGCGGTGGATACATGGCCGCGGGCACCCTAGAAGCCATGGAAAACGGCGAACACATCGTCATCGCCGGCCTCGCTATCCAGCTCCTCTTCTTCGGGTTTTTCATCCTGGTCGCCGCCGTCTTCCACACGCGGGTCCGTCACTCCATCTCGATGATCTCAGTGAGGTCCCACAGCGGCCGCTTCTCGTGGCCTGGCCTGATGTGGACGCTCTACCTGGCGTGCGCCCTGATCCTTGTCCGCTCCGTGTTCCGAGTCGTTGAGTTTGTCCAGGGCAATGACGGCTTCATTATGCGCCGCGAGTACCTGCTGTACATCTTCGATGCGCTGTTGATGGCGTTAACGGGGATCGCGCTGGGATTCGTGTTCCCGGGCTCGTTTTTGGATGATCATGGCAATGATGAAGATGAAGATGATGGGGATGAGGATGAGGAGCGGAAGCGAGGACTGGCGGAGAGAGCCACTTCAGTTTGATTACATTTTGGTGTTTCTTGTTTCTGAGGGTTATATATATAGTTGTATATAGGTCATTTTGGTTTCCATCTCTTGCCTCGGTTGGGGAGAACAATTCATCTGCTTCGGGTTATCTGCCCTCTATTTTCATCTAAGAGTAGCGGTTTCATGGCAAAAGGGACTTGAGCCAATTGATAGGAGAATAATGCCCATTGATGTCGGGTCCTCACTCTGGAGTCCGAGGTTAAGATTCACCAGAGTATGTCATTCGGAACGATTTGGCGGTATTGGAGCCAAGCGGTTCTACGCCATCCCCACCACGCATGAAAACGAAAGTATCAGCGAATTCATCGTCTAATTGGCCATGGATCATAGCCGCGAATGCAAGGATCCGCTCTGTACGAACGAGATTGACCTCTCCTTGACAGTCACCCCAAGGAAACGAAAAAAGGAGATAGAGAGATGGAGAGGTCCTCTCTGTCACAGAGGTCACAGGCTGCGAAAATTTCCCATCCAAACGACACCCAACCCCTCCAAGGAGAAAAAATATTATCTTTCTGAGCCAAAGCAAACAGAAGCAACAATTGATGGAACGAAGGTGGTGTGAATGAGATGGACAGACGAAGGAGGCGAAGCGGAAAGGGATAAAAGATCTCACCAATACCGGTTTTCTTTTTTTTTACAAGAAAAAGCGCGCTTTGAGGACGGTGATATGAGTTTGACCGTTTTGTACGACTCAAAGATCATCATCGGGAATGGAAAGACGTTAAAAATCCCGTTGGATCTGAGAATTGATGGCCCCTGCTGATCTGCAAGCAGGGTACCTCGTATATCCGTATTTTGTGGCGAACCATGGTTGAATCGTGGGGAATGCTTTTCGGGAGCCCCGAAGAAGGAAAACTTTGTCTGGGTTTGACACCGACAGTTCGCATTCGCATTCGCATATGCACCCCTCTCGGACACCATCCGAGGGGGCCACCAAAAAGTTAGCCCAGAACCACGCCCCTCCAGGAGTACGAGAGCACGAATGAAACAGGGAACTACTAATGCACCCAAATTTTAAACTTAGGTCCGGGAAGGGACCGAGAGTGAAACCTCCTGAAAATCACGAACCCGCGATTACTGCCATTGGCCACGCCATCAGAGCGCTTAACGCATGGTTCTCCAGCTTGTTCACAAGCAGTAAGATCTTCTCGATCTCCGAACGAAAGCCGCTGTTGAGATACCAGACATCCGGAAATAGGAGGGATACAACGTAGAAGTGCGCCAGGATAGCGTACGAAAAGCCCTCAGCGGGCCTCAGTTGCTCTCTGGATTTGAGGCTGTCGAAAAAGCTATTTGAGATCATGTATGGCCAGGAGGTGACGGCGCTATCCTCGATGTCGATCTGGATTTCGAGCGCTGGCGCGCAATCGCGCTCACTCCGGGAGAACTGTAGGACATATAGGATCCGCATGTAGATCTCTTCTAATTTGCCAATGGCGTGAGTATAGTCGTATGGATGATCTTCGGCTTCGCTGGCTTGTTCGTTATCAGAATGTTGTGATGTCGATATGCTCTTCCCATCAAGCGAGGCTGTGCCGGGAAACAGGGTGGCTGCAAAAGCGCGAAGCATGCGGATGGCTTGCGTGGCACCTTGTACAAACACGTGGAAAACTTGGGGAGCATGCTTCAAGCGGGAAAATTGCGCCGAGGAGCTGGCAGGCACAGCAAGCTTCCAGTCGTCGTTAGCATAAATGTAGAATAACATGGCCCGCAAGCGTCCGAGCTTGAGAGTTAGCCAATGCTCTTGAACGATGCTTGTTAGGCCACGAACAAGATGTAGCCAGTCAATATATGGGTATTGATCATCATCTTGCTTGCCGAGTCCCAGTCCTGGGCAATCTTGATCTCTGGTGGATATTGAGGCAAAAGCGATAGCAACTATCAGAAGCGCGCCGCAGAATACATATTCTGCAGTGTCTGGAGATATGTCGGCCAGGGCCTGGCGAAATCCTTCGAGGCCTCGTTGGTGATGCTGAATCACGCGATGATACTCAAGTTGAAGTTCATGCTCATCGTAGGCAGGCAGCGCAGACTGACTCTCATTTATACCCGCTGTGATTGATCCTGACATATGGACTTCATAGAGAAGATGCTCTCCAGCGAGTGCAAGGAGCAGGTGCATCAGGTACTCCTTCTTCGTCGCTATGTCCGGAACAACCTGCTCCCAGATTTGCTTTCGCTTCGCATGGGGGCTCATCGTTCTAGAAGTATGCATCATGAACCTTGATAGGAGACGTAAGTCGGCTATATTGATATCTTGCCCGTGCAAGGAGATTTCCGCTAATGATCCCTCAAGGCGGAAATCCAACGGCTGCAAGGGGTCTACCGCGGGGCGCGATCGTCGAGGGGACCGCGAAACTGCAGACCTAAGGCTCGTCAGTGTGTGAAGCTCGGATTATGACACCAGACTCAAGCGATGCATACGTGGATAACACTGAAGTGGGATAAGAACACGAGTCGCCTCGAAAGGCACATGCCCCGCAAATGGGCTGCTCCTCATCACACTAACTCATACCGTCAGTGTTAATATACAGTGAAAACAGCTAGAGTAGGATTGCTACTGACCTTCACTCTTCTTTTCTTACAGGTAAAGCAACCTTTGCGGGATTTATGATGACGGATCCGGCGCCTTCTTTCCTTCTGTGTACTCGCGCTGCTGCGCTGGGTCGGGGGAGACCCAGAATCTAATGGAGAAGGGGTTTCCGACATTGTCTGTGAGAGAAGAAAAGTATCTGGCGACTCGCATGCGAGGGATGCTGAAGACAGTAACGGTGACGATGACGGTGACGGTGAGGAGTTTGTGGTGAGGTTGGATTTGGATCTTGTTCTTGCGATTGCCGCGATGGCAGTCATGTGTCGGGCCTTACGGAGGGCCAAGGAATCCAGAGCCGCACATACTGTACTGGGTGTCGGCGAGGCTGCTAGCGAGGGGGGTGGGAAGAACATCTCCTTTTTCTTGCTCGTGTTGTTTCTTCAAAAAAGTGCCTTTCTAAGCGCTCGGAAAATGAAGATTCAAGAATTGATCTGCGTTGGGGATATTATACTAGTAGTCCACGGAGTGGTGTAGCAGTGAAGGCGGGATTTCGCGTCCGCCACAGGGACTTCCATCATTAAGTGCGAAATCTATGCAATAATAATGAAACCGTCGGGAGGGATCCTGTATGGCTGAGTTGGCATTTCTTCTATCTATCTGCCAGCTTGCCTGTCGTTGAGCTGAAAGGCCGCGGGCGTGGAGGCGGCGGCAAGATGCGAAAGATCAATACGAATGTACGAGAGGGTGGATATACTTCCAGCCCTAACAGTTCGCGCCCGCTCACGGATTTTGCTGTCTGCCACGCACCCATTACAGGTTACTTGATGAAATAGTCGATAAGTCTCAGACTCAGTTACCTATATGGTTGTTGGCTGTCTCTAAATCTTCATCTCTCTGCATTTCAACTCATCCTTAATCGTATTGCTGGAGCATCTATCGGTCGAAAATGAGCAGCAACAATGAGGCAGCCGTCTTTGCCTTCTATCGGTACAACCCCAGCATGGCTGGGGCCGTGATTTTCACGATCCTATTTACTATCACGACCGTCTGGCACGTTGTACAGCTGTGTCGCACCCAGACTTGGTTCTTTATCCCATTTACAGTAGGAGGCATATGTTAGTAGATCTTCCATCCGAAAACTTGCCCTCATATTTCACAATATGCTTATGCCTTCCAGTTGAGATCATAGGCTACATTGGCCGTGGTCTCTCGAGCCATGAATCTCCCAATTGGACCCTGGGCCCCTATCTCATTCAGACATTGTTTCTGCTGCTTGCACCTGCCCTGCTTGCTGCCTCGATCTACATGCTTCTCGGACGTATCATCTTGATCCTGGGCGCGGAATCCCACGCCATCCTAAAGAAAAAGTGGTTAACAAAGATCTTTGTCACGGGTGATGTCCTTTCGTTCCTCCTCCAAGGTGCCGGTAAGTTCCGCCCTTGTCTTCGCCCAACTTCCCCTCTCCTACCTATACTGATATTTTTTATCGCGCATAGGGGGTGGAATTCAAGCCAGTGGCAGTCTATCAGGGATGCAGAACGGCGAGCGGATCATCGTCGTCGGTCTCTTCGTCCAGATCTTCTTCTTTGGGTTCTTTATAGTCACGGCCGGGGCGTTCGATCGCAAACTCAAGAAGTACCCCATTCCTCGATGCCGCGATCCTTCAATCCCATGGCGAAAGCACCTTAATATCCTATATATCACCAGCTTCTTGATTATGGTGCGGTCCGTCTTTCGTCTGGTGGAATATCTTCAAGGCAATAATGGATACCTTCTCCACCATGAGGTCTTCCTATATGTATTAGATGCGGTCCTGATTTTCCTGGCCATGATCGTCTTCAACCTGTTTCACCCAAGTGAGATTAGCCATCTCTTACACGCGGAGAACGATTACGAATTGCAAAGCGCGGCAAATAAGCATGCTATATAAGGCGAGAACGACTCCTCTTCAGACCTTCTGCTTTTTTCTTTTTTATTTCTTTCTTCTTTTCGAGTATGTGTTGATTTACGATTCATTTTTCTTCCCTAAATGCTCAGCATATATATATCTGATCTTTTTGCGAAACAATAGACTAGATAGCTTTCGCATTACTACCTTTATCCCTGGGTTTGTTCTCTTGGTAGACTGATTACTGCTATGATGGGCCTGGATATGAACAAATTGTCTTGAATGCTCTCTCGCAATTGATACTAGACTCCCAAAGTGATAAGCTCTGCTTACTCTCTGTCGTGGTCTTGATTTTGGTAAGCTTGTGATATTTAATGATATGTAAAGATACATGACTCTTGTTCTTTGATTTATCTATGTATATTTCTTTTCCTTTCTTTTCTTTTTCTATTTCTCTTTCTTTTTCTTTTTCTTTTTCTTTTTTTTTTTTTTTTTTGCTTGCCTTGGTGGGATACCAATGCAGAACTAAAATCTGCAATGAGTGGATAAGGACTAGCGGTGGAAGACCACCTGTGGCTTTGAATCCATAAGTTAATGTCTGCTGTGGAGGCTCTTTCCATTCTCGTATATTCGTTTAGTTGTGCCCTGACCTAGACTGGAGAAAGACGAAAGCATAATGAATTATCGTCCAAGATCAAGGTTAACCATGATCAAATAACAACCATAAAAATGAATTGAAGTGCACGAAAAGCTTCTCGATCTCACTCCAGTCGAACGACATCACCCGATAATATCTATTGAGATATTTAGAGCCCAGGTAGAGCTACTGTCTGCAGAATCATGACCAAGCCAAACGCAAATTTATGCTATGAGGATCTACCTCCGCCCTACGAGGTGGCAGTCGCCGGATATCTGATGGAGGCATCCGGTAAATCTCAAGGTGCGCATTTCAACATTCATGTGGCTCAGATGGCATTCTAACATAGCTTTCAGAGGATGGCCGCATTCAAATTGCTTTCAAGGCGAAGAGGGAGAACATCGAAGCATTATTGCCAGAGCCACCGCGAGAAGGTTCTCTGCTATTAACACCTCCAACTCCCTTCCGACCTACAACGCCCCTGAACATTGTGATCCAAATAGTTGGAAGTAGAGGGGATGTGCAGCCGTTTGTCGCGCTTGGCAGTCGTTTGCAGAAAGATGGCCATCGAGTTCGTATCGCTACGCATGGAACATTTAAAGACTTTGTGCAGCAAGCAAAATTGGAGTTCTTCTCAATAGGCGGAGATCCAGAAGACCTCATGTCGGTGAGTACCCTTCGTACCCCGTCGTTTCTGAAGGCCTGCGACTATTGCTAAACAACTCCACTAATCCGCATGGTTCTCGCAGTTTATGGTCAAGAATCCAGGAATTATCCCAAAAATGACTACCATCCTGAGCGATGAGATCGGTCGCAAACGCAAGATGATCGCTACTATGTTGAACGGATGCTGGCACTCATGCATAGATCCGGATCTGGAATCTGGTCACCCCTTTGTTGCCGACGCAATCATCGCCAACCCGCCCAGCTTTGCCCATATTCACTGCGCACAGGCACTTAGCGTGCCTTTACATATCATGTTTACCATGCCCTGGAGTCCTACTCGGGCTTTTCCGCACCCATTAGCTAATATCCATTCATCAGGCACGGATCCCGCCCTATCGAACTACCTCTCCTATAGTATGGTTGAGTTGCTCACTTGGACTGGGTATGAACTATTCTTTTGCATGTTTCCAGGATCAACCACGGCTACTTTGGCATCAGCCATGGAGTGTACTAACATGAATCCACTAGCCTGGCAAATATCATCAATGCATGGCGCGTGAAGACGCTGAACATTGAGGAGTTGTCACCAAGAACCGCAACCGGGCTGATGGAGACTCTCAAAGTACCTCATACCTACTGTTGGTCACCGGCACTGATTCCAAGGCCTTATGATTGGGCATCACACATAGGTCAGTGACAGAATGTGGCACCCGTATCCTAAGATCTCTCTCTTACTTAATCCGCATTCTCGTTGCGTCGAAATAGATATCTGTGGCTTCTTCTTCAGGGAAGAGCCTCACTACGTACCCTCAGCGGAAATTCATAACTTTCTGAGCGGCAAACCAGCACCTGTCTATATAGGATTTGGTAGCATTGTGATGGAAGATCCAGTGTCCATGACCAAATTGATACGAGATGCATTGAATCAATTAGGTATCCGCGCTATTGTGTCGAGAGGATGGAGCAATTTAGGCCAAGGATGCGCAGATCCGAACATCCTTTTCATCGATGATTGTCCTCATGGTGGGTGCTTCGCTACCCAACCGCAGTCGGAAGAACTCGCCTGCTAATTTTACACTCCCTGCAGAATGGCTTTTCAAGCATGTGGCCGCGGTCGTGCATCACGGTGGGGCGGGTACAACGGCCTCCGGACTCCTACATGGTCGCCCAACTGCCATCGTCCCTTTCTTCGGGGAGTATGTACCCTAGAGGTCTGCATGTTCTTACAAGGAGCCTAACTAATGCCCTCTGCCAGCCAGCCGTTTTGGGCTCAAATGGTCGCTGCCGCTGGGGCCGGACCATCACCCATCAACCATAAAGCGCTCACCTCGAGAGAACTTACCGAAGCCATCAAGTTCTGTCTCATGCCATCTGCACGGAATGCAGCAGCAAAGATCGCCAACCAGATGCGCACTGAGAATGGCGTGTCAGCCGCTGCTCAGAGCTTCTATCGTCACATCCCCTGGCAGCGCCTGCAGTGCGACTTTCTTCCTGGCGAGAAAGCCAGCTGGTCGATCTCTGCTGGGAAGGGAAGCGCCAAGATCTCCCACAAGGCTATGGTAATCCTTGTCCAACATAAGCTGTTGGACACAAAGAAGCTGAAACCGTGCGTATATCCTCTTTTGGCCATGCTACAGGAGGAAAGAGGTGAGACTTGACCTGATCGTGAGAAAATCTTCTAGTTACCACACGAATGAGATCCGTATCACAAAGAATTATACCGATCCATTGTCAGCAACTTCAGCAGTATTGCTCGGGACCATGACAGATTTTACTAAGGGATTCGGAATTCTTGCGACGGATCCAATTCACGGAGTTTTTCAGATGTCTTCCAGTATGGTCAAGGGCACTTTAGTGCAGACCCCGACGGCCCTGGCCGACGGCCTGCGTAACGTGCCCCGGCTGTATGGAGACCAGCCTGCCAGTGCTGCACTAATTGATGGCTGGAAAGATGGAATTACAGAAGCTGGAAAGGTAGGGGCATGCCCTTCTAATCAGTGTGTCACGGAACGTTAGAAGTATTGAACATGCTGACCAATTGCTCTACTCTGTTCCTTGAACATTCCTAGTTCTTCTATACCGGTTTCGCAGAGGGACTCACGGGAATAGTCACAAAACCGTATCGAGAGGCGAAGAGTGATGGCGCCGCAGGCTTCGCGAAGGGCCTTGCGAAAGGGAGTGTCGAGCTCTTCTCCAAGCCCGGCGCAGGTAAGTGCTTCGCTCCAGCAAATTATGACTGCCATTTATTGTATCCTCGATCCTGACTATCCTTTCTTGGTAATTTCGCCAGCCATGTTTGGCCTCTTAGCGTATCCTGCCATGGGGATTTATAAGAGCTTGAAGAAGCTACGACTGAATCCCACCGAAGCCCGAATCGTGGAGGCGCAAATGCTGGTGGGAGACTATATGCTTCTGAAAGCACCTGCGACGTCTGGAGAGGCTTCAATCGTCGTGTCGAAGTACAAGGAGCTGGAGTGAGAATTGGAAGCTCATCACCGGGCTTGTATTGTCTAATGAGCACCCATTAAACCTGCGTTTATAGGAGATTAGAATTTTACGGAATACGAGATAGTTGAATTCGAAATATTCCTTGTGACTGCTGGATAAATTATCTGTCAGATTTCCTCAAGGACAGAGTCAGTCCCGATGACAAGGTGTTAGATATGATGTTTGTTGCTCCACTGCAAACTGCTCGTACATACTGTAAGCACTAGATGTGATAAAGATGACTAGTCCGTCTCAAGGCGGGGCCGGTCTGGCTTCAACTGCGGAAACACTACTACAATAATGATCGGTTATTAGAATTACCTCGCTTCTGCTGCCTACTCTTTCACTACGGCACATCTACGCGACTTCTGGCTTGCCTAAATGAGAATGGTCTTGAAGTCAAGGGATTCTTGCTCCTCGATCCTTTTTGGCTAGGAACGAACCGGCTACCTAGTGCTAGTGCTGATATGCGGATGCTGAGAGTGGAGCTTATCGATGAATCCCCGGTTGGAGAGCAAGTAAATAAGCGAGAGATAAGGTACGGTACGCTGGAAGGGAGAACATATCAACGACTAGCGGTTGGATGTTTGCTTAGATGGGGATCCTGAATGTGTAACTGCTCATTCGAATTAACAAAGATACCTGTACACTCACTATTTGCATCCAAGCAAGACTAAGCCTTTGCTTACCGGTAAGTTGGACGTCAGATCTTCCCGAAATAGAACAACTAGACCGTTATACGAGGTTGCTAGTAGCAAAGCATGAGCCGGACTTATAGTATATAGTGTTTGATCAGGATTGGAATAATCGAATCACGTCGTTTCTGGGTCAACTAGTGCTAAGTAGAGAATCCGTCATATATGAAAATTGAAATATACATAGATAACCCCCCCCGTCCTTGAGAGCTCTTTTCTCTCGTTGGCAGCAAGTTTCAATCCTCTTCATTAACCTTTTACCTGACGATAAAACCTCACATTGAATCCTCTACTCCGCTGCTCCTGGGCTCCTTATCCAACGATTGGGAAAACATATACACAACAACACAACCACCGAAAATGCCATACACTCTCCTCGCCTTCCTCACCCGCAAAGCCGGCACAACCCCTTCGGCCTTCAAAGCATACTACGAGACTCACCAAATCCCCTTACTGAAAAAATTCTCGGCCCGGACCGGTTTCCTGTGGTTCACAAGCGGTTCTATCTACCCCGGGAATTGGGTGAGGAGTCCACCCCCAGTATCCCCGAGAACACCTCAGACCATCCTAAGGACAACACCACCGTCCTGAAAGAGGAGAAAGAGGAAGATAAAGAATCCTTCCCCTGGGACTGCTGCGCGGAGGTCGTCTTTCGGGATCAGGCGCATTTCGAGGCGTTCTACGGGGCGTTAGTGGCGGCCGGGGAGCGGTTGCAGGCGGATGAAGACCGATTTCTGGAGCGGGGAGAGATGAAAGTGGTGCCATTTGCGGAGGGAGCGGTGGCTACGACTTCTTTTGCGGGTTAAAATGTTTGATTTGCATAGGATAGCATCGGGTTTGCAGTTTTCGAGGGCAAAGGTACAGGGAACAGCTACACAGCAGCAGCAGCAGCAGAAGAGGAATTGACAAAGGAACCGATGTGGATGTTTCAGGAGTGAATGCGGGGAATCTATGCAGGGTGAAAATCTAAAAGATATGTTTCATAAATAGATTCATTCCAAGGATTGCTGATATTGCGGAGTTCTTGGAAGAGACGGGTGTTCCTTTGGGATGATGTTGTTGCTCCTCCACTGCACTAGCTCGTATTCCGTTTACTCTCGGGACTAGGTGGAACCCACAAAGACAACCAAACCACATATCTATTAACTCGCCACCCACGGTTATTCTACCGCTGTTGGTTGGGGTCATTTCACGGAACACAGGGTTCCTGAACCAGTGTTTCGACAGATGGCTTCCTCGCATCGTATATTCGTACTCGAGGACAAAAGGAGCTACCCGATTATGATGAGGTCATATCATCAAAGCTTCTGGGACGAGATTGCTGTAGTGGCTATAGAAAGCATTGAGGCCGCACTTCTGCATATTTTGGGCGCTAACCTGCCCTCGCTATCACTGAGTTTCTTGACCTGAGTCTCTAGGAGGTCTTCATCGCTATCCAAATAAGCATGAAACACGATGGTATTTTGGCCCTCCTTGGGTTACTTGCTGTCTCTGTGAAATGCTCTGCGCTCTACCGACCGGTCAGCTATGTGACCGGCTTGCAGAAGGACCCCTTGCAATTATTGAATGATACTGTGCTTAAACTTTCGTCCGACGGCATCACTCCCGCCATTGTGGTTCTCGATTATGGACGGGATGTCGAAGGCTATGCCACGTTTCAAGTCTCCCAGAGGTCTGGCGATACCTCTGCTTTTGAAATGACCTACAGCGAGAGTCATGCTCTCCTGGATTCCGACATGGTGAGAAAAGTCTCTTTTATTACATAAAGACATAATAGCTGATCTTGCCACATCTATAGGGCGATGGTCCTCTACCCCTTGCTGCAGCGATGGATACTAACCGCGTGAACCGCTACAACATCACCGACAAGAAGTCATACACCAACCGCTTGATCCAGGGTGGTTTACGCTATCAAAAGCTGAACTTGTCCAGCGCCGGGGAGATCTTTCTGTCGTCAATTGGACTTGAACCCAGCGTCTCTAGGACCCCTTTGACCGAGCTTCCGGGCTCGTTCAACTGTTCCGATCCAGTGCTGACCCGTATTTGGCACGCTGGGGCACGTACCTTGCAGCTCAGCGAGGTCCCCGCTCATAGTGTACCAGATTTCTGGATTCTCACGAGCGAGGGCGCTTTGGTGGACAGTCTTGCTCCCCAGCCTTATTATTCGATCTGGTCCCCTTCCCTGACAAGTTATGAGCTCCAGTTTTCGGTGACGCCTATCTCTCAGGGATTCGGATTTACCGTACTAAGCGACACCCTGTCGAATGGAATCTACATATTTGTCAATATTGCCAATGCTTCTATCTCAGCTCATGCCGGTTCCTCCGAGCTAGGCACTACGCTTGCATCAGGGAAGCTTCCAGCATCCATAACATTGAATAGCTGGCATAAAGTGAAGAGTACCGTGAACCTGTCTCATGTGTCTATCAGTATCAACAACCTTATTATACTTGACTTCTCTCAAACAGCCTCGTTCTACGGGTCCTTTAGCGTGGGCGCCTCTCTGGGCCATGCTGCCATTTTCACCAATCTTTCTCTGTCAGTCGATGGACAGCAGAGATATTCCTCGACACTGAAGGATAAGGCGGCGCTGCAAGACTTTCTTCTTGGAACCAATCCTTTGCCTGTCAGCGTGGACGGCTCTCGGCGCGATCGTATTGCCTACGCTGGTGATTTGGATATGTCTAGCAGCACGGCATTCGCAAGCACCAACGGGCTTGAATTTATCAATGGCTCGATCGAGCTCCTCGGCTCCTATCAGCTGACACCTGGGTTTTTCGTTCCAAATGCGAAGATTCAACAATTTCCGCGGACCACCGATGTTCCAGCGAACATCACTGGATTAATCGACTATTCATTCAGCCTCGTCAGCGCCATGGCCAAATTCTACGAGCAGACAGGAGACTCGGTGTTCCTGGCTCGTTGGGCCCCGAAAGCGGCGCGCATGTTGGACTGGGCACACTCTCAGACTTTGCCGAATGGGTTGCTCAACATAACCGATCCCTCCATGGGCGGTGACTGGGACTACTACGATCCCACTTTGTCGGGTGTTGTCTCCAAGTTCAACATCGTGTACGCGTACTCGCTCAAGCAGTGGCTTCCGCACCTGTCGCAGGCGGGTCTCAACGGCACCGTGTATCGGCAGCGGTTGCAGTCCCTGCAGCGAGCGATCAACGACCACCTCTGGAGCGACAAGCTACAGGCATACTACCAGTCGGCCACATACCAGGACTTCTTTTCGCAGGAAGCGAATGCCCTCGCCATTTTGAGCGACACGACCAGCAGCAGCGTGAGTGGCAGCAACAACCGCACAGCGGCGCTCCTATCGACCATGGCGCGCGAGCTATCCGTCCTCAAGGGTGCTCTTGCCTTCTCCAACGCCAGCGTCGCAAGCGGGTGGGCCCAGAAGATCAGCCCGTATGCCTCGGGCTATCACCTGAAGGCCGCCTTCCATGCACACGACGGCATTCAGGCTAAAAGACTCCTCCACAGCCTCTGGGGTCCGATCAGCGACCCGGCCCATGCAAATTACACCGGCTGTATCTGGGAGACGATGAACATGGACGGCACCCCCGGGCTGGGGTCTTCCACCTCGCTGTGCCACGCGTGGGGCGCGGGCCCTACCGCCGACCTCAGCCGCTATGTCCTGGGCATTCAGCCCGTTACTCCCGGCTTCAAGGAATGGAAGGTCGCTCCCCAGACGCTGGACTTGTCGTGGGCTGCCGGCGATTATCCGACACCTCGGGGTCCGATCAGTGTGGACTGGTTCTTCGATTGCAGCGGGCGCTTCCAGATTGCGGTCCGGGGCCCTACCGGCACCAAGGGCACTGTCTTCCTTCCTAGTCCTTTGAATGGCACGTTTGAGGTCCAGGATGGCAAGACTTTCCGGTATAGGCAATAAGACTGGCTCTTACCTTGAGTATATGTATCCCTTGGCTCTTTGATTTTTTTTTTCTAATTTAAGGTCGCGTGCCCGTGCAAGATGTGCGTTGAAATCTTCAAGTTCCGTGCGTCGGCGGCATCATCACTAGACGCTATTTTGACAGCCTTGGCCCATGGTTTCCCTTCTACATGTATTGCTAGACTTTTTTGTTCTGTTTTGTTCTAAGATCGCGTGTTTTTCGTTCTCTTCATGATGCTCCCCCCAAAAGTCTGGATGTTCTTCGCTCTTTCATAGACAAATGTATATTGCGAAAAGTCCCAGTTCCATAATAGATTATATCATGTTGAGGACGAGTTGAAAGTCGTATACTGGTACTTCCAGAAGGCAGCGTTAGCGACACACAACCAAACCACCACTAAACGAATACGGTGCCGATCGCCCCTCCCCAGGAACTAAAAATAAGTGATGCCGGTCGGTCCACAAGGCGTGCCAATCCGGCCGTACTTAGGTAGCCCCACTTCGTACTCGTATACCTACTTAATTTTAAGGTTAAATTGTTGAGAATACTGGTTCTGCTCAGCGTGCATGATTCTACCAGAGATAATATCAGGAATACTATCTATTAAAAATGTGGACATGGTCTAGAGGTCTACCATGCATAGCCCAGTCGGCACTTTCTTGATTATTCTCAACCTTCCGTGCCTCTTTGCTCTTCTCTGCCTGCGGATCTCTGCTCCTGACTATATCTTCACCCTCTCACAACCCTGACACCAGCTGCCCACAGGCCGCGAAACACGACAGAAATGGCTTCAAGCAAATGGACAGAAAAAAGCCAAGCCTGCCTTCAATGGGCCCTCACGCCCCTCGGCTTCTGCATCATTCTCTACGGCCTAAACATCATCGCCTGGGGCGGCATGCTCTTCCTCCTCCTCTGCAACGCCGCACCAGCCATGTGCCACCCCAGCTGCGACGCCCCAAGCTCCTCCCGCCGCATCTGGATCGAAATCGACTCGCAGATCCTCAACGCGCTATTCTGTATTACGGGCTTCGGTCTCGCGCCGTGGCGCATCCGCGACATGTATCTGTGGTGTCTGTGGCGCTTGCGGGGCCGGACGGGGCTGACTCGTCTCGCGAAGGTTCATGACGGGTGGTTTGTACTCGACGCTCAGTACGTGGCTTTGCCGGTGCCATCTCACTTTGCTGTTACTGTGGGCGGCGAGGAGGAGATGGGGCTGGTTAATAAGGAGGAGGGGCAAGGCCCAACGCCGGGTTTGTCGACTCCGTTGTGGAAATTGGACGTTGTGGTCTGGGGGAACATGCTTAATTCCATCTTGCAGGTTTGTTTGGCGGTGTGTATGTGGGCTTGGAATAGGTTTGATCGGCCGGGTTGGATGACCGGGCTGTTCGTTTGTTTGGCTTGTTTGGCGTCTGGGGTTGCGGGTGTGGTTATCTGGTTGGAGAAGAGGCGGGTGGGACGGTTAAAGGGAGGGAGTGGTGATGCTGCTTTTGATGGGGTCTCGGGTGCTTCTGATGGTAGGGGTAAGGTGGGTTGAGCTCGTTCTGGTGCGCTTGGAGGTGGTCTCTGTTTTTAGGCTGATGGATGATTAGGTGTAGATGGTAGGAGGTGGGGAATCCATGCCGCTGGAGGTGGAATTAGTACTAACCGGACAGTTTATAGCACTTTGAGAAGGTATATGAGGATCGGTATCTCTCAGTAATATTCTCAAAGAGACTGTGGATATGTGTTGGTAGCCGGGACTGGACGTTGGGGGAGAGGACATTGAATCAGCCTTGGAGCGCGGTGGGGATGTCCAGACCTACGTAGTCGATCGGCTCTTCGTATTCGCATTGAAATCCGAAGAGAACCATGTGGGTTCTATTTTACTGTGGTTAGTGTTAGTGGCTGCGGGAACATCCCACCTTAAACTATGTGCCTGAAATTATTAGGTAGCAGCATGCTCTCAGAGCCGTGCGTGGCACAGTACCTCGCCTTCAATTTCTCTACCATTACTTCTACAAAATCCCAATGCCACCGCGCCTCCTTCCTTGCGATAAGGTCACAATTCCTCCGCACCAGTCTTATAATGCGTTCCACTGCGAGTAAAGCAGAGACTGCATCGTCATGTTCCTCTAGTCTCTCACTACCAGTGCCCAACTTCCCGCAGGACGTCGCCAAGCGCTGTCTGCTGCTGATTTATATCCATGGCTTCGAAGGCTCGGAAGCCAGCTTCTCGGACTTCCCTGCCCACGTACACACATCCCTGACTGACCTCATGGGTGAGTCGCACTACATATACACCCGAATCTATCCTCGCTACAAGTCTCGAGGCAAGATGTGCACGGCAGTGAAGAACTTCAACGCCTGGTAGGTGAGTTTACCCAGTTCATAGCACTTTCGAGCCATGAAGACCGCAAATTCATTCCGGGCTTCCGGACGCACACTGGCCAAGGTGAAATCTAGACTAATAGCTATATACATTTTCTAGGCTATCGCCCCATATCGCCGACGACCTTGACGTGATCCTGCTAGGCCATAGTCTAGGAGGCATCTTAGCGACGGATGTCGCCCTTCTTCCATCCCCGCCCTCTCCATCATCGACAAACAACCCCAAGAAACCACGCATCCTAGGCCTCGTCAACTTCGACGTGCCTTTTCTCGGCTTACACCCGCATGTGATTCCGACAGGGATCCGTGCGATGTTGCCGCATAGAACCCAGGATGACGATGCTACAGCTACCATCGCAGTCAAGGATCCTCCTGCTCCAGGCGATTGTGTATATGCTGCTGCTGCTTTAACTGCAGGTCCATTGTTCGACCCTCCCTTTGCCAACGACGTCCATCTTGTCGAGCGAGATCGCATCCACGGCATCATCCACTTCGTCCGCAAGAACCACCATCACAATCTGCCCCGGTCGATCTATGAGCGCTTTGTGTCGTCGTATCGATTTGCGGGAGGGCTCAATAATTATGTGCAGCTGCGTCGACGGTACAAGCAGCTTATGGCACTGGAGGCGGCGGAAAATGGGTCGCGTCGGGTTCGGTTCGTCAACTACTATACCCTGAGCACGGCGACGCACAGAAAAAGGTCGCAAGGCAGAGCCAAGCGCAGAGAGCGGCACGCTCAGAGGGCACCTTCACCAGCCCCAGCTTTGTCGCAAATGTGGCTTGGACAGAATGCACAGGGAGGATCTCTGTCATCAGCGATGACGACAGACCTGCCGGAATCCACCACCTCTTTCTCCACGCTCGTGGAAGATTGGAATCGCCAGCGATTCTACGCAGACATAAGTATAAAGGGAGGCTGTAGTGATGCCTCCAGTGATTCACTGATGAACATCGATGATGGAAGCGACAGCAGCACTTGTTCGCAAGACTGTCCTCCGACTACTATACAGAACATCCATTCCTCCTCCGCCTCTTCGCTCTCTTCTTCCTCTTCCTCCTCCGCATCTACCTCCAAATCACGCAAATTCGTCCTCATGCCCTCCCACCACTGGCAGAACGGAGACGATTCACTTTGGGTACCAGTACAGATGGAGAACATGGATGAAGTCAAGGCACATCAGTCGATGTTCCTGCCACACGGGCGACACTACGACCAGCTGGTTGGAGAAGTTGTATCGCAGATTGAAAGATGGGTGCAGGATGGCCTTAGCGAAAGGCTGATAGAGACCGAAAGTTCTGGACTATAATGAAATCGGTAGACCCCGTTGAGAGCTTTCTCCATGAAAAGCCGGTGGTTGAGTTCCTAAGCAGCGAGAGATATGCCATCAGAGGGTTTGAAGACTAATTGTGCCCGGAAAAGATACAGATAAATCCTAGGATTCTTCTGGAAGATGGTCAAGCCTCAAGATTACCAAAGGCAACGAATGTGAAAATTAGCACATGAGTTGTGACTATTCACTAACTCTATCACTTATACTCAAAATGGTCATTAAGGCATCCTTGAAAATTTTTAAACAAACGCTGCCACCTGCTGAGTGTTGATATCCAGAATCAAACCCAACCAACTTGGATTTATTCTACCTTCCCGCAGGTGTCAGATTTAACCTCACTGAAGCCTTCTCAACCAAATAATCTTTGTGTGTACATGGTCAGGCCTATACACGAGATCTTTTATCCTCTCATCATATTACGAAGATAAGCGTATCCTCACACATTTTCGACGGTCTCACTCAGCCAAGAAAAGCCGTCCACGACGGGAATCTTCGCAATATCGTGCCTCCAGGTAGGTATGATAGAAAGATAGACTTTTTTGAATATTACTCATGGCCCCCTTGGACTAGGCAGTTTCAGGTCCTTGATCCTGGTCGAAGGAATCAAGCTCACAATACCTATCGCGTTTTCTGCTTCCACATCGCAAAACCAGAGTTCAAGAATTGCTGATATTTCCACAATACGACCAACCATCAGCCTCCACCAGTCCAGTACTTGTGTGCTATTGTGGTCTCGTCAAAGGTAAGCCTGTCGACATCAGCAATCTAAGCTAGTACGATTGAAGTTGACCTCGTTTATGCTTAGCTGAATTTCAGTCCCCAAGAATCAGAACCCATTCTCGCGCATCTTCAAAATGTGCTTCATCGAACACCCCGCTCCTATTTACTACGTCAGATGCAATCATACTGTCGATGTTCCCAGAGAGCCAACTCCCTGGATGTGTCTTACAGCTCAACTGCGCTCGCCCCCAGCATGGTGTACTGATTCTCCTAAGCCTACCACAAAGAAATCAAGCACCAACCGTACCCATTTCTGTCCTGATTGTCGAAATACTCAACAGGTTGTGAACAATTCGTAACGGCGATGGTTGCTTGCAGGCGCAACTCGAAGGATGCTGTTTGTGCTGACTGGGAGGATTTATTGGGAAGGAAGGAGTGGCTTTATATGGAAATTGTCTACTTGCGGATGTGAACTTATGATTCAGGTCGGGCACTGGGAGGGGATAACTATCTATGATGTGATTTTATCATGCTTGATGGGTGCCTTTGGTTTGAAGCAGTTCGCACCTTTACTGCTAAGTGCATATGGCGGACATTTTCCACACGGATAGTAGAGTCTCCGTCCACTGTAGTGCTCTAAATGCAATTAAAGTGTAGTGTCATGGACTAAGTCTTGTTGGCACATTCTACCCACTGTACAAGGAAGATGGTGCGGGTGTAGAGGTCAGGGGTCTCACGAATTAGAGACGATTTGACTTTAAGCTACTTGCGTCACGGATATAAGCCTGTAGTTAGAGCCCACTGCAGTACTTGGGAAGGGCCCAAAGAGGCTAGGCCACGCGCTGGGGTACTAAAAACAATATATAGCGATCTTAGTGTTACTTGGTAGTCAATATACCTTTGTACTGGGGTTCTGATCCTCCAATTATCCCTGCCTCCTCCACCTCTCCATCTTTTCTCATATCATTTATCCTCACCGAAAGTCACAATATTTTGCCCGTCGCCATACACGACTAGCCCCGTACTATGGCTTGGTCTTCCACTATCCGCTGTCAAAGCAACAGCTTCCTTTAGTTGTGGAGCGGCTCATCTAAAGATTCTTGTTAGATAGATTCACTCTACTGAGAATAGTGCTTCTTCTTCTTCTTCTTATAGGTAATTTCTGATGGCCTTTGATACGCTACCTATAGATAAATCAAATCATGCTTCTGTTTTACTCTGCCAGCCATAGTGAGAGTATTCCTGAGCAGGCTCCACTGTGCCCTGCATGACTCTGATAGAGTAACGCGTTCGAATATCAACACCACAACACGCTAAGCAGTATATCCACTTTACTTTTATCCTGAAGCCCTTTCATTTTACTTTCTCTTCTCATCTCTGCTAATCACCGTTCCGTATCCCAACAGCGATATTATTCTAATCTACAACCAGCGTTTACACGAACCTTAAAAGCAGTACGCATCATGGTTCCGTACAGGATCCTTAATTTCGCAATCCTCCTGTCTGTTCTACTCACCGGAGCGGCGCAGATTCTCTGGTAAATGAGCCCTGGTGAGCGGCTGAACTGAGCTGACGCGGGGCATGTTTCTCTAGTGACCCCGAGATCAACAGCGTCCTCTGTCCTCAGAAGGATGGGAACTACTGCCTGCACGGCTCTCTTAATGGCCCAACTATCATAGTCTGCGCTTCGTCTGCCTTTACAGAAGTCTACTCCTGTAATGAAATGTAAGCTATACCGCAATCCTGGCTTGAGAGATAACTAATGGCTCACTGCACGCGCGAGCAGTCTTACCACGGTTCTTTCAGATGACTATCAGAGCACTGCAACCTGTAAGTCTATTTAACCCTTCTACTCTTCTGCTCACTCTGCCCTCCAGCTAGAAACCCTACACTCACTTCTTCAAAGGCTACGAGACCTTCGCAGCAGCAGGAGACGCGCTCTGCGCCTTCAACGGCACCGGCTACAGTCTCTCAGACCCTGCCCTCTCAATCCAGGTCCCAGAGACTCTCCTCTGCGAGCACCCCGACGAGGCCGGCGAAGGCGAAGCTCCCAGCACAGCCAGCGCCGCCTCTTTCTCCAGTGTTATCACCTCATCTGAGACCGAACCCTTCGCAGAACCAGTGACACGTATCACCAGCACATCAACCCACTACATAACAGTGACCGTCATCGCACGGAGCACCACCCAGCGCGAACCAGCGCCCACCACTACCCTCTCCGCGGAGCCAACCCACCACAAACGCAACCCAGCATGCTCGAACCCGCGAACCCAGTCCCCGCCAGCCCACTGGCCGACCCCAACCCCAGCCCCGATGACCGTCCACGCCCTAGCAGCTCTCCCCACACCCATCACCGAACACCACCACGCCTCCTCAACCACAACCTCCACAATCTTCCTTTACAAAGGCTCACCCGTGCCTCCGACCTTCTCACCAATGGAAACCAGTGGCACCGATATCGGCACCGGACTAAGCCGCGTCACCGTCATCGTGACCCTGACCGCCAAACCATCCAGAACAACCACCATCACACTCACCAGTACAGGCGCAACCACGACCGTCACCCCGACCCGCGCGAAGACCAAAACCATGACCACTTCGGGGTCAGAGGAGATCCGCGTGGCTGTGTGGTCGTTGTTCTGGGTTGTGGTCTTCATGGCGGTTTTGTGTTTGAGTTTGGAGTAGACGTTGCTTTCCTCGGTGTTGTTTAGTATGTAACTCGGCGTTACTCTTGCTTAACGTGTGAACTGGCGTTTGCTTTTTTTTAACCTGTACAAGGGCGTTTGCTGCGTTACTTTACTGGAAAGGTGTTTGCTGTGTTACTTTACTGGAAAGGTGTTTGCTGTGGATGGAAATAGGGGGCGTTTGGCAGGCGTTGATATGGCGCGATGGAATTTGAAGATTGTCTTGAGTGTTACGATCGGTGGGAATACGTCGGATTTTGCTTTCGGTGTACAAAAGTGATTTATGCAGTAATATTAAAGCATGATGTGCTGAGACGTGGGTTTGTCGTATTCGCTACAGGAGGTAGTCGATCATAAGTCTAGATTTCTCGTCCACTAGGTTGTATATTTATGTGGCTGTATCGCATGCTGTTCAAGTTGGAGGACGCTCTGACAATGTACTGCAATACAAGCCAAGTTTATAGAGTAAGCGCCCGCTAGAGAGAGACCGAGCAAGCACCAAGCCTACAGCCTCTGTTACATATCTCGAACATACCCCTGCTCCGCCACGCCCCCCTGGTCCAACACAATGTAGTAATCTGCATCCTTGATAGCCTCCAGCCGATGCGCGATCGTCACGACCGTAGATTCCTTCATCTCCTCCCTCAAGATCTGCTGGATCTCCAGCGAGCTCTCATGGTCAATCGACGCCGTGGCCTCATCCAGAATGACAATCGGGCTTCGACGCAGGACCGCCCGGGAGAGTCCGATCAGCTGCCGCTCGCCCTGGCTCAGGTTCCGGCCTCCGGCTTCGACGTGGGTCTCGAGACTCCAACCGTGGCGGCTGCAAACGCGCTTCAGCACCTCCGAGCACTCTGCATCGGAGTACTCGCCTGTCGGATCGATATTTAGCCGAATGCTGCCGGGGAACAGGACGGGGTCCTGCGCGACGAATGTGACGCGGGATCGGAGGGCCTGCGTGTTGACCTGTGCGATGTCCAGCCCGTCGACGAGGATGCGGCCGGACTCCGGCCGGACGACGCTGAGCATCGACACCGCCAGCGTCGACTTGCCGCTGCCCGTGCGGCCCATGATGGCTGTGGTGCTGCCGCCGGGGATGCGCAGGCTGATGTTCTTGAGGGACGGGTCGAGGTGGGGCGCGTAGCGGATCGTCACGTCGTCGAAGACGATGTCCCGGCCGAATTTGGGCCACGAAGCTGGCGGGTCAACTGTGCCCGGCGATTCTTGCTCGACGTGCAGCAGTTCGTCCACCCGCTCGACGGACACGAAGTCCATCTGCAGCTGGCCGTATTGTTTGCAGAGCGCGTGGGTCGAGGTGACGAAGTTGTTCGCGGCGATGAGCACGAATGCTGCCAGGCCCGGACTGACGCTTGTGTAGAGTGCGAGGACGGTCAGACAGAATGTGGAGACGGCCGAGAGGCTCTCGAATCGGTACATCAGCCAGCTTTGGAGTGACCAGTAGAAGTGGTCCATGCCCTGGAACTTGTCTACCACGGCGATGACCCGGTCTTGGAAGCGTCCCTCGGCGTGGAATGCGCGGACTGTGGTCAGGCCATGGAGCAGCTCTCCGAAGTTGGAAATCAGAGGACTCAGTGATACCATCTCCAGACGTCGCAGGCTCTGTGATGTAGGGAGGAAGCGTAGGAAGATGAGGACAAATGCTGCCGTAAGCAGGAGCGAGAATACGAGGAAGGTCGGTGTTACTGTTGCGATAACGGCAATCGAAGATACCCAGGTGATGGCTTGGAAGGCGATCATTTGGAATTGCTCGCTTATGTTTCCGTCGACTACTCCAATGTCCGAGGTCAGTCGGTTCATCAGTCGACCAACGGGAGTAACGTCGAAGAACCGGAAAGTGGCATTGCTCACTCGCACCATCACCTCCTGGAAGAGCGTCCGACCTGCACAGTAGACAATCACAAGCATCAGAAGTTGCGCCAGTAGAAGCATCAGGGACTGAAAGCTGGTGATAATCAGGAATGCTACCAGCCAGGGTTTGACGTTGTCCTCTGGCGCAGGGAGCTCATTCAGTGGGTTTTGAGGGACCCAGTGAATGTTGTTCGCAATAGCTGATGCCGTAGTCAGTTCGCCAACCGGAGATATGCGTTTGAGATTCGAGCTTCCGAAGAACAGTAGTATCTGCTTGTATGCCTCTCCCCACTCCTTGAGAAACCATGATTGGCCAACGGAAGATAGCCGGTAGATGGTGAGAACTATGAAGAGGGCGAGCCACCACCTATACTTGCCAGCTTTGATGTATTTCCAGTAGACCCGCGCTTGCACCCCCCATTCTGCTCGATGTTCCTCTTCTATGAACTTCGTGGGAACCACAGCAGTGGCATCCTCGAGAGCAACGTCACCTTCAATGGCAGTGTCTGTGCTCTCAGATGGCTCACTTTCCGAGCCCTCACTGTTATGAGCTGGTCCATTTTGCTTGACCTCTACCGTGGCCCGCCCGTTCTCAATGTGGACTATCTGATCGGCAATATGGCCGACCAGGTGTGTTCTGTGGGTGACAAGAACTACAGTCCGGTTGCGCATTAGCGGTCCCAAGAAGCATTTGCGAACAACGGCCTCTGCCGTGTTGTGGTCTAACGCTGATAGCGGGTCATCGAGAAGCAGCAACCTAGCCGAGCTATACATTGCTCGTGCCAGAGCTACCCGTGCCTTTTGACCCCCAGAGAGACCGATGCCGTTCTCACCGACAAAGGACAGATCGCCATGCTTGAAGTTGGAGAGATCTGGTATAAGGGCACAAGCATCTAGCACCAGCTTATAGCGTTGCTCATCATAAGGCGAAGAAAACAAAATGTTGTCCCGGATACTCATGCTCTGTAGCCATGGTGTTTGGGCACAGAACCCTACCATCTCGTTGGGAAGGCGAGAGGCTCCCTCGAGTCTATCCAACTCCCCAAGCAGGGCCTGGAGCAAGGCTGTCTTTCCAGAGCCCACCTTGCCGTGCACGACAGTTAACCCCTGAGGCACATCCAAATTGACATTTGAAAGCACGGGCACTGTTCTCCCGGGCCAGGCAAAAGTGCATGAGTCCAGTTTGATCGCAGAGGGAAAGTCATCAGCAGCAGGCGTTGTCTCTTTGTCAGGCTCGGCCATGAAGTCCTCAATTCTCTCCATAGCAATTGAGGCGTTTATGAGCACAGTGATAAGACTTGGAATATCTCTCAATCGGGTCTCCAACATCGTGAACAGCTGGAGAGCAGGAAATATGATGTCGATGCGCAATGGGTTTCCAGCCAGATAGGTGTAAGCATATAACGCGACAACAGGGAACAAGCCACTAGCGAGGGTGTTGATGAACCGGATCAACACATTCCACAAACTGGTAATGATCCAAAGGTTCAGCTCAGACTGCCTTGCGTCCATGACCTGACGAAGCCAATGACTCTGCCAGCCGTACCAGCGTAGATGGCGCAGAGCTTCCACAAACTGAGAAGATATTTGGAGCCGAGTATCTGTTGCCAGGCGACGAACACGCTCCCACTGCAGAAGCGTACGAGTGATAAACACGTTGAGCGTCTGTGCAACCAAAATGGCTACAACGCCCAAGAAGCACGACGGACCAAGTAATTTCCAGACGAGAACAGTCGCGATGACAAGCCCCAGCGGTTTGTCGATCAGTGAGTCGATTTCCCAGAATCGTTGGGCTACTTCGTAGACATCCCCACGTAGCAAGTTGAATATCTTGCCCATAGATGCTGTTTTCTTAACCTTCTCCTTGGGCGAAACCTTCTGAGAGCGCGAGAAGGGCCACCACCACCTGCTTGGTTTGCGATCCGAATATGTCTCGTCATTGCCTTCTTCAGCGGGCTCAGTACCTTCTTCCTTATCGCTGATTTGCTGGTCAAAGACATTCTTTCTTGAAAGCGCCTTTTCATAGACCATCATAATCATCTCTCCTCTACTCCGTTCATAGGCACGTCTACCGTACCACAGGTTGAGAACTTGCGCCTGCGCTAGCACTAGACGAAGTAACAAACTGAGCAACGCATAGGTCAAGGCCGGCCTATTGGACGTCCCCCGATCCTTCATCGCCTGCAACAATTGTTGGAGCAAGACAGGGGTCGAGAAGTCTGCATGGTTGGTCAGCGAAATGCTGGCCATCATGAATGGGATACCGACCGCAAAGCATTTGGACAATAGAGATCGTAGTTATTATCAGCACATCGATCCCATTCGCCTGGAGCAAACGTCCAAGAACGGATCCTCTCAATTGGCGAAACTTTTCATGTAACTTGCGATGCTGGAACTCGTGTCCCAAGAACCAGACGTCTTCCTCCTGCAACTGCTTATTCTTGCCTACAGAGATCAGGGGAGCCATCCAGGACACGCTGAGGAATTGCCAAAGCCGCAGATTGTCTTCGGGACTGCGGTAGTCGCTCGATGGCGATTGGCCAACGGCACTGATATCGCCCTGCGGGAGCAAATGGCTGCGAAAGGGCATTGCCAGGATGACCATACACCCGGCCAAGGCAGCAGTAGCAGCCACATGGCGGGTGAACAGTTTGGAGGTTTGATATACATCATGATTGATGACGAATGCAGATTCCACGATCAATGCACTTAGGAAGAAGGCGAGCAGAGACGTAGGGCACGATCTCGGCCGCACCACGGCTATCATGACAGCAGCCACAGCCTAGTCCTTGGTTAGCGTATCGTCCCGGAGGTTTGCTTTTCCCACTTACCCAGGATACGACTAATGCAATGCTTGTGATGGGTCCAATGAGAATGACGTTGGTTAGGTCAGCTAGAAAACCAACCACCGAGATGGTGAATAACGCTGCAACCCATCCGAGCCGTTGCTGTGGTCGTTCTATGGGGAGCTCAATTGATGCTGGCTGCTCTTGAACGAAGGGCACTGTCCATTTTGGACGTTTACCTCGCAGTCCTGCAGACGGTATGTGGCCCAGTGTGACGACCAGAACGACTATTGCTGGTGCGAGAGATAAATACTGCAATGCACATAGTGACGGTCGCGCATAATGGGAGTCCTGTGGTGGGACATGTCAATACCAACAAACATGCTATACATGACAGGTGTGGTTTTGCGAGGTCTTGGATAACTTACCCATAGCCAATGGCAGGAGCTGAGAGATCCATCTTCCATGTCTATCAGCATTAGCACCCATCCACAGAGTGACTGGGCTGGTGTGACCAAGACTTGAAGGAAGTAAGTAGTCAGCCATCTCAGCTTAACTAATTGATTGTCGAAGGCGGCGGAGTCGCACCGCCTAGCCTGCGTGCCTTAGGCATCATGTCCGAAAACAGACTAGAAGCGCAAGTCCCTTAAGGATGATGCAGGTGGGAAAATGACAAGGATGTGGAATGCTTGGTTTAGTTCATTGGTAGTACTTGAGTTCTGCAAGTGGGGCGAGCTATATGCCAGTATGTCTGGCATTACAGTGCGATCCCTGCGGTTATCTGGCGACCTCGCATCCAGGTCATTACGAATATGCATAATAGTTGATCCAAATTTGAATGAGATTAAATTAACAAGATATTTCTTCGCCGGAACGCTCAACCTCACGACTCAACCACAAAGCTCACCATCAGTACGCTTCGTCATTTGTTCTCTGTTGCTGCTTATCATGGCCGGCTGGCATACTAGTCCTGTGTACGATACGAATCCATCGTCGTCTCCTCCACTCGCCCATCCCTCCTGTATTGCCTCTCTCCTCATAATCCTGGGAAGCTCGCTCCTTTCCTTTCTTCTTCGTAGGCGTTTTCCTGTCGCTGGCGGAATCGTGAAAGGCATCGATTCCTAACCCAGCCGCCACACCACCGTCGTCCGCCACGAAAGCAGGAGGTAGGTCCCAGACCCAGCCGCCAATCTCTCCACTAACTGCTTGGTCTTCAGAGGGGCTCCCGGGTACCTCGAAGCCCACCCCTGTGATCATGCGCTCAACCACCCACTCACGGCAATCGAGATCCAGCTCCCACTTCTTGCTCTTCCATGCCCAGCCGCTTGGGGGCTGAACGTCCTCGAAGAACCGACACCCCTTGGGACGGTCGCCCGCGATGCGAAGCGGCGAGAGTGGGTCATACGGCATGGGACTGAATAAGACATGATCCCATTGGGATTCAGAGTATGGAGCCAAAGAGCGATACTGAATCTCAAATATCTCAACCTCACGTTCTTCGGTGTCAGAATCCAGGGAGATATTAGCCAGCGAGCGCATCAGCGACATGGCCCCGGAGGAAGAAGCGGGTAGCGGGACCCCAGCAGCCGTCGCTGCACTTCGGAGCTGTTTTTCGGCCAACGACCCTGGGCTCGACGGTTGCTGGGACATATCTGCTGTGATGGCTTGGAAGAAATCCTGGAAGCCTGGGTACAGTGAGAGCACAGCCAGATTGCCACCCACCAAGAAGACAAAGCCCCAAGGTACAAGATGTGCGGTCAGAAATAGAAGAGCTGCAACGAGAAGACATAATAGGAACACTGCTGACGAGAGCTTCTCATCTGAGAAATTAGTCACAGGTGCGAAGGCGGACACCATAGCATCGTGCGCATCCGAAAAGTCCGCCATGCAATTTTGCAGGTCTCGCATATTCCTGAAGAAGTCCTTTGAGGTCTCCGAGGCCGGCTTGATGGTCTTCGCGGGTGCCAGTGCCGGGCCGTCATACGAATAGTAAGGCATGATGCTCGAGGTGGATGTTGAAGGGGGCGGAGGATGACGTGCGAGGAATGCAGGCACCATGATGAAGAACAGGAGGATAGATATCGGCACCAACACAAAGAGGTGTGGGTTTAGGCAGATGAAAGAATAGATGAAGAGAAATGAAAGGGTGTGGGAGGCTTTCTTCCAACTGAACAGACGCTCAACCTGGATCTGAAAAGTAAAGACAATCCCAATTCTGTACCAAACTTTAGCGTCTCCAGTAATTTAGTGCTGGAGTGGTAATGGTGTACCTTGCATTGAATCTGCGAAAGTTGTTTGCCATGAGAGGTAGACTGAATGCTGGCCGCTTGGGGTCTTCCGCGAAGGCCTTGTCGCCGCCTGACCATGATTCCTTATCGGCATCTTCTGTGGGCACTACCTGCTCCAGAATCCTGTTGGGGGAAAAAGGTCAGCGGAGACTGAGAGAGATGTCTACAGATCCAAACACTTACTTGGAAAATAGCCTGTCCTGCAGAGATCGCCCGACGCTCGAGGCTGATCGCTTGTGTCCCCCGGGCTTCGGGTGCTTTGTATCATGTTTCTGCTTGTCGGAAAATATGACAGGTATAGGCTCATCGCGATTGACGATGGGCTCCGCAATAGTTTCATCCATGACGCCCCATCAACCAAGAGACTGTTGCTGTGGTTGGGTCAAGTGGGAAGGGCATCTCCGATGGCGGGAAAAGGGAGAGATGAGGTCAGAGTTGGGTGAAGTAGCAATAACAGCGGTAGCAGCAGCAGCAGCAGCAGCAGCAGCAAGCAGCAAAAGCACATGCAGATGGCTGGATGCCCAGAATTTGGGGTCACTCCGAGCTTATCGGCCACTGGTTGGTTTTAGGTTGTATTGCGCAATACGTCAATTACGTCGAATAGATTACTACCCACAGGCTCTCTGGGCGATCCCACCAAAACGGTAGGTGTTTGGGCTGTTTGCAGCCACCGAGACCCCCCCCATTTTGCTCGCAGCAGCAGCAAAAAAAGGAGCAGGGGGGGCAACTCATTGAAGACTCATGGAAGTCTCTCACTCAACCTCAACTTGGCCTCCCGGTTCCAAATTGTTTACCACCTCTTTATTTTTCCATATCAATCCTCCGACCGTAACTCTTCGGTCCCTTTCTCTTCCCTCTCCCTCCCCCACTTATTTTCTCCTAATTTTGATTGATCGTTGACCTCGACTCTTCTTCTATTTTTCACTTTCGCCTCTCATTATCGGACTATTCTTTCCCGCGTCGGGCACACTCCCGGGTGGTTGTTGCTTAGGTATACACACCCCCATACAGTAACTTTCTTTTGACGCCAAGTCTGGCAGAAACCAACTACTGCTGCCCCAGGCAGAGTTTCTCCTCTGCAGAACCTCGCCAGTTCGGTCTTTTGAATCTGGTCTGAAAAGGGGCTTCACGAAGACTCTCTCAGAGCTTTCATCTGCGCTTTCAATCTCTGTCTAACCCCATTTTCAGGTTTCTTCGTCGCCCAACCCGCAGCAGACACCGCTGTTCTTGACCCCCGCAATGGACCGGTAGCAACCGTTGATGGGTCGCGCGACGGTGTTGATCAGGGTTCTGCTTGGTTAAACACCGGAAGAAAAAAAAAATAACAACACCTTCTACTCCTGAATGCCATTGCGATAGGGATTGCCCTTGCATCCCCCCCGCTAATTCAATTCCCCAACCTCTCGCCCCCGACTTGTCTACCTACCTGTCGTCCGGAGCTCGCTCGGTCGCAGTTCGAGGATGATGCCGGAAAATCCATCCTTTCATGAAACTCCAGGAAAGGGGCACTTGCGCAAAGTACAATCGAGATCATCTAGCCCGTCTCGAAATGATGGGTCCGGCTCAGAAGGTAGGATTGTTGGATCAAGACTGGGACTATCATTCTTATCTGCAAATGGTTCTTTGTTGACCACGGCTAATTCATTGTCTCTCGCTTTAACAGAAGGACCCACGCGCAGACGGTTGCAAAAGCACTCTTCGACTTCTTTCCTTTCCGAAGCCTCGTCCCACTCGTCCAAAGCTCCTGCCGCAACCCGAACAGGTGTAATGAACCGGAGGAGGTTGTCTATTCGCGATCAGAAAGCGCCGCAAGGCCCACGACCGCAGGACCCTTCACGAACAAGGTATAATCGCCTCACGCTCTTAATTGCCTCCGTCCCCGCCTTCCCGCTATTTTGACTTTAATTGTCGAACCTTCTCCTTCCAGCTTCCAGACCCCCGATCACACATCCCAGGGCTAACGTGAATTTCCTACAGCAACACGTCCGGTTCATTCTTCCACTCCGGGAACTCCTCGATCGATTCCACAAATGACTCAACACAAAGCAACAACTCACGCATTAGTCTGCGATCTACCAGTGTGGGGAATTTTGCGAAACCGGAGTATAACCCGATGCCTTCCCAGAGTACGGAGTTCCTCGCCCCGGTGAATTTCGACGACATGCAGAATAGTATCATGGGAGAATCACAATTGAAGTATTTCCCGGTGCCTGGAACTATGGGGCTAGGATATAAGCCAAATTGGACGAGTGGCAGTGACAATGGAGAGACCACACGTTCCAGGAGCAATTCTATTCGTCGAAAAAGCGTGGTCAATTCGTCCAGCGAATCAGTGTCATCTCGTCCATCTGCGACTTCTACGACCGGTCGTAGCCGTCGGCAAAGCCTTACTCAACAAACGGGGGCGAATGGTACGGCTTCGCGTGCCCCAAGGAAGTCTTTAGGGCCCGGTTCTCTGCCGTCGAATGGAACTGGGAGGCGACAGAGTCTATCTGCGCGGAAAGCGAGCGCGGATGCAAGCCGTACAGAGCAGACCAGCTATCTCCGTCCCCGTACGCAACATTTCGAATCAAGTCGAACCGAAGGTACGAAGCTTTCCAGCAACGCGCGGAGTATCAAGGCCAAGTCGCTTCAGCCACCGCTGCGAGAGCCTCACGATAATTACTTGACCGCGTCTGGCCCAGCAGAATATTCTCGGGCGTCGTCGACTAATGCTGTTCGAACACCAGTGAAAAATGCAACACCCGCCATCAATACTCCATCCTCGTCATGTAAAAGAGTCTCAGTCATGCCCCCACATGTTCATGGTCTTGGAGCCCGTACCATAAGCCCTACCGATGCGCGTCGGGCTAAACGTATGTCAACAGCTCCTTCGACGCACCCGCTGCCATTTACACCAACTCAAACAGAGCCTATGCCTGTCCGGCCTCGATCCTCCGCGCAATCGCCGTCACATATTCCCCGCAAGAGTGTCACTCCGTCCTCAACCCGCACCACCCCTGACCCGAACCGAAAGTCATACAGTTCCGGCTTATCGCTCTCATCCAATACGACCTACAGCTCTGTAAGAAACTCGGCTGGCTCATTGCAGAATAGGCTCTCCCACAATGCGTCAACATCCCGGCTACCTACTCCTAAAACCCGCTCCGAACCGAACGCGCCCGATGAAGAGGTTCCCCCTGTCCCCGCGATACCCAAAGCATATGAATCCCCCAAGGGTGATTTCGAGCCACCGAACTACGTCACCCCTCGCAAGTCAAGCTTGAACACGGAAGCCGGGCTGAAACCTAAACTCGAACCAGAATCAGACACCAACTTTACCGCAAGTGCAACGGAGGAGGAAGCGCCCAAGCCCAGAGCAGGACGGGCGATGAAGACTCCCGAAGCTAAACCTAGAACCACGGCGCTTCTTGGGAAGAGGAATCTGCAGCCTCTGAAATTACCTCCTTTGAATCTGCTTCCCCTGGGTACGCCTATGACGACTAAGATCGAGGCTCTGAAAGATCGCGAAGATGATCTCAAAGTGCAAACACCTTCTGCTCAGATCGTGTCCAAGACACCGAGTACTCCCCTAACTGCTTCCAAGGCCAACTTCTTCTCCACAGTCGAGGATGACGATCTTATGCCACTGACACAGGCGAGGAGCAGCACGTCGCACTTTGCATTGAGTACCTCATCGACCGCCCCGACTCTGAGGACTGCGAGTAGTTCCAGTGCGCTTGCAGCTTTCGAGAACACGCCGACCAATGCGAGGACATCTTCACCTTACGCCGCATATAGCTTACCGAAGAGCAACAGCGAACACACTAGTTTGAAGCCAAAGACCAGTGATGACCATGCACCCAAGGCAGTCCAGTCGTATAAAATGACTGGTCCTCGTTCGCAGACACAGTCGTCTGCCTTCTCATCCAACGCTGAGACGATCAGTCAGCTATCCACACCTTCCGACCCAGACAACAATAGTATATCGAGCTCAACCCTACGCAATAAGATCACAATGACCCGCAACCGAAGCAGCCCCAAGACTCAGACAGGCACAGAGGCCAGCAGCGATCCGGTGAAGCATGATCCAATGCCGCCGCCGAAGATAGCCGCTTCATCGACTTGGAACAACCTTTCCAGCGTGAAAACCTCCAGCCCTACGCTCAAGCCAAGCTATCTTAAGTCCCGACGCCAGGCTTCTTTCTCCAAGGCTTCGAGCCAGGCATTGAGAAAGCCCAGCTTTAGCAGCGAGCAGAGCCTTGCACTTGAACCGAGCCCATCTAACGACTCAAACGATAGCACTGATGCTCCTGTCGTTCAACATCGGACTGCTGCAAGCTCAATTTTCTCCCCGGTCCATCGAATCATCAGTTCGGCGAAATCCAGCGTGACTGCCACTCCAGCTCCCCCGCCCACTAGCGATCCCAATGTTGACCCTGATATTCGTGTTGCGGACGAAGAGATGCGCAAACTCGGCAGTAAGCGCAAAGACTTTGAGAATGCCGCCAAGAATCTGGATGAATTACGACGCAAGGCTAGTCCAAAGGAGCGTGTAAGTCCAGCGCAGGCTTTGAGAATAGCGAACCTGAACATCTTCGAGCGCGGAGAGATTATCGACTTCAAGGATATCTATTTCTGTGGCACTCAACATGCCAGGAAGCATGTTGGTGATCTCTCCGTGCAAGCGAACTTTGGCTACGACGATGACCGTGGTGACTACAATATCGTCATCGGCGACCATCTGGCGTACCGCTATGAAGTGATCGACGTGCTTGGTAAAGGAAGCTTTGGTCAGGTAGTGCGATGCATTGACCACAAAACGGGAGGCCTTGTTGCAGTCAAGATTATCCGCAACAAGAAGAGATTTCACCAGCAAGCCCTAATCGAAGTCAACCTCCTCCAGAAGCTTAAAGAGTGGGATCCGCAACGCCGCCACAACGTGGTCAACTTCACTCAGAGCTTCTACTTCAGAGGCCATCTTTGCATTTCCACCGAGTTACTGGGAATGAATCTGTACGAATTCATCAAGGCTCACGATTTCAAGGGCTTCTCACTGAAGCTCATTCGACGCTTCACGAAACAGATGTTGAACACGCTAGTGCTATTGCAGGCGAAGAAGGTTATTCATTGTGACTTGAAGCCTGAGAATATCTTATTGTGCCACCCGTTGAGCTCCGACATCAGAGTCATTGATTTCGGTTCCAGTTGCTTCGAGAACGAGAAAGTGTATACCTATATCCAGAGTCGATTCTATCGGTCTCCCGAAGTTATCCTTGGTATGTCGTATGGTATGCCCATCGACATGTGGAGTGTTGGATGTATCCTTGCAGAGCTGTTTACGGGCTACCCTATTTTCCCGGGTGAAAATGAGCAGGAACAGCTTGCCTGCATCATGGAGGTGTTTGGTCCTCCGGAGAAGCATCTGATAGAGAAGAGTACTCGCAAGAAGTTGTTCTTCGACTCCTTGGGCAAACCGAGGCTTACGGTTTCCTCTAAGGGCCGAAGACGTCGTCCCAGCTCCAAGGAGCTTCGGCAGGTTCTGAAGTGTGACGATGAATCCTTCCTTGATTTTATATCCCGCTGCCTTCGGTGGGATCCTGCCCGTCGGATGAGTCCCCAAGACGCGCTTCGTCATGAATTCATCACGGGCATCAAGCTGGCTTCGCGTACGAGGACATATACTTTGACGAACAACTCCCCGGCCAAGCGGGTGATCTCGTCCAACCCGTCTTTAGGACGTCCTCTTCCCGAGCCGCCTGTGGCCGGCCTGAAAAGTGGCACTCTTGCCCGCACTCGAGACGCCTCGGGCACCTCCCCGGTCAAGCCCGCTGGGAAGCGTCATTCGACAGTGAGCGGGATTGCACCGTCGACGCCCGCTAAGCGAGGCACGAGCATTAGCACAGGTACTCCTGGGTCCGCTTTACCCCGTGTTGCGGCTCGAAGTATTAGTGGTAAGCCCGACCTTGCAACAGCGGCAGCTGCCACCAGCCTGGTAAGTCAAATGCCCCCAAAGTAGCATAGCGGACATATCGATCACAAGAGCTAACTCGGACCGCAGAGAACCAAATGAAGCGTGCAATGCCATCTAGAGTTTTTCTCTTCTTTCTTCCTCACTTCTTTGCATATCTGTAATAATAATTGTTTGATCATCAAGGTTGCATGTTGCATAAAAACGGGTATCGGCACATAGGAGGTTCTGCGCGTCCCCCGTTCGTCATGATTGAGATTCCGAGACTTTGTTGGAGGCTCCTCCCCGCCCGAGAGTGTTTACTTTATACCCTTAGTCGAGCATGTGTATGCTTTTCCCCCATGACTTTCTACATTTCTTGCAAAGTTCTCTTTTCCAGCATATTTGTTCCTGATGTGTGGGGTATTTCATCATGACCTTGAAGGGCTCCTGTTGTTTGTTTCCCAATCTTTGCATGCATATGATATGTCTCGCTTGCATTTTCTACTGTTACCTTTTCATATGTCACTCATTTTTCATTTGTCTATGATGAACCGAGGGGTGTTCCATTCCTGAATGGATGAAAAACTCTCTGATTGGACGGTCGAAAGCCCTGATCTGTACATTTATTTTTATTTTTTTCGAAGAGAATTTCGGGCATCAGCGCCCTTTCTCCGAATCGTGTTGCTGGTCTCTCCGATACATTTGCATAGGATACTTACATTTGGGTTTGGGGAGCTGGAGCTGGAGTTCGACTTATGACCTAGACAACTACAACTATAACTAACTACAAGATGTTAGTCACAGCAAGCACATCATCTCTGCTGCATATATATATGTACTTTGCACAAATGCCAATCACTGCTGCTGGTGCTGGTGAAGCTAGCGATCATTTACTACTATGATTACAGTAATATTTGTGTAAAACAGTGAGTTCGAAATTCCGGTTGTACACCAAACTTCAGATACCGACATCTGAGTAAAGAGATCCTAGAAGAGAGGGTGACTTCCAAGGTTTTAGTGAAGAAGATGATGATGATGATGCCAATGAAGCAGTATATATTCCCAAACCAAATGTACCAAGCACAGTAGGTACCTACGTAACACATGCAAACCAAATTCACCCCTCTTCTCCAAACAAGAACAGAACCAAGGATGACAATACACATCTTCAATCCTCAGCAAGATGCCTCCCATTCAAAACCCCATCGGACTTTTCCCGCCAGCCGCCGCGCCGGCGCACCAACTGGCCCGCCCAGCCAGCCATCTGATACAGCCACCCACCGGTGACCATGACACCGGACACGGTATTCACCAACCGCATAAGCAAGGCCAAGAAGCTGGAGCGCTCCTCGCTGACGAGCAGCAGGATGGGCTCGATGTTGTACTTGAAGAAGATCCCCGGGATGAAGAAGGGGTTCTCGGGCAGCACGTCGGCAGAGCTGGTGGCCGCGTACTGGTTGGTGAGCACCAGGTTCTTGCTGCGCTGGGCCTTCTCCGGATTCGTGTAGATCTCCTGCAGCGCGGTGCTGCCCTTGGAGTAGATCGTCGGTACCACCGAGAGGAAGTATTGGTATTTGTAGTAGTGGGATTCGGTGGCCGCGATGGTTTTGTCGAGGGGATTGAGGAGGGTTGGGTAGTGTGGACCGAAGGAGAGTTCCGTGATCATGTGCGTGAAGTTGAATACTATTTTTTCGCCGTGGGTCAGTTATTGTTGATGTAGGCCCCAAGGGGGTGGGTGGGCTCCTGAGACTGTAATTTCCCCCCTGGGAGAGGAAGGGAAGCAAAGCAAACATACCGCTATGATCCAAATGGCCCCCAGCAGCATCCTGATACCCATGTCCACGGGCGGTGATATGGAAGTCACCCTGGACTTTATTCCCCTCGAGACTACCATAAATCCGACATGAGTCGACGACATCCCCCCTGCGGAGGCGGGGGCCCTTGGGGAACTTGCGACGGGGGTTGCGGCGCACCTCGCCCAGGACGTGGTGGACGTGAGCGTCGGCCTCCTGCGCGGCCAACCGGTCGGCGTCCTCCTGGCTGAGCGTCTGGTACTCGTCGTGGCGGCCGCCGCGGTTGCGCTTGTCCATCCACAGCTGCCAGCTGGTGCGCTCGCGCTGCAGCAGCTCGCCCGCCAGGATCCGGTCGCCCGACGCGTCCTGGATGTTCACGTGCAGCGTGTCGCATGGCATCCGCACCACCATGTCTAGGTTCAGCTGCAGGTCGTGCGATACCCCCTTTTCCACGCTGAAGTGCTGGTTCTCCGTGCCTCGGAGCCATGTCCGGAACTCCGCTACTGAGAAGACAGTGCAGATTACCAGGATCAGCACTGTCCATTGGCCGCCGCGGCGGGAGGGCGCTGTGTAGGAGGTTTTGGTCTTCGCTGGTTTTGTGTAGGGTGGTTAGCCTTGGGTTTCGTAGTGGTTGATTGCTTGGGGTGAGGTGGGTGGGTGGTTGGGTGGAATGGCGCATAGAAATGCGTAGTGGGCAGCGTAACTCGCTCTCCTGGCGCCGCCGCTCCATTGTCTTCTCCCAGATGAATTCGCCAGTAGAATGAACTCATAAAACTTACGGAAGGCATCAAACGTCTTCCAGCCGCCCTGCAGCTGAGACTTCTCGCTGAATGCATCCTCATTGAGGCCGTGATCTGCGAACCCATTCATCACGGAAGTTCGTGTCGCCAATAAACAATCACTGCGACAGGTCAAGGCATCAATAAAGCAGGAAAAGGAGGCACCAAGTGAAATGAATAATACAAGAGAGCGACGGTAGACCAGTGCCCTTCGCTCTCGAGGCAAATTGGGGTTAGCAAAGCAAGCACAAAGCAGATAGTGAGGGGGAGGGACGAGACAATCAATCAATCAATGGGAGAAAGGCCAAGTAGTCCGGATTGCGCCGCTGGTCTCCGCACCGCACCGCTTATCGATAAGCTCGACTTCGAACTCCACTGTATCTGCCCTACTTTGAAGTTGCTCCATGAGTCTACTCTTCACAAGTATATTTTTATCAATGAAGAACAAACACAATGGTATAATTGATGCAAGTAACTCTTAAATCTCAAAAATCTCGCCCATTCCAACGCCCGCTCCCTCAGCGCCAGCCCGACTATCCACCAGATCCAGTCGCCATCCATGCCAGTCCTTGAGCTTCCTCTTGATCTCTCGCACCCATTCGACTCGCTTCCGAGCCTCCTCTTCCGCCTGCGCGCGCGCAAACTCCGCCTCGTCGAACTCGTCCTCCAGGTTCTCTTCCGAGAGAAGCTCAAGGCTACCGCGTGCACCTGCGGGCGGCTGGTTCGATGAGGCGCGTCCCCGGTTGCCGTAGAAGGTATTGCCTCCCGTGAAGGCGGCAATCCCACTGGAAAGCACAGTCGAGAAGGACGAATGTTGGCCGTGGGATTTGCTCTGACCCATGCTCCGGCGGCGAGCGTGGTCGGCAGACGACCCGCCGGTCAGGTCAACGTCGTCGAAGGTATTCGCCGCAGCACTCGCCGAGTCGGGAGCACCGCTGAAGGGGGATTGGTAGTCGGCTTCCCCAGCGAGCTCCTCGCGCTTCTCCTGCCACACACCGCGACGGAGATCGAAGACCTCGCCTTCTAGGTCACGAATCCGGCGCTGCAGACGCGACCGTTCTTCGTCCTCGAGTTCGTCCAGGGCATCGTCGTCGGCACCGCCTGCTTCCCGCTTCCGGAGGGTCTCTTGCTCCTCCTTCAACCGAAGATTCTCATTCTCCGCGCTGGCGAGCCTCTTGCGCAGCACCGCGGCTTCCTTTTCGACCTTCTCGCTCTCGCGCAGCCGTACTTGATGGCGGGACTCGGATTCTTTGTGTAGGTTGCCCATGGCTTCCAGTTTCTTTTCCAGGATTTCGATCTTCTTCTCCGCGTCGGTCTTCTCCTGCTTCAGCTCCTCTACCTCCCGTTGAAGGTTTTTGATCAAAGTCTCAGTAGAAGTTTTGTCGACGCCTTCCTTGACTGCCTTCTCGGAGGCACGCGTTAGAGCAGCCTTGGTGTCGGTCAGCTCGCGCTGTGACTTTCCCAGCGCGGTCTCGCTCGTCGATAGCTTCTCCTCCAAGGCCGCGATCTGGGCCTCGTGCGCACTGTTCGAAGTGGACTGTGATGAAAGCTGCGCGCGTAGATTGGAGATCTCCAGCTCCATCGCCTCGATCGTAGCCGCCCTCGACTCGAGCTGTTTTACGAGATCCGCCGGCGGTGACTCGGCTTGTCCCGGAGCAGACACGCTTGCGTTGTTACGATGTGTTCGCGTTTGGAGATGAGAGTTCTGTCTCTGTAGCGAAGCAATCTCCGCTTTCTGCGCACCCAAATGTCAGTCACTTGCTCAAGCCCACCAACAGCCACCCGGGAAAGAACTCACCAACTCCTCGATCTCCCCAACCCTCTCTTCCGCCTTCCCCAGCTTCTCCTTCAATTCCTCCACATCCACACTCGCCTCCCGCAGATCCTCCAACTGATCCTCCGACTTCTTCCACCGCCCCGTGGCCTCTTCCCGCTCCTTCTCCAGCCGCTTGTTCTCCTTCTCCAGCTCCTCGATCCGCGCCGACTGCTTCCGATACACCTCCTGCACGGCCTCCCCGTCAGCACTCAGCGGCGGCAGCGAAGGCGACTTAAGCATCGCCGACGGCGACGGCGACACGCTCCCCTGCGAGACGGATCCCTTGCGGAACGACGAAGACCGCATCTTGGACTGGATGGACAGCGACGGTTGCCGACCATGGCTGGGGGGATGAGCCGGGGCATCGAGTCTGGTGGCGAGCGCGGGCTGGGCTTCGGTGTCTTCCGGACCTGGGGAAATAGGCGCGTCGGGCATCGGCTCGGTGGGGGATACTTGAGGAAAGGGTTGTGTTTCCGTCGGCGTTTCTTCCGGTTGCTGTACTTCTTCTTCGGCACCATTTTCCCCTTCTATCGTTGCCACTGGTGCACTTTCCTCTTGTGTCGGTTCTGGGGACGCGATGACAGGCTTCTCGGGTTCTTCCGTCGCGGGCGCGGGCGCTGCTGCTGCTGCTGCTTCCGTTTCGGCGGGTGTGGTGGCGTCCTCGACTGGTTGTTGTACTTCTTCGGCTACTTCGACTACTGAGGATGGTTCAGCATCGCCAGACGGGGATGCAGCAGCAGCAGCAGTAGTATCGGCAGGCGCAGCATCTTTAGCTCCTCCCTCCGCAGGCGCCTCGGCAGTCGCTTTGGTCGAATCGGTACTCGCCGCTTTCTTGTTCGCTTTTTTCTTCTGTTTTTGCAGTTGAGCGACCTATTTGATCGGATTTCAAGTAAGTTAGCAAGATTGGCCCATGTAGTAGTGTGGTCAGATCTCTCGATTTGGTCGAACGTGATCGCGGGCAAGCGGCGGATCCTCCCCGCGGAGGTCATGGTTCAACACGCATCGGTGCTGATTTATAGGCAGGTAGTATAGGATGTGGATGGTACCTACTCTCTTCTTGGCGGCCGCTAGCTTCTCAGCCTTGATGCGCTCCTCGTCGTCGGCCATTATGAAGGAGTCTGGGGTCTGGAATGGAATGTTTCGAGAGGGTGATTAGAAGAGACTCGATGGTGAATGTTGTTCGGAACGGACAGCTTGCCCGCGCACGGACCAGTTGGGGTCGGGCTGCTGTTCCTACTGTTGTAGTCTCGTTGCCGCCGCTTTTGCGCGGGAGGTGCACCTACGCGCACTCACTGTTCGCTCACTGAACACGCACGCCGGCCGATGAGGTTGAAGTAAATCCAGACTGCAGTGAGAGACAAGTTATGCATCTATATTGATCAGGAGGTTTCTTATCCCTTTACATTTTTCTGACTCCACTAAACCAGAGATCAGAATTACCGTCCAATTAGAATAAAGGCACATGCGACAACCACCGTATCTATACCGCTCACTTTGATACAATCCCGCGTTCAAAGGAATCAAGAAGCCACACAATCCACAAAGCATAAATAAATACCTACTCATTCGCAGACCTGAGCAGTAACTCCGGATGCACTTCCTATCATATCAGTCCCCAACACCCCTTTGAAACCGCAGATCTGGCTTCAACGCGCCTAATCTATCACTTCCAATGCGGGAATCCGGCCATCTCTTCGTCGACAATCCTACTTCTCTTCCAGGCCGCACCCAAGGATAGGCATTAATATCAGCAATGCTGTACTTTCCCAGACCCCACCCCGCCGAATGCTCACGGAGTAGCTGACCAGCCAAGCTGCCGGATAAGTGGAGTTCCAGGACATTGTAGATGCGAAGGGTTTCGGTCGAAGCGCTGTACGGCATCTGCGATCTACTTCATAGATCTGCCGCTGAAACTATGAGTATAACGCTTTGAATCAACTTAATGTGAGCAGATTATGCTATGTCGAACAGTCGCTGCCTATCAGTATTTATCAAAGCACATTCAAAACTCACACTAGTAATCAAAGCCAGGCTACAACTCAAATCATTAGTCGGACTGACACTCCAATGCCAGCCCGTGGCGCCAGAATCCGATAGGCATCTAATCAATATCACGCCTACTCACCAACGCTATCTACTAATATCCTCGAGATAATCAACCTACCAATATCAATTTGAACTAGTCAAAGCAAAATAAGCATTTCTTATTTAGCCCTATTGTATACACCTCTGATTGCAAACATATACCTTGCTTGCTAGAAATGAAGATTCCAGCCCGTATCCGTCCAGTCACACTCAAGGAAGTACTAGTATACTATACTTCCTCCAATATCATGTTACGCCAACAGTCAAGGAGTTGAATAACTCTGAGCTACGTTTTTCTTTTTTTCATCTCCATAGGCTCCAGCTCAGTGAACACTCAAAAGGATGGACTCATCAGCGTTGGTCTCTCTGAATCAGTTCCCGTATTCAGAAACGTCCGCTCAGGCCACGCACTTGTGCTCAACTCCACGCTCCGGGAAAATAGGCTCAAAAGCAGCGCTGAGTTTGGGGAGGGGCACTTGATACTCATAATCCATTCTATTCAAGCAAATTAGTATTGTTTGCGTTATCTTGATGAACTGGATTGGTATAAACCATTCTTTATATAGCCAGAGTTTTGTCCGCATCTACTAGCAACGGGGTAGTAGGTCAAGGGCTTAGGGAATGGACATACGAGCCGAAGCTGTTCCACATCTATTTAAGGCAGTCAACAACCTGGGAGGAACTAGAGCAGCCTGCACGGGGCGTTTCAGCTGCAGCAGATCAACGCAAGTCAATTTGAATTAAGTACACGAAGTGAACATTAGGACCATAGGAACGCCTGCGTGGAGCCTGCCCTTCGCGCCGCGCCGGGCCACGCAGTGCTTGATCGAGATCATCATCATAACGGCCGTTCGCAAGATATTAGGGGCCAGATCCGTTCCTTCGCCAGTTATAACGCCCCTAGCCTATGTAAATGCAGGTTGAATGCAGTGACAAAACAAACGCCGCGAGACAAAAAAGCAGACTAAGGGAATTGCCCGAATGTGGGTGGGAGAGAATTGAACGACAAGCCAAAGATGATCAAGGTTGAAAAGTCAGAAGCAGCGCAAAAGGCCCGCGGAGGGCACGGTCAAAATCAGCAGAACGGATTCAGACTTCCATCGAGTCGGCGATCTCCTCACTCATCGCCCGGACAGTCCCCTTACTGCCAGATCGGGATCGGAACTCTTCGTCACTGAGGACATATGGGTCGTACTCGTCTCCGGCATGATGAGGCTTCGAATGGTCCTCCTCGTCACTTTCACTTTCGAGCTCAACGCCTTCGCCCAGCCAATAGCGAGCCCGCTTGCTAGAGCTGAGTTCTGGGGTCAAGTATCCGTCGTCATAGGTGCGCTTCGTCGTAGGCGTAGCCACGCCCTCACTGGGTGTGTGACTCAGGATAGGGATGGCTCGGAGATAAAGATAACAGACCCGCTTGCGTAGCCGGTTGAAGAAGAAATAGTGGAGACTCCAAATCGCTCCGTCATCGGCATCCGACGGATCCTCCTCCGGCGAGTAGGAATACAACGAGCACTCTTTCAACGACATATGCTCGTTAATGATCCCCCACATTCTTGGCCCCCATGTAGCAGATGCGCCCGCGTTGTAGGATCCGGATACGGTTACTGGCGATGGGGGCGTCAGGTCAATGGCTTCGCGCGGCCGCAGGTTGAACAGTGTGGAGTCGATCGTGTTCATGACCCTCTTGAGATTGCGCTCGCGATGAAAATCAGACGGGCGCAGAACGTGTGAGAAGTCGTAGTCGGGGTGGCTGGCATTCAATGTTGCGATCAAGTATGCAAAGGTCCGACGACTTGAGTGTTCGCTCAGAGGGCCAAAGGGACTGGAGCGGGACAGGTTGAGCGACGCGGCCGCGTCGGATGCATTGGGCGGTGACAACGACGCCGACAGGCGAAGAACCGATTCATATTGGGCTTCCAGGGATTGTTCAATATTCTTGTATAACTTTCGATCGGCTCGGGCTGCCTTTGTGGTATACAGGTCACAGCCACCAACAATATGGCAATCGGCGGTGTCGAAATTCAGCGAACTCGTCACGTCCTCAAACTCGGGCAAAGGAAGGAACTATTCATGGAACAAGTCCGGTTAGCGCAAAATATTCATCTGCGAGCGTGTTGCATGACACGGCAGGCACCACTGTCGTACCTTCATCTGGGGCCAGATATGCGGTGAGCGGATGACGTAGATAAGGCTCGCGCTGGGAGGTGAAGGGGTGGGAAGAAAGATAACAGAATATCAATGCAGTCGAAGCGGAAACGCTGCGACAGTAGTAATAAGGAGAATTCCTGAGCAATCTGGGATCAGAAATGCGTTGTTTGGCGGATTCTTTGTCTCCTGAGACGTCGTCACGCAAGCAGCGATAAGCGCAGTGAGCTGGCAGGTGGAACCCAGGCTACGCTGGCAAGGTGTGAAGCGGAAAATCGGGCGATTAATAGGCTGGAGTTGTAGGCCAAATTGGCATAACAGTAGAGGAGAGATGAATAGGGAAGAAATAGAGGAAATGGGAGATGGGAAGTGTCGCAACGATACGGGCATGGGGGGGATGGCCTGGCCGGGGTGTCGCGTTGTTCCCCGGAGGGGGGAAGGACCCGGTCACGTGGAGTCGGCGGTGCGGCCAGTGATATCACGCTCTTCCCTCACGGGTCTTGCGGCTGAACCACGGATTGCCTCAGACTGGTCAGACCGGATTTGACTGAACTTGACTGACTTTCCAGTCATCATTTCAGATCAGTCCTTCCTGGGTAAGGTGGCCGATCACTTCCTTGGTTTCCTGAAGAAGAGCAGGTAGTGTCAATGGGTGTTATTAAATTAGTAGAGAAAAACACGGTCGCGACAGTAGAACACAACGCCTATAGTACGTCCAACGCCAACAGCACTGGCCCCCGGGGCCCAGAAAATCATGATTATCCCAAACAAGAGAAACACAGAAACGCTTGACTGCCGGAGAAGCTTCTACATGATCTTCGTAACCACATCTTCCTCGACCTGAGGGGGCGCATTAGCATGCATAAGAGATAGTGTATAGTGTAGCGAAAACAAGGGGCAATTTGTGAGGACATTGCGAGGGAGGTATGGATGGATGCGGCGGGCATTGGCGACCGGAGTGGTGGTGTTGTCTCCTGGCTTTGGCGAAAAGGGGCACGAGGGGAGCCGGAAACAAGATGAAGAGGAACCAGACTGCAAAGCGAGCTTCATGCAACTGGCTTAAGAGACTGTGATCTCTTCGGGCTTCACATCTCCATTTCTACCCTCCGCCCGTTTGAGAAAGAAGGGGGGCAATGGCACAAACAAAGTCACAAGCATCAACGTACCTCCATGTCCTCCAGACTGTCTTGTTGACTGATACACCGGAGCACATTCTTCTTGCTACTCTCCTGCATTTCTCCTGCTAGCAACAGCTCATCCAGGATGAAGTATGCCTTCTGAAAGTTGAAGATGATGTCCAGTTCACACACATTGCCGTAGTACTTGTCCATCTGCTCGACGTAGCGATGCACGACCTCGAGGGTGATCAACTCGTTATCGGTAGATGCGCAACCGGCGATGAAGAAGAGGGAGGCATAGCGACGGTAGACGACCTTGGTGTCTAGCGAGAGGCGAAATCCCAGTCAGATACGGAGCTGCGGGGTGCGTGTGGCTGGGAAAGGAGGCGGGGAGGGGGGGGACCTGGATGTCGATGACGACAAACCTTTGTACTCAAGAAAATTGCACATGCGGGTGCGACGCGACAGAACCAGCTGGGTCACATCCTTGATGATTTTGGCCTTCTCCCTGGGGGAGAGAGTGGTGAACCATTTGGCAAGGCGCTGGGGAGGAAATTTGTTTCGATTAGTTCCGCGATTCCAGCCAGGTCAAAAGTTGGGTGGGCCACGAACCACTTTGCCTTGCCGCGACAAGAGGATCAGGTAGCTGGGGGGAACATGTTAGCGGCTTTTCCCAAAGGGAGGCGACTGTGGATCAATCTCACTGGATTGCCATTGTGCGGGTGGACTGAGGGTTGCAGGTGGGAAGAGATATGGAAAGACGAGGGGAGAGGGGGAAAGAGAGGAGATGAGATCGAGGTGTGAAAGGCCACGAGGTGGTGGGCGGAAGAGGGAGATTCGGCCGCCTCTGGAGAAATTCTTTGCACGGGCCGCACCGGTGCCCCGCCGTTGCTTGCTTGCCCTCATTGTTGTTCCTACTAGACAGTAGATATAGCGTTTATAGCTGTCTATTTACAAGTGCAATACATATATACCATTGACTCGATCAACTGAGCCAGTGTGGTGATGGTAGCGCGTGCAACAATTCGTCTCAAACTAGCTCGAGTTCACCCGCGATCATGGAGCTCTCTCTCCCTAGTTGACATCTACCCACCAGAGCTCATGTCAACGGAAGGTGAAACTCCAGGCAATATGGCACTGAGATAATTGATAGGGTCATAATGCATTTGTTCTCCGTGAAGTAGGACAGTTTGGGTTTGCACCCCAAGAAGCTCAAAGCCTCTTCGACACGAACCCGCCCCGACAACAAATCCTCTACCTGTATCCAGATACACACACTCAGCACAAGCGCAATGTCCATCAGGTATGAAAATGCCCTACTAGCTAGTGTGTCACAGCAAGATCCAGACTCGCCATTATCTGGGCTTTTCCTTTTAGCCGTCAGCTCACTGCCAGCTATCTCGAATTACGAACAAACTGGGACGATAGCCGCAGCAACAGCAAACCAATACTTTACGACCCCGATACTCAAGCATATAGTATTTAGCTTTCATTTTGAGCAATACTTATGGCTTGATCAATCATAAGTTTAAAAAGGAATGTTTTACAAAATTAAAAGGATATTTCAGAATCAGGGCTCACAGGCAGGACCATTCTCCAATCCTCAACTGGGAATGAATATCCACAACAAAAAGATTGCTACAGGGCTTTGGCCCTTGTCCGCAACATAGGAAACATAGAGCGATATGAAAACAGCGATTAGATCCAATATTACAAACTATCAGTTCAATAGTAAAACAGATAGACACAAAAGAAAGAAAAAGGGCAGAACTATAAACTCCACACCAACCCATCCATTATTGCCCCCCGTCCTGTCCAAAATATCCACACCCATACACAAACCCCAGACCCAATATTACCAGTCGAGATTCGACTTATTTATACCTTACTATCACCATATCACCCCTATAGAACATGTACCGGAGACTGCTCCGACCGTCATTCTCCAACGTAGCGTCATGGTCCAAAATTGCGTTCCCTAAGTTTTCATTTCCTTGAGAGTCGTAAGTCATTTTCTCTTCTTTGCCGTTCAGCTTAGTTCCTTTGCATTACTTCCGAAGTCCGCATGTTCAAAGGTCTTTGCGCCTGCGGAGACACTGAGTAGGTAGTGTGACTCCTCAGTGCCTGTCATTCAAGGCACATTTTAGACCTGCGACATGGCAGCGGGGCGAGCGCCACGAGCAGGACCAGTGCGGCCTCGGAGATTAACGCCCGCGGAGCGCGAACCCATGATCGAGAAAACCATCGAGACGGTATACCCGACCCAGGCGAACCAGAGGAATGCGGTAGAAGCCTGGGCCTCACGGCAGCGCTTTGTGCGGTTGTTGGAACCGTTGGTGATCTCGTTGTTGAGAGTGTAGCTCTGCGAAGTGGATTGTTAGCATATATTCCAAGCTGCACCGGCCCTGGAGGCATCCTCTATGGAGATTTCTCTCCGATCATCGGGTACGTACGTCGTTGCTGCAGCTGTGGCATTCCAGCCTGGCGGCCAGAGCAATACCAGCAGTCAAGAAGAAGATCGCGTTGAGAGTATCGACAACGATCAGGAAAATAGGGTGGATGGCCCAGTCTGGGTTAAGCGATGCGGGGATAGTGTAGAAGAGAGTGAACATCGAGAAAGCCGAAACGAACATGGCATAGTTGACGGTTGCAGGGTTGCCGGCAAATGCCTCGGCGATCATGTTACCGATCAATGCCATGATCAGAAGAGTCCAAAGGAACTATATTCCAGCATCTCACTGTTAGTCACGCCGCAGTCTATTCTTCGCGCGAAAACAGAGATCTGATAGCGACGATGCTGCTATCTGTGGAGTATGCTACATACCTCCCAGAGCCTGAGGCCGAGAAGGATAGCCTTGCCGACCATTTTGATAGCTTGGGCTGAAAAGGTATATGAAAATTGCTGTATAGATCCTCTTCGGTCGATTTCGATCGGCTGGGGTTTCTGAAAATGAGACTGCGATAAGGATGCCCAGGGCAACTGTTTCCTTGAGCTTCGAGAAGGGTGTCGATCGTGTTTCAGCGGACTTCTGATCCGTCTAATAAAGCTAGGGGTGGATCTCAGATGGTCGGAGGGGATAGTTTCTTAAGTGCGGAATGCTCGGGAGGGCCGATGATGACGATATGCTGCGGGCAGAGGGTTTTCTACGTCATGCGCCAGCGGGGATCATGAAATCACCACCACACCTTCGGTCGATCGCTTATTCAACCACTTGTAGAGTAGTATCGCTGAAGAGAAGAGAAAGTTTTATACTCAACATCAAAAAGAGTCAGTGAGCTCCCGAGATACACCTATATACCCAAAGGATGGATGACAGATTGACTGTATGACCTTTCGACCGCAGTCGGGCGCTTCTGCAGCTGTATAATTAGCTCTCCCTGCGTTTTCTATGGCCAGGGCTCACTTACCATTCGACACACCACAGCGAACCCAACAGCAGCTCTCATGCAATCATATGTTCCGCCCTCATCCGACATGAAACGCTGATGCCGTCATACATGACGGAGATCAACTACACACATACAGTCGGCTATGATTCGAGCCTCTCATGAGCTTCTGGTCTCGCCAGTGGAACTGCAAAAGTTTAAATATTGCAGTAGTGTCCCAGATATAGACTGGTCAACGAATGGCCTTCCCATCCCATTAGACCTTCTTTGAGAACTTCTAGGCCATGAGTGACGCATGCAGTAGGTGGATGATCGTTCCAGTTCTCCTGGTCAATGACCCGTAATTCCCGAACTATACCGGGAGCTCTACTTAAGCTCTGTGGACGACCAGAGGCCGTGTAATAGAGGCCATGTAGCATGAGCTACAGCCCTCTGGAATCTTGGGATTTTCCGAGTAGTTGCCCTATGAAAGCAAGAGCAGTAAGCGCATAGTATCGGGTGTCCACAGCTATGATCCTGGAGGTCCAGCCCGATCTGGAACCCATTCACGACTGCCAGTGCCGAGTGTTCTGATCGGCTCGAGTCCCGCGGGATTGTGTAGTCACAGATAGCATAAGCACTAATAATCTCGCGGTTCTTTGCCTGTGTAGATATTAGTCCCTAATCTTGAGCCAGTAGCATCGGCCAAACCGTGTCGCGCTGCTATCACTGGTTCCGTGCATCAAGCTGTCAAGGAAGTCACTGATCACATTGATCGCATGCGACTGGCCAAAGCATAGCGTAGGTAGAGAGCAGTTGCGACTGATATTTATCACAACTTGTACTCAAGACAAATGTGCTATAGTGAGTCGTAGCTGCACCTGTTGCGCATGTATATCGTGTATGTACGGCAATCGCAGAGGAACATTGATAGCCTAACTGGCACCGTGGAACATAATGCACGCATTCGAATTGAAGCGCAGAAACTAAGATCTCAATAAAAAGAGCGACCTCAAATGTAACCCAATCGACAATCCTAGTCCAAAGGTCATGACCATATGTATATTCTTCCGCAATTCTGCAGGAACGATAGGGAGAGACTACAAGCTTGGCAAGATCGACGGCGTTGACTTAGTAGAAACCGCCCTCGCCCCGCAAGGCTTGAGCGCCTGGGCCATCTTGGCCAATTTGCAACCATCCACGTGGGGAGACTACTAGTAGTTGCTGCTTGTTATTTAGACGCTAGCTCGACAACTTCAGCTTCAGCAATGAGCAGGAGCCCACAATTGAGGCTCACTCAGATACGTGTAACATGAAAGGAAAATCATTACAGCCATTGGCACTATGCATTCCTGCATCCGCCAACTCATGAAGCTCTCGCCCATGAATACTCACACGAAGCGCAAGCGCAACAACATGCGGCGACACTCGCGAAGATAACCACAGAGCATAGCAGAAACAATGCCAACCGACTCATCCGTAGAATCACACCACCACCGAGTCACCGACAACATCAACCTAGGTAATCCGACCCGAGTCCCCAAAGCCTAGGCACCACGCCCCGAACTGCCGCCCAGCCCAGCCGAAGGAACCCATCGACCCCCACCACCAACGTCGTCAACAATATACCATCCCGCTTTAAAGACGTGCAAACAGCCCTATATCCAGCGGGTCGGTGACATCACTTTCTACGTCGACCCGAACATCGAAGCCGACAACTGCCCCAAACCCAAGTGAAAGTAATGGAAGGGGCAGAGAAACAATCGAATATTCGATTCGCATACGACCGACGGTCGACTGAACCACCAGTAGATGTATAAATACGAAGCATAATCCATGCCCTCCTGAATACAATATCATACCTCTATCAAGACCCCATTTCTCCTCGAAACACACACAACAAACAAGAAGCACACACTCAAACACGACACCACCATCACCACCACCCAACAGTGACCTCCAAGAACATCCACTTCCCCGAAAGAAAAAACCCCAAAAAGAAACCGAACCATCAAAAATGCCCGCCCTCCCACCCAACCCAGAAACAACCACCGCCTTCGAAACCGACCTCCTCAACCGCCACCTCATCTACGACTACGCAGCGCAAGACGAGCACGGCCAGCCGCAGAAATGGCGCTACGAGATGTGGTTCTACAACGCCGACCGCATCGTCTACGCCATCCACGGCGGGCCGATGGCGGGCCGCCGGAACTTCCAGGCGGCCACGTACCAATGCATCCGGCCGGGCGAGCTGTGGCAGTGCAACTGGCTCGAGGAGACGGGGACCATCTGCTCGCTCGTGTATGATATCAAGCAACAGAAAATCACGACGTTGTTGGGGTTCTCGAAGGGTCACTGGGAGCAGAACGTCGAGGCCAGGGGCGACAAGCGCAATCCCGCGGATCTGGAGCGCTGGCGGCGGTTGGCGCGTGTCGGGTCGCAGGTTGATAGGGTTTTGTTGAGTGAGCAGGCGGAGATTGTGCAGGATTTTCGCGGGGCTGGCGATTTGGAGGGGATTGAGATGGGGTGGGAGACGCTTTAATGAATCGATTGGGGTTGGTTGGTAAGGGGAGTGGGGCTGGGTTGGGTGTATTTGATCAGGAGAGCTAGGTTCAGCTGGGATGGCTGGCGGTGGGATCATGGAGGTTACTCGGATGTTTCAAGCTGGATACTGGGATGTTGCGTGATAATATGTGTATTGAGTTTGGATATATCTAATGAATCATGTTGGCAATGATAATTATAACCACGCATCCTGACCAGCTTCGCTATATCCGGCTGAAAATGCTAGCCGGCACAAATCTCCTGCCTGGGCAGGCTGGCAGATACCATCTAGGTCTTAGCATTTGAACACCTAGGAGCATGAAGCAAATTCGCAACACCCTCGGTTGTTGTGATTTGGAGTATTCGCTTTGACTAATGAGATTGGCCGCCGCAAATGCATGTTGATGCCGGGTGATCTTCGTTGATGTACTCCTTAGAACCTCGGGACGGGCAGCCTATCGGCTTTGCCCGACGATCATTTCGATGGCGCAGTCCTTCCCGCCGGGTACTATTCGTCGATCACATCTGGTGTGGACTTCGAATGTGACCCAATGTGCTGCTAATGCAAGGTATGGTCGCGGGCTTCAATCATGCCAGGTAACCAGGTGTAAAGACCGCAACGAGGATTCCAGAGCAATTGCACTCGCAGGAAGCGAGGAAGCTGTGCGCAGCCATTCGTTGCCATGAGCAACCGTCGATTACGATCGGGAATAGCCGGCCACGGCGATGATGTGTCTATGCACTGATGTCTCAGCGCAGTCATATGAACAGAACTGAGAGACCACGTCCATATCGAATCATGAACCGCCACCTGACGACGATGAGCTCCCCGAGGAAGGCGCTTGGGTGCAAACCAGCTCCACTTGCACATCACCTGTCTGCTGAGGTAGTAGTCCGTCGTAAGCAGGCGCACGACTGATAATTGCGACTGCGACCTGCGCAGCTTGCTCGTGGGCCGGCATATTGTCGAGGAACCATGTCCTCCACGGGTTATTACTTGACCCGGCTGTTTGAAACTTCGCAGTTTGATCGGGCCCAGTTTCTTGGACAAATGCTACAATTGGGGTTAGTGACTGATATATGTAGATCGGGGGTAGAGCTCGGGCATAACGTACCCATAGTAGGTATGCCTCCAACATCGAACAGTTGCGGGAAACAGCTCGTGAGGTGGGGCTTCTTCAAGAGCATTTGACTCAGGACTGTTTGGAGTGGAAATGTATAGTATTCTCCACTGCTCGTGAGCCCGTAGAGCGCGTCGGCTAATAAAGCCTTGAGGTCGGTAGAACACTGCGGGCCCCAAACGCCATCGCAGCCGTTGTTGGAACCTGAAGGCGTGCCGGTCAAGTTGCCCACCCGCAAGCCAATTTCGGTAGTGTGGTTCCCCATGATGATGGACTTGTTGATCTTGCCTCCATAGCTAAGCCAGTAGCTAACCTTCGTCATGGGCTGCTGGCCCTTGCCTCGAGAATTGGCGTCGAATCCATAGTATAGGTTGAGGTTGTCGGTGAAGAGCGGAGGGAATTGAAAAGAAACAGCGGTTTGGGCTAGGGCATCCACACAGTTACCGCTCCAGAAAGAGCAGAACTGAGAAGTCCCAGGGGTGATGATGGCCGCCAAAACTATCCAGATGGTCAGGCAGGGTCGTAGCAGAGACCCGATTCCACCAAGGACTGCCATTTGATCTCGTCGACGGTCGGACAACGTCCTCGCTGAAAGAGGTGGCCTAACTACGTCACAAGATCAAGCAGACGATAATTCGAGCAGAGGCGGAAAAGGAGACAAGCATGCTCGTTTCCAGGTTGGTCGCCAGTTGCGATGAGACTGAGGTCGAGGAGACACGCGACAAGTCCGAGGTAAGGCGCCTCTACAGCATACCAGAGCCAACGCTCGATGGGTCCAAAGAAGGTGCCGAACACAATACACGGATCAGCAATAAAGTCGTCGAGTCAGGTGCTCTCGAATTAGACCCCTTTAGATGCCTTTTCGGTGTCCAAGTCTTGGTGAGATCTTCCGAAGCCGATATTGCAACCCAAAAACAAAGCCGACCGTGGGAGTTCTTGTTGCGCAAGTCGCGGGAGAAGGAATCGGGTCGAGCGAAGATTGGCCAAGCGACTCGGGCTGGATTAATGGATGGGCGGAATGAGAGAACTGAGTCAGCTTGGTTGGCCGGCCAAAAGCACTGAACCCTGGCGTCAAGACCTGCGTTAATCCGAGGAAGGAGGTGAGGAGGACTAGGTAGTTAAGGAGAGGAGACGGGGTGTGGTCCGTCGCAGGGAGGGGGGTGGGTGAGGGATGATGTTGAAAGGTCAAGGTGGCAGAGGAGAGAAAAGATGAGGAGAACCAACGGAAGTCAGTAGTATTATTAGGTATTAGTAGTAAGTAGTGGTGGTAGTTCTCAGTAAGTAGTAATGAACAATCAGGGTGTGACGGTATAAGCGGAGGTAGGGTCCGTGGTGAAGGATAATGGATAATTAACTATTCTTTCTCTCTCTCTTTGTTTGTCCACCACCCACCTACTTTACCTACAGTAAAGGAGAGTCCTTCTCCTTCTTCCCTTAGACTTGCTAGACCTGCTAGACTAGACTGTTAAGGTGTCTTTGCCCGTGAAACAAGGCGTGTGGGACCCTCCTTCAACAACCTCCCGAATTGGCCTCCAGGTGCCTGGCTTTCCGGTTGCTCCCTGACCTTTGGAAGGCATTCTTGGCCGTGATGGAGTGGAGTAAGATTGGAGACAACGAAGACACTAAGTGGTCAAGCCCCCGCATAACTGCCCCCAAAGCAGTAATTCCGTAGGGTCATCCCGCCCAGGGTCACAACCGATGGCCAGTCACCGGGTGCAAATGGCCACATTTCTCGGCTCTGGCGCCGCTCCTCAGGGTGTCCCTCAGGGGCCAATGAGTTGCCTTATCTCCAGCCACCACTGCAACAAGAGCTCCGAGCTAGTAAAACTCTTTGTGCAACGGAGTATCTAATTGTGTTGGTCGAGGACTCTAGTCTACTACTGGACGCCATAGTTCCCCTTCCATTCTGCTGCGGACTTGACACTAATTTCCAATCATTAAATGGCATATTCATGTCATGACATGATTCTTTTCGATCTCAAATCGATCTCAGGAGACGAGATGTGTGCTGGCACTCCCTATTGTATCCGCAATAGGAAAGGTAGGATTGCCTGAATCCGGAACTGGTCTGATACCCAAGCAGTTGCGGAATGCCGTAATTATGCCACGGCGATGATACAACCATCATTTTTCGGTTTCAGGGTCTCACGGCCTTAGTCTATTCTTGTCGCGCAGGATGATTGTTCCTTACTGTTTTGGTCCAGTACCCTGCCATACCTAGCGGCCGCCCACCGGTTTAGACTAGAGTCATTTGTCATTGTCACATTTGATGATTTGATGGTCGGTGGTGGGAACTAGTGCGAAAGCATCCAAGTCGGTTTCCTAGACTCCCTAACGCTCGGTACCACCAAACGACCTCCAGTCACCAGTCTGACCCAGGCCGGTGGTGTTGATTTCTATCAACCTTATACCGGACACGGTTTCAGTGATCAAGCATCTTTGGGACAGACACATTCCACATGTTGTCAGCTCAGTCGAACTCATACTCGTACTTGATCTCTACTTCGGTTGATCATTGGGCTACCCTCCTTTCCCCGTATTCATACCCTTGGAACTTGACTACCGTAGTTAGCCCGTTAACCAGAGTCTTCCGGGATATTACCATGAGACAAGTAAGTCCACAGGCTAGTACCCCGAGGCTAGTCAGTATGGCATGTCTGCGGGAATTAATCTCACAATCATTATACACCAAACAGAGGACAGATCGTGAGTCGTATCGGAGCCCTGAACGCATAGCTGAGACGTTTAGGCTGTGGTGACCAACAGAATGACACGCCGTTTTCTATTGGATCATCATGACTACACATCTCCAACTGCTCGGATCTGAATGTAAATCATCGACCATCGCTCCTCGGAACGCAATAGGATGGGATTTGGGTCGGGCCTGTCAAGGAACACGGTTCTCTCGGAAGCGAGCGAGTATCGCGTGGGTCCCTTCTGGTCGGTGTTCATTCAAGGTTTCCATTACATGATTTGATTGATGTCTGCGCCCGGCAGTTCGGTATTCCTTGTCAAGTAGTTCCATGTGGAAGTTGAGCGCGTTCCTCTCTTGCACAGTCTATCAGAAATCTCCCAGCAGGTATGATGATGATGATAAGTGCTACAGTCTTGTTTAGTCTGTCTGAGAAAGGGATAGCAGATAATATCCCCTCGGAGGTCGGTCCCTCAGGTACTCAGGGTCTTGCAAGATGGGTGTCGGAATCAGGAACCCAAAATGGATTTGATCTCCTTTGGTTCGTGCTATGGAGCTCGACAGCGCGAATGTTGTCGTCTTTGGCTCCAGTCCATGCCAGATGAAGCCCTGAAGGCAGGCCCAACGCAACGCTGCTAGTGCTGCTAGCGGCCTGGCGCTCCTCTCGCTAGTGCTGAAAATGTCATAATATGGCTTGCCAGGCTAAACATAGCGTTGTTGCCACCTGTAAACCTACCGATGGAGATTCGTGTTGACCCAAGACAGCAGCAGGCTTGCTTGCCGCATTCAGCACATCGTGTGTAGAATTCTTTATAGCTTACCTATCAGTCTCAATCAGCTTGTCCGCCACAGCTGTTGCGTGCACCAATGTCGTAGTTCGAGGGAAGGAGCGAGGCGTTCCAGAAAACGACCTATCTCAAACCCTGAAAGCTTGGCGGTTGTGGGTGAAGAAATTTCCGCCGCTCTCTTAGTGCCTCCCTTGTTCATGATGGTGATAACGAGTGGTCCCTTCGGCGTCACTGGCAACGGCGACTTACAGAAACGAGTAAGAGGGATTTGAACCTTCTCCGATCGTCCGCCGAGGCTATCTACCGCCTGCCTCCTTTCTAAGAGGTTGTTGAACAGCCATGCTGCGATATGACGTCTACTAAGCTCCGTCTTCTAAGCAGCACTGCGATGAGTCCCACAGGCTTTCACGCGATGACCCTCTGTGCATGACTGTGTAATCCACTGCCTGATCCTGGAGAAGTCGAAACAAGAGAGAGGGAAGGGGAAGAAAAACCTGATCGGTGATCGGGGGGTTGTCATGAGAAATACGCAATTATACCACATGCGCCTATCTTGTCACCCCGGTGGACAGGACATCCCATCCCGACTCGCTAAAGAGAAAGAAAAAGTATCCCGTTCTCTCGGCGGGGAGTTTAGCTACTTCGTTGACTGCGAGCCTATGAGGTCATTTTTTGGATCATCTGATATCCGGTGCGTCATGTCTAAAGCTGCTTGGATACACGAAGAATGTCCGGTTGCTGCCTAGCGTTCTAAATGAGCAAACCATTCTCGATTGAAGTCGAAGGTATGGGCAAATAGGCAGAATCGCTGAGTCGTTGACCGACAGGGTTCCCCTCCCCAAAACAGCTCGGCTTTCTGCTTCTTTCCCTTTCTTGGGTCTTGGCTACGCGGATTCAGGCGGATCAGACCCAGATTAATGTCCGACGAGTCCACCCTACTACACTAACCCTGTCTCAATCTAATTCTGAATAACGCGAGGCTTGAGAGATTGATGATTACTACATTCTATAGGTCATTTCAAGCCTTGCGTGATTGGGCAAGCAAGACATTGACTGGTCTTACGGGCTGGCTGGCATTGGATGAGGGCAATCAAAGTGTACTTGAAGATTACCAATTATTTGGTGATGATTCAAGCCTTCATTTGATATGTCTGTTCCCTCAATTCCATCAAAGTTCTTCCCCTTCCTCTGCCTTCACAAAGAAACCCGGCCCCCCCGCGTCTTTGCCCCGCCTTCAGCCTATGGCTATCCGTGGGCAGAGGATCCCTTAAACTCCCCTTTGCATGATTGAACCAAGGATTCAAGAGTTCTGTAGAGCCTCTGCGCGTGATTTAATGATCGACGCAGCCTCTCTGATCGACCGGGCCAATCGACGCATCCTTTCCAGCTCGCGGTTTGTGTTTGTCTCTGCGATGGCCACAATCTTGCGGACTGTCTCAACCTCGGCAGCCTCCATGTCGGTCAGTCCGCGATATTGAGCCTGGTTTTGCGCAGCGAGACTCTGCTTGACGTTGGCGATCTTGGTCACGGCTTTGACCAGAGGCAAGACTTCGGGCATGTGCGTGGTCAGCCATGAAGCATTTTCCGGCGTAGCGCCCTGGTGCTCGAAGATCACATCCATGGCTGCCGCCCGCTTGGTGAAGTTCTTCAGGCTCTGCGCTCCCTCAGGGATTGGAGCTACATTCGCGTTCCAATCGAAGCTCGGGAGAGGGCTTCCAGCGAGGTTGGGGTCTGCCTTCCTTGCTTGCCATGCCTCATATAGGGCGGTCTCTTCGGGCGACAATTGTTCCTTGGCTAAGGACTCTGTGTCTCTGGTTGTTTGCGAGGCCAGCGCCAACCCGGTGAAGAGTGCCAGACTGTTTCCCTGCGCGACTATTTGTGCTAGGTCTTCCATTTTCTTCATTGTCGCCTCGAGATCATCGGTCGCGGTCGGCACTGGGAGAAACTTTAGATTTTCGCTCAATTGCAACATCTGTGTTGGATCCATTGTAGCTGCGGTTAGTTCCTTCCAGCTGGGAACTGAGTCATTGATCTGGCTGTTCAGAGCTTGTGTTTTCTGACTGTGTTGTTGATGCTCCATGAATTCGTATCCCTTGGTAGAAGAATGCGTGTTGTAGCTTCGGGATCGATGGCACCTTCCTTCATTGACACGTGCAATGCTGAAGCCACCAGAGCGTCATAATTAGCTGTAGACACGGAGTTCTCGACCTGCGCCAGGTAAACAGATCTGCCAAACATTGTCGTGAAGAGAGCGGGTGATCTGTACCACGAACCCAACTCAGACGGTCACGTGCTGATTCGGATTGTAAATAGATACACCAACTTAGTTCATTTCACCACGCATCTGGCAGACCAGCTGCAAAAAAGGCAACCCAATATGACTACATGGCTCTCAAGAATGTACCAAAGTCTTCAACCCTCTCTGTAGCCAACACTTTCCCACAGCGCCAGTAGCTAGTACAGAATTTCAAATCGAAACCAATCCCTGCAACAATACATCTCCGCCTACTGCCCATAGCACACAAACCCAATAAATCGATCAAAGAGAAACCTTCAGCTCTCAACGAGTCTATAAACCAAGCGAGCCAGCTTAAAGACCCCTTTCCCATCCGTCACAACCGCCCGCCGCGTATACAACCTCACCCCGCCAATCATCTCAAAGCCCCAAATCTATATCAATGAACTCTCAGCAAACCTTCGCACCATCTCACCAAACAACAAAGTAAAAGAAAAAGAAAGACATACCTGCTCAGAACTCCACCCACCGCCCTCCCTCCGATCAAAAACATGCACCCAAAGCCCCTGCCCCTCTCCCTCTCCATGCTCAAACAACCGCACATCCAAAACCACAGGCCCCTCCACCAGAAAACCAGGCGAGGGCGTCACGCCATCAACCTCCACCTGACCCCGTAGAAACCGAATCGCGATCCCCGCATCCCCCTCGCTCAGCCCCGTACTCTGTAACTCGACATTCGGCCTAACTCCCACCCCGTTCCCTTTGGCCGCGCACCCTTCCCCAGAAACTGATCCAACAATATACCGATTCCGACACTCAATCCTCCCGAACAAAAAATTCCGCTGCGTGTAGAACCGCCCGTCGAAGTGGCGGATATCAGACGGTGGATTCGCGGCGGCGGTTTTCAGGGCCGTGTGGCTTTGCGCTGAGAAGTGGATTGTTTGGGTTGGGTTTGTGTCTGGGGTTTTGGGGGTACTTGTGGTGATTGTGTGGGTTATTTCGATGGTTAGGGGCGTGAAGAGGATGGTTTTGCGGAGGAGCCAGGGGATTCCTTGCTTTTTTTTTCCCCCAGGGGTTGTTAGTTTCTGAGGGGGAGGGAATGGAGGGACGTACGAGTTTGAGGATCGGGTCTAGGTCGCTTGTTAGGGATTTGTCCTTTAGGCCCGTTGCGGCGGGGTGGTTAATTATATGGTATGGTTCATTGGCTTGGGCCTGGTTGGATTGGGGGGCTTGGGCTTGGGCTTGGTGCTTGTGCTTGGATGGAGATCTTATTGGATGGAGGGAGGTACTGGGAGGGAGAACTTGCTATTGACCAGCGGCCGGTTAGGTCTTCGATGGTTGGGGGCATCGTTCTTGGTGGTCTTGTTAGTTGGGTCGTTAGATGATGATTGGGGTGTTGGTGTCTGCTTTATCCTTCGGTGGAGGGTCGATTGAGGTGCCTCTGGGTTATGTGCTGTTTTTATATCTATGATATCAGGCTGGTGTTACACGCGCGGCTACTTTGCTGTGCTGGGGATGCGGGAATCCGCGACTATATACTCCGGACTCCGTTGGGAATGAGCCTGAAGACTTTCCTGGTGGGGAGATTGAGGGCCTTGGCTGCAGTGGTGGTTTGGTGGTTGGATTGTGCTGTATAGGCCTCATGGCTTTGGTATCAGGTGTCGGGTCTGCATGGACACGGATGTGATGAATGAGGCGGATGCGTGACTGGGTGCTTGATGCAAAGGCAGGATTGTTGTCAGTGGCAGTTGGGCATGGTAAATGCACGCAACCGTGGCGAATCGACTATGGTGCCTAACAATGATATAGATGTTCGGGTTAAAGCATCGAGCCCCGCGGGTGAGTTCAAAAGATGACTGAAACTTTAATGATATTGTACAAGATGCCTCCGGAAGATCAAAAATATCCGATAGACAGTTTCTTTCCTAGTATACACAACGATTGTTCCGTGTTCTTTTCCCTTCCAAATATGCTCGAATATGCTTGTGTGAATGACGTCGATGATAGCAGTAGTCAATCAGTCGAAAAAGACGTGAAGGTGGTGATGTTCATGATAGCAGTAGTCAATCAGGAGAAAGATGCATGGGTGGGGGTGGGAGAGTGTCCTGGAGAAATCAGTAACCGAAAAAAAAAATGGCCCAAACGCCAAAACTCCACGCTGGAATGTCGCATATATAGTTATTTCAAGTGTATCACTTCCACTCGATCAAAAATCAATGTCAATGTTCATCATCGTCCGCGTTACCCCTTAACCAAACGCGTTTCCACGGGCCATCACCCCCAACAATGGCTTCCCGGTCCTGGCGCATGCCCTCGAGGACACCGACAATGCCACCGCCGCGCAGACGTTCCAAAACGATATTCATGCCTTGTTTGCTCTTGGCGATAGCATCCCGAGTACGGTTCAATCCGATCAGCTCAATTGTGCGCTGGATGCCTGCCGTGGACAGCGACGTAAAGAATCCTCTCCTGGGAGCCTCGTCTTCAATCTCGCCCACTTGGTCACCGGTAGTGTCCGCCGTTCTCCGACCCAAAAGCTTCCCTTGTCCGAATCGGGAGTGGAACGTGACGGTTGTCTTGACGGTCGTTTGCTCGCTCATTTTTCCGTCGAGAGAAAGACCCTGGGGTTTGTCGAGAGCCCCGTCGAGCGGCTGGCGCTGGTAGAATTGCTTCTCCACCACACTCAGGATGCCAGTCCACTCCATGTTGCGCGACTCGGTCTTCATCCAGCCTTCATTGACGTCGACGGTGGTTGTTTCCAGGATATAGCTCTGTCCCGAGCTGTCCGAGCCGCCGATCCCCTTCGGCAGCAACTTCAGTATACCCGACGGGACCTTAGACTTCTTGAGGTGCAGGCGGATCGTGTGAAGGCGCTTCGTTTCTGGATCGACATAGCGGTCAATGACATCGGTTGTTAAGACATGGCGAGAGTACGGATTGGGATAGCGGAGGAAGTAAGCCAGCGACACGGCCGGGAAGGAGTAGTCGTATGTGAAGACATTCTCGAAGAATTTCATTCTTGCAGCTGTTGATGCATACAGAAGAGATTGGATAGGAATGGATTGATGGATTGATCAGACTGACAAGTCGATGGATGGATACTGAGTAGATGGGATTGGGAGCTGGACTGGGTGGATGGTGGCGTTGTGAATCTGGGCGAGGCTGCTTGTTTAAGTTCCAATAGCAAGTAAGGTTTTGTATGATCAGCTCGTCTGCTCAATCGCCTGTCTCAGTGGCCGGACAAAACTGCCCGAACCTCCGGCACAGGAAGAAATTCTGTCAGCTTCTGGGAGAACTCGACGCTAGCCCGATTTGAGAATGCGGGGATGCTGACTCATCGTCTCGCCCGTTCCAATCGTTGCATCATCTGATTCTCCCACCCTGTTCGGCCAATCACACTGCCGTCGCTGTCACATTGCGACCATGCGATCTGCCTATGAAGACGGCGAGACTTACACCCGCCGCGTCTCAGGCTGCATCGATGTTTTACAACTTTCAGGGCTGATTGGGAGACACGACTACGCTCCTCATACGACGGGCGCAGCATCTGACGTCAATTGCCAGTTCCTTATTGGATGTGAAGAGGCTAGACTGCGCCATCACCTCGTTTGTCACGACCTTAGTACGGTATACAGTTTACCCGGAGGTTGCGCAGTAGTGACAGCAAAAGCGCTCTATCCGGTATCAACCTTAGTCTATGCCATCATTCCGCATACTGCAACCTCCTCAGACTTTCACAAGGTTGTTGTTCCCTCGGCGGTAACGAAGACATCATCCGAGACCTATCACTGAAGAGCACGCCAGGATGTCTGCGTGGCGCAACAGATTAGCAAAATGGAAGCATATCTGGAGTTTCTTAGATGTTATACAATGTACATATGTTTTATATCATGTACAAACCGTCGCTTAAGCCCCATACACCGTCTATCGCCCTGTGATACTAGGACCGGTGTCCACTGGGACTATTCAGGACAATCCTACCGCGGATGAAGCCCCTGACACCATTGCTGAGCCAACACTCTTCGCCGTCAATCAAGTCCGCGGCATTGACGATCTGCTCGGTACAAAATCCCTCATCCAGAGCATATTGTCTGGTTGTGCCCGCGTTACCACCACTCGAGAGGGGAGGCGTGACCCAGTCAGAATCAGGATCACTTTCTAGACCACCATCCTCAATTGTAGATCGCCTGCGACGGAAGTAGGGTGTGGTGATGCTCCCTTCCATAATATGACCCCCAGGGTTCACAAGCAACACCTCGGCCTGATCTAACGGGGACATGATCCCCGCCCTGATCCGTGCAGCATTGTAGAGATCGCGGGCGGTGGTCTTATGGGTCGTGAATGCCGAGGGAGTCAAACGTTCCCTGTCAATATAGACATTCCATAGATTCGATTGTGTATGTGCTTGATCGGGAACAAGCAAATTCGATGGGTCGATCGATGTTGTCGGGTTGACCTCAACACTGCAAGCTCCCGTGCGGTCAATCACAATCCGAAGCCGCCAAGGTCTCGTCTTATCCGAGACAAAATTGTCAAGAAACCGAGAAAGTTCGGTCGGGTCTTGTTGCAGAAACATCAAGGCCTTTTCCCAGCCGAAGCATCTTGCAGCGTTACGTAGTCGTGCTTGGTGATAGGGAAGCAGGTAGTACGGGGGGCTGGAAGGGTGAGAACCCGAGGCTGCAGCGTTTTTAGTGCTTAGATCACGGAGCGCAGGATCATAGCGCAGAGACGATATGATCTGAAAGTCCTGGGTAAGCGGATCGGAAGCCATTGATTGTATCCCTGGCGTGACCTGACCGATCGCGTGGTGTACCACTTCCGCCGGACGCTGTCTTGTTAGTAGCCTCGAGGACGGATCGAGCTTCAATGTCGTCCCGAAGAGGTCGATTCAGCACTCACAGGGAGCCCAGCGTCTGATCGACTCGCGAGCCCTCGTCTGGGAACAACAAACTCGCGCTCGATCAAGGAAGAAGAGAATGACGAAGATGCGGTGGTGGAGCGAACCAGGAGCTGACGGAGCATCCCCTTGCCGCGAGCGTGATTGGCCCATAGGAGCTCGGGAAGCCCGCTGCGTCGCCGGAACATCGCAACGCATAACTTTTCAAACTGCATCATCTCTCTCTCCTCGCTCTCTTCCATCTCCACCCCCCCCAAAAGCCAAGCAGTCATTCTGCCGACGAGCTCTTACCCTGCGTCCAGGACGGTTGGTCACTTCCACTGCAGCCTTTACTTTGACCAGTCTTCCGCAGGGCTAACTTGACTTCGTCCAGAAATATAGATAAAAAAGAGACCAGACTAAGATAACGGGTTCCTCTACGGGTCATCATGTCGAGCGCATCGCCATTGCCCCAGCCAACAAAGAACGTGGTTCTCGACACCACTTCCCTCCCCGCCTCCTCCTCAGCATCAGTATGGGATCGCATCTCGAAATGGGTGTCGGAGAACAAGGCTCTCGTCTACACCATCGCCGGTGTCGCTGTCGTTGTAACTAGCGCGGGTGTCGTTTATTACCTCTCCGATTCCGGTCGCCCTACCACCGCTGCCGCCCCCACAGAGAAGAAGAAGAGCAAGAACCAGAGACGGAAGGAGAAGAAGAAGGCCGAGGAGGAAAAGAAGGCCAAGGCTGCTCCTGTCCCAGAGGGTATGTAGTGCATTGACCTCGTCCGGTCTCGGTCGCTAATCAAAGCTCCGACTAATACTTATCTCCCAGAGCAAACTGCGAAGAAGACGGAAGAGCCTTCCGATGAGATCCCCGAAGTCGACGAGACCACTGTTGACCAGTTGTCTGAAGAGGTGCGCAATTCCTTACGATGCGGATTACAGGTTGAGTACACATGCTGATTTTGTCCCTCGATTTGCAGGTAAGGAAGGCATACGCTGCCAAGTTGAAGGCGGCTGGAAACAAGGCGTATGGCTCCAAGGATTACAACCGGGCCATTGAACTGTACGGCAAGGCCATCATTTGCAAGCCCGACCCCGTCTTTTACTCCAACCGTGCTGCCTGCTACAACGTCTTGTCTGAGTGGGAGAAGGTCGTCGAGGACACCAGCGCCGCGCTTGCTATGGACAGTGAATACGTCAAGGCCCTGAACCGCCGCGCTATCGCATATGAGCATCTCGAGAAGTACAGCGAGGCTCTTCTCGACTTCACCGCCAGCTGCATCATTGACGGATTCTCTAACGAGATCAGCCGGGTTGCCCTCGAGAGACTCCTGAAGAAGGTGGCCGAAAAGAAAGGAAAGGACATTCTCGAGGCCAAGGGCAAGAAGCTGCCCAGCCCTACTTTCGTTTCCAACTACCTTCAAAGCTTCCGTCCCCGGCCTCTGCCGGAGGGTCTCGACGAGTCCGCCGAGCTGAGTGAGGAGTCTGGCAAGGGGCTTCTGCGCAAGGGTCTGATTGCGATGGCTAAGAAGACAGGTGATGGCTACGAAGAGGCTGCTACATCTTTCGAGAAGGCCCTCGAAGTTGGCGACCTTGGCGACTTCGAAGCTCTGGCCCTCAACCTGAGAGCCACCTTCACCTACCTGGAAGGCAATGCTCAGGCTGCTCTGTTGGACCTGAACAAGAGTGTTGAGCTGCAGCCCTCTCTGGTCCAGAGCTACATCAAGCGTGCCAGCTTGCACTTGGAACTCGGTATGTCATTCTTACGATCCGTCTCATGCATGGCTAATTATCTGTACAGGAAACAAGGATGCTGCCGCTGATGATTTCGAGCTCGCCATTACCCACAATAAGGACGACCCCGATATCTACTACCACCGTGCCCAGCTCCACTTCATCCTTGGAGAGTTTGCCGAGGCTGCGAAGGATTACCAGAAGTCGATCGACCTCGACCGTACCTTCATCTACTCGCACATCCAACTCGGTGTCACCCAGTACAAGATGGGCTCTGTCGCTTCCGCCATGGCCACCTTCCGGAGGTCCGTGAAGAACTTTGAAGATGTTCCTGATGTCTACAACTACTACGGTGAACTCCTCCTTGACCAGCAGAACTTCCAGGAGGCCATTGAGAAGTTCGACAAGGCTGTTGAGATGGAAAAGCAGAGCAAGCCTATGGGCATCAATGTCCTGCCTCTCATCAACAAGGCCCTTGCCCTGTTCCAGTGGAAGCATGACTTCCAGGAGGCCGAGAACCTCTGCCAGAAGGCCCTGATCAGTAAGTCTCCTTACGCTCCTTGCAAAGTGTGTGGTGTGCCATCGTGTACTAACTTGACGACAGTTGACCCCGAGTGCGACATTGCCGTGGGTACCATGGCTCAGCTGCTCTTGCAGCAGGGCAAGGTGTCCCAGGCCCTGAAATACTTCGAGCGCGCCGCCGAACTTGCTCGCACCGAGGCTGAGATCATCAACGCTATTTCCTATGCCGAGGCGACTCGTACGCAGCTGGAGGTGCAAGAGAAGTACCCCCAGCTCGCTGCTCGCTTGCAGGGCATGAGTGCTGGTGGCTTCGGCGCCCCCAGTCTGTAAACCCGACCCCCTGATATGATTTCGACATAATGCCCCTTCTCCTTCCCTCACCGTCGTTTTCATCCCCTTTCGATCCATTAAGTGTTGTAGGCAGTATTTATGCCTGGTTGTGTTATCTTTCCACCCTGGTTGTCTAGGGTATTTTTAGGGCGCCTGGGCCACTCATCCGCTGTGTGTATTTATTCTACGACTTGTGTTACTCTTCCTTCTCATCGATATATCGTGTATGGATTTCCTTTGTTTGATTTTTCGTCCCTTGCTTCTGCAACCGTGTGTCATTAAAGGATATTCTCCGCGTTGGGCCGGTTTTCTTATATCCGTTGAATGTCCGGTTGCGCACCGGGTTCCTTTGTCAAGAAAGAATGGCTTGAAAGATGTTGAAACGTTCTGGAGTGGATTGTAACAGGTATGGCTGGATGTCGATCCCGAGGTGGGAGATATCGTCAGGGAGACGGATGGGGGAGAGGGGAAAACACCAATGTATTATAGTACTGCGGAAGAGACAGCAGCCGAGAAGAAGAACGATGGTCTTATCATTTATCTTTAGAGAAAAAATGACTGGATAAAATTCTAGGTAATGTGCTGCTCTATCAGAGGAGGGGGCAGTTCGTGTAGGTATCATGGATTCGATTGTTAAGGACGGAATGGATCCGGGATGGATAGACTAATCCGAAGCCTGGTCACATGTTAATGACTGGATTGGGATTAGGCCTTGTCCACCTGACGGGAAACCCCCCCCACTTGTCCGCCTATCAGTGATCGCCGCTCGCCATCACCGTCATTCATTATCTCTCTAGTTAGTTAGAGGTAGAGAGTAAGTTGGAAGGCATTCATTCAACTTACAGGTGTGCCACTGCTTGTACGAGAATATCGATCCACCAGATATTTCTCAAGATCAGCAGTCAACTGTCCATTCTATCGTCGGGTCAATATCCGGGATCATTTCATTGTCTGGACCCCTCTTTCTTTTCTCTGCCTCTCTCCTTCTGTCCCCCACACCCCGACTTCCTCCCTTTCCCCCCCCCTTCCTTATCTGACTAACGAACTACATATCAGCAACACCAGTCTTGGATCTTCATCATAATCATCGTCATCAACCTTCCTCCAACGCTCCTTTGATCTTCGGTATGTAGTTGAGAACGATTACACTGATACACAGTTTCCTTCCTCTGTTATTCTACTTTATACTCCACTCCACAGCGACCGTCTGTTCACTGACCTCGGGCTGACTGCATCGGGTAGACGGTCTTGTTGGCCCGGTGGTCTGCTCCTGCCCCTCTTCAGCCTGCTCAAAGTCTCCCGTCATCCCATCTCATCAGCTTTGTCTCAACCCCTCTCTGCCACTGGGTCTTCTGGTCGACATTTCATCAGTCTTCATCACTGGGGTCTGTACGTGGTTGGCTCAGGCTCCTATCGACGTGTCGGAGCATAGCCTTGGGACAGGTGAGCGCCTAAGTGCGGCTTTAAAGCTTGGGTATCTGCTTGCGTGACCTTCCTGGAAGCACTCCAACCGTATCACACCAGACCTACTGAGTACTGCCCCTATTCAGGCTTGGTGATCGGTAGCGCTCAGAGGTATCTGCTTTAGAAATCGACATCATGCCCGTATCCGAAGGTATGTGGCCCCCCTGGACTGGCTCGCTACTCTCCCAAGAAACATGGCTGACCTGTCGGTATTACTAGCTGTTGTTAACCTCCGTCCCCTCACCTCCATCGACGGAATTCCATGCCGATCCCTCAAGTTCACACCCAATACCGCTGATGCTTGTATTGGCCGAGCATCCAAAAGAGAATCCAAGAACCTCTTGCCCGCCCAGGATAATGGACTGTTTGATTCTCGTGTCATGTCAAGGAACCATGCTCAACTGATAGTACGTCTGGATAAGAAAGTATGTCAACAAGGACCTGCGGTGGCACTTAGGCAGCCTTTACTGACAATAGGCCCTTCTCTAGCTTGCTTACCTTCGAGATGGTGGCTCGATGCACGGCACTTACGTGAACGGGAAGAAACTCCCCAGCGAGGAGGATTACCTTCTCAACCAAGGAGATGTCATCACATTCGGTACAGAAGTGATTCGTGGCAAAGGTGAGTCTCTCCCACTGCTTGAGGACTTACCTCGACGCCTCTCGAGTCGAGCGACTAGCTCATTGGCATCTAGATACATTCCCACCTGTTCAAGTCCGTTGTGAATTTGACTGGCATCAATCAACGTATGTTGGCTTTCCACTTGTTCTTCCGTCAAACATTCTCCGATTCTCCACCAGGGTTGCTGACTTAATTATTAGTCGTAGGCCTACACCCACCAATACATTCTGTGTCCCGGATGACGACGACAATGACGCCAATACGGATATTACTCCGGCGGTATGCCCGGCCGCAAGCACCTCTGGAGATGATGACTCAGTACTCCGCTCTGACTCTGATGATCAGTCGGTTGTAGAGGCCTCGTCGCCCTTCACCTCACCAATGAAGAAGAGTTCACCGAATCTCACATTCTACCAATCTGTCAACATGCTGAATGATACTAACTATACTACTCACCATGGATCACGAAACATGCCCATCAATCTTGACTGTGACCACCCTGAACAACCTTTGGTAACTCCACGGATGACCCCGCCAGCAGCTTTTACTATCCTTGATGAGGAGCCTAGTGAGGCGGTCACCCATTTGGATGTTTTTGTCGAAGAGACTGGACTCGAGTCCTCCTTAGGATCTTCACGTGAGGAGAACTCGGATTGGGAGGAAGAAGATGATTCGATTGACTACGGCGATGAAGAGGAGGTACATTCCCAGTGCTCATTGGACTCTGACATGGAAGAAGATCCTTATGAGCCATATGAGTTTGACAAGTACAAGAGTATGAATTCTTCCCATTCCCATGTCCTCGGAATCCGCGATTTGATCATGTCGGAGCCCTCTTTCGACTTTGAGGAGGCGGCTCGATTGAACGGGGGTGCAACTGAGCCTCGCGTCGGAAACGAAGAGGGAAGTGGAGAATCAATCTCTAGATCCCAGGCTTGTCCATCAAACTTGTCAGTCCCTGAGCACAATCCCACAATGCCAGTATCACACAATGTCAAGCCGAGCGAAATTTTTCCAATTCAAGCACCACAGCCGACGAATATGCTGCCACTACCCCTGTTGTGTCAACAAAGCCGACCTCTCGATAACCATCTCATCGGTCTTCAGCAGAACCCTTTGACATCCCCTATCGACTGGCATCCAGGACATGCTTATACCCTTCCTATTCCAATTTCTTCCAGGGCAGACTACTCCGATGGCCCCTTTATGAGCGAGCTCACCGCGGCTAGTGGTACTGCAAATACCTCTGAGACCACCGAGCCTGCTGTCACGAACCCAACCGCAACAATTCCTGGAAGCAAGGATATCGAGACCGACGAAAAGGATATTCATGCTACGACAGTAGTCGCAGAACAGCCAACCACATCACTGTCGCTGCTTTCGGAGGATTCTAGTCTGCAACAAGATCCCAATCCGATTGTAGAAGAAACCAGGCCATTGAAGAGAAAGGCAGAGCATATTGAAGAACCCCCGGCTTACCAGGCTCATTCACGAGAAAGCCAGACCCTAGATGTTCACGATAAGGCAGACTTCTCTGAGACTCAGCCACCAAACCCGTCGGTCGAGCACCGCATTCTTCCGTGCTCGCATCCAGCCCTGGTTCCTGCAAACGAGGTGACAACCGCCAGTCAAGTGCCCAATGCCCTTGCTGGTTCCGATCGACCGCTCAAACGAGTAAAGAAATCTGCTGCGCGCAACTTCGCCAGCCATGCTGCTACTGCTGCCCTAGGAGTTGCGATAGGTGCTCTTGGTACTATTGCCGCTTTGGCTTCGCTTCCTCCAGATTACTTTCATGAATGAGCGCACCCGTGAAGAATGCTGTGGAAGAAATTGGTACTTTCGTTTTGGTAACATGACATGCTTTAATGATTTCCTTACGCTTACGAACTACAGTGTGTGTGGCGCAGTCGGCATTCCCGGATAATGACTGGATCTTCCGGTCATCTTAGCTTCTTTTCTGTTTTGTGCTTCAGCTTCTTTTTTTTTGCTCGGGGCCATACTCACTTTGTTCTCTTCTTACCGTTTCAACCGTTCAACATCAGATGACGGTCATAACCACCTATCTACCCTGGGCCGAGTGTAACTAGTGCTTCGGCAGATAATACAAGCCAGTCATATTGTCCCCTGCCTGGTGCCTTTCCCGTAACCAATATTCTAGGTCAGCTCGTCTAGTTCGACGGATACAGGTCAGAACTTTTCAGCTCAAACTCTCGAAGCAATGAATGTGATCGTCAACGCTCTTGACCATAGCTCGGTAATCCCCCCTTACTCTTACCAATTGGATAATCAAATTATGGCTGAAATATGCCTCGCTACTTAAGGCATCACAAAAGTTGCCTTGTTCTCGCACGGCTTCCCTTATTTGACATCGATATTCACCTTCCGATAATTTGGCGGACATGGGTTGTAGTCTAGCGCCTGGCTCGTCGGACATCTGGGCAAGTCAGCTGATCGCGCACCTCACTTCCTCCGACTGGAGCGGCCGAATCTTGCTCCTCTGTGCAACCTTCGGCTCAAGGAAAAATCCTCAAATACCGCGGGAGACTGTAGACCAACTGAAGTCACCTCCACTTTCTGACTTGCCTTCGTGTTTCTGTCGATGAGAAAAATCGAAATAATACAATTCACTGTTTTGGCTTGAATCAGACAAGTTAACAATGGCTATGATGAACGATCCCCTGCTCCAAGTCAGATTCCAGGCCAGCGCGTGATTCCTATCGGGTACTTGCATGCCGCTGACCATTTCTTCCTATCAGACAAGCCTATCACCATCGACGGCTTGTGCCTAACATGCAAGCCACATTACTTTCCTTGTGAGCAGCTGTGTGCGAGAACAGTCAATCCCGCGCCAGAGGAAAAGAAATTCTACGTAGCATTGCGCTTATGGTCCCCACATGGAGCGGCCCTGGAGAGCTGACACCCGCTGTCAGTTCATCGTCTAGATTTGACTATTTTCACGGCACTCTGACGCTCCCCTTCCATATCCTTGGCTCATGCTGATCAGTTTCTGTAAGCGGCTTATATTTTTAGCGTTCCAAGCCACCCTCGTCGTCGGAGAAGACATTAGTTTAAGACATCATGGATCTGCCAAGCTCGTCACTTTGCTGCGTCATACCGTTCTTTTCTCAACATGGTCCTGTTTCATATTATGATCCAGGATTCCACATAACATGTGACCAATCCGCAGACACGCAGTCTCTCCAAGCACGCTATGCCGTCACGTCATTGGTCGACAATTGGAAAAAAGATTAATGCGTCTCGAGGAGAAAGTGCCTAAGGCACTGACTAATGAGGAAGGCAGCGATTGCAGCGGTTATTTCGCGACGGATCCCTAAGGTCTCATATACGATCGGATACTTGCAGCTTCAGAGAATTAACCTCCAGACGTGAGATTCGACCATGTTGCAACCTACTATCAGATCAACTGATGACAAATTTACCCTACGCGGTTTCAATTCCCTCCACCACTGCGACCACGGGTTGTCCACCCTTGTCACCGTAAAGAACTATCACCTTGGCCAAACTCTCTGCGGCTCAAACTTTGTTGTAGTCTTGGTGTAATCGCTTATTCGATTGGGGTTCGCCGGGCTCTGGACACATTGAACTTGCTAACATTGTGTGGTCCTTACTCTCATCCAAGGAGATCGCGATTCCGGGGCAGTAGTTGTGCCCGCCCCGTTAACGCCGCAACCGTTGTTTTGTCACTGGGGTGGATATCCACAATCCAAGGCAACAAGCTGCAAGCTTTCACATTGGAAGGGAGGAATTTGTAGTTCCACATGTAACGGGATTTGGCCCCAATTGTCAAGTCTACCCGGGAGCATATTGAAGTGGTCTACAATGATTGGATCTACCTTAAGCGAATATGCACGTCTCATGCATACGACACCCTCGGACCCATTCCAAGAGGGGAGAAAAGCCGCCTAGAGTGCACTCGAGGTCCTGAGAGGTTAGTGATCCGGTGCTACTGTTTCCTCAGTTAGAATCCCTCTAGAACCGGTTCTCTTGTGTTATCTCACTTATGATGCTGCTGCTTGATGGAAAAAAGCGACCCGCCAGACGGGGCTGCATCTATCCGTTCTCAAGGTCCAGAGTCGAGCCTTTTGATCAGACTGAAGCAGGCGATCTGGTTTGCTTCCCGATCTTGCTGATGATCGTTAGCCAGCCAGGTAGCACAACTCTCCCGTGGCTGCCATGCTTCTTGTCTTGTTCCCGGCTATTTGCCCTAGTTGGTCTCTATCACACCCACTCTCACCCATGTTTTCTTTTGCTTCTCTTTCTGATTTAACCGCACTATGCACGCTTTATCACCTTTTTCTAATCTCATTTGCTCCTCTTTGTCGGCTGGCTCCGTTCCCATACTGAAGTGTCAATGAGATCAACATTCTCCGACCCGCATGAGCAAGCCTCACATGTTAGCAGCTGGTCCGGTTATCAATGCCCGGCCCAACGATCATATACTGGGTCCGGCCCTACGGGTCGAAAGGCATCTACAGGGACCTCATTTGACCGGCGTCTTCTTGGATAGCCGGAAGAAGTATACTCGCGTGTCCCACAGGCAAAGACTGGCCCTGGTTCTAGTCCTTTGGGGCTGAGTATGCGAAACGATTTGTGATCCTGGACCCAGGCCGCACTGGCCGCGCTCCTGTCATTGGAGCGGCTCTCCGAAAAAAAAATATTTGGATGTGACCAAGGTCTCTCGCTGGCAATCTACTTCGGAGGCAAATACTGGATCTTGATTCGGTGTTGCCGATACGAGATTTTCTTGACTCGCAAGCTGGTAGCACAATCCATGGCCGAGTAAGTCTTACGATTTCCGTCTACAGTGAGGTTGCCATTCGCACCGGGCAAGGAGCAGCCTAGCTTGACTGCAGACATATATTTTTGCTTTTTCCTCGCATCGCTTCCCCAGTTAGATTCAAATTGTTCCATGCCTGACGGAAGACAGATAAACCAAGCTTCCCCTCGATGAGAAATTCCAACTTGAGATTCTGAGACAGCATTGTACCAGTGTCTCACTTGACCATACCGTCTTCGCACGTGTTGAACCGAGGATAGTCTCCAGTTACTTTCCAACTGCCCATCCTTCTCTATTCTTGAGTCCATCGTATCTCGCTACTATCGTTCCTCGAACCATGTCTCATTCGGCAGGCTCGATCCATCCCCTCGACCCTGATCACAACTCGTGCATCGGTGGACAGACAGTGAAGACCTGCCGCAGCTGCGCAGGAAACGCACCCCGGTCGGTCCCGCCAGCGAAATAAGCCTTTCTCCTCTCGTCACCACTAACGCAGCCAACAGAGGTTCGATCTGCAATAGCTGCAGCGGCCATGGGTTCGTTTTATACGTCTGCACCCACTGTAACCCAGCAGCTGCAGTGTCCGCGGCTCGAAGCGCGACTAGCGCCACTGCGGTGTCGATGTCTACACCTGGATCCTCCACTCCTGCCAGCCCGGCTTCCTTGAGTCGAAGCTCTTCTACCTCAGTATCATCACAGAGTGACACAAGACAGATCCGGTCGTGGAGGCGGTTTGGAGACGGTGATGAGGGCCCAGGAGGGGGAGGAATTGGAGCGAAAGCGAATACGCCCCGTGGGCTATGACCAGCTCAAAGGTATGAAAGAAAAAGAAAAAGAGAAAAATAGAGGACTCTGAAAGTCCGGGGTGCTGGCTGCCCCTAATGTCTTCGCTTCTCTCTGCGTGCCGAGGTTTTTGTGCTGCAATTCAATATGTAGCCATAATTTCAGGCCTTTTTGCCGTTCTTCTTTGGCGAGATGTATACCCGAAGGAAAACCCATGAGTTCTCATTGGTGCCTTTCACCTACCGTTCTTTTTCATTCTGTGGCCCAGTGCCAAGCCTTTCACATTCTTCGCTTTGGATTGTTTTCTGTGGACATATGTCAACCTACCTGCATACGGGAGGATATCGCTTTTGAGAGCACAATGCAAGACTCTAGTGTTGGTTCTGCATGGAGAAGGGCTTGTGAAGCTTGAAATGAGTAGAGCACAGTGTGACATTTCCCGGCCGGCTCGACTGCGACCAGCCTCGGCAGTGTGCGGCACTCTTTCTGTCAGTCTGTAGGACCCACGGGACAATCATGCCCCGGAGAAGCCCTCTTGAAGATCATCTGATTGCGGGGAAAGAGGAGAGATCGGAAAATCCGACCTCCACAAGAGGGACGGTATATCCGTATATCCGAGGGAGAGGGAGTGGTCACTTGCAAAGTGAAAAAAACATGGTGAAGTTTTGCCCCCCACTATCCCCCTGATGACGCGCCCGCCTGTTCTCCCGCTCCTCTTTATATATGAAGGTACCCGCGGCGAAACTCTTTCCCCTCCTCATTTTCCCCCCAAACCACATCGCTTTCATCCATTGATCCTGCCACGGGGTCTCTTCGGTCTTGCTCATCTTTTCTCCCTTATCTCTTTCCCTTCTCACAGTTACCCCAATCATTATGTCCTTAACGTGGACCAATGAGCCTCCCAAGGGAAGGGTTCCCTATGCGATTCCCCAACTGGAAGGCGAACGTATCACCATTCCCGGCAGCAAGGGCTCCTTTCGCATCCTGGCTTCGTCGTTGCAGACCAATGGCTTGATGTCGGTCTTCCAGAGCGGTGCCGTCCTCTCCGATGCTCCCGGATTCCACTACCACAACCATGCCCACGACGTCTTCTTGGTAACCAAGGGTTTCTTGAAGCTATGGAACGGCGACAAATGTCGCATCATGGGGCCCGGAGATTTCGCATATGTGCCTCCTGTACGTTGTCTGGCCCGCCGTCTTGGCCTCAACCCTTTTTTTTTTTCCCTCCTTCCGCAGACCTGATACTGATGCAGATGTTCTAGACCGTGATCCATAACCCTGAGATGATGGGCCCACACACCGAGACTTACGGAGTCGTCACTCCCGGCGACTGGGTCGATTTCTTTCGATATGTTTCCGAGCCCTACGATGGCGTGTTGGTGCCGGAAAATGACAACCGCGATCTCAAGTCTATCCTGATCCCGAAGGTGATGGCTGCCAAGGAACAATTTGATGTGGTATTCCAGCCTCACTACCAACCTCCGGAGCTGGGAGAATGGACGAAAGACGAGGAGGTGCTGCCTGAAGGCCCGCAGGGTTACTTTCTTCGGGCCAACACGGGCCCAAAGTGGATCTTTGGGGGAGTCATGTCCCGGCCATTTGTGACCACCACCCAGAGCAGCGGCGTCTGCGCCATCTCCAGTATTGAGTCGTCCAAGGTCTACAGTGATACCATCTTGTCTAAGTACATGACCTTCAAGTCTGTGGACCACTGCTTGTGTGTCCAGGAGGGCACGCTGATCGTCAGCCTGGAGGGTCAGTCTGACACTGAGTTCCGCGAGGGTGAAACTGCCGTGATTCCTGCTGGACAGGCTTTCGCGCTGAAGTTCGCCAGTCGCTTTGTGCGCGTCTGGTCCTTTACGGATGGCGACGGAATCGAGACTTTGATCCAACGGGTAGGCCAGAAATATGAGGGCGCTGTCCTCCCAGACGAGGCGCGCGAATGGGATGCGGCCGATGTCAAGTCAGTGGCGGCTGAATTGAATGTGGAAATCGCCTTATAGGAAACGGTTGTGGGCGAAGTGGGAGTGAAGACGCGTCTGCATTGATTGAGCGCTTTCCCGCTTTAGAACCTCTTTGTAATCTTTGTACATAGTTGATATATTATTGAACAATCTTCAAATCCATATCGTTTTCTTAAATTAAGCAGCATGTTTCGGTTGATAAAAACCGAGAGTGCGGGGACCCCGCGGGGTCCACGTGATGGCCGGATAAGCCGGCGCATTTCCGACTTTTGGCAAACTTCCACTTCACCCAAACATCCCGCCGCTAAAAGTCCGTGTGGCCATTCGCACTCCCACCAACTATCGTCATCCACTGCCAGCATTCCGCAAACTCGTACTTTCACATCCGCCCATTTAATACCACTGATCAACCAACTTTGACCACCACTTTTTTTCCCTTCATTATCCATCTCTCCACTCTTTTCCAGCCCAATGCAGTCCGCAATCTTGATGGATGATGCAACCTGAGGCTCGCCCATCTCCCGCACCGCAGGCTCCCGGGGATTATCATCTCCCTCTGCCCCGGGCTAAGCGGCCCCGCGCAGCCCAAGCCTGCGACAGGTGTAGATCTAAGAAGTACAAATGCGACGAACAGTACCCTTGCTCTCACTGCAAGAGTAAGTGGCGACGCAACTATTGGGGAAGGTATCATTATCTAACCTACTCGCAGAAAGTGACCTGACCTGCGTGTATCAAGGCAGCTACCGACAGAGGGAGAGCAGCCGATCTGCCAGGTAGGGAAAAATCACCTGCTGCTATGATGGGTCTTGCTTGTTAAGAGTCCAATCAGGTATGTTGCAGATCTAGAGCGGAAGGTGGACGAGCTCACAGCCAAGCTCCGCTTGGTCGAGTCGGAAACTACCTCGCAGCCGCCGTCTCAAAGGGTCCAAATAGCGACAACGACGACGACTTTCGCAAGCCCTGGGGCCCAGCCCGTGCCTCAAGCTGCCATCGACGCGACGCCCGTGTCCCTGCCACGCAACGAGTCTACTCCGCGGGAAGACGCCCCTGCACTCTACGATCACCATGACGAGGCCGGCGACTCGGTCGAAGATGAAATCAGCGAACTGAACCACCACACCAACGGCATCGAGTTCCATGGTAGCACCTCATCCGCTGCCTTGCTCGGACACCTGCAGAAGGCGCGGGAGCCACAGCGACGCCACGAGGAGCGTCACCTGCAGCAGCAGCATACCCGCGGCGCAGAAAAGCCCGGGTACTCGATCGTGTCGACGCTGCACAATTCGAGCTTTTCACCCTCGTGTTCGGCGGGCCCGGCACAGCAGCCGGTGATGCAGGAACAGAACTACTACTTCGAGCAGGCTCACGCGTTCATCAACGGGTACTTTGAGAATATCCACTTCATTCATCCGCTGATCGACAAGGAAGATTTCTTGCAGCGCGCTCATCACCTGTGGTTCAATCGGAGTGTGCAGCCGGAGCCAAGCTTTGTGGCTCTGTATTTGAGTATTCTTTCCTTTGGGGCCTTGGTGAGGGTCTGGGATGAGGAGAGGCTCGGGGGCTTGACCAGGTTCGAGTGGAGTAGGAAGCTCTTCGGTGAGGCTCAGATGTATCTGAACTATCTGAATTTCTCGAATACGCTCGACACGGTGCAGTGCTTGTATCTCATGGTGAGTAATTTGAGGGAAGCCTGTTCGGAGGCTGCGCTGACTTGGACAGGCTAAAATTTGTCAAAATGAACTTAACCCGAACAGTGAGTGGAAGGCTTCTCTCTTCTGCGGCTACTTACATGCTGATGCTTTAAATAAGTGGCCTACATGTACTTAGGGCTTGCTATACGTACGTGCTTGGCTGCTGGATTTAACAGGGAAGTACGGAGCACAGACGATCATCGCGCAGGGTGGATCTCAAAGACCTGGTGGTAAGTCTGGCAGTCTATATAATGGGTAAATGAAACTAACTTCTGTAGGGGACTCTTCTCTTTAGAAATGTAAGCTGCTTCGTCATTTCTGCGGGGTGACGCACTAACCAAGTCAGTGAGATGAGCTTCTCAGTCGGCCGTCCGGACACATTGGGAATGGACGAATACCACAATCGAGCATTGCCCGAAAGAGACGACTCTGAATACGCCATTATTCCCTGGATGGTTGACTTTGCCCAGATCATCCGCAGAGTCTCCGTGCAGATCTACCATTCACGGATCACATTGCAGGAAAAGCTACATATAGCTCTCCAGATAGAGACTGACCTCGACCGCTGGATGGCGCGGTTACCGGATCGAATCAAGCCCGACATGTTGGAGCGAGCAACGGGGGGTGCCTTGAGAGACCCGAAGTGGGCACGCCGACAACGCCTGGTCTTGGGAATACGTAAGTTACTGTTTTGAGCCAGCATCGCACCTTTAGACACAAGACTGATCTTACTTGCAAGGCTACTTCAATGTCAAAATGCTTCTATTCCGCCCCTTCCTTAGTCACTTTACCCGCAAGCTCCGCCATCCCCCAATGGAACTCGAACAAACAATCGCCAAGTGTCTCGATGCCGCAATGAAGACCATCGAGGTGATCTACGACATCTACCGCATCCATGAATTCTTCCGCTGTTGGTACGTTTTCGTGTTTTAAGACCCTCTCAGTGTGTTTTTCAATTCTAAGCCCAGTGAGAACAGGTGGTATAACACGACCTATGTAATGTTCGCCACCTCCACGCTCCTTCTCCCCATGTCCAAACTGGGGCCGTGCCCGGAAACCGTCCCGCTGCAACGCTCCGTCGAGATGGGCGTCGAGATCCTCGAGGCAATGGATGAGTCCATCGTCGCCCGCAAGTCCGTCGAGATCATCAAACACTATCTTCGAGAATTTCGGTCCCTGCCGTCTTCCACCTCGTCGCTGTCGCATCTGCATCAGCAGCAGAGTCTTGCGTCGTCGACGAGTAGTCACGATGGCGGCGGCGGTAGCGGTAGCGGTGGGGGTGGGAATGGGAGTGGTGGGGAGTACACGGATACGAGTCCGAGTGGGACGGGGTTCGATATTCCTGTAGGTTTCCCCCTACCTCCATCGCCTTATCTAAGGTGAACTGTAGCAATAATTCTCGCTATTGTTCTTGCGTTTGTGAATCCATGCTAATGTTTGCTGGGTGCTAGGAATGGGCCTACGGCTTCGGATTCCCGGATTGTTCGTTCGAAGGGATCGCGAGATTATTCGATGATTTGGGTGGGTTGCCGATGCTGGACAATTGATTTATGTATCAGTATGCTTGTGAGGGTGTTGACTATGGGTGACTGAGGTGTTGTTCGTACGTATTAGCCCCTGTATGGGAGGTTTTCGTCACTTTTTTCTGGTTTTAGCTGGTTCATAGAGGAGTGAGGCGATGGAGCAATGCTATGTTGTCTGATTAATTTTCTAACTCACTAGCTAGGCAAACCTCAACTGAGCTGAACTGTGTTTCTTTCGAGATCACGGATCGAAGAAAAACTGGATTGAAATCAGGTATTCAATCACCCACCCCGAACAACTTATGAAAATAGAATGCCCATATCATATATACGGTTATCCCGAAGTATACATATACAATTAATATAACGTCGCTCAAAGTCCCAAAGACACGAAAGCAAAAGAGCACCAAACTATCTACAAATTCGCCGTGACGGGCCCGTTGAACAACGCCGGGTTCTCCGCCACGACGTTCTCGACCTCCTTGATGGCGTCGTAGCCATACAACCACGGCTGGACTTCAGGGCACGTCCTGTATTTCTCGTAGTCAGTTTATTTTCTCCGCCGAGTCCTTTTTTGGGCTGGTATGCTTGGAGGGAGAGAAAATAAACGCACCATCGGCTCGGAAACGGGCCCTTGAGTTCCTTACCAAGCTGCGAGAGGAAGATCTGATCGCGCTCCTCTTGCTCGGTGCCGTTGTGCATGTGGAAGTCGTTTCTCTGGGGTTTTCTCTGGTGTTAGCTTTGGTGCATTATCGGTGGCACCGTGAGGGTTGTACCCTGGTGCTGCGGGGGGGGGGGGGGACGAACCTGCTTGAATGTCTCCCGGACGATGGCTTCCCCGCGGGATTTTCGGAGTTTCTCGTACAATCTTAGGATCTGCGGGAGGTCGGATTTCTGCTTCATGTGGCCTAGTAGGCCGCCTAGGACGGCGCCGTCTTCGAGGGAGGAGTTCGCGCCTTGGGCGAGGTAGGGAAGCATTGGGTGGCAGGCGTCGCCGCTTTTGGGGATTAGGATTAGGACTTGGCAGGGATGGGGGCATGAGGTGCGTACATGAAGACGAGGTTGGATTTGTCGTTGATCCAGGTGTCCATTTCTGCGTCTGAGTTGGGTTAGGTTTCATGCTCTAGGGAGTAGGGGGTGGGGGGGAGGGGGCGTACGGTGCATGAGCCGCCATTTGTCTACGCCGTTCACGTAGGACAGGAACTTGGTTAATCTGGAGTTTCCATGTCAGTGTCTCCGTCAACACTGCGAGGTGCAAGGGGGAAGAGTCATACACCGGATCCCAGCCTACGAACAAACCGCGCATCTCCTCCACCGACCCGGCCTGCCTCGACACCCCCGGCGGCAGCGTATCCGGCACCAGCAAGACGATATTGAACATCGACCCGCCGCGCATCGAGTACGCCACCACATGGGCGCCCGGCCCAACCCAGAAGTGCACGGTGGGGTTCTCGACCCAGGCGCGCAGCTCAGGGTCATCGGCGACCTGCTCGGCCGTCAACACAATGCGGTATGCCAGGTCGCCCGTCGGCAGCGGCTCGTCCTTCTTCCCGTAGAAGCTCTCACGACAGCGCGACCACAGTCCGTCGGCCGCGACCACCAGATCCCCGCTCACCCGCCGGCCCTTCAGCGTCGTGATCGTCGTCGTCTCGAAGTCGATCGCGTCGACCCGCTCGTCCAGGTGGAACGTCACACCCAACTCCCGCGCCCGCGCGTACAGCGCTTGCTGCAGATCAACCCGGTGCAGGTCGATGAATGGCGCTTGGTACTTGGCGCGGATGTTACGGTCGAAATTCGCCTCATGTGCCAGCACCTCGCCCGTGTACCGGTGCACCGTCAACGACGTCGGCTCCGCGGCTGAGGTCCAGATCTTCGACGGTAGCTTCCAGTGCGAGAACAGCCGTGACGCATTGGGCGTGATCTGCAGCCCTGCGCCCACTTCCGCCAGCTCTTGCGCTTGTTCCAGTACTGTCACTGTGTGGCCCGCCATGGCGCAGGAGATGGCTGTCGCGAGACCGCTCAGACCGGCGCCGACGATGATGATGTTGAGTTGGGAGTCGGAGGGAGGCTGGGGTCGTTTCAGGACATGTCAGCTTGGGGAAATTGGGCTTCGTTGTCAATGTTCTCGGCGGCTTGCTTACCATTTTTGATGAGTCGGATGTACTGCTGATGAGACTGTTGATGATACCCATTGTACTTCTATAGCTGTGAGATGTGGGTTAAGCCTGGATAGGAAAGATGGAGAGGGGGGATTGAGGATGGTTGCAGACTTTAAGTCCGAGGCATGAGCGCAAAGCTGGCTGGGCATTACCTGGAGCGAGATCTACACTCCCACGAAGGTTGCTCGGCTTTGCCGGTGCTCGGCTTATCCGGGGCAGACATCGCTTCAAGCAGCGCCCCCCGTGACTTTCTCCCCCGGATTCTCCTTCTCTCGGGGTTTCCCCCGCATGCGCTTAACGGTTCGTGTTGGCCCCGTCCCTCCGTTTGCCCCGAAAACATGGTTCTAGGTTATCTCGCTTGCAGTTCCCGCTGCTATCCACCTCTCAGTACACTACGTACCAACGTCTGCTGGGATGAGAACGCCTCGAGCTGGATATGGCCGAGCTAGAGTGGTTCGAGGGAAGAATCCGCTTTCCACGCGTCAAGTTGCAACCCACGGTAGTTCGCTTCGGAGAGTGGGGAGGCATGGCTTTCGTCAACAAGCGACGAATCCAGGCAAGTCTCGTTCTGATACGAACGGAACAAAGTCAATTATATCGATAGGCTTGAGGCCTAAGGGAACCCAGACACCTTTTTGACACAAGCTTGGCGGTGATAGCCCACGTGCTTGCTTGTTGGACGTCCTCGACCAACTGCGGTACTTCCAGCCCGTGCCCCTTCCCTCTTCCTCGTTGGTTGTCACTGCGCGTTGAGACTAACACGGTTGAGGTACTTAATTACACGCACTTTACTTGAAATCCCCGCCATTTAAAGGCTCCAACCTCTCGTCGAGCCTATAATACCAGAAAACCAAATCTCTCGACGCTACTCCCCCCCCCCCCCCCCCCGTTGAGAGAGCAATCCTCTGTGACAGGCTTACGCCATTGCGATAAGCAGCATGGGCCTGCGTTGACCTGCACTCGTCATTGGTAGACTCGCGGTGGTGTGGGATAATCTTACCTGAATCCGTCTTCGAGATATCAGGTGGAGCCGACCTGGTCGGTTAAGCCGAGCGCCACATCCCGCGCACGAATCACGAGCTTCAAGGGCATGTTGAGACAATCCGGGTTCTGGGTTCGCTGCTGGTAACCGAGGGCTAGGCACCTACGCGAGGTATAGTGCGGGTTTCCCCATGGGGTAGATCCCCAGGGCCGGGCTATAAGTCTCTCGATATTCCCCTGCAGCCCGAGGCCTTGGACCCTTGCTCTGAACTCATACTTGGTCGACTAAGGCGCTTTGGAAGACACATACGCCACCATGGTAACGAAATTCGATCCAAAGGTTGGTGACTCAAGGGGGGTAAGAGAGGCTGCGGTGTGGTTGGGGCTAACTAACATGCGTCTCTTGTCATAGCTTTACCCGCGTCGAGTCCGATATGCAGCCCTCCTGACGGTCAATGTCTTTGTCTTTATGGGGAATATGTACTCGGTATGGCTTTCCTTGAGCTGATATGTTGATGGCAAGATCCTGATATTGGGGGTAGTCTGGCATAGCTACAGGGTTCGAGTCACTGGCCATGGATCTACACGTCAGCTATCAGAAGCTTGCCGATCTCATATCATGGTCCGTCCTCAGCATGGGCCTTGCCAACCTCTTCTGGATGCCACTGGCTTTGACCTTTGGCAAGCGGCCCATAGTGCTTATCTCCATGGCAATGTTTGTGGCGGGGATCATCTGGACGGTGGTAGCGCAGGATTACAACAGTTTGATGGGTGCTAGAGTGTTCGCCAGTTTTGGTAAGGCATTCTTATGGCGCTGGCCATGCGATCACTGACATCAGACACAGGATATGGCTCGATCGAATCATTGGGTCCCAGTATTCTTGCCGGTATGCTCTATCTGTCTCGCTTTGATGAACGGTCTCAGGATGGGATTGCTGACCAACATAGACTTGTTTCACGAGCGCAACTACTCGAGTGCGATGGCGATGTACGCTCTTTTCCTCTCCGCAGGCTCCCAGGTCGGTCCTGTGATTGCCGGATACCTTGTTGCGGCCCGCGGCTGGCGCTGGTTCTTCATCGTGTGTCTGATCGTGGCGGCCGTCAACATGGTCACGACCTTCTTCTTCCTTCCAGAAACGATGTACGAGCCCGATCCCGAGGATGAGCAAGAGGATGAGTTCGAAGAGAAAAACGACACCGTTCACAGCCACATCGAGAGTCTACCGAGGCTCACACCCCAATCCCGCGCTCAACAATTCTCCTACGGCGACTATTGGAAAGGCCTCTTCCAGGTCGGCCTGTCGACGGAAGCCAAGACGAAAGGGGTGTTCAAGTTCCTGGGGTATGCAGCCTGGCTGCCGATACCGATGTTGCTACTTCCAGGAGTATTGCTGGCTTCGATGATGTATGGGGTCGTGTTAGGCGCGTGAGTAATCTCTTCGTTCTCTACTATGTGACCGTGACAGGCAACCACTAAATCTCATACTCATCAACAACAGCGTGGTCTCCATCTCGACCCTCGCCTCCTCCATCTTCAGCGCCCCGCCCTACCTTTTCTCCTCCGGCGCCCTCGGCCTCTGGACCCTGGGCAGTTTCATCGGCATCATTGTCGTCGCGCCCGTCGCCGGGCCGCTGACCGATGCGCTGTCTCAGTTCCTCCGCCGCCGCAACAACAACGTCCACAAGCCCGAGCACCGTATCCCCGCCCTGATCGTCCCCTTCTGCATTGCCCCTGTCGGCTTGGTCGTCTTCGGCTACACCACCGCCCACCAGATGCACTACGCCCTCCCCGCCCTCGGCTCCGCCATGTGCGCCGCCGGCCTCACCCTCGTCCCTTCGGTGATGCTCTCCTACGTCGTCGACTCATACCCGCACGCCAGCGGCGAGGCTCTCGTGCTGGTCAACGTGAGCAAGAACGTCGTGGCCTTCGGGCTGAGCAAAGGGTCTGTGGACTGGATGATGCAGCAGGGGCTGGCGAAGATGTTCTACGAGTTCGCGGCCATTGAGTGGGCGGTGCTGGCGCTGGGGTTACCGTTGTATTTTGCTGGACCGTGGATCCGCAAGCGGACAGCCAAGTATTTTTGATTTGTGTTATGTTAGTATATTATATAATGCGTATATGAATACTACATTGAATGAGCGGTCAATGGCTGTGCGACGATAGTGATGCAGACTATAACCCCGCTTGTAATGTCCATGCTGCTTGTAGATGGATGATTTGAGCGTATCGTATGCATCAAGCCCACACCCCGCCTCTTAGTGCACCGAGCACCCTTCTCAATGTCAATGGTCTACCTAGTGAGCACTTCAATCAACACGATCCACCAACCCTCTCACCATCTCCGCCATCACCCCGCAGATTCTCCACCGCGCCACAACCGTCTCCAGACAAATCCCCAGGAAACTCAACTCCTGCAGCAGATTCACCGCCACACCACCGGAGTCGTCATGATGCTCAGCGTCATGCTCACGTAGAAATCGGTGCTCGGTTTCCGCCCGCTCCTCTTCAGCCATGCATTCATCTCCACTCCCACCCTCACCTTCGTACCCCTCAGTCACTGTATCTTTCCCAGCGCGTCATTGACACGAACATCCAGATTGACCTTCCCCGGACACGGACGCAGACACAGGCCCATCATCGTCCTGATGTGGACAAGGAGGAAGGGGGGTACACGTCCCAAACAGGCCCCCAGTCCCGTCTACACTGTAGATCTCGCTCGTCCACCACAAAACCCTCTGTTTCCGGCCCGAGAGACACCATCAAGCTAGCGTTACTGCCGCGGCGAGGATGGCGGAGGGGATGTATGGGGCGCGGGCTTCGTGGAGGGGGGGCTGGTTGAGAAGGCGGGTTATTCTTAGGGCGTGGAGAAGGGAGCGGAATGTTGGGGTTGGGGTTGGGGTTGTACCTGGGGCTGCGCCCTTGGGGAGGCGGTCGCCGATGACGCGCGGGAGGTGGGGATAGCGCTGACACAGGGATTTGTCGAGGGTTGTTGTTGGGGTGGTGAGGTCGAGTTAGACGGTGTGCCATCTTAGGAGGAGTTGGAGTTGGAGGGGGGCGGTTCGGTTCAGTGGTGCAGTGGAGGGGGAGGGGGAAGGTGCCGCCGGGTGGTGGTGGAGGTGCACGTCGTGGAGATTCAGCAATGCGCGGATGATCTGCGACGAGCCTTGATGGCAACGTAGGCTGGCTTGTCTCCTTTGATTTCGTGGAGGTCGGATACCAGACTTTATAGGCCTTCGATGACTACGAAGATTGAGAAGCTGGAGAGGTTGAGTGGGTAGGTTCGGTATGTAGGCGAGAAGATGGAGACGTAGACTTCGCTGAAAAGGACACTGGGAAGATAGGCTAGTGGTTGTTGCATGTGCTTGAGCCACTCGTCTGCCGTGGTAGCTTGGAAGGCAGCGTCTGAGCTGGCTGTTGGTAGGGAGCTGATGAGATGGCGCGCGGAGGTCGGGGAGCCCGAGGTCTGCGATATCAGTCCGTCGAGGACGTAGTGGCCTAGGATGGCCCGTTTCTGGGTCTCGAGGGTCCTCCACCGGTGCCAGTGGGCTTGAAGTTCCTGTGAAGGACCTGGAATGCTGAGCTCGCCGACGGTGTACATCCCGCACGTGCGCGCCCAGTAGAAGCCCAGCCCGTGCCAGACGAAGGCGGTCGCCCGGATGCTTTCGTCGCTCGATAGGAGCGCGAAGAGCTGCCCTCGGAGCGCCGTGAGCACCAGTTGGACCCCGTCACAGGCGTCGCGCGGGCCGCGGTGGGTGATGAGGGTCTGCCAGGAGGTAGCTACGGCCGAGTGGCCGAGACGCCAGAGCATCTAGCCTTTGCGTACGGCGTCGGAGAGACACACGAATAGAGAGCCAAGGGCGACCATTTTGAGGAGAAGCGGCGGGTTGGTCTCACGAGATACGAGGTAGGTTTGTGAATGACTGGGAAGCAGGGAGAGATGCGGTCGAAGAACTCTTGGAAACAGGCATCTAGGAAGCTGGATGTGATGCCCGAGCTGTGCAGTTCGGCAATCAGTCGTTTGGACAGGTCCTCGATGGGTCGATAGCTTTGCTGCATGACTGATTTACCAGCTCCGGCTTCTTGTCCTCCTGTCGCTTCATCCAAGGGGCAGGGCTCCTAGCCCACGAAATGGCTGCAGCTGGGTTGAGTCTAGAGCCTCTAACAATGGGAGCGAAACGGTCGACGAACCCCAGGAGTCGGGGATAAACCAGTCTAGTAGATTTTTGTAGTCTAGTAGTTCGTGATTGTTGGGAGAGGTGCCTCAAACGGAGCCATATCGAGAATATTTTGAGTCGAGGGGTCGGAACATGTCTGCTGAACCTCATCGCCATGGCTACCTAATAGCTGGGTGGCCTCATCCCGGGAACGAGCATGAAGTCGTTTGTGTCGTCCAAGGACGTCACCTCTCCCAGAACTTCTTGCACACTCGTCACATTAAAACGGTCTGGAGTTGAAGTCTGAGAAGGTGTTAGTATGGGCTCAATCGCAAATCGCTCGCGTTGCACTTGCGGGTTCTCTCGTGTCTCTATAGAATGTCAAACCAATCATGTGGGAGAAGCAAGTATGCTCACTGTCAGGTGTTCAAGCTTTGTGTATGATATATTGCATTGCCGACACTTGAATTTCTTGGGTCGATCCATTGACTGGGCGAGAGTGAGAGAGGAGAGATGGTGGTTTGTCTGCGGGAGAAGCAGAGCCAAAGCGGAAGTAGAGGCCGAGATGCGGAGGTTAGTCTGTCTCCACATCATCCCGAAGCCTGCCGGGCCAGATATCCGATCCTTATTCGATTGTTGCTTAAAACTCGTCAATCTCGATTCCAAACATGGCCTCCACCCATTACTCAACAATTGGTACACGTTTCTCGATACACTGGGGGAGGAAAACATGCAAACGAAGACGGAATCCATGCAGCGCTAGTAGATCATATAGATTTCATGCAATAGAGCAATTCAGCATCAAGCTGAATACAACGACAAACATAAAAACGCCAAATGCCACCCACAATATGCTCCGAAAGCCCCTTGACGCCGTTGAATCAATCAAACGTTGCACTATCAACTAGCAGTCGCTAGTTGAGCCACAAGATCCGAGGCCACGTCCAGGAATGGATAAGGACTGGTTACCTCCTTTTCCTTGTTCCGGAACCGTTTGCTGATGGGGTGCCAATCGCTGTCGCCTTCGCCACGAATCACGTTCTGGTACCCATCGCATTTGAAGTCCACCATGTAGTTGTTCTCTTCCAGCTGATACAGCTGGATATCGACGAAAACCCACACTCCGTACGAGATCCGGGAGATTGTGTGAGTTTGGGTCGCCGAAGAAGGGTTCGAAATGCTCGCATGCTCCGGCGTAAGGCTCTTATCATCAGCCGAGAATGGTCCACTCGACAGGTTGAACCGTCGCCGCAGGTCCTCCAGATTCAGATCGCTTCGACTGCTATGCACACTGGCGGACTGGCCCGGTGCCTTGACTCCCTCCTTCAGGAGACGCGCTCTGATAAACCAGGGATCCTTGGGAATATAGTAGTCTGACGGTAAATCTGGATACTTGCTTTGGAGTGGCATAGGCTGGTCCGGGCATTGCTCCCCTATTTGCAAGCTGTCTAAAATACTGTTAGCTCTGGACCTCAAATAGCTCAGGCATCAAACTTACCTGCTCCGGTGGGTGCAATTTCCCAGATTCCTCCCTGAGCCGAAATGGCTTTATATAGGTAGAGCATTGCCTCGTAGGGTTGATTTCGGGAGCGAATACCAAATTGCCACTTTCGTGACCGCTTGGGCTGGTGCGGGGCGCTTCGGCCTTCAGGTGGTTGGAGGCGCAGCTTTTCGAGGTCGATAATGCTGCGGGAATGAGGCTTCAGGGCTCTTGCAGTTGCCTCTTGCTCCTCCAGCGAGCGTCCCGGCTGACCGTTTCGGTTTAAGTCGTCCTCGGACTCTGGACCACCTAATGCCTGTTCCTCGGATGACCGCTCCGCAGCACGTTCTCTCTGCTCGCGTTCCCGCTGTTCCATGAGTTGGTCATGCACGAAGGGTACACTTGTCGGCAGAATTCGAACATGGCTGACTCGGGGCGCATCGAGTTCGTCTGCATTGCTCTGCTGAGACAATTGAGATGGCTGACGCTGCGAGCCACTCCGCGGCCTTGTAGGGGGGCCCGGTGGGGTTCCGTGGCTTGGCGGGACAGTCGGTCGGCCAGCCGCTGCTGAAACCTGAGGGTGTCGATCGGCAGGCGGGGAGGGAGCGACAGGAGGGCCCATGAGATTGTCCTCGGTAGGTGCTGTGTGAAAAGGTTAGCACAAATGCCGAAGCAGACCATAGGTCATGGCTTAGCAATTTGGGCTCAACTTACAATTCGTCTGCATCATCTCGTTCTCCATAATGATAAAAAAAGCATCTTTGATGGCGCTTGGTTCAGGATTTCTCAGAGCATCTTCAATGTCCTCGCGCGTATATCCCATGCTCCGTTCCAACTTGGAAATAGCAACCTGGTGGATCTTATGCTGCACAGATAGCGGTTTTCCCGGCACCAGCTTGCGTGGATCTATAGCCTTGTTTGGGTCCACGCCAGTAGCGATGAACTCGTCCGGAGGAGGTTGTAAATACTTTGGTAATTCTTGTAGGAACCAGGGATCCTGACGGATTTCCGGAATGGTGATGCGGTGAACTGGATGAACCTGCAACATGGACCGGATTAACCGAGCAGCGCCGGAGGATATGTAGGCAGGCATGTGGAAGTTCCCCGCAGCAATCTTCTTGAAGAGGGCCGGGATATAGTCATCATCAAAGGGAAGTCTGCCCACCAACAATACGTAAAGGATGACACCGCAGCTCCATACGTCGACTTCAGGCCCTGCGTAAAGCTTTCCCGAAATGACCTCCGGTGCTGCATAATTAGGACTACCGCAGCTGGTTTTGAGGAAGTTTCCATCCGTCATGATGTTGCTCAGGCCGAAATCAGCGATCTTGACGTTCTTCTCCCGGTCAATAAGCAGGTTCTCCGGTTTCAGATCACGATGGACAATCTTGTGACGATGGCAGTACTCCACTGCACAGATGATCTGCTGGAAGAATTTGCGAGCTTCGGCATCATTGCACCGACCCCGCTTCACCAGATAGTCAAACAATTCTCGTTCGGCATACTCTAGGACCATAACAATGTCGGTTTTCGTTGCGATGACGGTGTATCTATCGGATTGAGGTTCTCATTAGCTGATTATTTCAATTGCATCATTTCCTGAAGAGGTGACAGGAATCCGTACAGTTTGATGATGTGAGGGTGTCGCAACAATTGCAGATACTGAATCTCACGCTCGACACGACCGACCATGTCCCGAGACAACAATTTGCGACGGGAGATGATTTTGAGGGCGACCTGCCGACCACTTGGTTGGTGGATCGCCAGCTTCACCTTTCCGAATGAACCCTCCCCAAGTATCTTCACTGTCTGATACTGATCGAGGCGCTGCATGTCTCTGGTGGTGGCCGGAGATTGCATCGAGGCCTCGCCGCCTTTTCCGATCGGGCGGGATGGCGGAGGCATCGCCATGGCAGGGAAATTGGGATTGGGGGGAGGAGGATTGGAAGCGCTGGGACGACGGTCACGAGGGCGATCGGCTTCGAGAGGATGGAGAGAGACTGAGAGGTCTTCGTCGTCAAAGGCGGCAGCCATTGTGACCCTTTTGGGGGGGAGGGAATTAGAGCCGACGTCGGTTCAGCGAGTTCGGGGGAGGGTGTGGGATGAAGGACAACGTGACGTGATGGATTTTGGAGCGGAGAAATAGAAAGAGGGGAGCTTCCGAGTTTCTGTTACGAAGGAGGAACAGTTCTCCTTGGTAAGTTTTGCAGAAGCCAATAAGGACTGGTAGGATAGCGATGGTAGACGGGTTGCACTCCCCCACAATCTGGCTCAAGTGGAGTTGGGATGGGTTGGGCGGGCGACAAGAGAGGTCGAGGACGGACAAGAATAGCAGCGAGCTGTTCACCAGTTGGCCGTTGTTCCTCGGCGGGGCGGAAGGAGGGGCGGAAATGGTAGGTAAAATCGAGCGAGCTCTTTGGATTTCTGCGTCACTGGAGGTTGGTGGGCAGAAGTGATGAGTCGAGTCAGGAAGCAGTTGATCAGCAGGAATGTAACCCTCTGCAGTCTGGAGAAGTCAGATTATGAGCGACACGGTCAGAAAGAGGGGGGGAAATCTCGAGGTAAGGAAGTATACAGCGGAGCGAGCAATGGGTGATTGGTGATAATGAATGACAGTAGGTAGACTCAAAGAGAGGATACGTACGGTATGGTAACTTTGGAAGCATCTCCGGAACCTCGTTTCTCCGTGGAGCTAAGCCCTCTTCACCTTATCTATATACACATATATGACTGTCAACATGCAACTCGGAAAGCTGCAATCAACATATATGGAGCTGTGGTGTTCCTCGATGGTGTTACTTGGGAAGAAAAGCCAACACCTTGATTACTTGTTTCACATCTCCCCAAGAACAAGAAGGAAACTCATGGCCTCAAATTATGCTGTTCATATTATATATAAACTGACTAAAACAACCTCTCCAGAAAGGTGTCAAAGGCTATAAATACATGATTCCTTTTCTTCAAAACTTGCAGTCCTTCCAGTAGCTCCCGAAAAACCAAAAGAGCCGAATTTTGGAATGACTTGCTCTATCCCACTAGCATACCTGTTCTGAACATGAGCCCAGCCGAAGCTTGGCGCCGCCGCCGCCGCCGTCAAGTGTAAGTGGGGGAAGCTCCGATGGCCGCGTGAATGATCTCCCCTCCCCTCACCCCAGGACAGCTTCTCTCTCCACCGTGAGCAATACCCTTGCTTGTCTTGAGGTCCGGCTCAATCTAGCCCTCACATCGCGTCAATTGCTTAGAGTTTCAGCTCTACTGCCAACCTAGATTGGATTTTGTGTCGTCGTCGTCAACCGGGACCTCGGGATGGCCGCCGAACCGACAGAGGAGGAGATTGCGAACTTCGTGAACTTCACCAGCTCGTCGCGCGAACAAGCCATCAGCTTCTTGAAAGTCTGTACCCGCGCCTCTATCATATGCTCACAGCTAACTAGAGCTCTTGTGCAGGCTAACAATTTCAACTCAAATCAAGCGATCAACGCCTATTTTGAAGACCCGACCGGCCCTCTGACGCAGGTGATGAACCGCAGTTGCGCCTGGACACTAGGAATATGGACTGACTTCAAAATCCTCGCGATCTAGGGCACTCAATATCAAGATGACCCCGACATGTCTGGTGAGCCTCTTTCTCCCCCAAGGTCGAACTCGTGTACTGATGTTTTTGTTCTTGAAGCGTTTCAAATCGAGCACGTCGAGTCGACGTATGGCCCTGCTGCCGGTCCTCCATCCCGTCCTCCCCCATCCCGACCACCCTCAACACTGAACCTGAGATCATCGAGCGGCCCTGCATCTACACAAAATAATGCTGGTGAGAGTCTCCTGCCTGGATGGAGAGGACACGGTCCTTTTCGTGCGGTGTCGAGCTGACTGGATTCGTTAGCCGATAATGGTAAAGGACTGTCGCTGGCCGAGCAGGAAGAACGTGAGCTACAACAAGCGGTCGCCATGTCCTTGAGTCAAAACCTTGGGCAACAGGAGACAGGTGTCACGAAAGCGGGGAATTCGAGCTTCAATCGGGCAACCCGTGATCACTATGACGAAGGCGCCTGGGCGATGACGCTTTTCAACTCCAGCGCTCATGAGATTATCATCAGCCCTGACCCTGCTGACCGCAAACGACGAGAAGATGAGCCGGCTTTCATTCGCCCGTCTCAGGAGAGCACATATTTAGGCGGATTGTTGACAATACTTCAATCGATCCCTCTCGCAAGGGAGGCTCTTCTCCTGCGAAATCGATCTCTACCCAACTATGGCCACGATCCTCAATGGTGGAATGGGCAGCCGATCAATCTACCCAAAATAGTAACCATGGTAGATGCGCAGGAAGGCGATACCGACTGGGATGATATCATTTACGAAGCTCAGAGGCTCGTGGCATTCTTGGATAGCACGACGCGTGCTTTTGGAAGTCCCGATGCGTTGGCGGGTTTGAAATGCATTTCCCAGTACGATCGCGAAAGTGCCGTTCCTAGGTTCTTGGAGGCATGGCAAGAAGCAGCAGTCCGCGCGGATCCAGGAAATCAGCTGGGGACCATATTCTCGTCGACTGGCTACAGAGAACCGCTGACAGAAGAAGACAACATGGACCAGAAGGAGTTTCTCGTACTTGAACCTTTTGTGGAACACGACCCTGGCCAGACACTCTATGACGTTCTTGATCGCGCCTTGTGGTGCGATAGATTAGATCAGCCGCTCGCTGACATTTGGCTTGAAAATGTGGCTGAGGTACTCGTTATGAAGCTCGGAGGCTCACAGAAGCCCGTTGACGTGATCATCCCCTCTGTGTTTTATGCAGACCGGTACCTGGCACAAAGCAGAGAGGTTGCCCGCGATTTTCGCACACGGCGACTCCAAGCTTATGAGAAGATCGACAAACTAGACAGGGCCATCAAGCGCTGCTCGCAATCTAAATTGACCGCCCAGACAGGCATGACCTCAAGAGACGTCCTCGAAAAAGCAGCCTCTGCTATAACCACGAAGTTCGCTGATTCAGCTCCAGCTGACATGGCTATTGAAGATGTAGCGAATGAATTAAGAGCAATGTCGGCCAGGATAGAGAAGCAGCTGAAAGGTAGATCTACAAGTTACTTATCTGTTTGGCATTGGTGCTAATAATGATGTGCAGGGCTGGAGGACAAAAGACAAAATATTAAAGACAGCCTGCGGGATTATTCCAAAATACTCACAGAAGCTTCGCCCGATGCAGAGCCACACTATAAATACACTTTGCGTGGTGTGTGCACTGAGCCCCATGTGGCCTACGTCCTCAGACGCCGTGATCAGAGCGGGTCAGAAAACAATGAACATACCACCACAGGAGAATATCAATGGTGGCGATTCAGCTTCTCTACTGAGGATGCGGCCATTCGTAAGGCGGAGTCGCTAGGACGAGACAAAAATGACTCTGACCAGTCGGATATTATCGGATACACCGCGCGCAAAGTTGACGAGGCCCAGGTGCTCAAAGCAGCTTGCGAAGAGTCGAACCAGGTTCTGCTTATCTATGCCAACAATAATGCAATGAGTATCCGAGAGGAACCAGTTCCTGCTGGATTACAGGTAAGAACGTGCCCCCAGCAATGGAAAAGTTCGCGGTTAACAATGGTTTAGGAATTCGTGAGGCGGGATAATGAAGCATTTGAGTCAGAGCTCCAGGACGCGGAAGTGGTACAAAATCAGCCAGAGACCCAGCATCATTCATCTGGCACTCTTGTGAGTTTTACTAAAACAAAGACATACAGAGATACAGGCATCGCTGACACCTATGGGCAGCCATCGCCAAACCCCGAGCAGGGCTATTCGACGCAGAATGTCAACGTCTTCGACTACCAGGTACCCTCTTTCAATGAGACAGAGGGGCCGGGCCAGGAGATGCAAGAGAGAGATGGGCGACCATTGCTGAGCCGTAGCAGCACAGCTGGTCCTGTGCAACCTCCCTCGGATGCCGAAATGTGGGATGCGGTCGACGACAAGGCGACGTGAGGACGAAATACCCCAACTTGTAATTATGGGTACACATATGATATGACATACTTCGATCTAGGTAAACTTATTTCATAGAGCTTGTAGTCTAACTAAAACCGAGAGCGGACACCCAGCCGTACGAATCAGATCAACCAATGGCGGGACCATTTGTTTGAGCTTCTCCACGTGCCTATTCTATTGTATGTCCGGTTTGCACTCCGCTGAGTCCGCTCTCTTTTCCCCAAACCACCCCGGAGATATCAACCACAAGTCGCGTCACCAACCTTCAACAAACCCTGCCTCATGACTCTCGATAATGACACAGTGGCTAGCGCCACCATTGAGCTCCTGGAGACTCGCCTCCGACGCCTCACATACCTGCTCACCGGCGACGCCAACTGGACCGGCGAACCAACGCCGCCCGCAAAGCCGGCCTCTCTAAGCGACAGCATTTCCAGTCGGCTTCTTCGCCTCGAAAAGGACCTCGAACAGCTGAGTCGGACCACCCCTGCCGTCAGGGACGTTCTTAGCTTACGTATGTCGAAAACCTCTTCTTCCTCTTCTACCTCACACCTCCAAGCCATACCCCCCGCGCCAATAGCATAAACGAAACCCGCCTCACTAACATTACATACTACTCCAGATGCCCGCTTCCCTGAACTCTTTCACCCAGCTCCCCCCGGCTCCCTCCCAGAGAATCTGACCACGCAGAACCTGGCCTCAGTCGTCCTGTCCTACGCCTCCGCGTACCCCGAAACCGCCTCCCGGCTCTCCTCGTTAAACGACCTCCCCATCCCCGACGCGGAGGCCTCGGCGTCCCTGATCCAACTCCAACCCCGGCTCGACCAGCTATCCAGGATACAGGATGAACAGGCCCGGCAGATCTCGGAGTTACGCGTTCGGTCGGCGAAGGCGTTGCAACGGTGGTATGAGGTCGCGCTGGTCAGCGGCGGCGAATGCTGGGCGGAATGGGAAGGAAGGCTGGAGGATGTGGAGAGGGAGGTGAGAAGGGAAGAGGTGGTTCGGGAGAGAAGGGAGAAGGAATTGTGAATATACTGTGGTGCGTTTGTTGATTAGCGTTCTTGTGGGCTTTTTGTGATACCATTGTTCTTTTGTTTTGAACCATTTCCTTTCCTTGCTATATACTCTTGATGGAGTTTTCGAGCTAGTTAGAGTCTCAAAGCATCATGTGAGGTTATGTGGATGTGCACTGAACTCCAGCATTCTAAAAGGGTATTATTGTTAATAGAAGCACAAGCATATTACTAAATCACTACCAGAAGGACCTGCTGCCTGCACTGCATTGTACTACACTACCTACCTGCACTGCATTGCATCGTTGAAACAGACCGACAAATCTTGGGAGGCGAACAAGCAGCGAGCGGCATTTGGGGTTGGTGCCTGCAGGCTACGCCATGCAACAAAGACCGGAAAACGGGCCTGGACCCAATGCGAAAGAGCCGGCGGCGAAGCACGGAGATCAGGATCGACCCTCCATTCGGATATCGGAAGAAGAAATTGAAGGACGGGGCAAGAGGGGTCTCTTAAGTTTTTAGATTGACTTTCCGTGCACTGCAGTCTTTTCACTTTCGGGATGAGGATCGGGTTTCAATTCTAGCCCCAAATGTTGTTGCATTCGATGTGCTTTGCTTTTTGCTTGACCCTTTAGCCTACCCTGGTCCCCACGGGTTACGAGCTCTTATTTGCCATGAGATCTTCTGACCCTTGCATCATGAAGAGTGGGAACGAGACCGACCAGTGGAGAGAGGTCTGGAAGGCAAAGCAGGTGGCTGCTGTTGCTAGCCTCTCCCCCGAGTCTTCCCCGAGGCTTTCTGATTCTTAGCTGTCCAGAAGTTGAAGGAGTCAGGGCTGACGGTGGGCCATCCGGAAAGTGATGACAGCTCCCAGGTTTCTGTGTAACATTTCGCATCAAGCATTGGCTAATTATGGCCAACGCAGCAGAATCCCGGGGATCTACGGAGGAAACCGGTGTCTTACTCTCGATTTCTTACCACCGTTTTTCCGGTTGGTGGTGTTCGTTTCTCTGTTGTTGATTATCCCCCTGTGCTAGGTATATAGGAAGGGTGTCTGCAGGTTCAGCCTTGCATTGTCCGACTTTGCCGTTTCCAGCAGTGCATCGCGGTTCGTTGAGTGGGATGTTTGGGCTATATTGCTCTTGAGACGAACCATAGCGTCGGATACGGGCATGGGACTTTGAAGGGGATCGAAGTTCTTTGGTTGTGGCCTTGCACCTTGGGGTCCTCGTACTGATAAGCTGAGTATAACCCGATAAACAAACTATGTCGGCATTGAAACTAGATGGGCCAGATTATTCCGTAGGGTTCTGATTGATTAGTTAATTAGCAGTCAGTTCTGACAAATGACTGTAGGTTGAATGCAAACAGTCAAACAGTAGAATCAAAGTTTGAACGGCTCATTCCATCTCTATCTTAAAAATATGACCGGGAGATGATGCAAACCAAACTTCGAGTCGAACCAAAATCTGGAAGGTGGATATATGTACAGTACCTCAGTAGGTAGTGCGTGTTTCAAGTGTGTTTCTCAAGCCACAGGCCACAGGTTAAACCTCAGCCTCGAAGGGGCCAGACGTCCTCCGTGCCTTGCGACCGAATCCACTCGCGTGGCTACTCTACTTTAGTCTAAAAAAGAAAAGGCGAGAGAAGGGCAAAAGCCGCCAAAGAATCATCAATCATCATGGGCGTTGCGTGTGTCGTGCCGGGGCCCTTTTTTTCCCCCTTCCCCCCAACCGGGATTAGACGGACCCAGGTTTCATATAGGAATGTGCATCGATCTTCGGGTTGAGGAGCGTGGGCAATTACGGAGGAGCCCTCTTTCATTTTCTGACAGACTTGCCCCCCTCTCCCTCTCTCTTGACAGGCCTCGATTGCCAATCGACTTTTGGAACTTTGGGGAGGAGGGGACGGGGGAAGTGACATGGCAAATCTTGCCCTCCCCTCCCACTTTTATTATCAAGTTGGTCAGTGGTCAAGTAGTCTAGATACTTTGTTTTGAGAAAGAAGAGAAACGATCATGTGGTAGTCATTAATGGAACCATGGACTAGGATTGGGCAGGTACCAGGTTTGGCCGGGTTCTGGCTTATGCCAGCGATGGACTTGCTTACTATAATTGTTTCGTCAACAATGAAGCAGTTTAGCAGTCCAAGTGGACACTGGACACTGGTACGTAGGCATAAGAATAGTAGCAGTAGTGAAAATCGAGTGTGTGCACGAGTCACGGGCATTTGACTAGCCGTTCTCGAAGGGGCCAAACTGCCTACAAGAGTACAAAGTACAATTGCAGTCAGTCTTTTTTTATTTTTATTTTTATTTTTTCATTTTCTTTGCGGGTTTCGCGTGGAGCCATGAGGGGCCTGAAAATGCCTGAGGTGGTGATGAAACGGGGCCAGTCCGACAGATCATCACCTCTCATTGGCTGGTTCTCTCCCGCGCCATCAGTCAAAGCCGCCCCCGTCCCTTCAGGAAGTTCAGGTACGACGACAACTAAAAGATGTACTAATGGAAACTAAACCAGAATGGAACTGTTAACACGCAGCCTGAGCCTGGATGGAGTCTGTCCGTCCGTTATGTAGATGTCTTACGGGGTAGTTTCTGAGTGTGTCTTGACTGTGCCTCTCTCTCTCTCTCTCTCTCTCTTCTCTTGTCTCTTCCTCTCTCCTTTTCCTCAGGTCTCCATCGAGTCCCATCCCAACTCTGAACAGTCGACTAACTAACTAACTAACTAACTTTCACCTCTAGCTTCTCTCCACGGCTCCAGGTTCCCGGGCTTCAACCTTACTCTATCTGCTTTCTTTCTCATCCTCTCTTTCTCTCCTCAACCTCTCTCTCTCTCTCTCTCACATTCCCTCTCCTTGGATTGTCTATTCCCCTCCCCCTCCCCTCCCTATCAACTTCATTCGTTTGACTTCATTTCCCCTCATTCCAGTCTCTCTCTCTTTCTCTCTTTATCTCTTTCTTGCCCTCTTCTATCTTTTTGTCCTGTCCGTCCCATCCTGTTCGGACACTAACGTTTCAACCTTATCCTTTCGTCTCCAGCCTGGTGCTGCTGTTTCTCGTTCGGCCTCTGCAAGGGGTGTGTGCTCGTTGCACTTCCTCCAACAATACCTCGACCCCAGTCTCTTCTGAGGACCCTTCCTCACGTCGCTCTTTGGATCAATACTGCACCGGTCTCAAGACTGTCCGTATCAATTGCGTTCCTATTCCGATCGCCAGCCGCATCGCATCATTCGACCCTCATTTCACTTGGTCTGTCTCAGAAGTATGTGATGCATCACCCTTCCGGGCACTCGTTAAATTATGATTTACCTTTGATCTTTTTTTAACCCTTTCACGCTCATGTCGGCTGCTCTTTTTTCCTTTCTGCATGACTTGGCTCGGATGGTTCGTGTTGTGGTCGTGCCTCATCATGTCCTCCGCCGACCGTTGCCGATCGATTGACTTACATGTTTCTTTGGACGCTCACGTTCGCCTTTCTACACTTTTGGCTGACTGCGCTGTAGTCCCATCCCTATATCCGTGCTTCCATAGCCACAATCTACGATCGTCATTTCGCCTGTTCGCATTCCACTTTCTCTCACGTTACGGATCAAAGCAAAGGGAACCTGCCGTCGCTGTGCCGCATACCACCAATGAGAGTGAGGTCATAAGTCGCATCGTATCGCCTTGTGAACAACAAATCATCGCTCCAAGGACCATCATATAAAACCTTTGCGACTCGGAACCACATTCATGGTGGCATATTCCTCCCATTCGTTATCGCTTCACAAACCACACCCATATCCAGAACCTACTCGCAAAATGGCGCGCTTCAGACCCAGCAATATTCTCGGCGACCCGTTCGCACTCGCTACTACTTCCATCTCCGTCGTACGTGTCCCAGCCTCGTGGATTTATCTCCCCCCTGGATACCGGCTAATTACCACTTCAATCGCTTAGTTAGCATGGTTGATCGCGTTCATCTCTTCGATTATCACCGGAATTCATGGCGACTATCCTACCTATTCATGGTGGGCCTTGGCCTATGGGTTTTGCATAATTTCTGGGATGGCCGTCGTGTTTGGGACGGATACGGGCGTGGTCTATAACATCGCGGTATGGCTACTTTGAACGGCGTTCACGAGGAGCCCTCAGGCTGATTACTTCTAGATTGTGGGCTATCTATCCGCTGGTCTTGTCTTCTCCACGATCTCAGTGAACTCGCTTGTTTATTCGAGTAATGCAGCCTCGCAAGCTGCGGGCGCAGGATTTATTCTTCTGTCCATGGTGATTGTGCGTTAACTGCCTCACAGTTGACTCGGCAAAAGTTGAGAGACGGTCATATGCTTACAGTGGTTATAGATCATTTGGATCTTCTATTTCGGGTCGAGCCCCCAGGCGTCTCACCGCGGATTTATCGATTCATTCGCCCTGCAGAAGGAAGGCGCCGGCTCGTACGCCAACAGCAGACCTATGTCTACCGCATTTGGAACCCGGCCCGAAACAACCTCGAGCCAGCCGCCCCAGATGTACACATCAGCTCAGCTCAATGGCTTCGAGACTTCGTCACCTGTCTCGGGCTACCATGGTGGAGCCCCCGGATCTGAACACCGCACCTCGCAGCCCCGCTTCGGCAACCCGTCAGCAACGAACCTTGCCCCGCCCGGCAGTGGTGTGCCCCCCGATGAAGTTCCGCAACCAACCGAGTATCCGTACCGCGCAAAGGCAATCTATTCTTACGAGGCCAACCCGGAGGACGCGAATGAAATCAGCTTCACCAAACACGAGATTTTAGAGGTCTCTGACGTCAGTGGGAGATGGTGGCAGGCCAGAAAAGCCAATGGAGACACCGGTATCGCTCCATCCAATTATTTGATCCTGTTGTGATCATTCTGTGTGTTGAGTCGACTATATGATCGTGTTAGCTCGGCATAGGGCCCGTCACGGTGTAACGTCCTTTCTTTCTGCTATTATCTGGTCTGGTTCTCGCCTTCTTGGCTCGTTGCGAGAAGAAAAAGAGATCTTTTTGTTTTGATACCCTTCGAGTTGTATCACTCGGCGCGAATCTGGTTTGTGAATCTATGTTCATGTCTTGATGGCTTTCTGTTGCCTGTTCTTGTTTGGATACTTCTTAAGACACATCTCATTCCTTGTTTTTATAAGTGTGTGTTGACTCATTGGCCCATTTTTTTTTTCTATATGTCCGAGCGAGCGTCTCTGCGCAAGACCTACTCCCTTGCACCTATCACTGGATTCGAGGATGTTCCAAGATGGTGCTCTATTTCTTATACATCTCAATGAAACCTCAGATTGTATATTTTTACTGAACCTTTTCGGGGTCGCCTGAAGGCAGGCGCAAGACTTGCAAGTCGTTCCTTTCCTATTTATTGGTGGATTGACCACCGGCTTTTGGAGGGGCCATGCAGGGTGAAACGATCGTATCTGTCGTGAATATTTTCCTCATGTTTCAATTAAACTCTACTAGGCTTCGAGTGCGATTCTAACAATGGGCCAGGTAGTAGTGCGCAGTCCAGGAGCGATAAGTTCTCTACTCGCGGATGATCGGGGTGTCAACCACGTGCGCAGGCCGGAATCCATCCCACTGGGCTGCCGGTTGGATGGGCAATTGGCTTGATTTATACTTGGGGTCAACCTTGTTTGAAGATGCTTGATTATGTGATTTGCATGGGACACCTTCCAGCCTAACTCATCCAGGAGGGAGTTTCTCATATCAATGTCCGTTCTCGTCTTAGTGCCGGTGCTGCTCCATCGCCCGTTCTTCCAATGATGGGCCTCGTTTCCCGAACCAGCGGATGGCGATGGTCGGGCCAAAACCCCGACAATCGCTCCAAACCCTTCCCCCATGACTTTCACCGTGTGTTATCGCTGGTTGTATCGTGTCGAAGATGATGGTGGAGCATTCATCGAGGAATAGAGAACATGACGAAATTTTCTTCGCTCGAATCTTGTGGAATCTGTCTGTAGACATCTTCTCCCACTCCCAAAAAGCTGTTTCTTCTACTCGCCGCCGGTCAAAATTGCTCTGGTTATAGTTCGGTGTCCTTGATACTTCTTATATCCCTTCATCTGCGGTTGATTCAGAACTACATGTCACTATGGCTGGAGACGGCAATGTCACGGTGGCCTCCAATGTCCTGGGCACCATTGGGACAGTACTCTGGTGCATCCAGTTGATTCCGCAGATTTGGTATAATTGGAAACAGAAGAAGACCGAAGGGCTTCCGCCCCTGATGATGTTTCTCTGGGCTGCTTGTACGTCAATAATCTCCCCCAGCGGCCCTGCTTCTCTTAGTGCCGACGACAGATGGTAATGGTATCGGTACAGGTGCGGTTCCCATGGGAGCATATATGATTCTCCAAGGAGTGAACATACCGCTACAGATTCAGCCACAAGTCTTCGGCTTCTTCTCTGTGGTCAGCTGGGGTCAAGTCTTGTATTATGGCCAGTAAGTTCTTTGGATGTCTTCTTCGCCGTTGCTCGTCTAACCAGCCTGGTGTCGCAGTCAATACAGTCGCCTCAAAGCCACTGCCGTGGTAATCGGCACCTCGATCTTATTCGGTGGCATCGAGGCTCTCTTGATCCTCACCCTTAGAGCACGTGGAACCCGAACGACCCTCGCAAGTGGGCAGCTCGCTAATTGCCATGCAACCCACAGATCCCGTACAATAAAGGAGTAACCTGGCCCGACCTGATCGTCGGCATTGTGGCCGCAATCCTGTTGGGATTGGGACTTATACCGCCATATTTCGAGCTCTGGAAGCGCGATGGCCGAGTAGTCGGATTCAGTGAGCTTTTTCGAGAACTGCAACCAGAGCTGTGGCTAATCTGTCCTAGATTGGGTCTTCTTGTCGATTGACACGTTGGGCGGGTTGTTTTCCCTTTTCGCTTTGGGTAGGTCTGCCTATTTTTCGGGGGAAGTGGCGTTGGGGATGTCCTCTGGGGATGGGAGGCTAACTGCTGGCAGCGGCGCAGGGTTCGTTTGATGTTCTGGGAGGGATCATGTACATTGTTGTGTGAGTTGCTTGCCCCGTTTCTTCTTCGGTATAGGGTATCGAATTGAAACTGACCGTGACGGGTGGTGGACAGCGTCTTCTTGGAGTCGGGGATCTACATCAGTCATATTATTTGGCGGGTACGATACCGCGCAGTGCGGAAGGAGGCGAAAGCCACGGGCAAGAGTATCGATGAGGTGCTTGAAGAGCGTTCTCGGTGCTTGGGCGCTCCTGATGTCGAGAACCCAAAGGGGGCCGTTGTTGGCTCTTCTGAGAGTCAGCAGCAGAGTGGGTGCGATTGAGGTAGGGGTCGAGAAGGTGTGCCATACCCTGGCAGCGCGGTCAAGATGTACCGTATATATTTGAAACCCTGTATAGACACCGGTTCTGTCTGATTGGCGAGACGGCTCTGAACTCTATCTATATCTCCTGACCGATCGCCCTGTGACCCGATGCAACTAGTCTTGTGATATAAAAGCGTACATTGATTCAAATGAAGAAAAAAAAATCTACTGCAGACGATCCAAAGGGCCCAGACCAGGTGGTGCGAGTCAAGAGCCGCATTGTTGTTGCTATCGGTGTAGAAAGACCAGGGAAAATAGTTTCGGCCGGTGAGAAAGATAGCGATGCCGAGATGCAGGTGCATGCATGTAGATGTATTGACAGACCGATCGATGGTGCCTAATACGGGGTATTGTGTAGGATTGGACAATGATTGACTTGCAGCCGGTAGGTCGATGCACACTAACAGACTGATCGCAGAGCGAGCCAGCGATAGAGGATGAAAAAACATAGTCCACGACGGACGGTGAGGCCGCATACTACTCTGTATGTATGTACTGTACTACTTTTACTACGAACCAGCAAGTCAGTGCCAACGAAGCGTGCATGGAGGCCCGGCCCTGACTGAGGCTGGAGGAGGAGGAGAGAATCAGAACTCTTCGTTCCCTCATGAGTCCTCATATCGTTTATTAATATTAAACTGTTCGAGAGCCCGGCGCTCACTTGGGCCCAAGCGCTGGAATTGTTCTTTCTCGAACCGATTTCATCATACTAATCTATTTTAAATTAGCTAGGTACAAGACAAGTAGGTTGTTGTCCCCTGAGCTGGGTGAATCTCAACGGTGGGTTCATGACAGGATTTCTTTTCTAGATTTACTTTGCCTGCCTACATGCTTGCTTGCTTGTCTTCCTTCCTTCCTTCCATTCTTCCCCTCTCAACTCCCCTCCTCTCTCTCTCACTCTCTCTCCTCACACACACTCTCTCTTTTTCTCTCTTCAACAAGACAACTACCAGCAAGTCACAAAGTCACAGACACATGAATTGAATCAATTGCAGTTGTTGGCCGACGTCCTAGATTTTGTTTGCCACCAGATCGTGCCACCACCTCCGCTTATCCTCCTCGCTGGTCACTCTCTTTAGCCCGAACAGCAGAGAACGAAGCTAATCCGGTAATCGACTAGAGCGCCTGTCGTGCCTCATTGACTGGTCATTGGCAGAGATTAACACGAGAGAGAAAGAGAAAGAAAGAGCTTCTTCTTCTTCTTCTTTTTCTTCCTCCTCTTCTTCTTCTTCCTCTTCTGTTCTGGACTTAACTGTCTTCCTGTTCTATCTCTCCTCTCCTCTCTACCCTCAAAGCCATGACGAGTGGCTTCACTTCTGCGCCCCTTTACTCCTCGCCCTCATTGATGCTTGTATGCCAACTGAGCCCGCGGGGGACGCGGTGACCTTCCAGGGTCTGTTCCTTCATTCATCCGCTTTATCACACTCGTTCTTGTGTTTGCTTTTTTCTTTGGCTCTGGCGTGTGTGTTTCAAACATCCGTTCTCTTATCCCATCTAATTCTCCTTCCCGGCCGAAGACTTGTTGTGCCTGGCCATCCAACGGCGTCGGGCACCGTCTACGGAGTCAATTGGAGGAAGTTTTCAAAATTTCTTCTCTAACATCCCATGCCTTGTCACTCCTTTACAATTCCTTACAGCTATTGCTTAATCGCGTCATGCCCGACCATCGGTGGCTTCGACTGAAGGCGAAGCTCTGGCGGCGATCGTCGACATCCTCCGTTCCGGCCGCCACCACCGCCAGCACCGATGGATCTGCTGGGTCCAGCGACTGCAACTTCAGCTCCAGCTTCTCCCACCACGATCACCACCACCAAAACCAGCACCAGCACCACCACCCTCCTCCCTCTCCTCAACATCCCCACCACTACGGTAGTCCTCCGACCCCTTCGTCTCTCCCCCACGATTTCGCCAGTCGAGACAACCACAACCGTACCGACAACGACAACGGACAGCTGCAGGACCCATCGGCTAACGTTTCTCCGTCTGCCGATCAGCAAACTGCCCGCCGCGCACAATCCTGCCAGACTCTGTCTCGACCTCCCGACGACGACGGTCGCCCTCCCAGCCACCCGGTTGCTTCGGATCATCGTGATCCCCTAGCTTCTGCTGCTGTGGGCGACATTTCCCGGTCGCCGATCCCGAGTTCTAGCCGAGGACAGCTTGAAGCTCTTCTCGACGACACCCCAACCGCAAAGTCCCGGTCAGAAGATACGGTCGAAGAGCAACGCGAAGAGAATCGCCCGTCAACCATCCAGCATACGGGCGCCGCATCCTCCAGTGCATCCCGACATCCGCTGCAACGTAAGCCAGTCGATCGCACCTCATCCAGCAAACGTCCCACCTCAAGCCTGTGTTCGGAGCACGGTCATCCCCCACCCGCAACGAGTCTCGCCCCCGATCGCCTTCCCTCGCCGACCCCAACCCCTCCCCCTCCACCGAGCGGTCGCGCCAACTCCCCGTCTCTGCAGCTTGCTCTTAACGGTCCGGGCCCTGAACGCCTGGCATCTGCGCCTCCGGTGGTTGATTCCCAATTACCGGTATTAGATGCAGTTGCGGAAAATCCGTCCGCGGAATCCACAACTTACCAGGTCGTGACTTCGACAACACCTGCGCCCTTTCCAAAGCGCCCGAGTCTCGGTTCTCGTCGTCAGTCGCTGCTTGCGCCGTCTCATCAACATTTGATCAACAGCTTGCTGGACTCTGGGCCAACCGGTGAACCCGAGGGACTTGACAACGGTCGCTTCGCTACCTACGGGACAAGCATGGTTCGCAAGATTTGGGTCAAACGGCCAGGTGGGTCGGCCACATTGGTTCCCATCACAGACGACTTCGTGGTGGATGAGCTGCGGGACCAGGTTATTACGAAGTATGCAAATTCTCTGGGCAAAACCTTTGATGCACCCGATATCGTGGTGCGGATCTCGCCACGAGAAGGCTCCAATCGACAGACTACGCCAGATCGGATCCTGAGCCCAGAGGAGTCATTGCTTAATGTTGTGGACGCATATTATCCCGGAGGGCAAGTCATTGAGGAAGCTCTCATCATCGATATTCCTCAACGGCGCACGCCCAAACCGTCCCCGCGCCCTCAGGTTTACTATAATCAATCTGAGCCAGGCGAGCATGGCGATTACTTCCCCCTCATGCCAGCGAACCCTACGGTCCCTACACCGCCATCACACCCCAACAATTCTTCCGCCAGCGTCAACGCCCATCCGGCACCGTCGATATCGATTCTGACAACCGGTATGGCCCCTCCGCTGCCTTCGCCGGGAAGTCGCGCGAATCGACACCCGCGTCGGCCGCCACTCACTCGCCATACGACGAATTCCCCTACGATGCTAGGCCAGGTGTCAGCTCCGAAAGGTTCGTGCCTGTTTGAATTCATCACTGAAACGTGCATGGCCTCTTGCCCAAGACCTGCGTGCTGACGTTTATGCCTAGATCCGAATGGAGTACCAGGACCGCTATCCTCTCAGCCAGTGCCCTCCATTCCCACTCCTCCTGGTCCTCCCCCCGAGTCGCCTCAGGCCAAATCGCTCACACCGCCTGCGCGCGGAGCATCTCCACGGCCCCGTCCGTCTGCGCCGACCGCGAAACCGAAGAAACCAAGCGCGACACAGTCATTGAGTGGCGCGTTTGGTGGCCTGATTGAGGGCACTGTGCCACCGATCAACGTCTTGATCGTAGAGGACAACAATATCAATCAAAGACTCCTGGAAGCGTTTATGAAGCGTCTGAGTGTGCGTTGGAAGTGCGCTGCTAACGGCGCAGAGGCTGTGAAAAAGTGGCGACAGGGTGGTTTCCACCTGGTCTTGATGGATATTCAGTTACCTGTCATGAATGGACTGGATGCGACGAAAGAGATTCGGCGACTGGAACGGTTGAACGGCATCGGTGTGTTTCCCAAGACTGCTGATGGACGGGCCACGGCCAGTGTGACTTCACCACCAGCCAGCGATCCTCTGAACGAGGAAGACACCTTACACGATCTGTCTTTGTTCAAAAGTCCAGTCATCATCGTAGCCTTGACGGCTAGCAGCTTGCAGAGTGATCGTCATGAAGCCCTGGCGGCTGGCTGCAATGATTTCCTGACCAAGGTATGTTGTCTGGCTTCTTGTCATCCATCCTTTACTAATAGACGTTCCCCTACAGCCCGTGCGATTCGAATGGCTGCAGCAGAAGGTCACGGAATGGGGTTGTATGCAAGCTCTGATCGACTTCGAGGGCTGGCGCAAGTGGCGCGGCTACGCCAACGACAACTACTATTTCCCGCCGACGGAAAGTCATACAAGCCCCATGCAAACCGGACCTGATGTACCCTCGAAGGAACCATCTCCCGCTCACACCCAGTCGCCGACTTCCGCGCTCAGTCAAAATGGCAAGAAAGAGCGCAAGTCACTTCATCTTCCCAAACCCATTGATGTTACACCGGAGGATTCCTCCGGCAGCGGGAGCGGAGAGGGCCTGGACTCACCCAGCAGCCCTGTGACATCTGTCCCATTGTCGGGTACGCCAACTGATGCAGACGCACTCTGATGCAAGTCTGTGCTTTTCTTTCCCCTACAGCACCATCTATCGTACCGCCCACCCTTCCTCTCGTCCCCTTACAACCCTTTGCGCAACCAGCTAGTGTGTATATGTTGTGCCTCTGATTCACTGCATCTGCTATCTTCGTTGTACCCCGCAGCCACTTCGGTCTGTTAGTTCCCCGCGACTTTGTGTGTCTCTTCCCATGGATACCCAGCATAGCCATTGTTGCTCGCTCGATTGTTCTTTAATTGTGTTCTTTTCCGGGACGTTATCTACGTCCATCTATCATCATTTCGATTATTTCCTTTCCCGCCTCTTTGGCCTTCGATTCTTGATATCTCTTGTGTCAGGACCTGGGCGTCCCCGCACCCTATCTTTCTTCTCGTTTGACCAAAAAACCCCCCCTCCGACCCCTTGGAGAACACCCCGTTCTAATTCACCTCGTTTCCTATCTCGAGAACGGGAACCAGGGACGGACATTCTCACGCACACGGATGGAGAATGACTATCGTGCCCTGGGAATGGATTTCTTTTCTCAACCTGTGATCTCTTTCCTACCAGGATACTATACAAGTCTACGCCAGTACACTATATACAATATATATTTGCATATAACCTTCATCTCCATTTTCGTTGTAAGATTGACCGGACACAGAAAGGCAGTGAGGGAGTCGATGCTTGCATGTTGGATAGAGCTAGCTTCTATAGTTATTTCTCGTATTCTGCGCAGGTGTGCTTGCTTACTTGCTTGCTTGCAAGCCATGACATGACATTGTGTATATAGTATGATATGGCTGGCGGGTAAGCAGTCCTAACCTCCGCGCAAGCTGTGTCTCTATCTAGCTTGACTAACAGGTGAGATAGCCTTTCTGGCATGTCAACCTTGAGATGGAGAACCTGGAAACCTGCCGCCGGATTACCGATTTTCTGGTCATCCTTGGGGAATTATTGGAATCCGAACGGGCCAGGTTGATATCTTATTCATTCATGCATCCAAGAACCATGGGTTGATACAATCAAATATTACGCTGCATGCTTTACCATGCAACTAAGTTAGCATTACGAATGAGCTCAGACGCTGAAGTCTCGCCGCGGTATGAGATCCACAATCTTAGCGGAGCGAAGGGTTGTGCGCCAGCCGGTTACAGCGGACTGGAAAGACGACAGAACAGGAAGTATTAAGTATCATCAGAAATTATGTGATTGATTGATTGATTGCTTGGTAAGACCATCAGGTCAAAGATCTCGGATATTGGATCCCGTGAAGGTAAGTGGATGTAGATAGGTAGAGGATCAGGGATCGAAGAAAGGGAAAGGGGGAAGAAAAAACAAAGTGTATAAATACAATACTCCTGCTCAAACGAATCTGTGAAATAGATCCAAAGCCCATCCTGGGGGTGGTAAGAGAAAAAAAAAAAAAAAAAAACAAACCAGCAGGAGACAAAACAAAGCTGGGAAGAGACAAGACCACCAAGGTAGAATTACACACGCCTGTATGATACAGTTTCAACAAGAAACCCAGGACCCATCAATGGCATAAACCGATATATCCATACATTTCGTCTCGAGAAGATCGCTGGTGAAAAAAGGGGCCCCGGAGACGAGGGAGGAGCAGAGGTAGGAAAAGAGAGAGGATAAGAGAGAAATGGCAGAACTGAATGGATTTAGACCTTCACGCGAGTAGGGATCTTGACCTGGCCCTTCTTGCGATCATAGCTCGGGACACCATAGCGGTGCCCAGGAGCCTGGGAACCCCGGCCATTGGCACCAGTGGTCTGCGCGCTGACGACCGCATCTCTGAAGCGGAACTCAAACCGAGAATTCTCGGGCTGAACCTTGTGGATGGTCCGCTCCCGGCGCTGCTGGGCACGTTCCTTGCGCTTCTGGTCGACCTCCATCTCCTGGTCGAGCCGCTTGTAGTACTTCGTGCGAACCAGCCCTGGCTCAGTCATGCCGTGAGAGATACGGTTGCGATCGTTAGCGATCAGGTGGGGGTGGGGAATACGCGCGTCCGCAGGCAAGAGGACCTGTTGCTCGTCTTCGCCCTTGCCGACCGTCTCGATCTGGCGGAAGTCTCCCTGGGTAATCCGGCGGATGGTCTCGTCAGGTTCGGCCGCCATCCGGGCGGCATCCCGGTGGAGCAGAGCGGGAGCACCGGAGAATGCACGGCCAGCGTCGATACGGTTGAATTGCCGAGATTCGGAGACGGGGTAGAAGATTTGAGGGTCGGTCAAGCGGTGGACGGGAAGGTCATTAATGTTTTCGTGAGGGTTGCTTCTATATTCACGAGCATCATCGTATAAGGGGGTGGTGGGGACCATCTCGTGAATGGCACGTGCGTAGGGAATTGCAAGGGATTTGCCCTGGTAGAAGGTCCATTAGCTTTTTCTCTGGGAAACAGAGAGCGTGGACAAAAGAATCTCAAGAGAAGAAGGGGATTGATGCATGTCAGATTTAAAGGCGTTGTAACCATTCCCAGAAGCTGGGTCATAAAGACTAATCGATTTTATAATTGTCTCATCATTGCATCGGCGGAATGAATGTGGGTTGGGGAGAAAGGGAGAGAGATATAGAAGAGCAGAAGAAAAGGACGGGGAAGCAAGCCATACCTGCTCTTTCATCTTGTTTTCCAACTCGACTAGCCGAACCACAGCGGCTACTCTTCTCATGTCTACACCGAGTTCAACACTCACACCCCGCACACTCCTCTGCATCCTCACAACCCGATTGTAAATCTCGTTGCGCAGATCTTCACTAAGGATGGGCTCGCTGCGGAAACTCAGGTTCAGAGGAAAAGGCTTTTCCAGAATACCATTCGCATTTTTCTCATTGAGTTTGGGGTCCAATTTAGAAAGGTAATTGGTTTCACCAGGAGTATGATGCTTGAACTCTGAGCCTTGGGCGTTAAGCCATTTGAACATTTCTCTGCGACGCCTGGTCATTTGCGAAGCTCTCGTGGTAGAAAAAGAGCGTGATAAGGGCCGCGAAGAATGTGACAGAGAAGACGATGTGCACGAAGAGGTAAGTCTGGGAAGAGAGGCGGTGGTGGAGGATGTCGAGGAAGAAAGGCAGGGGATGAGGGAGTTAGAGACCAGCTGGTTCTGTATTCGTTGAGCCATCTTGAGATATAATTGTGCTATGGTCAAGGTATAAAAGATAGCAAAAAGAAAGCGGCGGAAGGGGATGAGGATGAGATTAATGGACGGGGGAATGAGAGAGGCGAAGTCCAATTGATCAGAGGGAGGGAGGTGGGGGGAGGGAGGGTGGTGGTGGTGAACAAGGCGAGGAGGGTAAGTGAATTATTGACAACGCTGGGAATGAGCAGAAGGAAAGAAACTTTTTCGAGAGAGACGGTTGGGTCACGTGTAGCACTTGCCCAAATAGGCAAGCGTCCCTCGGAGCTGAGCATCGGAGCTGCCGCTCCCCTCCCCTCAGCCCTGAGATCTATCAAGGTAGTCCTGTCCTGTACATAAGATCCTACATTGTACGTCCATTACCCTGCGACCGGATCAAACTCACTAATAGCAATCACATCATATTCGGGGAATCTGAAAAGGAAGATAAGAGAGGAAAATGATAATACTAGACAAGCCTCTTTTTGCACCTCCCTATCATTGAGTTCCGAGTTCCCGTTGGCGCATCAAAGCAAAGTGATCCAAAACAAAAGCTAGAAGCAGAGATGTCCCACTGGCCAAGCCCGAGCAATGTCCATATATCAAAACATGACGCTGTGAAAAGAAATGCAAAAGAATAGAGAAACTAATATAGAGCCATGTGCGAGGATGCAGCAGCTAGCCAACAGTAGCCTTCCAGAAGTCTTAAGTGTATACCCATGTCAACGCCTTGCCCCAATACCAAAGATTGGTGGGTCTGATTGGACTGGCTCGGGAAAATGCACAAAAAGAGGAGCAGGGAATCGATCAATGTTTAGCCAAAAAAAAGATAAAGAGAGATAAGGGAAAAAAACAATCAAAAATTAGATCGCAGAAACACAGACTCGGGGTATGAAGATTGCGCATAAAACGAGACAACAGGAACTTGATCAATGTAGAATCCTCACGCACATGCAAGATCCTTCTCCAGAAATAAGCAGACATGTAAGCAGCAGCGCCCCTATTCCCATGCTATCAGAGTGTGCGATATGAAAGCAAAAACACGAAAATCCGCACAGAACCCAGGGCCCCCGAATCCTTACTCCGAGGAAGAAGGTGACCCTCCAAATGCTGATCTAACTTATAAAAACAAGAGCAAAGTCCGAATACGCCAGGTAGCCGAATGGTCATCAAGCATCGCGGACATAGTGTTCCACAAGAACGTAACATCTTTCTTTCTGCCTCTTAACGGCCCATCATATAGTCCGGATAGGAGAAATTGAACCCTCCCAGATTAGGCGCCCCGCCGGTCAGTGGCGGAGGCGGTGAGACCATCGGAGGGATAGAGTTGGTCCGAATTCCAAGGCCCGGGTTGGGGTTGGGGTTGAAAGCGCCGTTGGTAGGGATGGGAGCATGCAAATTGCCGGCGGGATGAATAGGCCCGTTGTTTCTCAGCGCCATGGGTGGAGCGAGTCCAGGCGGCGCTGACAATCCCGGTGGTGGACCACTAACCGTAGAGAACACATGGCTGCTGTGAATTCCACCTAGGCTGCTGCCTCCAGGCACACCGCCTTGGGAGGTCATGGTGTTCGAGGCGCTCATGGAGCCCGGTTGCCCGGACCGTACTCCCAGGGGGTTCTTTGAGAAGCTTAGACGAATCCCGGTCTTGATACTGTTGGACAGCTTGAATCCATATAGCTCATTAAGTGCTTTGCCGGCAGTGCCGACATCGTCAAACTCCACAAAGCACATGGGACCGTTTTGTTTGTTTCGGAAGCACAAGCGTTTGTAACCGCGCTGCTTGGAGAATAAAGCCTTGAGTTCTTCCTCCGACGTATCCGGCGGAAGATTACCCACATATAGGGTGTTGCAGGGCGGATTCATATCGTTCGGATTCGCGGCAGGCAGGCTGTGGCGGTGCATATGCGGATTACCATACGGGAAGCCATGGGAAGCCCCGATATTATTGATCGCCTGCGGGTAGGTGGATGCGGGAGTGGGAACTGCCATATGTGTCGTATTCTGTGGCGTATAGCCCTGAAGCGGTGGCGACGACATGTTGGCTGTAAGGGACATGTTGGCAAACTGATTGCTCAAAATCTGGGGATTAGTTGCACGGCGTCCGGCCGAAACTGCACCGGAATGGCCGTTTTCGGCATAGCCAACTGGATCCTTGAGAAGTTCGCCCGTATCTTCGTCAATATCTTGATCAATCATCGATTTGCCACTGACACGAGGCAGTTCAGGGACCCCGTTTCCGAGCGGTGACTGCGGGGAGAAGATGCTGTGCAAGCGAGAACCCGAATCTGGTAGACCATCACTGCTGGAAGGTCCAGAAGTCGTGTTGAGTTTCTCGAGAGTTTGAAAGGTTCCGTTGAACCGCGATGATTGCCGCGACAAACCCCCATTCACACCTCCCAGCAGGCTACGGGTTGCAGTGTGATCGATAGTGTTCCGTCTGGGTGCCAAAGACGATCCAACCGAACCAGTAAGCACCTCCACAATCATAGTAGCGTCATTTTTGGAGTTCGGTTTTCCATGGAGCAGAGCACGCGCCTCTTCGGCAGCGGCCAGCGTGCCAAAGCGCGCGAACGCACACAGGTATCCATTATCTTCCGGGTAATCCGAAGGTATGAAATCAGCTTCCACGAGATCTTTCGCGAATAGCAGCATGCTGCGCAAAGCTTCGCGACTGGTGTTGCGCGGCAGCTTTCGCATCAAGATGACCCCACCACCAGATCCATTGGCCGGACGGGAGAAGCCATTCAGCGTCTGCGCCGAATCAGCGAAGCGCATGGTGGTTGCAGCGACGGTGTCAAAGGAGGATGAGGGCCCGATCGGGGAGAAGGGGTGAGTGAATGTAGGAGCTAGCGACGAAGAGGCCTGCGACGAGGGCGGATTGTACACGTCGGTCGACATCACATTCTGGGCCGTCGACGGCGGCTGAGAAGCTGAGAGCGACTGGTGAGTCGGCGATGCGCCCGAGGACACAGAAGGGGTGCGCTGAGTGGTGCTGAAAGAGCCGGGACTCGTGCGGGTTGACTGGTTTGAACTGCCACTCATGCCTTGCGGAGGGATAAATCAACGTGTCAAGTCGACCGATTAGTACCCCACGAGCAAACACCGTGAGCACGGGGCACTTCAGAAAGGTAAGGGAGTGAAAGTCAAATGGATGACAGGCGACACCGGCTGGATAGAAACCCAGCAATGAATAAGAATTAGGAGCTGGGAAACGATGCCAGGGACTTATCACGTATAAGTGACCTAGTGACAGATGATAGTCCAAGATAGATGATATGGTCGATGGGTGCGATAGACTGAAACGCGCGCGACGGGACTAGAAAGGCTGCGTTCGGCCGCGTTCAGGAGGCGATAATGCGACAGAATGAGGGATCGATGGCGACGACACAAAGACTGAGCTTTAAGCGGAAGCTGGATAAATGCACGATAACCAAGTCGATGTAAATGATGTGAAGGAGTGATTGTATGATACCGATGAAGGACACTAATAGTAGTGTAGAGGAAAGTTTATGTTATTGGTGGGGTGGTGGGTGACAAGTGTGAAAGGGAAAGAGGCAGAAAGAATATGAGGCAGAGACGGGGAGGGAAGAGAAGGGAGTGGAGGGTGGGAAGAAGAGATGACGAGTATGAGCCAAAGACGGGAAGAGGGAGTGGGAAGGTGAGTAAGGAAGAGGGAAGAGGGATTACTCGGGAGACCGGGGGGAAGGATAAGGTTCGGTTTTGGGGGAGGGAGGAAGGAGGAGGAAGAGAGAGGAGGGAAAATGCAGGGAATGAGTGGGTGCGGACAGAAAAGTAAGAGAGAAAGAGAGGAAGAAAGCAGGCTGGAAAAGAGGAGGGGGAGGGCGAGTGCTCGTTAAGTAGCAGTAGTAGTAAAGTAAGTAAGTAGTAAAGTAGTAGTAAAAGTAGTAGTAAAGGTAGTTCAGCACTGATGTTGGGGATATTGCAAGTAAACGTCGACTATTTCACCCAAATCACAACAAGAATGACTAGCAAAGTTATGCTCAGTTCAGTAAGTAAATTCAGCATCAAACAGAACCGATGGAAGCTGGCTATGATGAAGGTGAAACTGGAACGACGAAGATGATGATGGTGATGATGACTGACTGGGGTGGGAAGGAGAGGAAGGAGAGGAAGGTTACTAGTCACGGAACAATGACCGTAAAGGAAAAAATTGACCTAAAGAGAGAGTGAGTGAGAAAGGAAGAGAGAGAGAGAGAGAAAGAGAGAGAGAGAGAAGAGAAGGGAGGGAGGGAGAGAGGGAGTGGCAGTCCAGTCCGTCCGTCCGTCCCAAGTAAGTAGAAGGCCGATAATGAATGGATGGATGGATGGATGGAGGGGTGGTGGATTACCTATGGAGAGTTCGAGTCCGGAACGGTCCTTTGGGTTTTAGGGGGGGGATGATGGGGAAGAGAGATGTGGTGGTGGTGGTGGTTAGTGGTGGTGGTAGTAAATGGAGCCTGCCTGAGAGAACGGAAAGACAGAACAAAGGGACAAGGAGAGGGGGGAGGCGAGTCTCGCTCAATGACTGTGTTCGTTCTCGTCCCGGTTGTCGTTGTCTTCTTCTTCTTCTTCCACGGATCCAGGATCCAGTCTGCTTGCGTTCCAGGAGTTTGCGGATGGACGACAATCGGAAAGTCCCTTGGGTCCGTTCACTGAGGGATTCTGGTTGATACACTAAATTAGTACGAAGGAAATTGTGCACTATGCTTGTTTTGTCCAAACGAAATTGCAGGAAGCTAAAGCGCGACCCGGCAGTTTAAGATGACACGACGCGCGATCGATCTTATATTAAGAGTAGGGACAAATACTGCTTGCTATACCCCGATAGTGATAATGATAATGGTGATGGTGGTGCCTGAGTAGCGAAAACACAGACACCTGGATCCATCTTTCTATCTTTCTACCTTTGTCTAGCCTCTGACCTTCGGACGGCTGCTTGCTGCAGGTGCGAACTGGCTGCGTGCAAGTGGCTCCTGCCTGCCATCGGAGACTGAGATGCAGCAAGGTAATGCCGATTGCAGCTCCATTGAGATATTCTACGCAAACAACAGCCACGAACGGATGCGAACGTGGAGGCAAGTGCGTGTGCCGAGGCCGGTTGGGACGTGGCTGAATAAGTAGATCGAGCTGGCTGCTTGACTGAAGATCCAAATTACCATTGCCGTCATCACCAATATTCTTGTTCTCCTCCAAAGAGTCTAACCCTGTCCCACTAATCTCGGCACGATAAGAGAAAACAAAAGTAAAGAAGACCACAATTGATATTGAAGACAACGGCCGACCTGGATTCTGGCTCCGACACACCCGTCCAGACAGACGCTCGGAACCTTGAATGAACCCCGCGTTATCCGTGGCGACATGACTCGACTGTTGATGACAAGACGAAATCCCACTCAAGGCACTCCGAGGCTAATTGACTAACTGGTCTAGCACGCAAGCAACCTCTTTTAGATGTACCGGCTGCCTAGACACCAAATAAATACATAAATAAATAAATAAAAAAATACACTACTACAATACTACTGCTACCCCTGTTCCTTACCACCCCTACCTACAACGGCGGGCAGCGTCTGCAATTCGTATATGACGAATACTTCCTCATGCGCTAAAGCCAAAACAGTATCCCATCCACGTTAAAGAAGAACCCTAATCGTGCCTTTCCTTCTGATCACGAGCAAATCTCGCCGTACGACAGGAAGTCTGCCCACGGGTTAGACCCGTGGTTTCCAACGAGCTGGAGGAGCTTTGCTGTGCGGCTCCAACGAGTACATGGCAAAAGTCATCAGTACGAGATTCTGGCGGTTGTTTTACCGAGCTTTCCATATTAACTATTTACCTGTCTTGAGCAAACGCTATGAGGACTAGATAAACCCCCGTGTACTGAACAAAATCAATGGCCATTCTGTTGGGGTCTAGAAACTCGGCCCGAGACGCAGGCATCGACCGGACGAAAACCAGCCTGGAAGATCTCGATCAATCACAATCGAAGACCCAAGGCCCGTGATCGTAGCTGCAGAAAGAGCTGAGGACAGATTCCTATCATGTGATTGCAAAGGGGGTGGGAAGGATTTACAAGGAGGAAATCAGACAGAATCTTTTGGTCTGGGTCGCGCAGTTGGACCCCCTCTCTTTTTACCACACCAGCCACTATATCTAGCACAACAACTCCCTCGACGAGTTGATAAGCCCATCCACCGTGTTGTAGACTAACTTAACCCACATACCGACTGTACCTTGACCAGGCCAGGATTACCTCCCTAGACCTTTTCAGGGCCGATGATTGCTCCGACAAACCAACCAAGATATAGTCCGATGAGGCGACAGCAGTCGAGATACTAGACTAGTTCCAAGCTGCACGGACATCAGAATGATGAGCGGGAGGGAGTGGGCAGAGAGAGAGAGAGAGATAGGTGTAGCCACCCCTATCTGGGTCTAAGGGAAGCAGGCCCTGGGATGGTGTGTGTGGCTTGCCATGGGTCAATGAGAATGCTCCAAAACTCTGAGGATGATCTTTCCTGCCTGGAATTCAGAGGCAGAGCCAATCACCACGGCCCGTCAGACGGATGACCCTCGGACTGGCTGATGCAGTGCCTGTCCCCTGACGTGGATTGGTCCAGGTCTGATTTCGATGCGCGGCAATTGCAACAATAAGAAAGAGGGGGAGGGGAAAAGCCCGTCGAGTAGATTGGCTACAAATCGGAGCGGCGGCAGTCATACAGTGCCAGGACAGGGCCAACCCCTGTCCATGGAGGATGTTGAGAAGTCCCATGTCGGGAGGCTCTTGTTTACACCAAGAACCAGGCACTGGCTAGCCTTGGTAACTGATCGCAAGGCGTCGTCTCTGCATAGAAGTTGATGCCTATATGCATGTTAGGTAATTCAGGGTCACCAAGCGGAATGGACTTGTGAAGCCAATACACAGTTTGAAGCCGATTTTTGAAGTTTCTCTTCGGTCATGGGGGCGGGTTTTGAGTCATGTTGATATAATTCCGAGTCTTCAAATTGGCATTTATACAATTGAAGCCCCGAGGGTGACCCCTTCATGACAGTGCTGATCCCACGGAAAGTCGACCGGTGGGCGGTCAATTCCAGCGTGGTCATCTGCCCGTCAGTAAATGCAAGGAGAGAGGCGAACAACTCCTGGGGTCCTTCTTCCGCTGTTCTAATCATCTCCAAAAGGCTTGGTCAGTAAAAGTACGCCCGTGACAGTCTCATGGTGTGCTCCCATCTTTACACAGGGCATACTCCAGTACAGCCTGCAGGACCAGGTAAGGAAGTGCGGCCTTACATCAGTTCTAGACTTTTAGAGACGCGGTCCCGGGAGACATGACCAAGAACGTGCGCACAAGCATTATTTGGTGGACCGACCCAATTCCAATCACGAAATATGAATGCTAATTGCCATTAATCACAATGCGAGACGCAGCACATAATCGGCACACATAATGTACATAAATCTCGACCCAGAAAAGTTCCAAATGTATCACTCTCAATAAACGCCAAATAAGTAATGCCAGGAGCGTAACATTCAGGGATATTTTCCGCGCCACCGACTCTCTCTCTTTCTCACACACACTCTTTCTCTCGGTCTCACGCGTCACGGGCCTGGACGACAGTTACCGGCCCAAGCTGTGCGAGCACTTCGTCAACTCGGACTCCAGTACCCTCATGCAGAATATACAGATATCAAGGACGATATGAAAGCGCGCGTTTTTCATTTATTGGGGACCTTCTTCGCTTCGATAAGACCGGCCTAGAAGCACACAGACACAGTTAACAAAAGAAAATTCTACTCATCTTCGGTCTTCCTGCGGAAGAGCCTCCCTCCAGAATATGAACATACCATGTGCAGTAACCGCCAGACACCATCGCTAGGCTGTGCACCAACACCCAACCAGTACTTGGCTCGAGACCGGTCGAGCGAGATATCCTTGTATGCTCTTGCGGCGCGGGCTTCCTCGTCGGAGAGGCCGGTAGGGCGCTGGGGGATAGGGTTGAAGGTGCCAATGACCTCTAGGGGGCGGGAGTCGCGAGCGGAACTGAGCAAGCAACGTAAATTAGCACGGTACTCTGAGCTCATCGCAGATTAGACATCTAGGGGGGATTCGTGGCCCCCCATGTGGCGGCATCATGCGATTCATAGTAGTGACCAAAAAAAAACTTCACCTACCGGGCCTGGGCAACAACGATGTTGTAGACGGGCTTGTGCTTGTTCCCGAAGCGGGCCAGACGAATACGGACAACCATCTTGAGGGAGAGCGGGTTCAATTGGCGAAAATGAGAAGTCACCGAGCAGCGCAAAGGGAGATCAACTGAGCGAGCTGCAGTAGATAGATAGACCTCGACCTCCGACTCCGCGGCAGTTTCCAGCGTGTCCGGACGATTGGTTTATCCGGATAGAGACCAGATTGGGGTTAGCGGCGGACGGTGGGGAATATCGATAACAATGATGCAATGCAATGGATGGCACACTTATCTACAACACCACGCAGTAATCTCCTAGCTATAGCTTTAATTCTTCTCACCTACACATTGCCCAATCGACTACCTACCCCATTGAGCCCCCTCTCAGATTCGTATTCAATCCCATTGATTTACAATCTTGTATGCTCTTCTCCCGCATCCTAAGGCGGAACCCGTTCACGGCCCCATTCCGAAAGTTTACTATATCAGCCAAAATGTCCTTGAAGGTAAGCTACTCGCTCAGCCATAGCTACCATCACGGCGACCAGAAGCTTAGACAACGACAAAACAGGCCCTCTCCTCCAAAGATGCCGCCTCCCTCGACAAGGACCTCATGGAAACAGGGGGCTTCTCTCTGGACCAACTGATGGAACTAGCCGGACTATCAGTGTCCCAAGCCGGTGCGCATCCCCTCAAATGACCTCTCACCAAACTCAAACCAGCCCAGATACCCAGCAGCAACAGCCTTATTAACTCAAGATAAAAAAAACAGTATACCGGATGCACCCGCCCAGCGCGGGAAAGAACATTCTCGTGATCTGCGGCCCGGGGAACAACGGTAAGCGCACGCCCGGCACATATCCATAGCCATATCGCACATCGCATACCTCATACATACCCCATTCCCAAACCCAAATTGACCGAGATAAACAGGTGGCGACGGCCTCGTAGCAGCGCGTCACCTCGCGCACTACGGCTATACCCCAAGCATCTACTACCCAAAGGAGGGCAAAAACGAGCTATACCAGGTAAGCAAGCCCCCAATGCCCACCTCAGCCCAAACCACCTGCCCCACAAACAACTAACCCAAACCATCCAGCGCCTCAAAACCCAACTCCAAAACCTCTCCATCCCCTTCGTGACAGACCTCCCGGTAGCCATCAAATCCTCGCACCTGCTCGTGGACGCGGTATTCGGGTTCTCCTTCGGTGGGCCGCTGCGGGACCCGTTCCCGGAGGTGATCAGCCAGATGGAGGCGGCGACGATCCCCGTGTTGAGTGTCGATGCGCCGAGCTCGTGGGATATCGAGAGTGGACCGCCGAAGGAAGGCCCCGGGGCGGGGTTCATGCCTGAGGCGTTGATCAGTTTGACGGCGCCGAAGCCGTGCGTGAAGTTCTACCGTGGGCGGCATTTTGTTGGGGGTCGGTTTTTGACGCAGCCCATTGCGGAGAAGTATGGGTTGGATGTGCCGGAGTATCAGGGGGTGGATCAGGTTTTGGAGGTCGGGGTGGATGCTGAGGGGCGATTGTAGGTTGTCTTTCAATTGGTAGAGGTGGTTGCGTTGTAGTGGAGGGGAAGGGTTCAGGAATTTGAAAAACCCTTGAGGAAGAGGGAAGGGGGAAGAAATTCATAAAGAACCTCCAAGGAGCAACTCCCTGTTCCCCTTTGTGCTACGATGCAGGACAAACGAAATGTCATGTATGTGCTCTGGTAGAGGTGCTTGACAGCCGTGAGTCAATGTTTAATTTCATGCAGGTGTGCATCGCTATCGTTAACCAATATGTATAATCCCTACGAATATAAAATAGCAGGTAGTCTCCGTCTAACACATGTAAAAATGTCCTCGAGCCAACTGTCCACCCTACGACAGCGCCTCTCTGATTTCCCCGATGATGCCCTTGGTTCTCGGCTCCTTCCCAAGACCGGAGCTCGAGATCGTATTGAGAAGGGCACCCACGTCGTAGACCTCCTTCGCCGCGGCCTTAACCTCCTCGCCCAGCGCTTCGACCAAGGTTCCTAAGGCGACAAGGCTGCGGTAGACGGCCTCGGAGTCCTTCTCACCATGCAGCATCTGCGTGAGCTCAGCAAGGAGCACCAGCCCCTTCTCTGACGACTCGGGGGCTACTTCGTTCCCTCCGGATGTCAGATATACGGCGACGTTGATGTAGAGGGTTGCGACGGCGATTGTAAGATTCCGATTCGGTGTCGATCCGCTATTCGACAAGGCAGACTTGATGGCAGTCAAGATATCGTCAAATCGGCTCATCACCAAGTTGCGACCCGCTTCCGTTTCAAACAAATTCGCCAACATTCTGGCCGATAACATAGCGTTGTTGACGTTCAAGGGAGAGTTGAACACGCCGCTAGAAAGGAGTCCCGAGATGAGATCCTTCCCATCGTAGTCTGCAGTGGCCACCGCGGGGGTGGCGGGCGCAAGTAATCGAAGAAGATCCAAACCAGGGAGTCTGCTTGAGGTGGGCCAGAGTGTTGCGACTTTGTATAATAAGACGACACCAGTTCCTGCAATAGGCGATCCGTTAAGACTTGACGATTCGAGTTGGGTGCAAAGAGAAACCACGGTCTCGAGTTCGGATGGACTCAATGACAGCTCTTTCGATCCAGACGTCACAAGCTGCTCGTTCAGTTCTTGTAGCTTCTTAGCGATCACCTTGAGATTCGCGGATTTGATCGACAGATACTGCTTTTGAGGAAGGACTTTAGGGCGGGGCTCTGGAGCCGGTGGTGGCTGAGTTGCTTGCGTCTCTTGCCCCTCTCCCGGACGGTAACGCCTTTCTTGTCCCCAAGGGTCGGCACCCGCAGGGGTCGGGCCTTGGTTAGACTGGCCAAGGCTGGCACCCTGGCTGTTCTGGACAATGAACTGCGCAACTTGGTCGAGGTAATTCATAGAGAGCTCGTTATCTTGAATAAATTTCGTCGCGGCCTCATATGGGTTCTGAGAGACGTTGTATGGCAATTTGAGAGGCGGTTTGCCGTCCTCGACGTCGACATCGAAGACATAGTCGTAATCCTGTCCCAGGTATTCAATCTTGCGTCCACTGCTAGCGGCAGAATCCACCACCGTGCCCACGGCAACCCACTCCCGAGATGCCAATGACCATGTGTGAGCCGTGATACTACCATCAGTCTCACGAATCATCTGCACCTGTCCATCCTTGGTACCTGACTTCTGCTTCAGAAACTCGGGGCCCGGAAGTTGCTCTTTGTTGATTTTGCCGACCTGTTGTTCCGGAATTGCGGATTCCTTGACTGTCCTCTCGAACTGCTGGATTACTTCCGCGCTTGCTACCCGGTCCTCGCTCCTGGTGAAAACACGCGTGACTCGATCACTGGCTCCGGTGACTATATCGCCAGTCTCCTGACAAGCAGCGACGCTCCAGACCGAGATCGCCGGGTGTGTAATCGTTTGCACGCACTGCATGCCGTCCCACACTCTCACCGTCCGGTCTTCGCCCGAGCTGACCAGCTCCCCGGAAGGCAAGGCAGCCAGCGAGTAAATGAAACTTTCATGACCATGAAGCTCTCCGACGAGTTGGCCTTGTATAGTGTAAAGTCGAATAACTCCGTCGTTGCTTGCAGACGCGAAGTGCGCGCCGGAGGGGTGGGAAGAAGGGACCTTGCACAACGCCCTCACCACGTCCTGAGAGTCCTTGATAGTTTTCAGGAGTTTTCCCGACGTGTTGAAGATCCGGATGATCTTATCCGCGCAGCCTAATGATGTTAGCAGTGTGTCAAAATGACCATTGTCATTGACTTGGGTACCTACCAGTGATGATTGTATCCTTATCGTAAGCAAGCACCGTCCAGACACTTCCCTGATGACCATCCAATACGAGATCACAATCCCATTTGCCTATTCTCCAGAGTCGGGCTGTGGAGTCCCAGCTACCACTTACCACCCATCCACCCTCGTGTGAGACGTCCAGCGCGCACACGTTGTGTGCATGGCCTAAGAGCATAGCATCCGCATTATCATCGGCGGCTTTGCCCGGTTGCCTCGCCTCTATGATTGTATCTTGTCCACCGGAGAGGACTAACCCGTCGGGGAAGTCGGGTGTGGGTGGGTAGTATGCTAGGGCGTTGATGAAGGCCGAGCCGTGAGAGGTGATGTTGTAGTCATACGTCGGAGGCGGGGTAGACACTAGTCTCCATAGTCGCACTGTTGCATCTCGAGAGGCTGAGAAGATGGCATTCGGGTTGGGAAAGGCCACAGCGCGAACCTATTGAGATCGAGAAAAAGAGAAAGTGGTCAGTTGTCGACGATCGCCAAAATAGGGAGGGTGGGTGTGGCCAGAGTCAGCGTTAACAGCCGGAGGGGGGCGTTCTTACATCATCGCCGTGACCCTCCAGAGAAGCGGAGATCTTGAACTCAGGCATACATGAACTGATGTACTAGATCAAGGGGAGCGAAGTTGAAGAGATTATGTGGAGAGTGGGGTGGAGGGGAGAGGAAGGGGAAGTGGTGAAAATGAGAAGATGACAGCGATAGTCCAAAGATCAACCTCCAGACCTGCACCCTGGTGGTTCCTGGTTGAGTTAACTTGGTAGTACCTGGGAGCTGCTAACTACCCGTTGACTAACTAAGGAGGCTACGGTACCTCCGCGGTCATCACGTGGGCGGTGGCTGAGCTGGTGTCGGGAAGAGAAGTTGCTAGAATCGGGATGTGGTTGATAAGCCGATGAGAACAGTCATTGGCAGATTATAGGCAGGGGTGTTGGTTTATACTATGCTGATAGTATTGTCTAATATTTTTGATCACCCTGGTAGCATACAAAGATGAGAAGCAGAGAGGTATGGGCATAATAGACTTGTGAATGCATGACATTGAATACAAACTCTACCCACCAGACTACAAGGGGTCAACACTTCTCTGCGATGAATCTGAATAAATAACAGCTAGCACCAGATCAGGCGTAGTTCAGTATTGGAGTATGAATCAAGGTATGTGCTGTTCTCCTATAGAATTGAATCTCAACTGTATCCATGATAAACTGTTTGTTGACTGCATCTCCAAGCCCCAGCCAATAGATTCTCGAGGGTCCTCACGTGTGGTTAGTCTAAACCCAAAGAGGCTTAGCCTTGGGATGGAAAGGGAATTGTAAGGCGATCTGCGAATATCAAAAAAGAGAACATCACCAGTTGCATCGCTCCTCACTCTTCTTCCCCCTACGGGCTCAACAGTCCCTCTCAACTGTGTTTTGTAGACCTGAACAGAAGCACAGACCTCTTCTCACTTCCCCGTGAACTTCTTCCGTGCGCGATTGTACAATTTCACCTCTCCTCTTGCTGCACTTCCAATCATTCTTAGAAACCTCCCACCCTACCCTCCCCCACTGTTTGGGCCGATTGATGACTTGACGAGATCGACGATTTTTCTTCTGTATTTTTACAACCACTCATCTCTCTCATCTTCTGCTTAAAATTTCATCTCCGGGTTTCCGATTGTATGCCTTTCTAGACAGCTTGTATCTGCTGTTGAAGACGATCAATCAATCAACCATCACATAACATTAACGGCCGCCTGCAAACTGATTTGCGACAATCGATACCCCAAGCATCTATCTTAACAAAGCGCAGAAAAGCAATCCAAAATGGCAGCCGGTAAGGCTCGATACTTCTATCTTTGCATACTCGATGATAACTGACAAATCGCATAGATATCCCGAAAGTCGTGCCGTTAACATGCCACGGACATTCTCGTCCCGTGCCGCATATCAACTTCTCCTCCACCGTCGAAGATGACCAGTACTATCTCATCTCCGCATGCAAAGGTACGCCGCGCAGGGCTCGGCCGCCAAACAGATTAAGTCTTCAAGCTAATCAACAACCTGCAGATAACAATCCCATGCTGCGCGATGGTATCACGGGTGACTGGTTCGTCCAACCACCAACTCCGAGCGAACCCTCAACTAATGTCTCCCCAACAGGATCGGAACCTTCCTCGGCCACAAAGGTGCCGTCTGGCAGGCACGTCTCTCGACGGATGCGACCATCGCCGCCACCGCCGCCGCCGATTTCTCCGCGTAAGTCTCCCCCTAGCCCGCACCATCCCTGCGCATTCATGGCCAAGAGCTAACCTGCTCGAACAGCAAAGTCTGGGACACGCACACAGGCGAATGCCTGCACACGCTTCAGCACTCGCACATCTGCCGCGCGGTAGCATTCCCGCTGCAGCCGTCGCCCCGCGTGCTAGCGACAGGCGGCTTCGAAAAGAAGCTGCGTATCTTCGACCTAACGCGCAGCAGCAGTAGCAGCGGTGGCGGGGGTAACAGCAATAGCTCCTCGCCAACATTCCCCAGCGCGCCATCAGGCACAGAAACCAGCCAAGCGGCGGCGGCGGTAACGAGTTACGAGATCGGGCCGGGGGTGCACGGGGGCACGATCAAGTCGATCGTGTGGAACCAAGACTACAACATCCTGACGACGGCCGCCGAGGACCGGAAGATCCGGTGGTGGGACCTGCGGTCGCGGCACCCGGTGGTGGAATACACGGTGGACGGACCGATCGGCAGCTGCGAGCTCAACACGCTGGCGGTGCGCCCCAACGACGCAGGCATCCTGACGGTGGCGGCCGGCAAATCGGTGTATCTGTTCGATGGGCTGAATCCGGGGCGGCTGCTCAAGAAGATCGACTTCCGGTACGAGGTCGCCAGCGCGGCCGTCAACAAAGAAACGAGCCGTCTGGTCACCGGTAGTGCTGACGATACTTGGGCTCGCGTGTATGATCTGATGACTGGTGAAGAACTTGGTACGTTTTTTTCCCTCCCCCCCCCTCGTTCCCCATGCCCTCCAATCCCCTTCCAAATAGCATAGCGCTAATATTCCAAAAGAAGTCCAAAAAGGCCACCACGGCCCCATCTGGTCCGTAAGCTTCTCCCCCAACGGCAAACTCTACGGTACCGGAAGCGAGGACGGAACCATCAAACTCTGGAAAGCATGCCGTGAACCCTACGGTCTCTGGCGGTGAAATTTATCCCCCCCTAAAAATCACTAGCCTAGATGAGCCCCTAGCCTACAGCGCAGCCCCGAAAGCTAGGTTACATATGCCTCAGCCCCGGAAAACGGACCAGGACTGTGTGGGGAGGGATTGCTAGTGGAAGAGCATGATGATGATGCATAGTGAATCATAGGAATGGATGGCCACAATTGACGATTGATTGACCTCGTATATCCTGAACACGATTGGTCAAAGGGGTCTGAGAGAAGAGGGAAAGAAAGATCGCGAGAGATTTGTCTCACAGGTATATAACGCGGTGCACACCCTCTTGGAGCAACCTCTCCGTGAACGGGGCCGGTCATACTTAGCCTCTAGTTGTCCATCTCCATATCATAGTTGCTCTTCACTACACAGAATATGTTACCTACTTGCCTACCTACCTATGAAAATACTTTGCTCCTCATGGGCCAGACTTGCTCAGGACGAGTTATCAATATGCATGATGGACCATCTGCTAAGCATAATCATGGAGAAGTGATCCATTCTATTGTGATAGATTCCCTATCGGTGCAAGGTTCGCAGTAACAAACGAAAAGTGCGTATATCCTAACCCAAACCACTCAGCCCGAGATATCCTCAATATTCTTCATCATTACACCTACCCAGACTCCGTACAATCGATATTCAAATGCTTGTTGTTCGGGGTTTGTAGATGGTGTCTGTCCGACAAACCAAGTTTCTCTCTTAGATTTTAACTACACAAAGCAGCGATTGTCACCCAACGCCGTTCTCGCGCAACAGTTAAACGTAGCGAATTGTTTCCAAGCACACTTTACTCGATCATATCAATATCGTCATCCCCAGCCGCCGCGGCGGATGCAGGGGCAATCTGCTGCGGCTCGTCGGGAACAGTCTGGTTGTCAGCCGCACCGGCACCGGCACTAGCCGCACCACCCCAGTAGTCGTCCATCTCGGCGTCGAGTTCCTCCTGGGTCTTCCGAGGCCGACCATTGACCGTGTGGCGGCCCTCACCACCACGGTTATCACGCTCACCCTGCTGACGTCTTCCACCACCACCACCACCACCACCACCGTTGGCAGGTCTGCGGGCGGGGGAGCGTTGACCGGGGACGTATCTGTCGATGTGTTCGGGAGGCGGCTTGGTGACATCGCTGCGGCGGTAACCTCCACCGCTACCGGGGCCGCGACGGCCGCGACGACGCCGGGCACCACCGTCGGGGCTGCCGCTTCTGCTGCCGGGACTCAGGCTGCGAGCGTTTCGATCGCGGGGCCGCTCCACACGGTCGAACAAACTGCCCTTGGGACGTTCCACGTTATCGAACGGGTTGCGGTCCCGTCTTCCGCCGCCGCTACCACTGCCAATGAGCGTCAACCGGATGGGCTGACCTTTAGCGTTGGCACCGTCAAACTCGCTGATAGCTGTGCGCGCGTCGCTGACACGGTTGTAGGTGACGAAAGCCAGGCCTTCGGAGCGACCGGCCCGGTCGTAGACAAGAGAGACATTGGTGATGGGTCCGATGCGGGTGAATAAATCCTTTAAACGAAGGAAGATCCCAGATTAGATACGTATAGGCCTGAGGGGCAGCTGATGGTTGCAGCAACGGCTTACCTCTAGATCACTCTCAGTAATGTCGTAGTGGATGTTTTCAACGCGGAGCTTGGCTCCGGTAGATGCGCTAACGTAATGTCAATCGGACTGAAGACTGTGATGGACATATAGGACGGACGTACTGTTCGTGCTCGGGAGAGTAGCGGTCACCGCGCGGGCGTCGAGGGGCACGGGAAGGACGGGCTGAAGGATTCGAGGTAAGAATTGTTCCCCACCGATCATGTAACACCAGCAAGTCGGAGCAGTGACTGTGAAAGAGGAGGATAAGGAGTAGTCGAAGTCAAAACGCACCATCTCTGTCGTCTTCGTATTTGTCATGAACCCAATCGCTACAGGTGCGGAGACAACAGGTTAGCGAACACACCATCTTGATGAAGCAATAGCCGCCACCACGGTCAGAGGGAGAAGGGTGCAGTTACAGATCCAAATCCGGGCGATCATCTCTGTAAGACTGTTGTGGTCGCAATGAAGAGACAAGGTCAGCTCGAAAGTCACAGTAAGTACTCGTGTAAACACAGCTCCATCATCTTTTGCAGCGCAGCGTGGCCGTGTGTCTGGGCGAGACGGTGCTACGAGGCCAGCGAGTATTGCTTATCATGATGCGCGAGTATAGTTCGGAAGGAGACAAGGAGGAAGGACCTATTTGATAATGCAGTTAGAGGCGATAGTTAGAGGCTAAGTGCTGGCCGGAAAGCCATGGAGGGTGGTTATACCTTTCTTACGCCATCACGGCGACGACCTTGCGGAGGACGGCGACCACGATTCTGAGGTTGCTGCTTCTGCTACACCGAGGAGAAAGCCGTATTAGCAGACTTTCGAATGAAGAGAGAGAGAAAATCGAGTCCAAGCCGCAGCCCGCATACTGGGCTAGTTTATCACGGGGGACTTACAGGACGCTCGGCGATGATCTCGTCGAGACTGCGATCCATTTTTAAAGCTGCCGAAGAGATAGGAGTCTTTTATGGGAGATAAAGATAAACAGATAGTAGGCAACAAATAACAGCGCCTGCACTGCGGGGATGAGCGAGAGTTGAAGACACTGAAGGGAGAGATCGAGAGAGAGAGAAGAGAGAAGGGTCGGCGAAAGCTGCAGCCCCAGATCGAATCCAGGCCGGGACGTCTCGAGACGCCTTGTCCAGACCGCCCGGACCAGACTCCGACACGTGATGTACCTTTCAAGGCATACTCCTATTGGGCCCGTGCAGGATTGCAACAATTACAGTACATTCTATTCAGGCCTTTAATAAGAGCACAGAGTAAAAAAGCCTACTTCTACCCACACAGAGACAGAAAACTGTACATATCTGGAATGACAACGAACCGTGATACCCTCCCTTTTGTGCTCCAGAAAACACCGATCGCAACCTTCAACAGCAATGTCCGGAAGAGCATATGGATATGGAAAAAGGAAAGGGAAACAGAAGAACACCGGGTGTGCAATGCAGCCAATCATGCAATAAGAAGAAGCAAGGGAACAATAGAAGTAACGCAGTGATTAGCTTTCACCGTTGGCAGGTGTATTCGATTGGGTTTCGTTGCTGTATTCCATCATCTTGCCCATGAAGCTGATGTAGTCGTATTTGGGAAGATCCCGATCTTCCTGCATGTCGGGGCCTTGGTGGGGTGGCATCGTCTGTACCAAGTGGTCGATGACCTCGTCGGGAATCAGGGAGTGGCGTAGATCGAGTTCGGTCACATACGGCTGCGGATCGTCAGTCACATACGAAGCAGATCGGGACAATTCAGGCAAAGTAGAAAGGAAAGGACATACCTTGCCATCGGCAACTTCACGGAAACTCTGCAAGACTTGCTCGGCGGAATTCTGATCTTCAACCACGCTAACCATGAAATGGATGAATTGCTCGAAGCTGACACCGGCGTTCTGAGCCAACCGGGCCGGGCCACATGTCTCGAGGTAAACCTGGTGCATCTCCTCCTCGTCGTACACAAGACCAAGACTTGCAAGCGCGGCTGAGAATTCGAGCTCGAGAAGTGTATTGGAGGAGTCGCGATCGAAGTGTCTGAAGACCGACTCGAATTCCTCCAGCTGAATGGGAGTCAGGTTAGTCATGTTGCGGGCCACGAGTTGGTTGTCGAGGAAAGCCAGTTTCTTTGAGATGCTCGATTTGACCAGACTCAACTCGTAGGAGAGTTCATCTAAGGTGTATGTCGTCCAATCGTTCTCTTCAATGTTGGCTTCCGCACACTGCTCGTCCAAAGCCGCGATGGTATCTAGAAAGGCGTCGAGGGGAGGGAGATTGTCATTGAGTCTTTGGACATGGGCTAGTTGGTCTTCTACATCGCCATCAAGACCGGATATAGCCAGGGATAGCGTCTTAAGCGTCAATGCAAAGTCGTTTGCCTTGTCCGCGAAGGAACGGCGGAGCGCATTCTTGATATCTCGAATTGTTTCGTTGATGAGTTGACTACGCTCATGCTCGTCGCGTGTCAAGCCCTCCCATTGCTCATCGCAGACCTCCAGGCTAAGCTCAGCGGGGGGTTCGTAAGGTTTGAGACGATAGGTGCTGAGCTTAGTCTTGATATTCCCTAGGAGAGCCGCAAGATCCGACTTCTCGGCCACCCACTGGCGCTTTTGGTTCCTCTTATACAGCGAGAACTGATGGGCCTGCTCTTTTGCGTCCTTGTAGGTACCCTCGAAGGACGATGTCTTCCACGCCTCGCGTTGCGCGGCAATCAACCGCAGCAGCTCCTTCATCCTTCGCTCGTAGGAATTCTGCATCTCCCAGGCACCATGCATGTTGTTGATGAACTTCTCGACCCGACGTCCCGCATTCTCCACCCGCTCCAACTGCGAGAAGGCGTGGAACCAGTAGGCGATGTACGTCATAAGCGACTTCTCATCCGGCTTCGCGACATCGCAGACGTCGTCAACATCCAGTAGATCCGGAATGCCGATCTCATTGGAGGCAATGTCAAAGGCAAGCTTCATGTTTCCGCGGTGGTCCTTCTTATCCAAAGCCTCGAAATCGATCAGATCCGGTCGGTGGATGTCCAGAAGCGCACAGAAGGCCAGACCGTCATTCCAGCTGGTCGAGAAATCCCGGACTTTGACGCCTTCGTAACAAGCAGTCTTGCGCTGACACCAAAGCAGGAGACCCGCCTTTGCGGTCATACCCTCGGCGTTGATGTCACTGATGGTAAATCGGAGAATCAGAGTCCAGATCAGGCCCAGCACGATCTTTCTATTGCCGTCCACCACATCCTCAGCGCCAATATTGGTCATCTGGATTCTCCTCCCCTTGATGAAGTCGAGACTCTTGTTGACATTTTCGAATTTCTGCACACGGAGCTTGGGTTTCGAAGCGTAGCGGCCGAGCGACTCGCCGCCGAGGATCTCGAGGAGGTGAATAAGGATGACCTAGAACGGTTTCGCATGGTGTCAACAATCCCAGTTCATCCCGTAATCTCTATCTGTATTTTTGCCCGAGGACCTCCGTGCAGCATCGGAAAGGGTATGGATAGGTGGACTCACGCCATCGGAGAGGTCGACGACTAGATCATCGATAAAGATTCTGCGGACCTTCAGCTTATCGTTAAGCCTACAGGAAAATAAAGCGCTTTGTCAGTCCATGCGACCTTTGGTGGGCGGGGTAGAGAGCAAGTGAACAAAGAAACCCCAGTAGCAATGCCCGATCTGCGCCGAGAGGGGTTCTCTCGCAGGCATGCCGTGGTCACCCAACAACTTTAAGGGTAGGAAACACACCATTTTGTGAAGGTCTTCTGCTGTACATTAATCCAGTGCTTCTCAACCGCCAACATGGTGAATGCTGAAGCAGGTAGTGATCATCCAGGGCGTGGGCGGGGACGAGCGTTTTTTTGCAGGTGGGAAGCACGGACTTTGAGTGAGCGGCGGCTGCTGCTGTCTGTTGCCGGACAAGACTCGATGGAGGAGCTGAGGGAATGGGGAAGGGGGCGCTTCCGTTCGTTGACAATCCGAGCGACTTAAATGGAAGAGGCAGATCGTCAGGCCCGCGGCACTAAGGGATTAGAAGTGAGCGTTGTAGCACACGATTCGCTGGAATGGGGTTTAGTGGTGTGGTTGGGATGCAGGAGGAGTAGGTAAGTAGGTAGGTAGTAAGAGTAGTATCGAGGAAAGTGAAAGAATGAGGCAAACCGTTGGACGAGAAAGATAGTTCGAACAATACAGCGCCTCGATTACTCCCGGAAACAGATAAAGGGGCTGCTTACAGCTTTACTGGTTTGGCATTCAATCAATGTCAAGTTGTCAACAGATGGTCGGTTTCCCTCCCCTTCTTTTTCCTCCCCCCACAGCAATCACTGGGTGGAAAGTATTCAACCAGTCGGCAGCTACCGGTCGACCCAGACTAGGACTATTCTACATTATTGCCATAACTATCCCCCAAGACTTGGAGGAGATTACAGATGGTCAGGTAGCATCAGGCAGAGAGATTCAGGTACCTATTTAGTAGTACAATAGTAGTACTCTGATAACAAATTCTTATGACTCGCCATTGACAGCTCCAAGTCGACGGCTGTGGTTGGCCAATATCCAAATTGACATTCCTCAAGTTTCTGTTTTTAGCACCACAGAAAATCTTCCAGATTCTCATTTCCGAGTCAACTTTTACGAGTACATCCACTTTGTTGCCCCTCCCCCGATAACTGAGTTGATAGACTACAACCCAACAAGACGCCCGATGAATTTCTTCTATAAACATCTCATCCAGACCACAGTCCCGGCTTCGCAATCCCTATTCATGCATTCATCCATACACATACTCCCTACATTCCCAACATCGGGTTTCTAGCAATGGCTTTCTCCGAAACGCTGATCGGAATCCATCTTGTGCTTGCGACCCACATCCAGTCAATTGATCGGAGCGCCGCTGTCCACTCGAGAGAGGGGTTCGATCCTCTTTGGAGTCGGAACTGTTGTCGGCATGTTTATTTCCATTGTTAGCGCATGCCTTGTCTGTTTCGAAGGATCCGGCAACGTAGATCTGTGATCTCCTGTGACTATACTCGATGGATCGATTGAGATGTAGATGTTAAGTTGTGGTACGGCACTTGATACACAGGGAAAGAAAGGCCATTGTATGATTTCAATTCAGTATTGTTTGGCCTTCTTCTCATAATACCAGCGAGAGGAGGTTAGTGTCTGCGTAGGCTATGGCAATGTTATGGGATTTGCCCAAATGGTGTTAATAACCTGCTATGCATATAACAGCCGCCTGCTATACCCTACTACGCCTTGCCGTAGGCTCTTGGCTTCTTGTCGGCCGGGATCATGGCTTGATCTGTGAGGGGATGGGGGGTAAAATTGAACATCTTCATCGCCCGGAAGGCCAGGGTCCCTCAGGGGTGGCGGTCTCTCAGCCCAGAGAAGGATTACCGAGATGTTGATAGATTTCCTGCACGGCAGAGGATACTGCCCAACTGTCCCATCACATGGGTTTGACCGTACACCGAAGACACGGAGAGAGAGAGCGAGATTCTTCACGCAGCAAGAAGGTCAGGACGGATGCCACCATCGCAGAAACGAGGCTAGCGCCCGCGGCGGCGTGATGATATCATCCGGGTCGAATGGGGGCCCGCGGCGGAAAGCATTCACCACCAACCAGCTAGAACGAGCGTTCTCTTCCATCCCATTCTCTTTCCCTCCCAACCGCTTATCTGATTCATAATCACGCAAGATTCAATATAGAAAAGCGAATATCAGCTTCTTGAATCTCTCATCTTTGATTCGGGAAGTAAATTCACAGCCGAGCAAGAACCGAAACAATGTCGTCCAAATACACCATCACCGATCTCTTGCCCCTCCCAAATTCCTCCGTCCAGATACCCCGCCTCGGCTTCGGGGTATACCGTTCCCACGCCGACAAATGCGTCACGTCTACCGCCCACGCCCTAAAAGTCGGGTACCGACACATTGATACCGCGCAATTCTATGGAAACGAGAAGGAGGTGGGCGACGCCCTCCGCGCATCGGGTCTGGCCCGCAGCGACGTCTTCGTGACCACCAAGATCCTCAGCCCTGCGGGGTCGCCGGAGGCGACCTACGAGAAGCTGGTGGCCAGTGTCGAGAAAATCGGGGGCAAGGATGGATACGTCGATTTGTTCTTGATTCACAGCTCTAAGTCTGGCTCGGCGGGCCGGAAGGAGCTGTGGCAGGCCCTGGAACGCCTGCTGGAGGAGGGCAAGACCAAGGCCATCGGCGTCAGCAACTTCGGCGTGAAGCACATCGAGGAGTTTAAGTCGTTTGCTAAGGTCTGGCCGCCGCACGTCAATCAGATTGAGGTGAGTTGCGATGCTCCGGGGTAGTGCCTGGTACAGTACTTTGTGACGAAAGGTTCTTGTTACTGACTCGGTCCTTTGAATGAATCTAGCTCCACCCCTGGTGCCAACAACGCGAGATCGATGCCTACTGCAAGAAGAACGGCATCATTGTCGAATCGTATTGCCCGCTCGTGCGCAACTACAAGGCCAACGACCCTACGCTGGTCGAAGTGGCACAGAAGTACAACAAATCCACACAGCAGGTGTTGGTCCGCTACGCATTGCAGAAGGAATGGGTTCCCCTGCCCAAGTCAGAGACTCCGGAGCGCATCGCCGCCAACGCCGATGTATTCGACTTCGAAATCAGCAAGGAGGATATGAACATTCTGGACGGTCTCGACCAGGGTAGCGGGGGTGCCATTGTTGAGGCCGTGGAGAACGAGTAGACTGCATATACCGATGGAAACACGTGTCTGGAATAAGACCCTTTGCAAGATATATAATATTATGATCTGTCACTGATAATGTTACTCATGAGCCTCCGGCTGCATGATGAAAGATTTAATAGATCGAGAAGTCGGCCGCGCAGGATGCATCATGCGAAGTCGCGCCGGCGTCAATGGGAACCACTCCATTGGACACCGTGTAGACTGACAGCCGTAGGCGGAACGTGCTTGCGAATTAGACGGCTGCTCTGCGACACGGCAAGACACGGCCATAGAGTCAGGCCATCAAGCAGAGCTCATGCTCCGCGGGTGGGTTGAGATTGGTCCTGGCGACAGCAGTTATGTTCGCAAGAGAGGGGATGAAGATACCAAACAGGTTTACGACCAGGTTCCGGAGTAAAGCAGGTGCCCGTCAATCCTAAGCATTTAGGTGACAATGAGGGGGCTTTCATGCAAGCAACGCTACTAGGATCGATGCGTCTGCACCCCAACAGGCCACTGAAAGCAAAACCCAAACTCAAAGAAAGGACACGCGCGCGGGGTGGGGAAGAGGCGGCTACTTAGCATTGGTAGTATGCACGACAAACGTTTTCATCTGTCACGCTGCTTGATTGCTCAGAGCATTGATGGAGTGTAGAGCAAGATAGATAGTCTGTAGACGATTGTACGAGGTTAGTCAGGTCCCGTGCGTGGCTCATGCTACTTGAACCAACATGCCTAGGCTCACCGGGACAGTAGTGGTATAGCATGAGGGAATAATTGTAGTAGTCCCATTTCTTGGCAACGAGCGCTTCTCGTCCATGCGCATGAGGTTCCGAACGCTAGAGAATGGATTACTGCACTCCGGGGTAAGGATTGCGATTGACACTGTTTGCTAGTGGTTGTTTGACCCGGTTTACATCCGACGGCATGACTGAAGTGATGGTAAACGAACTACAAACAAAGCCTCCGAGAGAGAGGCACTGGTTGGGAATGAGCTGGTGAATGCATGATATAGATAGAATCTCATCGATTGCAGTGCGTAGCTTGGGAGTGATTCTGTGGTCTTCCATCCGGGGCTGAGGCTATTCCCATCCGGGCTAAGCGGAGGGGCATCCGAGCGTTACCCAAACAAGGCTGGCAGTGTTGATAGTGGTTCTATGATCTCACTGACTCCCCCGCTCTTGCCTAGAAACGAAACATTGGTTGGTGTGCCTTGAAATAGTACAAGGTAGTTCCAATGTACGTAGTGGGGGAAGGAAAGGCTGGTAAACACCGGTGACTGAACCCCTCTGCTGACTTCTATTTAAATTATGTGAATGCCCCTCGTCAACTCCATGTTTTTGTTTGCAGAAAGTCAGTCCTCCCTCATAACACTAACACACACTACACACACTCTCTCCTCTCCGCCTACCACTTTCCTACTACTCCTCTAAACACCTCTCTATCCTCGCGCATCTTGCTCTCAACCTTTTCGTCCTTCTCCCTCGAAACCTCATAGGAGACTTTTGCCTACTTCTAGACAAACACCCCACAGCCCATCATGCCTCAGGTTAGTGTTTACCCCCATCCGTTCAGGAAAATGATCGTGCCCCTCACATGCTGATCATCGTGAGCTGCTGCAGATCACCGAAATCTTCTTCGATTGCGACAACACGCTCGTCCTGTCGGAGGAGCTGGCCTTCGAAGCCTGTGCCGACCTGGCGAATGAGATCCTGGAGAAGCACAACATCTCGGACCGGTACACCGGGGAGCAGCTGATCCAGGACTTCGTGGGGCAGAACTTCCGCGGCATGATGGTCTCCCTGCAGGCCAAGTACAAGTTCGAGATGAGCAAGGAGGAGCTGGAGAGCTACGTGAAGGAGGAGGAGGACCGGGTGATCGCCAAGCTGGAGGCCAAGGCGCAGCCGTGCGTGGGGGTGATGCCCGAGCTGGAGAAGCTGTACGAGTCCAAGAAGTACGGGCTGGCCGTGGTGTCGTCGTCGGCACTGCGCCGCGTCAAGGCCTCCATCAAGAAGGTCGGCCAGGACAAGTTCTTCGACGAGGACGCCGTCTACAGCGCCGCCACCTCGCTCCCCACCCCGACCTCCAAGCCCGACCCCGCCATCTACCTGCACGCCCTCAAGGAGCGCAACAAGAAACCCGAGGAGGTCGTCGCCATCGAGGACAGCAAGTCTGGCTCCCTGAGTGCCATCCGCGCCGGCATCCCTGTCATCGGCTACGTCGGCAGCTACAATGGCGATGCCAAGCAGTTGGAGATGACCAAGGTGCTCACTGACCTCGGCGTCAAGGTGATCATGAAGGATTGGAGCGAGTTCCAGGACTGTTTGGCTCAGATCGAGAAGGCCTAGACGAATCAAGCGTCTTCACGATCCACTAAGTCCCCACCGGTTATGTTACTGGGTCTCGACATGATGTTATGATAGCGAAAGCATTGTACTTTCATATTCCCCATTTTACGAATCTAATCATGCTTTCTTCGATTCTCCGCCGATGTCAAGCTCGTTTGTAGGAGACGCAGTTTCCTGTTCTGTTCGTGGAAGATGACTGTCAGTTCTCACATTCCACCTTCTTTCTTCTAGAACATATGCGATGCTAGTAGTCAGAATCAGTACAGTGGTTCAATAGGTAGACCTGAGCACTCCGCAATACAAAGGAGATCTATTCTATGCATCAAGCATATAAATTCACGAAGCGTAGACAGCCCATCCGCCCTGGACATACTAGGTACCTACACAAGCTCCCACTCCCAAAAGTCCATTCCTCGAATTCTAATCCGACCATCCGCGCCCATACCACAAGACTGATGTTTTCTCTTCCCCCCTTGCTAACCATCACTTGTTTTCTGATAGAAACAGAAAACGCAGTACTCGCTAGTAATAGAAAGATATATAATGACTTTTCTATGCAGTCTAGAAACAGAAAACTATGTCCAGCTACTGAGGACACCCTACTTTCGCTCATGCCAGGAGACCAAACAGGACCATAGCCATTCAAGCGAAGAACAACGACAAAGAGTCATAGAATATGCATATCATTGATAGGTAGACTTAGCGCGTATATTGCCAAGAGAGACGATTACAAAGACATCCTTCTGATAGTACTCGATCATGCGTTCGACATGTTCCAACTTACTGAATTTCCACCAGTCATCGGGCCAGAGTGAAAGCATCAACCCAAACATTCTGGAGCAAACCCGCCAACCGAAGCCAGATGTAGTTCCCGAAACTCGGAATCCCTCTGCAGCAACATCTCAGCACTGGCGCTCTCCACCAGCTTCCCGTGTTTGATCACCATCACGCGGTCAAACCAATGAATATATCGTAATTTATGCACCACAGCAACAACGGTATGCTCGGCGAACTCCTTCTCGATAGTCTCCTGCATGATCGCTTCCGTTCCCCAATCGATACTAACAAACAAACCAAAACCGAAATCATCAGCCCAGTGTTTTATGCTCGGGTGCAGAGAGTCGAAGTGACTTACCTGCTCGTAGCCTCATCGAGAATCAACACCTTCCTATCCTTCTGCACTAGTGCGCGCGCCAAGGCAAGCAACTGCCTCTGACCAACCGACCAGTCTGCCGCAAGGAACTCCATCTCCAGACCTCCTATGTTGCAGATCCGATCCCAGAGACCCACCTTCTCCAGGTTGTCGATCAGCGCCGCATGGCTTACCCCAACTTGGTGGGGATCGAGGTTGAAGCGGAGGGTGGCGCCGGGTATGAAGAAGGGGTCTTGTGGTATCACGTTGATGCGCGAGCGGAGGGTACTCTTTGCAATCTGGGCAATGTCTTGCCCGTCGATTGAGATGCTTCCGGATTGTGTGTTCAGCATCTGGAGCAGTGCCATAACCAGTGAGGTCTTTCCGCTGTCGGACGGGCCACACACGGCGATCTTTTCGCCCGGCTGGATGCTCATAGTTACGTTGTTGAGGACCGAGGTGGTCGAATGGCTGGATTGACAATGTCAGTCCGTTGATCATGTAGATGATGATAGATGATTTCGTGCTGAAGGAGAGTATTACTACGTACTCATATCCAGCTGTGACGTCCATAATCTCAACAGCACCCCTGGAAGGCCAATCATGCGGCAGTGCCGGAGCCCCCGCCACGCATTGTTTCTCCTCCATGGAAGTGTCTTGAGTGAAGCGGAGCACGCGCGTGACAGCCCCGATGGAAGTTTCGGTCATGGTCCACATTTCGATTGCATTTGCCAAGGACTGATTGAGCGTTAGGATCAGATTGAGTGCCACGCCGATGGATGCAGCTTGGAAGCGATCGCGCAGAGAGGTAATGATGGCAATCAAGATGACCGCAATGATGCCGACTACTAGGTCTAGCACAAGTGTCAGCCATTGCTGAATGTTGTACATCATGTATACGGGCCTTTGAGACCTGTCCAAATAATAATGGCTCTTCTGTCGCAGCTGGGGCTGCCAATTAAAGGCCCTAATAGTGGGGATGTCGTGCATAATTTCGCGAAAGTGTGTAAAAAGGGGTGCCTTTGCCTCTATGTCTAACAATCGCACCTGCCGCGAAGTCCGCAGATAGTATGACTGGACGAAGAAGAGAACGACCCCCAGGAATGGTATCGTGACTGCCAGGTATTTGCCGATGACACAGATAATGATGACATTTATGCACACGTTCATGATATCTATGTGAACGAATCAGCCTCAGCGTCTGTCTGCATGCTTCTGGAGGAGTTCTATACTTGTGGCACAATTGACAGCATATATGGGTAGCATCATATCAATGAGTTCCAGATCTTGACTGAATCTATTGCGGATGTGTCAGAGACATCGTGGTAAAAGCCTTGGTGACAGGAACATTTACCGGTTGAGTATGGAACCCGAATCTGTATATTGAAAGAAGCTTATTGATGCCCTAGCACAGGCCATTTCAGTTAGCGTGGCGAAACATGATTTGAAAATGGGATACCTCACCCAAGCGTTGTTCTAAGAAGGTCAGAATGCATCCTCAGTGAAGTGTTATTGAGACACCGAACGAAGAGTAACCTAGACTGTGAATCAGTGAGAAAAAAACCAGGCCCTTTTGGACACCCACCAGCAGCCAGCCACGAGACTAAGAAACGTCAACCCGAAGATCATGCCGTAGACACCGAGATACATCCCCAAGTGGTGGTTGGGAGACGTTGCATTTGCCTCCACCCACCACTGGATCCATATTGCTAGGGAAGTTAGCTGGCTCTCGAAAACTTCGTGTATGAGGCAGAACCTACTCTGGAAGCTGGAGCAAAACGCCTCGACAAAAGTGAAGGACAAAAAAGCAATTACCAGACCGCGGCCTGCACTTCGGAAATAGTATGCGTACACAGACCGAACTCCGTGCCGTTTGATACTGATGGTTCCTTCATCGTCGGCTACCTGAACGGTAATGCCGGAGTATTCTTTCTTTTCGACTAGCGAAGGTGGAGAAATCACTTGATCCATCGATGCGACAGGGGCGTGCTCTTCTGCTGTCTGAGTTTTCGCGATGATCTGTGGGTCCTTGAACACTATCTCCTCGTATGTGCCCGAAGCTTCGATTCCACCATCGTTCATTATCACGATACCATCTGCTAAAGGGAGCAGCTCATCTGAAGAAAATGTTAGACCGGAGACCAAGAATCATGCTATCGCAAAAGCTATTATTAGTAACGCACATGTAGTCGTTGCAAGAATCACTGATATTCCCGCCTTTCTGAAATGGCCATCTCGACCTAAGAGCTGGCGTGAGATTAGGGCGATGTTCTTTGAATCCACCCCGCTGAGCACATTATCCAAAATCACGACCCCAACCCGGGAGTAAACTGCTCGAGCAAGTGCCTGCAGAGAGAGAAAAGCATTCATCAGTAAGCTTAACAGTGATGATTTTCTTTAGTAAAATGGCGTAAGACTCACAATACGTTGCTTTTGGCCACCACTCAGTGAAATGCCATCGCTTCCAGCCAGATGCATGTCTCCGTCTGTAAGAGCCTGGAAATCTTGTTGCAGGCCACATGCCGTACAGGTAAAGTCATACCATGCTTGGTCAAATTTCTGAAAGCCAACGATATTATTTCGGATAGTGTCGTTCCAGATCCACGGAGTCTGTGGACAATAGGCGGCCCTTGAAATGAGGGTATCCGGAAGCCAGATTTCACCATGTAGTCGTTGAGGAGGGCCTCAATCAGAGTGCTCTTGCCGCACCCAACCGAACCGACGATCATCGTAATCCCACGCTTGATATCACAACTCAGGTTTTGGAACACAGGCTCCTTTTCTAAAGACCACGCTATACTTGCGATTTGGAATGACAGGAGAGGGAACTTTTCGGAAAGATGTGGACTGGACTTTTGCTCATCGTTCGTATTTGAAGAAGTCTCCTTCGCGCAATACAGTTCGATTCGACCAAAACACGCGATAGCTTGCCAGATGGCAGGCATGACTTGACAAAAGATGAGCAGAGGACCTGTAAGAAGGGATATCAGTGCGAGCGATGTAAATGCTTGAGCAGAGAAAATAGAGGCATCGTGCCGCACGAGAGCTATGATCGTAAATTGTGAAGGTGAGGAATGGCGCAAAGACGACGGGCACGTTGGCTATACTCGGACTGTCAGTTTCAGACTTGATGTTGTTTTCCCCTTTCATATACCTACAGAGTGCAACTTGCCAGATAAGTAACTTTCGGAAGCGGGCTGACGTCTTGACCTCAACCTTACGGAGACGTGCTATCAATGGGAAAAGGGCTGTGTTGAGTCCGAGCATCTGCACAGCTTTCATGTTGCCGAGTACGGTCGCAGTCACTGCGAGCCGCTTCTGCACTCGCTCAATCCATTCTTTCTGCGCCTGTCCAGATCGGCTTGACACGGGGACCATCATCACTACGGACGCTGTTGGAAGGCTTGATCAGTGATTGTTCATGGAACATACACACGAACAGACGAGCAGATTTCATACCCAGTGAGATGACGAGGGGTATAAAGCAGGCAATACTGAGCTCGCGTTCCAACAACCAGATTGCAATTCCAATCTCTATCGTTGAAGCCCATGCCTCATGTAGATTCTTCAGGTTGGCTACTATGCGTTCGACATCAGTGCCCATTAAAGTGATCGCTGCCGAGTCATCCAAGTCAACGGCTGTCAAAGCGAGCGTCTGGTCATAGATCATGGTTATAAGACCAGACCGCATCCTGGTCAACAAACGGTAGGTCTGGCGCCAGTACACGGCTTTCGTCACCTTGCGTCAACGTTAATGAGAGACCATTGCAATGTATCAGGCTGATGGTAACCTACCGCCAGCCCCAAGTACACTAGAAGGTATGCGCCGACGAGACCTGCTCCATACGGTTTTGGCTCAGATGCCGGGGATCCTCCAATGTAGTTAATAGCCGCCGTGATCAGAAAAGGCTGCGCGAATGTAAAACAACTGTACGCTAGACGTGGTGGAATTGCGGAAATGTAGATCCAGCCGTATGCACGGGAAACAGCCTTGATTAGGCGATGACCGTGGTGTCTGCTCCCAGAATCCCAGGCTCTTCGAAGTTTGGCCCCTGAGAATTGTCCCTGGAGATCTGCGTCCACTGGTGGCACATCTTTGACCTCAAGGGATTTTCCATACCCCGTACGCAAGAATGGCAGCACCCAGATGAAGAAGGTTCTGTTCCAGAAGCCGCTCTTCTCTTCTTCGGTAGTGTCGCTGTATTCGGGATGCAGAATACGGGTTTTCGGAACCGACTCAAGGATCGAAATCGCCACAGTCAAGAAAAAGCTGGCTAGCGATAGATATCGACAGGCGTAAGTAGATGGAATAAGCCATAGTGAGCGCAACTGAGGCAGTTTACAAATGCTGGATGCTGAAAAATAGAGAACGAGGAGATCCGAGGGTCTCACTGATCGCTGGTCCTCCAGGAAGGAGGCGTAGGACGCGGCAAAAGTTGTTATGATGGTAACTATGGCTGCCGGTAGAGAAAACCTAGTATACAAGGCCAGAGAACGGACTTGATAGGCAGTAAACAAAATCTGGAGAACAAGCAATACGGCAAGAATGCACTGCTTGGAGTCAGCCACAGTTACAGATATAAACAACCCACGTGCATGGCAGGAAGTGTACCAGCTTGCAGACCGCCAACTTGATCGACTTGACTTTGACGGTCTCGTGTCGGAGGAAGAAAAGGCGCATGGGTAAAAGTAACAGAAAGCATGCGGCCGGCAATAAGGTAAAAGAGATGTCTTCGAACAAGAGGGTAAAGTCAAAGGCACGACAGGCGACATCGACGCGAGGGCCAAAGATATTATCGGCCTGGGCTGGCCAGCAGGTCCCGACGATCATTCTGTCAGGAATGCTGGCTATAATCACTCGCGGTTTTTTTGATTCTTTTGCAAAATGCAAACCGGCTTTTGGTCATTGATATTGGCAGCAGCGCTCGGAGTTCATTTAGCGACACTTGCCTATTTGGGAAATTCTGTTTCGAGCGCCGAAGCCGCACCGTATCGCCATTCCGACTCAGCATGTCAACTTCAATGGACTTTCCTTGTCTTAGCAAGCTTTTAACTAACGGAGATTTTCCTTGTATTAGTGATCAACCGACCGGATTGTGTACTAGCATCAAGGAAAGTGGTCTCATACAGAGCGACTTGACATTGCATAGTACATATATATCCTGTGAGTCAGTTGAATATAGATTGTTCAATTGCTATTTAATGAAGCGGCCTCAACGTCGATGTAGCGTACAAGCAAAGTGGCACACAAATATATGGATTCGAATAGAGGGGCGACAATCAACTTGACGCAGCGACTACTTTATAGTTTCAAATCACCACTATGTTTGCCCACTCTCTACGGGATGATGCCTTGTATGCTCATGCTCTCCCTGACCCATCTCCTCCAGCCCGGAACTCATCATTACGGGTACCTCGACCAGCTGTTTATGAAATGATAATGGATTCAGGATTAACCGCCTGCAGTGCCGCGCATGGTTGACCGTGTCGAACCGTCGTTCCATGACCACACCTGTCTCCCGCATCCGGATAAACTTCTCCCAGTAGAACAAGCAGTGAGCAATATGCCAGTCACGCAAGCTCCAAAAGCTTCGCTCGCCGTCCCCGAGAAGGGCAATCTGTGCCTTATTTATCGGAATGGTGCCATTGGCATCCGCATAGTAAGGCCAGGAGCCATCCGGACTGGGCCCCGATCGGTCAAACTCCACAGTTAGTGCGTCATCACGGCAATGTGGAGGCAGCCAGGCGGTTGCCAAAGAGTCGTAGACACATTTACGTCTCATGGCCTCGTCGATGCTGCGCCCGCAGTCACACAGGTTAAGATCGGCTTCCAGCGTTTCGGGCCGGTAGACGTCGGGCGCGGGTGGGCGCGGTTTGAGACTGTGAGACGGTTGCATTCCAAGGGACACCAGGCCCCAGAATGCTAGAGCGATGGTGATCATTCGGGTTGCTCCGCGCAAGCATCGGCTATGGCAGCCCCGACCAGAGTCGTAGATAGGTGGTTGATCGGTGATGGTACTATATTCTTAGTCACGAGTGATATTTGCAGAGTGTGACCTGCTCTTGGCAAAGAAAGGTATCTCAATTGCCTTTTAAGGTTGTGTGACTTTGAAATGCTTAGTTGGAATTCGCAGTAGGTGCACTGGCTGGTGGCAATGATGGGCTCTTACCTTGCCTGAAATCTGCAGCCGAAGAGCCTGTCTCAACTTTTTCTCCCTCTCAAAAAGTAGAAAAATCTTCGTGCTGATGATCCTAGGAAGGAGATGGGCGGTAAAATGTGGTGATGCTTTTAGTAGACGGTGGAAGGCAAAACTGTCATTTCGGCCTTGGAAGACGTCAAAACACATGTGAACATACCGCTCAAATTTCACTAAAGCTCGCAATCTCATTTTAGACTCCATTGGATTGAATACGTAGGTAGGCATTAGAGCTCGACCGTTGTATTGCGGTTTGTTCATTGGATGCTGTAGTCCGATGAGCGCCGATAAGCACTAATGCGATATAAGCACCACATTGCCCGAATCATAAGCACTATCCTAGATAAGTAATAAGCTGAGTTTGTTGTGTTAGCCAAGTAGATGAGACTCTAGGATATACAGGTTATGGTCGGTCTACCGACTCAGAGGCTTCTGAACAATGTCTACCCTCAGCGAGTGCTCCCAAAATTGATTCAGCGGGTGGACCATCGCATTAGGTAACAGAATCTGTTAAGCGTCCGTTGCCCACGCAGTAAGTCATCGTCTGCAGAACACGGACGTGTTGCAATAGCAATATATGGCATGTCGGCGAGGACGAAGATACTCTAGCATAAAGCAAGGCTACAGTATGAAATACTACAACGGTTCGAAGGGTATAACTTCCGCAGCACAAGTAGAAAACTCATCTCCGCCACCTGAAAGAAGTAGCCTGTGGTGTGCGATTTGGAATCTCTTCATACCTCGATAAAACGTAGCAAGATATGTGTACTGCCTAGGGCAAATCGAACGGTCGAGGTTATGATTGCTCTACCAGTGGCCCTCATGCCCTAAGTCCAGGGGGTGATCACCCACGGCAATTCCAATCGTATCCGGTTTCTCTCCAGTGTATGGGTCTCCTATAACCCGATTAGCATTCTGAACCTCCAAATGTGCAAGCCGTTGGCTGTCTTTGCCAAACAAAGGATGTACAAGCAGCCCTTGTTGGAAGGCATCAAATGAATGCTCTGATGCCCAGTGCTCCAGGGGCTCCCACTTTACACGTTGATGTTTCGCCTTGTCGACCGCCAAGGGGTGTTTTTGTCTTTGCGAAGGCCGAGCGGTTAGCATGATTGCTTGAGTATTGGTCGGAACTTGAGGACAGGAAAAAGAAAGACTTACCCCGATCCCCAGTAGAAAGGAATGAGTGTAGTGTCGGCGTCGCATTGCACATATTGGCTTAAGCAATCTACACAATGCTCTGCAATTCGAGCCAAGTTTGTCTCAGCGTAACATCATCATCGACATCTGATATTATTCAATACCCAGGACATTGGTAGTACTCACCAGTATGATACAAAAGGCGTGCAGTGTCCTCATCAGTCATGTTAGAATAATAGGAATCCCGATGAATGTAGTGATGGAATCGTTTGAGGCAATGCAACCCGTGAAACACAGCTAATGTAGCATAGTAACCTGATCCATCGACAAGATGAATGACGTTGTCGTCGTCAGAGAAGGGACCGAGTTCGTGCCTCTGTAAACGGACATTCTGATGCTGCATGATGCCCTTCCAATCTGCGGCCAGTTCGGAAGTCGGTTTTCCATTGAAGTGTCCGGGCTTCTCCGGATTTAAGCTTCCGGCAGATAGACAGGCAGTAGATCGAACTGTTTCCCTTTATACCTAACCACACTGCGAGCAGGCGCTGTTTGGAAGAATTTTCAACACCTTGGAGGTCTAGAGATGGAGTCGGTTGGAAAGGAGCCAACTAAGACTTACTTTCTTTGGGCATGGGGTAAGGGGAGTACAGGTGTTGTAGCCAGGTGTAAAGGAAACACGATAAGAGGTAGAGTATCAAGAAAGCAATGCTCAGGAAAATGTGTGGTTTCTGTCGCTTGAGCCACGAGGAACTGCGCTGGCTGTCAGCAAAGTCTTGAAACCTCTCGCTTTCGTGGCACGTTCTTGTGTTCCCGCGGAGCAAAGACTCCACCGAATCTTTATCGTCAGTGTCTAAGCTCGAATACTTCCTCATTGAGACAGAAGTTTGCAGTGTTATGCTTTCATTCGAATCAACGCACATCGATGCCCAGAGTCGCAGGAAAGAAAAACATATATCGGATTGTTATTAAGTCTGTCTGCTTAGCCAAGCAATTGAACAACCAGTAAGTTGACCTTCCAGAAGAAGGGCTATGATGAACAATCAGGATGCCGTTCGTAAGCTTATGTCGCTGGGATATAACTATACATTCCTGTCCAACGCTCTGGTCCAAAACTGAACACCGTTCGAACGAATGAAAAAGGAGATTGTAAGCATGCATGGAATAGCCAGGATCATGCATAATAACCTACAGAGTCTAGTTGGAAAGCTCGCGGCCTAGACAGTGCCTATCATTGAATGAAAATGACACAAGCTATAAGTGAATCTTAGACTGTCAATTCCGTGACTACCCCTCTTTTGTATTCACTCGCGACAGCAATTTCTATACTGCGGGAGAGGTGAAGGCTTAAAATAAACATAAAAGGTGATCGAGCCTTTCCTGGTTATTTCCATACAGCAGTTTCGATAAACATCACAACTCAGCGATTCAGATCCTTTATCTACATTACCGACATAGAAACTCCTCAGAATGCGTCCTACCAACACGATCTACCTCGCCTGTGCTTTAGCAATCGGAGCGCAGGCACTTGTTGCACGTCCCCGTGCGGAGGCCGACGAGGCCTGGAAGATCTCCAAGCGCGGTGAGGCCGACGAGGCCGGGGAGATCAGTCAGTATATCCGATATCATCTGACCTATACTTTGACTAACCGCAACATTTAGGCAAATGATCAGGCGCTCAAGCAGGGCATAGTCGTCTGAACTGAGTAGATACAAATATCCAGCCGAGCACCGAGGAGGGTTCAATTTTTGCACATGGTGCAGATGTGTAGTTCAGCTCCCGGTGTACAATATGCATGACTGGTCATACGAAAGTTGGATTTGAGTCGCGGATGAGAATGTGTGTCCTCCTTATCTTTGTAGCGAGCACAATCGGATCACAGATATTTCGGGGAATGTTATTGCAATCTATCAGAGCGTCGTTTTTTTGTTTAATTGTTACGTCCACTGGATTGGGATGACTAGCTTGTTTCTGGATTTGCCTTGGTGTCCAGAAAACCCGGAATGAAATCTTTTTAACCCGTCTGAACCTTCGTTAATGTTTGACTTGAGGTCTTTGATCCCTTGAAGCGAGCTCAGCCGAGCCGTCAAAGACAGGGAGGAGAGAGATGCAAGAAGGCCACCAAAGCACATTGGGAATATATTCATAAACAAAAAAAGGAAGAAAAGCAAAGGCTGGGAAATAAATTCATTTCTTGACAGAGACTGATACTTCGGTCAGGCGACGCTGAGCAGAGGGTCCTGCAACCACTGGATATCGTCACACCACGCCATAAAATCGACATCATCTGTCATATCAAGATTTTCACCCCAGCTATCGGGCAGGTTAAGGTCTGCGGTCCATAGATCTGAATGGGAGACATCAGGTGAAAGAGTCTGGTCGAGCACCCAACGAATAAACTTTGCACCTTTCTGAGAAATATCATAATTTCCTTCGTGTGGTTGCACCAGTGAGGTTAAATGAGAAATAAAAATGCTGAGCTGTTGGATCATAATAGAACGAAAGTTAGCGGGTAATGGCGCTGATGGTGGAAGCGACTCCTCTAAGCCTCGTTCGGAGAGCAGCTTAGACGTGAGGATACCAGCAGCAGGAAGCCCCATATGACATAACTAGAGAAAGACGGTTATGTGAGAAGGGCCCAGTGATACTATCGAGGACAAAGGAGACCAATCTTACATCCCAGGACATTTTGACCACAGGTTTTCCAGATCGAGTTTGCATGGCGATGATGTCTAAAAGCGTGGTAATTATCTCAAGGGAACTCTCAATGAGACCCTGAGACTTCTTGCCAAGACGCTTGAGTAATATTCGATGTAGGAGAAATTCCTGATACGTGAATTCAATCTTTGCGAAGGCGCGACTCTCATCTCGTTCTAAACTGTATACGCCAGCTGCGGCATCCTCAGGCGACCAGCGGATGAACGAAGGAAGGTCTTCCTGCGCCTGGCGAGATTGCTGGATTAAGTTTCTGTCCGCGTTTTTTCGTCAGACACCAAGCACAATATAATGAGAGTCCGTAAGGGTATTACGAACTCAACTCTGGCTGAAATTGGCTGGCCTCGGGGGCTCAACGACAGTTCCAGGATTCTTCCTCGCAATAAGCTCGTCAACAACACAACGCGTAGCCTGACACCAACGGTCAATTTCTCTTCCGTATTCCAACCATTCACGTCAAGCTTGAGTAACGCCTTCTCCCTCTCATTGGGTGGAAGAATCATCTCTTCATACGTAAGATCCAGGGGAAATGGCAGATGACAGTATCGGGAACAGATGCGCGGGGGGCGCCCCAACGAGGTCGCCAAGTCCTTATCGATCGCATACGCGCATACCATGACCCGCTTGCGTATCTCGATCAAAAAGAAAGGCAAGCTTTCGTCGAGGTCTTTCTCAAGCTCATGCAAGCCAAATGCGTACACGATGGTCGACAGGTCCCCCAGCTTCTGCCATACCCTGTAGTCTGCTTGAACTCAGCTATCGTCAACAAACAAAATTCGGGGAAGAATAGTTACCACTGCCACCAAGAGTGGATGCCAAAAGTACTACTTGCTGGGTCATGAGCCAACAAAAGGGATCGCTAGTAGTTCCAACACTGTTGCAGAACTGGCAGCAGAGCTCACTCATGGAAGCGGAGATACTTCTGAGCTCGCTTTTCGCAAGCTTCCATGGGTTGCGATGTATAAATACCGGATCATTATCGGCAGTGTGAAACAACGCGGTACCTAACAGGACAAAGACAAGTCCGATTGTCTCCCATCTCGCCGAGATCAAGTCAAAATAATCAGACAAATCTGATACTTCACATGTCCTAATCTCCTTCGACGTGTTTGCAAAGATTTGGCGGGACAGGTTAACTAACGATGCACGTGTATCCTGAGAGCCGCAAACAGCAGAGTCATACATACGCTCCACGGAACTGCACAAAGCATCAGTCATAGGGGGGCCCAGAAACCATCCAGGAGATGTTTTGTTTTTCAAATCAATGATTTCATGATACCAACGGATTTTCTGCAAATGTGATAGAATCTGGGCCCCTTGCAAGATTCGATCCGAGTTATCACCGCTGAAAGGATAGACAGTGGTCTGCACTGTAGCTTCCGGAAAACATCCTGGTTCCTCGACATGCAAGCTATCTTCGTACTCACTAAATAGATCTTGGGGCGAGACCAATCCCAGAAGGCCTGATCGTCATGTCTGCTTTTCGTTCATAGCCTGTCGCGCAATATGTTGGTCGCATAACATCTTTCCGTCATCGGCCACCGGCGGCTCATCGGGCGGCGCGGCTTGCACAGCTGTACTAGGTATTGTCTTATCCAGGCGAAAGGTTAGCTGATTGTCCTGGCGCTTCTGCTTCCTGGATCTTCGTGAGGAAGTCCTGGAATGGCGCGCGTGTGGCTGAGTTAGTGGAGCAGGATGATAGAAGCAACGCTCGGCCTGGTTGTTGGTGAGACATCTTCCACAAATAGGGCTTTCGTGGTCGCATCGTAACTTGGATTTCCGGCACGGTTCGCACGACGATAGCTGGCCATTTCGACGAGTGGTTGCCATTTCGCCGGGTTAGGGCTCTTTGGTAGATACCTCACGGATAATCCTAATGAGAAAAAGCATAACTTTGGTTTCAGGGGAAAGGGGAGGGGAAGTATAAGGTCTTCGGACTTCGGCATCGGCATTCAACGTCCGATTGCCTATTCAAGTAATTTCGGCAAGTGAACTCCGAACTGGAAGAACTAATCTCTTACTTAGTTTAATATCAAGGCTTCCAAGCTGAGTTTTGTCCTTATCTTGCCCCTGGTACAAAACCACTCCGGCACCCCTCATCTAGATTGAATCCGCCTTCAAAGGCCTTCGCAGGACGTATGAGCGAGGCTTATAAACACAAAAGCCTCGAACTATCAGCGCGTAAGCTCAAGTTTGCTTTTAGTGCGAACATCCCCTCGTTCGCCCACAGTACAGAAGCAGTTGGCAACATAGCAATCCACTTCTCCTACAAGGGTTGAAGCCAATGATTGCTTCCTTTCCTCGAACGGCGGACCATACTCCTAGTACCTTGTAGTCATTTGTGTAGGATCGGGTCAATATTACCTGCTATTGGGCGAACACAGTTGATGTAGCGTATCTAGCGTCATCCAAGGTCAGGAACAGCAAATAGGTTTTCTCGCGCTGGGTTACCCCGCGTGCCATTCAGTATTATTTAATACCCTACCCTGGAACCGCAGCAGTGTCGGAGCTACAATACTCTCCTCGCTGTGAGAACCACCACCATCATGGACACAGGCGTGGACTACCAGACACGAAGGAGACTCCAGAATCGCATTGCACTACAAAAGTTCCGTACGTCCCATACCCAGCGGTATGGATTCAAGTATCATTAACAGGGACCAGGCGAGAAGAGCAAGAAGCAAATGCACTTCCGTGCTATCCAGCCGAATGAAAACAACAATCAATCCCTCTTAATGTGTTCTCTGAAGGGACACATGGGTAATGTTAGCGACTATACTACAACAGAAAGCTGTACGCAAATAGCGCTACCGTCTTCGAGCTCGATGTCTTTGGGAAATCAGATACTCCCAGGCCGTCCATTGGATCAGGAGATTTCACCGGGATGGCGTGCACCTCAACAACATGTAGATCTATCAGGCACTTCAAACAATGCCATAACCCGTCTTCACAGTCCCGCTGTATCTGATAAGTGCAACTCTTCCGATTTGCAGGTTCGCGTGACTTCGACATTTCCTATCATGTTTCTCCGGCCGGGGCTGATCGATTCTACATTGCTATAGGGCATCGGCGGGGCGTTGGAGTTTGACCTGAACCTCGAACAGTTGACGACACCTAGTATCGTACAAAGACATCAGTCACATGAAGGGTTAGGAGCAGTAGATGTGGTGACATCTACATCCCAGCAGACACAAGAATTGTTACTGGATGATAGCCCAAATACCATTTTCCGTGATATTCAATATGTAATTTCAACATCTTCTCTCTCTACCAGCCTCTTCCTCTTTGGAAACCGAATAACGTAACTATTAACAGACGGCCAAAGCCCGAATATTCAACGACGCGATACTAGTCCTGCAAAAACAGAAAGTGAATCTGGGAAGGCAGGCGGAGGAGTTAATAAGGAGGTTAATCTCAATCTATGACCTCGGGGTATTCTTGGAAATATTCTCCTGCGACCCTCATCTCAAGGAAATACTCTTAAACGCCGACGCGAGATTTCTCTTCAATTTGGAAATAGACTCAGCAATCTTCGGAGCATGATCACATAAACGTAAAGATCTTGAAGATAGTTTTCAGTTATGGCCATTATCTCCTCAGTGCAACCTACCCTTTTCAAGTCCCAGAAATCTCGCTACATAGGAAGCGCCTGCGCAAATATAAAGGTAAAGTAGGATGTCTCTACTATCTTGGTGATCTCGCGGCTCGTGGCTGCCCCAAATGGGCGAACAGTGACAAAGGGCCACCGAGGGGAACAAGGCCGACCGCTCAAAGAGAAAATCACCAGTGCACCATTCAAGCATCGACCACAACACCAATCGACGAGATGTCTTCACTGCCCTGGAATCGATAGGATGGCCGGTCCCTACGGTTCTTCGCTTACCAACATTCACATGCTCACCGTAGCAGCCACGAATTACAGGAATAAACCGAGAGAGGGCAAAAGCTTTAGCTAAGCACCATTCCCGCCATATGCAAGGCAGATGTCACGGTGGCATACACCGATGGAAGTGGATTCGAGGGAGGAATTGGTGCAGCGGCGGCAAGCCCCCGAGGTGGCTACGAGCGTAGGGACCCCCTCCGAGCTGAGGGAGAATCAGTATTCAGGCTTGGGCTGACCGGATCGGCAAGGAACACAAGGTGCTACAGGCATATATTGGCCTGTAAGCCCTCTGGGGCCAGAAATTTACGTGTATCAGTCCATCTATACCCTTCGTCTGAAGGCTTTCTGTTTAGTAGAGGCCACAGAGATAATGCCAAGAGTCATTAAATAGATATTAGTTAATAAAGAATATGATAATAATTGTTTATTTTAATAAATTACTATCTTTTAATCTATTTATTTTAAGTTATTACCTCAGGTAAACTCTATAGTCAAAATATTATTATATAATATATCTTTACTTTTGAAGTTAAAAAACTATTCCTCCAGCCGTCCACTCCCGGGCTAGCGTGGCGATGAATCCGGCGCCCCGGCTTAGGCGCAGCCAAAGACTTAAGCGAGCTGTTTGAAGGCTGCCCAGCCCCACTTCAACCGGTATACCATATGTTCTATCCACATAATGTCTGCTTTATCTAGTTTGGCGTTTCTCAGGTGGCTTGAGACTATCGGCGCCTCTTCAATCGCTTTCAGCCACGCTCGTACATGTTCAGGTAGCCACATCCTTGCCATCTTGCTGAATATTTGTATTTAAACCGGTCTTTCCCTTCTCTGTCTTCTCCATGTCCATCTCAGTAGCAAACACTCTTGTCTTCGTCCTAGTCGTCACACAATGGGCTTCTCTACCTCATGCCGGAATATCAAGTTGCGCGATATCCCAAACAACGGGAAAGGCCTGCATATCACGAACCTTTGTGCGGAATGCAAGGATGAGAACGATGAGTGGCGTTACCGGGAGATCACTCTCGATTGGTATATTGGGGTAGATCCCGACTCGGGACGACTCGCGTTGGAGGAGTCACTACTTGAGCGGGTGATGGACTCGAAGACTATGACTAGCCACGTACACGAAATGAAGCTTGTCGCTGGCGGGGCCGTCTTGCTCTGTACCATGGACGCCAGTCATTATTCCCGCGAGAATACGCTAGCATTGGACCTTATTTTCCATAACGACAAGGGGGATCTGGTGCATCAAATGCCGTGAGTGGTTGTCTCCATTTCTTCTTCCTTGCCACCTCTCTTCCCCTGTCCTCTTGGAAAAACCCGGCATTTATCTAAAACCGCATTCAGGCCTTTGAATGTTCGGTCGCGCCTGACCCACCTCACACTGGACTCCTCGGCTGTTCTCCGGGGATTCGCCTTGACCCGCTTCAGGAGCCTGGTCCCCACCTCCCTCGAGCTGGATAAGCATCTCGGAAGCAACAGTGACGGCCACCTTGTGCGAGAGAAAAATGGCAATATCAGCCAGAACGTGGTCAAAGGTAGTATGTATCTCGACAATGACTGGACATTCTGTTGTCGGCTACTGGATCATCACGGCTACGGCCATCTGATCGACTGCTGGCAGCTGATGGACCAGTGGGTAAGTATTACCCGAGATGGTGAACTGATCATGGATGATCCGTAAGTCCTGCTTCTATCTGTTCTTCCAAATGGGGAGTTGAGTGATGTGCATCTTTTGACTGATGTGGGACCCGATTTTCAGTGCCGGTACCTGGAGTCTGCGGGGGCCTTTCTTCCGTTTGCTAGAGGAAATCCCTGTCGTTGGATTCTTTGTGGCCGGACTTGACAAGTTAGAAGGAGATGAGGATGAGGCAATTCGCGCGGCAGCGGTATGTACCTACTCCACTATCTGTCTGGCTGCCACCGTTGTGGGAGGTGCTCTGTTGGGCCCCGTTGGGGCAGCGGTTGCAACGGCGGTCGCTGGATATGCTGGGATGTATGCGGAGAAAGCTATTGGAGAAAATATTACCGATCCAGCGATGCGGAATGAGGTGACAGCTATCACTATCTATCGCGTTCTGGTGGCGGAGCTGACTATACTTGCCGGGGTGGGGTTGGGTGAGCTCTCTGGCGCGTTCAGCGAACTGGTAGCCGAGGAACTGGAGGCGGAAGGATTCGGAAAGCTCGCAACAGGAATGGGGAAGATGCTCAGTAAGAAGGGGCTGAAGCGCCTCTCCAAATATGAGATGAAGACGTATGTCATTCTTCTTGGGGGACTTTCGTTCGCCTGTGGCACCATACAGAAAGACTGACCATTCGATAATTTAGTATCACGAATAATCTTTTCGATGCTATCACAAACGGCAAGTCCGAAGACGAGCTCAGGCAGTCTTTTGGTAATCTGGACGAGCCGGTCTCAGATTCTGAAGAGGAATCTGTGCCGCCACCGAAACCAGAGCCACCGATCGACGAAGACACCAACCAGGAAACTGGTCCGAAAGGTAGCGTATCCCCCCGAGACCCGGTGTACGACCCCGCCAATGATCCTGACCTTCACCCTCATGACCTACCTGGCTGGGACGAAAGCGGAGGCGGCACCGGATGGGACAGAGAGAAACGAAGGAAGCAGAAAAGGAGCCACGACCTCGGGGATCTACTGAAATCAACCGCGTATGTATAGGACTTGTCTCTCCCAGGACCCTGACTCTGTCTCTCTGGGCGACTGAAGCAGTTCCAAGCAAAGGCTAAAGACGGGCATTGTAGTGCTAGTCCCAAGGTGGTGACCCAGCTGGTGACCCAGCTGGTGACCCAGCTGGTGACCCAGCTGGCGACCATGAACCTGAGCCCCAGCAGTGCCAGCCACCTCTTATCCCTGAACGGAGGCTCACTCTGGCTGCTCAACTCTTCCAGACAAGAGTTCTTGTTCCGTCTGGATATGACACAAATTCTGGCAGGGGCCGACTGTTCAGCTCAGGGCGCCGGGAATGCCAACATCAACTTCTACTCGGACGACACCTTGTGTTTGCATATCTCCTTCCGGCCGTCGACACAGACTCTACATATTTCGCAGTGGTTTAGCGGCGGATGGCGCAACGCGTGGTGGGCCCCTTTCTCGGACGTCTTCGCCAATATGGAACAGGGAAAGGACGGCTGGCTGCGCGTCTGGAAACAGACGGCGGTGAAGTATGAATTCGAGACCTTCAATCTGGATGATCAGAGTGCGCTTGTGCACGGTGCATCATGGGTTGTATACGGAGCCGTATCGACAGCTCAAACGGTGAAGTTTGCTGGATCCCCACAGCTGCTGGGCTCTGAATTGGAAGTGCGTGTCTAAGTGCGGCAGCGGTCTTCTCCCCGGCTTCCTGAGCAGTAGATCTCTAACAGGCAGAAGCATCTGATATACATTTTTTCCAATGATGGATAAAAGTTTGATAATAGCTAAGCACTGGGGGTAATAGTCAAATCTTATCAATGTTCATTACTCAGTAGCCCTCCAGCTTGATTACTGGTGCTAACAAGCATGGCGCAATTTTTGCCCGATAGTTTTTAAGTACTTTTGAAGAGAGCACTATACTTGAAACTATGTCACTGCAGATTCCTGCAGCACTAGAAGCACGCACAAGGTTTGTAAGACTGGCGTGAATAACTAGCCTAGTCTTTCACGAGACTACTTCATAAGGTGATGAAAACAGAAACAGGAAAAAGAATTGTCGGCGGCACAACATTCTCTTTTGACGCAGTATCCCCATTGACATCCGCAGCCGGCTTTGCGCAGCAGCCGGCCCTGGGATATTGCCGGACCATGAGAGTCCGCACACCGCGAATTTAACCCATCATAATCCTACAATAGCCACTTGGTAATCACAAATTCAAGGTAATAAACAATTACAACAAGATATTCATTCTTCTAGGGCGTAGTCAACTTGAGGTTGGTCTCATTTGAAGATATGTTTGATTGAGATAGTGGATAGGCCAACTCGGAGCTAGAAAAGTATATTAACTATAAGACTATTTGTCACTACGTAGTAATCCAAGAGGCAGACTGTAGTAGAAATCATAGCAATGTATTATATTTATCACAGAAATAACAGAAGTCGCAGACCAAACTAAAAGAATCTATGGTTAGTTAAGGCTGGAGGGTAAGCTGTCGGCAGTCAGACAGGGGGTCACAGGCCCAGCGCAGTGGCCCTGGGTATTTTTGCTCCCATGGCGGGATTAGGGCCGCCCTTGTGTACTACAGTAGTATAGTATTGATCTAGGCGAATTTGCACATGAAGAACGGAGTGTCAGCGTTATGAATTCAGAAACTCGGTTTTAGCTGTACACTGAACGACTCGGTGATCTATTTAAGTTCAACAAAACTAACAAATCCAGTTACTGGACGGCAAGTTGTTTGTTTTACCACAACCTAATCCCGTCTGCTTAGTGCTTAGCCAGCTGTGGCGCCGCTGCTTTTAGGGTCGAGTCTAAACAAAGAAAGGCATGAATTAATGCAGCACGTGGGCGATCCATCGTAGAGCACGCACCTGAAATCTGTGATACTGTAGTAGGTATTTAGTTTGTGCCTACCCAGGTTGGTTTGAAACGTCTTCTGCCTAGATTATTTCCCAGCTCTCCTGCCACCCACCAAAAATCTCTTCCATCATGGGTGGTAGCTCTTCGAAGATAGCGATTTCCCTGCTGCTGATTGTATGCATTGTTCTCCACTCCTCCGCCTCCCTTTTTTTGCTGGCCTGGTCACTAAATCTTTCCACCCACAGTATCCTATCAGCCGTGTCATTCACAACATTTTCTTCAGTCCACTGAGACACGTTCCGGGACCAACCAGCTGGGCAGCGACCCGTCTACCATTCATCCTGGCATTGCTCCGCGGCACCATCGTTCATGACTTCGAGAAACTGCATCGTAAGTACGGTCCTGTTGTGCGCACAGCGCCCGACGAGGTTAGCATTGCCAGTGGTGAGGGCTGGACCGCCATCTATGCCAGCCGGCCACACGATCGACAGTTTCTCAAGGATCCGGTCTGGTGGCGCAGACAGCCTGGTCAACCTGATTCCCTGTTGAGTGCGATCAGCCCGGACAAACATGCGCGCATGCGAAAGCTGCTGGCAGCAGCATTTACTCCGCGTGCGCTGCGGGCCCAGGAGGAAGTGCTACAGAGATTCGTCTCGCTCCTCGTCGCAAGAATTGGGGAGCAGGTAGAAGCCGCTGGTGGTAAGGCTGGCACTCAGATCGACATGGGACCTTGGTTCAATTTTACCACGTTTGACATCTTTGGAGACCTGGGCTTCGGCGAGTCCTTTAATTGCCTGCAGGACTCCCAGTACCATCCCTGGATCGCGCTGCTGTTCAACAGTGTCAAGGCTGCCTCTTTCATTGCGGCGGCACGGTATTACCCGCTGCTAGAGTTGCTGCTCATGAAATGTATCCCAAAGTCCCTGAAGGAAAAAGGCAAACGTCATTACCAGCAGATTGTGGACAAGGTCGACCGACGGCTTAGCTGGGAGCTTCAGCGACCAGACATTATGTCTCATCTTATCGACGAAAATACCGGCCAAGTGGCGTTTCCGCGCGAGGAGCTCAACGCGACCTTCATGATTCTGACTACCACAGGCAGTGAGACCACTGCGACCGTGCTGACCGGGATTCTAGCCTATTTAGTGAACGGGCCGGAGATCATGGGGCGCTTGGTCGGCGAAATTCGACGGACGTTTAAGTCCAACGATGAAATCAGCCTGTCAGCGGCTGCGGAGCTCCCTTATCTCACGGCTGTCATTGAAGAGGGGCTGCGGCTTTGTCCGCCCGTGCCGTGGATGTTGCCCCGCCTGGTACCATCCGGTGGAGAGACCGTGTGTGGTACATGGTTACCCGCAGGGGTAAGTTAAATTATACCCGAAGATTAGATCGCAAGCACGAGGCTGAGATCATATCACATATAGACTTCAGTTTCTCTACAGGCCTACACCTTGAACCGCGACCCATCCCGTTTTCATGCCGCTGCCTCCTTCTTTCCCGAGCGATGGCTATCAGATGCCTCGTCCAAACCGGACTCACCCTTTTACCATGACGACCGCCAGGCTGTGCAGCCGTTTAGTATGGGGCCGCGAAACTGCTTGGGGCAGCACCTGGCCTGGGCGGAAATGAGACTAATTTTGGCGAAACTCCTATTCACTTTTGATTTCGAGGCCGTGGAGGGGAAACGGTTGCAATGGGAGGAACTACGCACGTTCTTGCTGGTGGAGAAGCGACCCTTGGAGGTGCGAGTGCGACTGGCCCCAGGTTGTTAGTGTTTTGAGTGGTATGACTACGGAATGGTGTTGCTAAAGCCCGAGTTTCTGCTGAGGTTCCTTCTGACTGCTTCATGCTCCTGAACCGACGCTCCCCCCTCCTTCAAGTCACCACTACCGACAGCCAAATGATCCTGTGATAGCCAGCAACGTTGACTGTTACCTCTACATTGGTACTTAATTATAAATATCATTAGATGGAGCAATTGGGTCTTGGATCCTGCACGGCCCGCTCTTCCTATGCGATAATGATGCTTTTGGTACCGGCGATGCCCCTGAGCCGCATGTCTGCGGGATTCTCTCTTGAATAGCAATCGTGGCCAAAACTTCTCTTGTGGCCCTCTGCTCCCAACATTCAGATTCCTCTTTCCGTCCAAGTACTCACCTCAATGGCGATCATCGCAGATGCGCTGGTAATCCTAGTCGCTGCGGCCGCTCTGGTCCTCGCGTACTGGGGATACATCGTTATCTACAAACTATACTTCTCTCCGCTGTCCCAATCAAGCGGTTGCATCAAGCCTATGGTATTCTCTTGGCTTACCCGATTCCGATTAAGGTGCCGCCGCTTTTATAAGGGCAGCACGTGCACAATCCATGTATACTCTAGGATGGTTAATGCGTCATGAAATCCACAAGTGACCCATTTAGTGTACAATACAAATTTAAACTGTTGCACTGGGATCGGAACTTCCCACTCACGGCACTTGCAATCAAAAATGGCGCCAGGTCCATCTATGCCTTTCGAAATAAAGTATGCCAAGGCATCTGAGCTGGGTGCACTCGTGGGCATTGAAATACGCTGTTTTCCTTCGTCCAACTATATGCGCAGCACATACAAGTGATGTGATCCACTGGCAGTCCACACATTCAAAACAGTCTCTTCCTTCGAGTATTTCGCAAAACCCGAGTGCCATATTCTAGCGGGTGTTGACTCTGGGACCGGTGAGATCATCGCATACAGCCGCTGGAATATACCATCTATTTATCAATTCAAAAGAGCTGTGCACACAAGTCTGAGCATTAATGCGCAAGCGCAATTGCAGAATCTGTGGGCGTACGCACCAGAGTTGAACAAAGGCACCTACACGTTCTACGAGGAGATGATAAAGCGTAGTAGGAACGTACATCTCAGGCAAACTGATATTGGTTCGTCAGCCCGTGTTTTGCCACTCTACCTATGGGTTTTACATTATTGACTGCTAGAGATACTGCTAGTTCTTGAATTACTATACATCTTACCAGAGTACCAAAGAATAGAGATAGAAAGTATATTTCTCAGATAAGGTATCAAGAAAGCAGACGCCTGTAACGCCCGGATATATCTAGAAGCTACGATGGAAGAAGTACCAGCGTATTTAAAGCACAGATAGAAGATTATTGAGGAGATACGCCTGGATTACGCAGAGTGTGGTGAAGAGGGGAGTCAGAGATTCGCATTGATGGTCAGAAAGCCCCGGGGAGCTGGGTCTTAGTTTGTACAGTCGCCACCACTAGCTTTCCTAGTATACACTCAGGGATCGGATGTTATCAGATGAAGGTGGATGGGGTCTGAACCGTGGGGGCTTGATTTTGAACTGGAAAGGGCCGCATGAGCAGACCGTCAGTGCTCTTCCGATCAGAGAAGCGGAACATAGATAATGCTTTGGTCATGAATCCAATGGTTTTGTTTATGTGACGCTTAGGATGGTTGTAGCTATATTTTCTCTAAACTCAATAATTCATTGAGTGATGCTCTTGCTAACTACAGAGATGCCTTAGAGGAAGTATAATAGGGCGTGGAAGCTAACTTTAAAACTTATCTACTACAGTACCTACAGCTGCACTCACGCAGCGGCCACAGATAAGGGCTTGGCCCCTTTGATTTCTGACTTGCTTGGAAGGGTAACTATGACTATCAGAATGGAGATATCCTTATCTCCCTATCGACGGATGGGGCATGCAAGGCGTTGAGCGCCAAGGCTACAGGGGATTGCTGAACCATAGAGCATCACGAGGTGGTCTCTTTGTGTGTCCCACAAAGAAATATTGAAAGCTTATTTTTTTTACTGTTTGCACGTCTATGTTTCCCTTCCTATTGACGTCCGAGAACCCTTCACGCTTCATCATGTAGGTATAAAGGCAACTCACTCAATGGAACACTGGAGCTCCTTCGTTCATCCTTCCACCTTCAAATCCCACCTTACAGAATATTACCTCCGGACTGATCTTTTCTTATGGCGGTCTTAGCTTTGGAAGACCTTCCAGTGGAGTTGTTCGAGGCAAGCATACGCCTGCTGGATCTGCAAGATATCTGCGCACTGCGTCTGACCGGCCGCAGGGTCTCGATCAAATCGACTCAAACGTATGTTTCGGGCCTGTTTCACTTCGAAAAGCATTCCGGTTGACCAAAGCTCGCTGGGGGAGTTGGTTTGTGTCACCCAGCCCGGTTGCTTAGGCCTCTTGCTCCAAGATCTTACTCTGTAAGGGGTATGGGGCCCGGAGCCCGAAACTGCCAACCCCGATCAATCGAATTCATTACCCGTTGTGATTCCAACCTTTTGCAGCACGACTCATAATATGTTCAACACTACTCAATTACTAGTACAGATAATGGTAAACCTCAAAAGTCATTTGCCACACGGCGGGCAGTTGTCTATCTCGCTACAAATCGAAGAGGGTGATGGGGATAGGCAAGCTACAGTCAAGATGTTTTCTGTCATTATGTCGGCTATCGAGCGCACTGGACTACCCGTCCAGTCACTTGAGTCACTTGATGTGTTTGCAGAGGGCTATAACCACAGGCGGGGTTCCCCTTGCAGCATATCGTTCAGCGAGTTCACGGCGGCTTTATCACACAGTATCCCGGGTCTGGCAATCTCATTTCAACAGTGCCGGACATTCTGTCTGAGTCTGGGGCACCACATTCAGATTGAAATACAAGGAGGAAAATGTATACCGGTGGACACCGCCGGCCTACAACGAAGCCCGAGCAGAGACCAGAGCTCTTTGCAACCTGCTGCGTCTTTGTCCCATCTTGAGGAACTGTATCTTGCTTGGGAATACAACGATCTCGAAGAAACGGCCGGAATACTGGACCAATTACTCTTCTTTAACCATGTGGCAGGAGCCTGTATATTTCCGCACTTGAAGAGATGTACTTTCATTAATCTCCGGATGTCCGAGACTGCGCTCATGACCTTCTTCCGTGGTGTCCCGCGCTTGACACATTTAACCATGGATCATATTTTCCTGCGCGGTGAATACACCGGATACACCGGTCTATTTGAACTTCTTTCGACTACTATGCTTGATCTAGATTGCTTGCGTCTCCGATCGCTTTATTCTAGTTCTGGGATGCAATATCCGGACGAACTTAAACAGAAGCGGTGGGATATACATCGCACTGGGGCTGATGCTAAGAGGCTAGTTGTAGCCAAAGCTATATAGAAGGTTAAGAAGTAACTACTGCTTGAGAAAAGGGCATTTTAAGTGACTTGAAACACACGAAACGACGAACAGATTAGCTGATATGAATAACAAAATAGTAAACTCAGAAAGACAACAAACAACGACCATAACGTAGATTTATAGGATTGGTGGTAGGAAAAAATGTCTCTCTCATGGATGCACATGTATAAGAGCATATCATCTCCGCATCAGCCTGGAACTCCCTTTTACCTTCTTGCTCCTATTATACTTCCATTCAGATGGGTCCATCAGTTACACAGCCATGGCTCGCATCACTAACTAGTTTGGCATATTTAGCCAATGTGCCCTTGGCTGCTCTCGGCTTGGGCGCCTTCCAATCCTTTCTCCTCTGCTCCAACTCCTCCGACGCAATCTCTAGGTCAACGACTCTCTTCTCTGCGTCAATCACGATGCGATCGCCATCTCTGACCAGCGCAATGGGACCCCCCTCCATTGCTTCAGGAACAACATGGCCAATCAGAAAGCCATGGCTGCCACCCGAGAATCTCCCGTCAGTAAGTAAAGCAACATCCTTACCCAAGCCAGCACCCATGATAGCAGAGCTAGGCTTGAGCATCTCCGGCATGCCTGGCCCGCCCTTGGGCCCCTCATACCGTATGATGACCACCGTCTTCTCGCCTTTCTTAATCTCCCCACGCTCCAGAGCCTCAATAAACGCATCTTCATAATCAAAACACCTAGCCGTACCCTCAAACCGCAGTCCTTCTTTGCCGGTGATCTTCCCGACTGAACCCCCGGGCGCGAGAGACCCGCGAAGGATCTGCAAATGACCCGTAGGCTTGATGGGATTACTGAGGGAACGAATGACCGGCTGGTCCGCGGGGAAATCCGGCCAGGAGGCGACATTCTCGCGCATTGTTTTGCCTGTCACCGTGACTCCCTCACCGTCAATCAACCCCTCCTTCAACAGGAATTTGAGCAATGCCGGCGTGCCACCGATCTTGTACAAATCGTGCATCACATACTGTCCCGACGGCTTCAAATCAGCCAAGAAGGGCGTCTTGTCTGACACAGCCTGGAAGTCGTCGATGCTCAGCTTGATCCCCACGGCGTCCGCGATCGCGATAAGGTGGAGGACCGCGTTCGTGCTGCCTCCGAGAATATTCACCACGATCATCGCATTCTCAAACGCCTGCCGCGTCATGATATCCCGAGGTCGGATATCTTCATTCAGCAGATTTTTGATGGTGGCACCCACGCCCTCGCACTCTGCGCGCTTCCTCGGATCGTCCGCGGGGGTACTGCTGCTACCCGGCACGGTCATCCCCAGCGTCTCGATGGCCGTGGCCAGCGTGTTGGCGGTGTACATGCCGCCACAGGCACCGGCGCCGGGACACGCATTCCGGATGATATCGCGCCGCTGCGCCTCGTCAATCTCCCCGGTCAGGAACTGGCCGTACGACTGGAACGCGCTGACCAGGTCGAGCTTCTGGCCGCTCGCGCTGCAGCCGGGCTTGATGCTGCCGCCGTACACCATCAGACTGGGCCGGTTGACCCGCGCCATGGCCATGAGCACTCCGGGCATGTTTTTGTCGCAGCCCGGCAGCGAGATGTTGGCGTCGTACCACTGCGCGTGCATGACCGTCTCGATTCCATCGGCAATGATCTCCCGGCTCTGAAGACTGTAGCGCATGCCCGCGGTGCCCATGCTGATGCCGTCCGACACGCCGATCGAGTTGAAGCGCATCGGGAGTAGGTTGGCGTGGGCCACGGAGTCACGCACGAGCGCCGACAGCGAGAGCAGGTGCATGTTGCACGGGTTCCCTTCGAACCAGACGGAGGAGATTCCCACCTGGGGCTTGTGCATGTCGTCTGGCGTGAGGCCCGTGGCGTAGAGCATGGCCTGCGACGCGCCTTGGGATTTGGGCTGCGTGATCTTCGAGGATACGCGGTTTAGGTTGGAAGTATCATAGTTGCAGCTGGGTCTGGAGGAGGAGAAGCACCGTCGTCTAGTAGAAGTGAGGAAGATGTCAGCTCGTGTGCGAGTGAATGGGATCGTGGAAAACGGGCGACAAACGTGTAGGCAGGGCTTGAGCAGGCCAATGAAGGCAGGACATGTCCGGTGCCAGTCACTTTCCGCCGGCTGGCCCTGAGAATCAACGCAGTCATGTTGAGATTGCAAGGAGTAGGTATGACTTCGATCCTAAATTCCTCGATGCCTTCAATTGACCATACCAGGTGCTGGGCCCTCCCTCTTATGTCCTTCCATCCTGCACTTGGTTCTATACCATCTCACCCAATATCTTCGGCTTTCTATGCGACATACTCCAGGTCTTCGGACTGCTATCCGAAATGTAATATGCAATAGTGGATGCAGGAGTCCCTCCGGTCTCTAATCCATTTCCTGTTTGGGGTTTGGTTACTGGACAGCTCCCTCGGACAAAAGTCCAACCCAATCAGCATGGCAGCATTACGGTGTTCAGCCCACTTTCTCCCCAGGGGCAGAAGCTTCTCTGTTTTGAGTCAAGGTCAGATCATCGCGGTCGAGTCTCCTGGATGGACTGAGTACGAAGTAAGCATTTCTTTTCTCTGATTCGGTGGGTTGGGATCCACCGCGCCCGGAGTTGGGAGACTGTTCCCCGGTGGATTGCTGGTGAGTAAGCATCATGGATGCCTGCATAATTTCCAGTTACACCATGTGCAGAAGCTTGAGGCTTACGGGTGTGTTACACAGTCGGAGCTGATTCCTGTGACAATTCAGATATGCCTTGGGAGAGGCATAAATCTTTGACGTGGTTGAGAATGTGGTAAGTAAGTGATGGTATACACTGGGCACCATTGAAAACAACATATACCTATCAGGCCTTTACTACAGTCGCAGCTGTCAATCGCCCTCACTTATAGTCCAAGGACATACTTAGGATGGATGGGAAATGATCGCAGACAATGTAGCATTCCCTGAAGTGAAGAACGCTTATCCCGGCTCTAGATCTAAGTATACTTGAATCAACTAAATCCAGCCATCCGTCACGTCCTTTTTTCAACGACTTTGAGCATCTTGCAATAACTACCTGAAGAAATCCCTTCCAAGAACCGGATATCTCCACCAAAAGCACTTTCTTGAAGATAATTACCATAAGGGCTACTTCTGATCCTTAGGTACCCTCCTTAGATGCTGACACCACCATCAAGGACAGTCCGACCAAGCACATGGACAGAATCCGCAACGGATTCGGGAAACCCAATCTTTCTTCACCGGAAAACTGCCAGCATCGTCCCAGAGAAAACCATTTACTCATTCCCAGTCCCTATACTCTGTACATACTAGTAATAGGTCTCCAGTCCGTTGTGCAGAGGGCCGCGAACCATCTCAGACAGCGGACGTCTTATCAAGCCGCAAAGCATATGCTTTCGGGGTTCAGCTTTCCACAACCTCGTGTCAATTTAATTTCAGTTGCTGCTGTGGATTCTAGAACTGTTTAAATGGCCCAATAAACCCATAATACGGATCAACAACCGACTTTCGTTGTGCACCGGCAACATGCGTAGTGCTTACACGTAAGAGCCGGGTGCCTGGATCAGCGGTGTTGACGCGGTAGCTTCTGCCTAAGTGACTACTGGGATAACTAGTGGTGCTGTTGCGATGTATACGCGGTAGCTTCTGCCTACGCACTGGTAAGTGGTGTTGTTGCAGATTTATGCTACTTTCTTTGTCTATAACTATGGCCTCAAGTGTGTGGCTACCATGGCGTATTTTCCAAATCTCAATCTTGAGGAACAGACTGTGTTTGAAGCATTGGACATCGATACTGAGGTGATCGATCGAGCAATTTCTCTCTTAATTTCTCACTGCACCCTCTATATCTACAAGCCCAGCACCACAAACACAATGTCCAACACCAACAAATTCTACCCGTACGCACCCACGCACCCACATCCCCTATACCCCGCCCCAAAAACTAACCACCACAAAACAAAAAAAGCTACACCACAAACGGCGGCCTCACCCTCGGCCTCACGACCGGTCAACCCTTCGCCCTCCTAGCAGCCGACACCCGCTCAACAACCGACTACAGCATCAACACCCGCACAGACCGCAAGATCTTCACGCTGCAGCCCGACACCGCCTCCCCCATCCTCCTCTCGGTCATCGGCTTCGCAGCCGACGGCCACGCCCTGCACGACCGTCTCGCCATACAAACCGAGATGTACCGGTACCGCCACGGCAGGCCCATGAGCGTGGCGGCGTGCGCGCAGCGCGTCGCGACGCTGCTGTATGAGAAACGGTTCTTCCCGTACCATTTGCAGACCATGGTGGCTGGGTTGGATGATGTGGGCGTTGGGGCGGTGTATTGTTTTGATCCAGCGGGGAGTTGCGAGAGGACTGAGAGCTGTGTGGGTGGTGGGGCAGGGAGTGTGGCTGGGGCGGTTTTGGATGCGTTGCTTTCTTCTTCTTCTTCTTCTGCTTCTTTGGGGGGTGGGGGTGGTTTGGATAGAGATCGGGCCGAGGGGTTGGTTCTGGATGTGTTTCGGAGTGTGGCGGAGAGGTGTATTGAGGTTGGGGATTATTTGCAGGTGGTTGTTGTGTCTAGGGATGGGGGTGTGGAGGAGAGGGTGTTTGGTTTGAGAAAGGATTGAGTTGCGTACTGCTTGAGATTGTATTGGTGGGATTGGAGGGGTGGTGGTGGAGGTTGTTCAACCGGATAGATATTGAGGTATGAGGTGAATGTCAGAGTTGGGGCTTCGTGAGGAGGCCATTTATGAGAGTATGCGTTTGATATATCTCATTGTCGAGCCATGTGTATGCCAATGTCTGTCCTCGCTTGCACTATCTATCTATACAATAGACATTGGCTTTTTTTTTTTTTTTTTTTTTTTTTTTATCCCTCCCTACCAGTCCGACAACGCTTCCGAGAGGTGTCACCGTGCCCGCTGACTGATAGCGAAGAGACCTGCTTCGTGAATCTGTGGAGAGGCGGCCTCACTTTCGCAAGACCATTCGCCTCTCCATTCTTGAAGTGAAGGAATTGAGAGGCGGATATCGCTGGCCGTGATGAGACCAAGCGTTCTGGATTATGCTACTGACCGCTGTTGCTGCTGTTGCTGCTGTTGCTGCTGTTGCTGCTGTTGCTGCTGTTGCTGTCAGCGTCGGCTTGCGCGTTCCTTTTCCTCACCTTGATATCAATCGCACAAGCTCTTTGCGCTGCATTACGATCCTGAAGGAAGCTCTGCGACGGCGCTGCAGCCATCCGGCTGCTTCGATAGCGCTCCTGTCGGCTGCTATTCTAGCGACTGTCTCTGGTCTGCATCATGCTCAACTATTGAGCTGGGAGCTACGAGGTGTTTCGAGCGGTCGTCGGCGCGGAGCGAACCCGTTGATGTTCGCAGTGACTGGGGATGAAGTTGCAGTGAGTCTGTAGTGGTTCGAAGTCATTCGTTTCATCTTGGAGGTCAAAAAACATGGATCATGTTGCTGAGCAAAATGCGCAGTGATGCAACAAGAGCTAGATAGTTTATCAGTCACCATGTAATGTGAAAGCAGCCATCTTATCTGTCGTTGCTCAGAAGAACATGAGTCTCTGCTGCGGAGCTCCGTGAAGTAAGGAGAGATAAGAGTCAAGGGTTAGCCCTGGAAGCCCAATGCGGCAAGTGCCCCTCTTAGCCCGTACTGTAGGTGGTCCGAGCTGCCCCTCTTGGGATCGACGTCAGCCAGCTGAGCTCGAGCTCCACGATAACAACGGCACTTAGACTATAGATCAGCCATTGCCTCGAGTTTCTCTTCAATTCCTCTTTCTCGGCCCCCAATACAAAAACCCTACAACCGGGTAACCGCCACCATGTCCAAGAATGCACCATCCAAGATCATCGCCCGAGGTCCATTGGTAAGTAAACCCGAGGTTCCCTCCCTCCCTCCCCGGAGCATGTCCACTGAAAGCCCAGACGGCTGCTGGTGACGTGACACAAACACCCCCAGCTCAGAAACGTCTCAAAGCCCAATCGAGCCAAACAAAAACACAACTAAAAATAGCACCGCAGGACCCTAGCGAAGCCAAATGGGCCCGACTGGTCAAAACGACCTACGCCGACCCCAACGGCGTCGAACGAACCTGGGAGTCCTCGGAACGGACGGTGAGTGCTCCCCGGGCCCGAAAATGAGAAGTACATTCTGGTTACTGAGACATCTCCAATCGATTTACGCGCCGGTCCAGACGCGCCCTGCCACCTGTGAGATCGATGGCGTCGGGATCGTGACTATCCTGAACAAGGAAACCGGGCCCGAACTGCTCCTGCAGAAGCAGTACCGGCCTCCCATTGACAAGATTGTCATTGAGGTGCCCGCTGGGCTGATTGATGCCGGCGAGACGGTGGAGGAGTGCGCCGTGCGGGAGCTGAAGGAGGAGACCGGGTATGTGGGTGTCGCGGAGCAAACGAGTAGTGTGATGTTTAATGGTGAGTGTGGTTCCTTTTGTCTTGAAAAAGTTGATGAGGACGCTGATGGTGGCGGGCTAGACCCTGGCTTCTGCAATACTAATCTGAACATGGTCCATGTCCGGGTGGATATGTCCTTGCCCGAGAACCAGAGCCCGAAGCCGGAGCTGGAGGATAATGAGTTCATTGAGTGCTTCACGGTGCCTTTGTCGACGCTGTTCGAGGAACTGAAGAAGCTCGAGCGGGAGGGCTATGCTATTGATGCCCGCGTGGGCACGATAGCAGAGGGTATTGAACTTGCGAAGAGGTTTAAGCTTTGAGGTAGTGGTGGAGGACTTCAGATTACGAAAGGGCCTACGCCGACTTTACGAAGCCTCAGAGACGTGGGGGCTGCTGACAACCTCCTCTCGTCTGGAGGTGTATATGTCGTGGCTCTAGAGTTTCCCCTCTTCTCTCAGACCCCGGTACAGAGCCCACGCGGCGAGGGTCTTCCCATCCCGCAGACCTTCCTTCCATAGATCCTTCAATGGCACCACTTTCAGCGTTATCTTCTCTCCATGTTGCCGTAACCCAGTCAGCCTACCCTGCAGGTCATCGATCTCCTTGCGTGGCATTCGCTTCTGGCACAAGAACAAAGGTATGAACTCGTCACTGCCGCCCGCCGAAGGGTACATAGCCCTTTGCAGCGACTCCTCGTCCTCTGCTACGGCGACCGACTCGAGGGCCAACGCCGTCATGTCAATTAGCTCCCCTTGGGGTATTTTCAACCCGGTCTCCTCCTGGATCTCCTTCGCCGCACCGCCCGCAAACGAGCCACTGTCGTCCAGCATGCCAGCAGGTATTTCTGTAAAGGCCAGGGATCCGGCCGGGATGCGAGGTTGGATGGTCAAGAGGACGCGTTTTTCTTCTTCATTGGACGGGGGGACATCGTCAGGTTGAAGGATGAGCTGTGGATGGAGCGAGTAACAAATCGATTAGTTCTTGCCATAAAGAAGTGGAGAAAAGCAGGGAAATACCAGCATGCCGACACTGCCACCGCGTAGGAAGACACTCCCCGGCAGCGTCTCGCCGTTCCCATTTGAGACCTCCGCTTTCAGCTTCACGAAGCCCAGGCGACCACCCCCGAAGTAATCCACTGCCTGGATGTCAATTTTGCGCAAGACGTAGGGATCCTGGGAGAATTCGTGGGACGGCTGTTGTTGACGGTCCAACGAGCGCTGCAGGGTGTTCAACCAGATCCGAAAGGCGGGGAACCGCAGCAGAGCATCTTGGCTCAAGTCTGCGGTGGATGAGACGGGAATAGATTCGGACGCCGCACGATCGAGGTCGCGAGGGATTGTGAAGCTCGACAGGGACATTCTTGAGGGTGCGAGGCGCACTGGTCTGGGAACAGTTCGTCGGAGGTGCACGGACAGCCACCGGGCGGGTGTCATTGAACGATCGAGCTAGCCGGGTTGGGTTGGGGGAGTGCGTGGGCTGGTTGGTTGATGAGTTGGCCGTTTTGTCTCACTAGATTAACGGATAAATTGATTGGATGAAAAAGGCAGAGTATCGGATCAATTTGGTGATTGTTTGTCGTCGAGCGAGAACTAAGCGAGATGGACTCGTTGGGCGACTCGATAAGCTGCTGTGACTCGGTTTGGGGTTGGCGGTTGGCGGTTGGCGGTTGGCGTTGGCGGCATGACGTCGGTTTCGGAAACCATCAACTGGATAGTCCATCTAGCCAAATACTATTCAGTAAGGTAAGAGTCTCATTCTCAAGAAAGGCATGACTGACTTTCCGTACTCCGTAGTCTATTTCCGCACTGCCCCCCTCCCCTCTCCCCGGCGCTGACTTCCCCTTTCCTTTGATTGTCTCCGAACTTGCTTATCCCCAAAAGTACCTTTAGCAAAGAGAGACAACGCAACAGACTTGAACTAACAACTAACAGACAACAGACTTTAGCCTTTTGGCCTGGCCCTGACTGGACCTTCATTGCCTTTGCCCCAGTCAACCAATCATGCCTGCAGCTCATGCTGTATTGTCCCCATCCAATGCCATCATCCACGGTCGAAAACTCCAGTACCAGTACCGGATGAAATGCTGCTCCTGGGCTGCTGCTCCGCAAGGCTCACTGGCAGTCTGTGCTTCTTCCTCGTCTTGTATGTACGGTAGGCGGGGTTAGACTCAGACCGATACGGAGTAAGTGGTCGAATATCCTTTCCCCGTGACTTTTGCTTTGTCTGAGAACGCATCGCCTCCTTTTCCCACCAGTCCAGCCGTGTTTGCTTTTCTTCTGCTCCTCCCCTCTTCCTACTCAGCTGCTGCGGTTGTCTTAGACCTTTTGTACCCGCTGCTGCATTCCCGAGCACTCCGGTTTGTGCCTTTTCTTTCTCCCTAGCTCTACCTTTCATTCTCCATGATTTCAAGGTGCGATCATTCTTAGACTGCAGTCTCATGCTGATTCTCCATATCTTAGACGTCGCGGCACTGCGTGGAATTTGTGGGTTTCAACAAAGCTGTGTGATGCCGGTTGAGCTGAGCCAGATTTCAAGATTTTTCGAAGTCAATAGTCCCTGCGTGCCAGCACACTTGGCCTAGATCTGGAACTCAGCCAAGTTTCGCTTGAACATGCTGTGACTCTTCAGGTTGCTCGCCTCGCCTTGAACGCACATCCTTTCTTTCTGGAGCCTGACGAACGTCTCGAAGACAAACAAGGAAAGGTTTATCTCGCAGTCCATGGTAGGCAAAACGGCTTCTGTGCAATTCCGCATCTGGGGGAAGTGTACTTCCTCGAATACCAGGCGAAACACATTACCGCACAGCATCCGTCTTGCAGTTCCGAGCTCGAAGATCCGCTGAGCTACAAACACTATAGATCAAGGTCAGAAGATCAGGGTGGTGGGCAAGAAAAAGGCCACGTGGAGAGAGCAACAATTCTCTCACGTTTCCTCTGTTACTTCACTGCCCCGTGACTCGCAACAGGTCAACTTTGAATGATGATACTGCTACTTCGTCATATCATCGGACCGAGCTGCATTGATCGATATGATGTTGGCTATCTTGATCTGAGCCAATTCGTTTCCCGCTTCCTGGATCGTTACCTTATCCTTGACAGCAACCCAAAAGCGGTGTTGAACCTCAATTTATACTTGATATCAAGAACCAGGGCATGAGGCCGCCTCGGATTGTCCTTGTTCCTTGACGTGTGGTACTGCTCACCTGCCATCCCACTCCCCACTGCTGCGCACTGTGAATATCTAGCAGAGATTTTTTTGGTCTTTTTTTCTTCTTGAAAAAGAAAATAACTGCTTTCCAGTGAATCTGAAATTCGCGATCAGAAGTAGCTTTTTCTTGACCTCTCTACCTCAATCTCGATTCTCTTACACCTACTTTTACTGGCCCAACTCCCTGTCCTGTCACCTCCCGTACGTGTTTTAGTTCTCCCAAGCACACCGCATTCTACAAATCTACTGGATACCCATTGGACCTTCGCTTAGCATTTTCAAAGCTTGGGAAGAGTGGATCAGACTGAGCATAACACGAATTCCTAACACGCGTGTCATCTGTTTTCGCGTCCAAGTTATACGTCAGACATCGCACGCGGTAACACGACAACACTGTATCGGTCTACCATGGCAAGCTCGTTCAACTCCTCCATCGCAGAGCCGTGTAATACAGACACATGGACCGGTTACGCGGCTCCGTCTGGCACCACTACGCTTTCAAACTTCGGAGTCTCTGATACACCTAACACCCACCGAGATTCTCTCATTTCATCTGTTGGCTCTAATGATGGAGATACAATAATGTCCGACTATGCCAACAACCAGGATATTGGGATAAATAATGGGGTTGGAGGCTTTATGCCCCAAGAGACTCCAACAGAACCTCCTCCTTGGGATTACTCTCAAACTCGTATTCCACCACAAAGACGCAGGGTATACAACCAACTTTCAATGGAACAGGAAAGGCTCTTTCTCAACCAGGCGCAGGGTGGGAGCCAAGCTACATACTATGCAAGCCCTTCCGCACCTACAACTGCTCAACCTTCGAATAGCATGGATAGTCAAACTAGCGGACTCCGACTGACAGGCCTATTGACCCCACGAACCTACTCAAGCCCGACTCCATTAGAGCCTAGAACAAGCAACCATGGACCAGTTCCGCCATCTGATCATTTGTCCTGGGGGCCTAGATCACAGCCAGTAGCCCAAGGTGTCCTATCAAGTGGAACCGTGCATGGACCAAGCCAGCGGCTACCGCAACAGCAGCGTCCTATGTATAGCATGCCTCCACCATCAGTTTCGCATACAGGTATTCATAGCATTCCTTCACCATCGGCTTCACTGCTCAGTAATATTGTGCCACTTGCGGAGAGTCCGGCAACGGTATCAACGGTACCAACTTGGACACATCACCACCTTGCAACTTCCAGGCCACTGCAACAGCAGCTACAGCAACCGCAACCGCAACCGCAACCGCAACAACACCGTCAGCATCAGAACCAGCAACCGCACCAGCACCAACGGCATGATTCCTTCCCAACAAGGGAGCCTCCCACCGCGCCAAGATACCCCAACCCAGCTGTCCCGACGCGGGGACCTCAACTCGCAGCTTACGGTAGGGCACAGGCAGGCGCGGCGAATGCACCTGTGCCAGCGCCCATTCCTGTCAACGCTCAAGCACGACTGAACGAGACACAACGGCCACAATACGTGACGGCGATGCAGCAACAAGCCACTCGGATGGATTCTCGCGTTGTACAGGATTACTCCAACGCCCTCTACAGGAATCAACGCCAGCTTCAGCGCCAGCGAGCCGCCGCAAACCAAAGCCTGCATCCGGTGAAAAGTCTGGACAACAAGACCGACGGCCGTCCGGACCCGAAGGAGTCGGAAGACCTGAACGTCAGCCTTGAGTGCAAGATCTGCTTCACGCAATTGGTGGACACGGTCATCCTGCCATGTGGCCACGCGGTCCTCTGCCGCTGGTGTGCAGACGTCCATATGCCGAGCTGTCGGAATGACCCGAACCGTCTGGAGGGCAATCCGATCTGTCCGATTTGTCGTGGGACAGTGAGGCACAAGGTAGGTCAGATAGACACGCTACGGATCGGAAAAAAATGTCTGCTAATGTGTTCTAGTGTCGTATTTACTTTTCATGAGTCGTCAATGCCCTGACGGTTCGGTTCGGTTCGGTCAGTGCTGATTTGTACGCGGCGTTTGGTATCGATGGAAGATGAGCTGTCTTGTCATGTCACTGCATTCTAGAGCAGGTCAGATTCCAGAATTGCGATGTAAGAGTCGATCTGCGCGAATTGTGCTATCGCCTTTTCAAAAAAAATTCTTTTCAAATTTTGAGTGTGGGGTAAACATTTGGATGTGTGGTAAACGAAAATCATATCTGAGTTCCTGTCTGATCCCCCGGATATCAGCAAGCATCCAAGTGTATGTCATCCGCAACGCAGTCAAGAACGCTCCGTAGTTAGCCATGAAATAAACCAGATCATCTACATCATGGGACAAAGCTTCAAGGAGGGAAAAATACCACAAGCCCGGTCAAGCATATCACGCCGCAACATTGCAGCCACCCCCATGGAACTATCTACACATAAGCAGCTAAGGATACCCCAGAAAACAACCCCCAAAGGCCGACAAACCCCGGCGAAAAAGACAAGAGATTTACCCCTTGTTTCCAATCAAGGCAAAGCCTGTTTCTGACCCTGTTCATTCCCAAACCTTACCTTACTTCCTTTCTTCTCCCCGATATATCCTTTCCGGTCATTCTTCCCGGACCCAATGCCCACGTCTTGTCCCACCATCAAAGAGCTGGAAAAGTTGTCAACAACTCGATCTGGATTTCACTATGGGCTGAGCTGGGCGCAATCGAGTATCCCTCTCCGATACGATCCGATCGACGCCCTTTTATTGGCAGATCTACGATGCGTGTTTGCCGTCGTCTGTTTCATCGGAGATCTGTCGATTGATGTTTGATCCCTCGGCTTTTTTTATTTCCTCCTTGGGGTGAAATTTGTAGTCTTGATTGTCTGTTGCAGTGCTGTCTGTCAATGAGAGTGTGACTATCCCTGTCACATGGAGGATCTTGGTTTTTGTTCTATCTAGGTTAATTGGCTTCGGGCTTGTCAGTTTCTGACCCTCCAGATGCAGGTCATGACTCGGTGAGTCGTGTGTCATTCACCGCTGGCTGGCTGGCTGGCTGGCTGGCTGGCTGGTACTTGTCGAGCTGTCGCGAGGCCTTGGTTCTGGTATTTTTGTGCTATCAGAGATGCATCGGGTGCATTCATTTGAGCTGGCAAGCAAGGACCCGCCCGCGTTCATGTTCTGGGTCTGTTTCTTGTCCTGGTCTTGCTTGTCTATCCCGGAATCTGATTCAGCTGCGCTGCTTGGGTAGTCTGTTTGTCTGGCACTTGTCTGTCGGGCGTGAAATCAGCTAACTAGCTAGCCATATTCAGGAAGCGGGGGAGGATCGATCAGCTAGACCCATCTTTGCCTTTCTTGAATTCCTGGAATGCCACTAGGCTCCTCTACTCACTTCTAGACTAGGTCGAGGTTGAAAGTTGAAAGTTGAAGGTTGATCGCATCGCATTTCCTTGTCGCTTTTCCCCCGCCATCGCTGCTTCTACCTCTGGGTCTGTGCATTATGTCTCTTGGTTATCGATTCCGATTGCAGCGTTGGACGTTGGATCCGGTGAGCAAGGTCTTAGAGAGTGCTGGGGTGCTTGTTCGTACGATCTGTTGGGATCAAAGTCTAGCTGCACTCCGTAGTTTTGCGACGATTTAACCTATCCGGTTTTATGCGAGGAGAACAACGAGAAAGAAAGTTCTGTCAGATTCCCGGTTCCCGGGTCAGTCGTCCGAGGTCTGTCCGATCGTCCGATGACCAGGAATGAGAATCAAGGTCGGAGTTGGTCACGCGACATTTATGGTAGCTGCTATATCTCCGAGTCGGATCCGATGAGAGGGGCAGTGCGCTGGTTGTGCTGATTGACGACGTTCATTGGATATATGATAGTTTTGTGTTGAACCGGCCTTGGTTCTGATGACTCTAGTTTACTGCCTGCCTTAGCTATCTCATTTGAGCGGTGTTCATTTACTCAGGTATACATATGCTAGTATTGAGAGCGAATAGTCGGTGCTTAGACTTATCTGAACCACGCATATCTATTTTACGGGATACCTAACCGGCCCTCTATTCTTCGACAGCTCGAACCTCTTCCCCACAGTAAATGTATGAATTTCGACTCTATGCTATCTAGAATACGAGCTTCTGCCTTGTAACACCCACGAGTAACCGAAGTGAACAAAGTACACCGTAAACAGGCCAAGCAATTACAGTCCTGCGGCATGATGAAGTCATACATGGAAGCGTACTCGAAGCTGATGGGACAGAACCCGGCGAACTCCCAATCAAGAAGCCACAGCTGACCTCCAGTCAGGAGAAACAAGAAGGTTTCGCGGGCAAGATCTGGTGAGTGAAGACAAACTTCGTGCCTATTGGTATTGGCTCGGTGGCATCTGGCATGGGGTCTTGATCCACGACTTGCATTACCGGCGGCATGGATGTGAATTGCGGCCAGCATTGGATAAACTGATTGAGTTCTCTGGGTCCTGAACGGGTAGGAAGACCGTACTTATCTTCCAGCCAGAAAGGCCTGCATTCGCCTGTCGCGAGCGACCCGGCGTTTGGCAGGTGACGGATCGCGGGATTTTTATGCATCAGCGAAGCTGTAGACCAAGCTTGAGAGTCGTGAACAGCTGTCCAGATGACGTCCAATGTATTTCCCTCGGTTCGATCCACGATGATGTAAGTATTGAACAATCTATAAACTGTCCTTCGTACAGTAGGGCCGACCGCGTAATCCAAGTCTTTTGGCAACCTCCATAGCCTCCATAGCATCTTCTGTCTCTGTAAATGTATAGTTTGTAGCTATGAAATTTGAGGAAAGGTTGCACACCCGGCAACTAGATGTCATATGGAGAGGAAAGGGACATGCTTGATCAATTCTGTATCGGAATAGCCTTCCAGTAGGTCCTCACTGAAGTGCGGATCCATATTGATAAGCAAGAAATTCCACTAAGAAATGAAGCAGACAGGTGAAATGACTTCCCAGCTTTACGATATGAACCTGGAAGTTTGTCTTAGTAGGTAGCGATAAAGATAAATGCAAGTTGGGGTTATGTGGCAGAAACAGCTTTCGTGACATGGCGCCCCCTCTTTCAACGCGAGCTTCCCTTGGAACTGTGACTTGCTTTTTCTCTGGCGAGTTTGTTCTATCAGTTTCGGACCTATACTTGAATGGCATTACCCCACATAAGATGTTGACAGGGATTTGCAGTGAGGAGTACCCGCCGTGTTGTAATTGTGGCGATTTAGCAGTCTCAGTTAATCGGGATTCTGTGTTCAAGTAGGAATCCGCACTGCAACATTATAATATACGAAAGACATCCCAAAGCCCACTGCATGGGTGTCTGGGGTACAAGGATATCAACTCCAACTTCGATCATGAAGGGATTATCAATTCTTCGGAAATAAGTTCCAGATTGCCGATGAGGAAAGTACTATCCCGCGCAGCATTGTTGTTTGTTTTCGGATTCTCTGAAGAGCCCGTAGCGAGCGAAATGTCTTTCGGCTGTCAGTAGTCGCCTTTGTCGATCGAATCTGACGTTCCATATGCACACGGGGAGGGGGCGCGGTCGAACCAATAGACTGTATTGGATTGGCACGAAGTAGCTACCGCAGTCGCAGCTTAGACGGATGAGATTCCGCGAATGAAATTGCGTTAGCGACTATAGCTAAGTTTTCGACGCTGGTGCATCTATACCTAGTGGGCTATTTCGACACTATATTCAAAGAGGGCCATCTTGCATGTAGGTCTGTTCTGCATCATATATGAACGGAGATGAAGCCAAGGTATGAGAGGGGGACGAAGGAAGATCCGGCTGAATTGTAATCGGGGATATGCACAGCAAGGGTAAATGGCAGCCTCTTTCTGGTTCGTCCGAATTCGAGCTACTCGTCCATGACCATGTGCTGTCAGCCGACGTGACTTGCATGATTGGCGCTGGAGGTACATGGTCAGGTACTCCGTACCTGAAGCGGGGTTCATCACCTTTCTCTTTATTGAGTCGTCCCGTCTGAAGGGAAAGGAGAAACCGACGATCCATCGTCAATTCGGTTGGTTGTTTGTTCGAGTTTGTGAACAACCTCCTGCGGGAAGAAGAGGAAGGATGCGCCAAGGAGCGGCAATGCGCATGGCCGGGTATGGGCCGTATGGATTAAGGCAGCCACTAGACTGGATTGGTTTGGCTGGTTCGTCGAGCAGCTACTTCACTGTAGTTATCTAAACTAGTGGTTAGCGGTCAGTAGGCTGATCACCGATAGAAACTAGTGGTTCTTGCGCTAGGATTGTTGAACGTTTCGCAATACTAGGTAATACCATGCAGACCAGGCGGTACTGATTAGAGTGTCTGCTGAGACAATGAATGCTGAGTTATCTCAACTAGTAAGTCTTGGAAGAATAATGCAATGTGTTGCCTTGGTCCGAAGTAGCATTCTGTGGTGTATACAGGCTTATGCATGGAGAGCATGTTTGTCTGCCTTGGTTGAGAGCTGTTGACATGGGTCGGTGTGGGTACAATAGTATGGATGCAGATCAGCCAGGTCGCTGAATGAGGACAGGTCCAATGTCGTGTCTGATAACAAAGGCTTCCTTAGGAAAACGATTATCTAAAGTTAGACTGGTTGCTGAGGAAAGAGCTGTTGTTGTCAAGGCTGGACTGAAGACTGCCGAGCCCGGCACTTTCGGCAAGTGCTGTGCGTACAGTAGTAAATATCGTACACCATGTGAGCATCCTCTCTCTTGTTCCATAAACTGAGTAGAATCAGTTCAATTCCAATCGTGATTACTGAACTTGTTGTACATGTATCATGTACAGTACGAAGCTTTTAGCAGCCAATGTTGAATATTTGCCAACTGCATACTGTATACTGTACTGTGCCTATGTACGGTACAATTTTTTTGAGCATCGGATTTCAGTGCTATTTCAGGAGTAAACTTCAGTTGCACTAATCTCAAACTTAAGTTTGAGCTACAAGGCCTCAGCACGGTCCGCGGCTCTGGCCCGATGTCAGTCAGGCAGAGAAACTCTAACAATGGCGCATTGGCAAGCTGAAGCTATAGCATGCCTAACTATAGTCAGGCACTAGGCTTTGCAGAGAAGATCCCTCTGACACCGGAGTTATACGAGCCGGTGGAACCACAGGCCATCATAAATACTAAGGACCTTACGCTCGGACTGAACTGAGCGCAGATGACAAATGCGATACGAGCTTTCCTACTACAGCTTTCCTGGCAGATACGAACGACTTATACCCAAGATCATAAGGATTGCAGGTACCACAGTCGAATATGACTATCCTTTGCGAGGAATCTGTGACTCGGGCGAAAGCGCCGCGCACCACCAGCCTTATTCGGACTGCCTGGGCGATCAGGCCCTGAAAGTAGAGGCAGTGGCACCAAGCCTTGGACGTTGAACGTGGCGCGCTGATCATGGGCGATGCCCCTTTCACACGGTATTTGCCCAAACAAAAGTAATGTAACGAATGAAGCCCATGGCTGTACGGAGTACGACTCTAATGGTGTCAGTAGCTTTCACCAGTGTGCTCTTGCCCAAGCCGCTCGAGATGCAATCTCATCGAATACGAACACCGAGGGCACCCATAGACGGCTCCGACAGGGTTACCTCGCAGAATTTCGGTCGGTGCCTATCATTAGATCGAATAAGCGGTGTCCATGCAAGGGTAAACCCGATTATTTGGAGCCGACGGGATTGACTCCTAAGGATAAGAGACAGAAAACGGCTATTGCGGCTGTCTCGGGTGAAGACTCCGGCTCAATAACAAAAGAAAAAAGGGCCAGACCATCTGCAGGGCTGTGAGTAGGGTCGTCGTAGAGGCAAGAAAATGTCAGGCGGACAATGGCGTATGCGCGATCTGTTGATCGACAACGAGTCATGAGGTATCAAGGGGGAAAGATCAAAATCAGACGCCGTACGGCGAACTCTCGATTTGCCAAATGAATGCGATCTGATGAGCGTTAACGGCCTGGACTCTAGAATGTGGATCAATGGTAACTATCAATGACTTCGCGTGGTCAGTCGTTCGAGAAGACTCGATGCGCACCCTATGACGCAAGGGCAAGCCATCATCATCCCTGGAATTAAGCTTGTCGGTTGAGTGGCAGCGATGAGTATTTGATTGAACGATATCGGCAGCCTGCTGCTGCATGCAAGGAGTGTGGGTGGGTGTCCCAAATTGTCGGGTTCGGCGTCGACGTCGCAGGATCCACCCGCATGAGACTCTCAGTGTTGATAATCAACATTGGTGTCAATACGCATGTAGGTAGACTTTCCGATGCACATTCTCTCGAAATACGGCCTTACCGTTGAACAAAGTTCGGGTGAGATGATGAATTAGTGCGACATGGGACATGGGCATTAATGCATGGGTTCCTGATTTCGGATGAGCTTGACAAGGCGACCGACCCGTTGACAGCTCTCCTAATCTGGGCATAAGCACTGAGGGAAAACACTGATTTGGAAAAACATCCTGTGACATTAGTTGCTGTCTACTGAATCGAAAGAATGAAAGAAAGGAGAGCCTCAACGCCACCGAAATGCGGCCTTTTTGTTTTGTTCTTTTCAAGGTTGCCGATTGAAGGCGAGTCGCGATCAGCGAGACAGGATACAGGATCGCTTTCGTCCAAAGAATAGGATAAAATAAAATAAGACAAGAAGAACTGACGAGAACTGTGACGGAGTGGGATGATAGATCCTTGATGCTGTTCGCAAGGGAGTCGTGGGAGAAGTATGGATGAAGTCGAGAAGGACAAGCTGTGACGAGACAAGACAAGGCAACCAGGCAGGCAACGACGGCGACGGCGGTGGTGGGCTTTCTGTCAGTCTACATTACCGGAACATTACCAGATAGATTACATCTCTACTTTACTCCCAGCCAGCCAGCTTCGATCGCGCGAAATTCTGCCCCTCGGCTTGACTCGTGCTTGCTGCTGCGGGCGGGCTTTGGCCCTCCAAGGCTTCCAATAATTCCCTCGCCTTCCGTCTCGGCACTTGACTTACTTACTAGCACTTTACAACCTTTACACCCTTTACTTACCTCACATCTCCACTTCGCTGTTACTTTAGCCTCTGTCGCCTTTTGAGATACATCTCTTCTTCATACAATTAACCTTCCCCCCTCTCACCAGGTCGAAGCTAGATACGGAGTACTCATTCTGCTCCTACTCCCCAGCGCAGTTTCCTTCTGTCGAGGGCGCTTCAGCTGTTCGTGCGCCTTTCCTCGGTGAACCGGTTTGCTCGCACTGGCGTCCCAGGCAGAGATGGGGTTAGTTGCCTAAAGAAACCTAAACCATTTTCATGTCTGCGCTCTTATAAATAGTATTTCCCTCTATTTCCTATTGTTCTCTCCCAGTCAAGCATTATCGCGACATCTTGCGCACGTTTACCCGACACTGTCTCTGGTTCAAGCCCTTTCACACTATCTCGTGCGTATTCCCAGACTTCCTCAATCTATATCCATCTCTCGCTTTCTTGCCTACGGGAAGAGGACCCACGGGATAGGGGGTGAAAAGAAGGAATAAGAAGACACTTCAGAGTTCTATTTTCTTTCTCTTCATCACACTTTCCCAGTCCAATTCATCATTGTCACTGACGGAGAACTGATTTCCAACCAGATGACGTTGTTACATAAGCTGCCAACACAATGAGTGACGGAAATGATGGTCAGGAACCTCGGTCAGGTTGGCATCACGATTCTGCCGATGGCGACGCTGAATCTCTGAGGTGAGTTACCCCCATCTCTTTGCAGATTTTGCCTCGCTGTTGTTTCTTGGATGCATGTCTAGTCGGAAAGTTTCCCAAGTTTCTGATCTTATGTGCAGAAAATCTTCTTTGCCATCGGTTCGGGGTGATGGTTCTCCGGCTAGTTCAACGATCACCAACCAAGCCGTCCACTCAGCCAGTGCCTCATTTGCGCCTGAAAGAAGTGCTTCTAATGGTACCGTTCCAGTGGACTTGGTTTCGGATGGCGCCAGTGAGCAGGCTCTTGGCTTCAACTCATCGGCTATGTCAACGAAGCAGCGCCCTCGAAGATGGGAAGCAAATAGCAGTCGAGGGTCCTCTCCATTCCGACCACGAAGCTCAAAAGCGATCGGAAAGAAAACGAAGAGCCGTAGTTCGCCCGGCAGAGTCGCAACTCTACCACCGTTCGCGGCCCACGACTCAAATGCGCCGCGCGGTGACCGCACTCCGCCTTCGCAACTCCAGTCAGAACGATTTCATCTCAGTCCAACTTCATCTGACGAACTATCGCTGACGCGGAGCGCCAGCCCGGAAGAGGCGGCCTTGACCCAGCGGTCACGTGAGTCGTCGGAGGACATCAGCTATGGCCGAGAATCCGCGAGACAGTTAAGCGAGGAGCAGAGTCATGTGGGAATTGGCACTGAAACAACTGGAGGTACAGCATCGCATGGGCTCCTTCTGCAACCGGAATCTGATTTTAAACCTTTAACAGAAGAGAATCGGATCAATGATATCCGAGCAACTTATTCTGGTCTAGAAATGTGCGAGAATAGCGTCATAGCATATGACAAGCAACTCCTCGCCATGGATACTTTGGCCACGCACCTCCAACTTCAAGTGATCACTGACCTGCATTGGACGCTAATGAAAGAGCACCATGATTTCTTCTTGGCCTGCGCAAATCCCCAAGCAAGCCCAAGTGTGAAAAGCCTTCCCGAAACATACATGATGCCAACTCGCTTGTGGCGCCACGGAATTCATGACTACCTGGAGATGATGCGTCATCATCTCCCGCACTCCCTTGAGCACATGTTGTCTTTCATTCACCTCGCCTATAGCATGATAACAACTTTGTTACTGGAAGCGCCTGCATACGAAGAGACCTGGATGGAATGTCTAGGAGATATCTCAAGGTACCGAATGGCCACGCGAACTGCTGACATGCAGGAATCCGAATTGTGGGCTGGCGTTGCAATGACTTGGTACAATCGAGCAGCTGACCGGAACCCGGACATGGGTAAATTCCAACACCATCTGGGAGTCTTGGCTCGACATGATGTCACACAGAAACTCTTCTATTACACAAAATCTCTCCTCGTCGGGCAGCCTTATCTAGACACGGAGACAAGTGTTCTCGACATCTTCAATCCGTTTTTGAAAGACTCTAAAGCGATGCACCGTTTTCCACCGATCAGTGCATTCATTGCTGCGCACGCGTTCCTTTTCACCGGAGACGTGAACGACGACGTCCACGATGCCGTTAATACCTTTTTATCGCACTTGGATCAGTACGTGGTTCATCTCGGAGAGACATTCATCTTGCAAGGTTTCTTCATCTCAGCTTGTAATCTAGCGGCCGTCCTGGAATACGGGAACGAGGATGCACTTCTATCACTTGAACTCGATGAATCAAATGAAAGCAAACCAGTATCCGTTCAAGACTGGATTGCATCGGCCGCTTCTCGTTGGACTTTGCCGGATGACCTTGAGGCGGTGCAGAACGAGTTGCTCGCCTCCAGAGACTCGCCGGATCTGTCCCCGACATTTTTCTACGGCTCTTATATGGCGTATCAGACAATGTCGGTGCTCCTCGATCGGATTGGCGACAAGAATATCTACGCCGCATGCCATGTCTACCTCGCGTTTCTGTGGTGCCTCGCGTTGACCCCCACAGGGATGAAGCATATGGAGGCTGTCATCCCGTGGAGGAAAATCTCTGAATTTCTCAATTCTTTGTTTCGCAGCTACATCAAACCGCACATCGCGGAAAGGTCTGAGTTTCCGGTGTCTGAGGAAACCACCTGGGTGGCCGAGGATTTTCTCATCAGAGGACAGTGTTGGGCCCAACGCTTCTATCCCCCATCGTTCTTTGACGGTGCGCCTACTGTAGACTACGGGAGGCATGTTGAGCGGCCATCTCGTGATATAACGAGAATGTATAGATGCCTCTGGCTGGGCATAAGGCTTTCCGGGGTAAGCTCTCATTGAACCTGGTGTCACAATGATATACTGATGGGAGGCAGTTCAACCGTTGGATTACGTATGACTCTGAGACTCGAAAATTCTCCACGACTCGCTTTGCTCTGGACCTCGAAGAGATCGCCGAGAAACACAATCCTTTTGCAACACAAACAAGCAAAGGAAAGCAACCATCGCAGCGTGCGAAGGTGCCCTAGTCTTGAAAGATATCATGCAAACGACCGGTATAGAAAGGCTCAGCACTTCTTGCTAGTATTATAACCCCAACTACAGAAGACAATAGAACAGGAAGACTACCGGGCTAACGATCTGTTATACTGATCGGTTGTGACCTGAGTCTCCTAGCCGAAGGTTGACCTCTCAGGTGGTTCGGGAGCATACGAGGCTGAGGGCAGCGGCCAGGCTCATAATCCATCCAGCGCATCAACTAGACCCAGCCAGTCTGGACAGGAAACCCGATTGTCGTCTGCTTTCTAGATAACGGCTCTATCAATGGTCCACCGATCCATTGAAGCCGGGAGGCAAAGGTGCTCAGGCTCCTTGATTCGTGTCAGGCTCGTGCCTGGCCTCATAGCAGAAGGTTCTTTGTTTCAATAGCTCCGATAAGACCTATAACTACGGTTCATCAGCCATGAGATAAATGTTGGTCAGAAGTCCGAATATAACATTTTCGATTACCGGCGAAAGGAGCGGCTTGCCTGGAACCTAAATTGCCCAAAGATGTTATATGCGAGGAAGAACAATAAATAGAACGAAAAGGTCTCCACCGGGTGACGACTCAGGCCGCGCAAAAAGGACAGGTGGTGGTCGTTCCGTCGCGCGGCCTCGGCGGAAGGAGCGGAGTTAAGTTACTGTGCTTAGTCTCAACTTGGTTACCTTACTTAGTAACCTTACTCTGGATGGTTGTAATTAAACCCGCCTGCCTTCTCGGATCAACCACGTTGCCTCCACTTCCCCCTCAATAGTCAATAGGATGGCCATCTCCCTCACTCTGGGATCGCTTCCCTCTCCCTCCTAACTGTTACTTTATTCACCGTGACCGTTCACTTTTCCTAGGACAGTTTCCGTGTCGCATGGCTGGCCAGGATCGGATTGTCCCTATTTTTATCCCTCTGAGCACTTGAGCTCCTCCGCCCGCGGCGACTGTGCCATCGCTCCTTCGTATCCCCCCGTCCGACGACTGGTTAATCTACACCATGGCTCAAGAAGCGTGGTCCGACATCTGTGTCCAATGCGTGGAGCTGCTGGCTAATGTTCCGCTCTCCGTCCTGCTCGTCACCTTTGCCGCAACCTTCACTGGATTCCTTGTGCTGGTATGTTTACTCCTGGTCCCGCTCTACTCCCTGGGTGCACTCGGCTCCCTGGCTTCAATTACCCCGAGCAGTAACTAACCGCGTGATTGAGTTCTAAAGGTCTACGCTACCCTTTACGCGGTCGCACCTGTACCACGGAAGCCATATCCCGAAGAAAAACGATATCGAACCCTGACTAAAGATGGAGCGATCACGGAACCTCAAGAACTACCTTGCTGGCAGGATACTCTGAACGCCAAGAAGCGTGCCGGTCGGATCCTCGACGATCCGTCCGTGGAAGAGCCGGAGCTATTCCTTTCCCTGGTCGTGCCCGCCTACAACGAAGAAGATCGTCTGGGGGGCATGCTGGAAGAGGCTGTGAACTATCTGGAACGGATGTATGGCACGGTGACCAGCTCCACCCCGAATGGCGCGGGCTCTGGTGTAGCGGAGGAGACTCTCCGTCAACGCAAGCTGGCGAACGGGCATGCCAATGGCAGTGCGACGTATCGCCCCGTGCACGACAACAAGGGCTGGGAGATCATCATCGTCTCCGACGGGTCCAAGGATAAAACGGAAGAGACGGCGTTCACGTTTGCTCGCGATCATCAGCTCTCGCTGCATCCAAAGGGTTACTCTGGGCCCTGGACCCCGGGCACGCAAGAGGGTGTCCATATTCCGCCCGGGACGATTCGAGTGGTGACCCTGACTGAGAACAGAGGTAAGGGCGGCGCTGTGACCCATGGCATGAGACACGTTCGTGGCCAGTATGTGGTATTCGCGGATGCCGATGGAGCCAGTAAGTTCGAGGATCTCGGTAAGCTGGTCGCGGCCTGTCAAGGGGTCGAGGATGCTCAGGGTCGCGGTGTGGCTGTGGGCTCCCGCGCCCACATGGTTGGAAGTGAGGCGGTGGTCAAGGTAAGGTTTATCACGCTTCTGATGCACTACTCAGATTTCGAATCTTACAGGATGGCTCTTGCTAATCGGTGTCGGTAGCGATCCAAATTGCGCAATTTCCTCATGCACTCGTTCCATTTCATTCTCCGGCTGTTGACTCCCTCCAAAACCGCCACCATCAAAGACACCCAGTGCGGATTTAAGCTTTTCACGCGAGCCTCCCTGCCCTACATCATCCCGTTCATGCATTCCGAAGGATGGATTTTCGATGTGGAAATGCTCATGCTGGCCGAGTTCGCTGGCATTCCAGTGGCTGAGGTGCCGGTGGGCTGGAGAGAGGTCATGGGAAGTAAATTGAATGTGGTTCGAGATAGTGTCGGCATGGCCTGGGGATTGGCTGTTTTGCGGGCCGCGTGGTTGCTCGGCATTTACCAGCGCACCTGATATATATTCGGCCTACAACGAGAACCTGCGGCAAGGGGACCGTAATATAGTTTCATTAATGTGATTGTGTCCTTGAACCGGTAATCGATTGTCTGAACGGTGTCTGCTCTAAGCTAGGTGCATTGGGGCGTGGGACATCGTCCCTCATTCGTCATCGGTGGCAAAATCCAGGACCGGCACATTGGAACATTCCTCAAACGCGGGGGGAGAGATTGCATCACTGGCGAGTCAAAGATAGCTCAAAGATTGTGATTGCTCTCAATCTGTCTGTTGGTCTTCTCAGATGCCACGCAGATAGAGCTTATTTGGTTACACAGTGGTGGCATGGCCCCTTTTCCATTCCGGTGCATCATTGATTCATACTAAGTACACTTTGTCTTCCTTCCATCGGTGGGCACGGGTCTTCCCGAGAGCCTCGTCCTGTCGATAAACTTTGTGAATAAACTTCTGGGCCGGAAAAAAAAATTGCAAAGAAAAGAGAAGAGAAAAAAAAATCGGTCGGTCCTGGTCCGGTCCGAGTCTCGTCACTTTTTTTTCTATTCCTGATTGCCCCCCTTTTGCCGTCTTCTTCAAATTGGTTGAATGATGCCGATGTGAGGTGATGTCCTAAAAAGAGAGGGTGGTCTGATATTCTCCCGTCTTTTGCTTTTGGCCCCGTTTTCTAGTCCTCGTTTTTCTGCTGCTGACCCGGGAGCTGTTCCTTATACATCCATTTGCGTTATCAGACGGCACTTGGCATGATCTGATCGACCTCTTGATCGCACCCTCTCTGCGGTGGCCAGAACTTGTCTGCTGGCCTCTACGACGCCTTGCCTGACGTGGATCGTCTCGAGTGTGGTCTTTATAACCGATCCCAACATAGATCGGGTATATAAAGCAACTGGGCGGCTAGTACTACCAGCTGGTCTGATCTAACTGAAACTAGTTGATTCTTCAGACCCCGTCTTCAGGGGGTCTACTTACTAGCTCGCGACTATATCTGCTATCTGATTATCTTTACATCATTTTCCATCATCGTCTTCGTGACTTCTATTGAATCTACACAATGGGTGTTCCTGAGCATATAGACCATTCGGTCTCGCCGTCTCAGAAGAAGACGGCAACCATGTCATCCCTATTTCTCAAACTCCCCCTCGAGCTTCGTCTCATGATATATGAATACGCGCTGGACGTTCCGAACGACTACATGGACCGTCCGATGATTGTGATCAACGACCGTGGCAACGTGTTCACCGCGCGCGGACGATATCGAGCCCTATCCATGTGTCCCAGCTGGGTGGGTGAGAACGGACGAGTCCGAAATCTCCTGTCGGTCAACCGGCAGATCCACGACGAGGTCGAGGACTATGTGTACTCGCACAACACGCTGTTCTTCCTCAATTCGTTCAACCTCGATCGCATGGCCGCCTTCCTGGACACCCTCAGTGCCACGGCGCGCGACCGCATCCGCAGCGTCGGCTTCGAGATCTTCTTCTTCGTCCACTCGCAGACGGGCGTGCCCAAGCGCACGCTGAAGGAGTATGAACGCGCGGCGCGCATCCTGCGCGAGAAACTGCCGCATTGGACCAACACCCTGTTCTATCTGGACCCGCGGTTCTACTACCCCTCCGCCTCGGTCGGGGGTTTGCAGTCGTCGGCGCGCGGCATCTGGTCGCTCGCCACGATGTTTGGGGCCCTGGGCAAGGACCTCCATTTCTTCCCGTTGCCGTCCATGCATCGGTATGTGATGGATGATGCGAAGAAGGTGCTCCAGGCTCGCACGCGCGCGCCTCCGCAGAAGCTCGTCTTTTAGGGTCTTGATGGATATTGGCCGTTGTCTGTGGCCTCTGTCCTAATGCCTTTCAATGTTTCACGTTTCCTTGTTAGTGGTCGGCATTTTGGCAGCTTCTTTTTTTTTGTCCTTGGCGAATATGGGCTTGGTGTTATCCGTTTGTTTTCTTGGTTGTTCGGATGGCGCACAGGCGGTGGTCCTTTACTCCAGGTTTATCCCGTTGGGACTATCATCTGCAGGATGACGTTGAGAGCGACTCAAACCGAGGGATTGCCATATGGTCAACTCCCTTAATCTCGGGACCTCTCCACTCATAATATCAAAAGGTATTATCAGCGGTCCCGCGGTTGGCAGCGGCGGGAATCTCGTCGTGCTGGTCGGTCGGTCGGTCGTCGGTCGGGTCAGGACTGGAGGGATGGAGTTCGATAAGCATAAGTTGGACAGGAGTTTCATTTGTGAGCCTTTGGAGGGCAAGCTTGCATACATCTGTGTATATAGTTTATAGACTTGATTTGGGATTTATGATCATCGTCCTGCTTCTTCGGTTCCTTTGCATGGAGTTTTGAGGTGGAAATAACCGTGATTATCAGCCGAGAGAAATTCCCACTTTTTTTTCCCGCCCCGCGCGGGTTTGGATCTATACAGTCGACCTCCTTTCTCTCCTCACTACGTTATTATGTGAGACTATCTATCTATCTGGTGGACATGCCAGATGATGAAAGGACAGTCTCCGGTTCCACGCACATGAATGGATCATGAAATCATCTAGTGTTCAGTCAGGAATGGGCGGAGATTTCTTCCAGTCCTGGTTCGAGAGAGCAGCGAAAGAATGACCGCAGTGAATCGTGGAGGAGAAGCAGACCATGTCGTCATCGGTCCCTCGTGATCGACTCATTATGTTTCTGTTTTCTGCTTGTCTCCTTTGTCTTATTGTTATGTATGTCATTCAAAGAAGCACCACCTTCTTAATAAGTCATTGTGCCAGTTGACTTTGGAAGGGAGGCAATCAACAACAACTTATCGGTCTCTCTCCCTTCCTCCCCTGGTGCCTGGTCACTCACTCACTCACTGAACACTGCTGGTAGGTACGTGTACAGAGTCACAGCAGTACCAACTGAACACTGCTGGTGCTTTTGCTGACTCCTGTTGTTCTTCCCCCCGCATTTCGCGCAAAGGGTGGATCTTCTGCTTTGGATCTTCCATCCTACAGTACTCTGCCTCTCCTCTTCTTCTTTCCTCCTCCCCCCCTCTCTCTCTTACCCTGTTTTTCCTCATTCCCTTTTCTTCATTTGATCGGTCCACTGCTTGACGATGTCGCTCATTCAATAATAATTTTAGCCTGTGATCAGCACTCACCCACCTCCCCACCTTCTCCCACCCGTATCGCTACAGTCAGTCAAGTGCATCGTCCACTTGGCCGTCCTCGTGTGGTCGCCTGCGTCCAACAATTGTTTCCGTCCACTCGAAACACCTCCTCCTCCTCCACCATTTCTGTCCAGTTCGCCTCGCAGCTCTCGGTTGTGTTTCAGGCACCGTCCAAACGTTATCAATCAGGGGTTCATTCAGCATTCCATTGACCGCTGCAGACAACTAGCTTTAACCCCCCCCCGCCCTCTCCCCCCACTCCCTGTGCTCCTCTTATTCGCCACTTGGGTAAAGTGGTCCGTTGTCGTGGTTCCCTGGCTCTTGTCATTGCGAAGCGGTGTCGCTGCATCCGTGCATTATCACAAGTTGTTTGGTTGTCGCCTCGTGCAGCCAACGGACTTGTCTTTTTCTACCATACGGTCTAAGGCATTGATTGACTGACTGACTGACGGCCTTACTGTCCGCTTCATTCCATCGTTGCCTCCTTTCTAGTGCGCCCTACGCTGCCCCTCCTTTCTTCCTCTCTCCCCCTCCCCATCCCTTTATGAGGGCGCGATCGACCCTCGACAGACCTAGGAAAGTACTCCCCTCTCTCCTTCTGGAGTGTCTCAGAAACCCGAACTCCCTCAGTCACCCGCAACCAACAAAATGAAATCAGCAACCGCCATAAAATCACCCAATGGTCATGGGAGTGTGTACAAGGAGGTGCGCTTCTCTCCTACTCCTACCCCCGTCCGCCGTACGCAATCGGTGCCGAATGCGCATCCCGCCTTGAGTGTACAAGGTGCCGCCGGCGTTACCTACTCGAGTTTGAGTGCCAGTTATCTCGACCAGGCGCGATCGCTCCTGGACCGTCAGCGCGCCAGCTTCGAGAATGAAAAAAAGATGTTTGAAGAGGAGCGACAATTGTGGGAAAAAGAACGGGCGCTGTTGAAGTCGAGGATATCTGAACTAGAAGCGCTGCTAAAAGGGCGAGGCTCCACCGCGTCGGCGACCGTGCCGACCGGCGCTTTTGCATCATCGAACTCTTTCTTTGCCATCAATGCCCCGTACGGTCGCTCACTCTCAGTAAGTTTTGCCGACCAAATCCACGCAAGTGCGCAGGTGTGGGAGGGATCTAGCCCTGGCAGCCGGCCCACAAGGGTATTTCCTGACGCGGAGAAGACGGACATCCACACTTTATCGTCGATCCCGGAGCAAGGAGCGCAATATGTCTCTGCGCCATCTTTAGACGCTGCTCTTTCACCCAAATCGCATGCAGTAGATCCCTTCACGGGCGCCAGTATTCCTGTACCGATTGAGAAGCTGGACAGCAAGCTCGACGGGATCACGCTCAAGTCATCCGCCCTGCCCCCCGAAGTCGTCGCCCGCGTGATCACACCACCGTCGCCGCCGTCGCTCGAGACCTCACCAACCTCGTCCACCCGCCCCTCCAGCGAGCATCGCAACAGTTTGAAACTGCGACTATCCGAGCTGGGCCCACCCGAGTTCAACTTGACCAGAAACGCAGGTCACACTCCCATGGCCAAAATTGATCGCGATATTGACACGGAGCAACCATCTCCGCAGGAGGCTCCAGATGAGCCCAGCCCCCTTGCTCCGGCAGCGCCTCGGCAACCTGCAGAAAAATCCGATTCGTACTTTGCAGACTTGCCGGAGGACCCAGCCCTGAAGGGGCCCCTCTCTTTGTTGAACGAGGAGGAACACGATAGTGGCTTTCTTAAGGAGCTTGACCAAAAGCTTCTGGACCAGGTCAAGCAGGTCCTTGGCCACCACCGCAGGGGCTCTGCGGAAGAGGAAGCTGATGAGGCTGAGCCCCCCAGCCAGGGTGAGACCGAAGAGCCTGAATTGAGATTCAAGAAAACGACCAATTTTGGAACGGCTTTTGGAAACTCGGGCTGCGGAAAAGTATAAGGCTCGCTGGGCTGATGCCGGGACTGTGTTCCGGTATAGGCTTAAAGCCACTTACCATCTATGGTGTTATATGGGTGAATTTGGTTTTTGATGGGATACTATGACTGATGACTCCTGACGATGCTGCTCTATTCTTTTTGCATATGCATCGACTACCATGTGTAACTACTAAATCAACTCTATTGTATCGGTGCCTCACTCCATCTTGACTCTGGGTCGATCTGTTGGCCGAGCAGTAGCAATGACTCTGCATCCCCTTGCATTAACTCCGGCCCGATTGGGCCAATATCCCCGTGTTTTCTCCTTGACCCCCTTCGTGAAGAAAGAAATGCAATTAGTATTGTTGTAGGGGGCAGGGGCGTCTGGGGAGAGTGTGGCTGCTGATAAGATGAGAGTTATTTCGATCGAGATCTTGGATCAATTGACGCCACTGTCTCGTGGGCCTTGCATAGGGACATAGGTTGCCCAGCAATGGGCACAAGGTACAACCTCCTAGAAAGGGCTATACAAAGGGTCACGCCCTTTGAGAAGAGAGCTTCAGGGTATAAAGATCAGATGGATTCTGGTCGAGTTTGAGTTCATCAGAGCATTCATCGGCTGTAATCATCCCAGCATCCATTCTTTCTTCCAATCTTTACACAACTGACATTCGCTGACTTTCTTTTGACTTCAATATCCACACACACACACACACACACACACACACACACACACAATCCACATTCTTTCCAACTCTCTTACAGATTTTCAGAATCATGTACAACTCCAAAAGTCTTTCGGCACTCTTGTGCCTTGCCCTAGTCACTCCTTCCGCTCTGTCAGCACCTGTTGCCTCCAAGGTAAGACCTACGCTCTTGAGCATTCGCGTCTGAACAATCTAACTCGTTGCAGAGCACAACTCTGGCCAAGAGACAGTTCGACTCGGAGAGCTTTGCTGGCAGCGGCACCGATATCTCCATCCCGGATGGGCCCTACTACAACACCGCGAGCGCCGCCGCCTCGCGCTACCACGAAGGCAGCAACAAAGACCGCGGATCGCATGAGACAGACAGCAGCACCGCAGCAGGTCAGGCCTGGAACATCGGGATTCCCGACGGGCCGAGCTACAATATGGGCAGCAGCGCCTCCTCCAATTACCACGAAGGCGGCGACAAGAACGGCGACAAGAACGGTGGTGGCTCGCACCAGTCGGACAGCACCGATGCAGGGCAATCTTGGAACATCGGGATCCCAGATGGACCCAGCTTCAACATGGGCAGCTTCTACCATGTGAGCCACGAGAGCACGGGAGCACCGAAGCCTGAGCCTGAGCCTAAGCCTCAGCATCCGGAGACCCCAGAGCCGGCATCTCCGCCCTCACCACCGCACAATGAGCCGGCCCCGGCTCCTCCTGCGCCTGCGCCTGCGCCTGCTACGCCTGCTCCAGCCCCCCAGACCCCCGGAGCACCCAGCCCCAACCCTCCGGCCGTCGGCCCTCCGACTCAACAAGGACCAGGAAACGCACCCGCTCCTGCCCCTCCAGCTCCTCAAGCCCCGGAAACTGCCCCTGCTCCTCCCCAGGAAGAGCCATCTGCTCCTTCTGAGCCGGCCTCGACTGCCCCTGTCCCTGCTCCTGTGCCTGCTTCCCCCGTTGGTGTCTCGCCCGTTGAGGAGCCTGCTAGCCCTACTCCTGCTCCTGCTCCGGAGACTGAGGAATCGGGATCTGAGGAACCTGCTGAGGAGTGCCTACTTCCTGGGTCTGAGTCTGAGGAAGAACCTGCATCTGGCCCTGCTCCTGAGGCTCCTGCGGCTGCTCCTGAGACTGCTCCTGAGACTGCTCCTGAGACTGCTCCTGAGACTGCTCCTGAGACTGCTCCTGAGACTGCTCCTGAGACTGCTCCTGAGACCGCTCCTGCGGCTGCTCCTGAGACTGCTCCTGAGACTGTTCCTGAGACCGCTCCTGAGACTGCTCCTGAGGCTCCCGCCGCTGCTCCTGAATCTAGCCCCGAGACTTCTCCCGAGTCTGGCCCCGAGGCTGCTCCCGAGTCAAGCCCCGAGTCTAGCCCCGAGGCTGCCCCTGAATCTAGCAACGAGTCTGGCCCTGCCCCCGAGCCTAGCTCTGAGTCTACCCCCGAATCTACCCCCGAATCAGCCCCAACCACAAAGCAAACCCAACCGAGCACCAACGGCCCATCCTCCTCCTCCGCACCCGCCACAGAACCCAAGACCGCCCCGGAGGCCGACAACAAGCCTTCCCCAGCAACCCCAGCTCTACCAGCCTACACCTGCCAATGCCCTGTCTAATCTCCTTGTCTCTGGTGTTACACACGTACACGCAACTTACTCACTCACGCCCCTCACTTCAAAGAGCAACCTTCATTCCCATTCTCTATACAAATTTCAGCATGATCAAGTAAGTGGCTGTTTCCGACGAAACAACCAACTTCATATGCATCCCTCACATTCTTTATTTATTTTTTTTCAATCTGTGAACTCTATTTCGGTCGAACTCTTCAATTCTGTTGTGGATGGTATGACTACTTTGTCTTATATGGTTTAATGACTTTGATGTTTTCATGGCGACACCTTTTCATGTCGAGTATTGTTTGATGGTAGTTCTAGATTTATTGATGGAATTGATTCGTTAATCGTTATTATTCTCGTGTTGTAAATTCCTAGGTCCCCAATCCTGGTTTTTTTGTGGCTAGTTAGCGTTAGCTTCGCTACGCAAGTCATAGAATTCTGTTATAGGCTCCGAAATGTAAATGTGCAAAAGACCAAGTGTCATGTTCGAACTGAAGCAAAGAGGCAGGCCAAGCAACGCAACGCAACGCAACGCAATCCTTGCTTATCAAATGGATAGATAGCATACTCAGCATCACTACTCAATTAATCCATCACCGAAAGTTGTACTTTCCCGAAAAAAACAGACCCTGTCAACGAAAGCGCCAAGTCCGAATGAACTCCCCAAGCCAGCAAGAACTTCAAATTCAACCGAACAAAATTTAGGGCGGTGGAAGGATGTTCAAACCCCCATGGTAAAATCATGCTCAATCCCCGGCGTAACACTAGCAATGAACTTCAAAAACACAACCAGATACTGATCCACCCGGATAGCGAACTGCTCTTCATCGTCATCCTCTTCCTCGTCGTGCTCATGTTGCAGGACCTCCCATTCATCCCCGTGACTGTGTCTGTCATGGACCGAGAGACCCCGGACGTCGTCCGCTAGGCCCTCCACATTTTTTTGCTGGTGCTGTTGTGCAGCAGCAGCAGCGCGCAGTTTCTCACGCCGGATCTTCAGCGCGGCGTCGGCGCGATCCAGCAGCGTCTTCATGACGGAGGCGTGCCGGCACGGATGCACTGTCGCCATCTTCACGTTCCCGTCGAACCAGGGGAAATCTTCCAGCGTGACGGTCTTATCCTTGTAGTCGCCGACGATGTCTTCCATCATGAGCGGGGGCGGGAGCGGTTCCGACGGTGATAGGTAGCCGGACAAGTAGAGGCGCGGGGTGCGGTAGAAGTTGGAGTACGTGATGTAGAGGTTATAGGTTCTTGTTGGTCTTTTTTAATTTTTTTTTCGCGCGATGAGTTAGCTGGGCTGACTTGCGTGACCCCAAGGGGAGGGGTAGGTAGGTAGGTATGTATGTATGTATACGTACTGAGAAATCCCACTATCTCCCGACCCTCCACCAACCGGCTCGCGGATTATCGCCTCTTCGTCGTCGTCCTCGTCCTCCATGTCCGGGATCTCCTCTTCGTCTTCCCCCTGGTCTGCCACGTTCCCGGCCTCGTCCACCGTGCGTATATCCCCGATACGCCCCCCGGTGTTGCTGCTGGTATGCGATGTTTGGGTGTGGGTTTGGGTTTGGGAGGCACCACCGGTCGCTAACCATCCATCATCGTCGTGATCCCCCGGCGATTCCCCGTCCGGTCCGAAGAGCATGTCCCGCACGATCTCGTCTTCCCGCCCCGCGTCCCCGGCGAAATCATCGTTCAGCCGTCGGTGGCATGGTACCCCCCTCGTCACTAGGAATTGTTTGCCCGCTGGGAGGTACGAGACCCGTTTGCCCGGCGACGAGGCGTCCGCCCACGACCATGACGGGAACTTGTACACTAGGTAGTCGCCCGCGAGAATGAATTCCTCCGGCGTGATTTGGCCGGTTGTTCGGAAGGTTGACGTGCGTGAGATCGGCGCGAGCCGGTCGCGCCAGGTGCTTAGTGTTGAGTGCAGGATGTTCATTCTGGGGTTTGGGGGTGGTGGGTTGAGTTGAGTTGAGGGGTTGGAGGTGGGTGAGGGGGTCAGAGTGACGAGTTGAGGTAGGCGGGGTTGGGATGGGGTTGGGTCTGGTGCTTGATGGTTTGTAGTGTTGTAGGTTGCTGGGGTGGATTTAATTCTGGTGTCTTGCTTCTCTTGTTAGCTTGTTCAAACTGTCAGATGGAGTTCGTTGTAGATAGCAAGAGTATGTCGAGTTGGCGGTGAAGGGAAGTTCAGGTGTAAGGCGATAAATGAGGGGGTGACGTTTATCGACTGACTGACTGTTACTTACTGTACTGCCGGCCGGCTGTGATTCGGGCTGCGGCACGCGGGGCTTATCATGTGGCTGATGAACTGTTGCTTGTTGCACCCTGCACGTGAGTGAGTCTTATGGAATTCATCATATGGGTAATGATACAACTACTCTTTCGTCATAGATTTATATACTCATAGTAATTATACTAGGTCTGGCTGCTGGCTGTCCTCTGGCGCTACTCGGATACCAATTCCGTATCGCCTGTCTTCCGGGTCTATCGCAGCGCTCGGCGATAAGGAAATGCCCCCTCAGCTTCAGTTGAGTTGAAAGACCTCCAACTGGGTGAGGACCTCATGGACATCATGTTCGTGGTATGCCGGACCCCAGTAGCCAGACCGATGTCCGTCCGTCAGCCTGTCGGTCTGAGTCTTCGAGACGCAGCTGCCCGTGTCTGTCCGTCTCTCAAAATAGGTAGAATGCCCAATGCACACTATCAAAGCAACCTCACTCCCCCTCAGTCCCCCTCCGTTCAATCTCACTCTCCACCTCCTCGACCGTCATCGGCACGCTCCTGCCCTTCCATTTGTCGAACTCCGCCTGCGCAAACCCCTCCATACTCCGCATACCCACGACCAAGAACCCCAACTCCTCTCGATCGACATCAAACACCTCCCACCACTCACTATCAACCAGCTTAACGCCCTCCTCCCGCGCAGCGAGATAGATCGCCGCGACCGCCAGCGCATTCGGCTGGTGCGTCACGCACAGCAGCTGCGGCGACAAGAGCGCCGAGTTCAGATGCCCGAACACGCGCTTCGCCACGCCCGGCGCCGTCACCCCCAGCGTCTGCAGGTACGTCAGCGACACCGTGTGCGGGAGCGCGACGTGCGTGTTGAACCCCAGCGTGCGCAGGATGATCGCCTCCGTGCGCATCAGCACCAGCCGCTGCGCTTGGTACTGGCCCTCCGTGAGCACGTAGCTCTCTGGGTTCGGCGGTGGGTCTGTGGCTCTGACTGGGGTCGGGTTGATGCACCACAAAGGTGACGCTTCTTTCGAGAGGAGGAAGCCGTAGACGTTCAGGACGGACCGCGGGGACGTCGGTTGGAACGAGAGCTTGGCTGTTAGGTAGAGTGCGGCGGCGGAGACGTCCTATGTATATGATTGCAGCGTTAGCTTTGTGATTCCGTTCCTGGACTGGTAGAGTTGGGCTGGGTGCTGTGCTGGGACTTTGAAGAAAAGTAACCCCGTAAACCGACCTTCACATTGTAGATCCGGAGACTGCCTCCTTCGGATCCAATCCAGAACCGCGTGAAGGTCACAATCGCTTGCGCGATGATGTCTTGGGATAGCCGGAGTAATACCCCGGCGGCTTGGGTGAGAAGGGCCCCGGCGAAGCGGATTGAGGCTTCGAGGTCGGGCGCGACGCCGTCGATAGCAGAGGACGAGTTGGAGAGCTGTTCGGGCGTTGCGAGCGCATTGCTGAGAAATTTGAGCCCGCTTGAGGCTGGGGTGGCCATATTGTGCTGTTGCTGAGATTATATGAGTATAGAAGTGGAAATAAAGTTGTAGCCGGGCAGTTGGTCAGTACAACTTGGAATTAACGTGTTGGATCAAAAGCTGTTCCTCTGCTCTTGCACCGATCAAGCTGTTGGATCGGGGAGATTGCTCGGGCAGAATAGCTCCTCTCTCACCGCCTTGGCTATTGCTTATGTAACTTCAGTTCTGGTTGAATGACCTCATCGCCGAAGTATGGAAATGCTTCATCTTTATCGTCGGTATGCTTGGTGGGCATGGATGAGGGAATATGTGTATATCAAAATCAGTAGCCCCTGTTAGTTTGTGTATGTTTTCTTTTCATTGACATAACTTGATATAGGCAGGGATCTCGTAGGTGGTGTCGGTTATGCCTATGGTTCGACGCAGTGAATGCCTTTATTACAAGCAGATTTCATCCATTGGGGGCATTTATGATCGAATAACGCAGTTGAATCTGTACCGGCAGTGGAATCCTTTGGGTAGAATAGCAATAGTATAGTCTCCTCCCTTTTTCCTCACTTGAATAATAGTATAAGTCGCATTGCGGAGCTGAGTTGTCATTTTATATAACTTCGCTCGGCGAGGATCCGGATTCCCTGGATTCACACCAAGTTGAAGGGAAGCATTGCCCATAGATATTAAGACACTAAAGCAATTATGCTACCTCGGCAAGAGTGGCAGGATACCTTACAAACCAACTATCGTACACCAGAAAATGTGTTCCTCATTTCACGGCCTTTGGGTCGAGCGCTCTACATGTGAGGGCTGTTTCGATGGCTCCCCTTGTGTAAATGATAAGCCTTGTGGTTATGTGGCTCAGTTCCAGATTCAGGCCACCGGTCATCTTGCGAACAAGGGCTCTTCCCCCCCTTGCCAGATACATCAGTGGTTTGTCTGGGGGCAGCCGAGCGCGGGCTTTGCTGGCTGACGGCCACCCCTGTGCTGGATGGGTATGCCGACGAGCTTGACGCAAACGTACTAGATGCGTGCACAGAAGAGCTTGCTCCTTCAATACCACCGGGCCCGCTGAGGTGCAAAAGGGTAGAGTATGGAGATTGGCCAGGATAGAAGCTTGTTGGCATAGGAGGAATGGTATATGACGTATTGGCCAGCATCTGGGTGGTAATGTCATCTGCCATCCAGACTGTGAAATAGCTTCTTTATAATAGAGAGACAGTTAGTGTAATCAACTGGAATGCAGAGACCATCTTACCCCATAGATGTCACCGTTTGGTGTGCGGTATAGCCTGTTGCAGCACTGGTAGGAGTCGTTCCATCCATGCACGCCCCCTTGCCATAGGCGTTCTCGCATTTGTAGACTACATAGTCATCTTCGCTGAACAAATTGACATTCTCGAGACTGATATCCGTGCAAGGTACCTCGGATCCACACTGCAGTCGAATGGCAGGACGCGCATTGTCCTGGCTGTATCCATGCCAGTTCTGTGAAGGATTAGCATCCGGCTCCGCAATGCCTTAGAAAGTAACATTACCTTGAAGGTGAGGTTGGTGACTTCCACGCCAGCTCCATCGTGAGCTGAACCCCAGCTAGAATCGATGGACAACGGATAGACGCCTCCGCGGACTGTGATCGTGTCCCAAATGATATTCCTGACCGTGCCACTACCACCGTTGTACTTGATAAAGCATGGATCCGCATCGTTGGCATAGATATGACGATAATAGATATCGTGAATGTCGGTCCCTGTGGATAGGGAGCCAATCGCCATTCCCCCGCTAAGGTTGCAATAAATGCTCTCAATCAGAAAGTTGGACGAGGGGTTCTTGACCGTCACGCATTCATCCCCGTTGGTCGCCTCGACATCGTGAATCCACATGTTCTCTCCCCAAACATCAATTGCGTCAGTGCCTCCAAGAATGGTAGGCCCACGCATGATGATGTTGTAGATCTCGCCGTTGCTGACCGTGTCCAGTGTGAGATAGTAGGAAGGCGAATCGACGAGTGCGAAACCATGAACAGAGAAGTTACTCATCTCCTTGAAGCGCATCAGACGCGGACCGTACTCATCCTGGGCCAGGTACTCGTTACCATTGCCCTGGATAGCGCCTCGGGAATTGCCCGAGAAGAATTCAAAGTCCTTGCAGTTGCGGAAGGCAAACATCGTACTGCCTGCGGCCCCGGTGCGATGGACTACCCCGTCTAGTTGCACGGCCGACGAGATGCCATCTTTGAGCAGTGGAAAAGTCGCCATGGAGAAGTTGCCAGCTGGGATGTACACCAGTCCACCCTTGGCGCAGTCACCCCAGGCTGATGACAGGGCCGGCCCGATATCCGTGCCATTGTTGGGGAAGCCACCGTAGTCGACGATGTTGCAGACTTTATAAGTAGCCTTCGAGGAGTAAGAAGTTGTCGGACCGACAGCGCCAGACAATTGCGCGGCGGCTGGGAGCGCGAGGAGTAGAACTGCCCACATGTTGTCCCTTTTCAATGCGCTTGCATGAATTCATGGTCGGTCGGCAAAGAAGAGCGATCTATGAACATGAAATACTCAACTACCCTGATTACCCTTACTCCAAGTGACGAACGAACAGCATGCCGAGTTTGTAACCGATTCGTGGCCCCGTAAGATAATCGCTATCAATGTTTCGGATTGAGTTACCACGCGCTTCGCTTAGATCGCAGACGAATCCAGTGACAGATCTGGCAAGATCGACACCCTTTGCTGTCACAGCCCCTTATAGTATTCCCACATGGCAACGGTGGGTTGAGTTAGCGTGAGCTATTGGATCCGGCGTCTGAAGGGGGCTGGCACACCGAGCCTTTGACATGATACCGGCCGAGCCTGAGGATTGTTGAGATTACCAGTTGCGGCGAATCAACATGATGAAGAATTCGTCGTCGTTGGCGGACCCGGTTGTGGACACATTCGGCATATATTTTCAACGAGATCCGGCATTTGTCACAGTTTACCAGAACGTGAAAAGATCAATAATATGTTCGTAAAAACTCCAAATTCTGAAAGTAAGAGTCAAGGTTGTAGACTTGAATGCCCTGATCAACACCGCATATTGTCGGCTGTCGAATAGAATGGAGAAAGATACCCAAAGCGGCCCATCGCCCATGCTGCCAGGTTGACAGTCAGCGCCAGCACTAGTAAATTGAACAAACACCCACCAAAGCACGATATGATGTATCATCATGCAAGAAATCTGACCTTGGATCTTGATATCTTGATATTGCTGCTGATGTTAGTGCGTATAAAACTCTGAACTCTGCTATCCCACTCATCGCAGAAAGAGCCATGACCAATCTTAAGAACAATCTTCTTGTTGGCGTGATTGCTGTGGCGATAAGTCTCATCACAGCATATTAATACCAGTATCATCATATCATCTTTGCAAGAGTCAGATCCCCAGTTCTAGTGTGCTCGACTCTCCACCAACGGTCATAGAGACTGCTTATGAAATCAAATACATCGGTAGTCGCACCGACGGGGGTGAGCACTTTCGAAATATTTTCTACGCCGAAGAGCCAATCGGTCAATGATGATTTGCACCTCCAGTCCCGGTAAACCCGGCCAAAGGGTCTGTTACCGGTGCCACTCAACCCGGTGCATGGTGCCCTCAAGGCATGGGGGTTTTACTACCCTTCACTAGCCGGGTGGATAATGTCAGCGAGAATTGCCTGAGTTTGCGGATCGCTCGGTCTTCCGGAGTGAAGAGACATGCGAGACTCCCAGTTGCAGTCTGGTTACATGGAGGTTGGTCTTGCCCTCCCGAGGGATAGGGGGCGAAGCTGTTCCTAACAGCATCCCTTCCCATGTAGGGGGTCATGCGCTGGGTTCGGCTTCAGATATACTATACAATCCGGATGGTCTAGTAAGGGGGGCTGCTGCCGCTAGAAAGCCGCTGATCTATGTTGGCATCAATTACCGACTAGGATGTAAGCGCTGTTTTGCTCGTCGCAAGTTCGCGGTCACTGATTCATCTAGTGTTTGGCTTCGCCACGAGCAAGGCAATGGTTAATACCAAGCAGACGAACGCAGGACTGCGTGACCAACGGGCTGCTTTGCAGTGTACGTTCAGTGTTTTTGTCACTGTGCTCCGTGAGGAATTCGAAGGTTGAATCATCGAAGAGGGGTCCGCGATCATATCGAGGCTTTCGGCGGCGACTCCAATAGAGGTATTAGTTTTCATAGTGCTTGCCCAGGTACACAACCATTGAAAAGTCTATCTAATGACTGCTATCGGACAGAGTGTGGGAAATAGTGACATAGGCTTACAATTGACATCATTCAACAGCTCCCGGGGCGTTCCCTTCCAACAGGCGATGTTGTTGATCTCAAACCTTTGGATGACAATAATTATGCACTCACACCGACACTCATAACATAGATGATGTCCGGCACACCGAAAATCAACTTCAACAGCGACCCTGGATTAGTCACGAATAACACTGCCGCCATAGCAAGACAAGTGGGATGCATCAGGGACAATGATGGCCAGTCCCTTGAGACCCTAGAATGCCTTCGGAGTGTCCCAGCCGCCATATTAACAAGTATATCCGTCAATGTATCCCGATCAGCACGTCCGCCATTCGGCGAAGGATATTTCTACCTGACTATCGACTATAATTTCTCAAGACCGGCCATCTGAGCTAGTACGTACCGGTAAAGTCGTTAAGGGGATCCCTATAGTGGCATCATGGGTGACCAATGATGGCGCTTGGTACGCATCTCCGCAGACATCTACAGATGAAGACGTCCTAGGTAGTTTCGAGCGTTGGGTGTGCGGCCTTTCCGAATCAATGAAAGAGAAGCTCTTGCAGTTGTATCCAGTGGAGGAGTTCGGCCATATGGTTCGGCAAGACTATGACGATGAAGTTTCACCGCAATACTATCGTGCCGCGCAGATGAATCGAGATATCTGGTTTACCTGCCCCGTCTTGGATTGTACTTGACAGTATGCTCGGAACGGAGCTTCGAAGGCATCACAGGTCTGGCTGTACGAGCACAATGCAACAAGGTTCGCGCCCGTATATGAAGCAATGGGAGTACCCATGTGGCGAGTGACACATCTCAGCGATATTCCATATGTATTCAATAATCCGCACCTCGAGGGTGGCGCAGATAAATCATTGGGTAAGCTGGCGCTGAGTGAGACTGTTAGTAAAGCGATTATTGAGTTTGTGCACGGAGGTAGCCCAGCAGCAGAGGGCATTGGCGTGCAGAAGTGGTCATCTGCATCTCCTGCTAGACATGAAGGACAGCGATCCAGCGAGAGCGCCAATAGGCTGTCGATTCAAATCTTTGGAGGCTCTTCGAATTCGTCAGAAGTAACGATTGGTAGGGACGAGGATGTCGGTGTGATGACAGCAGTACAGCCAGCATTAGCTTGAGAAAGATTGTTTGATCGGTGCGACTTCACCAACGGTCCTCAAATGAGAGAGTAATCTGGAGTTTGAGACTGACCAGCAATTATTCTGGCTTTTGTGAATTGAGTTCTCAGAATGGCACAGTGCTCTTTTCAAGACAATACACCATTCGTATCGCCTCCTGTACTCCTCTGGCGTTTGGTCTCGTAGTAGAGGAAATATGCAAGGATCTCCGAGAAAACATGTGATCCTCCTCGCCTCAGGCAGAAGTCTATTCATTACTGCTCGCAGCGGAAGGAGGCTTACACCTCCAGGCTTAACCTTTCCCATGGTTCGCATCTTGAGTCCCAACCTCATTCCAAGGTACGATTTACAATCTACCTCTATATTCTCCGAGAGCTGGCCAGTCATGTCCTCCTTGAGCGGTGCAGGTACCGTGAGGTACTCCTGACAGTTGACATGTGAAGCGACCCTTTGCGCATGATCACCTCCTTTCCTGTACGTCGCGCAGGTAATATCCCTACCCCGAGATTACTTTAATCCTTCATCAGGGGTTGCGGATTCATTTCGGACTAAAGTCCGCATGAAACGGGGACCCCATGAATCCAGACCTTTCACGTCAGACCTCGGGGGCTGAGAAAAAGGGGTTGACTTTCAAGTGCTTGTGCTGTTGCGTTGATGGTGGCGTCAATAATTTTACCAGCCTATTCAGTCGTCACAGAAACCATCGAGTTCTGATCACGACCGCGGATGACGTCGTTGAGTGGAAGCAGTGTGATGTGGACTCTTTGGACTGTGGATATGTATCTCGCCCGATCATTAATCTTCACTCTTCCACAGGCCAATGGAACTGCCCTGACAACGACGATAACAACGGCCCATTACACAGCCTGTCACTGCGTGATCGACTCTGATTGCTTTATGACTCGCTAGCTTGTCGCCGTTTGCCTCATTATGATAGTGGGGGAATCTAAGCAGTTCCCAGTTCAGCCACCGTAATTTTTCTGGTTGGCTGGTTGGGTTCAGAGTTGCTAAGAATATACACCCAACCTCGCAATGTTTTGCGCCGTCTGGATGTAAACAGCTGCTTTGGCCTCTCAGCAATTGAGCGTCTTTCCGAACATCGCACTAACGCAGTCCGCTCCTCAAGCTCAATGATATTGATCCATTGACTACTGTATAACGTGCAGGATCCTTAGCACCGGTCGCTGACAGGGGCACGTGCGGGTTGCCCACTATCGATATCGCCCGGCGGCCGATTCCATCATCCTGAATAAACATCTCCCTCAATCGCGCCCCTTCTTCCAAAAACACACTGCCCTTGCCTTACCGACATTTTCGAGACTTGTTTCATTGTCCCTGCTACCCGTCGTCAGTCCCTCACATTCGCGCCTGTCATACACCGCGTCAAGCTCAAAAGAGGCCGCAACGGGAAAAGAGACAGTTTCGGGAGCTACTCGTTTCATTGCCCCTTTTGCTTCTTAGCTGACTATTGAGTGCGGCATACGTGACCGTGCATTGGAGCGGATAACATATCGACGTGGCATTCCAGTCCGTGTCCAAGTGGTGCGACAGATTACATCCCTTCATCATTCCAGGTCCCCATCCCTTCTTACCACCCAGTCAAGTTCTCAGTCATGATCCAAGACGTCGAACACCCGTCATCTACAGCCACGCCTGCTGTTGACAGCCTGAAACTCTCGTCGACCGCAATGGCCCCGATCAGAACTGAGGAGGGATCCTGCCCGACTGATGATGCTGCTGTTCGACCGTCCCACCTGAACATCCCTGTAACCTTATTAGCACAGAGCTCGGATACCGTATCTCCACTACCGACAAAACAATATCCCTCGCACCCGTCCCTCCACCGTCGGTCAAACACCGAAATTATACAGCGGCACGCCCCTCTCCCCTCTCGAAAGCTTTTCTCCGACCAGTCAAAAACATACGAAGACCTCGACAGCGCGAATCACCGTCCCAACCCCCCGACCGAGAACACAACTCGCCGAAGACTCGAAGAGGGTGCGAAACGCCTGTCAGGCTGGTTTCAAGGAAGGTCGCAGCCCGCGAATCTGGGAGTGGGATATCAGTCCGACGAACCGGACGACGAAGAGGACGCCATGGAGCGACGAGGTGCTCGGGAACCGTACGTAATGCCAACCGCCCCGACCGGCCTCACCAGCCGGGCACAGAAGCGGATGACGGCTCCTTCGCCCTTGAAGCAGGTCACTTCGTCGAATCCGTTCTCTTTCTTCGGCTTGAAGCGCCAAGGAGAAGCCAGGCTTGAGCTTCCGGAACCCGCGCACGACGAGTTCTTGAACCTCGACATCAACGCTGCTCTGTTTCCTCCTGGGTTCAGTAACCTAGAAGGCCGGGATGCTTTCGACGCACTACGAAGCAACGCAGACACCATACTAAGACGACTACAAGCAGCATATAAGCAGCGGACGTTTGCTTTGCACGAAGTCTTGGCCGATAAGAGTGAAAAACAGGAGGAACTCGAGATAACGCGAACCCGTATAGGCAACCTGAAGATCCAGCTGGATGGCATGGCCGAGAAGGTTATTCAGCAGGAGAAAGCCATGAAGGCCATGGCAGAAGAATTGGAGCAGGAAAGGCAGTTGCGTCGCAGGGAGGAAGAGGCGTGTCGCCGCAGTGTGATGCTTATCAGATCTAGTGACGATGATGATAGCACTTCAGATCTCGCCGCGGAACTTCAAACACCTAAGCGAAGCATGAAACGGGCCAGTAATGGTACGTTCACGAGCGACTCCGGGTTTGACTCGGGAGATGAAAGTCTTGCGGAGAGTGTCTTTTCCCGTCGCGAAGTGCTCGAGTCACCGGCTTCAACCGTCGCGCCATCCCCCAATATCTCTCAGGTTACCTTGTCGACTCCTACATCAGCGCCTGTGAAGTCAAGCCCGAAGAAAGAGCTCAAGCCTGCCTCGGCCCCGCAAACACGTCAATCTACGTACGATCGGGTCATCAAGGGTCTCACGCCTAAGGGAATCACCAGCTCCTGGAATAATTCCTCGAAGTGCAACATTTGCCATGGCGTACCTTCCTCCGAAGCTTGGAGTGTGCTGGGTATTCTCAAGGAAGAGAATAGAGGCCTAAAGGAGCGCCTTGGGGAGCTGGAGAATGTGATAGATGACTGTTTATGCTTGGTTGGTCCCTGACACTGTGTCTTATCACAACGCGATCCTTGGGGGTGAACTTCTGCAAGTCCGGAACATTCTCAGCGAACAGGAGCAGGAAGCTGTACAAGAACAACATATGTGAGTATGTACAAGAAGAGACGAAGCTGTTTGCTCGTCCCTTGATTTTGGGAGGATTGAGGGGCTACTATATGTACTATGATACCTTTGCAACTGCAACTGCCACTGCGAGGTCTACACAATACCCTGTGTTAGAAGATAGATTACGAATTTCATATATTCCGAATACACGGATTTCCGAAAGAGACAATTGCATAATATCAGTAACGAGAGAACCCCGCGAAAATGCTGGCGAAGTACATCGTGGCTGGACCCTGATGAGGTAAAACGGCCGCAAGTCGAAATGGAGAAGTGGTGCAGTGGTGGAAGCGACCAAGTGGCCTCAACCGGGTTAGCGTGGCTGGAGAGTGAAAGTGGCCAGCGAGGCGACTCTTCCTCCATCACTCCCGCTCCCCGAACCTCATCATTGCTTCCTCTCTCTTTCCCTTCCTTCTCGCCCCCCCATCCTTTCCCTTCTCACTCCTCCTCTTCTCTTCTTCTTTTTGTACTTTCCCTCCATTCCTTCAGCTGGTACTCGCCTCCAGCTTCTCTTTCTTTTTTCACTTTCTCTTGGACAGTCTTAGCCCAGCAATTGCGGGAGAAAGACAGTCACAATGAGCGGACGTGAGTTGCACGCGATCGCATCCGTCTTCGCGACAGCGGTCTATTACTTATCTCAATGGATCAAGGCTTGCTGACTCTTGTTTTAAGTTCGGTTTCTCGATCTCATCAAGCCCTTCACGCCCCTCCTCCCGGAGGTGGCAGCTCCCGAGACCAAGGTGCCCTTCAACCAGAAGTTGATGTGGACTGGTGTATGTGACACATTTCAAGATATTGTTGAGAATGCTCGAGCTGATTGATGGCCTTACAGCTCACCCTGCTTATCTTCCTTGTCATGAGCCAAATGCCCCTGTACGGTATTGTCTCCTCTGACACTTCCGACCCTCTTTACTGGCTTCGTATGATGTTGGCCAGTAACCGTGGTACTCTGATGGAGTTGGGTATCACCCCTATCATCTCCTCCGGCATGGTCTTCCAGGTATGCTCAATTCAACTGCGCGATTGAACAAGACTCGCATGCTTACAAAGTGGTTATGTAGCTTCTCGCTGGTACCCACCTCATCGATGTCAACCTTGACCTCAAGACCGACCGTGAGCTGTACCAGACTGCTCAGAAGCTTTTCGCTATCATTCTGTCCTTCGGCCAGGCCTGTGTGTACGTGCTCACTGGTCTCTACGGCCAGCCCAGCGACCTCGGTGCTGGTATCTGCGTTCTCTTGATCGTTCAGCTTGTCGTTGCTGGTCTGGTTGTTATCCTCCTGGATGAGCTTCTCCAGAAGGGATACGGTCTCGGAAGCGGTATCTCTCTGTTCATTGCGACCAACATCTGCGAGTCCATTGTCTGGAAGGCGTTCTCCCCCACGACCATCAACACTGGCCGTGGCCCCGAGTTCGAGGGTGCTATCATTGCTCTCTTCCACCTTCTGTTGACCTGGTCCGACAAGCAGCGTGCTCTGCGCGAGGCTTTCTACCGCCAGAACCTCCCCAACATCATGAACTTACTGGCTACTCTCCTGGTTTTCGCCGCTGTCATCTATCTCCAGGGCTTCCGCGTTGAGATCCCCGTCAAGTCTTCCCGCCAGCGTGGAATGCGTGGATCCTACCCCGTCCGCCTCTTCTACACCTCCAACATGCCCATCATGCTGCAGTCCGCTCTGTGCTCCAACATCTTCCTGATCAGCCAGATGCTCTACTCTCGCTTCTCTGACAACCTCCTCGTGAGACTTCTCGGAGTCTGGGAGCCCCGTGACGGAACTGCTCAGCTCCACGCCTCCTCTGGTATCGCCTACTACATGTCTCCTCCCTTGAACTTCAAGGACGCTCTTCTCGACCCCATCCACACCGCTGTCTACATCACCTTTATGCTCGTCGCCTGCGCTCTCTTCTCCAAGACCTGGATTGAGGTTTCCGGCTCCGCTCCCCGTGACGTCGCCAAGCAGCTCAAGGACCAGGGTCTTGTGATGGCTGGTCACCGTGAGCAGAGCATGTACAAGGAGCTCAAGCGTGTCATTCCTACCGCTGCTGCCTTCGGTGGTGCTTGTATTGGTGCCCTGTCCGTTGCCTCTGACCTCCTCGGTGCTCTTGGCAGCGGTACCGGTATCCTTCTTGCCGTGACGTAAGTTTCCTGGCAACTTTTTTTTCGCCTCCTTTTTTAAATGGCATAGCTGACCCACCTCTAGGATCATCTACGGATACTTCGAGATTGCCGCCCGTGAGGGCGACATCGGCGCAGGCCTCCGCGGCCTCGTCCCCGGTAACTAAGCAAGGGAGGCTTAGGGACATTTCTTTCTGATGAAACATGAGAAGAGGGATTGTGGGTTTTATGTTTTTATATCTTCCATCTTTTTTATTTTCTCCAGGTAGTGTGTGGCTGTGTGCTTTGAAAATCTGGATGGTTTAAACTTCTTGATGAATGTATGGACTAGTCACCTTATTTTTCTTTTGGAAGAAGGCGCGAGAGAGGCATTGCTCTCTGCGGGAGAAAGAGAAAGGGCGGAGGAAAGTCACAGCTGTATATAGCACTACCTGATCTGTAACCATATTTGTTGAAAAGACCTGAAAATTGTATTTGAAGGGCATTTGACCATCTGGGTTGTTGCTCGGATAGACGTCAACCAATTGATTTTTCTTTTGGGGTAAACCATAATGCCGAATCACAAGACAACGCTTCCCATGCGATCTGGGATTCTACTCACGCTGTTGACGATTGAGGTGCGGTAGAAGTGAGTTGTGAAAATATACGAATGAACAAGGACCATCGATCATAGTGTATTAGATAGTAACGCATATGCAATCCAGACCAATCTATTTCGCTTTGTTCTTCACGCACACATCGCTTCAAATCACCAATGTTATTGCTCATGTAATGGATGGATGGATGGATGGATGGATCAAGTCCGGTAATCGCCATTGATGGTGACATACTCATGACTGAAGTCGCAGAACCAGTAGACGGCCTCCTCGCCGCCGCGGCCCTTGTCGCCGAGGTCACCGCCGCCAAGATCGACGACGATCTCGAGGTCCTCCTCCTGCAGGATGACAGCGGCGCGGTCCTCGTCGACCTGCTCGGGCTCGCCGTTAACGAGCAGCTTAAGCTCGGGGCTACCGTCAAGCGGGCGGAAGCTGACGCTGGTACGCTCAGGTACGACGACGCCGTCACGCACACCCTGGGCGTAGCCGACGGCACAAAGGATACGACCCCAGTTAGCATCGCGGCCGTACAGGGCGGTCTTGACGAGCGGGGAGCGCGCGATCGTGCTGGCGATCAGCTTGGCCGAATCGTAGTCGGGCGAGTTCTGCACGCGCACCGTCACGAACTTGGTCGCGCCCTCGCCGTCGCGCACCACCAGCTGTGACAGCGACTGCGTGAACCCCGTCAGCACCCGCTGCATCGCTGTGTAGTCGTCCGACGCCGACGGGTGCGTGATCGCCGCCCCGCCTCCTGCCCCGTTCGCCAGGATCGCGATCGTGTCGTTCGTGCTCGTGTCCCCGTCCACACTGATCGCGTTGAACGATCGCGAGACCGCGTGCTTGAGGAGCGCGGACAGTGCTGGTGCGGTGATCGGTGCGTCTGTGCAGAGAACTCCCAGTAGTGTTGCCATGTTCGGGTGGATCATACCCGCACCCTTCGTCATACCTGCTAGGTGGTACGTGCGCCCTGGTGATGACGGGAGCGTGAATGTTGTGGAGAGCAGCTTCGGGAAGGTGTCTGTTGTGCAGATTGCGCGTGCCGTGCTGAGCCATGCCTCGTGCGTGGACGAGAGCGTCGAGTGTGCCGTTGGGATCTGGGAGAGGATCTTGGAGATCGGGAGGCTGCGGTTGGAGGTGGTGGGTTAGTATGAGTCCACGGGGGTTGTGGCGGTTCATAGGGGAGCATACCGCTGTCCGATGACTCCCGTGCTCATGACCAGTGTGCTGGGCTCCTCGCCGCTCAGCCCGTTGCATTCGTCCACCTTGGCTCCCATGTTGATGGCATCTTCCAGCCCGCCTTTGCCCGTCACTGCGTTGGCGCACCCGGAGTTGATCACCACGGACCGGATGCCCTGGCCTTGGCGGGTCTGCAAGATGTTACGGCTGACCTGGACAGGAGCGGCTTGGAACTTGTTGGTGGTGAAGACCGCGGCCGCGGCACAGGGTGTCTCGGAGGAGATCAGGGCTAGATCGGGGAATTTGGTGTTGGAGGCCTTCACACCGACGTGGGTCCCCGAGACGGAGAAGCCCTTGGGATACGTGCCGGACGAAGGGATGTACTTCTGCTTGGAGGCGGGGATGGCCATGTCGAGTGGTGCGGAATAATGGCGCACCTGGCCCTTCACCATACGGGTGAAGGTAGCCATGGTGGTGGCCGCGGATTGAGCAGGGATAGCCATTGGGCTTCCTAGGCTTTAAATTGGAGGTTAGCAAGGAACTTCCAGCTCAGCGGGTCGAGGGAGAAAGCGATTGATATAATGGTGGGAATGTAGGACCCAAGATGCGTGGCCTGGGAGATTGGGTATATATACGGAGGACTTGCAGTAGACAGCCACGAAGTGACTCAGAGGAATCGAAAACAAATTACTCACTGGCTTATCAGGAGCTTCCAGCTAGCTCCTGCTTAGGCAAAGCAGACGTGCGAGACCACTGCCAAGCAACCACGACGAGACTTGTCAAGCAAAATGAAGACAAAGCTCTCTCTCAGTCCTCGGTCTGGCACTCTGCGCGACTTACTTGTATCGGCGAGCGGATGAGAGCACAGGCCGGTCCCGCAGTGATGCGATGGGCGGCGAGGAAATGCCGCTTCCGATATCGCGGAGTCGGAGAAACCCTCGGCCCTATCAGTCGTGTTCGAGACGCGCCCAAGCAAAAGCCACGAGGAGTGGCTCTACGGTAGAACATTCCTCTATCCGAGTAAGAAAGCTGCGCTGCTTGCTGCTTATCCCCAAAGCTCCCCTTGCGTCATTGTGTTTAGTGTCCTTTATTTTTAGCCAAATCTGGGGGATCGCTTTGTGTTGTGTCTGAATGGTATTTCTTCTCCGTCCCGTTTCCCGCTCTCTTTCCCTGACAAAGTAACTAAAATGAAACGCAAGCAACCAGATTCGGACGAACCGCGTCCTGTCTCGACGCCCAAGAGGCCGAGGACCACAAATACAACTACCAATGGCTCCGTGAACGGGCAGGTAGACCGGGAGAAAACTCCTGAAGGGACCCCGGCGAAGAAACTCAAGTCGACCCCGAAGAAGCCCACCGCGGAAACCCCAGCTGCCCTCAAAGCCTCGGGGTTGAAAACTCCTACGCACAAGAACAAGGCGAAGGCCCTATTCTCGACGCCTACGAAGCAAACCGCTGCGCCTGCGACCCCGTCCAAAGCTCGAAACGCCGACCGGTCCGCAAAAAAGAAGAGCGCTCGCCTGCTGCTGGAACAAGACGAGGATGAGATCTGGGATGGAGGCGATCGTCTAGCGGAGGAGATCCTGCAAGAAGACAACGACACAGCTCCTCTGGAGCCAACAGCAGCACCAACTGAAGATGGAGTGGTACAATCGGTCGAAGCAGGGTCGGAGGAGCCAGCAGCCGGGGATGCAGCGGCGCCCACGCCCAAACGTCGAGCCGGACGACCGAAGGGCGCAAAGAACAAACGCTCGCCCACGCCGGAAGGCGAGCTCCCGGCGCACGAGCGCTACTTCTTCCAGAACCGGGCCGGACCCCCTCGGACGTCGAACAGCAACCTCAACAAGGTGAACCTCTTGACGCACGAGGAGTACTTCGAGAAGATGGCGCAGTGGGTGGATCCGTTCCGGGAGGAGAAGGAGTTGCTGCTGGACCTACACTGCCGGTCGTTCCCGCAATGGGACTTCGAGTTCGATCAGGGGTTTAATATCTGCCTGTACGGGTACGGATCCAAGCGGCGTTTGCTGCAGGAGTTCGCCGACTGGCAGTACCGGCAACACGAGGCCGTCTCCGCCTCGCCGTCCGTAGTAATCGTCAACGGCCACACGCCGGGCGTGTCGATCCGCTCGATATTCGCGACGATAGTCACCGCGGTGCTGGGCGCCGACATCCCATCGAAGATGGGCTCGCAGCCGCAAGAGGTTCTGGAACTGCTGCAGTCCAGCCTCAACGCGCGCGGCCCCGAACACCCCCCGATTACCGTGCTCATCAACAGTATCGACGCGCCCTCGCTCCGGCGCGCCGCCAACCAAGCCCTCCTCGCGCGCCTGGCCGCCACTCCGAAGATCAACCTCCTCGCGACGGCCGACACGCCCAACGTGCTGCTGATGTGGGACCTCAACCTGCGCGACCAATTCAACTTCGTCTTCCACGACTGCACAACCTTCGCGCCGTTCGACCCGGAACTCGACGTCGTCGAGGAAGTCAGCGCCCTACTCGGCCGCAAGGGCCAGCGCGTTGGTGGCAAGGAAGGCGTTGAGTTCGTCCTGAAGAGTCTGCCCGAGAACGCCCGCAACCTATACCAGCTGCTGCTGACGGAGCTCCTCTCCATGACGGACGAGAACCACCTGTCGGACGATGAGATGGGCCCCGGGGAAGCCGGCAATGGCGGCGGCGGCTCCCGCGGCGAGGAAGCCGGCATCGAGTTCCGCGCCCTCTACCAGAAGGCCGCCGAGGAGTTCATCGCCAGCTCCGAGATGATGTTCCGGACTTTACTCAAGGAGTTCCACGATCACCAGATGATCACCTCGCGCATCGATGCCAGCGGCATGGAGATTCTGGGAGTGCCCTTGGCGCGCGAGGAGATGGAAGGCGTCTTGGAGGATTTGGTTCTGGCTTAAGCTGTGGTCCTCCTTTCTGCCGTCCTTGCAATTTGGCTCGTCGGTTGCTACTGCTGCTGCTGCTGCTGTCCTTGGCTTAAGACGAGCGAGCATATGGGGATCGGATTGGATTGCCTCCCTGCATGTGCAAAGAAACTCAAATATGATACCCTGTATAACACCAGAACAAAGAACACATACTCTGTATAATCGATATTGGCTTTGGGAGAACACCGCTTATATTCGCGGCGGCGTTGACTGTCCAGCACCATCATCTTGTATTCTACATTAAGCGCGCAGTAAAGTACCATTCGTACTGTACACTATCATCACAGTCGATATCACCATGACCATCACCACACCCCATGAAAACTCAGAACTGCGCAAAAGCAGCCAACCCCATCGTAGCCCCGAAACTCAACTTAAACGGGATATGCTTGGACACGGCCCCCTGCAAATCCACCCGCTTCACGTATCGCTGTAAGGTGTTGATAGGGAGGATGTTGTACCCCTTCGCCGCGGCCCACTGTGTCAGACAATTAGTGTTAGCAATTTGCAGGTATATCACCAGTGACCAGGGGCGAGTTCTCCCACCCCAATCAGAGGTTTCTATAGTTCATCAAGAAGGTGCAAGGGCCCACATACCTCAACAGCCACGATACCCATCCCGATCAACACGACCAGCACCCGCGAGAACGCCCGCAGCCCCACGCCCACCACCAGCCCCAGCACGCTCCCCAGACTGACCTGCCGCATGTTCGACGCCGTCAGGATCGGCCCCGTGGTCCCCTGTTTCAGGAGCGATGGGTCGGATGAGTTGATGGTCCAGCCGGCGTCGGGGGAGGCGTGCGACTCTGGGCGGGAGTACGGGGCTGAGTATTGGCATTGCATTGGGGCGGCGCGGAGGGGGGAGAGCGGGTGCAGGGTCAGGCTGAGGCCCAGGCCTAGGCCGGTACCTAGGAGGGTGGTTGTTGTGCGGGAGAGGAGGAAGGATGTCATCGTTGAACTTCGTTTGGTTCGTTCGCGGCTTTGCTGGTAATCTGTTATGGGGTTGTATGCTTGATTGCTTGGCGAAACGGTGAGGGTTTCCGTTGGCTGGGTTTATGAGGGTTGGGAGGTTGTATGGTGGTAGGAATTGCAATTGTTAAACAGGCTTGGTGAGGTTGGGAAGAGATATGCTATCGAGGAGAGGGAGGAAGTGTTGGAGTTGGGATGCGGAGGGAGCGCGGGCTGACGTCACTGGGGTTGACTCGGGTGTCGTTGCTGTTCAGAACTCCTAGGAGATGAACTTCGGTCTCTGCTTGAAGACGAGTAGATCCTCTTGTGTGCTGGTTGGATGCGTCATGATTGGTTGTTGTTCTCTACACTATGTCGCATCTTTGGTCTGTAGTCTCCATGTATAGATCCTCTTTCAAAGTGAGTGGCCAACGGCTTCGAAGTGCTACTGGCAATCTAGACCCCGGCATTATTAATGCCTTAAGGCAAACCAGGTTTTCGTATTACCAAGGCATACTGGGTGATAACGTGAAGTGGCGTATTGGGTACGCTGGGATACAGTACAGCACAGCCGCTGCCAAAGCCCGCGGAAAGCTAATCGCGCGTTGTTCCGACGTTCCGGGACTAGTCGGGATTCCCACCAGCCATGGATCGGGCATGTCAACGGAGGGCTCAGAGGCACGGCGACACGGTGAATGGCTCGTGGTCCGTCCTGCCAATGACGGCGAGAGAATATTGGATCAGTTGAACCAGTAAGACCGGTTGGACCCAACTCAAAGAACCGGGCCCCCGCCGGCGGGGGAGAAAAAGAACGAGGGGTAATGTCGGACTGTCCTGTCATTGGTGTAGAAGACCCTGGTTTCCCAAGGTTTCTAAGGTACTGCCACTGCAGAGTCCACACTGTACGCTCGCTCTCCGGCGGGCGAAGCTGAGATAATCAGTTCATCCTCGTTGACTCACAGGCACTCCAGACTCTCTCTGTCCTTCTCTTTCTCCTTTCTTTCATATTTAAGTCTTCCCCAAGGTGGCATAGTCCTTTTCTTCTTTCTTCTGTACATTACCCATTTTCTCTTCTCTCCTGCAGCAATTTGCTAAGCTCACCTCCAATTCCTCTCACAATGGCTGCTCAACAGAACGGTGCTACCGACAGCTTCACTGTCAAGGCCGGTTTGGCCCAGATGTTGAAGGGTGGCGTGATCATGGACGTTGTCAATGCCGAGCAGGTATGATTTTCTTCGTTGATGTGAACCATCCGTGAATGCTAACACGTTTTGTCAAGGCTCGCATTGCCGAAGAGGCTGGTGCCGCCGCTGTCATGGCGCTCGAGCGTGTCCCCGCCGACATCAGAGCACAGGGTGGAGTGGCGCGCATGTCCGACCCGGGCATGATCAAGCAGATCATGGAGGCCGTCACCATTCCTGTGATGGCGAAGGCTCGTATTGGCCACTTTGTCGAGTGCCAGGTATGAGCAACCCCGCATCCATTTTTTGTGTCTGTGACCCTCGTTCTCGCAAGCTGACCTTTCTCTCCTCTTTCTAGATCCTCGAAGCCATTGGCGTCGACTACATCGACGAGTCCGAGGTCCTCACCCCCGCCGACGAAGTCTACCACGTTACCAAACACGGCTTCAAGGTGCCCTTCGTCTGCGGATGCCGCAACCTGGGCGAGGCCCTCCGCCGGATCGCCGAGGGCGCCGCCATGATCCGCACCAAGGGTGAGGCCGGTACCGGGGACGTGGTGGAGGCCGTGAAGCACATGCGCACCGTCAACGCCGACATTGCGCGTGCCCGCGCGATCCTCCAATCGTCCGCCGACCCCGAGCCCGAGCTCCGTGCCTATGCCCGCCAGCTGGAGGTTCCGTACGAGCTCCTGCGCGAGACCGCCGAGAAGGGCCGTCTCCCCGTGGTCAACTTCGCCGCCGGTGGCGTGGCCACGCCCGCCGATGCCGCGCTCATGATGCAGCTGGGCTGCGACGGTGTCTTCGTCGGCTCCGGAATCTTCAAGTCCGGTGATGCGAAGAAGCGCGCCAAGGCTATCGTGCAGGCTGTGACTCATTACAAGGACCCCAAGGTTCTGGCTGAGGTCAGCGAGGGTCTGGGCGAGGCTATGGTCGGTATCAATGTCTCGCACATGGCCGAGGCTGACAAGCTGGCTAAGCGGGGCTGGTAGGGGGATGTGGAAGTGGAAGTGTAATTGTATGTCCTGTTTATTTCTACCATCGCGCGGGCGTTTTGAGAGAGATCCAAAAAGTTGGGACAGCAGGCCGGCACTTCTTGCATTAGATGTTCTTTTTCATTTTCCCCCTGCATAATGATTGTACATTTGATCCATACGAGCAATGAGCCCATTTCCTAGACAAATCAGTTTCTTGGCTGTCCACGATTCCACGTAGGAAGCTTTCTCGGTGAGGGAATTAAACTGCGAAAGGAAGTGGAGTCCCTTCCAGTAGTTTCCCAGCCTAGGCCCCAATCTTAGGTGAAGGTGAATGAATGGGTCCATAGCCTATCCACGCAGCTGCGGCAAATCCCTCAGGGTTGCTCTCCCCTCCCCTCTTCCACTGTGCATTTCGCCTCCCTGGAGCAACAGGCAACAGGTGACAAGCGCAACTCGTATAGAATGGCTCAAATCTGGCAAATGATCCAAACCAGGGCTTAACATGCCAAAGATCTCAGAGATGGACGACTCTGCTTCTCGAATCTCGTTGAAAGGGACGGTTCCCTGATCGCCCGAACCTTAACATAATGCGGTGGTTTTGCCGTTTTATTACAGGTGTACACTCCGTGACGGATCATGTGATCCTGGAGAAGGAACGATGTACGCTGCGTGACGGTATTACAGATACGGTCGATCACTGGGTGCCGGCGTTTGGCAGTAGTTCCCGTTAGTGCAGGTCCGGTCCGTTGTTTGTTTTGGCTCAATCTACTTCTGAGGTTGTTCGGAGCTGAGGTATGTTGCTGCTGCTATGCAACTTCTAACTCCTGGAGAGATCTGTTACGGTTAAAGCTAGTTTCTTTGAATCTGACCATCCATCTAGAACCCCCAAGGGTTAGGAAAGAACGGAAACAATGGCCATCCCAGAGATCGACCCCATGATCCCCTCGCAATTCGCCTCCGCCGATGCAATTCCATCACCATCACCCCCACTCCAACCAGAAGAAGAAGAAGAACCACGCAACGACACCCACGCCGACAATCAAGCCCTCAAAGCCCATCACATCCTCAAACCTGAAAGCAACCGCAGCGCATCCCCCCACAAAGTCCACCACCATGCCGAACATCCAGCAGGCGGCTACACAACAACCAACGGCAACACCACAACCAACGGCAACATGCTCAACCGCATCACGCAGCTCACCACGCAGCACCCCCTCCTCTCCACGCTACTTCTCGCGCAACTGATTTGCTCCGGTGTGCCTGTGGCCTTGTTTCTCGGCGGCGTGGTCGTCTCCGCTGGCGTGGCGGCCGCGATTTTCGCTGCGCTGGCTATGTTGGTGCTTGGGCCGGTCTTGGTGGTTACGGTTGTGTTGGGGTTGGGGCTTTGGGGTTGGGGCTGGGTTTTGTTTTGGGGTGGGAGGATCGCGATGAGGGTTTTCCGCGGGGAGGAGTTGGGAGTTGCGCTTGGAGTGGGGGTTCGAGGGTGAGGTCTTGGGGTTGAGTGGATTTGGGGTGGGTAGGATGGGTAAAGCTGAGGTTGGGTCGGGTGCTCTGTATCTTTATTCATTGTATGGGTTCTGCTTGGTGGGTAGCAGGGTCAAGGTCAAGGTCAAGGTCAAGGTCATGGGGCGTTAAACAAGGGTAAAGTGTATGGAATTGTATGTTCTACATTGTCGGGGTATATTAATTCTGCTAGCTGACTGGCTGGCTGGCTGGTGGATGGTTCAAATAATGCAGTGCAGACTCAGACTCACACTTCCCAAAATCTAGCTTCGCTGCTTCTCTTGCGTCTCCGCCCATTTCACCCACCGCCGGATGCAATCGTCCACCCGCTTCAACGAGCTCTTCTCCGCCGTCACCTCGAACCACTCCTTATGCTCCTTGCCGCAGTCCGGGCACTTGCCCATGTCGCGCACCCGCACGTCGCCCAGCTCCAGGTGGATCAGCCGCTCCACGCGGTGCACGTACGGCACCTTCCGGCCCGGCTCGAGCGCGGCGTTGTCGTGCGCGTCGCCGCCGCCGAACCGCGACGGCGACGGCGACACGTGTGGCGTCGACGGCGTGTAGGGGTAGTACCGGATCAGCGTGAGGTGGTGGCTGCACTGGCGCGACCACTCGTTCAGCCGCCGCTGGACGTTGTTCGCCCGTCCAATCTTCAGGCGGATCGTGCCCGGGCTGGTGCCGCTGGGCGCGGATGCCAGCGCGCGGAGATCCCGCGCCTTGCCGATCGCGTCGCTGACCCGGCGCTCGCGGCCCGGCGCAGACTTCCCCGGTGGCAGCAGCGAGCTGGCTACTTCGGCTGGTGGGGGTCCGCGAGTGCCATCTCCATCCGCGGTGGTGGGCGTCACCCAGAACATGTAGATATAGCCGGGTTCGTCGGCCTCGGAGATCGGCTTTTCGAGCTCGGCTGCCAGCGTCGACGTCGTCTCCGGGCTCAGGTTCGGTGGGATCCACGAGTCCGGGATCCCGGACGACGAGGACGAGTAGTTGTGTGCTGTTTGCGGGGACGGCCGCGTCGGGATCTGGTTCGGGGAGAGCAGGTTGGCTTGAGGCACGGCCGCTGGTCGCGACGGCGGCCTGCCGCTGCTGACAGGTCGCGGCGGCCGGATGTCTTCCTCCTCGATCACCTCGAAGCAGCAGCAGATGGTCCGTTTCTTCTGTCGCTTCTGTGGCTTGTTGGGCCGCGGGCGCCATTTTTCGGACCCCGCCGGCGCCTCGTTGATGTTGAGCACCCCTAATCGGTCCAGCAGGGTGTCGATGCTCGTTCGGGGCTTGTTGGGGTTGAAGGATGGCGTGCTGGTCCCCGGGGAATCCGCCGCCACGGCCTGGTCCTTATGCTGCCAGCAATACCGGTCCGCTGGATCGGCGAGCGCCCGCCGGCATGGTCGTCCACTGTTGGTCAGCCCCTGACATGTTGTATTGGGGTCTAGGGAGTCTGTGCGGCCGAGAAGTGCTTCGGGGGTATTGGCGATGACAGGCATGGCAGGAAAATGGTCAGGTGCTGCTGAGCGAGGACGCGCCGGAAATCTCGCAACTTCTTATGTTGTCCCATGCCCCAGGCGCGAGATCCACCATCGCGTCTAAGCCGAAACACGAGGCTGTGAAGCACTGACCAAGCCCACAGAAAGGGGAACTCAGAGGCTGTCGCAGGCCATGACGTCGCCCCATTGGATGATGATCATCCCTAGCACCCAAATCAGAACGCCTGCATGTTTGCGTTGCAAATCTTGAGCCTGATGCATTGCGCAGGCGGGGGAGGTTGGAGATGGACCGATTGGAGATTCTGGCGGACAACAAATCACCAGTTGGTGAACTGCAACTGGCTTGCCGGAATGAGAAGACGCATACCCATAGCAATGAGGGTCGAGGCCTAAAAATAGGAAGTCGCTTGCCCACTGCTGAACAGATCAGGTACTCGCTTGTTTATCCGGTCCTCAAGTTTAAGTGCTGTCGAGTGTTGGACGCACCGCCTCAGTGGCGGATGGAAATCAGTTTCGAGCTGATCGCCCCCCGCTCGACGGCAAAATCAACAGTTTGTGATGCCTGAGGCAGTGATTATTCTTACACGAAATAGCCATGTGAAGGAGTAATTAGAGAACAAGGTAGGTAATGTGTAGTCCAGCTCTGACCAAGTAGATGGTCTCAGCTTCTAACTCCAGCTGGCTCAGGCAGGACTTACTAACCATTATTGTACACACCTTGGGAACAGAGACTTTTTCTATGCTTTACACTATAGTCATAAGCATACGTTAACTACGGCGTCTTTTATCATTCGGCTCGCAAGTGAACGGTCCTGGCGACTCAAGGACAAAAATAGCTTATTGTTGAGATCATGTCCAGACTACCCTGAGACCCCTAACCAACGTAATCAAAGCCCGCGCCACGGCATTTGACCCAGAACGAGCGTATCAACTGACTGGTCTGCGCTTTGGCACCCCTTGCGGCCAACAGAGATGCAAGGAGGCGCTGTCGTTCTTCTGGCGATATAGATGGCCGCTGGTGTTGTTCGACGGCCACGTCCAACTCGGCCAGCGCGGCAGCAAGATGCGGTCGGGCAGCTCCTTGTTGCTTGAATATGATTTTCCGGAATACCTCGCAAAGGTGTTCTAGGTCCGACCGGGCACATCTGCCGGCAAATTGAGACATCAGGATCCGACAAAGAGCAGGGAGACATTCGCGGACGGCATTCTGGATGGGCGGCGCGTCACCGGGAAGATTCAACACGCTCACCCAAAATTGTGAGGCAGAGCGAAGTGGAAGGGGCTCAGGGCCTCGCAGGGAAATTAGTGTGAAATTCAAGATGGCTTCCAGAACAGACGGTCGCTGCTGAGCAGCCGTCGGATTAGGTGCCTGCGGCGGGGACGTGAGCGCGAAAAGGAATGGGTGGTATTTCGGAAGCAAGCGTGTCAGGAAATCAATGCCACTGTTGGCGACTTCGGGATCGTAACACTCTGGCTTTTCGTGCATCCAGCAGAAAGTCTCGTAAACGTGAATGATCAATGCAGCAGTTTCGTCACGGATACGCTGTGGGTGGGAGCTGTGGGAGGCAAGGAAAGCTGAGGCGGTGCCCATAACCATGTCGGTACCGGCACTGCCCAGGGGTATGCTCTTCACAAAGTTGACCGTCATCATCGGTGGGAAAACATAGGGACCGGTCCTCTCGGTGTAGCCGGCTTTCAGTATGTCACACGCAGCTTCGATAATCGACACATCCACGGGGAAGTCAGCCATGAGGAGCTGCATGCATTGCATGATGAGGTTTTGTACAACAGCGCCATTGCCCATATTCCAGAAAGTTGGCGGGTAGGCATCCGCTTCCTTATCTTCGCTGGAATCCAAGTTGATCTCGCTATCTGTTCGGAGACCCTTGCCGATGCTGGCGATGCATCGTAGCACGAGTTGAGCACGGCTTTGGGCTTGCTCAATGAGTCCATTAACCGCTTCTTCCCGGGCGGCGGTTGCCTGCTCATGGAAGATCCGAAGAATCCTTTCAAGGAATTGAGCCTTCGCTTCATCTTCGGGTACGGTCTGGATAATCGCAGCGATGCCCTCCAAAACCTTCTCCATAGTGTGAGCCGTGGCGGTGGGCTTGAAACGGAAATGCTCAAACTGTTCGATGAAGGCAGGAAGCTCCAGCGTGAGAGCATTGCGACACGACTTGCAGAGATGCGCGATTGATCTGGACGCTGCTGTCGCGCAGGGACCAACGTCAAGGGACGCGAAAAGGAACGTTAAGACCCGAGGAAGCAAAGCATGTGTCCGCTCAAAGTATGATTGATACTTCCCGAGCATATCCACCAGAGTCTGACGTGGTTTGTCGGGGATGGCCACTCCATTTCCTTCACACAATTTTGCGAAATCATCGCAGAAGAAGATAGAATTCAGGCATTCATCAGCATGCTGGTTCTCATCCACAGCCTCGGACAGCTGAGCAATGCAGAAGATAGAAGCCTCGAACGTCCGCCAGTCTTGCTGCTGAAGGGACGACCTTGCTCGTTCCTGGAAGACCTGAACCAGTTCTACGCCCAGCATTGGATAGATTGCGAGAAGGAAGTCACACACGTCACGCCGGAAAGCCCCGAACTCACTACGGTCATCATCACCCCATCTTTGTAGCACTTCTGGAGTCGGGTACTTGAGTTTGTCGAAGCAATCTAGTGCTGCGCGGGCAAGATTGTGCTTCGCAGGCCCAAGTCCGTTTTGGTCTTCGGAATCCAGGTATATTTCTTGAAGATCATCCGCAACCTCCGTCCACCATTCGAGAACCAAAGGTGAAGCCAGATCGTCTACCGATGCATAACCGGGCGCTTTAAACAGCGTGTGTAGCAGAGCGAGTATTTTTTCATGTTGCGGGTCCAATGGTTTCGTTAAAAGATCTCTTTGCTGAAGTGTCGAATATGCCAGTAGGAGCTCCAAGAAAGTCATGTTTTCATCCTCGAAATCTCCTTCCATAAGTGAAGAGATATGTGCGGTACCATGATCACAAACAATGTACTCCAAGATGGCGTTGATATGTTCTGGGGTGAAGACGGTGTCCCGCCAGTCTATTAATTCGACCAGGACTTGCGTCGCAGCTTTGGATAGAACTGGAATCCTCATACTCTGGACGATATAGGTTGTGGTCGGAGCTAATTGAGATACAGGTATCGTGTCACGGAGAGAAAAGGCACTTCGGACAGACATCCATGTCTGAGTTCGAATAGGTTAGATGAAAATCGAGCACAGGGACAAATAAACCCACTTGGTAAGAATTGATGGCCTCGGTCCCCAAGCTGTCGTCAGACAGATGGGCTCCTGATGCGACCTGTTGCAGTATGTGACTAAGAACAGTATCAACAAGTACAAAAGCGTCCTTAATGTTCTCAGATATGGGGTGATCATCACGATTGCGACGGGCTTCGGAGCTCCATTTATGAATCTCTTCTCCCAGGGTATTAGAAAAGTATAGCAATGAAGTCACCTGGCGCTCAGACAAGGCAGGAAGCACAGTATTCCTCAAGTCAATATTCTTGCAGTGTTCCTCTGAGACATACTTCCCATTTGCCAAGGAAGCCGCTAGGTTGCAAACAGCCCGTGTCCAGGGAGTGTCGGGCTTCAGGAAAATCGTCGCTAAGCTGGAAGCCAGTTTCCGTATGACCAAAGAGCGCTCGCCTCCATTAACCAGAATGACATAGTGTTCAATCAGTCGTCCAAGTAGCTCCTGAGCCTCTTCCGTGCTCAGATGTTGCCTACGGCCAGAGTTAGTATTTCCCGTGCAATGGACTCGCTGGATGATGCGCACCAATCCTGATTAATCTTTACGGTGAAGGTCAAGGCCCCGAAGAACTTAAGATCTGTGTTCTGCTCCGCAAGAAGATAATTTGCGACCAACCATGCTTGGGGGCTTTTTTGGAGACCTTGCAGGTGTTCCTGGATCGCTTGGATTTTAGCGGGGTTGCCAGTATTTGCCGGATCATAGAGTTGTGACACTAGCTAGAAGTAGAAATGATTCAGCTTTTATCCCCCAATTGACTCTTGAAGACAGCTCAACTTACTGTCTTTGCCTCATTGATGAGCAGGTGCACATCCGAGGCTTGACCCGGAATGTCCCCAGACATGGCCGCAACACTGATGGCCTCCTTGCGGTGGGAAAGAAAGATATAGATAGATGGTGGGCGATATCTATAGTTAAGGGGTGTCACGTGTTGATAACACTACTACCGAAGCGTCAGGCGGTGAGAAGTGGGATGGAGGGGGGAAGCTCTTAGTATTAATGTTAATCCGGAGGAAGGAAGAATAGCAACTGAAATGATTTGTGACGATCACAGCGGTTGAGCGTCGTTGTTGCTGGGGGGAAAGGATGAATTTGAGAGTAAAACATGTGACCAGCTAGGCTAGCACTTGCAGGATGTTATTCAATTTCCAACCAACGGGCCATATCCCTTCATCAACGCTTGGGCGAAGAATGTGAGATAGTTAACACCAGTTTCGTGAACTCTATGATCAGAGTTTCAGAATCAGTAATGGTTGAGTTTGCTACTATGTAGGAATAGTCATCGCGATGCTTTTTTGGCGGAGTGGTCATCATTGAGAGGATGGAGGGAAATAGATACCGTATGGTATCGGTTAATACAAATCTCGTGGCATTTACCCACTTACTTCCAATCGGCAAAGGACGGCCGGCCGGCATAGGGTCCCCACCTCTTCAGTTCAATCTGCCATCGGAGCTCCTACGGAGAACTGAACTTCCCTTACGTACTCGTCAGTCAATCCAGTCACTTACTCACTCACTCACACCTTCAGCTTTGTGCTCTTATCGAATGGTCGACGACTATACCTAGTAGTACTCACTAGTATCCTCCACCCTCGCTGCTCCTTGTGCACACGACCATTGTATCCTTCGCCGCCACCCCACCCTTCCCTCGCTACCTTCCTTTAGGTCCTTGCGTGCTTTGTGCAACCCCGACCTGTTAGAATCCCACCGTTTCCTCCGGACACTTGCAGCTGTCCTTTGCAAACCTTCGCCAGTAGATGCTTTTTTCGCACCCTCCCATCCGCCTTTCTTGGATATCAGCTTTCCGATCGGCTCGCAAGTTACCCCTTGCCCCGTTGAGGTCCTTCTCTAGCTCCGCCCCGCGCTTTACCATCGAAATGGGGACTGTGAACACCTCCGAACGCTTGGCCAGGTTGAGGCAGTTGATGCAGGAGCACAAGGTGGATGTATATAGTATGCTTCTGGTAAACTCTCAGCATTTGTTGAAGTCGCATTCTCACTCTTTATCAAGTCGTTCCTTCGGAAGATAGTCACCAGTCAGAATACATTGCGCCATGCGACGGCCGTCGAGGTTAGAACGCCACTTTTGTCCTTTACCCCGAGTCCTTTGCCCCGACTCTGGTATACGGCTTCGCATCGTTCACCATATAACTCACACTACAATTCATAGAATTCATCTCGGGTTTCTCCGGATCGGCTGGAACGGCCATCATCTCCTTGTCCAAGGCAGCATTGTCCACGGACGGCCGTTACTTCAACCAGGCTGCCAAGCAGCTCGACGACAACTGGGTTCTGCTAAAGCGGGGTGTCGAGGGTGTTCCAACATGGCAAGAATGGTACGGAGATCAAAACGCATCCGCTCTCAGGCCCAGAGACTAAACTTCGATTCAGGACCACGGAGCAGGCAGAGGGTGGTAAGGTGGTTGGTGTCGACCCAGCTTTGATTACAGCCTGTGAGTGAGGTGGTACACTTTCCAGTCGGCACATGTCCACAAAACTGACTGTCAATAGCCGGTGCTCGTAGCCTTTCCGAGACCCTGAAGAAGAAGGGATCGTCCCTCGTTGGTGTCCAACAGAACCTTGTCGACTTGGTCTGGAAAAATGACAAGCCGGCTCCCCCAAGGGAGAAGGTGACGGTTCACCTGGAGAAATATGCTGGCAAGAGCTTCCAGGAGAAGATCCAGGATCTGCGCAAAGAACTGGAGAACAAGAAAGCGGCTGGTTTCGTTATCTGTAGGTTACCGCCTGTCATGTCCATGCTTCCCTTGATCAACCTTGACTAATGAATCATAGCGATGCTGGACGAGATCGCTTGGCTGTTCAACCTCCGCGGCTCTGAGTAAGTACCATCGCGTCCAGCCGTTGGATTATCACTCTTCTGCAAAAGTTTTTCGTTAACCAGTCTGATTCTAGCATTCCCTATAACCCTGTTTTCTTTTCATACGCCATTGTCACCCCCACTACCGTCGACATCTACGTGGATGACGATAAGCTGACACCGGAGGTGAAGGTCCACCTTGGTCAGGATGTCGTGGTCAAGCCTTATGACTCCATTTTTGCGGACGCTAAAGCACTAAGCGAGGCTCGGAAGCAGCAGGCCGACGGTGCGGCTTCGAAGTTCTTGGTGTCTAACAGGGCTTCCTGGGCTCTGAGCCTTAGTCTGGGCGGCGAGGACCAGGTCGAAGAGACCCGTAGTCCTATTGGCGACGCCAAGGCGGTCAAGAACGAAGTAGAGCTTTCGGGGATGCGGGCTTGTCATATCCGTGATGGCGCGGCCCTGTCGGAGTACCTGGCCTGGCTTGAGAACGAATTGATCAACAAGAAGACCACCCTGGATGAGGTGGACGCTGCAGACAAGCTAGAGCAGATCAGATCCAAGCACGATCTGTTTGCTGGCCTCTCGTTCGATACTATTTCTTCTACAGGTCCCAACGGCGCTGTCATCCATTACAAGCCTGAGAAGGGAAGCTGCTCTACCATTGACCCCACAGCCATCTATCTCTGTGACTCTGGAGCGCAATACTTGGATGGAACCACGGATGTAACTCGTACATTCCACTTTGGCAAGCCCACCGACCTTGAGAAGAAGGCATTTACCCTTGTGCTCAAGGGTCTGATCTCCATCGATACTGCAGTCTTCCCCAAGGGTACGAGTGGTTTTGCGCTTGATGCGCTTGCTCGGCAGCACCTGTGGAAGGAGGGCCTTGATTACCTGCACGGAACTGGTCATGGTGTTGGTTCCTACCTGGTGAGTCTCAGGCAATTTCTGTGGCATTATTGCTCTGCTAATCTTGCGAAAGAACGTTCATGAGGGCCCCATTGGCATTGGCACGCGCGTGCAGTACACTGAAGTCCCCATCGCACCCGGCAATGTCATCTCTGACGGTAAGATCAAAAACCTGCAGCCCAAGTGTTTCAGACGCTGACCAAAGCAGAACCCGGCTTCTACGAAGATGGCAAGTTCGGTATTCGTATCGAAAGTAAGTTTTTCAACCTGTGAAAATGCTGATTGCACATGACTGACCATGTTTTTAGACATTATCATGGCACGTGAAGTCCAGACGACGCATAAATTCGGCGACAAGCCCTGGTTGGGCTTTGAACACGTCACCATGGCCCCCATCGGCCAGAACTTGATTGAGCCATCTCTCCTCACTGACGCCGAGCTCAAGTGGGTGAACGATTACCATGCTGAGGTCTGGGAGAAGACCCACAAGTTCTTTGAGAACGACGACTACACCCGGGGTTGGCTGCAGCGTGAAACCAAGGCAATTACTAAATGAGCCTGCTAGCTCCGGTTATACTTGCACCTCAACTTAAGAGCCTGGAGCCAATATATTATACCTAGATTCCCAAGTGCTTTTGTCACGTTCTTAATTTCTGGTATTTGTATTACTCTGAAGTTTTCTTTGATGGATTTGTGAAACCATTGTAAAACAAACAGTCGTAGGACATTTTTCCTCTCAGTGAATCACAAAGGGCACAATTCTCCTTGTCAGATAAGTAGTATTGACGAGGAGGTAGCTACTGTGGACGGCTGATAGACTAAATAGGTCAAGCAGGCGCTAGGCGGGAATGTGGAGAAACGGGGCAAGCGACACCTCGCGGAATCGATTGTTCCCTGTTCCACATGCCAGCTCCGATGTCTACAACGACCTCATTCATACCCCTTCCGGCTTGTCGCAACCTTAACAGAATACTGGATCTTTACGCTAAACTTTTCTACAATTCATCAGCGCTTCGACGGCCTTGAATTCTGCGTCCTTGTTCCTTAGAACGACCATGCTTGTGTCACCACCTGCTTGATCAACTGCGTCAGTGCCCAGACTTCATAGAATTCGAGATCGGAGGGTCCCAGCGACCGATTCAATTCGCATCTACACCTTACAGAAAAGATTTTTCAATAATTCTCTCGGTAACTTATATCGATTCAAGCTCTCCGAGGCGCAGTGATCTGGCATGAGCGGCCGAAGCCCCTACGCGAACGGATACGGATACTCCGACCCCAGCCGATACGACCGCGGTGATGGCGGCTACGGCAGCAACAGCAGCAACAGCTTAGGGATCAATGGATACGGAGGCGGGGGAGTAAGCGGAGGAGGAGGCAGCAGCGGTGGCTCGGGGAGTCGCGACCTTCGCCCCGGAGGCTACGGTGGCTTCTACCCCGAGGCGGCGTCGCAATCGTCCCTATCTCCGGCTCAGTCCCCGGAGCGACGACGTGATAGGTGGGACCGCGAACCCGAGCACTCGTCGTCGCGGTCCCGGACAAGAGAAGGGGATGCAGAGAGGGCGGCTTTGGGTTCACGCGATGGTCGATCGCGTGGAGAGACGAGCTGGCTGGGAGGCAGCAGCAGTCGCGAACGAGAACGGGAACGGGAACGGGACAATAAGGGAATGAGTTCTGCTACTCGCGTGGGAGGACAGGGAGGCTCTCAGGCCATTGAAGGTGCGAATTGGTTTTCATGTCCCTCGCAATTGTTGAATGATTTGGAAAAATGTCGTGTCTAATCTTTGCTGGAATGGGTAGATGTTCTGCAGATGGTACAGCGGGAATGGGACTTCGTGGCTACCGAAAGTTGTATCCCGGTGCAGGTGGCTTTACAACTCATGGACACGAGCACGTTGGGAAAGGCGGACCGCGAACCGGAATTCCTTGAGATCCACGATCAAATACAGCAGACCCTGAAGTCGGTCGTCAATGGTGAGGCCTTTACACCTAGAGATGGGTTGCTTTGATTGCTCATACGGATTTCTAGAACACCATCAGGGTTTCAACAGTTCGATCGGTACATACCATAAGATCCAAACCAGCATCCAGACTTCACAGACCCGAGTGCGCAATTTGAAGAACGCCCTCGAGGGGGCAAAATCGGGTCTGTTGTCAACTAAGCCTGAATTGAAAGGACTGGCTACCTCATCGCAAAAATACGACGATATTATCCAGCTGTTCAGCCAGATACAGGAAATCCAATCGTTGCCTGAGAAGCTGGAGTCTCGCATTTCGGACAAGCGTTTCCTCGCCGCTGTCGAAGTGCTGCATGATGCGCTGCGACTTCTGCGCCGGTCTGAGCTCGAGAACATTGGGGCGCTAGCTGATATTCGCGCTTATTTCGGTAGCCAGGAGGCTTCCCTGACAGATATCTTGATCGAGGAATTGCACGATCATCTGTATCTGAAATCCCCTTACTGCGCGAATCGGTGGAAACCCCCGACAGCTGAAGGAGAGGGCAGCGGTATCAATTCGTCCAGCTGGTCTGGCAGCAACTCCTGGGAACGCCCGGTTTACAATTTCCTCGCGAAGTTGAATGCGTCCAACCCGATGGTGGAAGACGCTTCTCGCAACCCAGAAGCGGACACATTTTACTATATTCAACTACTGATAGAGGCGCTCAACAAGATGGGTCACCTTGACATCGCTGTTGACAGAATAGAGCAGAGGCTCCCTGTCGAATTGTTTTCAGTCGTCGACAAGACGAATGCTGAAATTGATGCACGTTACCCTGATCTGTCTACGCGCGGCTTCGCAGCCCAAGATAACAGAAGCGGAGTGGCAACAGAGACCATCGAAAAACGTGGCCACGTGCTGTCTGAATTCTTATGGACATTGTACGCCAAATTCGAGTCCATTGCCGAGGGCCATCGCGTCGTCCATGACGTGATTGCAGCCATCGTAGCACGTGAGGGCATCCCGAAAAGTAACACCCTTGCTGGTGGGTTCAAGGAGCTGTGGAAGCTTTATCAGAGCGAGGTAGGACATCACTCCCATGGGGAAAACAATTTTCTTGTCTAACATTTGCTTATCTTAGATCCGCTCGCTTATGCATGACTACTTGGCCACTGATGGAGAGTACCGACCGAGGGATGAAGACGCTGACGCTAGACGTCAATTTTACACCGGTCAACGAGATAAGAACAAGGTATGCGGGATAGCATGAACGAAGGCTTGCTGGGCACTAACCGGTTGCAGAAAATGTTCAAACTGTCCGAAACAGATCAAACGACAGAAATTCAGGCCGAGCAGACCGAGCTGGACGAGATCCTGAGATCATCTGTGCCTGGCTTAGTGACCAAATCCAACCAGAAATTTGCTGTGACTGACAACACTGATGCTAGACAAGGCAACTCGGGTACTGGGCATAAGATCCTCATCGAGCCAAGTGTGTTCAATATCAGTCTCCTGCTACCACCGTCTCTTTCGTTTATCCAAAGGCTCAAGGAGATTGTGCCGGTGGATTCGGATCTTGCGATGACCACGTTGACATCCTTCCTGGATGACTTTTTGGTCAACGTATTTCTGCCTCAGCTCGATGATACAGTTACAGACCTTTGTAACCTCACTATCGTCTCGCCCGATGCATTTACAGAAGATCCCCAATGGTCTACTGTTTCGCCTCGACCCGTGTTCAAGGTACTTACTTCGGCATAAGCATCTTGAATCTTGATATTGACCACATTCCAGGGCACGGTCAAGTTTATGTCAATCATCCAGGAATTCAGCAAAATGCTCTCGAGCATTCCTCATGATCAAGCCTTCACGCAACTTCTGCTTACTCAGATCGTGACTTATTATGATAAGTGCTGTGGATGGTATAAAGGTGAGAGACTCCGACGCTTCTGAACATATGTAAAGCTTGCTTATCCGGGAACTAGCCATTGTGACGAAGCTCTCCCCGCGAGACAAGGGTGAGCCTCGGCTCAAGGCTGCTGCAGGCTTTGCTGAAGCGGGAGACGTCCATGATACTGTTGCCGAGCTCTGGAAGGACGCGACCAACGACAAATGGACACTCGTAGATAAGGTACATTATGGAGAGATTTCTATAATGAGTATATACTGACAAAGGGTAGGAAATCGAGCTTCTTCTGCAACTTACCTCCGAAGTACCATTAGAACCTTACGACATCATATCCGACCCCAAGACCGTCGTGGCTTTGTCCCTCCTTTACAATAGCATGGTTCGTTTGTCCTTCCAGTCCTGCGCTTTATCATACATACTGACATGGATACAGCAATGGTTCGCGAGCCACCTGGCCCAGTTGCGCCAGATCACAGTGCCCCCCTCGGATGCCCGGCGTCCTGAGACCGGGCCCCAAAACCGTCGTTGGACATTGATAGGGGCAATGAAATCTAAGCTTGACGGTGTTAGCCAACCGATATACTTGCCACTGAACCAGGAAACCGCAGTTATATTCGACAACACACTCGAATCACTGCGCGAACTTGCCTACACGGCTCTGTTCGCTCTACACATTGACATTCGGTGCGGCATCATTCATATGCTGAAAAGGACGATGGCCGGACCCAACCCTCGGAACCCACGCGCTTCCGAACCTACGACGCCGTCTCCCAGCACTACCACCCATTGGTGGCACATCTTGATGAACCAGCCCACTGCTGCATCTCCCACGATCTTGGAGTTGAACAGTGATCTGATCGGCTTTGACACTAACATTTCAACCTACCTCAGAACGTCTGAAAGATGGTTCATTACCTCAGGATTAGCTCGCTTCATCGACCAGATCTTTGTGGCGCACACTGATCTGATTGGGGCCATGAATGAAAACGGAGCTCTGCGCCTTCAACTGGACGTGCTCGTTCTGCAGCAGAATCTAAAAAACATCATCATAGATCCCACGCAGGACCCAGCCCACGACGGGGCAACTAGCCCGCACGAAGAGCATCACGAGGTGGTTGCTCTCCCCCGCAGTGCCAAGTTCCTCGATTGGTTCCTGGAGGGGGCCGAGAAGGCTCTTGACTACGCGAAAGAAGAAAAGGAATCGTTTGCAGCTCACGGAGAGAAGGCACTGGCCGCTGGAAATGGCGAACCCTTTACGTACGAGGAGCTTAAGATTCTCATCGACCTCTGCTTCTCGGATGCATTGCTCGGACCACGGGGCGCGGACAACCGCGAGGAGTTCATGGCTGCCAAGAAAGCCAGTGCGGATGCTCTCCTGAAGTTGAACGAGGTGATGTGGGATTCCAAGTAGGACTGAAGATAATCATACAGCGACTCATTACCTATGTTCGCAATCGAGCGTTGTGCTGTCGTAGCCCAGGGGTTAATCGGCGAAGTCGGCCTTTTCTGAAGCCCAAAGTCTCGAGTCCAGAACGCAATGGACGGATCCACTTGCCAGAAGGTCCGAAATTATCCAGAAAAGCAAGCAGTGACCAGTGGTTTGAAGCCAAGCACAAATTCAGGAGAACACGTCTCTTGGGTGGACTGTGAATCATCACATGATTTCTTCCCCTGTTAAAACCCCGAGGATGAGTTCTGAGACAGTTCCGCTTAGTGCTTAGTGCTTAGTCTTATAGAGTAAGGGTGGCCCGTTGAGCCCGTTGACGGTAGCGAAGAAAATCTCCGGAGTGGGTCTGACCGGAGTAGTTTAATTAAAACGCCAATATAATCATGCCGGCATTGATCGAATGGATCGAATGAAGGCAAATTGATCCACGGGCCACTGTTTCACCTCGCGATCTCATTTCCCGCTCAGCCCAACCCTAATGGTTGCTGCCTTGTTACTGCGCTTCTCGGCCCGTGGACTGCCTCTCTGACCCCTGGAGTTTCATTTCCTAGAGATTGCTGACAATGGGGCAATCATGACGCTCAAATTGACCCATCAGATTGTCTGGACCACGGGGCAAACGGCGTGTGCTCGCGGCGATTCCTTTTATTCCCTGCATCCCAGGTGCTTCTCTTTCTTTCTTCTCAGCATCTCTCGTTGACCACTCTGTCCGGAACAGCAGATCTATAGCCCTGGGATTTGATATCCAGGCGTCCATTCATTCCTTCTCAAACCACTCCAGTGTTGATATCACACGTTTCTTTGCCATCTTGGCTGATCGAGAGATCTCTTCCATTCATTCTATCTTTTTTGAAACACAGTCCTTCTCATACCAACCATGAAGTACGAACGTCTTGCCTCGTTGGGTATTGCTGCCCTGGGTGCCCTTTCCTCCGTGTCTGCAAGGCCTATTGAGATCCCTGATGATGATGAATGGGACTGTGGCGAGGACGACGTCGCTGTTAGCACTTACTTCAAGACAATGACAGTTGCGGTGACTCCGACTGCCTCGGTTGAATCCTCCACCTTCTCTGAGGTTGTTCCTACTACCGTGGTTGCTGCTACCACTGCTGCTCCGGCTGCTGTCGAAGCCACTTCTGTTGTTCAGGCAGTGACCGTCAACACTCATGCTGCTGCTCAGGCCTCTAGCACCAGCACTACTGCTGCCAGTGCCGCCACTTCTTCATCTTCCTCTTCGTCTTCCTCCTCTTCGTCCTCGTCCAGCAGCAGTCTGAGCTCCGAGTTCTCCGGCGAAGCCACCTTCTACGGCGGCAATGTTGAGGGCGGAGCCTGCTCCTTCAGAGGCTACACCATCCCCTCCGGTCTCTTTGGTACTGCGCTGGGATCTCCTCGCTGGGATAACGCCGCCCAGTGTGGTTCTTGTGTTCAGGTCACTGGCCCCAACGGCAACAAGATCAAGGCTATGGTGAGTAGAAGCAAAACATTCCATCGATCCATCCATCCACATAACTAAACATCTCTTCCCTTCCAGATCGTCGACGAGTGCCCCGAATGTGACTCCAACCACCTGGACCTGTTCCAAACGGCCTTCACCGAACTGGCAGACATCTCCAAGGGCGTGATCAACATCGACTGGGAATACGTGACCTGCGGCATCAGCACGCCGATCAAGTTGAACAACAAGAGCGGTACCTCGGCCTACTGGTTCGCCATGCAGGTCGAGAACGCCAACGAGCCCGTCACCTCGCTCGAGGTCAGCACCGACGGCGGCAGCACCTGGCAGTCCACCACCCGCTCCACCTACAACTACTTCGAGAACGCCAGCGGGTTCGGCACCGACACCGTCGACGTGCGTGTCACCTCCCAGTCTGGTGCCAAGATTACCGTCAACAATGTCAGCGTTTCGTCGGGTTCGTCCGTCACAGCCGAGTCGAACTTTTAGGGGTTGTGTGATGTGATGATGATGCTTGTGGATATACATTCTTTGGCTTGACAGCTCTTTGTTTGTTCTTTCCCTTCTACTGGGCTTGGCTTTCGTCAGGTCTCGCTTTGCATGGCTGGTCTGTTCATGTTTGTGAGTAGACAGCGTGGTTTAACTAAAATTCTATGGCATTCACTGTATATATTCACCGGACTATTCAACTTGTTCTACTTCATCTACTGAGCATCAGTTTCGACTACTCAATAACCTTGGCTATTGCTTCCCTTCCGTCACATGGTAGACTCCTCAACGGTACATCAGAGATTATATCAGAGATTTTATCAATTAACTCTTCTACACTGTACTTGTCTCCTCAGGGGGCATTGGGAATAATACTGTATAACTTAGTAGAAATAGTAGATTAAAATCGATAGTCCGTAATCAAGTGAGATTGATTTAATTTGACCAGCAGCGTCAGAAGGCTTTATTTGCATGACCCCGCCCGATAATCCATGGAGCTCAGTGACATTCGCCATGCGATTTACTCACATCTCTAATCAAGGAGTAGGCATTCTGCCTGACAGCCCCTTAATCATTGCAGTTGCAGCCTGCCAGGCTGTCAGACTGGGGAGTGTGTCAATAATTGCACGTGCATGACCATGGCTCTCGGCAGCCTGTGCAGCCTCCATCCATCTCCCTGTCAGAACAAACCCCCTCAACCCCTATTCCTCTACTCACTCTTTTCATCAATTGTTCACGGTCCCATGGTTCGCTGGGTCCTTGTCAAGTTCTCCAGTGCAAGATTAAGCAACTCCTTGGCTTCTTGCTGGGACAACGTCTCCAAGCACATTCCTTTGAGATATTTGTCAACCTTCAACATGACCTCGGCCGGACAAGAAACCACTTCCTATAACGGACTTGCTTCAACAGTATCTCCCTAAGCTAGCAAGCAAGGTACAGATGGGACACGCTCTATCATGAGGGTGATTCCTCTAACACAGAATGATTGACACTCGGCACTGGGCTTGGTAGCCACCACCAACAGTCCCAATCATCCCTTCACCGTATGCTGGATATTCCCAGTAACTACAGCTGAAAGGTCGCGAGCTACCAATGACTTTCCCTTCATTCTCTTTGACACTCTTTGATAATGCGTAAAATGTTCCGCCTCATTCTTTGTGTCAATTGGAGATTAATGCTTGCCAGATGAAAACCCCCGTTACTATTCGTGACCTCTTATGGCTTTATAAGCTCCATAGCAACTCCAGTTCTCGATGCGAGTTTCACAGGCGCCACACTTCCTGAGCATTCCAGTCTAGTGACCCACAAAAATCCCGGGCTTTTGCATCAGGAACAGCGATTCGATAACATACGTACGTGATGGAACAACAGCCGTGGTACGAAGGATCCTTCTTCCCAGGCTTCCAGATCGCCGTCCCCCAGGGACACGACTGGGAGATCTGGGAGATCCAAGGGGTGGTGTCGATTAGAACCGATCCCACGGGAGCGCTCCCACAAGGGGCCAGCACGCCGCAGCAGTTCGCCAGCTTGACATCAATCGTGGCGTACGCGGTCCTCCGCGCCGGACCGGGGTACGGCCGGGGAGCTCTGATGAAGCTTCGGCTTCTGACGCTGCCTGGCTCCATCAGCGACGCGCAACAACAGGCGCTGTTGCACCGCCCCGTCCCCGAGTCCCTGGCAGCCTTCCGCGAGATGGCGGCCATCGAACGCATGGCAGCCGCCCAGCTCTACCCGGCGCCCTCTGTGATCGGCTGGCACCGCTGTACGTTCAGTGCGCTCCCCGAGCCCCGAATGCATGCGCATCCCGGGATCGCCATCGTCCTGATGTTGGCAGTCCCGTTCGGTCGCGACTGCCGTGACATAGAACACTGGCCCAGCCTCATGGAGCGAATGATGGCGCGCGAAGAGTTTCTGAAAGCATACCGTGCCTTTTACACGGCCGGCCTCATCCACACCAGACCCGACCCCGAACATGTCATCTGGGATCCGATCCACGAGAAAGTCTATATCATGGGCCTCGGCAACGTTTACCTTGGTCAGAGGGACCGTGTCATGGAGGTGGACATGATTTATGACTTGCTGACACTGTGGGGTCTGAGGGTACCGCTTCCGTAGAGTCGGTCGTATGCTACTCATCCGTCGGACACAAGCGCAGAAACCCACAGGCTCTAGTCTTGTACCTTCTAGTTTCCTTACCAATATGATAAATCGAGTTCCTCAACTCCGTTCTTCTCAATTCTACTTCCCCTCGTTATGTATGCATCATATACCACAACTCAAAGTAACATACTAGTAAGCCATTACTTAATGCCAGTCTAACCATAGCTCCAGCAAGAGCACTCCAAGTTCTACCCCATAGCAACCTCAAATCTCCAGCCTGACCTGCGCAGCTCGCCTTTCCAAAATTCCGAAGCAGCAATACTCACTCCACCGCTCCCCAGCTTCACTATACCAGATACACCATTTTAACTGTACCCGATACACCATCCTCATCCCGCAAGTAAAGACATAAAGTCATCCAAACAAACCAACAGTTATCAGTCCTCACCCTCCCTCGAGGAATACATAGACGAGACGTAGATATAGCAAGATTCTTACAATGTAGTATAGAGGTATCAACCCCACGACATCAACTTCCTACCCGAATCCGGTACATATCCATACCTCAAGTAATCAACCTCCAAACCCAAGCTCTCCATTCGCCACGACTTGAGTGACCAGGCAGCCATATCATTTAGTTCCCTGACATGCCAGCCTAATGGACTTCTAGGACCTTCTTACTAGGAAAAAAAAAAGAGGAGCACCTACGCAGACTCACGCACGGCACTGCATTCTGATTTCCAGTCAACACCACGCTAAACAGGTATCAATCCCCGAATACTATATACTATGTGAGCCTTTAACTCTCAGGCGGGTCTAGATTAAGTTGTGATTCACCAAACGTGTCGGATCCATCCTGCCGCTTCGACATGTCTTATCATCCATCCATCGGGTTCACTAGCTAGGAGTTGACAGGCACGGAGGGAGGGAGGGGCTGGAATGCTGGGCTGTAAGAGTCTGGACCACCCCCCGCTGGGGCTGTGGGGTGTGTGCGGGGGAGATTTGAGACGGGGTTGTGATGTTGTGATTGTTGTGTTTCATCTTGTTTGATTATTACAACTTCCTACAGATGCGCTCTTCGAAGGTGGGTGGGTGGGTGGGTGGGTGGGTTAGACGCTTTACTACGTATCATACAAATATGGTGGTCGTTGACGATGGGATTGTGTAGTCTAACTGCAAGAGGTAGAATACCTGATCTAGAACTACAGGATGAACAACACAGGAAAGATGAGTCGGTTCATGATTTCCGAGAACTGAACAGCAGGGAGTGCAGACTAGATACAATACACAGCCCGGAAACCCACTGCAACCCATGAAAGCTGGCCGACTGACCCATCCGTTTGAGATAGACTTAGCTAGCATACAAAAGGGAATAAGAGCACGGGAGGAAACGGGAGGATCAGAAAGCCGACCATGGCCTGGAGATTAAAGTCAACCCATGTTGCCTTCGCATCGGAATAACACCGTGAAAATAAACTGTGTACCCAGTGAAAAAAAGCCCTTGCAAACGAGGAAAAAAAAAAAGAAAAGAAAAGAAACTAAACCGCGAGGGGATCAAGTAGAATTTGTGCAGAAACATGTGTAATATCAACCGGCAACATCAATGAAAAGAAAATAAAGAAAGAGGAGTGAGCATGTCAAATCTCGGCCTCCGAAAATTGGATAAGTCGTTGCACATATGAATTTGGCCCATGAAGAACGCCACGCAGAGACACACGGGGGAATAGAGACTTGCTGATTGATAACGAGAAGAAATCAAACTTGGCCGGGATCCACCTCGAGCGGCTCCAGCTCCTTGGCTTCTTCATAGTCGTCAAACTCAAGGCCCGCATCGCGGCAACGCTGCAACCATTTCAGGGCAATGTCCCCGCGGCGGTTGACCTCGACCTTCAATTTCGAGTTCTGCGAACTGATCTCGCTGATGGCATGACTCGTGGTCATATTGTTCTGTTCCCAACGCTCGCTCATCGTCTTCTTCTCGTCGTGCAACTGGCAGATGTACTCAATCGCGCGCTGCAAGATCGCGCCCTTGTTCTTGTCACAATTAGGCACAAGGCGAGCAATCTGGTTGATACCCTCGTTGATGGCTTCGCGACGACGACGTTCCACTGACGATTTGTTAGTATCGCTCAAAACACCCCGCCCACAGAGAGATCCTACCTTCTTTGTGGTTGTTCTTGCGAATCTGGTGCCACTCCGGAGAGCCAACGGAAGGCTTCTGATTCATACTCTGTGCCTCGCGTGCAGCGTAGACAGCGGCTGCAGTGGAGTTGTGGTCATGAGTGGATCCAATTGCCTGACTGATTTCGTCTCCAAAGGTCAAGCCATGCGCAAGGTTGTTGTCGAAGGTGTTGTTGGGAGGGGGAGGGTATTTATTCTGAGGTGTGTGAGCAGCCAGCGCCGCTTTGGCCGTTAACGTATTGTCGTCCGAGATCCCGTTCTGCGGTCCGACGTGCTGAAGAATCTGTTGGTCGATGTTCAACTCTGTGGTTGGGAGGCCGTGGGCATCATAGGATCCCAGCGAGCTATGAGTGAAGTTGGGCTGGTTGTCCGAGGGCGGAAGGCTACCGTTGCTTCCATTCGAAGAACGGTTGAGTCGCTGGGCGTCCGGGCCAGTTTCATCAGTGCTGTCACGCTTGCGCTTGATGGCGACGCTGCCATCAGCAGAACCCATGGACGGATCGGACATGGTGCAGATTTATACCCTGCGATCCCCGATGGTCATTAGCCAATCGCGCAGCGGTCGACCCTTCAGGAACAAGTACCTGTGGGATACGGTAGAACTCGATGAGATTCGAATTTAACCGTTGCCAGGTGCCAGGGCCAAATCGAGATTGGCTATGTCGTTGTGCGACACTGTAGCTTTCGTTAGTTGACAAGCCACTTTATGTGAATCATGGACGGTGCAGAAAAGCAAGACATGTGAGTCCAGATGCAGACAGACGGCGGTAAGTCGAGTCAGCTGAGGATTAGTGCACATGTTCTGAGGGGCCTCCTGCAAATAGTGATGAAAGTGCTTGATGTTAATGCGAACGCGTGGGTGACGCGCACAACGGCGCAACAAACGCTCATAACCTGCAAAGAACATGAAAGCTTGTTGTACAACAGCAACATGATATACAGAGAACTACATTGAATCTGTGTTGAAACACGACACAGCTGATGAAGGAAAGCGATGGAGGAAGACAGATTTCAAAGCTCTTCAGCAGCAGTAGCAGCAGCAGCAATAGCAGTATTGGAGACGCGTCCGGGTGGTTCTGCGACCGATGGAACCGCGAAAAAACACAGCATCATTATCCCCGACCGTCTCCTAACCCAGCCGTGACCGACATGAGGCCAGAGCGATGGGCGGAGAGGGAAAGTTGGATAAGAGAGGGGAGATAAGAAGGAAAGAGAGCCGGTTGAAGGACACAGAGGTGCAGTTGCAGCCAGGAAGGAAAGGGGAGAGCTGATTTACCTTGGGATGGTCTATCTATCACCTGACAGCAAGTCACCTGCCACGGGCAACAACAAGACGAAGACAACCGGTTCGTTCGCGATGTATTGTAGAGGAAACAAAATTGAATCCCAAAAGAAAAGTCGAGATCGGTTCGTCGCAGTCGAGAACAGCGAACAGACCGGATCAGAAATCAAGCAAAAAGGTGTGGTGGTTCTTACAATGGAAAAAAGGGATACCTTGGAGTGTTTGAGTAGAAAGAGAGAGTCGAGTAGAGAGGGACTGCTCACGTGGCGAGGGACGAGGAAGACCGAGAGTGAGTGAGGAGAGGAGTTGGCTCAATCCGGGTGCGGGCAGACACCTAGGGCGCAGATCAGTCACCTGACCCAGGTGCAGTATCACCACTTTTCCTTCTCCCCTGAAGAACTTCAGTGCATCATACCACCATGATGCTGTGATTATTTACATTTTCGTGAACAATTTGTCCTTGGCAATCTGCTCGGCCTTCCCCCCACCCACACCCGTTCTCTCTCCCCCTTCTCAGTTCTTCTCCCACCCTCACCCTCATTAAATTCATCCACATGTCATGTGCTGCCATCCCGTGCCCCCTCTTCTCTCAGCTACCCGGATCTCCCCTTTGATTGGCTAGCCGCCCTTTTCCCTCCCGGTAGCCGGAGGAGGGGTTGACCCGGAATCACGTGAACCACGACAGCCCTCCTTGCCCAAAAAGGTTAATGAGCACAGCGACCTCCCTGAGGCCCGAGGCCTCTTTTTACCTTCCAACTAAAAACGCTTCGATGGTCGAAGGAGCAATGCCATGGACTGTCTGCAGGACCTCCGTTGACTGGGAATGGAAGAGATCTATTTGCTGCGCCCATAGAGCCAAAGGGGTGCCTGCTCCATCCCGGTCGGCCCGTTCCTTTTTAGTTTAGACAAGTCAAGTCAGGCAGGAAATGTGAGTAGTAACTAGAAGGTAGTCTAGACTTCAGAACTGCCAGTCAGCACGCAGGTTAAGTCCCAATTTCCATGTTTCTTTCGCGGTTTAGCTGCCGATCCATCCCTTCGTCACTGGCGCACCGAAAGGTGTATGGACGGTGAGTGCCCCATCATGATCTACTTACTTCCTCCGCCCATCCAGTAAGATGGTCCGCCACCGACATGAAACCCAGTCCCTCCACAAGGACTACCAGCTGGGAAGTTTGTAAACATGCGGACTCGAAAAGAGGACCCCCCATTCATAACTAATGATGTGGCGCGCGCTTACACCCGACATGAACCATGGACCGCGATATCGTCCTCCCAGCAGAGAAAGATCGTTGCTCCTCATGGATGGATTGACTATCCGCTGACTGCTAGTCATCACATGTTTGCTCCCTGACGAAACCGATCACCTATCAGATGCTCTTGTCGCATGGGATCTTGAGTATCCCCAATCGACGCAAATGGGTCGAAATGTGACCATATCTGGAAGCGCGGGTGAATATTTGAGGGTTACATAGAGAAACGAGGCCAAGACAAGAAGGAGCTTGTATTTCAGGTTGAACCAGCAGGTCTGAATGCCCGGTGTCCGGAGGGGAAGCCATCTGATGGGCTAAGGTGGTGGATCGGTTGGTCATGAGATAAGACGCTGGTGTGTGTGGGAACCATACCACTAGAAACGGTGCTCTGCCTACCTCTATGCACGCAAGATACCAATGCTTGGAGAATCCTTTCCCAAAATGATATCACTAGAGATGATCTGCTTTCGAAACACTTGAGGCGATGGGGCCGAGAATGACCCCGGTCTTGTTGCTGCAAGATACAAGTCGAGGATTGGGATGATGACTCCTGTCACATGGATGGCTGCTCAGAAGAATGGGTCCCCACCCCATTAATGTCTCACATGATAGCGCAGCATTGACCGTAGCAAGACTGGAATTTAAAAGGTGTGGTGGGCTCTTGTTATGTTCTGCAGAGGCGAAAACTGGGGCCAAAAAGTTTGTGGCCATGGCGGGAGTGGGCCGGAGCAAGGAAGGGAGCCCGGGGGTAGACTAGGGCCCAGTAGATTGAATAGATTCATGCTCCCCAGTCCTACATTAAAGGGAATGACTACCTAAGTCAGAATGATTGTCTATGATTACGATGATATCATTCTTCTATAGTCTACTCCAACTACAGCATGCAGACGGTGGGTAAACTAGGTCCTAATCCGCAACGGCAGCATGGGTGATAAGAGATGACAGCGCTCTATTGCAACCCTGACCAACCAACACCAGAGGACGCTGAGCTTCCGCTCAGTCGCTCTCTTGATTTGACGATCGTTTTGCCAATGCGAAAACCATACTCGGGTCCGCCGTGGTATCGGCAAAACAGATTCCTTCTGTTGTTGCGCCCAACATATCCCAGCACAGTATTTTCACATCAAATTGGCCCTCCTCTTCATCATCTGAGTCCGTTTGAGCTTTCGCTCTGTCCGCGTTACCCGAGCCAGCAGCTCCTGGTGTGGCAAGGGCCTTTGGTCGTTGTGAGATGGCGATGATGGTACTCGTACCAGCATAATGAGCCGGGTTCGCCCCCGCTGCTCCTGGCTCCTCCCCGGCTCTATTAGCAAAGACGATGACAACATTCTTGCTTTGATTTGAGCCATCTTCGTCCAAATTAACTTTGTGGTTCATTTTCTTGGTGATGAGTGGCAAGAATCGCTGGATCCAATAGTTGAACGTGTCGAGGTCAGGCTCATCCGCGAGGATATCTAGCGCCTCCCGGCCCAGCGTGGAAAGCCAGGCCATGGAAAGAATGACTAGCTGGGATTCAGAATCCATGACTCGATTAGCGAATTCCCACGCGGTGAAAGGGGCCTCGAATTTGTACGGATTGATGTCCATACAGATCCCGAAGGATGTAGCTATGCACGACTCCGGGGAAGCTTGGTCCCCTTTTCGGAATATGAGATTCTCGAAGCCTCGCTCCACACTACCTTCAGAGGCCCATGTTTCGTCGGTGTAGTAGAGAAACGATTTACGGTAGTTGAGGATGTCATGTCCATCCTCATCGACCACCAGAAGAGAATTATAGTAAGTCTCCTGCTGATTACCTGACTCTCCTTCCCGCTGGATAACATCCCCGGTGTAGAGCTCAGGATACCCCACACAGACCTTGCAATGGAGGCGCTGGGCGGCCTGCCGGGCCCAGGCAGCCGAGGGACCTTGTCCTGCGGGTTCCAGATACGGCTTGATGGCCTCCAGGGAGGGGAAATTGTAGCCTGTTCGCGTCAGCAACGGTTGCTGCCATAAGCCGTTAAAGGGGTCGGAGGAAGGATTAGTGAGTAGCTACTGAAGCTCGAGGTGGGAGGTGGATCAGCAGCACAAGCAAGCCACCACCAAGCCCAACCATCCCGCAGCCCGTGCATGGTGTGACAGTCAGAGGGGGACAAAGTTGCACTCACCCGTCAAGCCCAGCTCGGGCAGAATCAAAATGTCTGGCTTCAAAACGTCCAGTCCAACCCCCGTACCTATACCTCGCACCACCTTCCCAGTTTTCAGTAATTCATCGGCTCGTTTAATATTACCCTCAACGTCGCCCAGCCGCGGGGCGAACTGAAGAGTTGCTATCTTCATCCCTTTGCGCTGTGTGTGGTATAGATGATGCCCAAAAGCACTGGTGGAAGTGGTGGTGGTTAGATAGCGGGCGTTTGTAGTCCCACGGATAGCATGAAGAATATTAAGACCAGTGTGGTTCCAGTGGTGGTGGTGGTGGTGGTGGTGGTGGTGGTGAACGACGGGTAAGGACCGGAACCAGCAGCGGAGACCAGCTCCAGCGCCCGCGGCGTGGACCAAGGGGAACAAAGTGACCGGCACAATGGTGTCAGCAGTGGCTAATCACTTGGCTTTAGAAGTCTTCTAATAACTTATCAAGTAATGGCCAGAGCGTCTGTTTCTGCTCATACGATGATAATGACCAAATCAACATGGTAGACAACTGGAAACAGGCCAGCAAACAAGCAAACCAGCAGACAGCAGACACACGTGATCATCGAAGATCCAGCCCGGGCGGATGTCGTCATGGGGGCAGGGGAAGAAAAGTCAGTAAGTCACCAAGTAACTTAAACTACCTGGACTGCCTAAGCTGCATTCCTTACAGCTACAGTCACAAAACAGACAAAGAAGGGGAAATGAAGCTGTGGCCAATCTTCCTCAAAAGAGTCCAATGAACTGGATGATCCTTTAAACTTTCCCCTGCCGACTGAAAGTAATGGAACGGGTGGGAGAGCCTTACTTGGCTATTGACTCGTTTATTGTTTCTGCCCCGGGACCGAGTGGATAGCGGCTGGTCTTGGGCGAAGACGGCGGTTGTAATAAGAATCATGGTTGTCCGGCTCTTGTCGGTGCGGTTTCATTCTGATTATCATTCCTTCCTTTGCGTTTTGTGGATCATCGATCGTCATTGCTCGTCGGCCATGTCTATATAAGCTTCTGGTGGACGTTTGAGTATACAGATTTGATTGATCCCACACCACTTACTCACTGTCACTCCCTTCTTTCACTCGTTTGGCTTCCCCCAGCTTTCATTGACCCTTCGAAATTCTCTTGTCTGTCTCAGAGAAGTCTGCCAGTACAACAATCCTACCTAGTAGTAACCAAACAGCAACAACAGCTATAGCAGCAGCAGCAACAGCATTGAATGTCGTGCTCAGATCAAGCACTGTCCCTTGCCGCGCCCCTTTTCAACTCTTATCCGCCAATCACAGTCCTTCCACACGGTCGCTTCCATCGACATCATTTCTTCTTTGGGAGTTTCCCACCAACTCCAGTACCTCCGTCAGCATCATTACCACCACCACCACCACGACTTCAATCACATCCGTCTCTCCCTCGCCTACCATTACGGCTTCTCCGTCACGGCCTCCTCACGCCCGTTTGCCAGACCCATTACCTCCCTCCGCAACCACGACGCCCGTTAGGCCGCCGTTGGACCCACCCCTACCACCGTCCGAGGTTAAAGATCGTGCAGCCCCCCGAGCCCACCGTGTTCGCCGCTGTTCTTTCGAGTCGTACCATCCCACCCCATCAGCCGACGAGAACGCCGCCGAAACCTCCTCTCAAGCCCAGTTTTCTTGCCGCCGGAACAGCTCTTGGATCTCTCCGTCGATCTTACGGCCGCCATCGGTTCGACTCGCGAATCCAATCAATTACGTGCCGCGCATCACCCCAGTCACCGTCCCCCGGTGCCCGCAGCAATCGGAAGAGAATCTCCCGCTCGAGGCGCATCGGGACGCCTATCCTCTTCTGACCATCCCCGAACAACGTCGGAGTCGACTCAACCCGTCACCCAATAGCCTGTTGGTCGAGCGCAGTCAAGGAGAAACCGAAAGTGGCCGTTCCAGCATCGCAGTGCCTGGAGGCCAGAGGCGCAGTGGCGCAGTAGAGGAATACTTGGTGTCGCAAGAAATGTCAGATCTGGGAGTGTCGAATGTCGCTCAGGATGCACCGAAACCGCGCACCCCGGAGCGGGCACATTTAGGCGCGGATTTTGTGGCCGACGGGCCCGGTCCGCTCCCGAACGATCGCCCCCGTCATGTGCGGTCGCAGGTCTCGCTGCGATCCCAATCTCAGATTGCTTCCGTACCCTCGAACACGGGGCTGCCTGCGTGCGGAGAGCCTGATATGGCCGAAGAATTAGCTTGGGGCCCGGCTCACCCATGTTTTCCTCACTTCAACCCACATGTCCCAATCAATTCCGAAGAATTCCTGACGACGCGCATCATTCGGATTCGACGAGATTGGATGGTCAAGGGGGATCTCGCGCCTACGTTCTCCAATCTATACCCGGAAATTCTTGATCCGCTACTTCCGGAGCAGGAGTTCCGCCGAGTCATCGCAACGGTGAACGATGAGCTCATCAAGGCCTTCGACCCTTTCAGTTTCCGCAATATCATCGATAGCGCCTTGGGTCTGCTCACAGGCTGGATATGGGAGGATCTGGGTGCCCCAGCTATTAAGAGTCACTTGAAACGCGTGGAGACGTGGCTGGAGAACTGGAACAGGGAGGTCGGGGCCAAAGATGGAGTACACATCTGGAGTCTGCGACGGACGGCCTATCTTTCGTTAGATATCCAAATTCCGGATCCCAAGGTCGGCATGATCCCGAGCGAAAGTGGCCTCTCTTTGCCCGGAACTCGTCCTGGCAGTGGCGCTGTCTAAGATTTATGACCGTCCCTCTTTTCCTTCATTTTTCATATTTCCCTTCTGTGTCTTGAAGGTTTACTTCTTTCTAATCATCACTCTCTTCATGCATGCATATATTGCCCCCCTTGCACATGTGGGAATGCTGCGAGTCATACTCTAATCTTTGACTTTCACTTGTTCAATTGTTCACCTGATCATTTTACATGCACGATATCCATGCCTGGTTACAAAGTATTTGATACCATTTGAATGTTTCGTCTGTGGGGAGCTCAAGCTGCTCTGGTCTGCATACCAGATGGAGTGTCCTCGATCTGCCTGTTGTTCATATCTTCATTCTTTTTTTTTTTCCAATTCTGTCTTTCCATACCTTTTCTTCATTCAAATTTCTTGCTTTCTCAAAACCCACAATACCCTGCCCTATGAATTCTGTTGATAATCTGATCCGAATCTGCTGCTAGATGTTGGATGTAGACGAGCGATGCAGGCCATTTATTGTACCTAAAATATGATGTTGAGAGTACGGTGGGGATAGATGCAGCCAGAGAAGACATGAGTATAGTGACTGAGACTGCAATAAGTCGACATCGAACTGGAATAATTGTAGTTCGAGCTGTGGTATTATTTATAGTGCCGAGTGGCCAGCCAGCTGCGAGGGAAATCCCTTCCCCACAACCGCTTCCGCCCCATCGCCGATTCTTGGATGAACCTCCGCCGACCTGCAGTTCTCCCTCCGCCGACCCCTTTTCAACCTCCCCCTCATTCCCCTCACCCCCTCCCTCTACCTATTTTCTCGTCCCTTCCACCATGCTCTCCGGCATCCTTATCTTTAATCAAAAGGGCGAGAATCTCATCTTCCGCTCTTTCCGCAGCGACTGCCGGCCGCGCCTGGCCGACATCTTCCGCATTCAGGTCATCTCCAACCCGCAGGTGCGTTCGCCCATCCTGACCCTGGGCTCGACGACCTTCAGCCATGTCAAACACGAGAACATCTACTTGGTGGCGGTAACCAAGAGCAACGCCAATGCGGCGCTTGTTTTCGAGTTTCTGTACCGGCTGGTCATGCTGGGGCGGAGCTATTTCGGGAAATTTGACGAGGAGGCCGTGAAGAACAACTTCGTGCTCATCTACGAGCTACTGGATGGTGAGTTTTACCTTTGGGAGGGCCCCCACGAAACAGTTCCCCCTGGTACTGACCCAATTTGCTTGCCCGACAGAAATCCTCGACTACGGCTACCCCCAAAACACGGAAACCGACACGCTCAAAATGTACATCACGACGGAAGGCGTGCGGTCGGCGATCGCCAACTCAGCGACGGACTCGAGCCGCATCACGATGCAGGCGACGGGGGCGCTGTCGTGGCGGCGCTCGGACGTGAAGTACCGCAAGAACGAGGCGTTCGTGGACGTGATCGAGGACGTGAACCTGCTGATGTCGGCGACAGGGACGGTGCTGCGGGCGGACGTGAACGGGCAAATCGTGATGCGAGCGTACCTGTCGGGCACGCCGGAGTGCAAGTTCGGGCTGAACGACCGGTTGCTGTTCGATGGAGACTCGGCGGGGGGCAGCTCGCTCGGCGGCGGCGGTGGCAGCGGCGGCGGCGCGATCACGGGGAATAGGGATGGGACGACCAAGGCGACGCGGGCGGCGGCGGGGTCGGTCACGCTGGAGGACTGTCAGTTCCACCAGTGCGTCAAGCTGGGCCGGTTCGACGCGGACCGGATCATCTCGTTTGTGCCGCCGGACGGAGAGTTCGAGCTGATGCGCTACCGCGCCACCGAGAATGTCAACCTGCCCTTCAAGGTCCACCCGATCGTGCGCGAGGTCGGCACCACCAAGGTCGAATACAGCGTCGCCATCAAGGCCAACTACAGCTCCAAGCTCTTCGCCACCAACGTCGTCATCCGCATTCCAACTCCCCTGAACACCGCCAAGACCACCGAGCGCACCAGCCAGGGCCGCGCCAAGTACGAGCCCGAACAAAACAACATAGTCTGGAAGATCGCCCGCTTCTCCGGCGGCAGTGAGTACGTGCTCACGGCCGAGGCGACCCTGACCAGCATGACCCACCAGAAGGCCTGGAGCCGCCCCCCGCTCAGCCTGTCGTTCAGTCTGCTCATGTTCACCAGCTCCGGGCTGCTGGTGCGCTACCTCAAGGTCTTCGAGAAGAACAATTACAGCAGCGTCAAATGGGTGCGCTACATGACGCGTGCCGGAAGTTATGAGATTCGGTAAGTTGCCCATCCCCTATTTTTGCATGAGTTTGGCTGCTGATTAGTGATTTGTACAGATTCTAGCTGTTACTGTTACTGCAGGCAGAACAGGGATAGTGGTTGGCCGGACGGACTGCACAAAAGAAACAATTTTAATGCTCCTACTACTACACCATACACCAGCATATCCTTTTTCTATTTCCCGGGGCGATGAACCCGCGCTTTTTTTCTACATACTGCATTTATAAGTACTTTTTTTTGTCTCATCGAGCTTGGTGTCTGGCGTTTCTGTCTTAGGCTATGATTGTTTGCTGTATGATTGAGTTTTGAGTCTGAGACCAGAAGAACAATATCAAAACCTGCATACAGAATTGAGCCCCCTGCTCCTCCAGTCTTCGTGAACCTGCACTCCACAGCAGACGCAAGACAGTGTTACCCCCCCAGGAACCAACCACGGTAGAGCTTAGTACCCATGGGGGATATACTCGATTGTGTATCTCCAGACGGTCCCGCCTCGTGACCAGCCTTTCCATATCAGCTGCAAAGAGCCCCTTCTAGGCTACTAGGCTAGCCTAGACTGGGCATCTATTCAGGCAACAGCCTCGGACAACCCCGTCTACCTACCATCTTGATTGAGTCGACAAATGAGGGATTGATGCAGTGGTCTACTCGCCGACTATTTCGTGCTTGAGATCAATTTCAATCGAAGCTTGACTCCATAGTGGATCCATAGAGTAGGGGCAAGATAAGAAACTATTACACAGAGAAGAAGAAGGTCTTGAAGATAAAGAGATAAGGATGTTTCCAATCGTAGCTAGTAGCTGGTAGCCACGGTATCATTATCTTCCCAGAAATTCCAGAAACAAACACCAGAACCCTATAAAGCAAAGTACAGAAGGGGGAATATCCGCCAAGTAAAGTAAAATCACAAGTCCCTCCCGCATGCTTGAATCACGTAAACAAAGATAAAACAAAATCCAAGGCCCGTTGCCCCACATAGCCATGAATAAGAACCAAAGGCCTAAATGTTGAATAAGTTACATGCATAGATACATTAGTAGATGAATAAGTAGGGTTGAAGTAGGGAGAGAAGGTGGATCCCGTCGAGGGATTTGGTGGTTGGAGGGGTCCGTCAAGGAGGAGGTGGGGAGATCAAAATGATGAAGGTAGAAGTTTTGAAGGGAAAAAAAAGAAGGTGAAGAAGTGAAGACGAGGATGATGAGGTGACATCTTTCACAGCCAGCTCTCATCGAGTCGACGACGGACTTTGCGACCACCGCGACGGAGCCCGATGTCACCGTCGCCGAGCAGGGCTTGCCATCGATGTCCTACGGACGCTTGGTCCTTGCCGAGTTTCTCGGCGCATTCGTCCCAGTCGCGCTGGGATAGCTGGAACTTTTCAAGCACAAGGTCGACGAGGCGCCGGTCGTCGTCGTCGGTCCATGAGAAATCAGGATGTGGTGGAGCTGCTGGCGCGGCTTCTGACTCCTCTATTGAAGGGAGCGCTGTGTCGGGATTGTGAGAGTGTGTTGCGCTTGCGCTGGGTTTCGTGGCCGCTTGGGCCGCTTGGCGCGGATGCGCCGGTGTCGCAGGGGATTGTGAAACTGGTGGTGAATGAAGAGCGTAGAAGTCTGATTGGGAGAGGCCGAGCGGTAGATCGCAAGGGAAGTGTCTGTGACGTTTGGGGGTCGCGAAGCGTTGCGATCGACTTGACAGCTCCTCTGAAGTCCTTTCGGTAACGCTCTTGCGAACGGGAGTTGTGGCGCTGGGTAGTTCGTCCTCCGTCTCTGATTCGAACGCATCGCGCCGGCGCTTGAGTGCGCCAGATGAGGGGCTCTGAGGCGTTATCCTAGACGCAACATTGTGTGTGGGTTTGATCTCTGGTTGGTGCTGGCGCGACGAAGGCTTTCGCAATCGCACGGACGGAGCGGGCCTGATCTGGACAGGGCTTTGGAGACGCTCAGGCTTTGCGCTTCGAGGTGACGGCGCGGGTGACCCATTCAGAAGCAATTGTAAGGCGCGACAGGTGCCGAGGAGGCCGTTGCCAGAAGGAACGAAGTCGTCGTCGGACGGTGGCGGTGTAGAGAATGAGCGATTGGGAGTGAAACGCGCCCGGCTCGACGGTCGCCGTACGTCGCAGGAAAGAGCGGAAGGAAGTAACATGATGTGGAGCTGTTGATGTGGTTCGCGACGAGTAGTAGAGATGATAGGAAGAAGGAGCGATAGGAAGTCGAGAAAGAGTCGTGAGCGATTGTTTGGGATTGTGGCAAATTGCGCGCCGGATAGAGGAATGCGCGCGTCGGGCTTGTTTTTGCGCCGGAGAAGGTGCTGGGGCAAGCAGAGCGAGATATAGGGTGGTGAAGCAAAGGATTGTAGTGAGCAATATTAGCGCATCAATTTAGGATAGTTCCGATTGATGCGACGAGGGAGCGACGAGAAAGCGACGGGGATGGTTGATGGACAGAAGCGACGGAAGCCGGAGGAGAATTGCGAAACGGAGGGCGGGATGATGGGGGGATGATATCGATCGACTCCAACCAGCGCCGGAAAGGAGTATTTTTTTTTTCTTGCTCGGTTCCGCAAACGGAGCCTAAGGACGCAACTTGGCCCACCCAAACTCGGTAATTGGATGCCTGATTGATTGGGAACAATGAAAGTCTAATTTGGTCTTCGATGGCAGGTTGTTGACCACACTAAGGAGTGAGGATGATCCCGGTTGCAAGTTGCAATGACGTCTGACTGAATGCAGTAGTGAAGGAATGGATTCAATTGGTGTGCATTGGCATGAATCAATTGATTGAGTGAATGAATGATGGTCGACAAAGAATGACTGAGACAAAGGCCCTCATTCCCTCTCCTGCGCCCTCTTTTCCTCCTGGACTGGAACTTGAACTTTACTTTCTTTTCTCGTCCTTTTCTCCTGGAGACAGGGAATGGGCTAACTTTTGAAGGTCTCCAGCAGCCATGGAAGCGAGTGATCAACCCGTGATTAACCTGCCCCCTCCTCGTGGGCGAAGGGAGACAAGGAGTACAGGAGCCACAACAGGAGCCACCGGGGAAGGGATGCAGTCTGCAAGGCACCCATCGCAGGGTGGCCCGCTGCGACATGACTCCATCGCCGTGTCCACTTCGATGTCATGGACGGCTTGATGCCCCGTCTATCATCACGTGTTGGCCCGTGCCGTGGAAAGTGGGACGACGTGAAGCTGTGTTGCATTGCAGCCATGCTCCTGATTGTTGCTTTACAATGTCTTTCTCTGAGAAAGCGCTAAATCGAAATAGTCCCTTGGATATTGTCTAACTGGGTGGTTTCAGAAGGCATCACGTCCCTCTGTTCAGTGCAGTGGTTGGGAGACTTCCACCAACACCCTTCTTCACTCCCAGTATCAACCTGGATTCCTCCCATTCAACTCCCCTCAGAGCCTTTCCCAGTAGTGTCTTGACCAACCCTCGAGTGTCCGATATATTAAAGGCACTCTCTTCCGCAGTACTTTAGGCATTATCATTGTTGCTCTTCCTCCATCCGCCGTACTCTCATGATCAACGAGATGATATCACCTCTCATCTATGAATGCCCAATGCGGCATAATTGAGGTTTCAAGTCGCGTTGCGCGTCCGCGTTGTGTTTTGCGGGTCGCGTCGGCTACGGTGCGTGTCCACCAATCAACGCAAGCCGGGTGCATGAATGCCTGGCTGCCTCAGGAGACGATCCATATGCAACGACTTGAACCGATGCAAGATGACAAACAGCGGACATCAGTGAAACAATCCCTTCTGCTGCTGCAGGTCATCAGCAGGCAAGCAGGCAAGCAAGCATCCTTGCACAGAGCCCCAGAAAATCTCCGAACAGCAGCGCCCTGATGAAATATCTCCTATCGCTCGATCTTATCAGCGACACGCCCACTGCCCCTTCGCTCCTTGCATCCCCCCTGGGGAATCTGTCGCGCCTCAGCCCTCTCCACCTGCATTCTTCTCCAGGGCAAGGATCGCGAACCCGACCCTAGTGACGTGATTCCTGGTGGCTGCAGGCTGGCAGTCGGAAGAAAGGACGCTCGTGTCTCATGTTCCGTGACAAACCACTGGCTCCGACTCGAACCTAGTATACCTAGCACGGGGTGACTCCCCTTGTTCGACAGCCGCCCATTGATCGCGTTGTCAGTCACACCATTCGACCTGCTGATGTACGACACGACACTGCCCTGCCTGCCCTGTCTTGCCCTGCCCTGTCCTGCCCCTATTGTTCCTTGTGCCCTTCGTACACGCTCCCATCCTCGACCCCTGCTCAGATGCAAGAAAGGATCACTTGCATGTGGAGGGGAGGCTTGTGTGCATGTAATGCCAGCCGGCCCGGCTGCATTGCATTATCGCGCACGATGATGCTGCACTCAGACGGGAGTCCAAGCAGCTGCTGCACCGTGCCTCAACTCTCTGAACGATAAACGTGCAGAGCTTGAACCGGATCTAGTAGAGCCCACGAGCACTTGAGAAGCATGCTGACTTTACCCTAACCATCCTTTGCCCATGCTACCACACTGCCCGAACCCATTCTCCCAACCTGCCTCCAGCTCAGTATACCAACCCAGGAAGCCCTACCACAAGAAAACAATCCCTCACAGCTCTTTCCCAAGATAACCCTCACTCAACCAACCCTCGGCCCAGACCTGAGGCTCCTAATTGAATCCCCCTCCCCCACCCCAAACCAAACCTAACCAGCCCCTCCCTCCAAGACCCCTACAACAAAACCATATCTCCCTCCTATACCCCCCTAAACAGAGGCAAGACTGATATCCTTCGAACACCCCCCCTCTCCCTTCCTCCCCTAACCAACCGTCCAGATACCCTCCCCAGCCACCACCCCCAAAGCAATCCCCAGAGAACCCCCTCCCGCAAACAGAACGCAAGGGATAACAACGCAGATCTCGGACAATTCATCCGCGCCGCGCGCCGTCCTGCACGCACACGCATAACACAGACGCACACGCGCACGCGCATAAGTGCAGCGCGTGCAAATCCACTCCAGATTAATCTGATTCGATAATGGCGCGTGGCAGCGCGTATGCGTGTTGCTGCACGTCACGTCCCATCACGTTGAGTGTTCGTGACTTGCAGGGCTTATGCAGGGTTGACGTCTGCGGGTGATTGTGCAGGTAAGTCGCGCGTGTAAGGTAGGGATAAGGGAGGGGAGGTGATCTCCTTGTTGGACTGGTCGGTTCTTGGGAGTTAGCTTATAGGATGGTCTTCTGTGTCTGCGCCTTGTTCGAGCTGGGTTTTTTCTTTTGGTGTTGGAGGGTTGGTGAACCGGTTTGTGGTTATAGGTTTGTGGTGGGGTGGGGTGGCTGTTTTTCGTTGGGACGGGGTTAGCACTGGCTGCGTGTTTGGTTTTTGCTCTTGCATGGGGTAGAATTTAAAGGTTGAGGCTGTGGTGGTATTTTCTTCGAGGTTTGGTTCTTTCATCACGCCCCTTTTTTATCTGTCATGGAAGTCATTTTCGATGGTACTCGAGATGAGAACGTGTCATTCCGGTCTAATAGTGCATTATCTAACTAATCTGGTGCCTATGCTATCAAGGTAAGATGTGAAAACAGAACGATGCGTGCTCAAGCCAGCCAGCTACTCCGACTCTACCGCCACCTCGTCTAACTCCTCGGGATCGGTGCCAGACAGACCTCGAAACAACCTTGGAAGCCCTAGATCGGATAATGTGAGCGAGGCTTCTTCGTGGCAGACTCCCTCTGCAATCTGGTCTTCCTCTTCCAATGACTCTTCACTCGGCCACTCATCGCTTGATTCCTCGTCATCCTGTGTCGCGAGGATCTCGGATTCCGTCTCTGCATAGGCCGATATGCGGACAACGGAGTCCTCCCCGGTGTTCCGAGGTACCCAGTCTTTGATTGCCCGGGTGTACAGGTCTAGGAATGATTGGTGGTGGGCCGGATTGGTGAACCATTCATGCGCCAAAGCCTGCCTCGCAGTCATGCGATCCTCTGCTTTCCATGCCATTGTCTTGAAGATGAAGTCCTGAGCACGAGGTCTAAGCGAATGCGCATAGAAGATGCTTAGTATCTTCAGTGTGCCACCGTCCCCACCAAGTACATCTGACCACGACATGACCTCAGGATCGGGTGTAGGCTCTCCGGTGAGTATGACAGCTGTCAAGCAGCCCAGGGACCACATGTCGATAGCCTTGGTGTAACGTCTCTCGAGCAACTCACTATTTCAGTTAGCCTAGAATCGATAAACAACGCTGCAGACGCGCCGATCTGGGCGCTGCCGCTTGGTGATTTAAAGGCTTGGCTACAATATGAGGACGACGCACAGGGCAGGAGCGGCCTGATACTCTTTGAAGAAATAGGGCTGCTTCAGGCTTCCAGGCAATGCTCAAGGACGGCTGATCACCTTCAGCCACAACATGATCGGTGTGATAAAAGAAAATGAAGAGTATGACTTACGGAGCACGATACGGAATTGTGCCCACCATCGTCGCCATTCTCCCGGTTGAAGTCACTCGAGTAGCGCAGCCAAAGTCGCTAAGCACAACCCTACAGCCAGCTTCCAAGGTTGCCAGAAGTATATTGTCGGGCTTTACATCGCGATGAACAATGCCTCGGTCATGGAGGTATAACAACGCCTTCGTGATCTGTCGTACTATCGCCGCAGCCTCCATATTGTCCAGCTTCCCTCCTTTGAAGTGAACGTAGGAGAAAAGGTCTCCTCCCGTGAGCAGCTCCTGGAAGATATAGCTTTACTATCATTAGCCGTTGTCAGTTTTTCCGAGTACATGCACGGTCACTCACAATGTATCCTGTGAGTAAACCACCTTCTCGAGACTGACAATATTAGGCTGTACACAGGTTAGCAGGTCGCTCTTATCAGAGGCTCGCAGCGGTCAAGCTGATTAGTGGAGCGCCAGGATCAGTTTGTTTTCCATGAACTGAGGTCGAAGAAGACAGTGAGCAGCTCATCTACTACACTCACTAGCTCACTCTAGATGTGAGGACAGTTCTATCGCCAAAGTGGAGCAAGCTCCCATACTTTGAAGTATTCGCAAAGGATGACCTCAATGTCCGGCGATGTCGTCCTTATTTTGTCCAATCGAGAAATGTCTTTTGTCAGTGATCAGAAACCGGGGGGTTAAAGACATGCTCGAAGGGGGGGGGGGGGGGGGCGGGGGGGGTCATTTCTGAATGTGTCGCGATGACCATGATGGAATAAAAGGTCACCAACAGGACGTTCACCTCCCTTCGACGCGCGCGCAACAGAGTGCTTCCGTATGAGCAATATTGGACGGCATCGTTCAAGACGAGATGAACCAAGAGTGTGCGTGAGAGCTTTGGATCAAACTCCCCTGGCGCTCCACACGTTTGACTGCAAACGACATCTCAACGAAGAACAGCACTTACATGATAAAGATCTTTCAAGATCATAGCCTCCTGCTGCACGATACCTAGCTTCTCCTTCAATCGCATCCGAATATAGTCACGATACACACCCTTCATAGCCGCATTCGGGGGTTCTTCCTCACCCCGTGCAGCATGCTCATGGAACATGCCGAAATCCTGTTTCACCGTTATGATAACTTTTTCTTTGAGCAGCCGGGTATCGAGGACCTTGCACGCGAGCTGCTTTCCATCCACCCTCCGGTACGCCATGTAGACCGTCCCATAACCCCCGAGCCCGATCTTCCGGCCCGTGAGCATGAACTCGCGGCTCAAGAGCGACACCTCCCTGGCTTTGACAGCATTGGTCAGTCCTCCGTGGGTTTCAGAATTGAACCTGATGTACTTGTCCCCGCCGATTTCGAGGATGTCGCCGTCGCTTAGGAGGAAGCTGCCCCTGCGGCTACCCATGGTATAGCCATTCCAGGTAGTGATGTTTAGGGAAAGGTCTCTGGCGTAGACGAGCGGCGCAACGTCGTCTGGATTTTCCCGGTCATAGAGCACAGTGTAGATCTGGAGATGTTTGCGGGATACGTGAGTATCGTTCACAACGTAGTCACAAGCTGGACCCCGGCCGATGGTGATGACTTGGTCGCTGTATATGGGGAGGGGCTTCGTGATCTGAGCGGTTTCCGGACAATATGTTGCAATGGTGCCGACGTAGAGGCGTTGCCGGGAGCTAGAGGATGAAGGCGCGGTCATGCTGGGGTTTGAGGACATGAGGAAATGAAGATTTTGATGGAAGAATACTGATAACTAAGTCTGGGGAAATTGAAGAAGAGAAATAGTACGCAATGAGCGTGAGATGAATGCAACGATATAGACCGATGATTACTGGCAAAGCGCCGAGAAGTTCCTACACTATAGATCTATGCTGCCTCAGGTTGGCAATGGGACGAATTGGGAAGGAGCACAACAGGACCGGCGGGCGGACTTTGAGATATGAACAAGGCTCTGACCTTCCTCCATCTTCTATTGTCGGTACTTGTTCAAGCTCTTGTCCGGCCCAGATGCTCCAATATCAGCAGGGGTAAAGTATCATAGCACGGTAACAGCAGGTCTAACCCGGACAAAGTCAAGCCCTAGGGTGTGCGCAGTCTGGGCTACATATATTATCGGCGTGGCCATTCATCTATATTCATACCAAGGTATCATATGCTCTTCGTAACGCTACAACAAGTCAGCTTATGAGCTGAGAAAACGCCTCAGCCGAATCTATAAACCCAATGGCTCAACTACCCTGCATGCGCCGAAACCGCTCTTCCGCCGCACGGGCGCGACGCTCTCTTTCCAGTCGCATTCTCATCTCCGGTGTCATCCCGCGCATCTCCTCTTCCCGCTTTTCCTGGGCGGTTTTCTCAATAGCCCCCAGGCTTCTACCGGCCGGCTTCTTCGAGGCTTGCTCTGCTGCTCTGGCGGCTTCTTCTTTCTGCAATCGAGCCATTGCGGCCTTGCGTCGGTTTGCTTCTTCCTCCTCTGCAGTTTTGCGCTCCTGCTCCAGTCGACTGGTCGCATCGTCCTTGGAAATGGGGGATGGGACTTTGGCGGCGGCCCAGTCCCATTTTGAATCTCCTAGGTCATGGCGAGCGATGCGAAAGGCATCACGAGTGGCACGATCGCCTGCAAGCTCGAATGGCGTTCTCCCTTCGGAGTTCACTGTTGTCGGATCCGCATCGGCCTTGGTTAGAAGAGCTAGGACCATGGAAGATGAGTTCAGATTGGCAGCCAGATGAAGTGAAGTTGGGCAGCGGAAGTTCTGCTGGGAATTAGAGGGTTGAAATGTGAACGAAGAGGGGATAGCATTCTTGGTGAGATATGACATCAAAGCGGGGATTTTGGAGCGTCGAATCAGAGCTTGAATCTGCGTTGTATGAAGTAGAGCTTCCTCCTCCTCTTTTGATATCTTAGGCTTCTGCTGCTGTGGCCGAGGTGTCGACGGCTTCGACGCCTCCTCTTTCTCCTTGGCTGCAGCTGCAGCTGCAGCAAGGGCAGCTTCGTCCACTTGACTCACTTTGACCCGGGTAAGCTCCTTGAAGCAACGCATTAGTTCGCCCTGGGTGGCACGACGAGTGCTGAATGGGAACCCTCTCAGTCTGGGATCATTCTGCTTCAGAACATGCCCATCGTACTTCTCGAACAGGATCCGCCGATTCGTGCTACCCGTGGCCCGAACAAATAGCAACTCCGCTTCATCAATTAACTGCTTCCAGTCGGAGAGCAGTTCCCTAATTTCCTTTTCCAGGGCCGCTTCGTTGTATCTTCTAAGACTCGAACCCGCCGAATGCGCGGCGCCCTTTGCGGCATCATTCGCAGACTGCGAACCACCCTGCTTCCGTCTCGTTGTATAGCGATGGAATGTTTTATGCGCGATCACCCGAGCCTGTCGGTCTTCGACGCCACCTTGTCTCCGGTGAATCTCTGGGGCCAGCGATACGATCATCGCGGCGAAGTGGCCGCCACCGATCATACACATGAAGATATGAGGACTAGGAGGGGGTGGCTTCGCTTGCTCCTCGGTACCGTTCATTGGCGCATTGGTGGGCACAAGTTGCTTCTTCCGCAGTGAGGCAACAAGATGCTGAGGCTCGTCCTGTTCAACATCCGAGAACAAAGCCCGGTAGACACCGAGCGATACGTTCGAGGGCAGCGCAGAGCTCGAGAACCAAAACAACGGCGGTCTACTCGTGGGCTTCTTGTTAGATCGCGAGTCGTCTTCATCCTGAGTCTCCTGCGAAATCTTGGCCTGTCTCTTCAGCAGCGCCGTAAGCTGCCCCTCTTCCTCTTCATTCTCTCCTTCCGATGACTCCGATCCGGATATAGATTCGTCAAGCTCTCCGATCGCCTTGGAGAACTGTACCTCATCTAGTGTCGGACCGCCCCTGAGTTGCACTTTCAGGTTGTACTTGTGATGGTCCGACCGCACATGGTCGCGTTGCTCCTGCACACTGGTGTATGTGACTTTGCAGAGAATACAGCTGTTCGACGTGGCTATCGCATGTTCCAAAGCCGCTCCATTCGAGTCTTCGGGGGTAGTATCGGCGACATTCTTGACCGAAAGCAGTTGATCGCCGGCTTTCGTGGTCAAGGTTGAGAGAAGTTCCTGTGGTAGATCATAAACTTCAGATGGTCAGCAAGATGCGTTACGCAAATTAGAAGCGCAAGTCAGAGTCAGGAGAGGTAGCAAGGGCCTGCGCACCGTATAGCGGCCTTTTCAAGAGGTCTTCTACCGTGGTTTCTGCGACCATCATCAAGCAACTGAGAAATTTAATTTGCTGTATATGGGTTTTTACAAAGATTCATAAGGAATGACGGAATGACGCTGCGGAATCGACCCCGCCGTCGGGCTGTTCACCGCCTTCGCCAGCGGGGCTTATGACGAATGGCATCTCGGCTCATTAAATAAGTAGATCCGAATACTGCCTGCCTACAAGGAAAGGATTATCACTACCTGCTATTGAGGTTCCTATATAACGCGGACTCAAGAAACAAAATGTTTTCCAACGCATTCAGGCACCATCGTCAGCTTCTTCGCATCTAACCAGTTCCTCTCGCCTCACCATGTAACCATTGTCAGTGGCTTGCTTATTAATTTTAATGTAGAGGATGGTGATAGGCTCGATCTTATGCGCCCGACCTCTGAAGATTGAAGTTTACAAGTTTGTTTATGCAGGGTCCAGACTGTGAATGCTCGTGTGAGACTAGGATTTTTCCAGGTCAAACCAGCCATCTTGGCCTAGATGAATCGTCCATCAGAAGTTCTGCGATGTTCAGAGCTTACACAATGACCTCTGACTGTTACGGTTAGATCATACTCCCCATCAGCGAGGCGTAAACTCATACCCAGCTGAAAGGAGGTGCGCTCTCTCAGCTCGCATGGCAGTGTAAGTGGATCAGACTTCAGTGATACGAGGCATAGCCGAGATGGCTGCACAACGACCTATTGAGAACCACGCTCCACCTCCTCGCCATGAAAAAATGACGGGAAGAAGGGTGGGGGTCCGGGTCCAAGTCAGGGCTCAAACCAGTGCCTTGCGACGAACCTACGTTGAACAATCTTCGTCCTCAAATTCGCGTCGAAGTTGGATGTCGTAGGCTCTTTTGTCTGCAAGTTTGCGTGTTGACGCGGCCACAATGTCCTGGGCCCAATACCATGGCATGATTTCATGAAAGGCATCGTGATCGGAACATTTATTAGTAAATCTTGGTTGGAGCATCTTGTCGAAGATCGCGAAAAGCCCAGTGGGGCTCGAAAGAGCTAGGCTATACTAGAAGGTTCCTTTGTCCCAAGCTGTACCCATTATATGTGATAATTTCAAGGGCGCTGGAGAATCTCCGCTGCCACGAGAACGATCAAGCTCCTCCTTAGCAGTAAGGGCGGACATGAATTCTAATCTCATCTCATTGTATTGGTGATGTACAATGCAATCGACAGCCATATCGGTAAACCAGTGAGGTGGCTGAACCATCTCGATGGGTAGGGAACATGCCCACTCAAGGTCCACTAGTGATGTTATATGCCAATTGTCGTCGACAAAGATATTGCTGGGATGCAGATCTGTTAATGAGTAAATGAACGGCCCCCGACGAAGCTCCCGACTAAAGAACAACGAAAAAATTGCTCGCATTGTTGTCAGAGATGATGTTTGATATATATAGTCACTGAGGTCGTTTATGGCATTCGGTTGACTGATAAGTCGGTTATCGTGATAAGACAGAGTATCTACCACAAATGAATCAACCGTGGAATATGTATAGTCTCGTGGTCTATCGATCGCGATGCGTTCGTTTTCTAGGTCTTGAATTCCCAGAGAGAGAGGACGATTTTTGAGTGATAAGAAGCCGTCGTTGTCTATAATAAATGATTAAATCTTTGGAATCGGCGTCTTGAATAGACTCAGGTATATTTTGCTGATGTCGCGAAAGAGATTGGCCCGTAATTTGACATCATCCCGTTTCGAGGCCCAGGTGGACGACAGCATCTTTCCCTTCGTGTCCTCGACGTACTCGAGCAAGACATACCCAGCTTCAAGCCGACCGCACCCGGGCACTTCCATTCTGCTTTGATGACGGATATACTTGGAAGGAACTGGAGGCCGAAAACATGTAGAATGCGATGGCTCAAGCGTCGCAGCCAAGAAGTCAAGAAGGAAGGGACTCAATCCGGGTGGACTAGACCGACGCTACGATCAGTTGACATAAATCAGTAATCGCCGATATCTCTTACAGTTTCCCCAGTAGCCATAGCAAACCCATAAAGTCGCGGGATCGGGATGTCTGGATACGTTCCTTCCAGCCAGGCATAAGCTCCTGCCTCGCATCGAATTTTCTCGTCTCCATTTCCAGGCCGAAAATCCTCAACGACCCGGTACGGCAAAGGAAAGCGAACCAGAACACGGTTGCCAACCTGTTGCTTCTAACTTCATTTCAGAACTGTGACTGGGACGCAAACATCGAAACTTCCATGAGTCCACTCCTCAATTTCAGCCACTTGGCACGCGTTTTTCGATGAAAGATTCAAGAGATGGGCGACAATGGCTTGTATCCAGCTGCGCTTGCTGTCGAGAAGACTAAAGAATTGAGCCTCCTGATCGGGGTAACCCAGTCGATGGAGAACATTGACCTCCCTGTTTTTTGCAACCGAAGTTATCTCCTCACGTAACAAGCGTCGTGGTTTGCGCATGGTGGGGGCAGGTCAATAGGGAGACACATAAGAGGCATAACTTCCAGCTTGAAAGGTTGAAGTTCAAGGAAGAATAGAAGGACAAACCCCTTACACAGCCACGGTGGCTTGGTGTTGCTGATCCCCGCTCTCCAATGTTTGGGGAAGCCACAGCTGAATCTGTCAATCACAGACGAATTTCTTGCTTGCCTATCATAGCCAGTGCTTAGTATTTCCGCAAAGCGAGAACATAACATAGCCAGGACTGAACGTGAGCTAGTGCTAGTCATGTAAAAGACGACGAGAGGTAAATTTGAAGCGACAGAGCTAGGCTCCCCATAGCTTGCCTTCGGGGATGTGTATTCCGGAGATAAGACCCAGATTTCGGACCCGAACACGATAACATGAAGTACTGTAATGCGTCCGAATTGTCTCGGCTGCCGAGCTTCGTGTAAAGGAACTCATGCTCGCACTGACGCATAGTCTACATTTCTCGATGGTTTCTCTCAATAAGCTCGCTCGCCAGTCTCGATTAGCAGGACTGGGACCTCTTGCCCCTGTATCTGAATCCCACCAACGCTGCACGACGAGGCTCGCAATCAGAATCCATCCACGATGACATGCTCCAGATTGGCCCGGTCTTGATCGGATCATTCGCCGAATCGGGGGTCGATGGGACCCGTTGACCAGCTCTTAGGAGACCCGCCCGGAGATAAGCACCGAACCTTGCTCGGAGGAAACTACCAAAAACTGCCCTCCCATGCACTGCTGCATTACAGACTTCTGCGGACCACAATTGAAATATTCGAGGATTATAGCGGCATGGAGGTCCCTAAGAAGAGATAGTATCATAATAAGATAAAGTCTGTGTCATTTGATGCGTTTTAGGCCGTCATGAGACACCAACAGAGGCGATACAACGTCTCTAGCCTGCAGTTCGGTCTAGACTCAAGAGATTCTAGTTGATGTATAGATAGAATGCCTGGTCGCATGCAAGTTAATTCAGTTGGGCCAGACAACCACTCTAATAATTGCCCGTTTGGGTAGCACAATCATAGTGCAGTGCCCCTCCTGAGTCCCGATTTGTACGTGTCTCTCCAACATACTTCCAGTGCGTCTTCACACCCTTTCAACAGTGAAGAGAGCCAACCTGGGCCAGAATCTTCGGATGTCCTTGTGCTTTGTGATACACAGCATGAGCTGCAAGCCTTGGGAAGTAGTACAATCCTGCTAGAAGACAGCTGAATTGCACGTGGAAGCCAACGGTCTGAACGGATACATAACGGGCCCTAACATCCAGACATTGACTAGAGGACTGGAGTGACCTGTCCATTATGAGACGATGATCACTGAGCATGCAGTAGTTGTTCCAGACAAGCAAGGCTATATCGCACTTACAAACAAATCCTAGCACTTTGATCCTTGATTTGAGTCTGGGTGCAATAACATCTTCATGGCATTCAGGATAGTGAGGTTGAATGACAGTAACGTGTGGGGAGCAGCCACGATGAATGATAGAATTGAGAAAATACCAAAAATGAGCATAAGCAATTCTTGCAGCCAAAGTTGAAAAGTAGTCGGAGACCCATTCGGGATGCCAAGACCGATAGATGATGGGATGCGCACGAGCTGATCGGATTATGTCATTTCGGCCTCTCTTCCTCTCCCTCTTCCTTTGCTCCAAGATCGTGGCGCAAGCATGTAACCTTTGACCGACTTGCGCATTTGCGTGCCCTCTTTTTCCATTCAAATCCAAATTTTCTGTGACTCACCAAATTGGACAACTACACCAATCATCATATCTTAAGTATCGCCGGGCTTACATGCAATTCGACAAAAGGCTGGGCTCCGGTAACGCCTCCGTATCGCGCAGAAGCTTTGACCGTCACATTTAGTAAGCAGCGTACATTTCCCTCTGCTTATCGATCATCCTCCTCTCAAACTTTCGTTCTTTCTCCCACCGACTTCTATCCTTCCAGGTTAATTCTCACACGGCACCCTGGGGGTTATTTCTTCGGCTTCCCTCTTTGCCTTTGCAGGTCCGAAAGGACGAGCGATCTAGGAGACGGGATACGGTAACCTTCCGCCGGGGAAAATGTTGGAAGGCGGTAGTTCCCAGTCCATCCTGGGGGATTCCAGCCCGGGGTCCCTGCTGTCTTCCACCCCGAACTCAGCATTCCTCTCCCCCAAACCGCAGTCATTTTGCCATGATCCGGAAGGTTGGGGTCCCCTCAGTCAGCTCAGATTCGATCTGACTCCGTGTTTCTTGGATTTCGGAGTTTCCTTGGTTGCAGTATGGGGTATTATCGCAGGCGCAGGTGCCCTTTGGTTCTTGTTGAAGAGGAGAGTGCCCCAGCCAGTTGCAAAGAACTGGCATTTCTATACTAAACTGGTACGAAACTTTCTGACATTCTTCACAATTCTGTGTAGATCTAACGATATCTTCTCTTTTAGGTCGTCTTATCCGCCCTGATATTTACAACAGCTCTCCAGGCAGCCATCCAAATCGAATCCTTCCCCCAGACATGGTTTAACGACTATCGGTTCTGGAGCTCTGTCCTCGTCCTGATCTCCCTTTGCGTCATTTTTGCAGTGCAGTACCATGAACACTGGCGCAGCAGACAGCCTAATGGCGTCGTTCTCTTCTACTGGCTCTTCTTCGCCATTGGCTATGGAATCAAACTCCGATCGCTCATCGCACGGAAACTATACGAGGATCGTCTTCCCTACTTCATCTGTTTCAACGTGAGCTTGGGGCTGGCGCTGTTAGAGTTCGGTCTTGAGTACTTGGTTCCGAAGAAACAAAGTGCTTACGACGCGCTTGGAGATGAAGATGAATGCCCCTACGAATACGCTGATATCTTCTCGGTTCTTACATTCAGTTGGATGACGCCGATGATGAAGTTCGGTTACAACAACTTCCTCACCCAAGATGATCTGTGGAATCTTCGTCGTCGAGACACTACCGGTGTCACCGTGGGCGCATTGAACGAGGAATGGGAGGAAGAGTTGCACAAGGAAAAACCCTCCCTCTCACTGGCGCTGTTCAGAGCATTCGGTGGCCCTTTCATTCGTGGCGCGATTATTAAGTGCGGCAGCGACTCCTTGGCCTTCGTCCAGCCGCAGCTTCTGCGTCTTTTGATCAAGTTCATCAACTCATATGCAACTTCCGAGCCTGAGCCGGTCATCAGAGGTGTAGCCATTGCGCTTGCAATGTTCCTGGTTTCGGTTTCGCAGACCATGTGCTTGCACCAATACTTCCAAAGGGCATTCGACACTGGTATGCGCGTCAAATCTGCTCTGACTGCAATGATCTATGCCAAGGCTCTGAGACTGTCCAGCGAGGGTCGCTCAACCAAAACCACTGGCGATATTGTCAATCACATGGCCGTCGACCAGCAGCGTCTGTCTGATCTGACCCAGTTCGGTGTGCAGCTCTGGTCCGCGCCATTCCAGATCACTCTCTGCATGTTGTCGCTCTACCAGCTTGTTGGCGTTAGCATGTTTGCGGGTATCGGTGTGATGATCCTGATGATTCCTCTGAATGGAGTGATTGCACGGATGATGAAGAAACTCCAGCTGATCCAGATGAAGAACAAAGATTCGCGATCCAGACTTATGACTGAGATTCTGAACAATATCAAGAGCATCAAGCTCTATGCTTGGAACACAGCATTCATGAACAAGCTCAGCCACATCCGTAACGATCTGGAACTCAATACGCTCCGCAAAATTGGAGCAACACAGTCGATTGCCAATTTCACCTGGCAATCTACCCCTTTCCTCGTCTCATGCTCCTGTTTTACAGTTTATGCCTTGACCTCGGACAAGCCATTGACCACCGATATTGTCTTTCCAGCATTGACTTTGTTCAATCTCCTTACGTTCCCTCTATCCATTCTGCCTATGGTTATCACGGCTGTGATTGAAGCGTCCGTGGCTGTCAAGCGTCTTACGGATTACTTCACTGCAGAGGAGCTGCAAACTGATGCTGTTTGCTATGAAGAGACCGTGGCTCACGTTGGAGACGAGTCTGTTCGGATCCAGGATGCCGCTTTCACCTGGAACCGTTACGAAGGCACGCATGTGATCGAGAACATCAACTTCAGCGCTCGCAAGGGCGAGCTCAGCTGTATCGTAGGACGCGTTGGTGCTGGAAAGTCCTCCCTCCTTCAAGCGCTCCTGGGCGACTTGTGGAGAACTGAAGGAGAGGTGGTTGTCCGTGGTCGTATCGCCTATGTAGCGCAACAGGCTTGGGTCATGAATGCTAGCGTTCGTGAGAACATTGTCTTCGGGCACCGGTGGGATCCTCAATTCTATGAGCTTACGGTGGCAGCCTGTGCCTTGACCGACGACTTCAAGAACTTACCTGATGGTGATCAAACTGAGGTTGGAGAGAGAGGAATTTCCTTATCCGGTGGTCAGAAGGCTCGGTTGACCCTTGCCCGTGCTGTCTATGCTCGCGCGGACATCTACCTTCTCGACGATGTCCTCTCTGCGGTTGACCAGCATGTGGGTCGCCATCTCATTAACCAGGTCTTGGGCCGCAACGGTATTCTCGCCAGTAAGACAAGAATTCTCGCAACAAATGCTATTCCTGTCCTGAAGGAGGCAGACTTTATCGGCTTGCTGCGCAACAAGACCTTGATTGAGAAGGGAACCTATGAACAGCTTCTAGCTATGAAGGGCGAAGTCGCTAACCTAGTCCGTACTACGATGAACGACTCGGATGATGAGGGCTCTGGTAGTGACAGTCGTGATCCTGCTAGCGAGAGCTCGGAATCCACTACTGTCATCGAAAACGAAGACTCGGAAATCTCCGATCCGGAAGATGCTGAGCGGGAAATTGGTTCTCTTGCTCCGATTAGAGCTAGTGCTGAGCGGAGACAGAGCACAGTTACTCTTCGTCGTGCTAGTACCGCTACCTGGAAGGGGCCTAGACGCAAGCTGGGAGATGAAGAGAATGTCCTCAAAAGCAAACAGACCCAGGAAACCTCGCAACAGGGCAAAGTCAAATGGAGCGTGTACGGCGAATACGCCAAGAACAGTAACATCATTGCTGTTGGCTTCTATCTTCTGGCTCTTTTGGGAGCTCAAACTGCCCAGGTTCTCGGAAGTTATTGGCTTAAGCATTGGTCGGAGCTCAGCGAAAAGCACCCGAACCTTCCCAATGGCAAATATATTGGTATCTACCTGGCCTTCGGTCTGGGCTCGTCTCTTTTGGTCATTCTCCAGAACCTCATTCTTTGGATCTTCTGCTCTATTGAGGTAAGCTTACTCTGAAGTGACATAGCAACGTGTCCCACACTAATCTGTCTTAGGCCTCACGCAAGCTTCATGAACGCATGGCATTCGCCATCTTCCGCTCTCCCATGAGCTTTTTCGAAACTACCCCGTCAGGACGTATCCTTAACAGATTCTCGAGGTAAGTCAACATTGATTAAGGCGGTAGCCTTGGTGCCTATGAACATGACCTGACTATCCCGTAGTGATGTGTATCGTATCGATGAAGTGCTTGCGCGGACGTTCAACATGGTAAGTGCCATATCTTTGTCATATCGTAGAATCACTACTGACGAAAGCAATAGCTATTCGGAAACTCCGCCAAGGCTTTGTTCACCATGGTGGTCATTGCCTCCTCCACCCCTGCCTTCCTCTTGGCTGTCATTCCCTTGGGTTGGGTCTACTTCAGCTACCAAAAGTACTATCTGCGCACATCCCGCGAACTCAAGCGTCTGGATAGCGTGACTCGAAGCCCAATCTATGCGCACTTCCAGGAATCACTGGGTGGAATTTCGACCATCCGTGCGTATAAGCAAGAGGACAGGTTTACGCTGGAAAACGAGTGGCGCATGGATGCGAACATTCGTGCCTACTTCCCCTCATTGAGTGCCAACAGATGGCTAGCTGTCCGCCTGGAGTTCATTGGCTCTGTGATTATCTTGACGTCCGCCGCACTTTCGATCATCTCTGTGTCAACCGGCAGTAAGCTATCCGCCGGAATGGTCGGTCTGGCTATGTCCTACGCTCTTCAAATCACCCAGTCGTTGAACTGGATCGTGCGGCAGACTGTTGAAGTCGAGACCAATATCGTGTCGGTTGAGCGTGTTCTCGAGTACGCAAACCTGCCCAGTGAAGCGCCTGAGGTGATTTTCAAGCATAGGCCCGCCATTGGCTGGCCGGCACAAGGTGCGGTGACGTTCAATAACTACAGCACACGATATCGCCCTGGGCTCGATCTGGTGTTGAAGGACATTTCGCTGGATATCAAGCCCCACGAGAAGATTGGAGTTGTTGGCCGCACAGGTGCAGGCAAGAGCTCGCTAACTCTTGCACTTTTCCGCATCATTGAGCCTGACAGTGGTCACATCAGGTAAGGACTACTGCCCAAGGTTTCTTTTATCAATGTTAACATTATATTTAGCATTGATGGACTGAATGTGTCGACGATTGGTCTGTTTGATCTGCGGGGCCGCCTCGCGATCATTCCCCAAGATCCAGCCATGTTCGAGGGAACCGTCCGGGACAATCTGGATCCCCGACATGTGCATGACGACACGGAACTCTGGAGTGTGCTTGGTAAGTTGGGCTACATTGCATACAAGGACCATTATTGACTGGACATAACTGTAGAACATGCCCGCTTGAAAGATCACGTTGCGCAGATGGACGGTCAGCTGGATGCCCAAGTCCAAGAAGGAGGTAAGTCTTTTTTTAGTCCATATTCGCCTCCCTGCCTTGCATTGCTGGGCGTTACCCTGCAAAGTCGGAGCGGCGTAATTAACCTACTTGCTGTAGGATCCAACCTTAGTCAAGGCCAGCGCCAGCTGGTTTCACTTGCCCGAGCATTGTTGACGCCTAGTAATATTCTGGTGCTCGACGAGGCAACTGTGAGTATTTTTCCTATTGGCTTCCTTTTCGTCGTGTTTGTCACTTTTCGGAAGCTTACACTTGTTATTCATAGGCGGCGGTGGATGTGGAGACCGATGCATTGCTGCAACGCACGCTGCGCAGCAGCATTTTCCAGGACCGTACCATCATCACGATCGCGCATCGGATCAATACAATCATCGATTCCGATCGAATTGTGGTGTTAGACAAGGGCCGTGTGGTCGAGTTCGACACGCCTGCAGCGTTGATTAAACAGGAGGGCCGCTTTTATGACCTGGTCAAGGAGGCTGGTCTACTTGACAGCACTGAGGGCGCCGCCATTGTACAGAAATCCTAGCCGCTTATTTTCACCCACAAGCCGCAGTGATGGGCGGACAAGATCGATCCATCTCACCGGTCCTCTCGCTCCAAAGACGTGGCGCCAAATGAGTCACCGCTTGGGCTTTTCTGCGGCAGAACAGCCGCGGATGATAAAACCACGCTCAAGTCTGTATAACATCGACAAAACAAGGGCTATTGTTGCTGCTGCATGGAGATCCACGGCCAGTCTGTGCGCATGACATTGGAAGCAGGCAGCGGGACAGTCCGACTGGAGGGATTCATTATGACGAGATGATTTCTATGATCTTATGTCATGTGGACAGAGGTCGAATGAGATGTGAAGCGATGCAATCGAGTCCGGAGGATCGCCTAGAGGGGTGTCCACTCTCTTATGGCGTTTACATCGGAAGGAAGAAAATGAAACGAAGAGAGAGAAAAAAAAAGGAAAGGAAAGAAAGCCGCCAACACCTTGTGGCTTTGAGGGTTTGAAACAAAAGCGATAAAAAGCGATTAATTTCTGGTTTAGGGACTGTCCCTTCTTTTTGCTGTCGGATTTTCTATTGCGATCTCACTGTCTATATCAAATGGTTTATATACAATTCTCTATATTATCGGAACAATTATCATAAGTCACCCCTCCTTTCCGTCCTTGTACATACAATGAGTAAATCAATCTGTAGAACAAGTCATATTTTTACCCCTCCTGATCATCCAAACCCCGCGACAACATCCGCCCTATCCTGCGACCATGCTCTTTTCTTTTTCTTTGCGTGTCTACAGCATGTATGACCTTATTAGATTCCGATAAATCTGCTTGCCTGCCTGCCTGTAGCGCAAAGACCGGGAACAGGCGGGAAAAGTCGCCCATCGTACTTACTGTACGCGCATCATCGCTAGTAGTAGCGGTGTAGACCACCATCACCATGACCACCACCTGCAACCCCGACCAAGCAGTTGGCAGCGTGCATATGCATGATGGCAGTGCCACGAACAACTGTTCAGCTGGACGTTTTCGACGTTATTGTGTCATGTTCATGTAGGAGGCGAAACCCGGTCAATGGGTTGGTTGGTTGGTTGGTGGGTTTAGTATGATGGTGGGATAATGTCATAGTCTAGCTGCTTGGGACTGTAGAGTACGGTGTAGCTCGCTGGGTCTCCCAGCTGTAGTTAAGTGCGTAACTGGTGACTAATTGCTATATTTGTCTAGGCTGTCTACTTACTGTTCTTCGGCTGTTACTTGTCAATTTTGTTGGGGAATGTCTTTGGGATAAGGATATCGATATCTCTGCCAGAGATGATCTGGGTGTCTGGTAGTCAGTCATGATTAGCTGGGTATATGTTTGCTGAGTAGCTTACACTGTCTGGTGTATACTTCTAATCTGGGCAAATGTATATATACCACTTATTGCGCTTGTGTAAGAATCTTTGTCAGTGGGTTTGGTGTGAGCCAGATTATATATTCCGTACACTTACTAGTATAGTGATAACACTCACCACAGCGAGTTGCACATCATAACCAAGCTATTGCAACTAACAATCTACGACAGTAGATTAAAAGCGTATACACAAGTATCAACCTCCTAAAACAGAACCAACCCAAAAAAGAGTCAGTATACCCCCAGAGCAAGCACCGCAACTACCCGAAGCCGGAGACAGTCCTCTTACCATACGATCCAGTCTCAGCTTTCAGCTCAACCCCTCATTCCTCAAAGAAAGACGGTGAGAGGGAGGAGACGACAGGAGAGAATATATGCAGCTATGCAACTAGACTATCTACTCAATCTCACCCCGCTAAGAAACCTCATTCCGGCAGTAGGCCCTATAAACGGTAAGTTTCTTATCGTTCCTGGTGATCCTACGCTATAGATGTCTATTGGGATTACAGGGGAAGAGGTAGGAAGTACACGAGCTCATAGCACTCTCTATCCTAAGGAGTGGATGTTCTTAGATACCAATCAACTATATGCGATGCTTATCTATAACATTCGCTCAAGAGTTATGGCGAGATATTTTGGCTCGTGTCAATCTAGCCAGCATCTATCAGGTACAGTACAGTACTGTACATTGTTCCCCCTCGAAAGGGCTCCATAGATTATCGGTGAGGAATAGACTTCATCTCCCATAATTAATGTCTAACAATACCTAGGAATCGAGGTCTAGAACCACATACAGTACCTCACATGAGAGAACATCAGCAGGAGATTAAGGAACAGGCACAGCACCGCCACCCAAGCAGGGAATTCTCCGCGAGGTCCGAGGACGGTGAGCACAGTCGGAAACTAACCAGCTATAATCCTTTCTAGAAACTAACGAATCATACTACCGTACCTAAGATTATATCAGAGAACAATATAATCATGATGTTATCAGAGATACTAAGATGGCGCAGGGTTGATCTAACGGTCAGGCAGGCAGAATCCGGACTGAGACTGGCGGTGGAGATTCGAGATTACCCTACCTACTTTAATCAACCAGAACAAGACAAGGCAAAGCTGAGCTGGGCTGGCTTACTTTCTGTGTCAGGTGTGATTAATATTACTCCTGTATTACTTATCTGCTACCATACTACAGAGTATTATGATAATCAGGCTGAGATATTAGCTAAAGCACCCACCCACCCCGAATTAAGATTTGGCACATCCTTCCGATTTGGATCGGACGGCGGTGTTCGGGGTGGTCTCCTTTTAATTCACATATTATTCATATTCTGTGCACATATAGGATAGTAAGATGCGCGAGTATATCATCTCGGCAAATATCCGTGTCCTTTCCCCCTCCCCTCTCTTTCGCCTTTCTCGGAGGTCATTCCGAGGGAAAGTCGCTCCCCTTCGGATTGTTCTCGGTTGGGGTCCTCGGCTATGACGGCGTCTATTGTGATTATCCCTGTCTACTAAACGAGAAAACAAGCAAGCAGCTTCCATTGACTACGTAGGTATGAAAGGGAAGTGCTGAAGAAAGGAGGTTTCGGCCGAGGGTAGCGAACTTACCCCGCCAACAGGAAACTTGGAATCAGGCCTCGCCTTCCCCCCGCTCTTCCTATGCGTCTGCGTGTGTCAGGTGCAAGAGGCGGGAATTTTGATACACGCAGCTACGGCAACATCATCGCTAACAACTAACAAACCTTCCCTCCTGCTCATCCAGATCTCTCCTACGAGACGAAGTCTATCCAGCAGCGGGTAACTCCGCGACATGCGGGATAACAACCATGAGCATGAGCATGAGCATGAGCATGAGCATGAGCAGACAGAAAACATAAATCGGAAAACACAAAGCACGACAGAATAAACTTCGGCTCCTTGCATCGCGCAGCATCACCATCGATCGCCTCGTTCAATAGAGGCGCGGTGATCTGGATTCAGTCATAACTCAGTCGAGTATGGTTGTCTGGCGCGGGGAAAGACGAACGCGCTTCCGACACGACCACAGAACCCACACCCGCGGTCTGACTCCGTCCTGTCTTCGCTCGGTCCCGCCCCGTGCGATAGACCATCGAGCGATGACCGATTTATTGAGGGGGATTGCCACCATCGCGAGGCGATCAGCCTCTCCAGATCGGAGACGAACGGAGGGGGTGGGGTGTTGCCGTGGCGGTTTACAGGACCTGGGAATAAAATCAAATCAGGATTCACGGACCCTTACGCAGGCGAGCAGGTTAAAGAAAAGTCTGATAGAAGGAAAGTCATCGCAAATCGAACAAGATAGATCGTAGATGCTGTGCAGGTGGGCAAGTCGGCTTGTCCTGGTAATCGGGTCTCTTGGGTTGACCCCTAAGGCGCCGATTCCTTCACGGCTTGATCCACTTAGATGACCGTTTCCAGCGGCGTGCAGAGGTTGGGTCCATCGTGGGATGGACGGAGAGAGAGGAGAGAGGGGATGTATCAACTGTGTTAGCCACTGTCCGTCATGAGGTGGACGATTCCTGGTTGTTGATTTTTTGGTAGCGGCGGGGTGGATGATTCGTATTCCATCCATTCTCCCCCATTCTAGATTGGGCGAGGGAAGGAGGTGGTTGGTGCTCACGCGGAAGAGAACTCCGTAAATTGAATCGACGATAGTGGAGGACTAGGTGCAAGGCAGAACAATCCTCCGTGTTCCGTGCTAGTTAGTTAGTACTTAGTAAACGAATGTAGCAGATCAACTGATAAGATACGTGTAGATAGTCCCCTGTGTGTCCGTGTCGATGACAATTCTTCGAAGCGAAGTCTAATCCCTCGTACTTAGTATGAAGAGACTAGGAAGGAAGATCGAGTCCCGGCGGAGGGGAAGGTTCCTGATAGTTTGGTGCCAATAATAGCCTGCCCGTCAGTTGCTCCAACTTTCAACGCTCAGGCCGTTAGAGGGTTGCGGCGTAAGTAGGATTGCCATCCGCAATGGTCTCCCCCGAACCCACTTAACCCCCGATTGCGTGCATCGATTGGTGGCGACCTCGCATCGGGGCGAGGTCAACATTCTCGATGTCCCGCGAAATGGTCTGCAGGGACCGGCTATTGACCAGTGGTGAATCGAGGTGTACAGGACATCGTGGATCGGAGTCCAGACAATAGGATTATCGGAGGTAGATGGGACTAAGCGCGTAGCGAAGCCCGAGAAGAAGCGACTAAGACGATCAAGTAAGTGAGTGGGTGAGTGATTGAGCGATGGAAGGATATGGAAAAAATCTTGAACTAAGCAACTTGGAAGTAAGGAGGGGAAGCGGGCGGGTGTTTGACAGCTGGCCGCGGACGATTTGTCCAGCCGCCGCCCACATTTGCCTCCTTAGGGAAAGCGTCTTGGTCTTAGGGTTACTCGCTTAGGGCTGAGGAGAATTGAAGGAAGAAGCATCAGGGATGATGATAATAGAAGGTTATTGCAGTCAGGAATTGATTGATCAATAGTTAGTCTTAGTCTCAATTGTCATAAAGGTGATATTGATCATGTTTACCGTTGCCCTTGACCACGCACAGTCCAGCACCAAAATACTCCCTACTGACTACCTAGTAACTCTAGTGCTAACCACTGCTATCTTCAGCCGTAATGGGACCTCACTCAGTTTCGCTCTGCTTTATAGCGTACTATTGCAGATCCCCCTTCTCATCCCCCATCATCCGGCCGGATATCTACTACCCAATTGAGAAATATCTCCGGACCAACATCAATGAGTGACCAAAAGAATAACAAACAAACACGATAGAAAACACGTAGACTAGACTACAACAAAAGCACCAAAGACTCATAGGCAATGACTGTACCGAACCTGTAGTCTCAAAGCGCCAAAGTCAATTCCTCCCCAGCGAAGGAACCAGGAATCCATGGGTTTGGGAAAGCATTCGAACTATCTACTTACTACGTGGCTTGTGCACGACCCTTTCGGACCGTCCCCCGTCCCAGAACCATGCTACAGAAACACAAAGTACCGGTACCAGAACCACGATCCTCATGCAGTGTAAGAGACTGATCCCTACATTCATATACCTGGGACACCGGGTGTACACCGTACAGTCTCCATCCTAGCTGCAATCTGCATACCGTAGGCTTTTGCGACCCAGGAAAACACGGTGGATCGCCGGACCGCGCGCGCCTAAGTAATGGAGCCAAAGGAGCAGAGACGAGGAACTTGTTCCGTCGCTCCCCCCGTCGCCCATTTTCTGCCTCTGGGTCTGTGACTCTGTTCGTCAGTCTATCGGTTCTTTCCCAGGTCTGAAGATCTGAAACGAGCCTCTCGATGTTCGATGCGAAGACTTGGAAGCTGTTTAGCAGACTGAACTCGATCTGCGCAGGAGAAACTGGGGGGCGGAGCCACAATTGCTGCTGCTGCTGCTGCTGCTGCTGCTGCTGCCAGCAGATTGCGGATCTTCCCACTGTCTCTCCATCTGCTTATTGTTTTGTTCCTAGAGAACAACCTATTCGCCTCCGATGAATGAATGGCGTTGAACTTGGAACTGCAAGATCCCTGCAATTGAGAGACAGTCAGACCCTACACAATTGTACTTTTGTAATCATTTATGCATCTCGTTCTCCGGGACTGGCAGTATCTTCCCCCCTTTCTCATACCCCTGTCTTCCCTGATTCTTGACCTCTTCATTTCCAGACCCAGCTCTTCGTCGTGTTCCTTGGGCTGAGTCTAGCGCGAACATGGGACACCCTTGGAGGCTTTTAATTTCCGACAACGATCGAAACCCGTTATTGTAGGTAGACACACAAATACACAGACACACGCACAGGCACAGGCAGAAAACTCCTATTAGTTCGGCCCGACTAAACTGATTGACATAAATAGTGGCTTTGCTGGGGTAGTGGTTTCAGGTTGCAAATCATCGTCCAAGCGTGGTCTGATTGCAATCACCTACGGTAGTATAGTAATGGACAAGCTCGGTGGATATTCCGCCGCAAAAGCCGGACCGCGCCACAAGCTCCGAACAAGGCCCGAAACGGGAGTAAGTCGACGGCAAGAACCAACGCAGAAACTAACACAAAACATCCATGATCCCTGCGTAGATTAGTGGACACGGTTGCACATCAGACACTCGCAGAATAGAAATTCTCGAGACTAGTGTGTCGTATAGATCGATAACTCTCTTTTCCCTTCGCTCCATCATCAGCGCAATCTCTCACTACTACTTCACTGGGTAATTGTAGGCTCCTGTCCCCAATCCTTGACGGGGATATTCAATAGTAGTTTGCAGGTGCACGACACCGGATGAGGAAGGTACTTGACTCAGCTCAGTCTGAGTCGGTTGTCCGGGTAAGTTCTCGCTCCTATTGGGGATGATGTATCGGGGATGACGGAAGTTGAGGGTACGCCAACTCCGAAGCGCCGTTCACTCCTCGCCGTCGGTCACACCCGGTGGATAGTACTGAATAGTTTGGCTGGTGGTTCCAGATAGAGAATGGATGCCTCACCATGGAAGATCGTTGCTCTATCTGAGATTGTCAGGCGATTTGTGTGGGGGATTGACGTCGGGAGGGGTTCGGAACGGTTTAGATAATGAAGTCAGAGAGTAAGTGAAGGGAACAGTCCAGAAAACAGTAGCCCTATTACAGAATCAAGAAATGTTTGATCGCCGTGGTCAAGAAATCTTGCTTTTCCCAGAGCACTTTATGAAGACATCCAGATCCACGGGGGTATAGACCTATGAGGTCAGGTTCGGTAAAAAGCAAGGAAGTCGAAGAATGTTCCATGGTCGAGAAGACAATGCCCCCCATCATCATCATCCCTGCTGGCAGAAAGGGGGGAAAAGAGAATAGGAATAGAAACGGTGATATCAACGATCAACGGACAGCCCGCTGCACAAGGTGCATGCGGCTACAGGGGGTATCCCTGCAACCTGGCAATGGCTGAATTGGGAGATAATGCTTGGAAAACCTGCAGCCTAAGATTAGTGGTTTTTTGCGATATCTGTATGTGCCGCTCATGTACAAGTTACTGTGAGTTCAGATGGAACCCAATCGAACCCGGATCATCAGCAGAAGCAGCATCATACAGTGCAGGACGCTGCAACAACTTGGATGTGGCTTTTTAGCCCAGTGTCATCGACGACGTCCGTGGGGACTGCGGCTCCACCAAACTGCTGCTGAGTGGAGAGACTGTAAGTCAGTACAGCATGATGGCTGCAGATTGATCCACAATTCGGGAAATCATGTTGCACTCTCAGCCAGTCACTGATCCAGGAACAGGGATCCCCTCTATAAGATAAGTTCGGGGCTAACGAACGGCTGCAGATATGACCAGCCCACCACAACTTTCAAACCCACGCGAGTGTTAACCCTCCCAACCATTCGAAGGGCGAGAGAGGGCAGAGCCACCAACGTCGGCGACAGACGCCCACCAATGACGTCCTCGGGACCGCCCCCACTCCCCATCCTGAAACATCGAAGGGTGGAAATCAAAGTCAGAGCCACCACTGGACAATGGGGCATGAAAGGGCTGGGGGGTAACTCGATGACTCGTGAAGAATCAAGCAAGAACCAGGAAAGTGGCGGGTGCGGGTTTCCGACACGAGTCGTGCGCACAGCGAGCAGTTGGGGGTCTACTCCGTAGATGGGTGGGCTTTCCCGCTGCTGTAACACCCTTCAAAATTGACTTGCAGCACCCAAAACACAAAATCCAAAACACAGGCAGGAAGAAAGGATGGATGAATCCAATCGGGCCATTTCCCCCAATCAAGCCCGGCGATCTGACAGTCTGCTGGGGAGCGTTAGAAGGAATATTTAGCCCCAGCTGCCATCGTGACCAAGCAAGAAAATCTAAAACCAAAGGAAAATATTAGTCAGGTAAAAATCATTTGCCTAGATGACTGGTCGAAACATTGGTCACTGACCCAGATCTTCGTCGCGCGACGATTGCCTAAATGGTTGGTTTTTTTTTTTTTTTTTTTTTTTTTTTGTCATTGATCTGCCTGTAGATTCATATGTGGGGATTAAGGGAGGAGAGACACAGGAAGGACGATGATGATTCTTCTGCACCTGTTCCTTTCCGGTAGG